TGGGATGGAAGCGTAAGGCTACTGGAGAGCCTTATCTACGTGATAGGAAGAACCTCCTGTTATGAACCGCTTTACAACACGTGAGGTGTCCTTAAGTAAATCTAAGGGTTTACCTGGCGAGATAGCAATGGGACCTGTCAAAGCTTGAGCCTGAAACCAAATCTACAAGTCGTGGCCTTGTACGTAAAGCGTAGCAATCGATAACAACTCGATTCTAACTAACTGAGGTTGACTACGCTTTATCTTCTGAAGTTGTCACAAACGCAGCAGAAGAGTACGTGACTCGTAGGGGAGAAGCATCCCTATGCGCCACTGTAGCTCGAGAGGAAGAGCGGAGTAAAGGGACCGCTGGGACGGCCCTAAGTGTCATGAATGACAAGCATATAAGCTAAGAGGTCCAAGATCTGTCATGAAATGACAGGATTCTTAGTCTTTTTGGGCGATCCCCAAGGGGCTGTGGACCTCTTCCTGACACTAAGCCATTTAGGCTTAGGGCCGTCCCAGCGGTCCCTTTACTCCGCTCTTCCTCTCGAGCTACAGTGGCGCATAGGGATGCTTCTCCCCTGCGAGTCACGTGCTCTTCTGCTCTGTTTGTGACACTACCGCAGCCAACTAGAAGCCAGCATTACCATTGTGTATAATGTATGGGCACGTGACCTAGCTCTTCGCACAGTTTTATATCTGCTCCTTAGCTCTCCCCATTACACTAGGCTTGCCGAAAGTGAAGGAGTTAAGTTATCGAGAGGTTGAAGGTGGTTTCTATAGTTAGTATCGAATTCGCGGCTTCTGCAGGACAATGTTGTATGGGCTGTAGTGGCGGTGGTGGCTAGTACAGCCACCATCCTGTACAAGGGTCATCTTCACGCGTCAGAGGGCACTGGGTTTGTAAGCAACACGACAAGTAATAGCAATAGATCAAGTGTTGAGCCTTGCTTCACAGAGAATAGAGTGCCAGTTGCACTGAGACCTTCTTTCCTTTATTGTTCCTCGTGTTCAAGCGCCTGTGGCACCCCAACTAGATCACGCATGGCCATTTGAGCCGATGTTGTGGTTGGTTGTGGTGGTATAGCCAGTGGTTCGACCAGAAAACCCTTCTCAACGACCGGCCTGCGAGACAGGCCCCTGTGCGTTCTCGCACGTGCATGCCAACTACCTATCGAAACCTCGTACAATATAGGCCAGCGTCGATATCATCTATGTAAGTGCTAAAATTGGTGGACTCGGAGCTCAACCTCTATAACAGAAAGTCAAATACCATTGGACTCTTCTGCCTTGTCAGGCTCGAGAGGGAATGGAGCTCCAAAGATCTAATTGTTCTACGGTGTCATCCGCGTATCAGTCCAGTCGGGGCTGCGTAAACTGCGACAAGAGCCCCGCTGTCTGGCTTACGGTCACTGGTCTCCTTCACTTAAAACCAGGTCTATGACAACCTGCGCTGTTCTAAGTCCATTCTTGGGGGCCTTTCCTTTTGGAGAGCCAGTTCTCGAATTTCCCACACATTCCTCAGTTAGTTACTAGGTGAGTTGAGACAGGCGTGCCACCACTGCAAACCGCCTCGCCTCGGCAGCGCTCAGATCTCCTAACGGACTTTGCCGGAGTTTGGGTGGATCCTGAGATTGGCTGGTGCCACACTGCCAAGAGTTCCATTTGTGCCAAGCCGCCAACCCAGTCTTACCGGCTCATTTAAAAACCCCCAACTCCTCGTCGAGCGCAGATTTTTCTTCTCTTTTCCTTTTCTCAGCTCTGTGAGTGCCATCGACCCTTGCTTTGCACTTCTCATACTAATAATGTTGTCCCAGCTTTGCCAACTGGCTTAGATCAAGTGTAGTATCTGTTCTTTTCAGTTTAATCGTGAGTACTCCTCAGGTCCCAGTATCATTTGGCTTGAGCTAACAACTCGGAAGTCTGAAATGTGAGCACCTCACGGCTCTGAATACCCTGCTCCCGCTGACTGTTATCAGGTCACTACGGTGACAAACATTGATTAAATTTATTTTTGCACCTAGCTTGGATCCTTCTGTGCTTGCACAGAGGTCCCTCGCACCGTGTCCGAGGCCTTACACTGCCGCCTTGTGACGCGAACAATCCCCTTTTCATCATTGTCTTTTGCCTGGTGCAAGACCTTGGAGAAAAGAGATTTTGGTGTGGCAGGAAACTAGACTGACAAGACGTGTGACTGCTCAAGGTTTGTGCTCACAGGGTTTTGCCTGGCCTGATATTTAACGCTCACAGACTCTTCGTGTAGCCCGTATTCCTGAGCAATAGATCATAGAAAGCACTGTAAAATCCCAGAGGACAGATCAACCTGCTATTTACGATCTTGCCGTCAGATCTGATTTTGATCGAAAGCACTCCGTGGGCAGCAATAATTGTACTGGTGTCGCAACTTTTCCATGGCAAATCGAGGTCTGCCGGTAACAGCTCTCCAACTTCTTCACTAGGTACAATCTCAACTAACTACTCGGAGTTGGTGAGATAGTGCACATTTTGTTCAAGCACGATGCCTGGTGATACGGCGGCCATGACTAACAGCGCGGCTCCGGCTCCCATGTCAAATGTCGACCCGGCCATCTTCGCCTCCCTTCAAGCAAAAATAGACGAAGAATCCGCGATCCGTGACGAGCTCAGGAACATCGTCGAAACTCTCGCGAAGCAAGGAAGAGTCACGCAGTCAATCATCTCCCGCGTCCACAACACGCCTACCACAGACCTTGAAGAATCCGTCCTCGTACCATGTTCCGAAACCCTCAAAGAGCAGGCAGCCACGGTGAAAAATCTGGCGCAGGCTGCTTCCCAGTATCCCTTCTACAAATGGAACTCCACGTGGCAGCGAGAGGTTCAAAATGTGGTCAGCAATATACAAATGTGTGAGTGGCTCAAGAGCGGGAATCTAGTGACGCTGGAAGAAGTCGGACAGAGACTTGAAGGTATATATCTGAGCCCTACGTCGTCTTCATCGAAGTTGCTGATGACCATGGTAGTCCCGGTAAACGTTAAAGGCGAAGATACCTTTCAAATTACAATCGAAGACTACCTCCTCGCCCTGACCAATATGATCGAGGAGCTGGCGCGTCTTGCTCCTAACGCGGTGACTCTCGCCGACTACACTCGGCCCTTGCAAATTTCAAAATTCACAAAAGATGTCCACGCTGGTTTTCAGCTGCTGAATCTCAAGAACGATGTACTCCGGCGAAGAGTGGATGCACTCAAATACAGTGTCAAGAAGGTGGAAGACGTTGTATATGATTTGAGTCTCAGGGGATTAATAACGAAACACTGAGCACACCGCATCACGATTTGATGTAGGAGCCAACCGCGGCGCTATACATTGTGATGGTGGTCCAGGCTACGTGAGAAGTGCATGTCTTGCCATGGGAACGTAATTTTCCGGCTATGCTCTGGCATTAATATCGGTGAAAACAACGTGTGCACAGATTATATCGTGCATCCAATGCTGGATTGCTGTGGGGGTAAACGATGAATGATTACAGCCGAAGGCAGGGTGATTCAGCTGAACGAATTCACAACTCGATGTCGAGCTCTTTGACTCATAACAAAGTAGTGAACTCTTTCGAGCTGCGAACGGTTGACCCTGTTCAAGCCTGTTCAAATGGGACTCGACATCGGTCCTCTACGAAGCAGATGAGATGCCCATGGATGATGTCCTCTTTTCTCTGTACCATTCTTTTTCCTGCCCGATTTCATTTTCTCGATTTTTCAGCCCGCAGTCCTTTCCCTTTGACCGTCTCTTGACCATTTACCGAACTCTATCGGCAGTGGAGGCTGACCTGGCTTAGGAACCTTACGGGCGAGGTGGCTCGGTCGCCTTCTTGAACTCATCCCCATCTGTTCTGACGCTGCTTTCAGCCGTGGCCGGTTCTCTCAACCCAGAAGCCGACCCCGTGCCTAGTTTTACATTCACACCACCACTGCCGACGTTCACGGTGCGTTGGTCTGCGGATTGCAGATCTGCGCTCACTCCGCCAACGGGCTGGTCTGGGAGAGGGAGATTCGCCTTGACGCGATCGATCTGTTCCTTTTTGGACTCTTGTTCTGAGAGGAGTTGCTATGACAGTAGGTCAGCAAACTGACGGATGCAAATCTGATTGAGGATGTTTGGAACGACAATCTGTGCACACCTACCTTCATTGCAGATGTGTCTGAATCCTTTGGCGTCTGGCCGCCATGGAATCTCGACTCCTTCGACTCCATCTTGCGGACGTCCTCGCCAGTGACGTGGAAAGTTTTGTCAGACATTGTTGTCTTCGTGATTCTGAGTTCTGACGATTTGCCTAATGGAAGGGGTTTATCTGAGAACGGTGTAAGATTTTGAGGTTATGTATTTGCGTTAGCTGTGGTGATTCAAGCTACTTGCGCTAGTAGGTAGTTGACAAGCAAAATTCAGCAGTCTACTTGGGTCTTTTTATGCAAGCCCTGCAGTATGGCGGCCGCGAAGACGTCACTCATGGAGGCCAATGATGGCACGGTGATCTGCTTGCCAGAGTCTCATTCTGCCAGTGATCTCGAAACTTCGCGCAAGACCCATGGAAAACTGCGATCTTGCACGGCATACGTCATATCTTAGAAGAGGTTTGCACTGGTAAATGCCAGCCAGGGAAACCATTCCCGACCCAATCAGGTTGGTAATGTACCTGTGCTGAAAAAGAAAGGTGGCAGCAGAGACGAAACGGTTGAAGGATGCATAAACATGCCCAGCAATGTTTGAATTAAGGCTAAAGGTCAAATTCAGGCGGAATCGGGGATCTCAAAGTCGAGCAAGAGAGTCTAGTTCGAGCTCGATATCATCGACACAGAACTCCCAATCATCCATTCTGATATTGTCGAAATGGAAATCAGCCCATATCTCGAGCCTTGTCAAGCCATTCCATATCTCCCCGGTAAACTCTTCAACTCGAACATAAAGGACGTCATGATAACCAGCGGGGAAATCGACACCCCAGGAGAGAGTAGCCTCTGGATTATTCGAACGGAGACCTTGGAGGTTGATCGTCGCAGACCCGACCGGCAGGTCAAGCGGCTTGATCTTGAGCGCGTGGACAGTGAATGTCTTCGTTGAATTGTCGGAGCAGACAGAGGGCCTCTTCCCTTGTGGGACCATGTGGCCTCGTTGGCTCACCGCTGCGCTGGCGCATGCGGCTCCATACAAAGCATTTGGCTTTGAGACAGCACAATTTAGGTCGTATGAGGAAATGACGCCGGTAAACTTGGGGTGTGAAGGTTTGAAGGCATAGAAGTCGTTGAACACAAATCCCTTATATGGTCGTGTTATATATCCAAACCCATTAGTAGTCTCAATATCATCGAACTGCAGTATGGTCAGCCATCACCGAAGAGTCTTTAGTCCTCAAGGAAGGTTCACAGACATGTAGTACTTGGTATGCTCGATCAAGCACTATCTGCTCGGGAGAAGCAGAAACAGTATTGAAGCAGAAGGCTAGAACAAAGCACACCAGAACCACGGAATGCAAACGCAAGATGTTCTGGCAAATGGGTTGCCTCGAATTTGACAAACACATCACCACAATCGTGACCAAGGTATTGATCAAATCATTGAAAGGAAGGTGTATAGTGGCCCTGACGAGAAATGAAACGTGGTATAAAACCTGATACGGAACCGTCCTGCTTCGTCAATGCGATATCAAGGAACGTCTCGATGTCTCCTTGCCGTCCGCAGAACCAGGTTCGTGTTTGCAGCAAACACCGCCCCTTCAATGAAAAGGCCACGCGGCAGGTCCAGGTTTAGGCTCGTTGAGGAAAACAAAGAGGAATTTCATTGTCGACTGAACTTAAAGATGATCCGATACCCACATTGCACGTCATTTTAAGTTTCCGCGTTGCAGCAGAAGTCTCTTCCGCCTTGCGCGCAATTTGAGGGTCCGATAATTTTCCACCATACCACACGAAACAATCGGACTGCTAGCCTGATAATTTGGCGGCCGTCCTGGCCGGGGAAATTGCCCTCTTCTCTTCTCCCTCTTGCAGAACACGCTTGAGAGTGCGCCCCTACGATGCCCCGAGATCCACTCATCGGGCTTGTGGGAAAACCATCCTCTGGCAAGTCGACGACTTTAAACAGGTGAGCCGCATGTACATGTGCTTAAACCTCGACTTACAAGCCCGTCACAGCTTGACAGACGCCAGTTCGAAAGTGGGTCAGTGCGCGATGTTTCTTCCCGACCAAGGAGGAGGACCAGGCTGATGATCTCTGCGCAGGCAACTTCCCGTAAGAGAGAGACCCTTACCTCAGTCTGACCCGCTCCTGGACTAAGTCTGTGCGATATTAGTTTCACGACAATCGATCCTCAAAGAGCCGTCGGATATCTCCAAGTCGAGTGTGCCTGCAAGCGACATGGCGTCACCGACAGGTGCCGGCCGAATTACGGGTCCTGCGTGGACGGCAAGAGATCGGTGCCCATAGAACTGCTTGACGTCGCTGGTTTGGTCCCAGGTGCCCATGAAGGTAGAGGACTTGGGAACAAATTTTTGGACGATCTTCGCCATGCGGACGCTCTTATACATGTGGTCGATGTCAGCGGCACAACGGACGCCGATGGCAAAGCCACCCGAGGCTACGACCCCAGTGTGGACATCGAATGGCTGCGTGGCGAGATCGTTCGTTGGATCCAAGGGAACTTGATGGAGAAATGGGGAAGTATCAAGAGACGGCATCTTGCTGTGAAAGCATCACCGGTGGATACACTCCAAGCACAGTTCTCAGGCTACGGTAGTACCAGCGCAGTCGTTGCTCGGTGCTTGGACAAACTGCAGTTGAAACAACCCCTCGAGGAATGGAGCGATGAGACTATTCTCAAAGTTGTCAATGCCTTCACAGATGAGAAGTTCCCTACCGTCCTTGCCCTGAATAAGATCGATCACCCGGATGCAGATCGCAACATTGCTAAGATTGCAAAGCAACAACCGCCCGACCGAATCGTTCTGTGCAGCGCCATATCAGAGGTGTTTCTGCGTCGGCTGGCGAAGCAGGGATACATCAAATACAAAGAAGGAGCAGACTACCTCGACACCCGGGAAGATCTGATTGAGCAGGGTGATCCCAGTGGCGGAGGACTCAAGGAGATGGATGACAAGCTGAAACAGCGGATAGAGAATCTCAAGGACATGGTGCTGTACCGTTTCGGAAGTACCGGCGTGGTACAAGTTTTGACTCGGGCGGCAGCAATGCTCGGCCTTGTGGCGGTATTCCCTGTGAAGAATATCCACACCTACGGCTCGGGAACAGCTGGGTCCACGGCTGTTTTCAGAGATTGCGTGTTGGTGAACAAGGGCAGTACGGTTGCGGACGTGGCAAGAAAGGTCATGGGTGATGCGCCCATCGCATTTGTCGAAGGGGACGGTGGCAGGAGAATTGCGGAAGATTCAATAATAGAGGTTGGGAAGAATGATATCCTGTCTTTCCATGTCGGGCGGTGATGCTTGCAGCCTCTATACGTAGGAAAGCCCAAAGCTGGACAGTACGGAGAGCAATTCCACTCCGTCAAGCACATCCATTGTTCCAACACGTGGGTAATATTTACATAAACGCCATAATAGGGCCATCTCAATGGCCACGAGAGCATGTGTTCCGTGTGATTTAATGTGTCTTCTGCCCGGGCCGTTAGCAAGTCGATCTCATCGTGCAACTCCTCGGAATCTCTTCTAATGGGAAAGCTCGCAACGTACTGATCCTCTCTCGTCGTTCATCCCAATTATTGGCTCTGGTGCCTTTGGATGGTCTTCCTTTGCCTTCTTGTTGCTGGCTCTCTCATCTCTCCGTGAGATTGCATCGCTGCCCTCCTTCATTTCCTCATGGTCTTTCATCCCCTGTTGTGAAGACTCTGCTTGAACGTCAACAGGAGGACGCTTGACCGCGTGGTCACGAGCGTGCCGACCTCCCCAGCCTGGGAGGCTGTCTTGAGCAACATTACTAGTTTTGCTGTCCGTCGAAGAAGGCTGAGAGTGTTGGTTGGAACTGTGGAGGGGCGCACATGTTGACAAAAGACAGGCGTGTCGATGAGAACCGGCGTAAGGAAATGAACGGGATTTGGGAACTGCTAGAGGCAGACGATGCATGTTGATACGACAAGCAGCGTTTGCTGTATAGGTCGTGGGTCTTCTTGACGATATGGTTACGTGAAAACACAAGCCTATGAACAAGGGAGGCAGAGAAGAGGTATGGTATTTGTTTTGCGTAGCAGGTTCCTGCACTTACTTCATATCAAGAGCTTCGTACACCTCTTTATTTACCTGAGTGTTTAGACGTGACACTGGGATCCCCTCAAGTTGTCGATGTCGAAATAATGACGACATAAAGTCACTTCGTCCGTGCTACAGAAGGCCAAATCTTCTTGGCGCCATCAGACACAAATCGCAATAATGGCTTGAAACCCAAAGCACAAACGATGAATTCAGTTGTATTGAGGCTATCATGGCAACCAGTACTGGTCCAAGAGAAGAGAAATGAGGTGCTGGCGGTCAAGGACTGACTCAAGACATCGTGTCAGCCAGAAAAGCAGCATCTTTGACAGATACTTTTTTTTTTCAAATGACGTTGTGGCTCCCCCGAAATATGTGTCATGTGAACTGTCAGACATGACACCAGGGTAGGTAGTTGTGCCTCGGGTTACAAACCTCCCGCGTTCGAGGCGACCGAGCTCGTCGGTCCCCAGCGAAATCCCGTTACACTATGCACATAATTCTGTCCAGTCCTTGCCCTTGACGAGGCCACTGTCAAGAAACAGCCAAGCACGGCCACGAGACAAGTTTACGAAACTTGTGAGCTTCACAGGCCCTTCTACGCATCCCGAGTTGTCCGAGGCGCCTACGATTGCAAGGCTGAAACTGTGGGGAGCTGGACACCACAGCCCGGTTTTGCGGGGTTGGTACCGTCCGCGGTGCCTCGGTTCCTGTATTTTTATTGCCGAGTTACTGTTCATTAAGGGCACTGCTTCACTGCCGTTGATTCTGGTCCCAAACACTGACATGGGAAGCTGACAGAGATGGCTTCGCAGTTGCGGTACGATAACCAGGTCGCTATCATCACTGGGGCCGGCAATGGCCTAGGGAGGCAATATGCCCATTTTCTCGCCTCACGCGGTGCAAAGGTCGTCGTCAACGATCTCGGTGGCACTTTCAATGGCAAGGATGTCGGTGGCAGAGGCGACTCCAGGGTCGCGGACGTTGTGGTCAAGGAAATTCGAGACGCCGGTGGTATCGCTGTGGCCAACTATGATGCCGTCCAGAACGGTGACAAGATCGTGAAGACGGCGATCGAGGCTTTCGGAAGAGTTGACATCCTCATCAATAACGCCGGCATCCTACGTGATATAACGCTGAGGAACATGAAGACTGAAGATTGGGATAGCATTATGGATGTCCATGTCCATGGCGCTTTCAAGACAGCTCGGGCAGCATGGCCCTATATGCGGAAGCAGAAGTACGGCCGGATCATCAACACATCCTCGTCATCTGGTCTATTCGGAAATTTTGGACAGAGCAATTATGCGGCAGCAAAGATGGCCCTGGTCGGTTTCAGCGAGACATTGGCCAAAGAAGGGGCCAAATACAACATCACCTGCAACGTGCTTGCTCCCGGTGCAGCCAGCAGACTAACACAGACAGTCTGGACCCAAGATATGATGGAAGTGATGAAGCCAGATTGGGTCGTACCGCTCGTGGGTGTCCTGGTCAATGAAAGGTGCCATGAGAGTGGAAGCATCTTTGAGGCGGCCGCCGGCCATTACAGCAAGATCCGGTGGGAGCGCAGCAAAGGATTTCTCGCACGCCCGGAAGATTTGACCGCGGAAATGGTGCTTGAAAACTGGGAGAAAGTTGTGGACTGGACCGGTGCAGAGCACCCAAAAGAGCCTGCCGCCATTTTGCAATTCCTCGAGGATGCGAAAAGCTTGCCAAAAGCCAGTGCCCCAGCTGGCAGCCGGGTAAGTTTTCAAGGGAGAGTGGTCTTGGTGACTGGTGGTGGCGCCGGATTGGGGAGGGCATACAGCCTTCATTTTGCCCAACTGGGCGCAAAGGTCGCGGTCAACGATGTCAAGAACGCCGAGAAAGTCGCCGCTGAAATCAAGGCTCGTGGAGGTGAAGCAATTGCCATACCCTTGTCCGTCGAGGAGGGAGAAGCTATTGTGCGGAAGGTGGTGGATACCTATGGCCGGATTGATGTCGTGATCAACAATGCCGGAATTTTGGGAGACAAGGCCTTCACCAATATGACAGATGAACAGTGGTATTCGGTCATGAACATTCACTTGAGGGGTACCTATCTCGTTACCAGGGCCGCATTTCCAATCATGTTGAAGCAGAGATATGGACGCATCGTCAATATCACCAGCACGAGTGGCATTTATGGGAATTTTGGGCAGGCCAATTATGCAGCTGCGGCAAGTACACCCCAAGTCTTGCATGAGAGCTTGACTACTGACATCGCCTAGAAATGCGGCATCGTTGGATTCACAAAGACCATCGCCCGAGAAGGAGCCAAGTATAATGTTTTGGTCAACTCACTGGCTCCAACAGCAGGGACGAACATGACTCGTACAGTCTGGCCTGAGAAAGATGTCGAGGCCATCAAGCCCGAATACGTCGCGCCTGTCGTTGCCGCCCTGTGCAGTGAGAAAGCCCCAGTGACAGGACAGATTTTTGAATCTGGCTCTGGATGGATTGGAGCCACTCGTTGGCAGAGAGCCAGGGGTGTTGACTTTGACCACGAAAAAGGTGTACCGAGCGTGGAACAGGTTGCGGAAGTAAGTCACTCAGGCTGGACAGACCTTGAGTGATAACCACTGACCATATTTTTAGGCATTCTCGGAGATCTGCAACTTCGACAATGGGAAAGCAGACAATCCAGATACTCCACAAGACGGCAGCAGATACACCATGGGCAACGTGCTGAAGAATCCCAAGATTGTAAGGCGTAGAAGTGTCGAAACCTGTTGTATACTACATACTGACGATATCCCAGGCTGCAGCATTGTCTCAAGAAAACCGCGCCAACCGCAAATATATTGCAAAGATCCAAGAAGCCATAGCGATGAAACCTATCGCCTCGACCTATACCTACGATGACGTAGAGGTCATTCTATACAACCTCTCCATGGGCGCGCACCGCACCGACCTCGATCTTGTTTACGAGGGCTCTCCGAACTTCCAGGTCCTTCCTACGTTCGGCATTGTGCCCACATATGCCGCGACCACACCGTGGAATGTGAAGGACATCGTGCCCAACTACGACCAACGCATGCTCTTGCATGGAGAACAATATCTGGAGATTAAACAGTTCCCCATTCCAACATCAGGCACGCTCAAGACCGAAACAAGCTTGATCGAGGTTGTCGACAAAGGAAATGCGGCCCTTGTGAGAAGAGGTGCCACAACGGTTGACAGTGCAGGCAAACCCGTCTTCTACAATGAAAGTGTAGCCTTCATCCGTGGATCTGGCAACTTCGGGGGTCAACGCAAACCCAGTGATCGTGGCGCCGCCACCGCTATGAATGCCGCTCCATCGCGTGCGCCGGATAAGGTGGTCGAAGAAAGGACATCAGACGATCTCGCTGCGCTTTACCGGCTCCTGGGCGACCGCAACCCGCTTCATATTGACCCGAAATTCTCCGCCGCCGGGGGCTTCAAAGTTCCTATCCTCCATGGTCTGGCAACCTTCGGAATCACCGGCAAGCATGTATTCCAGGCCTACGGACCCTTCAAGAACATTAAGGTGAGATTCAGCGGGACGGTTTTACCGGGCCAGACAATTGTGACGGAAATGTGGAAGGAAGGAGGAAAGATCCTCTACCAAGCGAAAGTCAAGGAGACGGGGAAACCTTGCATCAGCAACGCAGGAGTGGAGTTGTTGCAAAAAAGCTCAAAATTGTAATGCTTGGGGTGATGCTGTAGTACCCTGATATCTCTCGAGATCATATACTTATACGGAAAGTAGCTACCAGGTTCTTTTTGAAGACACTCAGAGACAGGACTGCACTTAGCCTGTCTGATTTGTTCCACACGGTTCACCGAAGGTTGATACTCTTGATCATCTCATATGTAGACATATTGAGCAGAGGTTGGGGCTATAGATCTCTTTGCCCAAATCCCATAGTTCCGAATGCGGTACGATACCGTTGCTGCTAGCCTCAAACCGGAAGGGCTGCCAACAAAGCCCGTCCGTTTCGAGAAGCACGTTTGTGCGGTCCGCTGCGGGTCCACACCAGGCCTCCGACGTTACGGTAGTGAAAGACCCCTGATACAAGGCTGCAATCAGGACCGGTCGAAGCATGCAGCACGCAGTCGAAACGACCCGCAGAGGACCCTAGCGGATTGGGCAGGAGACAAAGCCTCCGTGGCAAACCATCGTAGGAATTAAACCATGGGGCTTGGTCAAAGTCATACCATTTCTGGGGTAAATTGAGTGCCAGCATCGAGATAGCAGTATGTATTTTAATCGTATACTTTAACTATGAACACATTCTGTGCTTTTCTCACGTGGCTCGCCAAACCCAGACCTCAGGGCGCGTCTGCCACTGCTTGCAATATATATCAATTTTGCTTGCATGAGGCTCATTCCGTTGCATCTTTTCCCCTTTGGTATCATCCTCACCAGTTCCTGGATATTCCGAGCCTCATCATGCCTCAAAGTCCAAACAGCATCGGGGGTATACCGTAGTCCATCATCACACGTTTCTCGTCACTGTACAACCTTTTCAAACGGCTCGCACTCCCGAGAATGACCAGCCATTGTAAGAACACAATTGTCGCGCACAATCAACCGACCCACACTGATTCGCCCAGAAGTTCAAGCTTCCACCTCATGAAATTCAAATTCATCATCCACCGGGATAGTAATGCCTCGGTATGTCTCTGGGAGCTCTAGACTGTCGCCTGTCACCGTTGAGCCATTGTGACTCCCTGCAGTGCTGAACAGGAAATCGTCGCCGCTTGTCAATGATTCCTCCGAAAAGCTGAGTAGGCTTTGAGGTACGGGTGCCTTCGTCGCAAGGTCCATACCCGAGAGGTGCCATGCATCTGGTGTCCATTCGTTGCTGGGTATCTGGTAGAGCGAGTGGCTACTGGCTTGCAGGTCCTGGTAGAGGGCCGCATTATTGTGGTCGAAACCGTCCAGCAGAGTTTCCCAGCCAGAATCGGGAAGGGCGGGTGCTGGCTGTTTCTTCGGAGGCAGCATCGTGCTCGACGATGTCCTGGTTTGCGAGTCGCCAAACTCATCACCGAGCGGCAGGTAGTCTAAATTGATGGCGGGCGTGCCCAGAGGGCCCGATGCAGTAACTTGGTGGGGCGAGGAAGTGGCCACTGGCAAGATCGGCGCTGATCGAGTGGAGGACAGGCTGACAGTGCTAGCTGCTCGATTGACAGGACTAAGGGAAATCGGTCCAGTCTGGGGGACAGTCGCACGTCGACTTGGATCTTCGGGCTTTCCTTTGTTGCTGAATGAAGACCATCGTGAGGCAATGGCTTGGAGTTGCTTCCGAGTAGATTTTGACTTCGACTCGGTTGGAGCTGGCATTGTACCGGTAGCTTTTTGAGCGCCAGCAGTAGACTGTTCTGCATTGTGCAGCGATGCTGGTCGTGTGTCTAGGGCAATAAAACAGGTGGCAATTTTCTGAAATTCCGCAGCAGCAGGCGCATTCTCTGAATGTAGCATGCCCACAAGCATTGCCAAAGACTTTTGATTGTCTCTGGCAAGCTTACTGTCATCTTCCAAATCAAGAGATTGCCAGAGTATCGCCAATCCTGAGTTCAACAGTATGTCGGCCTTGTTCAGTGGGAAAGTATAGTTCATGCGGCGCTCTAAAAGAAGATCAAGGATTTGGAGAACGTGTTTGCCTGCGGCTGCCAAAACAATACCAGCAGCCGAGGAGGCGCTTCCAGACGCGTGACAGAGTAGTGGTCGGTGGATCAAGCTTCTCGTGAAGAAGTAGGCAAGGGACTATAGAAAGAATCAGGAATTCCGCTCAGTAAGAGGGAGGGCAACACATACCAGCAGCGGCGATCTGCAGCCTATCAGATTCGTCGCAGGCTTGTCATTACAGAATCGCAAGCGGAGGTGCTCGGGAAGTTCTTCTGACCACTGGTCAAGCTCGTCGGAGAGCGCGTGAAGTTTGGTCAACGAGAGCTGATAGCTTGCTTTGGCAGGATACAGAGTGTCTAGGGCTTTGGACAGAATTCTGGAAACGCGGAACAACGCAAGTGCGCTCGATATCTTTGTCAATTCACCAGGAAGGGTAGGAGAGAAACCCTGAGTGCTTAGGTTCTCGTCGTCGACGTCAGCTGGGTATTCTGTGGTGATGTCACTATCGCGGAGAAGTACTGGCGTGCCAGTGGCAGCGGATATGAACCTGGAGGTGGGTGTCAGTCGTCTGATGCTTACTCAACGGATTTGCAGGGATGTTGAAGTTGGCAGCTTACTTGTCGAGAACATATTGGCACCAAAACACCTTCTTTCTGGTCTCAGCCTCGAGAGGAGACAAGCTCTGGTACTTGTGTCCTTGATGAAGCTCAAGCTCGTGGCACATTGTGATTGCGATGCCGCGATGCCGCGCTAGATGTGTGTAGTCGGCACGCAGCATGTAGCAGATCTGGGCTAGCACGTGGCATTGGAGTGTTGGTAGAGAAGCATTCGAAGAAGTTGAGTAAAGAGCCTTGCGCCACTGTCCCTCGTAAGACGGAGTATTCTTCTTCGGGGTGGAGATATTGGATAGGGCCGCAATCTCGAAGATTAGGAATAGTTGGGCGTATGCTTGCTTGTTACTCTGCCAGTTGCCTGATTCAGGATTGGCTAGGTACTGCTCATAAACACGGAGGAAGGTTGGTCGATGGAGAATTGGCAACAACGGTTGCCACTCTTGAAAGAAAAGGTCTGCATATGTGAGCATGATGCGCGAAATAGAAAATGGGATTGTGGAATGACATACTTATATACTGATCAGAATGGATCCTGGGAGGCACTTTGGGGCCGGGGGCTGCGGATCGACGAGTAGGCTGAATGGCTTTTTGTAGGCCCGACGATGATATGCCAGTGGTTTGTCGGCCAGCTTCTTGGACTTTCTGATCAAACGCCTCGATGAAAGAAGGCGTGGTCGAGGAACCAGTCGAGGTGGCCTTGGGCTGCACGGGTGCAGGGATTTCAACATGCAGCACTTCTTCCCTAGCCGATTCAACTTCGGCCTTCACCTGTGCTGCATGTGACGGCGACAAGGAGGCCGAACATTTTCGCGAGGGAGGAGAGAAACTGTGAATGCGAGACAGCATATCGATCTTCTCGTCCTTCTCGTCCAAGAGCTCCTTGAGCTCTCTAACCTCGGCCTCGAGGCCACGAACGCGATCTTCCAATGATTCTGTATAGCCTCGCGGAAAAGCCCGGCGACTCAGCTTGTCGCTGGTCTTGCACTCGAAGCCGACATTGGCACATTGAGTACAGCATGGTCTGACGCCGTCGCACCGTATCTTCTTACTGCGGCATCGGTCACAAGCTTGCGCAATCCTGCTCTGGGTACTGCTCCCCACTCGAATCATCTTCATCGGCAAGATGCCGGGCATCGTGGCAGGTTATATTGGGTCGGCGACCGACGTATCCAGTCTCGCAGCGGCATATACTGTACAATGTACCAGGCAGTTCGGTCGGCAAGGTGTTGAACAGGACAGATTGTCTTCAGGTAGGTTGGGTTGGTAAAGGTCCAGAGCTGGCGAGAGTGTTGAGGGTCGAATGCAGGAGAGGGAAAAGGCACAGGGGGCAAGAGAGTGATTATGACATGTCAATCCCGGTGACAGAAGAGAGCAGATGGAAGTGTGTTCGAAAATCCTCAGGGCTAGAAGATCGGCAATTGGCTAAGTTGTGTGGGATGAGGGACGGACCAGGGTCGACCAAGCTGCAGGGAGGGTAGGATCTGGTGTTCTGGGGGTAAGGGTGGTCTGAACGAAGTTTTCCTTTTCGTGTTCGTGTCGTCGAAGAGAAGCTCGTCGTGTCTGTATGGATGGTGAGAGGAATTCGTTCCGACACAGTGTCGATGGCTTGGGGACTAGACTGGGGTGCACGTCGGGGCATGGAGCGAGGAAAGAACAGCGCGGGGTTTGAAGGTTTTGTTGAGACCCCGAGCTTCAGCCCCGACCACCGGGGCTAAGAGGGGCTAGGTGCCCTCCTGGGCGACCCCTACAGGGGCTAGTCTGCAAGGTCCAGCACCGGCTGTCCCGTCGACCTGGCCATCCGTGGGCTCAACCCCAAACGACTGGTGCATCTACTTTCGTGATCATCCAGCTTGATTATTACATCAAGTCAAAGCTCTCTTTCTTCTCTCCTCGAAGCCTATTCCACCCTTCCTTTTCCCGGCCCCGTTCCATTTCCCCGCAACTTCAGACTGGCAGCGACAAGGTCAGGAGCAAGATCGGCAGAAGGGCAAAGCACTCAGAAATAGCGTTTTCGAATCGACCTTTCCGACGCAGTACAGTAAGATGACTTGGTAGCCAATCAAAGCAATGGGTCGCCGCGACTTCCATCCACCCGAGCAACGTCCGCCCACATCGGTGCCTTTTTCTCAACATCATGCGATCGACTTCAACCACTAAAAACTTATCTCGAACTTGGGTCGAATCGAGCTATCGGCGCTCCTGTCTCGTTCGCTTCCACATCCCCAGTCTTGCTGTTGGCTTAAGCGGAACCGCTCGAGCGTCTCCCCTCCTCCATCATGCAACGCAGAAAATGTGGCAATGACAATGATGCTCGGATTACAAGTACATATGTGGTCACAGTGCTTCTGCCATGGAGCATATCTGCATGTCCTTTTTCTTGATTCCTTCGGCAGAGAGCCTTCATCTCAGCTCAAATTGCCTTTTGACGGTGCTGCCACAGCTCGTGCAGTCGGCCCAAGGACGAACGGAAAACTGCGGGAAAACCCCAGATTGCCACATTTCCGACGAATCGCTGTGGTCCGCTTCCTTCAAGAGACAAAGAGGGGCCCCCGTTAGCTTTGTTTAGAAAGTATGAAGCCACAATTAGGTTGCGTCAGTCCACTCTGGTGCAGAACTGCCTCGACCTTGGTACTGTGATTTGACAGCTCACACCACTCGAGCATGCACTTCCGAGCTGATCCGCTTTGATCTGGAAGACTGGATAAGTCTTCCTCTGGTTGGAATCTCGCGCCCATGACAGCGAGTTCCCCTCATGAAAAGTCGTCTGGGGTTCCATCTAGAAACTCCGTGCCGCCGTCGCCTTGTCTCAAATAGTCACGGACGACGGTAGATTCGAGGAGCTGTACCTTCTATAAAGAACTTAGGATACAAGCTAGTCATATGCGTGGCGTGGAGAACAACATACCTCTGCTTCCAGGGTCTCATACGCCCTGGTCAGGAGCTCCATCTCCAGCTTCCGAAGATTCCCGATGGCCCCAAATACCGAATCTCTAACTTGGTCGCTGCGAAGAGCGTTATATGACGCTTCACTTTCAGCGAGGCGTGATCCTTGCTCTTCGATCCTTCCTTGGATCGAGACGACCGCTCGCAGGACGAATACGTCTCGCAGGCGATCTGCAAGTAAGATCGACTGCAATAATGTGTCTGTGGTAAGCGCATGGTCTTTCCATGCGGCCTTCAGCTCCGTATCTCCGTCGATAGTCTGCTCCACTCGAAAATCTAGACCGTCCTCCTCGTTGATGCATGCCCACCAGACAAAGGGACTGTCCCAGCGGACTTGATTTGAGTCGTCCACATAGATGCGGACCCCTGGCGCGTCTTGCGCGAACCGCATCTTGGCCAGTCGCAAAGGGTCGTCGGATGGGATTGACAAAGTCAGGAATATCTCTCTGGCAGTGCTCGCGTGCTCCTCCAGAAACCCGTATGAAAATAGCATCTCACATGCACCGCCGCAGCCGTACATTATGGTAATCTCATCTCCTGTGTGGATAATCCGGTCGTCTCGTACGACGAGCGATACGGATCCTGAGTAATTCTCCACCTCGAATCTGGCATTGTAATGGTCGTCTGAGGCATGGTTGGCCATGTCAACGATAGGGACCATGCCAACGCCCACGCCGTGAGGCAGCTCCAATGCACGGGAGCGATACATTGCATCTGCCAGTTTCCAGTCTTCGAAGCTCAGGCAATCTGCCCCTTCACTCCACCAAATCTCTTGGCACCAGGGGATCTTTGCAGTTGCAGCTCTTAACTTGTCGAATTCCCGTTCCAAACTGATCAACTTTTGATCAAGGGCTTCTGAGAGAGATGTCCCTATAAGTAGTTCCCTTTCTTCGGGCGTGTAGAACGTCGGCAGTAGGATTGCGTGCGGCAGCATTTTGACGTAGCCCGCAAAGGGGTTGTCGAATCCCAGTCCACGGCCGCGAGAGCTAGGGTTGTTGATTGTCATCTGGTAGACGAGAAACAGCAGCACTGCCGTCCGGGGACTCTGGAGATTGCGTTCGAGGAGTCAGTGTGCTGCAAAGTTGACCTACCTGGTGGAGGCGTCAGACACACCATTGTCTGGGACCTACCTGAGCTAGAGGGGCCGCTGCCTCCAGGAGCTCCTGTAAGCTCTGATCTGCTTTCGCATAACCCTCAACTCGCTCTTTCGAGAGAACCAGGTCGTGAGGGACCGCAACGAGAGGCGTTCCTGGACCGTGTTCGCCCTTTGCGAGGAGACCACCGCCTTTGTCATTACCATCCTCTCTGATAACGTGCGGCTCAATCAAGGTGTCGAAAAGCTGCACGTTGTTGAAATGAGCCCACACGTGCAAATCATCCAGTGGCAGAGACACCTGCCTCATGTTCTAATCTTAGAGATACTGGGAGACCGAGATTTGCTGTCGAGTTGTGCTGTTATTGAACGTCGAAACACAGATCTAACCCGCCTCGCCGTCTTCGTTGTCGTCGGGAGATGCCGGAGGCGGAGAAGCTTGCATGGCTTGGCATACTGCAGAGCATAGCGGTCTTGGGCGCAGCCTTCGAGAACTTCCGGATCCGAGTTTTTCTCTTTCTTCCACTCCGGTACCGGTCTACATCCTCCCGAACGATTCGACCAGACTTCCAAAGTTGGATCATGCTATAACGAACTTTGTTGACCCCGCTAACCCCGACTGGAGGAAGAGGATGTCGATCTGCCCATGTTTGTCTATTGTCTGCTACAAGTACCTATTCCTCCTGACGTCAAACTAACTTGGTCACCATCCTCTTGGTTGTCCATGATGACGACTAGCCTGCCTCTATGGAAATCCATCTCTGATCTTTTCGAGGCCTAGAGTGTGGTGGACGTAATCGTGTCCTATGGGGTTGGTAACTGGTGCCACCTGAATTTTCAACCTCAAACTGCTGCCACTGGACGAGTAGACGTGCATGTCTTAGTCGGCTTCCACATTCAAGACGAAAGTCTAATTGAGAACAGTGCACGCAAAAGAAAAGACTTCTACACGAATCATTTTCCTGTGATTTTGGAGAAACTGGGGGATCAACACACCCTAGTCCTGAGCCGGCTTCCCCATCTTTCCGGTGTTGAAGAAAACTTGGGTTTGCGTCAGCTGGGAGACAACTTACAGATGCTTGCGTTAGAGTCCCTGCCTTTGTCCAGCATACTTGAAGGATTCTCTCCACCCCTGTACCGGTGACCACCAGTGAGTAACAGCAAGTTCCCTGACAGAATTCCTCACCGCTGGGGAGCTACATATGCATCTCTCCGTGCCGGTCCCCGCTTCTCCGGCAATCCTGTCGCTGCTAAATATGAACGTCTGCGAAAACTGACCTCTCATGCGGTTTGGTCCTAGCTCATGGAATAGGTGCCAGATACTGATAGAGACAGGGGTGACGGTAAGTCGAGAGGGGCGACAGCCTCGTCAAGAATGAATGAGGAAGGTCTCCCGAGCATCATCAGCCTCGTGACCCCCGCATTTTCTGGACACAGAAATTAGACTGTCGTCCTTCTTTATATCTCACACATTGCTTGACAAAGACTACCGCCACGCTCTTATTGTATTTGCTCGCATAAGACGTGGAAAACATCGACTTCAAGACGACTGCTTTTCGGTATACTCTCGGTTGATGTGTGTTTGGGGTTGTCAGCAGTCGTCTGTTCAAGAAGATGCAGTTGGTAAATGACGATGAAGGAAGCTGCTCGATGGAGAGAACTAACGTCATACCATCCCAAGATGGCATTCATTCGACTCCAGATTGGTGTAATCAGAAAATCTTCCAACGCAATCGTCTGCCCCCTCGCTCCTACTACATTCCGGACACGTCCGTCTGTTTGAATGGCAAATGGTGTTTCAATTACTCCCAAAGCCCCGAACAGGCGCCCGACTGTAAGACATTCAGCTCTTGGTCTCCTTCTGATCTGAAGAGCAAGGAAATTGCCTGGGCACTCATCGATGTCCCGGGCCATTGGCAATTGCAGGGTTATGGCAGACCTCATTACACAAACATCGTTTATCCCTTCCCTGTCTGTCCACCTGAAACGCCAACGGAGAACCCCACTGGGACTTACTATCGAAATTTCGATCTCCCCCCTGCATTCGACGAAAACAAGCAGCTGAGATTGAGGTTTGACGGGGTCGACAGTGCATTCTATCTGTGGCTGAATGGCGTGGAGATCGGCTATTCCCAGGGGAGCAGGAACCCGGCAGAGTTCGACGTCACGAAGCACGTAGTAAGGGGCAAGCCCAACCGCATCCTGGTCAAAGTACTTCAGTGGTGCTCCGGAAGTTACATCGAAGATCAAGACCAATGGTGGCTTTCTGGTATCTTTCGCGATGTGCAACTAATAGCGCTTCCCGTTCGGACGCGAATCGAGGATTTCTTCATCAGGACGCAGCTTGACGAAAAGTACGAGGACGCGATACTGAATACCGATCTCGACGTGGTGTTGGGTGACGACTGCTGCCTATCGATAACCCTCAGGGATGCCGAGGGTAGAATCGTCCAGGCTGAGCGTATTTCGCTTTCGTTGAAATCTACCAAATGCTCTCACTCGATCAAAATCCCAAATCCACGCAAATGGACCGCAGAGACACCTTATCTATACAATCTAGAGTTTTGTCTTTTCTCGGTCAAGCGAGATACTCCTCCAGTTCATTCCATCCGCCACGCTGTCGGGTTTCGCTCAGTTGAGCTCAAGAATGGCAACATCTGCGTTAACGGGAAGGCCATTACGTTCCACGGCACAAACCGCCATGACAACCACCCAACCCTCGGCCGTGCAGTATCACTCGACTGGGTGCGTCATGACCTCCTGCTCATGAAGAAGCATAATATCAATGCAGTGCGCTGTTCCCACTACCCCTCTCATCCGAGCCTTCATGGTCTCTGTGATGAGCTCGGCTTGTGGGTCATTGACGAAGCAGATCTCGAATGCCACGGTTTTGCTACTGCTGCCGCTTTAGAGCTCAACTGTGACGGCCTAAGCCACGAAGAAGAGGCAAAACGTACATCCACAGATTCCGCAGATTACACGTCCGACAACGCAGAGTGGGAGTCCGCGTATCTCGACCGCGCACATCAATTGGTTGAACGGGACAAGAACCATCCAAGCGTCATCATCTGGTCGTTGGGCAATGAGTCGTTCTATGGTCGCAACCATGCTGCCATGTCTAGGTGGATCAAAGAACGCGATCCCAGCCGCCTCATCCATTACGAGCCCGACTGGCAAGCTAAGTCGACCGACATGATTTCACACATGTACACGTCTCCTGCAGACTTAAAGAGAGAGGCCGAGTCTGAAGGCGACGATTTCGAGAAACCGATCATCCTCTGTGAATACGCTCATGCAATGGGCAACGGCCCCGGGCTTTTGGAAACCTACCGGACCCTCTTCCGCTCCCACAGACGACTCCAAGGCGGATTCATCTGGGAGTGGGCGAACCATGGGCTCTGGAAAGAAGATTCCGACGGCAGAAAGTACTATGCTTATGGTGGCGATTTCGGGGACGTACCGAACGATGGCACTTTTGTCATGGACGGGCTATGCCACAGTAACCACACCCCCACGCGCGGCTTAGTAGAACTGAGAAAGATATACGAACCAATCGATGCCGAGCTCAACGGGAAATATCTTGTTGTGCAGAATCATTATGATTTCATAGGATTGGAACATATTAGGGCGGAGTACGAAGTACAAGTTTACGGCCAAAGGTTTGTCAAATCTCGCCTCCATTTCAATTGGGGAATGGAGTAGTTGACGCATGCGTGAACAGGTCTGAACTTGTTGCTGCCGGAGTCCTGGCGATTCCTCCAGTTCCGCCGGGGTCGCAAAGAAGAGTCCAGCTGCCCGAAGATGTCCTCAAACACAAGGTTTCCCGCGAATGCTGCCTCAGGATTGCCTTTCGGTTGAAAAAGGACACACGATGGGCAAGGGCCGGCCATGTGATAGCCTGGTATCAGACTCAACTAGCTACGGCCCCTCAAACTGCTATGCCACCTCTCGCCAGCATATTTTCCTCCAAGCACGGAAGCAGCTCGGCGACACCTATACCTCCTCCGTCATCCACCGATTCATTGCTCAGGTTCTCTGCGACCAGCCTGAAATACAAAATCTCCACCTCCTCGACTACCATCACATTCGATCGAGTCCGCGGCCAAATATCCTCATTCGCCCACAACTCCAGCCAGCTCTTGTCCGACACGCGCGTTGAGAGCCACAACCTGGCATCTCCCTCCCCTTTGTTCGCTCTGGATTTTTGGCGACCGCCCACGGACAATGACATCGCATGGCAGACTGGCGAATGGAAAAGGTACGGGCTGCACATGATGACAAGTCGATTGAAGAGTTTCAAAGCGAGCGTGCGTTCGGATTGGGCTTCCTCGACACAGAACCATACAGATTCGGCGGACAGGACCGTGGAAGTCGCGGTGGTGACTTTGACGGCCGAGCATGCTCTTGCTCCGCCCAGTCTGGCCTGGCATTTCGATGCTGTGACTACCTACACCATCACAGCCACTTCCATCGCTAGCTCCAGCAGCGACAACCCCAACAGCGGCTCTGCCCAAGGTGGGGAGTCTCGGCTAACGATACAAATCCACACGCGCCTTATACCGTATGGCTCGCACCCGCGCAACCTCCCCCGAGTCGGGCATTCCATTCAACTTGCTCCTCAGTACAGGTATGTCAGATGGTTCGGTCGCGGGCCGTCGGAATCGTACAACGACAAATATCTCTCACAGCAGGTGGGGATCTGGGAACGCGAGATTGACGACATGGAGGAACACTACGAGGTGCCACAAGAGAATGGAAATCGATGCGATGTTCAATGGTGCACGGTCTCAGCGTCTGCTTCAGAGGATGCCATTTTTACCACAGCTGTGGGAGATGACAATGACGAGGGTCGCAGTGAGGATGTCGCTAACGGAATAACGAAACATGTTCCAGCGGGCGACATCCCCGCCCTGCGCGCGACGTATCTCTCAGGCACGTCCGAAGGAGATCGACCACACATGCAGTTTTCTACTCAGCTCTACGACGCGGTTACGGTCGAGACTGCCAAGCACCCATGCGACCTGCTAGAGCCGGGGAAGAGAAGGCAGGGAGTCCTATGGCGGCTCGATGCAGACGTCGCAGGAGTAGGGACAGCAGCATGTGGGCCCAGCACGGAGGAGAAAGATCAGGTGCTCTGCCGGGAACGGGAGTGGACTTTGATTCTGCAGGTTTTGTGACAGTAACCTAAGAGATGGCTCTATTGACGCGGAGGGAGGAAGTACCGCCGTCATTATTGGTCGTTGGTGGGATCTTCTCCTTGCACAGAGGAGTGGAACAGAAAGAGTCAGATGTTGACAGCATAATACCCCAAGAAGGGGTGCAATGTCCGACAATGATCACTGTATAACCTCTAGATTCGAATACTGGACAGGACTGGAGCTCATACGAGTGGATAAACGACCACCGCGTAGTAAAGTGATCTGGAAAGGTGGGGACAGATCGTCTCAAGGTAAAATTGAGAAGCCAATACAGATCAGCGAACATTGAGGGACCGCCGTCGAAAATAATGGAACTAGTGCAACAACATCAAACGGCTTCGGGGATGGAGACCTCCTGGGCACAATAACAAAGGCAGAGAAAACTTGACACGCTCGCGTGGTGTAATAGGACGCGATACATGTACCACGTGTAGCTGGCTGCGAGCATGATGTCCCTTCTACTGATATTGTACACCATTGCCATGTCTAGACGAGCATGTTGGATAATACAACACAGGAGACATGCGCCCAAGAGAAAGCGTATTCCAACCCGAATGTTTCACATCAGGCCGACCTGCTCTTCAATGCATCCTCTTCATGCGCATGCTTGGCCCAGACTCGCGGAAGGAGTGGAATGATACCGCAGCTGATCAAGATTTTGGCCAGACGTGACCTCGAAGGGTGGTCGTGACCTGAGTCGGTTAAAGAAAAGACCAAATATCCTGGCAACTGGTTCCACTGTCTTTGATTCCACGGGAGTCTATGCTTTGCTTGCCTGGCACAAGATGAGTCGACGTCAGACAACCACACTTCGTTCTCATTGATCTTCTTTCTGTTCCATATCCAGCGGAAGTCGTATCTTGCAGACGGAGGCGAAGCCGACCACAGTCGACAAATTTCCACGCCACAAGACACCCATCCCGGAGTATACATATTGCTGTAGTACGTTCCGCTCAATATGCCCTCGAGATCTGCTCTTGCTTCTTCTGATATACCAAGTATCCAACAAGACGGCTTCGACCACTGTAGATCCTGAAGGTTCCACCACGCTCTAAACAAGAATGAAAAATGCGCAAGGAAAACCAGACGTCAACGCCGGGTATGATATGCGATGTGAAAGCAGGAAGATCCGTAACATGTACAGGGAGATATTGCTTCGGTGATTTGCTTAATTGGAGATGACATAGGTTGCTGTACCCGATATGACGGAGACCTAAATCGAAGTTAGCCCTGGACAACATCCAGAAAGGATTGGAAAGTCAACTTACAGTGCAGCCTTGTGAATTGCATCCTGTAGCACCACAGTATTGACCGTTTGAGTATTTACAAGTTCCGGACAAATTGCCCTGCAACTCAACCGTGCCTTGATATTGGGCATTGGTCGTTGGGGAATTTTGGAAGATCGAGAGCCAAGTTACACCTCCTTTGGCACCCACGCCAAAGTTGATAGGGGCATAGTTGCCCAGGTTCTGACCAGGTGAACCCCATTGGCAGCCCTGAGCGGCAGACACTCCGATAGGATTCAGATAATACTGGGCAGACGTTGATTGTCCTTGCCATTCGTAGTAGGTAGCGGCATCGGGAACGGTCAATGGCTCTGTCTCGCCAGGCTGAAGCTCGACTGGGATTGTTTCGGACTCAGTCCCAGGATAATCGGTACGGCAGATAGCAACAACGCCGCTCGCATCGTTAGTAGCTTGGACGCCACCAACGCCAGGAATGCAAAGGTTGTTCGAGAGACCCGGGTTTGTCAGATGGAGCTTGCCGCCTGAGCAGGAGAGGCCGCCAACGGACTGGCCGGTAGCACCTTGTGTGGAAGGCCACTGGGATTTCTGATAGCCAGGGGGGCATGCATAGGAACACATCATGCCCTCCGAGCAAGACTGGCCCGATACACCCGTCACGATGTGGTTGACGAGGCCACCCGCAATAGAGACCGCCTGCAAACCAGCCCAGCCACCCATTCCGAGGTAGTCGAGAGGGACCGCGCCATACTGGGAGGGGAAAGTGCCGCAATCAAGTTGACCGTCGGGAAATGCAGAGGTAACACCGCTGCCGCCAGAAGGGGCGGTGGAATATTGAGCAGGAGCAGAGCTAGAACTAGCAGATCCGCTTGGGCTGGACCAAGCTGGAGAAGATGGTTTTTGGAAGAACTCGGCCGGGGGAGAGGAAGAGACCGGTGGCGACGTGGTAGTGGTGGTCGAGGGGGTTGTACTGGATTCTGTTGAAGTTGACGAAGACCAGCTGCTAGACGTAGTCGAAGCCTGGGAGCAAACGCCAGGATCCTGACCATCCACAAACTTCAATTCATGATCCTCCAGGCCATCGCACACTTCTCCGGGCGAGAGTTCCTGTCCGTTGAGCATATAAACATAAGCAGTCGGGCCCGCTGTCCAAGCGGTCTCGGTGACATCGCGCTCTTTGTGCTCATGCAAGTGTCGATGTTTGTGGACGTGGGGTTGGGCGAGCGTGGTCGAGGCAGCGACTGCCGTCAAGGCAATCGACGAGAATCTCATGTCGACTGCGGTGAGATTCTCCAAATGAGTGTACGCGGCAGTCTTTCAAAGACTGGCTATGGGAGAAAGATTGTTGAAGAGTGAGTGTATAGGTTATGTGGGACTGCAGAAGATGAAGCCAGTCGAATCTGTATGGACGCACGACCCGCGTATTAGTTCTTTGTCTGACTCTAATATTTGCAGAGAATAAATATCCTCGTGAAAGAGGCAAACAAGGCAAGGGGGGGGTGTTCGAGGCCGTTCGCAGGGTCAGGAGGGCGTACAAAGCCAGAGACTCATATGATCAGTGCTGGAATGTTGGACGCGGAGGCTCGAGTGCTTTCTGGGAATTCTCGGCGCGAGGGATCGACGAAGGGAAGGAGGCTGGCGTTTAGGTCGAGGTGGATTTGTACAAAAGGAGTGAACGAGAGAAAAGTCTCTCTGTAAAGAACGTGAGCCAACTGAGGGCGGCGGAGGGAAGAGTATAAACAGAGGACAAAAGATGGACGGCGGTGGTGGTGAGCAAGAGTGAAATGCAGTGTTCAGTTTGGTCTGAAATGGAACGAGCTGGTTATGCAGGTTGGGAAAGAAGAGGGAAAGGGGAGACGACAGAGGCAATTCTGGGCGCCAGGATCTCTTTGGGGGTGATTCCTTTGTGTCTGGGGGTGGCCCAGTTGGCGCTCAGGAACAGGTAAAGCCTGGAGTGCACCCCTGCACCCGTCCATTGGCGCCCCTGCGGTTCAAGGGCCTGCGCCGCACCACAAAGAAATTGCAACTCCACTGGGAGCGCCATCGATCGTCCGCTAACAAAGCTAGCTTGGGATCCAAAGTTATTTTGTCCCATGTTCCAGCTCCCTGCCCTTTTGTCATTGGCTTGGGACCTTGGCTCAAACAAACGAATGCGAGGACAAAGCAGCGACCGTCCAGAGACCAACAACAGTCGCCTACGAACCGTTGGTGCTGGCCTTGGTTTTCAAACGTGGACACTCTGATGAAGCGAGAGTGCTGATAAGGGTATCTTGGAATCAAGGGAAAATAGAGCTTGATTGCGGAGGTGACTAGGAAGCTAATCATTTCCTCAGAGACATTGCTAAGCTCCTCTGCATCCCAAAATCAAGCCAGACCGAGATAAAGGCCACGCAACCTCTACGCATGCACTCTGCTCGCTTACCAGATCCCAAATTACCCACCCGCACACAACAAGAAAATAGCTGAGTGCAGCAAGCAGCAGTACACCTCACTACCTACAGTTTGAGGACTTTAATCGGCACCAGGAGGGGGAGCACAAAATACAAAGAGCGTGGTTGCTCATACACTTACGGAGTACGGGGCCGTCTTGGGGAGTGAAACAACAAACCGATACTTTTGGGTTGGCCCGGGACCCATTCCGTGTACCTATGTAAGTACCTGAGTCCACGACAGAGTCCCATTTCTCTTGCCAGTATTTGATACATCTTCTCCCTTCTGCATCGCAACAGAACTCGTACCGCGTGGTCTTCAAGCTGGGATGAAGAGACCCGCAGAATGGGGCCATGGACATGGGAGGCTCGCTGGTCCATTCTACTACTACTTGTACAGACTCTGATCCCGAGCAGGTCCAATTGAGGGTTGCTGCTTCGTCAATAAGACATCCCCTTGTGTCAGACTTGGGTACTATTGATCGAGCTGTGCTACCCTGCAACCAAAAAGCCACTTTCTTTCGAGACTGAAGCGATACAGCGACCTCTCGCCAAAACCAAGAAAAACCAATAATTGATGTATGTTCCCAGAAGTCAGCAGCTGATTGTTGGCGGTTGACCGCGAGTCTGGCAGCGGACGCAATGCAACCTCCCTTCTCCACACTGGATCTTTTCGAAGAGAACGAGTATGATTGGAGTGGAGCGGAATGACACGTTATCCCGGCTTGCGAAAGAGCGTGCTTGGTGCTACGAAAGAGGATGATGATCAGCATATACGTGCAACCTCTTAGAGCTCAAACAGTCGCCGCCGTTGTCAGGTTCAGGGATATACGCCGTATAGAGGAAGCACCACGCCACGATGACAACGGTCTCGAGTTCTTGCAGAGTCCCCAAGCCACCGCCCGTTTGCATCGTGGCTTTCGCCGCCAAGTGTTTTCTTTTCTGGAACCAGTGGGGAGAAGTAGGTACGTACTACGGGGTACCCTGAGAATGTACCCTGAGAAGGTACCCTGAGAAGTGTGTGGGTCTCTCAAGGTCAAACAGCGACGACGGGTGCCTCAAGACCTGATCTGAGCGAGCTGATTGGCGGCCTCTACTAAATTAAGCAAAGATTTGACGTCGCCGGCCCTTATCGATTGTCACCCAACCACAACCGCAGAGTTGGCACAACCTTATCAAGCGCCTCTGGAAAGCCTCCAAAACGCCATGTTGCTTGTTTGTTTCACCCTCTCGGACTTGTTTGCTCCTGCAATCTTGGAACGCGCATGCAAGCACTTTAGCCTTTTTTTTGTTGGATCCTCGCAAGTGCGTATTCGCGCACGAGCAACGCCAGCACGGAGACCTAGACACGAAAAAGATGGTGGCTGGGCACTGGAAATGACCACGAAAGCCAAGATCTCAAGCGAGGAATCGAGATGACTTGCAGCTGCACAACTGAGAAATCTTCCGAGCCACACGGGCTTGCTCGCCTACGACGCCTCTTCTCTGGGCTGGCTGAGGGCTGACAGCCGATCTCTGTCATCCTGGCTAGATATCCCCGTGCTTTTGAGCACCGATTGTTGTCCCGTAAGAGACATACCTGTGCAATGGTTAAGGCACTGGAATAGAGGGGTTTATCTCAATATGAGAAACTCCACTTCTTACCTACCGTACTCACGGGCTCGGTGCTTCATTGTGGGAAGGGAATGCATCAAGGCTACCATCGCCAGGGAGTATACCAAGTACTGACTTTTTATGATTTGACATCTCGTATTACGCGATTTTGAAGACACGCGACAGCTTGTCGGACCGACACGGACTGCTGTTGCTGCGCTGGACACCGTCGCGTTCCATCCCTTTTCGCTTTCAAGTGCCAACGCCTCAAAACTCCTTTAAGCCGCGCAGGGGCATAAAGTTGAGCCACCCTGGCTGGGTCTCCCCATTCAGGAAGTAATACCAATATTTCACCCATTGATCCGAACAAGATTGGCAACTCCGGCGCTCATTGCGGTCTCACACCCAACAACCTGCCGTGTTGCGCCAGTCCACGCAAACACCAAAATAGGTATGTCGCATCATCGATGCTGTCCCGCCCTTATGGTACATGACTTGACATGATATTACTTTTTCTTCTCATAACTAGTCGAGGATATAGCGAGCACCACGACAAAGCTCGCGATAATAAGGGATCCCGTAATAAACGACACGGTGAAGATGCTGCCCCGACTTGCGGGAAACTTGCCGCGGATGATCCAGTACTGGGCCTCGAAGTAGCGGTGGAAGCCGATGAACAAAATGACAATCGAGATGGCAATGAAGGTTGCTCCAAGCGGCTTGCCAACGTGGCGCAGTTTTGTGGCAGCGACATCGTTGAACGCAGCGATTTCGACGTTGTTGTCGCCCGAGTAGTCATGAGAGGTACCAGGGTCGCTGACATCACGCGGCGGAAGGAGAAGTAGTTGGTCGAGGAGGGTAGGGCCTAGAGTAGGTGTCGTAGGTGGCGTTCCAGCAGCTGATGCGGCGAATTGTTGCAGAAGTGGCAGTAGCTCAGCCGGCATCGAATGTCCAACAAAAGGTGAAAGGGGTATTGTCTCTCGCGTACTGAGAGACTCGCTGCGACTTTGGATCGTGGTGTTTAGGCGAAAGAGCTGAGTGATAGCAATGCCAATGCTTGCAAATGCCAGGCTGGTCCTCAGCCAGGCGAGGAAGGTTCTCTCTAGAGCAAGGTGATCCCGGGCCACAGATCCCTTGTTCTCCAGGGTGACTGAACCATATTTTTCAGGAATCTTCTTGAGCCATTGTGGTATCCAGGAAAATTTAGATTCTTTTTTCTGCCCACCATCTTGTTCCTCTTCCTGACCTGAGCCTGCAAGGGTCGACGAACCCAGCGTTGAAGACCCGAGAGTGCTTTGGTGAGTCCCGTCCTCAGTAGTGTTATACCGACGGTCTGACTGTCCGTCTGCCGTTCGGATAGGAGTGATCTCGTCCGACTCGCTGGGTGTTCGACGATAGGACGACATGGGGGCTCGGGAATGCGCCTTGGTGCTCTCCGAAAAGCGAATGCTAGATTGCCGCCTGGGAGGATGCGTCTGCGCTGCTGACTCTGGAGTTATGTCTGAAGACGTAGAAAGAGATCCAGATTGGCCATTGCGGTCGTGATCGTGCGATGCCATAGCTTCATAGCTTGGTGGGACACCATATGATATCCGTAGCCCCGGAACCGAAACGGCTCATGTCCAACGAGTTCTGGATCGCAATTGTGGTTAGTGATCCCGCAATTCTAAAACTTGATAGTCCCTCGGCGCCAGGAGATATCGTGTTGGGAGAGAGCTAGAACCAATAGGCGAAGGTATGCGGTTCCAAAGTGAATGAACAGCTGCGAGCGCAGTTCGGAACAGCAAATGAGCTTCGATCACGAATTCTTGGGGAGCTAGTGGTGAGGCGTCTGAAGCAGGATCCTTCGGGACGGTTGAGAAATGGCGCACGCTGCAAATATTGTGCAAGAATCCAGGTTATGGCGTGCTAGAGCTGAGGAGCACGGCATCATGTTTGTGAAGAGGGTCTAAAACGACCTGCAGAGATCGAGACTCGTGAGACATGGGGATAGACCTAATATTTGGCCAATCGATGATGAGATCATTGATTTGGCCTAGGCGCTGTGTCGCCCATTCGGAGACGCTCTTTTCGTGGGGAAGAAGCACGAGGGTGCACCTAGCACGCCTAGGACGGCCCCTACGTTTGTCGCTACCGGATGCCCCAAGGGGAAGCTCTTCGCCCAATGGCAGACATGGCTAATTAAGTGGAGAAAACATTCCCAACCTGCAACAAACTCGACCTGCAATGAGTTGACCGCCATACTCGTACCTTGTTTCCTTAACTGATGTGAAACTCATCATGCTCATTTCCGACTGCAGAATCGGGAGGGTATTGAAAGGAGCGCTCCTCTTCGGCTAGGCGTGAGACATACAACCCTTTACTTCATGAAACTGATGAGCTGCTTTCATAAAAGGCGTGTAGTGAATGGGGAAGCCAACGGCTATCCCAATATGAAATAGTGATGAGAATGGTTCCAGATAGCGAACTGGCCCAGCTTCGAGAAAACGAGACTGCATGGAGAAAGAATCGGCATACGCGTGTCAGCGCCTGCATCGAGACATGCATCATCCTCCTTACCGCATATACAGCCACGGAGCTGACGTACACAAGAATCGTCAAGATGTGTGGAGATGCGCCATACTCTTCGTCCGCCTTGACCCACCCGAGTTGCGTTATCGTCACAGCAATAGGATAAAACGCCGAGAAAGCCATCAAGGTGAAGAGGAGACCGCAAATAGGCCGCTACGCTGGGGTACCATCTCTTTCCACGAAAAGCACGAAAACTGCCGCGGGGAGCTGATCAAACAGACTCACCTGAGATGGATCCTCAGCTTCAGCAGTCCTTCCTAGCAGGGTGCTCACTCACGAGCGAACATACTCCGATCCAGGTAAGTTTAGTTTCTTCTAGGCACGCAGGGACATGTATACCATACGTCAGGTGGGAAACAGCCTCTCTTCAGCGTGACGATACCAAGAAGATCGAGCTTGTGGCAGAGGTCATGGGTTGCGGGAGAATGGTTCGAGAAAAGGTTGAATACTGCAGACATTGTGAAGATATTGCGTCCCCGAGGAAGAAGAACGTAAACAAAATCAAATCATCTTTGTTTTCCCATGGGTAATGCTCTTGCCAGTAGTGATAGCAGCGAGCAGCAAGGAGGTTCATCCATAAAGAGGCGAGGATGTGGGAGCAGATATTGCCCGTCTCGTTGTGTATTTTGACCTAGACTTCGCAGGCACTCCACTAGGAATTGGTAATTGGACGAAACTGGCCGTGGATATGATCCTTATTCTGGGAACATGCAGGAATATCTCTATAACTGATTAATATGGGGAATTTGGGCACAGCAGGCGGTAACGGTTTCTCGTCAGGCGTTGTTGTGATGGCTGTCGCTGACACATGTTTCAGAGATCGCCTCTGCGACCACTGGACTCCATGATGAATCGTGAGAAGAAGGAATCGGTCCACTTGAGCTCCGGGAGAAGGGACATGTGTAACCACAAATAAGACTTACTGAGCCCAAAGGCGGCCCGGCTCCCTCGGGACACTGGGAGTCAAAGACAGATATCAAGTAGGGGTGAAGTTGTATTTGTAAAGTCTGAAATGAGGAAGTTGAGCAACGTCCACTGGCTGTGTAGAGGGACAAAAGAAGAGAGCGACTGAGAGCGACATGGCATGTAACCACGCCGGGGCTTCAGGAATGTGTTGCCCCTTTCAATGCCCAATGTGGCCTCTTTTGCCGTCTCTAAAGTCCAGAGAATAGCGGGCGTATGTACGTCCCAAATACGGCGCTCGCGGCCAGGAATTTCCTGGCAGATCTCTCCTGACCTCCTACAGTGCCTCGTAATCCGCCAACGATTGGCGCGATATTCCATCCTTTTTGTCCTACTGCCAAGGAAGCGAGGCCTGTATCTGACATGTATTCATTCCATCTCCTGCTCTCTTATCTCAGATTTTCATCGCTTGGTCAGGTTCCTTAAACAACATAACGGCTGTCTCGAAGTGTCAGCATTTGCTTTGACCAAACACTGCTCGCGCCCCTGGGACTCACAAGGTAAGGTTTTCGCGGTCTGTCAGGTCAAGCTGATTGTTATCCACTAAGCGGGCAACGGTAACACCTTCCTCTGTGACTGACTCAATGACCCCAGTCTTTGAGACTCTTTCCATTGCTGCTAGAACATCTCGGCGTTTGTTCTCGCTGATCAGATAGTAGCGAAGATATAAAATAATGCAGGACGGAAGGATGACGGCGACCTAGTCGTTCTCCATTAGCCTACATACGTGAGAGCCACTGGCCATACGTACAATAAGAATGATGGTCCATGTTGGAATATATCGTGGCTGTATCGGCGTCAGTTCAAGTTCTTAAGATGTCCGTCCAAGTGCTTAATACCTTCCATCTTGGTTGGAACAGCTGCGGTGAGAGTATGTTTCCCAGCCCGTACCCAATATGATAGAGAGCAATCACCGTAGTTTTCTTCGTGTGTCCGGCGGAGACATTCGCAGCCCAGACCATAACAACGGCGTAGGGGATTCCTGTAGTTGAACGAATCCAAATGCCCCAGATGAGGCCCCAGCGGTCCGACCACGGCAAGCCTTGTGAGGTCATGTTAGCAGCAGAGATATCGCTCTCAGGAAAACATACCAATTAATAGTGCACTGGCAATGACACCGGGAATATATGCAACCACAGACACCCAGGCACGGCAGTTCTGACGCACGGTTAGCAGAAAATCCATTCTCATTGGTATTAGTGCTGGTGCCACTTACGTGCGCCTTCCATAAAATCACTGCTGCGGCCAACAGCGAGATCAGGGCGGTCAGGCCAGTAACACAGCCTAGAAGGGTAGTCTGAAGAACTGTAAAGCCAAAGGATTTGATGATGAGCGAGTACTGATTTGTAATACCGTTTGCCATCTCTTGTGACCAGGCATGAAGAAAGAAAAGCCAAGTCTTTGGGTCTCTGAGGGCTTCGATAAATTGGTAGCGTTTGAAATACTTCTGCTCAATCCCCGAGTGGTTTTCCTTGATTCGAAGTACGGCTTGCGCACGTTCTTCGAGTGTGAGAAACTTTGCTTGCAACGGGTTGTCCGGAAATCGGAACCACACGACCACACTAAAAACGATAGTGATTCCCCCAGTCATGACTTTGTAGATCAGCGCCTGGGAGACAACGCGACAGACCGGTGGACTTACCCATGAACCACTTCCATGGTGCGAAGCTTCCGGTCTCTATCCAAAGGACACCGTATGAGAGAAGGCCTGAAGTTATCGGACTAGAGTTGCCTGCAGCCCACATAATTGGCATCAAGATGGACTGCTCTCTGTAGGTGAAGAACATGGACATAGTGAGTAGAAACGCAGGAACTATGCACGCCTCGCAAGTGCCGAGGAAAAATCGGACCACGAAGAGCGATGCAAAGTTGTTGCAGGGGATATGCAGCAACGTGACGCCACCCCTATTGCACACGTTCTGTGAGATTTGTTCAGCGCTCATGAACGGGGTCCATACCACACTATGAGCATGAAGGCAAGCCACTTGCCCACGGGGAAATACTGTAGCGCGCGGTTTTGCGGCCATTCTGCCAGCAGGTACCCAAAGTAAAATATCGAAGAAAGCCAGTTGTACTGGTTAGAACTGAGATGTGCATCCTTTAAGATGCCCAGGATGGCAGAACTTCCAAGCTTTCCACGACGGAATGTCAGTGAGGCACGAAAATTTGAGAGAGGGACATTCGAAGGTGGAAGTTCGTACCGTTTGCTTGTCGACGTACATCAAATGATACCCTATGCATAGAAAGGGGAGGATCCTCCACAGACATTTGTTGCGAATAATCCGAGCCTCTTCTGGCGTTGGGTCGTCCACCTGTACCCTGCTGAACAGCTTGTAGCTTTCATCGGCGTATCGGTCTGGAAGTCTGGGAGAATTGGTCTCCTCCACGGGTCCAGCATCACTGATGGTAGCAACCTTAGAATCCTCCATTCTGTCAAGAGGTTGAAAACTCGAGAGGCAGGACCTAGGCAACCAGTCCTTCAATTGCAGCTTTGCGAGGGATACCACGACAAGACATGGTAGAGTCTGGAACCGGGACCGCAGGGAGCATCCTCGGTGGCATATCTACCACGAGTACTGGGTGGGAAAGATGGCCCCTCCCACGTTCAGTCTATCCGTGGCGTCAATTCCAGCCAGTATTTGCAATCGAGCACATAACTACCCTTGTACAAGAGGATCTTACAAGAGGATCTTGCTGCTCGTTCCTCTGTGTCCATGCTCCTTGCAGGCTCTGCCAATGCCGCGTGATAGAAGATCGTCCCTGAATCTGCTGTTGAATATCCTGGTCACTCGGGTCGCATAACGGTCGGGGGGCCAGTAGTAGAGGGAATCCCTAACTTTGCGTGATACAAGTGCCTTTTGCGTCATACATTATCTCGCGTCTCCTGCGTGATATTATCCGCAGGCGTGGACATACGCGACGATGTTTGAACGGGATCATACCGATGCTTCATTGTACATGTCCGATGCTTATAAGCGAGTCAAATTGACACCGAACATATGAACAACAGTCCTTGGGCGTCGTTCTCATCTCTCGTCACAAGTCACAGATATGGAGGAAGGTCGACTTAAGGTTATTATCGCTGGTGCGGGGATCGCCGGCCTGGCGACGGGCATTGCCCTGAGACAGCTTCCCTATATCGACGTGGAGTTGTACGAGCGCTCTCCTGAGCTCAAAGAAATCGGCGCAAGTATCGCCCTCAGTCCGAATGTAGTGGTGTCTTGGCTGTGCAAATCTTCCTCCGTGCTGACCAGTCACAGGGTCTGCGTACACTGGAAAGACTGGGCGTGGGCAATGCTCTCGATGATGAGGTTGCTTTTCGGGGCCCAGCTGGGATACCCATGATTTACAGGTCAGTGGAATGTCCCGTTGTGTCGTTATTGTCGTTGTTGTCATTGGTGAGTGTATGAGAGAAGCGTTCAGATCACAACGAAACAGGCTGCCAAAGAGAAGTCCCCGCCAGCTCAAGATCACCCCCTGTCATGACTCTTTCTGGCTGTAGTTGTTGCTGAATCAAGGCACAGGCATTGGAAAACGAACGAGATTGTCAGTGTGGACCATTTCGAGGCTGTTGCCGACCTACGCCATCACACCGCCAGATTTCATCGAGCCCACCTCCATCAAGCTCTGCTCCAGCATGTTCCAAGAGAATTGATTCATCTAAATAAGAAGGTTATTGGAGCCAGGGTCGGGGACAACACCGCGAGCTTAGAGTTCCAGGATGGCACAACAGCAGTGGGAGATCTGTTGATCGGGGCTGATGGCATCAACTCGAAAGTCCGAAAGGCCTTTGTGCCACACTTCCAGCTGAGCTACACGAACCGGACTGCTTTGCGAGCCACATTTGATCTGTCTCTGGTCAAGCATATCCCGGACCTCCCTGCTGACTCGACTCATTGGTGGGGGCAAGATCGGAACTTCTTTGCATCGAGGTTGGGTCGCAATCAGTTCACGGTGGTGGGCATGTATAATCCAGTCAACCTCCCTCAGGGTTATGAAAGCGACATAGGCACTTGGAATGACGTGGGCTCCGTCGAACTGTTCCGCGAGCTCTATCGGGACTGGAACCCTGTCGTTCACGCTCTTACCGAAGCGACGCCCAGCGTCCGACGTTTTCCCAACTATGCAGGCCAGGCGATAGCGACCTGGGTGTTCGGCTCATGTGCTACACTCGTCGGCGATGCGGCCCACGCCCATGGCGGGGCCCACGCGACAGGAGGCTCGCTGGCACTCGACGATGCGTACGCGTTATTCATGTCCTTGCGACATGTGATCCCTGAATGGCAGAGCTCGAAGCCTTCTGAGTTCCAACTGCAGACTGCTTTGGAACTGTACGAAGAGACAAGGCGACCCCACACGGATAGACTGTTGCGCAGCGTCCATTCCAGCATGAAAGACACACCGCCACAGTCTGATGAGGAGCTCCGGAGAAAGATGCTTAATCGCGGCAGTACTACGTGGTTGAGCGAGCACGATGTCCAAAAGACGTTTGCTGCAGTGGTCGCAGCTCACACAGAACGTGGTGATACACTTGTGAGGGAAAGCAGACTATAAGAGATCCGAATGTAGAGATAGAGCCACAAGCCATTGCAGCCAGAGTCCAAGTTTCTAACCTCCCAGGCTTGGTATTCTTCTTTGTGTCGGTCGTATAAACCCCTACCAAATTGCCTGACTTGCTTTGACTTCCTGGTGCAGACGAAGAACTGTTGGCTTCGAAGATGGTGCCGAGATCTGAAGCCGGACGCACGCCTCATTCGTGTCTAGAATCACGTCATTCAGTATGTGTCGAGTTTTCTGCCTTCCTTCCGCTAAGGACAGTATGAAACAGAGCAATGATTCGTTCTATACTCCTGAGCGATTGAATGGCGAGCCCAAGCAAGCTAAAGCCTCTTGTCCATGTCGACAGTGTGGAGTAGCAATTTGTAATTCATGTCGGTGCGAAAATTTGTGCCGAGTGTGATATATGTGGATGCGTCGACATTGATAACTGCAACACAAAGTCTCAGGTGAGTCAATAAGACATTCTTGCATGTGTTGGTTTCCACTGTTCTTGCCATCTATCGCGTTGCGACCACTCACAGAAATGTCTGCACGGTATAAGACAGTCGCCGTCATTGGTACTGGGCCCTCGGGTATTTCTGCTGTCAGAGCATTGTCCGACGAGAACATCTTTGAAAAGATTCGGGTCTTTGAACGACGAGACCGAGTGGGAGGCACATGGAACTATGACCCTATCCCGGATTCCTTCTCGACCGGTCTGGATGGTCAATTGAAGCGCTCTCTCCCCTCACGGTTCCCACACCAAGCCCCGTTGTCCTCCGAAGACACCAGCGCTCGGACGGGGGTATACGATGGTCTCGACAGTAATGTCGGTGCCAAAGTTATGGCTTTCACCCACACCCCATTTCCTGAACTGAACTCAGCCATCTCCATCGAACGATACGGCCGTGACAATCCCACTCGACCTTTCCGGACAGTTGCCGGTTATCTGGAAGACGTCTTCCGAGATCACTATCATCTTGTTTCCTTCAACACCAGTGTCGAAAAGGTTGAGAAGGTGAATGGGAAATGGGTTCTGACGTTACGACGATCCGATCACCTCTCGCACGGCCGGCCCCATGAATATTGGTGGCAAGAGACCTTTGATGCCATTGTTGTGGCGACAGGGCATTACAATATCCCAACTGTCCCGGAAATTCCTGGATTGAGGAATGCATATGCGGCCCAACCTGAAGTATTCGAGCACTCGAAAGCATATCGCTCGCCCGATGATTATGTAGGGAAGAGGGTAGTAGTGGTAGGAGGAAATGTCTCCGCTGCTGATATTGTCTCCGACATTCAGGGTACGGTCAACGGACCTCTGTATCTTGCGCAACGCGGCACCAATGAATTCTTCAAGTCTGCGTTCGAATTGCCCAACGTGGTGATCAAGCCAACGCTCAAAGAAATCAACTCGACACCTACTGGAATCGCTGTCGAGTTCGATGACGCCACCCGAGTTTCGGGCATTGAAAAAGTTATTTTCGCCACGGGTTACAAGCTGTCCTACCCCTTCCTGTCGCCAGACCCGGTGACACCAAACAACCGTCTGGCAGGGTTTTACCAACATTTGTTCAAGATCGGTGATCCATCCCTTACCATCATTGGACAACTCAAAGCTGGCGTCAGTTTTCGCGTGTATGAGTACCAAGCTGTTGCAGTAGCTCGTTATTTTGCAGGGCGCGAGGGCAGACCATTGCCCCCACCCTATGAACAAGATGTCTGGGAAGTAAAGAGACTGCAGTATAAAGGGCCCGGGATCAACTTCCATGAGATCAAAGGCGACTGGAGTGAGTATTACAGCTTCCTCCGCGATCTGGCCGGGCCACCGGCAGCAAATACCTCTGCATATGAACTGCCTCCTTGGGACGAGAAATGGGCTGAACTGGGGTTCGAAGTGATACAGCTGAAGGATAGCTACTGGAAACGGTCAGCCCAGAACCAGCTCCGCGCAAGACTGTAGAGGTCATTGGAGGACAAGGCCAGACGGGACTACAGAGAAAATCGCATGAATGAAGGTATGTAGTGCAGTCTCGAAGTAGGTAGCTCGAGGTGCCATGGGGAAATACGCTGGTAGGTAGAGATAGACAGTAGAGGTAAAGACAAAAAATGCACAGCACTCCCTCATTGCTGATTAAACTGATAAATAATTAGCCAGCGTCTACGCGGGGTAATCTGCTAGGTACCTTTACCTAGTAATATTAGGTATGAGGAGGGGCTAGTGAGGCCGGAATGAAACATCCTTGGGCAACCGGGGTGACGGGGCCAGCTTCTAGCTTTCACGCCACCACCGAAAATCTATAGTATTCGTTCTGACGGAGTGGTCGATGTTGAGAAAGCAAACTTCAGGGATACAGAACATCTTACACCATGGCATCTCAAGAATCAATCAATCATACCGATGCCAGCGCTGACAACCGGAATGGCAAGGTGGCTTATGAAATTCCAAAGTTGATCCCTGGCCCTCGAAGGAAGCCTTCTCAGAAATCCGGTCCATCAGATCCTACTCCACAGACACCTACCTTACCTCCTCCTCCGTCGATCGAGTCTGTACATTTCACCACGCCTGTCAAGCGAATCCTGTCACCCGCCGACCATGAGAAGTTCCTCGCCTCACCAACATACGTGCTGATAAAGGCATGGATCTTTACGCTTGCGGACTCTGTCCGCGGTCGTCGAATTTCGTCGCTGGACGCTCGAGACCTGTCGACCACCATCAAGAAACTTGATTCCGTTCTCGACTTCCTGGAAGGAATGCTAAATCAATATCCTCCTCTCGACACAGGATCGAGGTTTGGCAATCCGGTCTTCCGCAGTTTGCACAAAGCTATTGTAAGAGATGTGGACAAGATACACAAGGAGGTACTGGGGCTGCACAATGAGGATGCCATCAAAGAGATATCTGTCTATTTGATCAATTCCTTTGGATCTGAGGAGCGGCTTGATTACGGGTCTGGCCACGAGCTGAATTTTATGATGTGGTTGCTGTGTCTATACCAACTGAAGCATATCGAACGAGAAGACTTTCCTGCAGTGGTAATGCACACCTTTGTCCGATACCTCAACCTCATGCGCAAGATTCAGAGCACATACTACCTGGAACCTGCAGGGAGCCATGGAGTCTGGGGCCTTGACGACTACCAGTTCTTGCCCTTTTTGTTCGGGGCAAGTCAGCTCATCGGGCATGCCTATATCACGCCCAGGTCGATCCACAACAATGTTGTTCTGGACGAGGAGGGCGACGACTACATCTACCTCAACCAGGTCCGATGGGTGGATAGTGTCAAGACGGTCAAGGGACTGCGTTGGCATAGCCCCATGCTAGACGACATCTCGGGCGCAAAGAGCTGGCAGAAGGTGGAAGACGGCATGAGGAAGATGTTTGTCAAGGAAGTCCTGGGCAAGTTGCCCATCATGCAGCACTTTCTGTTTGGAGGCCTGATTCCGGGCACGGAAAACATGGGCCAATTGGACGAAGAGACACTGCGGGCCCAGGCCGAGCGAATGCAGCATGTGAAGGAATACGGACACGAGCCTGACTACTGGGGCGACTGCTGTGGTATCAAAGTACCCAGTACGGTTGCAGCGGGCGAGGAAATGAGGAAGCGGATGGGCACGTCGGGCGCGCTCCGCCCAATACCATTTGACTGATAGCTGCCGTGCTAGGTCGGAACGCCTGCTGTGTTCTCGATCTGGGCGTCTAGAGAGGAGCAGCCGGGCTTCTGCATGGCCACGAACACACCAGTGTGTGGTTGGAGCATGGACGAATCAAACAGCCGGAAGAGATGGTTGGCCCATCGGGCGCCTCCACACACCGGTTGCCCGCCAAAATCTTGAATTCTATCAGAAGCTCTCTTTGCACAAATTCTCAGATGCTTAGAGCTCTGCCTTGATTGGCCAACATGACGGACCCAACTCCGTCCAGGACTATCACAAGAGAAAGAGAGGAGGGGCTCGGGAAGCTTGGACACATGCGGGTGCCTCATGGAGACGAGACTCTGAAGTCTGCCTGACAAGGCGGTGGCACAAGGATGTGGTGATCCGCGTAGCCTTGAACTTAACCATGATTCAAATGTGCTAATATCGCAGTGCAACTCACGAATACTAGCTTCTTCCGGGCACTGATTGACAGACAAGTAACGGATGACTTTCAGCCTTGCCTGGTTTCCCAATGCCCGTTGTGTCCAGTGTCCCACTCGTGCAAGCAAAAGAGACAATTGGCACCCTCCTTGAGTTCCCGTCAAGTCAAGTGTCCAAGGTGAATTCTCCCTCACTCAGTGACTACTTGACTTTCACCCTTCACTTCTTTCTCTGTCGTTGTGTGAAGGGTTGATTAGGCAGTGACAGGTTGGTCAAGCTCTCCTCACCTTCTCGACCACATCTTACGTCTGTCGTCTGTCGTTATCCTTCCGCCTTTGCTCAACCAACCACGCGTATCCCACCCTGTCCGCCTGTGAATCAGTCGTCCCTACCCCTCCATCCCACGACAAACCTGATCAAGATGGGCAAGAAATCATCCAGATTCTTGAGCTTCACCTCTCCTCCGGCTCTGTCCAGACATCCATGGATTTATGTCAACGACCCGACCACCAACACCCCCCATGCCACCAGTCTCAAAGACATGATCGGCGACTGTGTCCTCTCCCGTCACACCACACCCGAAGAATCCGAAGCCGAGAAGCTTGCCGTCTGTCTCGATGTCCTCAAAGATGACACCGCGGGCACTGGCCAAAATGTATTCCTCATCACCGAGCACCTTGCAGACTCCAAGACCACCGACAAGCTCGAGACCGCCAAGAAGTTCCGGGAGCTGGCCATCAAGGGCGGACGCAACTTTGCCAGCGTGAATCTGTATCTTCAGCATGGTACAAAGGAGAAGGAGCGAGCAGAATGGGGTCCGAACCATCTCGAGTTGGGTATCGCGAATATGACCGTCAAGGAAGTTGTGCAGAACATCTACGAATGGCTATGTATAGACCTCTCTGCTGCTTCCTCTTCTTCTTCTTCCTCTCCCCCCTCCCTCCCTATAGTCGTTCCTTTCCGTACCTTGGCCTTGGACTCTGACATTCTCTGCGACGCCTCAGTCACTGTTTTGTCCCCAACCGAGCATGTCCACCTCCTCCCAAGCGCCAAACTCCTGGCAGTGGATAGGAAGAATTTCGCCGACTACGAATACTGTCCGATCGCTGACACCAGAAGCCGCTCGAAGGACGCCAAGATCCAGTTTGTGGTTGTCATTGTCACGAAGCCTGTCGTCGTCCCAAATACCCAGCGCCTGCAGTGGACGGTGGCTGACAAGTCCGGCATGGTAAGTTCAATTTGCACCCCTTGGGACCTGTCACCAGCCATGTCCAAGGCGCTGCTTAGCAGTCGGTGCTAACAAGTGCTGCTACACAGGGGAATTTCTATTTCCAATACCGCGGCGATACTTCGCAGTATACCTGGGATTGGGTCCTGGCCCTCAAACCCGGAGACGTCAAAGCCCTTCCCCGCATGCCAATGGTCCAGATCAAGGAACCGCGCCACGTCCGCGTCGCCAAGTTCCCCTTGCGTACCGCGGCCGTCGCAATCTCGGGAATTGGCCTCGCCATGAAGACTGTGGGTCACGGCGTCGCCAAGCTCGGCGACATCACTTCCATGGGGAAGTCCTCGGAGTGGGTGCCCTCGGGCGATGTTATGGTGCAGAAGAACGGCCAGATGAAAAAAATCGACTGGGCGGCCGAATTTGACAGGGAGAACAAGGACAGAAAGGCCAAGTTCGAGAAGTCGGAGCGTTGGACCTGTGCGAAGCTCAAGGCCGCGATGAAGAAGCAGGGCTCGCCGAAAGAAAAGGACTGCGAGAGCGTGGGTGGCTCGAGCACGTTGCGGGGGAGCGACTACGAGAGCGAGAAGGCCATCGTGTCGGAGAAAGAGTTCTGTTAGAACGCCTCCAACGAACAGAACACCGGCTGACAATGTGGATGCGTCGTGCGTGGTTGAGCAAGTCGGTTTCCGCTACGCTGAGACCTGTTGAGGCGAGAGGCCACTTCGAAAGGTCTGTTTCTGCTTGCTTGATGCCCTGCTATGCTGTGCGTGTGTGTGTCAGCAGTATGGAGATTTCTCGCGCACCGTTCAATTTGACAGCCATTGCACAGCCAGAGAGATTGGACTCGAGTCCCAGAGAGATATGGCCGTCAGAAGACGTTGGGCGGAAGGAGACACAATGGATGTCATCTAATCAGTCCTATGCTGAGTGAATCCATTAGGAGATAATGCGATATTGCTTCATTGCGAGCTTGGCGATCGACTGTAATGCACACAGAGAGAGAGACAAAGAGAGAGACAGATAATGAGGGGAAATGGTCTCATGCACATGTCGAATAAGGCATTAAATACAGAAAATTCAAGCGAGAGATGTGTATACCTCCAGTTCATGTTATCCAGATGGCTGTCGGGCTGTGTCCTCGTTCACAGAGAACCTTCCTGTTCTTTTCCTTCTCTCTTGCCCTAGAAATCCTACCAAGCAGCCTAGAAAAAGGAAGGGGAGGTGTGCTCTGGGAAGCAATACCTGTTCCTCGCTCGCTTCATTGGAATAAAATAGGAATGTGATATGCGGACTGCTGAGTGCATGGTCGGTTCCTGCGAAATACCTACACAGCCCCCATCTTGGTCATGTTCATCTCGCATGGTTCAGCTCAGCCCGAGGCACCCTAAGGAGCTGCACCTGCTGGTTGGGCAGCTGAGTCCGGCCGCCACCATCGTCGCTTCTCAGCCACCCTCGTCCCTCGTCCATATGTACGTCGTACCTGAGTTTGGCAGGTTCGGGAGCCAGGCACACCCCTCCTCCCCCCCGCCGATTATCTTGCCAGCTAAGTAAAGAAGTGCGCCAGGTAGGTGTCAGGCACACCCCAGCTCTTACTCCATCATTGATTTTCAAGGGTTTCTACGCATCTGCCTGCCCTGGTAGGCACTTACTTGAGACATTCGTCGGGGCTCTGAGAGAAGCAAGAGGGCAGCTGTAAGAACAGAACCGGAATGGCCACTCCGCAATTGAAAACATCAGCTCCATACATAAGTCACAGGGGCGTGTCAATCACGGGGAGAGCATCGGAATCATCAGAATAAACAGTGAGAAGCGTGCTCAGAAGACCGGAACACCATAGTTCAGGAAGTATAATAGATACAAGTCACAAGGTACCTCTCCTGAACTAAATAGAAGTACTGACTATAGCATCCAACGTTTCCTCCTCTTAGCCGCCCTTGGAGTCTTCTCAGACGCCGTGCCCTGTATCGTTAAATCAAACACCCCGATATAGTCCGAGTCGTCCGCCACCATCGTTCACTCATTCGCCCCATTGACATCGTGGAACCACATTATAACATTCATACATCAGAGACACCCGTGTCTCTCTTTCTGTCCAATAACAACCTGGACGCCTTCAGCACATAAACGTTAATCGACAACCAACTCTCCTGGAGCGCCCACAGATGCCTGCTGATTAGCATCTTGGCATTGCATTGCTGAAATTTGTATATCTCTTGACTGGAACAAGCTTGTAGACACGCGAGGCATCGTCATGCAGTTGACAGAGGGAAAAGGGACTGATGCTCAATTGCCTGCATCGATGCAAAGACCATGTAATGCCTTGTGCAGCCGTGCCTTGGGCTCAAAACGCCTGGTGGATGCATTGCTGCAAAGAACAAAAACCTTTTGTTCCTACCAAATCAGTACCTTGGAGGGCTGTACCCGTACGTCGGGGCACGCGTGACAATATTAACGGGACCGACTCCGTAGGGGACATAAGAATGAGGTGAGGGTGATTTGATGCTCACGACTCGCGGTGGCGGTGATGGTGGATAGGCGTAGGGCTCGGTCTTCGCTCCTCGGTATCCATTGGATGCTCGAGAGCCATATGAGCCATAGCCTGAATCGTGAACGTCATTGTACTCGTACGCCGTGTAAGTGGTGGGCGCAGGGGTATGCTTTCGGGCCGACGAGCGTGAGCTGCGCATGCTTTCGAAGCTGTCTTGGCTATCTTGTCTTCGCCGACGGTAGACGTTTCTGCTGCGTATCTCGACAGGAAGACTCTTGCCCGATTCCTCGCGCCGATGACGTCTCTCATGGTTGTCACCACGATCGTAGTGCAGATCGTCGTCGACCAAATAGACCCGGGCATGTCGTCGAGGGGAGGCGGGGGCGACGGGGGATCCGCGATCAGAAGGAGGATAGTCTGGCAGAGATTCGCGGATGCTTTGTAGGTCGAAATTTCGCTCTGCGTGCTCCTGCAACCAAGCATCATCTGCCTTTTTCCTGGAATGGCTGCTCCACTCCTTTTCTCGTGAAGATGGAGGTGCCCACGGACTTATCCCATCACCAACTTCGGCGGTGTCTGGTAGTTCGTCAATGGAGGCTTCATCATCGTCCCTCGAGTGTCTTCGCCGGCCGATCTCTTGCCCGTATCTGCCTTTGCCATCTCGCCCTCGTGTTGATGCACTGCCCGCTTCTTTGCAGGTGCGGCAGTCACCACTCCTAGGGTAGTGATATCTTTCGAGGCCGGCGCAACGGGAAGAGTGGCACTCGGCGGTGGTCTTGTATTCGCATCCGCACCCGTACGAGGTCTTTGTACGCACACACATGGCTTGGAGGTGACTGAAAGGCGCGGTGTGAGGCTGGAAATGTGCTCTTCAATGACCCGAGTGATGTTCGCCTGTGTTGCGTAGCGTGGAGCAGGTCAAATCTTTATGCACCGATTGCCCAGTTCACAGAGGTGGTGAAAGAGTATTGCTTCACAAAATCAGGCACGGAAGAAGGGCTCAGGTACGAAGGAAGCGGTGAGGCGTTTGTGTCAACGTCTAGAACAAGTGCACACTCAATGTACACTGCAATTGCGGGACTCAGGAGAAGCACAGAGGTCACACAAGCAGGTCTCAATAGATGCTAGGCGTGACGTCGAAATACTTTCGGGACCCCGTCGGTTTTGTTATTCTCGCTGTTGCACTTCATGGATGACAGTTCTGTCTCACGTCGGAGAAAGGAAACGTGCATAAGAGGAAGAAGAAATAATAATCTTTGAGAAGAGACAGAGAATGGATTCGAGAGCTTTGCACAGTTGCTGGCAACCGTGGTCTGAAGTGATGGGAATGTGATGGGCAAAGAAAGTGCTTGTGACGGTAGGGGTGGTGATATCCTCATGCCAGAATTGCGCGAAAAACGAGGGAGAGTCAGGGCTTGAAGAGGCGGACTAGCTTGCCTTTGACAGGGAGGACTTCGGCCCAGCTGCGTGATGCAAAATCCCACTCCACTCGCCTCAGATTCGGCGTACGCAGGACGACGTATGCGAAGAAAACGCATGGCTCGAACAATTGTTGTAGCTAGGAAGCCGGGCTCAAGCGGGCGGTCAAGGTGCAGGAGACGGTGCTGAGTAGGAGCCCATCTTCGGCAATTTTGGATTGGTGCTTGGGCCAATGCAGGCACCTTGTGGAACGGGACTGCGGACCTCAACGCCCGAGGAAGCAGGGGCAGCGAGCCAGTGTGAGAGATGGTCGGCTACAGGCCGCCGCTGACTGGCCGATGCGACGGTTCCTCGTCCTGTCACAGGTGGTTTCATCTCGGTGGCGCCAGCCCCAATTGCCTCAGTCGGCTGTCCTTGCGGTGCCCGTTCTAGCAAATAGGTCAAAGCCCGTCTTCTTGCCTCGTTGATCCATTTGGCCAGACTGCAGGTCTCATTGCTTTCTGGCCTGCGCCCCACTGCGCCGCTGTAGCTGACATTGGGCGGTATGCTGATCTTGGGGCTGCGAATTGGGAGTGTCTGCAGACGGGGAAGCCCAGTTGCGAGACTCCTTTCACAGTAATCTGGCACCATGGGCTGCGCCGTCGCTGTCATCATTCGCAGTCTGTACTTCCACGTTGCACGGAGCCATTGGAGTGGGAATATTGGAGCAAAAATGCTGACCGTGCTCTTTAATCCCAGCCACTAATGGCTCAAGAATTTCCTCGGGCAGTCTGAATTTGTGATATTTCTGCCGCTCGTCAGGAGAAGATCGCTGCGAGAAGAGGATCTAGGCGTGGGGGACTCATCGGTATCGACTCATGACCGCAGATTCCGATGGACTGATGGAAGAATGTAGGTGGAGGTGAAGCAGCACCACCACCATTGGCTTCAAACGCTTCGTCCGCTGCCCAGCACCTTCTTTTTCCTCATCTTTGCTCCCTCTCGCGTGGTCCAGAGAAACCCTTCGACCAGTCAGTTACAGGCCTCCTCCTGAGCTTTGGGGCCCTGCGCCGGGACAAGTAGGCACGGCTGTAGGCCTCAGCTGGGCACTCGTTGTTTTGACGAGGAGGAAGAGCCTGCGGATGCAACGGCAAGTGTTAGTAACCCGTCTCTCTTCTGACCATTTGGCAATCACTTTGTGCTCGAGACATTTGCTGGTTGGGTGGGAGTGAGGAGATATCGGCCTAGCTGCAGAATCAGAAGGAACGTCAGGTCAGATGAGTGCCATGCAGTGCAATTCTCTCGAACTCGTGTTCGTGGGAGAAAGAAAGACGAAGCCCCTCTGGTTCATCGAGAAGACTTTCCGTGAGGAAGTGTTGAGCGTGCATGGAACACTGGTGTCGTGTGCTCACAGGAAAGGCGCGAGTCGACCAAGTTGGGAAATTGTGATGGGAAGTGGCAGGCCGAAGCTGCTGAGTCTCGACTCGTCAGTGAAGTGATGCATGTCACCCACAATTTTTTGGCAATATTGTGTGTCTTCCCACTGCAGCCCTTGGCCCGCTGGATGGATCATGGCCCGTTGTAACCCATCTTCGCAGTGTCTCGCTACATTCGCCACCCCAGGCTTCATTTGAGAACCAGACCAAGTGACTTTGTAACAGCCAATAGAGGCTGTGTACGACAGACCAAGGAACAGGAATGCATGCTTGACTGGGTGAGTATCTCGCTGTCCAATGAATCTCTGCCCCTGATTCTTCCGCCACCGCCTGCTTTGTTGAACGAGGTCAAGACCAAACTTTGCCTCGGACTGCCGTCTGTACTCCGTACATAGGTGTTTTCTCACATTCTCTCCATTAAAACCCCTTCAGACTCACCAATCTCAAAAGACATTCCACAGTCAGGCGACGAAGAAAATAAAGAGAGACTTTAGGATGATTTCCCCCATATTTCACCAATGATTCAACAACGCAGACGGGACAGACATATTTTCTGACTCTATTTTTCCCGGCTATCTTTTGATTGGTAGAGTCTGGAGACTTCCCATCGGCGGCGCCGTCGATTCAAGTTACGACGCGTACGTAGGCTACAGCGCTTTCCGGTGTTAGGCCTCTGGTTGTGCTCATCGGCGAACGAAGTACCAAACAATTGTTGCGAGATGATCTGACCTGTCAGTGGAGTCTTCAGCCTCGCGGCCGTAATGTTGGACTTGTCTCCATCGATACCAGTCCTTTTCAAATGTCTAGCTCTAATTGAGAGTCTCGGAGTGTTGCCGCCTTGGAAAGCGCTCGTGTCAAGTGTCATGGCGTTCACCTAGAATTGGGGGACGGCTAGCTGGTGCGAACATTTGCAGCCACATCAGCGTTTTACGCTCAAGTTTGGGGGTTGGCCATACAGCAATCGACCATCCCGGAGCAGGCCATCAGAGACATCACCATCCAGCCCCGGTCCGGTTATGATTACGGAACTGCAAAGATTTGGCTGCAGAGCAAGCTCGACAGCGAGACTGCGGCAGGAGTCCTGTTGAAGGACGCAAAGTGGGCTAGGGAATGCCGTTTCTGCAGCGCCCCTGCCAGCTATCGGCGTTTATATCTATGCTCTCGGTCTATCGGTCTATCTGTCTCTATCGTGCGCGTCTTCCTCGGATCCCATTAATACTACAAGTAGTACCTCGCCCCTTCCAATCAACCTCCACTTGCTCTAAAACCCGTCGTCGATCTCCTGGGACTTTTCATGGGCCAGTCTTTCGTCGTTTATGCGGTGCCACCACCTGTGCGTGTCGTCCTGGATGTCTTCGAATTTCTCATCCCAGGGCTTTGGACTGAGGATAAAATGGACATTCTTCACTTGGTCATCACGCCATATGGCGTCATGTACGCCCTTCCACCTCAACGTTTTCAGAGCATTGTAGATATATGGCAATCCAACCCATCGGCCGTAGAACTGGTCGCCAAGCAAGCTCTGGTCGGCAAAGTCGTAGCTCGAGGTCAAGTCGCCGTTCTTCATGGCGTGAAGGATCTTGTCGTAGACACCTTGGCTAGGGTTGCACACCACTAGACCGCCATTCGGGGATCCTATCCCCGCTGTAGGAGGTGGCCCGTTAACCTGGGCATCATCTGGTGTATTGTGTTGCGAGGTGAATCCACAGTTCTCCGGTATCCAATGTTTGGGATAGTGCGCTTTGTTCAAGGGGTTACACGCGCAAGCATGGCTAGCAGCGTATACCCTGTTTCCCTCGCCGTTCATCTCGGGCGGATCGAGCTCCAGCTCCATCAGTTCATCCATATTTTTCAGAACCATCATGTCACTGTCCAGTTGCACCACCCGCTCATACTCGATGAGGCTGAAGGGGGTTAATTTACTCCAGCAGTCGTAGAAACGTGGATCATTGGCGTACTCCTTGGGGATGGAAGGTAGGAGGTAGGGTATGTGTTTCGCCGGTATGCCTCGCCTTTCGAGGGCTTGCAGGCCTTCGGGGGGAAAAGTGTCAGTATAAAGTGCGACGAGAGGATATCGCGAGCCAGATTTTTTCAAGGAATACTCGAGCGTAAGGAGTCCTGAGAGATACTGGGTATTTGTGATGAGCGTAGTCCACACTTTCGTGGGCGCACTCCCGTTTGTGGGTCTCTCCATTGTCGCTGCGCACGAGAGTTCACAGTCTGGCCTGCTAGGGATAGAGTGCTAGATTTGGGGAAATAGAGATGGTAGCAACTGAATAAGATGCGCCGTCACAGCGGAGGAGGTCCTCCATGGTGGCGATCTGTTGGCACCACGACCACGGGTCAAGTAGGGGACAGGCTACGGGCAAGCTGCCCACACCAAAATATTCTTCTGATGGGAGCCACTGTTGGCCCGCTGCCCAGATCCACAACGTCACACAGGGTGTCGGGGAAGCTAAATCGTCCCCGATCAAGATGTGGTTCATATCTCCAGCTCTCTCGCAAAAACATTGTCGGCAGCCATTTCACGATTGTTGGGCCTGTCTGCAAGATACAGGTAAGCTGTATTACTTTAAGAATGGCTGCAGCCTTGTCTGCGACTCCCTGAAGTCGATAGCAAGCAGAACCCGCCTGCAGTCGTTCTATCAGCATGTCAGAAACCTTGGGCAGGTATGGACCGAAAGACAACCTCATTTCTATCTTTGCTCGTTGTCCTTCACACATGCTTACCATAACTCAGGCCGCAAAATGATCACACGGGAGCCGTTACTGAAGCTCTGAGCCAACCAAAGAAGACCGTCAATGAGGAGTCGAGAACAAGGTCGCTCGCAAAGAACTACAAAGGCTTCGTCGCAGGCGTTTTCTCGGGTATAGCAAAACTCTCGGTCGGCCACCCGTTCGATACCGTCAAGGTTCGCTTGCAAACTTCGCAGAAGTCTCAATTCAAAGGCCCGCTGGACTGTCTGTTGCAGACGCTAAGAAGAGAAGGTGTCGCGGGAATCTACAAGGGTGCAACCCCGCCGCTGCTAGGATGGATGGCCATGGACTCCGTCATGCTAGGAAGCCTGACAGTTTACCGGAGGTTGTTGCATGACAATATCTTTGCCAACCCGGCTTTCCGACGCGGGAAGACCGCCACAGAGCTTTCGAAGGAGAAATTACCTGCCTTCGGGCATGGGATCGCTGGAATCATGGCGGGGGCTACGGTGTCTTTTATTGCTGCGCCCGTTGAACATGTCAAGGCAAGATTGCAGATTCAATACGCAGCGAAGAAGAAGGACAGGCTGTACAGCGGCCCTATAGACTGCACAGGAAAGATTCTCCGTTCCCACGGCATTGCGGGCTTGTATCACGGCCTCTTCTCAACATTAATCTTTCGCTCATTCTTCTTCTTTTGGTGGGGCAGCTACGACATCCTGACGACTTGGTTCAAGAAACACACTTCTCTTTCTACTCCTGCAATCAACTTCTGGGCAGGCGGGCTGTCGGCGCAGGTCTTCTGGCTGACGTCCTACCCTTCCGACGTGGTCAAGCAACGCATCATGACGGACCCATTGGGCGGTGCGCTCAACGATGGCACTCCTCGCTTTAGACACTGGAAGGATGCCGCCACTACTGTGTATAGAGAATCTGGATGGAGAGGGTACTGGAGGGGCTTCGTGCCCTGCTTTCTGAGGGCGTTCCCTGCGAATGCTATGGCGTTGGTGGCCTTCGAAGGTGTAATGAGGGCACTGCCCGGTTGATTTGCTTCACTTTTTGATACCCGGGCGGCTCTGGCTTAGAATTCAAGCATATGTACAACGAATTGAGCCCCTCCATGCTGGATTCTATCAATTCGCCAAGGAGCATACTGTATTTCACCATTCTTTTAATGTGAATCGCTTTTACGGCAGATGCTCTCATCACTGTCTCCTTTGCACTCACAGCCTTGCGCTAACGGCTCTTGGCACGGCCTTTTCAATATAAAATCCTTCACATGGCCACGAACTCTGTTCTATTCCGACAAATATTTGCCATCTCTCAACCCTGATCATGGCTACCCTACTGATAAGCGAGCCTCCTCGGGTATCTCTGCATACGTTGACCAACGCAGATGGATCGGCAACTTACAGCGCACCACGTAATGGCTACAAAATTATCGCCGGTGTCAATTACCCGGTCGAAGTCCCGTACCGATCTGATGAGATTCCTGAGTCGACCCTGATTGAAGTCAATCTTAGACCACATAATGGTGTGGGAATGGTCAAAGAACGACACGTTGAAGAACTCATCAAACGAACGCTCGAACCCATCGTCCTTGGCCATGAGACTCCACGAACCATGCTGGAGATTACGCTTCAAGTGATGTCCGTCGAAAGTGACGAGAGCCTCCCTGGCGGAGTCAGAGGGGCCGGGCAAGGTGAGACTTATCTCGACTTGCTTACTTCGGCACTCAATGCTGCCATCCTTGGATGCTTAGACGCAGCTGTGCAAATGAAAACATTGGTTGGCGCCGCGCTCATCGGCATTGGCCGTGACAACGGCCAGGTTATCATCTATCCGGGAGTATCCCAGCGCAGTAAATGCGCAAGCCTGCATGTATTTGCCTTCAGTAAAGATGGCACGACGTTGTTGATGGAGAGTGAAGGCAAGTTCAGCATGGAAAGTTGGGAACAAGCATCAAACGCTGCTCGCTTAGCAGTCCTTGGTCACTCTCCTATCACCGGCACCACCACAAGAGAAGCCAACAAACAATCGAACGGAGATACTACCATGAACGGAACAAACCATTCAAGTGGGAACAACTCGGTGATCTGTGTGCTGGATGTGATCAGAGACGCTATGGAGGCTCGGGTGATTAAGGACGAAAGCTGGCGACAGGATCGATGATGTTACACGTTTTGCCAGTGTGTGAATGCTGAAACGGTCACAAAGTGGGCGGCTGACTGGCACCAAACAGTGGTGAGGTTAAGAAAGTGGGGGTGGGACACAGGCTTACTGGCGTGCAATAGCCTGTTTGCGGCAGGGCCTCTATTTGCGTTGGTGGTTCAGGGGCGCATCGTCTGTGTCTAGGCCCCCACTATGGAGGATCTAGGCATCGCAACCAGGGGTGCTTTTGGTGGTTGATCGATGCCCACAGCAGATCCCCACGTGCCTGTCTCAACATCAACAACCTGCCCAGCGAAAGTCGCCCAGACCAGAACCGAGTTTTCCTATGGCATGTGCCTCTGCTACAAATACTCCAGCACGGCATCGCACAGATACCACCAACTTTCTTTACAGCCAGCCCATCGACTGAGGCAATCTTTCGCATTGACAAGAATTAAGATACCCATTCTCACGACTTTCCAATATATTTATAATCCGTTTGACCTCGGCTGGCCCAGAGAAATTGATCCATTCACGTTGCCCAACTGTACGACTTCAGGACGCGAAAAACATCCATTTCTGCCAGCTTCACCCGCTAACTCCGAGTCTCCGGATTACTCATTTGGTGATATCTTGTGCACCCTCAGCATCTCGTTCCCGGGCACAGCTTTTTAGGCAAGTCCCTAGGCCACCCGGCCCCCCAACGGCACATCTGTGCTGCTCCCACCCTTTCGGCGCTCTGACTGTTCCGAAGATTGGCCCGCTTACGAGCGTGTTCGGGTTCGCCCCTCGGCATCACGTACCCTTCATCACCACCACAACATTGGGTGACACAACATCCAGATCGCCCGCTGTTGACCAGATCCACTTCCACCGGCTCGGCTTGTGCCTTCGTTTGCCCTGCAGGTCGTCTTCTTTTTTAGGCCTGTGGCTTTCCAACATGATCACATCTCCCACGAGCAGTAACCTGGACATCCAATATTCCCACTCCACCTTATCCTCGCCCACTACCTCCGAGGCCACTAGTATCAGCAACTTTTCTCCACCAACTCCTGTCCTTGATAATCCTGACCTCCTCCTTCCAGATGGCATGGCTCCTTCGACCTCCAAAACGTCGGTTGGAGAGTCCATCCTGCGTCAATATGCCGAACATCTAGATCCCATTGATGCTGACGGCCAAACACACGCTGTGCGCAGTTTGGTCCATGCAGAGCCCGATCTCGTGAGCGAGAAAGCCGCCAGCAGCGACAACGCGTCCCCCAACGATCCTCTGAAGACCTCGTATATTGCGCACCACCCTACCGTTCCCGTGCCAAAGCCGCTGCTGCTGCCGAAATCTCTGCTCACCCACCGCAAGAACCCAAAGTCTATAGATATACCAAGACAAACAATCATGAAGGCTCTGGTCTCACGGCGGCCCAGTGCGGGGCCCAATACGGCACCATTGGCCGCGAATGCTCTCAGGACAGCTACCAGCGACGTGGAATTGGATCAACAAAGAAGCTACACTGGTTCACCATCATTGACGGCTGCCTTTGCTGGTCTCCAGGCCGGCACGCTGTCAACATACTCGCCTACGTCGACGAGTTTTCTTCGATCGCCATGTTTCTTCCACCAGCGGTTTGACGGGGTCGTGGACATTCAAAAGGTCCTGGAAGAGATCGCAGACGACGACTACTCGCATTCGCGCCTGATGCAAACCGCAACCGGCGTCAGGGAGGTTTCCAAACAGCTGCAGCGGAAACCGCTGAAGCGAGCCGTGCGCAATGTCATGATTGTGACTAAGGCTCGCGACAATAGCCTTGTTTACTTGACACGTGAACTTGCTGAGTGGTTGCTCTCCACGCCTCGGTATGGGAGTGAGCTCGGCGTGAATGTCTACGTGGATGCCAAGCTCCGACATTCCCAACGATTCGATGCGGCTGGTTTGTTGATAAAGGAACCTCGGTTCAGCAAAATGTTGAAGTATTGGACTCCAGATCTGTGCTGGTCATCGCCGGAGAAATTCGACCTGGTCCTCACGATGGGAGGTGACGGGACCGTGTTGTTTACCTCGTGGCTGTTCCAGCGGGTGGTGCCACCTGTGCTTTCCTTTTCTCTGGGAAGCTTAGGTTTCCTGACGAATTTTGAGTTCGATAAGTACAAAGAACACCTCGACCGGGTCATGGGCGACGCTGGCATGCGAGTCAATCTTCGAATGCGATTCACCTGCACTGTCTGGAGAGCCGATCGCTCTCCCGGGGCAGTTAAGGGTGCCGTGGAGGAGGGCGAGCAGTTTGAGGTTTTGAATGAGCTCGTCATTGACCGCGGCCCCTCGGCTTATGTGTCCAACTTAGAGCTCTATGGCGATGATGAGCTCCTGACCATTGTGCAGGCGGACGGGTGTATCTTTTCCACGCCGACGGGATCCACGGCTTACTCTCTATCAGCTGGAGGCTCCCTGATACACCCGTCTATTCCTGCCATCTTGTTGACACCCATTTGTCCGCACACTCTTTCATTCCGTCCCATGGTGTTATCGGACACTCTTGCATTGCGGATTGCAGTCCCCCACAAATCCCGGTCGTCGGCTTATTGCTCTTTTGATGGAAAAGGCCGGATCGAGTTGAAGCAAGGAGATTATGTGACCCTTGAGGCGTCGCAGTATCCCTTTCCCACTGTCATGACTGGCACGAATGAATGGGTGGAAAGTGTACAAAGGGCTCTGAGATGGAATGTCAGAGGCGCAGTCCAGAAAGGATGGGACAGCGGGGAGGATGAGGACAGTGACCACGTTGAGGAGAAATGGGATATCGACATTGACTCGAGCCCTCTTGGAGGGACGGACAGCGGCATCGGGCCTAGCGAGGATGGCGACCATGCGGCAAGCCCGATGAGGCGCCAGCTGAGCATGTTGAATATGTGAGAAGGGCTTCTCCCCGACGGTTCTCAATACCCCTTGAATGGGATTTATTACGACACAAAACGTATTTATCGCGACGGAATAAAAGATTTGTCGCGACGGGGATTTTCAATAAGACGATGGTGCTGCTGCGGCTTGATCTGGTAAGATCCATCCTATCTTGCTTCAGCCTTGCACGTACAACATGCTTCCAATATGCTCTGTACCTTCTACCACAGCCAAAGGAGACTGTCCCATCACAACCAGAAGCTGATATTCCTAGTCCCTTCGCCTTGGCGACCTGAACTGATGTCTGCACAGTTAACGGTTAGCGCCGCTTTTGTGGTGTAGAGGGTGCGACAGAAAGATGGTTGTGAAGAAAATAACAACATAAATCTTCGTCGAAGCCCTTCTTCCTCTCACTTCCCTTCATCCTCTATCTCACCGTCGTCATTTCAACTCGTCGTGTTCTTTCAAGATCGTCGCAAAAGCTCTTCTAAACTTACCATACTGTCGCGCGACCATCACATACAGACCGCGACACTATCCCGACCACTTCTCCGATCTTGACCAAGTCAGCGCGTGTCAAGATGACTACTCCAAACCGATCCTCAGGTAAATTCTCTCTCAGACACGATTCGTCGATCAAGTTCTAGCCAAGTGATTTCTCTAACATCAAAATTTTTCAGGCCCACGACCTGATTCTCCTTCCTCTCCCTCTGAATCACATCAGCGTCGTCACAACTTTGCCCAGTTCTTCCTGCCTGGTGATCCTGGCTGGCCCTCTAGCCCGTCCAGCTCATCTTTCAGCTTAGACCTGCGTGCTCAGACAACTGAATCCATCAACGACTCTGGTTCTACCTCAGCACCTCAAAACTCACACCTTGCCACAGCTGATGCTAGCAACAACTCTGTCCCTGCTTCAGGATCTCAACATTCAGGCCTTTCCGCAGCTGATCCCAGTCACAATTTCATTTCTGCCTCACCACTTCAAAACTCGAACCTGTCAACAACTGATCCCAGTGACGATTTCGTGTCTGCTTCACCACCTCAAAATTCAAACCTTTCAACAGCTGATCCCAGTCACGAGTTTGTTTCTGCCTCAACACCTCAAAGCTCAGCCCTTTTCAAAGCTGATCCCAGCAACGATTTTGTTCCTACCTCAGCTTCTCAAAATTCAGACCTTTCCACAGCTGATCCTAGTAACGACTCTGTTCCTGCTTCAAGTTCCCAGAATTCAGACCTTTCTGCAACTGAGTCCAACAACGACACTGTTTCTGCCTCAGCATCTCAATACTCAACCCTTCCAACAGCTGACTCTAGCAACGACTCTGTTCTTGCTTCAGCATCTCACGATTCAAACTTCTCCACAACTGCAGCCCTCATCGAACCACCTCTTGGCCTTCGTCGTGTGCACGCAACCACAGACTTGAATTCCTTGCCAGAGTATCCTCGGGTCACGGGTTCTCCTGAACGTGATCTCAACTCTGCAATCGTCACATCACAAGGCGATTCACTTGATCCTCACAATCAAGCAAACAACGCATTCACTGTCACTTCAAGTTACTGGACCGACGAACCAAGTTGGGGTTTCGCGAACATCCCAGGTGTGGCAGTGAATTCTTCACCCGCGAACCGAGAGCGCGAAACCTCACCCAACACACAAAACTCTTCAACCTCTTCCAGCTCTGAAGACTCTCTCGACTCATCTGATGAAGAAGCTCTAAGCTCAGTGACAACATATGACAACTGCTTTCTATATCCATATTCAGATGAGATTGGCTTTGATCACCCAGACAACTCCCCAGAAGCTTGGGCTGCTTTCCAGCAAGAATTAGCGCAGCAGGGGATCCAAATCACAACTCCATATGATCGCAATTCCACTCCACCTCCTCAACCTTCACTCCTCCAACTGACAATTGAACGAATCATCCGTGAAGAGATCCTTGCCACCCCCTCAGCAACAGACAACAACGCATTCAACGGCCATGTGATTGAAGAACTTGACGACAGCAATCAAACCGCGTCAGATGATCCGACCAATTTGGAGACAAGCCAAACAAACAATTCCACAGAAGGACAATCTGCCGCACCTATCATTCCACCAGGTCTTTCGGAACTTGACCAACGTCTCATCCAAATTCCGTGGAACAGAGCTCCTGGCCTTCAGCCACGTCCACTTCTCGACTACGACTTTGAAGTGACTGCATCTCGACTTGTCAACGAAGGCAACGTCACTGTCGATCCTCCACGCATCGTCAATCCTCTCTTTCCGCGTCCTGGTCAGGTGGCCAACACAGTTCAAGCTCCACGTCCAAGTGACGGTGTCATGACCCGTCGCCTCCGTCACGAGGGCCATCGTGCCTTCACAACAACAACATCATCCATCCCAATCAACGAGGATGGGCCCCGTCGTGCTGTGACGGACTCCCAGGTCATGGGAGTCCCACAGTTGCGGCGGGTGGAGCGGTCGCCATCCCTGCGCTCCCTGGCCAGGAGCGAGGAGGCCGAGGCGAATGATGCCGACGCCTGGACGGATGCGTCTGAGGAGGGTGAGGATGAGGTTGGGGCTCCGGCCCAGGAGCAACGGCAAGCTCCTGAGGACCACTGGTCTTCAGGAGACGAGGAGATGGACGAAGGGCGCGTCAACCTTGACGAGGTTGACGCCCCGGTTGCGGAGCAACTCCGTGCCGGGCTCGCTCACTTGAGTGAGGCCCGTGTCGATATCGACGTCCTCGACGGCGATCTCCCTGTTGGCGCCTTCCGAGGCAACCCAGCGGCTATCCGTGCCCGCGCGGGTCTCGCCACTGCAGAGGGCGAGATCTTGGGCGCGGTTGGTCAGCTGTGGCGGTCCCTCGTGGAGGCGAGGGAGGTCGCCGTCGATGCCCAGGAGGGGATTCGACAGCTCCAAGACGAGGTTCGCCGCCTCACAACTGAGTACCTTGCAGCTCAGATCGAACTCGCTCTCGCAAGAGAGCAAGCTCGTGACGAGCAGCAGTGAGGCAGTTGTGAGTGCGGTGGCCTCGCTCTTGTGAGTGTGTCTGGTGGTGATGTTTTCTGGTGGTGTCCGTGGGCAGTTTCACGGGAGGGAAGGGAGGGGGAAGTGGGGGAGGGCGGCGCGACGGCTGCGGTGATGGTGCTCTTGAATGGCGCCGTGGGTTTGTGGTTGCCGGTGCCCTGAGGGGCTTTTAAGAGACGACGACAGTGTCTTTTTTTGCGTCTTTTGAGCACTACTGTGGTGCCAGTGCTCTTGTGCCCTAGGGGCTTAACAGAAATCAAAAAAATTGTTTTAAGTAGAGAACCTCCTTCCGCTCCATCATTCAAATCATCATCGCCGTGGCAATGGCTCGTTTGGTCGCCATCTCCAAAATTATCATCGCCTATTTGAGTGCCATGGAGTCATCCACCTCTAACTAACATGGTATACAACGGCATTGACGTTTAACTATAGTATCACTCTTCATGACAGCTGCGATATGAGCTGAATCCCTCCAGCACCATCGTTTCTGATACACGGGGAGCAAGAGAAACGAGATAGAGAAAGAAGAAAGGATAGGGTCTTGATTGAAGTGCTCTATTCCTCCAACAAATGCTATCGACAGGATGTTGCAGAGGACGAGGAACTGAGTCAGTGCGAAGTGACAGGCGATTGAGAGCGAGACCACCCATCTCATCTCAGAGAAGTGGCAAGGGAGGCCTCGTTGTCATTGAGTTTCAAAGAAATCGAAACTGAATCGGGGACACATGAAGCATGCTGTCGAACATGCTGTTGAATGTAGTCTACTTCGTGCAGAACCACTCATGGGAAAGAAACATGGGGATATATGGGGAAGACGACCATATGGTGGCGGGACAGACAAAGGTGATTGGTTGGTCACACGGCTGCCAAGGGGCCTTTCTTCCAAGTTGAATTTCTTCCGCCACCCACCAAGAGACAGAACGGTCAACTCACGACAACATTACTTGAAAATCACACATACTTATTCCAACAGATATCAAAATGGCCGAAGGTATCGACAGAAATGCAGATGGTATGTCCGACCTCCCTCAACGAACAACGCGATCGAGATCTAGCGGACTGACATGGACAAACAGAGCGAATGGAGTTTTCGACTTCGAAAGAAGTCACGGTCGCCCCAACCTTTGAGGACATGCACCTCAAGGAAAATCTCCTTCGTGGCATTTATGCGTATGGCTATGAATCTCCCTCAGCAGTCCAGTCTAGGGCCATCGTGCAGATTTGCAAAGGACGAGACACCATTGCGCAGGCGCAATCAGGCACTGGCAAAACCGCGACCTTTGCGATCAGCATTCTTCAAATCATCGAGACATCCGTCCGCGAGACACAAGGTATGACTGGAAACCCATTGTGCGCTGTGACTTGACTAAGGATGAAATTCCAGCTCTTGTTTTGTCCCCGACGCGCGAATTAGCAACACAGATTCAAAGCGTCATCATGGCCCTCGGAGATTACATGAATGTGCAGTGCCATGCGTGTATCGGAGGCACCAATGTTGGTGAAGACATTAGAAAACTCGATTACGGACAACATGTGGTGTCGGGTACACCTGGGCGAGTGGCAGATATGATCAGGAGAAGGAACCTCCGCACACGACACATCAAGATGCTGGTGCTGGACGAAGCAGATGAACTCCTCAACCGCGGTTTCAGAGAACAGATCTACGACGTCTACCGCTACCTGCCTCCCGCCACGCAAGTCGTGGTTGTCTCTGCCACCCTTCCCTACGATGTGTTGGACATGACCACGAAATTCATGACCGACCCCGTCCGCATCCTGGTCAAGCGTGATGAGCTCACACTCGAAGGCCTCAAGCAGTATTTCATTGCTGTCGAAAAGGAGGAATGGAAATTTGACACACTGTGCGATCTCTATGACACTCTCACCATCACACAGGCTGTGATCTTCTGCAACACCCGCCGCAAGGTCGACTGGCTCACCGACAAGATGCGAGAGGCAAATTTCACAGTCAGCAGTATGCACGGCGAGATGCCTCAGAAGGAACGGGACAGCATCATGTCCGATTTCAGGCAGGGCAACAGTCGGGTCCTCATCAGCACTGACGTCTGGGCTCGCGGGATCGATGTTCAGCAGGTCAGTCTGGTCATCAACTACGACCTGCCCAGCAATCGCGAGAATTACATCCACAGAATCGGGCGCAGCGGGAGATTCGGCCGCAAGGGTGTGGCCATCAACTTCGTCACCAGTGAGGACGTCCGCATCCTGCGGGATATCGAGCTGTACTACTCGACGCAGATTGACGAGATGCCCATGAACGTCGCCGATCTATTGACTTAGGAGCGCTTTTTACCCGGCTTGTCGTGCCACAGAAACAAGAACTATCGAACCGGATCGGCTCTGTGGAGACTTGCATCTCTCGCCGGATGTATCTTGTATCGCGACGACCTCGTCGTCGCTCCGCCACCTCTTCGCCCGTCTATCACACTTGAATCCACTCATACGCCTCACGGCTCGACGTATCTTGGCGCATCGTATTGGCTTAGAAGGGATCTAACCGGCTGGCGGGATTTGCATCATCGAGGGAGCACTCCTTCTGAATGGGAATACGGCTCAATTTGCGGCAGCAGCGTTGCAGTGACCTCCGACTCTGGGTCCAGTCGAACGAGCTACGACTTGAGTTTTGCGGAAGCAGACAGTTGAAAGAAAGCCAGCTTGCTGTCTCTTTCAAGGTTCTCTCTTTCCGGGTATCAGGTACTTTGAGGATGGAAAAGGGCTGGAGCCAAAAAGGTACGGTGTTTTCTTGCTCTGCTAGCAGCAGAATAACAGCTGAGACCGTTGCAGAATGTATCATATCCTTATCGACGGAAAATGACTTGTAATATCTGATCCCGTCGTCATGCTCGTTATCGAATGCGCTCAGACCTTCCAGGTATTTCCCATCCCCCAGCGCCCTTGGGGCCACCCAATCAAACCCCAACCCCTGTTTCCACTGACCCTAGTTATCGAACGCTGAAAACACATCCCGCTTGGCCTCTTGATATTCCTTCAGGATAGTGTCTCGTCTTGCCTCCGATCTTACCTTGACCTCCAAAGCATAGGGCTTCGCACACACCAGGAATCCTTCACTGTATCCCGTTGTCGGGTCGGTGTCGGGAATGATTAGCTTTCCATCCTTGTCCTTCCCAGGCGCAAATTCAAACGCCCACAACAGCTTTGAGATGGCAATGAATAGATTCCTCTCCGCAAGATGGATGCCTGGACACAGACGCCTACCGGAGCCGTAGCCATAGTGGTCCCTATCGTCTGGGTTGACTGCTTGAGCCAGTTCCGAAGCAAGCGCTGTGACGCCCTTGTAATGGTCTGGATCGAAGGTGTCTGGATCGGGAAATCTCTTCTGGTCGTGGTGCATGCCCCAGGCATTGATGAAAATCACAGAACCTTTGGGGATTTTGTACCCATCAATCCAGTCATCTGCAGTATCAGATCAGTCGGTGATGACAGCCGTCTTTTCGAGTGGATTCTCGTACCTTCATCCACCGCATGGGGAAAGGCCAAAGGCACCACTGGTCTGGACTCCTTGTTAGTATGAAGCAGCTAGATGGGGTGGATGGAAAACGGAAAAATGGAAAAAATGAAATATGCATGCGACTCCAATCCGGCTTTTGGGAAAACCCACCTCCACCTCATAGCTTCCTTCACCGTTGCAGCCACATAGGGCAGCTGCGCATAGTCTGCCCACACGGGAGATCGATCCTCGCCCATCACACTGTCGATTTCTGACTGCGCTTTCCTCATGACCTCTGGCCACTTGGTGAACGCTTGTATGGCCGCGATAACAATGCTCGAAGACGTATCACTTGCTCCTTCCATCATTGTGCCTCCCAGGAAATAGAGTTGATGGCGGCTCAATTCGAGCTTCTCCTTCTGGTCGAGGACTCTGTCCATGAATGAGTACTTGCTCCCCACGGCTTGCCTGCGCTTCTCAAGACCTGTCAACATATCGTTATACAGATCATTCATGGCCTTTCCCACGTCTTTGGCTCGCGAGCGCCAGTTTCCAAACAGCCGTTCCGGAACGTAATGGAGGAAGGGGAAGATGTCGACGGGAGGGGTGTTGCCCGGTTCCATGACCACGGACCAATTCTCCATCAGGTCGTAGAGGCGTTTCATGTGTGGGGTGTCCACTGTGGGAGACCTCACGCCCCAGATGGTGGCGCATGCGATGCTGTTGGTATAGCGCTTGGGGTGGTCCATGTGCTGATCGGGTCGCTCCAGGAAATCTTTCAACAGTTGACTCGCCTCAGCTTGCTGCAGGGGTAAATGGTCCCGCATCACGATTGATTCCATGAAGTGCTGATGAATCACTTTTCTATACCTTTGCCAAGTTTTTCCATAGTGTGCGATCAGGACATGGTCGCCGCCCGTAATCAGATTGTGTGAGACGTAGCTGTGAGGTCGGTCACTATAGATGTTTGATTTCTTGTCGATTAGTTGTTTCACCAGCTGACGAGAAGTGAGGACGACGGCGGTTCCGGGGCCGAGTTTGAGGGAGAAGATGCCGCCATATGTCTGTGTAACCCGTTAGAAAAGTGGTCTCGGAGGGGGAGCAACTTGCGGCGGTGTATACGTACCTTGGCCCATTCTGTGAAAGTCAGGTAAGAACCTTTGGTCGGGATTTGATGAATGTTTCCGATAAAGGGTGCGGTGGGCGGGCCTATTGACGCCAGATCGATGAGTACACGACTTGCAACACCTGACCTGTTGCTCACGATTGGCTCTGAGTCCACATACCAGGGGGCAAGCCTTTTTCGCGTCGTCCGATGAAGAGAAAGGCATATAGTAGAAATGCGACGAGCACACCGCCGAGTGCTGGGAGGACAGTTCCTGGAGCCATGGCCGAAATGGGTGCGAGACAGCACAAAGTCAAGCAGGAGAATAGCTAGCTTTTGACTGGGAGGAGGATGGCGCCTTCCCCAGTAGCAGCTGATTTTGGCTTTGCAAACCCACGTCTAAGGAAAGAGATGGGTTGGGAAGGAGGGACCGTGACTGGATATTTATACGCTTCATCACTCAGTCTCCTTCAAAGAACCTCTTTGGGGACAGTAAGGTACACACCATGCTTCGTAGAACACCAGGCGGATCGGCGGTCTAGCTCGCGGTGGCCGGGGGCATTTCCTATGCTAATATCAATTTGGATAACTACGAGGTACAGTATACTGTACTTCATACCTACCTGACCACCGCCCACGCTTGCACTGTTCATCCCCCACAATCTTCAACCCGCTCCCCACAACCTCCGACGTGTCAACGTCCCACCACCAAAGTTCACACATACTCTTCCCCTTTCGGAGGCCCCGCCCAGAGGAGTGTCCACGAATGGCGATCTAGCTTCTTACTAAATATCAACCAGGACCACGACCGCTTTTGTTCTAGCTCCGGCCGTTTCAACGGAATAACCCCATGCCACCCCGAATTGATGCTGATATCATCCGAGGCGACGGGGTAGGTGCATAAAGCTTCGCTAGTCCTCCAGGGGTTTGGGACACGGAGACTGCCCTATACTTCATACTTCGTGCACGACTCGGGAGGCTGACTGACCGACTGTAGGTAATCAGTTTGGAATCCTGCTAGCTCGAGCTGAGCACAAGGCTGAGATACAGCTTCGGCAGCGACGCTCATGCCGCTTATGCGGAGAAATCAAAAACTCCGTTGGAGGGACGGACGGATGGACCTCGGCTGGCGACCCCCTCATGAAACTTATCAGACGAGAAGTCCCTGATGTTCTGGAGTATATAATCTATATATGTTCCGGTCAAACGACAATATCAGATTTTCTCAGGAGCTTTTACACGAACAGTATAAGCTTATAACACTTTCAACCGGGAAACAATGGCTCAGCTCCAAGGGAAAGTCATCGCTCTCACTGGCGCGGCCTCGGGAATTGGCGCAGCCACGGCCCTAGAATGTGCTGCGCGAGGAGCAGCAGGGCTGTCGCTGTGTGACATCAATGAGGACGCCTTGAAAAAGGTGGTGGACCAGATACGGGCAAAGGGCGTCAAAGTGACAGGAAGACGAGTGGACGTCGCCGACTCGGACCAGGTCGATGCCTGGATCGCAGACACAGTCAAGGAGTTTGGCAGGTTGGACGGCGCCGCCAACATTGCGGGCGTTGAGACGAAGCCGGGCGGCAAGGTCTTTGCCAACATCGTCGACATCACCAACGACCACTGGGACTTTATCCTGAAAATCAACCTCACTGGTCTCTTTTACTGCCTCCGTGCCGAGCTCCGCGCCATGGACCGGGGCGCCTCGATCCTCAACGTCGCCAGTTTGGCCGGCGTCATGGGCCGCCCTGGCATCGGCGCCTACTCGGTCAGCAAACACGGCGTGGTCGGCCTGACGAGGACAGCGGCCAAAGAAGTCGGCCCGCGTGGCATCAGAGTCAATGCTCTTGCCCCGTAAGCGTTACCCCTTCTCTATTCCGATTCCACGAGGCTAACTGTCGTTACTTTGAAAAGTGGTCCTATAGAGACACCCATGCTGGAGAGGTTACTTACCGACGGTGGTTCGTCAGATCGCCCCGTCACAAACACCTACAAGACCTTGCCTCTCCAGCGACTGGGAACTGCCCAAGACATGGCAAAGACCATCTGTTTCGCCCTGAGCGACGATTCGAGCTACACTACGGGCGCCACATTCTCTGCAGACGGCGGTGTCGCCTGCTAGATAGAAAAAGAACCCCTAGACCCTCTTCTCGGCATGTAGCTTCTTCTTATTCTTCTCTCCCTTGATGGTTTTGTCTCTGCGGCTTTGTATACCCGAAGCGTCCTACCCCTGGATCTCGAGCACAGCGCCGCCATTCGCCGGGACGTTGTTCCGGTTGATCCACCTGCTCTCCTCGCTCGCCAGAAAGCCGACGATGGCCGCGATGTCCTCGACCTCGCCCATCCTCTTCTCTGCGGTGTTCCTGCTCACCAGATCCGGGATGTATCTGTCCGGTAGAATGCCCTGCTCGAGGGGAATCTTCAGCAAGTCCGTCATCACCGGGCCCACCGACACCGAGTTGATGGTAATGCCGTGCCGGGCCGCGAAGATCAGAGCGAGGCTCCGTGTGAAGCTGTCCAGGGCGGCCTTGGACGCGCCGTAGCACACCGCGGGGTCCGCATTCGGCGTCTTGGACGCGGTGCTGCCGACCATGATGACGCGACCGCTTTGCGGCAGATGGGGCAACGCTGTCAGAAAAAGCTGCACGGGAGCCCACGCGTTGCCCATCATGAGGTTGTCGAAGAGTTCCTTGGTCACTGTGACGGTGGGCGCCACAATGCTTGGGTTAACATAGGCCGCATTGCACACGATGATGTCGACGGTTCGCGTCGAGAGGTCCTGGAGCACCTTGGACACCAGGTCGGATGCGAAAGTCGGTGAGAGGACATCCGCCCGTATGGCGGTGACCGTGATATCTGGGTCAATTTTGCCAATTGCCGCCAGAGTCTCGTTTGCGGCAGACGAGTCCCCGGCATAAGTGATGGCGATCTTGGAAACGCCTCTTGCCGCGAAATGGATCGCAATGCCGCGGCCGATGCCTCGCGACCCGCCCGTGACCAAAGCGACTTTCCCAGCCAGAGGCGCAGGAATTGTATTTATCGACATTTCGAATATGTACGCGGGGTCGATAGAACCACTCGTTTAGCTAGAGTTCTCTCTGTGTTGGCGACGAGAGGAGCCGCAGATGGCTTAGGCTGTTTACCTTCTGGTCATTTATACTCCAAAGTTAGGGCATGATAAGCGTGAGAGCACTTGATACTGGTTTCTGGCGCCCGTTCACGTTTTGCTCGAGTTGGATCAAGTCAGAGGACCCGCGCATGTAAGACTTTGCGATGCCAAGGGAGACAGGTAGAAGATGGTGAAGTTGAACCCCAACGGATAGGCTGAAATTGGGGAGACCACGATCAAAGAGTAGTAACGATATAGATATAATGGCCCATGACACAGGGCGCTGTAGAACAGCCACTAGCCATACACACCCATTGTATTAGACGGAGAATGCAGAGTCTCTAATCAGACGACCTCCAACTCTAACCCATCTTGGCTGTATTCGGAGTCCCTCTTTGTGGATAATAATCACTGCTCAGTGGGAAGGAGGATCGGAGGATTCATTTTTGCTAGCGAGCTCTCATTTCTTTGAAACACGGGTGTAGTCTGGCATGTAGATGACAAACAAGGGACGTAATAAAAATGAACCAAGTGCTGCTCACAGGTGACAGCTTGATGGATGGACGAACCGATGTCGACTCTGTCCTCACGGTGTAAACACTACCCGCAACTTGAACGTTGGAGTGTCAGATAGCTGACATCTTCGCTTCTTTGATCAAGGTAGTTACATGGCTCGATGGGCCTGGGAAGTACGAGTATGGAGTATTGCTTCGTAGCCTTTGAAGGGGTCCGCCCTGTTCCACCACCCCAACTAATCCCAAAACTAGTTTTTACTGCCCGACTCCGTAGTAAAGCACTAGGAAGAGCCGTGAAAATCCCCGATCAAGACGTTTGTTGCGTTTGAGCGATCTCCAAAAGAGAGATGGTCTGCTTCATGCAAAGACACCCCCAGGGTGTCACGCTGCGAAAACATCTCATAGGAATTAGGCAGGACTTCGTTACCCAGAGATCGAGCTGCCGCACGTCAGACACAGGGGCAATCATAATATTCCTCATTTCAACCAGTATCTTGCAAGGTGATCTGAGAGCTGCGGCTAGCCACATGCATGGACTTCGATGAATTACTCGGCTCCCTGCAAGACAAGGGGTTTGACACTTTGTTGTGCAGGAGTTCACTGGGCTGGATAAGAGTGGACCAAGATCTGACGGGTGCTCCCAAGATATTCATTTAGCCTCCTCGATTCAGCCTGGCTTCGAACTTGGAGTGAGTGTGTGGTTTGATATTGGTGCTGGGCTCTTTATTCAGAGCCTTACGCCCGTCTCTGCCCCAAGCTGGTACGCTGGCTACGCCATGAGACCGAAGGAGTTAGTGCCTTTCCTAGAGGGGCATGACGCACGGAAGCTAGTGATAAGCTTAACACGACGTCTCCACGCATGCCAAGGCAATGAGGGGTAGAGCAGCCCGAAGAGCGCTGTATATCTTGGGTCAGGGAGATAACAACGGTATTAATCATACCTGCACCATCCCGCGCAAAGGCTACGGCATTCAAACCTTCTTTCAGCGCAGTTGAGCAGCTCACTCGGCCACATCAACACCCTGAGCACCATGAACCGTATCTACCCTCGCGCTCTACTGCACCACAAGACCCTCCCCTCGTCCCTTATTGGCGCGCAAACTCGTCGTTGCTTCCATCCAGAGCCACGATCCTTTCAGAACAGCGCCCATGGCACCCATCGATTTATCTATCGATGGACCATTCAAGCGATCGGTACTCCTTTTGCGGTTGCATACCTCTGTGAACGGCTTTCGGAGCGGAGTGACGGCGAGAGCAGCTTCAAACTGAGGCTCCCCGAGATTGATACAGGACTTCTGACTGAGCCGATACGGGTGAAGAGCCAGGTTTGGGGACAAATGCGGGTAGATTGATTGATGGATTCACTGTGAATGGGTGAGCTGTGTACATAAGTCGGAGCGCAGCTTCAATCCAGTCTACCTCCGGGGTGGTTGGCAGCTGTATATTATGGACCTCACGCAGGCAGCACATTATTCATGATCAATGAATTGCACAGCCGTGGCACGGGGTAGGGATTGTTTTTTCATCTTTGATAGAAGCTCGAAATTCCCACAACTCATCGCAGGCTTGGAAACAACCCAACGAGGGATGCCACGTCAATACCTCTTGATCATCTTACTTGCATCAGATATGGATGAATGCGACAACCTGAAAAATGATCAGAGAGTGAGTCTCCTCTGGAGGCGTCTGATGCCGTCATGTTTTCGACAGAGGCGAGTTGCCCCGGCCACTCGGACAGTCTGGAAGTTGAGCCTCGCACTTCCTGCCTTATGGGAACCGGACAAACCAGCAGAGCGATGCTCGATGTCAGGTATCTTCCTATCAAGCTCCTTCTCCTTCTGTCTGCCCTGACTATCTCTGTTTGCTTTACTTTCAAGTACCCTCTTGTCCTGAGGCCTTGGGCATGACTGGTTGAAACGTCAAGCCCTTTCATTCCCAGGACGGACTGTTCCAAGGAGACTAGAAGTTACTGACCTGAGGCCCTTTCCCCGTGTCTCGCCACTGGCGTTCCTGTCCACGTACTATGTGGGGTAAGCAGGGGATGGCTCTGGAAAACAAACCATCGTTTCTGCAGCTCGAGGCTAGCTCGTTGTGGCATACGCCCCCGCTCAGACCTCCGGCGGGTGCTCCGTTGCATTCTCGCCGACCTACAACCTCAAAAAATTACGCGGTCCATAGCAACAGGCCCTGGCCTAGCCAGCACTGCTGGTATCGACAATTCGTCGGATGATGGAGTTTGGAAGGACTTTCTCCTCCGCGAGGAGGCGGGGTATAAATGGTGATCAAGCAACAACGGCCGTTGCACAAATACCGCCGCGAGCAATTGAGACATAGATTTGCAGAAGTCCAGATTCTCCTACAAGTTACCAGACCACAGCCATGCCGCGCGAAGACATCGAGTTCAAAACGCAGGACGGCGTGACTCTACGGGGGTGGCTGTACACGCCGTCCGTGCCGGCACCTTCCAGCGGACTGCCGTGCATCGTCATGTGCCACGGCTTCGGCGCCGTGAAGGAGATGGGCATCGACGCGTTCGCCGAGCGCTTTACCACGCGCATCCCCGTCTGCGCCCTCGTCTATGACAACCGCAACCTCGGCGCCAGTGACGGCCTGCCCCGACAAGAAGTCATCCCGGCCCTGCAGTGCTCCGATTACAGTGATGCCATCACCTACGCGCAGTCCAGACCTGAGGTCGATCCGAAACGAGTCGCCGTCTGGGGCACGAGCTACAGTGGTGCGCATGTGCTTTCGGTGGCGGCGGTCGATCGTCGAGTGAAAGCCGTCATTAGCCAGGTAAGTTACTTACCTTCTGCTCTGCTGTATTTTCTCTCCCTAACAGGTACCGTTTCAGGTCATGGTCGCGGACGGGTGGGATAATTTTCACCGTCTCGTGCGCAACGACTTAGTCAAGGACATGGAGGCCATGTTTGAGAAAGGCAAGTAACAGCTGCTGTCAATCAGCCCCATCCGGACCGACTCTTGACGTCCAACAGACAGACAGGGTCGTGCGAGGGGCGAGCCGCCCATGACCATTCAAAGCGTATCGGCGAACCCCGACAAGGAGCTCTGCGTCCTGCCCACGCCCGACAGCTGGGAGTACGTGTCGACCTGGATCAAGAAGCTCCCCAGCGTGGACGCCAAGAACGAGGTGACGGTGCGCAGGTATGACATGCAAAAGTATAAGCAATACGGGTTGGTATAGAACTGACTTCGACGGTCCAGTATGGAAGCCTTCCGCGCGTACAACGCCTCGGGCTACATCCACCACATCTCCCCGACGCCGTTGCTCATGGTCATCGCCGACAAGGACGAGCTGACGCCCACGGATATCGCCATCGAGGCGTACTCGCGAGCCCGCGAGCCCAAGGACATCTTCATCTTCCCCGGCGGGCACTATGCGGGGTACTTTGGCGAGGCCTTTGACAAGAACACGGCCGTCCAGATTGAGTTCTGGAAGAAGTGGTTGCTCGTATAGTGAAGAGTTCGAGTCCTCTCTCTGTGCATTCGCGATGAGCTGCGGCTTTTTCCGTCGATTACATAGTAGCCCTTTTTCATACCGAAAAGATCCATCTCAATGACTCAGGGCATTCGATTTTCAAGTCTGGTCAGATTTTGTTCATTCCTTGTAAGCGAGGCAGCTGATTCTGCCATGGCAATGGCCCAGTGACTGCATCTCGATCATCTTCCACTTTCTGCCCTCCAAGACCGGTCCCCGAGCCTCTCAATGTACATGGCATTTCATACCAGCAGGATACCTGAGCAGGCTCTCTGCCGCTACGGGCTCTCCAAAAACCGGATAAGGGACAAGAAGAGGTTGAGATGTGCTTTTCCGAATGTTAAATCTACCTAACGCAGGAAGTCTGCTAACTACTAGGAGATAGCGCGCCCTCCGTCGACTTCTAGATTGGTGCCGGTGACAAAGCTCGACTCGTCACTCGCGTAATACACGACGGCATTGGCCACGTCGACGGGATCTGTCAGCCTCCCCAGGGGCACATTGCCGACAAACTTGGCCCTGTTCTCCGGTGTGTCCTCGGTGCCTGTAAAACTTGACCATAGTCCGGTGGCAGACAGGAGGGGGAGGACGCCGTTGAATCGAATCTTGCTTGATGCATATTCTGCCGCAAGGCCCTTCGTCGCATTGAACGCGGCACCCTTCGAAGCATTGTACCACACCAAACCGCCACGGGGCCTGAGTGCGCCGATAGAAGCAATGTTCACCACACTTCCGCCTTGCCCTCGGTCGATCATGGCCTGGACTACCGTCGGCACAGACCAGAAGATCGACCGGACATTGACATCGAAACACCTGTCGTATTCGTCCGGTGTCACTTGTAGTGTTGGCTTGTTCTGGTATGATGTGCCCGCGTTGTTGACAAGAATGTCGATTTGGCCGAAGAGAGCTTTGGTTTCCTTGACCAGCTTTTCCCAGTCGCTGAGTAGTGTGACATTCGTCTGGACAAATTTCAGGTTGTCATGCAGGGCTGCTACCTTTTGACCAGCGTCGATATTGAGATCTGCCACGACGACTCTCGCGCCCTCTTCAGCAAAACGAAGCGCTATGGCTTTTCCGAATCCACTGGCGGCCCCTACTCCCAGAGTCAATATTCTTGGGCACCAGCCTAGTCGAAGAGAGTCATACCAGTGACAATAGCCGTTTTACCTTCAAGTCTGCCCATGTTGAAAAGACCTTTGAGGACAACCAGCGACGTCTTTCTGCTGCCACGCCGTGACAGCCGATGCTCTGGGTCATGCTATTAGTAGATGGCACAGTCGACGGACCCTTATTGTGACTCTCTGATAATAGGATGGAAGCAGGCTGTATTGCGGCGCCTCCGATCAGGCTTCCCCGTCAATTGGCGGAAAGCGGGGGCGTTGATCCCATCGCTTAGCTCTCCCCACAGAAAGTAGCTCTGTAGGCTTGTGAATTGTACAATCCTGTCATGAGATTGCTTCAGAGAAGGTCCTCGGTGGAAGGGATGCGTTGATCCATAGCGATCCATGGGACAAAACGGAAGTTTGAGGATTGAAGTAGTGTGCCTGGTGCTGTTACCAATCTACCCAGGCATGGACTTGCAGAAACAGTGGCCAGTAACCTCTTGGATAATCCCACATCTTTGAAGTCTGCACTGTGCTCACAGAGCTGGACAGCGAGGAGCTGAAAGACCATCACCTTGAGTTTCTCTCCAACTTCCTGGTTCAGGTGAAACTCTCCAACGTCTTGTAGAATTTAAGCGAAAGGCCCCAGAGGTTCAACTTTTCGATCGTTTTGAGGGCGCTGCATTTGATGCGCGTATAGTTCCTCTCGTCTTCAACATCATCAGCGCCATCTAGCGAAGCACGAACCTGGCCCTTGTTAATCCACAGTTCTACCACACCGTTCTCGGACGCATTCCGAGACCATGGTAAGCGGTCAAGCCTGACAGAGCCATCGCCACTTTGGCTTTCGTTGTGAGGGTGGGGTTTCATGATGGGGGTTTTGACAGGATAAGCATCACCGCCTCTGTCACTCGAGGTAAGGTTTTTCCGCATCTTGGGCCCAAACTTGACAAATGCCAGGATGTACGCGTATGCGTCGAAAACCCTGAATGTCTCGCAGGGCGTGTACACCGTACACTCTCGTGAGATGGCTATGATTGATGCAGCATGGTACGCGAGCCGTCTCGCATGAATCGCATCGCTGGCAAATACCATCTGCAATCTGGCCTTGACCATATCAAGCTCCATCTCGTTCGAGTTGGCTAAATTCTGGAAGACATGTATAACCATTTCCATGATTTCTCGATGATTGTTCAGGCTGGCGTGATGACTTATGAGACATGTAATGCTGATCGATTTTGTCAGCATGTTGATGTCAGCCCTTTGTATTTGAACTTACTTCATGTGGACGAGGTCATCAGGGCGAGATGGTTGAGTTGCCGAGTCATGCAGTACCTTCAGACTTTGTAACAGCGATCTTCTGAGAGGCTTCTGAGATTCGGTAAGGGAGTCAGGGGCAAGCAGGTTGGATATTGAATTGTCCACCTCTTTCAAGTCCCAGAGCAGCCGGCATATAGTATGTGCACAGCAACGCTTCCACCACGTTGCCAACTTATCAGGAATGGGTTTGCCATTCAGAAGATCCCGCAGCACAGGCCGAAACGGGGAACCGTGGAGACTATTCTCGGTAAGCAGCGCCATTGATGCCCACGCCCTAGTAGAATGAGCTTCCCAAAGACACTCGTTGCAAGGCAGCCTGTCTGGGAGTTCTTGGAGGCTCACCACACCCCGTTTTGTGGTTAAGCATGATAGACTGTTGTCGTATTCGAAAAGGCACCACGCAAGCCTCTTTGCCATCTCGGTAGTTCGCCATTGTAACCATGCAGCTTCTAGTCGCGAGCTGTCTTCAAGATCGAGTTCCGCAAGCTCAGGGACTCGGAGATTCCATGGGTCGGTACCATTCCTAGATCGGTACACACCAGTCCTCCTGAGACTTAACACCAGGATTCCACGGAAATTGTCTGCGCTCTCATGGACTGACGGTACTCCAACACCCAAGCCATATACTTGGTGCAGCATGGACGCAGTGACAAAATCGATGTTTTGATAGCTATCAGGTCCGAGCCGGTACTACTCCACAGGATTGGTCAGCCGTGACTCGGGAGGATCCCAGGGCATGGTGCTTACAGCCTTATTCAAATGTCGGGAACATATCTCAGCTAGGAGGCTTGATTCTTCATCTAGTCCTCTCTTCTTGTGATAGCTTGTAGAGCCCAGGCAGGCCAATGCTGCAATTAGATAGGTAGGGCACGTTGAGATGTCCCATGTCGGCTTATGCATGACCGGTAAGTTGGGGTGAAACTCTGCGAAATAAATATTAACCAGTTTTTCAAGATGCCGTACTGCGGCGCTGAATTGCGGAATACTGATATCTGACGGTAGCCTCATCTTGGAGAGAACGGCGCTGACGCTTTCGAGGAGATTCGGGGTAGAAGTCGGCGGGTTCTGAATAGGTCTCCTCTCGAGGTATGAGGAAACGTTCGACCGCTGATCCACAGGAACTGGTGGAGAGAGACCATGTACTGAGGACATGGGTATCGTCGATTGCCCTTCCACCACTGGAAGCTGTTGAGTCTCTTGCTGCCTGGGTCGAGCAGGTGAGTTACCTGATTGCCACGAAGGATCTAGTTGTGGCAGCGCCGCTTGGATCGAGGAACCTTGATCAAGGCCTAGCCAGTCTATTCCCCACGGCGCAAAAGAATCCCAATCGAAATCTTGGAGCCTAAAATCCAGTTGTCTCGCAGGAGTGAGCGGTTGTTCCATCAAGAGGTCATGAGGCTGCAAGTCAGTCAATGTCGAGTCAAATTGATAGACTTCTCCTTGTGCTTGAGGCTCGGATGGGGATCTTGACAGTCGAAAAGTGCGGCTTGCATGCTCAAATTCTGACGTTTGGTATTGTGTATCACGCAATGGCATGATTTGTTGGTTCATTGAAAACTGATCAGGCCGCACCGCCACATCGATTGCCACATTGGCAACACCCAGGTCAATGCTCCTGCTGGCGGAGCGCTCTCGACCCACGAGCAGACCGGGCCCATCAATATATTCATCGGCGGTGGTTCTCGACGTGTCTGTACCAGCGGGCGATAGCGGTACTGCCTCCCGATCACGCTGTCCCGATTTAGACGGTTGTATCGAATCTGCAACCTGTTCTGGTGGATATTTCTGAAAACTGCAGAGTATACCTCTTGTCAAGCAGGCTTCACAAGGCGTTGACCGAGAGCATCTGAGCTTTTGTCGAATACAATTCTCACATGACGTCCTTCGGCCGCCGGTATGTTTGTTGGAAATGCCATGGATCATGCGATCATGGCGCAGAAGAATATCTTTTCGAGCAAACGATTTGCCACATCTTTCGCATTGGAAATTATGGATTTGGGGCCCTCTGGATGTCGAGGACATTAGTACATCCCGAAGCCGGATTGAAAGATGGGAGAACTTGCTGTGTGTGAACCCGTTGATGTCGCTGCAAGTGTGTCTGCCTGGTCACTGTCACGCCGCAGATACTGCACTCGAAGCCTTTCTTGCCCCGGACGGTCAGTCAGCACCGAATGCCAGTCGATCGTGAAAGAAAGGTCGCACCGAACCCTGCTCGCGTCCAGCCATGTGTGCAGCCTAAGGAGTTCAGCACGAACCAGTCCAAGAAGTCGGTTCTCTGGATTGAGGAACTCCCAGCCGGGACATAGCCCTGCAAAGGGAGATTCCTTGAGTTAGGGAAATGGGTTATGGTCCGCGATATTGAGACAAAGTTCCAATAAGGAGATTGGGACAATGGTTGTCGGGATAGCTCTCTGTTAATAAATCGAATTAGGTCGCTGGCCGCTGTCGCTTGGCTCATATTTCAAGAACCCGGAGGTGCGGAGAAGCGATGGCCTGAGCTGCGCTATAGGCGACGTAGGTGTGCACAAAGTGATTCTTGGGTGCTCTCAGTGGCTGGAATAGCACCAGCTGGTGCCCGAGGTAGGGGGTGCTTACAGGCTGTTAGGCTGGCTTAGGGGTTGGCTCTTGTCCAGACTATTATGTTCTTCCGCCCCTGGTGGGGTGCGTGGGGGCTTTCCCTAGAGTGGCTCCCCCTCACTGCACATTTTGTCACCCGAAAAATCAAAAGACACAGCTTCAGTCGACCCAAGAGCGAATTTACTTGTATATATCTGTGGAATCTCTCCACGCCTCAAACCTCGTTCTATTGACATCCGGACCCGCCATCAATGTTAAAGTCATTGCCTGTCACAAAGCTACTCGCTTCGCTCATCAGGTATACTATTGCTCCCCCCAACTCTTCTGGCAGTGCCATTCGGTTCAGTATGTTGCTCTTTGCGAATCGCTCTTCCTGAGTCGGGTCCTTCTCCATGACCGACCGGAGCATCTTGGTCAGGAATGGCCTGTCTCTAGGTTAGCAGGGCTTAGGACTGCGTGAAGAGATGGTCATCCATACCCAGGACTGATACTGTTCATGCGAATATTGTGCTTGGCTAGTTCTCCAGCAGCTTGTTTCACCAGGCCGATGACTGCATGTTTCGAGCAAACATACGCCGTGGCAGTCTGGGGAGCCAGTCCTCTGTGTCCGGCTGTCGAGGATATGCAGATGATGTTACCGCCCGTCTTCTGCTTGATCATATGCTCGGCGCATATTTGCGCCGCCGAAAAAGTACCTATCAGCTGTGCCTCGTGATCAGCAACCTTCTCCTTCACATGTTCTTGGAGAGTCTCACGTTCACCGCGTACGAATCTCTCAAATCCTGAGGAGTATGCTCCATAAAAGGTTTATTTGTCATGATACCAGCGGCTGTGATGCTATATTGACCATGAGTTCGATCTTGAGCGTGCAAAGGCGAATTCGACTTACCAGCCATCAATTGAACCGAACTGCTTCGCGGCGAGATCGATAGTCTGCCTCAGCATCTCGTGGTCTCGGACATCGCATCTGTGGCCGTCAGATCAACAAGCAAAAGATGCAGAAGCCATCAAGCTTACTTATGGTAGACGGCTTTGACATTGAACGTTGAAAGTTCCTCAAACTCCTCGTCAGGCTCGTCATGGATGTCGATTGCTACAATATTCGCACCGACTTCAGCCAGCGACCTCGCGAAACTGAGTCCCAGTCCTCGTCCACCTCCAGTCACGACCACCGTCTTATTCGTCAACAGGAATTTTTGCAGGACCGGTTTTGGCGGCACTTGAACGCTTCCCATGCTGGAGAAGATGCTGTCCTCCCAGACTCTTCGTGGACAACCAAGGTTTGACCGCTTGACCTTGGACGTTGATGAATCTGTCCCTTTCTGAACCGGGAGACTCCAACGTCTTTCAACTCCTCGACTTTGGTCACAGTATCTTCATCCGCCACATTCTTCTCCAAAGTAACACATATTGCGGGTGTCCGGCGGGGTCTCCGTCGAGCTACACCGTGAACGAACCCGTCCACCCCCTTATTCCCCGCAATGCAATTCAATGTGGGTGTTATCTTAATCGACTCTGCAGTTTCTCTTCCGGGGTAATGTGGAGGGTACCCACGCGGGCTGAGCCTTGCAGGCCAGTGACACCGGAGCTCCGGGCAAGGTCTACAGGACTCGAGACACGACGGCCTAAGGTATCTCGCTAAGATAAAGACAAGTTGAGAGACCAGCTCTGCCCTGGTCATTGCTTCGGTCCAACATTCACCATTGTTCACTGAAGTTGTGCACCACCTTCCCCATTGACAATCATGGGCTCTTTCAACGTCGGTCTCTTCCCTTCTTTGAAGGGCTATCCTCTCCAAATCTCCATCATGTTCACTTCCGCCATGGCTTTCCTCCTATTTGGGTACGACCAGGGCGTCCTGGGCGGTCTCATCACCACGCCCGAGCTGCTTGGCGGGCTCGGAGTGTCGCCCAATGATGCCAACCTCCAGGGAACCATCGTCGCCATTTACGACATTGGTTGCTTCGTCGGCTCAGCCATCTGTGCTGTGGTCGGACACAAACTGGGTCGTCGCATCTACATCGCCATTGGGTCCCTCCTGCTCATTCTTGGAGCCGGCTTGCAGGCCGGTGCGCACGGAACCGGAACCCTCATTGGAGGCAGAGTCGTAGGCGGCATCGGCATGGGATTCACCACGGCCGCCGTCCCCGTCTGCGTCGCCGAGTGCTCGCAGCCCCATGTGCGTGGCGGATTGGTCACCACGCAGATCTCGATTGTGATTTTTGGCATCGTGATAGCCTACTGGCTGGACTACGGGACGATCGCGAACCTGTCTGGCCAGATTGTGTGGCGATTCCCACTTGCGTTTCAGGCAGCGTTTTGCGTGCTGTGTTTGCTAGGTCTTCCTTTCCTCCCCGAGTCTCCTCGGTATTTGTACTCTCATGGCTATCTCGAAGACGCAGATCAGATTGTCGCCCGGATATATTCAGTCCCAGATCATCACCCTACTGTCGTCAACGTGCGAAGGGAGACCTTGGAAGCTCTCGCCGCGGAGAAAGAGTACAAGATTCGTTGGGCAGACATATTCTGGGACACGTCCAACTTGAACACGGCCTGGCGTGTGTGGCAGGGTGTAATCATCATGGTGCTCCAGCAAATGGGCGGCCCAAATCTCATGGGATACTATTCCACGCTCCTGTTCACACGCAGTCTCGGCATGAGCGAACACCAGGCGGCTTTGGCCTCAGGAGGATCGTCCATGGTCATGTGGGGGGGCACCATCTTTTGTGCTGTCACCGTGGACCGGCTCGGTCGCCGCACGCTGTTCCTCGTGGGTGGCTTGACGCAGTTGATCATGATGGTGCTGTACACGACGGGCTTGGGTGTTGCCAGCACGACCACCCTGCGCATGTCGACGGTATGCATCTTCCTGTACAACTTCTTTTTCGGGGCCAGCTGGTGCAGCGTGCCATTCACGTACATCCCGGAGATCCTGCCTCTGCACGCCCGCGCCTTCGGCACGGCCATTGCCGTTGGCGTCGAGTGGCTCATGACCTTTATCATCGTCAAGGTCGGGCCCATTGGCATCTCGAACACCGGCTGGAAATTTTACCTCCTGTTCTGCGTCGGCCTCTCGCTGCAGGTCTTGTTTGCGCTGTTCTGCATCAAGGAGACCAAAGGCATTCCTCTCGAGGAGGTCGACGCGCTCTTCGCCAAGAAATCGACTCGGAATGATCTTCGTGCCCGCTTGACAGGGACCATGCCCGAAGCCAAGAGCTCTCATGTGGTGGAGGTCGAGATGGAGGAGCACGAGAAGAGCGCTGTCTAGGGAGGGCAGCAGTGCGGACAGTGGGAAAAAGCAAAATATTGCGATTCCGTCCGACAGGAGTGGCCATGTCTTGGGGCCTTGAGAGTGTTGAATGAAGTGGCATGACTATCTGCCGAGTATTGCCTCTCCGTCTGTGGAACTATTTTTTATCTTTCGTGGCTCAGTCACAAGCATGTCCATACATAAAAGCCCATGCGAATCTATATTACCAGGCATTCAGCTACCTTGCACAACTTGGCTACTTGCGATAAGCCAGGCAAGGAGGGATCAAGCAATTGATGGATACTCAAGATTTGTCATTTTATCATTAGTATAAGCTTTCTAAACGACCGATCACGACGCTCGTTTTGATGATATTACTTTCTTGTACTGCTATAAGATGATCCGCCCAACACACCCTTGTGGGAAAAGGCTTGTCTTCTTTTCACTTCGCTTACAGCTTCCCCACAGCAGCTCAATGACGTCCCTAGAGATTCTTCTTCAGGAAGTCCAACACGATGCCTGACATCTCCGCCAAGTTGGTCTCCAGCAGGAAGTGGCCCGCGTTCAGCAACACCACCTCGGCGTTGGGCAGGTCCTTCTTGAAGGCCTTGGCGCCGGGCGGGACGAAGACGATGTCGTTCTCCCCCCACGCGGCCAGCAGCTTGGGCTGCTGCTGGCGGAAATACGCCTGGAACTGCGGGTACAGCGGCACGTTGGAGCGGTAGTCGGTCAGCAGGTCGATCTGGATGTCCCTGTTGCCGATTTGCTCGTTGATCAGGGAGTAGTCCAGCCAGTACGACTCGGGCTCGATGTGCTCCGGGTGGGCGCTGCCGATGGTGTACTGGGACATGATGCCGGCCAGCGTCAGCGCGGTGGTGTTGATCGGGGTGGCCGCGGCCTGGAACTGGGCGGGCGTGGTGGCGTTCCAGAGGGCGAAGATTGGGGGCCAGAAGGTAGCCCCAAACCCTTCGATGTAGGCGTTGGCGTTCTGCGAGATAAAGGCGAGGATGGCCTGGGGCCGTTGTAGGGCGAGCCGGAACCCGATAGGCCCGCCGTAGTCGTGCATGTAGGGGACGAAGGCCGTGATATTCTTCGCGTCGAGGAACGACGCCACCGTCTCCGTCAGCGCCTCGAAGCTGTACGTGTAGTTCAGCGAGTCGGGCACCACCGTAAACCCGAAGCCTGGGTAGTCTGGAGCAATGACGTGGTAGTTGTGCGCCGCCAGGATGGGGATGAAGTTTCGGAACTGGTGGGACGAGGACGGGAAGCCGTGCAGAAGCAGGAGGGTCGTGCCGTTGGGAGGGCCGGCCTCTCGGTAGAACATCTGGATGCCGTCGGGCAGAGTAATGTTGCTCACAGTGTACGGCAGCCCATTTGGTGTCTGCTGGCTTAGTGTGAGGATGGGGAAGAGGCAGAGAAGCTGCGAGAGCTTCGAAAGCATGCCTTTGACCATGGTGGACAAGCTCCTCGGTATTTCTGACGGTGCACGAAAGAGTCTTCAATGGTCAGCTGCCACACCTTGCTGGTAATTGACCGCTGGTCTTTCTTCTCATGTGGAGGTGCCGGTGACTGCATTATATAGCACTCTGTCTGGTCCCGAGCTTGCGGTCAAGGTACACGACGTCTTTGTAAAAGTCGGATGGGGCAAGTCATGATCGCGAATGAGGGTATGTACCATGTCATCACACCCTAACAGGACGCCGTACCTCGCAGCAGACAAGAAGTCGAGAGACCGGTTTCGTCCATACCAAGACTGTCCGCCCGGTTGTGGTTGGTCCCTATTGGCAGGCCAACAGCGGGGTTTCCTAAGGTGGAAGGTCTCTTGGTCTCCATGTGGCGCGGGCTCCCGACGAAACCCCTGAAAAAGGAAGCCTCGCCTGATGACTAAATGCCGTTCCCACCGCTCGTTCAGCGGGCTTTGATGCGTCAACACGCAGTAGCCACAGTGTCATACAGATATCCGGGATCCAGTTCGTGAATTGGGGACATGAATTGAAATGGCTGTCCCGTCCAATGAGAGGAGGAAGAACTACAGCGGGTGGACGGAACACGGGGAACGAATGCATATTGGCAAAGCTCAGCCAGTGTTTGGCATCGAGGGCACGAGGGTTGGCGGACTGAGGGACCAGGTAAGTGCACGGAGATCTCGGAATATCATAGTGCAAAGACCTCACAAATCCTGTGGATTCCATGAAATGGTGGGTTTGTAACAAGACTCTCTGTATAATGTCTTCAGCGATGCGTGCTATCCGCTTGCTGACTCATGAATTGAATTCCACACAAAGCCCAATTGCCGCCAAAAAGGCGTCATTCCGCTGAGGTCCTGTTGCTCTAACGGGCTTGTCTGTGGCCGTAGGATCCCTCCCTCATCAATCCTTCCACCACTTCACGGGGGGAAGAAACGAACCAATACACGGTGTTTCCGAGGGTAGGATTTCCGGCAGACCATACCGACGGCGCTCCCATCGGAACCGATTGATGGATGCCAGCAACAATATTCCTGGCCAATGTGGATCGTTCGCTGTGGGACTTTGTGTCGGCGTTGTTCCCAAGACGAGCGTATAGAATGAGACGTTAGCTGAGCTCGCCAATAAGCTCAAGAAAAGCTGACCGTGGGTTCGTGGTAAGTCAGAAAATAGGGACCGAAAGCAATCCTGATAGTAACAGAGCTCAGGTGACCAGAGGATACCTGCCTCTTTCCAGCCACTGGAGATTCCGGAGTGCCAGCAATGGCGATGGTGAAGAAGGAGTGGACTCCACGATCGATGTGGATGCCGGTCTTCAATACCCAATATCCAATAGCGTGTGCCAACAGTCCGATCATGTCCGACGAATAAATGATTAGAAGGAGGTCACAGAGAACGTCCATCTCGGATCTGGTAATCGCTCAAAGCCCCATTCTAGACCGAGTCTTTCCGTTTTCGCTTCGACAAAGTGAACCTGGTAGAGATGTCATTTGCACACAACTTGACCTTTAGCTAAAAGAGTGAGCTGGCATAGACGATTCGAGTTGAAAGCCAATGGCTCCTGTCATCAGTTCGGTGGTGTCCTTGAGAAACTTGCATCCACGTGATCCACTGGCAGTTTAGTTTCTCCTCCTTCCTTGATCTCAAACCCTGCAGCATTTTATCAAGGTTGGTGTGGCGTCGCATCACCTGGACGCATGTCGAGATTCAGGCATGGCGCAGTGTCTTCCATGTGCAGGAGTTGTCGTGATAAGACAACCGCCACCACTTCTGCCACTCGATGGCTTGACGCAACAAAGTTCATTCGTTCAAGTCACGACAGTGAGCGACATCAAGATCGAGGCTAATGACAGTACCAATGGGTGCAGTTCCTGAACCTAGCCGGCTACTGCGGCTTGTTATACCCGAGGCAAACTACCCAACGTGTCCCAACTCCGAGCCCGAGATTCCAGATGCGGGGGAACAGGCACAAGAGCAGTTCCACAAGTTTTCAGTCAAGAGACTTTCCTCCCCGGGAAAGTGGTTGGTATCGTGATATCAGATTTATCCAATATCTGAAAATGGCGAACGAAGCTTTCACGGTGTCGCGCGACAAATTGACGGGACCCAAAGGCGTGACCGCCTTAGTAACGGGCGGCTCGTCAGGCATTGGCCTGCAAACAGTCATCATCCTCCACGAGCTCGGCAATAATGTGATCGTGGTGGACAGAGCCCGACCTCATCCAGCGGCGCCACCGTCGTTGATCTCGTCGCCTCGCTTTCTGTATCAACAATGTGATATCACCTCATGGAAACAGCAGCGAGCCGCCTTTGAGGCGGGATACCAGAAGTTTGGGTCCATTGATTGCGTCTTTGTCAACGCGGGCATTGCAGAATACAAGGACCAATTCTTCAAGGACGAATTGGATGCGGATGGGCTGCTCAAGGAGCCGGATAGGAGAGTTATCGACATTGACATGCACGCGGCCAATGACACGGCGAAACTGGCCATTCACTATATGAGGAAGAAGGGGTCCGGCCAGAACAGAGGAGGGAGCATCGTCATGACGGCGAGTCTTGCGGGTTATCTGGCCAGTGCTGGGGCACCGTTGTACAGTGCCGCAAAGCACGGTCAGTCTTTGGGCGTGGGGGCTTTGCTCTGTGGCCGTCGCTGACATTCTGGACAGGTATTGTGGGCCTGATGAGGGCGCTGAAAAACGACACAGCAACACTGGGGATCGCCGTCTCTGTGGTGGCGCCCGGCATCACCTTGACCGATATCATCTCGGGCCGCAAACCCGAGGAGTCTCTGGCCAACTGGGCTCAAAGAATGAGAGGGGTGGGCGTTCCCATCAACGATCCACAAGAGGTGGCATGCTGCGTGGTGTACCTGATGAGCCAGGGCATGGAGGCCAACGGCAAAGGGCTACTGGTTCAAGCCGGACGGGTGGCAGACTTGGAGAAGGGAATAGCGACAACGAGGAAGATGTGGATGGGCGAGGAGATGCTGAACCTGTTCCGAGGGGGGCGGAATGCACCGTTGTTTCCCAACAAGCTGTAGGTGACGAGGTACCGAGTACTCCGTACTCACCGAGGATACTCGGTATAGAAGCATCAAGGTCAGCTACTGTAGCTCTAGGGACAGCTACAGGGTGCCGAGCACAGTACGAGGTACCTACAGCAGGTATATGTATATGGTACGAGGTATTATTCCTATCATATTCATAGCCAGCCTTGTTATTCCTATAATATCCATAGCCAAGGCTGGAATCTAACGGACGTCACAAGCCCCCCTTTGTTTCTTGTTTCACGAGCAGTGATCGACGATGCAACGGGCTGTTCCTGGCGCCACACATCCACCACCACTGCCACTACTAACGCCATCTCCAAGCCATCAAATTTCGCTTCCCTCACACGACGCAGTACTTTTCCACTCTGCCAGCCCCGTCCTTTGCCCGGCTTTTGATCCTGATCCCAAGTTTGAATCGCAGATCATGGGGTTGACCATTACTCCGTACTCGGGGACTTTGTTCATCATCTCCACGTCTTCTGTCCAGAGCATGCATGTGCCTTGATGCATTCAATATAGCTGCTGTGTAATTGTTTGTTTGTTGCGACTCTTGCTCCTCAATCTTCATGTCTGTAACTGTGAAACGCCTCAATGCCGATACAGCCTTTCTCCTCGTCTTCTCTCCCAAGGCACATCCTCTTCCTCCAGATCTCTCCTCCGCAGGCGGCGCCGTTTCGGTGCTGATCGATCCATGGATCAACAGTGCCTCCACCAAGACTGACCACAAGCACCTTGCATATTTTGAGGAACCCGACCTGCTGATCGTGTCGCAAACCAAGCCGGACCACCGCCACAAGGAGACTCTTCTCCGTCTGCCTCTGGAAGGGAAAACCATCATCGCGGCGGAACCGGGTGCCGCAAAGGCCATCAAGAGCTGGAATCACTTTGATCCCTCACGAGTTCAGGCACTCCTCAAATATGACCCCAAGGTCAAGTTCGGGCGCACCCTACGACTCCCGGTCGCTCCTCTGTCGCCACAGGGCTTTCCAGGAGAGCTGAACATCGCCTTCATTCCTGCGAAGCGCTACAAGACAGGTCTGCACCATGCCATTGGCATCACATACCAGCCACCGACTCACACGAGAAGCATTGCACCGATCGCCACGGTCGATCTCCCAAAGACCACGAGATACTTCCATATGCCCCTCAGTCCAATGACCATGCCTCCATCGAGTCCTCCCGCACCCGTGACTCCTCTGATCGACCGACCCGTGTCTTTCGACCTGCCAGCTCAGAGCCCCAACGTGACAAACTTCAAAGGACATAGACCACGACTGTCTCGCTCCTCCAACACTGCTTCGTCGGAGTTTCTTCCGGCGGCTGACCAACCTACCATTCGCCCACAGGCAGAGCCCGAAGCTGAACGGGGAGGGATCGTGCAAAAAGTCTTGACCATCCCGGACCAATCTGCCCTCTTGGACACTACTTTTCGTTTTGAACTGGACCCTGCACCCTTTGCGTTTGTCAAAAGTCTCCCCACGCCACCAGCTTCTCCCGTGCCAACGGCGGTGTCATCTCCCAATCCTTCCGCCACGTCTCGTACGAGCACCCTCTACCATCACCGCCACAGGTCTTCCGTGACGTCGCATCAGAAGTCTTTATCCAGCATCTCCTCCGTGCCAAACCTCGCGCCCATCACTCCCGCCCGTCCCAAGGCCGTCTCGGTCATCTACTCGCCTCACGGCGTCCCGCTGTCCGACCTGCAGCCCTACATCCAAACTCATCTCGTGCGACTAACAGGGGCTCTTCCGTTGACCTTACTGCTGCACTCTTTCGACTCCGTGCGAAGCCCCTGGTATTTGGGCGGCACCGTCATGGCCGGGATGTATGGCGGAGCAGAACTCGCTCGTGCATTAATGGCCAGATGCTGGATCAGTGTGCACGATGAACCCAAAGCTCATCGTGGGACCAGCGTGAAGAAACTCCCGGCGAAGCGTGTCTCTGTGGACGATGTGAGGAGACATGTATGGGAAGGAGAGGACGGTGAATGGCTCAAGAAACGAGGATGGACCTGCGATGTCCGGCAGCTGCATCCTGGGAGGGAGGTGTTCATTGGGCCGAGCAGAGATCTATGCTCAGGCATGGAGGGAAAGCGGGAGAGCCGGTTGTTGCGGTTTGGTGGCGCTGGGGAGGAGATGAGATGACAGATCCCAGCAGTCATGACAGGAACACTCTGATCTTTTCAACATGTACAAACAGCTGTATATATGGTTTTGATGAGAAACGATCGACTATGGCATCCATGATCCCCCACCAGATTCTCCCCCCAGCAGTCCTAGTTGCTTCGCATCCCGATTGGCTGGTTGTGGGCGGAGGCTCTGCCCCATTTCAAAGACGTCACTCGTGGATCCGTGTCGCTATGCCACTCAACGCGCTCTTTGTCTTTTTCCCTATATCCTGATGAGGGTCTGTCTGCCAGAAAGCCCTTCACTCTTCAAGTCAGCCATCTCATCGACAGACCGTCACCAGCCCCCCCCCCCTTCCCAGTAGCCTGACAACATGGCCGAGGTCTTGTCCCCGTCGCGGACGGCTGCCCTCTTCGACATTCTGACCCATTACGACACCTACGCCCAGATCCGTGAGTTTCGAAGACCCGGCAGCCTGGCAAACTATGGACCCCCGTTTACCGCCCGGCAAGACACACCGTCCAGCTCACCCGCCCTGCAGGCTCTGGTCTCCAAGTTCCTGCTCAACCTGCCCGGCTTGAACAACCTGCCAGACAAATGGTGGACCGTGCAGTGTCAAGAAATCATCGAGAGTCTGGAGCGGGCCAACCTCAGCGAGAGCTATGACAAAGGCGTCATCGGCAGCCGCAAGACCCTCGCGACGGCCATATCAGCCCTGATCGAGTACCCGGTCAGAGGCACCTTCGCCGGCTTCCCCGAGATCAAGGACCGCGATTCGAGCTACGACGTCACCAAGGCCGACGATCTGCGACGTGCCTTTCGAGACTTCCTCAACGATTGCGTCTACGGCAATGTCCTCGACGAGATGGTCCAGAAGACTGCCGAGACGGACAATCTGGACGACCACCCTCAGCTAACAAAGGCCGTGCACGAGTTTGTGCTTGTCAAGTGAGCTTATCTTTTTGGAGGGTGTTTGTGGCCCTTGCCACACAAACATACTGACCGAATCGGCCCAGCATTGCGTCCTTGATGCATTACACTCTGATTCTGTCGCCCAAAGGCCAGTACCTGCTGAAGCTGGTCGACAATGCCAATAAACTGGTACCCTACATGGTTCTCAGGCAAACACTGAAGATTGGAAATGTTGCGACCATGATCAACGCCATGGTCAAGGTTGGCCTGGCCAAAATGAGCGTGACCAGTGTGACCAACTGGATAGGCCTGACGCAGTCTTCCGACGAGGGCACGAATTTGATGCAAACGTACGCCGACGACTTTCCATCCTTTCCACATTGATTGATATTCTTGGCTCACCGACCCGCAGAATCATCTCTACAGTCCTTAACTGGGATATCCGGGATCTCGAGTCGAGGGCGGCGAAACTCGAGCGAGAACGCGCGAAGCCGGGCAAAGAACAGCTGCACGCCTTGAAGGACTACCCGCACAAGTCGCAAGACGAGCAGGATCGCATCCGAAAGGAAAGTCAAACGCAGTCCATTTCGATCGTCATGGCCATCTTGAAGGACGCGAAATCCCCTTCGGCCGAGCTGACCGAGTTCCATCACAAGCAAGCCTTGGAATACCTCTCGATCCATCTGTCCATCCGTGACCGCAAACAGCTGATCCAGTGCCTCTGCAAATCCTCCCCAGACCACCTCACCATGTCTGTCCGAGAGGTAGTCGACGCCTACGAGCCCGTCATTCGGCGGATGCACAAGGCCATCGACCTGTCCTCCACGCTGTCTGACTTCGAAAGCTTCCTCAAAGACTTGATCAAGCTGGCGAGGATCCACACGGACAAATCCAACAAGGCCATTGTGCCGACCGTGGGAGACTTCGTGCAGCTCCTCCGCAAGCATCAGCGGTCATGTCACATCTTCATGCACCAGTGTGCCAAGAATGACAAGGAATTGACGGGCTGGTACCTCGAATGGGCAAAGAATGCAGCCTCACAGTTCAGACACGAGCCTGGCGGTGACGGGTCTGACGTATTCAAGCACGGCAAAGGCGGAGCGGGCAATTTGACGTCGCCCCTGCACGACCTCTTTTCCTCCCTCCCTCAAGAAACCCAATCCCGCATTCTGCCCGTCCTCGACGCTCACACTGAATATTTAGACAGGATGCACGAACAATCCATGGCCCGCCTGACCAACGTGTTGAGGTCGCCGCCGTCCAAAAACCCTGCCATTGCGAAGATCTTCTCCTCCAACCATTCGAACCATTCGAATCACTCCAGTCGACCTCCTTCTAGGACATCGAGCCCGGCTCCGCCCCTCGACCACGGCGAGAGCCAAGGAACGCCCTCCTCAACGCCGACATCCGCATCGTTCCCCACAACGGTTTCAGAAAGCGACACGTCTCGCGAGATCAAAGAAAACCCCACGCCAGAGGTCTCTTCGAATCCCGGCCCCGGTTCGTTCCTCGCGCGCTGGCAAGCACTCCTCGACGCCACCCCGATCACCCCGCTGAGCCAGCATGGAAGTCTGAAAGCCGCGAGCTCGCCGGAGGTGATACAGGCGAGTGCGACGGACGTGGATGGTTCGAGGCTTGTCGAGTTTAGGAACAAGGAAGCGCGCGGGGAGAAGATCCGCGTGGAGGACCAGCACCCCTCATTGGGGGACAATGTAAAGGAAGATGAAGTGGGGATCGGATACGAGGCGAGGAAGAGGCAGAAGGAGTTGAAGATAGTCATTGACGCGATGGGAGGCGGGTTTCGGGAATTGCTGGCGCGGACGGGGTGTTATTGGTGAACAGCTCGGCAGCGGGAGAAGAAGAACAGACACCTTTTCCCACCAAGACAGCTTGGCCGAGAAGCCTTCCCTTCCCTCCAAGGACTACTGGCGAGCTCTGTCCACCTGTCCATCAAACAAACTCTCAGAGCTCGACTCTGGTCCCGGGGCACCACACTATCCCACGCTGGCTGCCAGTATAAAAGGAGACACGATCAGCCGACTCGACCAGATCAGCTGGTGGGACATACTTCCTTCCGTCTGCGCGCCCCGTCTATCCGTCCATGCAGAGTCAAACTCGGCGCAGGGGGGATATAGATGTCCCCTCGCGCGATCCGAGCCAAGAAAACCAGAGAGGCGGGCGTATTCCTCTCTGGTGGAGCAAGGGAGCGAAAGGGGAGCGAGCAGGGCGAGAAGCGGGTTGCAATCTCACTGTTGAATGAAGTCCCTATTTGATCGATACACATTGGTCCCTAGGTGTGAGCGACCCTGGGCGCGTCAGCCATGTATGTCTGTCTGCGTTGGGTCGTTCGCAGGCATATTCATTTCCTATCGCGAGCCGGGGGCCTGGAAGATGGTGAATCTATGTATGTCTGGATACATAGGGTGGTGAAGCCACAGGAGAAACTCGCTCTGGAGGAGGAGGAGAAGGCCTTCGAGGGCTCGCAGCGGCTCTGTCTGCCGTGCAAATCGATCGTTCGTCAAATTTATCTATAGAGTAAGTATACATAAATCCCTCTCTCCCTTTTTTTCCAAATTGTTTAATTAACAACACTTATAATTCAGTTATGCTAATTTTTATGATTTTGCCGTACAGGGCGAAAGACTAATCGAACCATGAGAGATAGACAAGACAGCACACTCGGTGGTTCAAGTGTCTCCCCCTACCCCTGGAAGAGAGCGCAAAAGTGCCGGCTGCCGGATCCTGGTGCGCGGCGCTGTGTCAAAGTTGAGGGGACTGACTCTGACTTTCAACGTAGAACTTGGACGACATCGCACTATCCTGCTTTTGGGTGGTGATGATATTGCTTGCTCCCATATTGAAAGGCATGGATCGTAAAGGGTAGACCGGGGTGAGTGCCTTGCTTCCGAGGAAAGAAAGGAAGAAATTTGACACGAACAGTCGTTTGGCTTTGAAAAGCACCGGACCAAACCAAACTAAAAGTCTGGTTCTCTCATACATGCCTTTTTCTGCTAGCTCCTCGAGAAACCCTACGTGTGGAACATTCCCTCCGACCACAGCCTACCAATCTTTGTTTGTCTTGTGATTGTTCTCTTTTTTTGTCTTTTCAATGACCGTAGATGTCACAAATCTTGAACATAAAAAATGCCATCATTTTTGCTTATTGCCTGGGGAAACAGCTCATGACCGCAATGCCAATCAATCCTGATGAAATGAGAATCATATAATTCCTCCAAACATGCCAATGCAAACGCCAATGCAAACACCAATGCTGCTGATGCCGTGACCAGACTATCATCGTGCGGAGTACCCAACCTGACCCAAGGATCGTACCATAAAAGACTCCGTAAAGTGGTCATTTCATCCAATGTGTGTTTGAAAATAGTGAAAAGGAGCAGGGGAAATAGCGTTTTCCTGGAAAAGAAGTGGCGATCTCTCGTCCGGCAAAAATGCAATCGGGTATCAATCGTCAGGAGCCCAACACCTGCAGAACATGAACCTAACATTCCAAAAACTGTTCGTCTCTCTTCGTAACTTTGAAATCTCGATGGGATGCGGTATATCGTCGGCGTTGCCCTATCGACCTCGCAGTTGCATCATTCGTAACCTTCTCTCGTCATCCTGGATGGAACTAACGTTTCTGTGAGAAGCTGAAGTCCTTAGCACACCGTTCACAGGTGAATCCGGCGAGTTTGCTGTCCCTGTTATAGTACCCGGTAGCCTTGGAGAAAGTCGGAGGTGAGCGGTGGGGGGTTCTGTCAACGGCGGCGGACTGGGATCGGTAACGGCAGCACCGTAGGTTGGAAGAGATGCCGACTGATGAAAGTGGGATCTTGGTGCTGGGGTCTTCACCGCTGTCGTGTACGACGGAACGCGAGCCAGATCTTCCATGTGATCATACTGAGGGAACGGTGTCCTCATGCCAGACTGCTGTCCGTCTTCTTCCTCAGAGGTTCGGCGTGACATCACGAGGCTGCCTGGTTGACTGGGTGTATGGGAAGGACCGCCCGGAGATGCACCTTGATCATTAGGACTAATTCGGGGATGTGGGCTCGCATTCGAAGCATCATGTGGTGCGAAATAATCTTCAGGCATTGTCGTTGACGATGAGTTCCTCCTGGACCGTCCATTCACTGGCAGCGATAAATTACTCGCATCACTGGTTTCGTTACTCCGCAGATCCTGGATGCAAGAGTCGTCCACTCGGAGGTCCTGAAGTCTGCTCTGAAGAGCTATAGGTGACACGTAGTTTCCATTCGCCATGGCGGCAAGACTTGCGAGGTTTTCATTGGATGCGTGGCGGCTGTGGAGGTAGGGCGTCCCTGGAGTCGAAAGGGCAGTCCCGGGCGTTCGATAGCCATCAACGTCAGAATATAAGGCGTCTAGAGTGTGCTTCCCGTACACTGGCGGCGCTGCATTAGCCAAATCGTTGGCGATCGCTGCCCTTCCAGCTTGAGGCGACTGGTCGACCAAATCGTTATTTTCGTTGATAGGCAGACTGGGAGATATGTAGAACGAGACTGGAAGGTTGGCTCGGAGTTCGGAAATATGGCCGTCAGGGTTGTGTAACTGAACATTGAATTTCACTTTGTGTCGGACTTTGATGCCCTTGACGTTACAATCCTGTAAGCAATGGTTCAGTGACTTGGGCAACTCGAGATATCGAGAAAATTGATAGCCTTCGGCGACCTCGTCAATAATTTGCTCGTCCTTGTCTGGGTCGACCTTGTAAAGATCCGATGCAATGACTCTGTCCATTTTGGTCAGCCCGTTGTTCAAAGCAGATATGCCCCACTCTGGATCAACGGCAAATTCTTGCTCTTCCTTAACCTGGGTAGAGACATTGCCAATGACCAGACCCTTCAAGAGAGATATCAATTTGAAGTCAACCTGCACGAATGACCCAAAAGCGACCGCCTTGTTAGGGATACTGATGGAGTATTCTATTTTATTTGGCCATATGTTTTCGACAGACTAGCAACAGGTCAGCCCAAAAACAAAAGATAAGAGGAGTAAAGAGTGGAAGGTCCGTACCATCGCGTGAGAAAGTTCCAATGCGTTCGAATCCAGGGTGCGGACGATGCGCAATGGTTTACGGACGACGATGTCTCTCCCTCTCTTGCGACTGATCTCGGCCTTGAGGCGGTAGATGATCCACGCATCTTTCAGGCCTTCCACGCTTTCGGGCAGAGAGCCTTCCAGGATGCATCGGAATGGCCACTCATAGTTGTCAGGTTGTAACACTTCGGTCTTGCCTTTCCCAGGATCTCGGAATGTCCAACTCTTCTCAAAAAAGGTCTTCTCCTTGTAAGTGGTACGCCGGCCTGACATGGAGGATGTGGAAGTGGTCTGCCATCTGAACACATCAGGTTTAGTTGGTAAAGTGATCACGCGAGCGAGAGGCGGTGCCGGGATTTCCGTGGGGGGCACCTTTTGACTTACGACATATGCAGGATCCCACTCAAAGTCAAGTCAACGTGATGGATGGTCAGAGGTTCTGTGAGACAGAGAACCAGAGACCCCGAGAGTTGGGCACTAGCAGCCTCGTCTTCACTGCCCCGGAAAACGATGTAGTCGTTGTCGAGGCGGATATCAAAGTACTTGACACTACTACTCGAGCCCGAGTGAGGGGTATGGGCACTCAGAAACTTGAGCGCCATGGCTTGTGATTTGGACGGTACTGCTCCGTGGAGGTGACGGTCGGCTGCGGTAGAGGCAGAGGAGGAACTCGAAGGACGCTGCTGGTTCAAGGAAGGGCGCAATACTGGCTCATGGTGGCCGGAGGAGCATTCGGGAGAATGCTTGCGGTTTAGGCGAAGGAGCGGCCTAATCTGCTGGGTCGGAGTAAGAACATCAGAAAGAGAGTGACGAGATAGTGAAACGAAAGGATTGAGAACGAAGCATATGACAGACAAGGAGACACGCGCAAACAGCCAGGTACACACAAATCTCTACTCATACGTAGTAGGAGTGGACATGCAGCAGAAATTTGAGGTGATGATTGCGAAGGAAAAAAGATAATGCTCAGGTTGGAGGGGATAATTGGCCGGGAGGCTGCAAAGAGTGGGTAGGGAGGTTGCGTGCTGGGCGGGAATGGCTGAGAAGATGCAGGTAGAGTGGCTAATGAAAGGGCCGTTTGGGAACTTACTGTTATCAGCCGCGGGTCCCTCTGATGAGGGTCCACTCCGGCTGTTCTCCCGCCACCAGTTGACACCAGCGTTGCTGATGATGCTGATGCAGAAGATGCCGATCTTGGCCCAGAGTCTGTGGGCTGATGAATCTTCCTAGGCACCCTTCTAGGTAAAGCTCCCGCCGCGAATGATACCGATGACGCCGATGCCGTGGCGGTGGTGGAACCCAGGCTTGGGCTCAGTAGGCCTGTGCCTGACGGGATCTCTTCGGCTTCGTCGTTGTCTTCGTGATGAGGATCGTGAAGGCTGGTCTCGTTGAGCGTGATGGCGGGTATCGAGCTCGACGACGATACCGTCGTCCAGAAGGACGATGTCGTGTTGGTCGTGTCGGATCTCCCTCGCCCGCCACGGCCGCCGTTGTTCACACTTTGGCCCTCGAGGTTTTCCTCTTCACCGTCTTCGTCGTGGTGGAGGCCGTGATTCACGACGGGGACTGGATCCTCCACTTGAGCTGTTAACGGTGTCCTACCCTTGACTTTGGCCCTGATCTTTACGGTGGCCTTCAGAGGGCCCAATGGGGCCAGTATCGGTGCTGGCAGTTCTCGTAGTATGGCTTTCGTCCCCGCCGATCGTTGGTTCCCCAGCGTCATATTTCACCTCTTTATCTCGCAATTTCCTGGCGTCTTCTCAGTGTCTTTGTCGGCATTTGGCGCCTTGTTCAAAACTGTTCCACTGAAATCCGGCCAATCTGCTTCGAGGCTGCGCTGCTCTTTGGGCAAGTCTCGAAGGCCGCGATCTCTTCCGAAAACTCTGTCACCTGGACGGCGGGCTCGTGCGTAGTCAGAAGGAACTGTTCGGGAATCGTAGGAACAGGCGGGTACTGGCAAGATTGATAGCCAGGCAGAGATAAGCCCCGATAGCACTGATTGTCAGGCTGATAATGAAGCACAATAGCCGATCTGGGTTTCTTCTGGCGTAACCGCTCTCCGCTGCTGCCCTCTTCGTATAGTCACCAGGTCGAAGTGTTGGGGCACGTGGGAAAGAGAGTCAGGATGAGGGAAGACGCCCGATGGCACAAGATCGAAGCATTTCACACTGAGAACGAAATTATAGTGGCCTCGCGTTCCTGCTTGGGTAATGTCTGCGAATACGTGTCGTGTCCTGCGATACGCGCAGCTAACAACTCACACGAGCAGCTGGCCCTTGAATCTTTAAACGGAGTACCTGCCCCTTATCACTATTCGTTGCGTACTTCTCCAATAAGCCCCTCAAAAAAAGTGATCGTGCTGTCAGGGATCGTCAGGGCTGAGAGGTCATGGACCTTGGCTCCTCAACCTGATCCCAATCACGGAAACATGGCTATCTTACAAAGCCGCCCGCTCTCCCTGTCACTGGACGCACAGTCAGAAACAAATCATGGAGTATGCACCTCCGAAAGCGAGGCCCCCGAACTCCTGAACATTATTACCAGCCCCTTTCGCTCGTTTATTTTCTGCCTGGGAGTGATTTTTCCGTTGCGAGTCGTACTGCTGCTCCCGCCATTGGCCTCGTCATTACCAAAGGGAAACAGTACCCTGCATAAGATGCAGATGTGCATGCCCCCTTCATCCTACCCTGTTCACTTTCTTGTGGCACTTATGACTGCTCTGGGAAAGTTTACTCGGAGCGATGGTACCTTGGGAGGAGTTATGCTCTTCTCGGTCCCACCCTTTTTTGGAAGCCCGAAACTCCAGCACTGATTTGTGCAGAATTTCGAACGTTGCCTGGAGTTGTAAGTGGTGCGATGGCACCATCTCGGAATCACGATGCCGCTCAAGACTCTTTGGAGAACAGACTAGAAAGGAATTCATGGAATCGGCCCAACGGAATTGAGAAATGTCTCCCCTATTGACCGGCTCATCGGCACCCCCCGTGCTAAGCGTCTGCTTGGGAAATGCTTGCTGTCACCGATGAGATTATTCAAGTCGTCATGTGGTTTGTCGTGCTTTCAGTAGCTTTTGCCCCAATGCTGGAAAGAGTACAGTACTGCACCTCAGGACGTTGTCGACTTGTATATCGGCAGACCCACTACGGATGTATTGCCGTGAAGTCTTCAGTTGTCCATCACGCCGTCTTCACGCCGCAGCTCGCAAATATCAGGCCTTCCAGCAAACCCGGAAAGCGAAGGTGCACTCGCTTAGAGTAGACAAAGAGTCATATACCTCATCGCTTTCTATCGTTATGCCTCATGCACTGATAGCTACAAACTTCCTACTGAAATCCTGAATGGCTGCTATCCGAAGGGGCTTCTGCCATTCTTGCTGATCGTAGTCGAATTTGACGATAAATCCAGCTATGACTTTCTCCGCAATGGCGAGACTTCAACGATGTCGCGATGTGGCACATGCACTCAGGGCCTTGGCTTTTCCGATATATCTATTTGACTGCCGTTTGGGGCTTCTCGAGGTCGATTCCAAGTGCGAAGGTGTCCTTGAAATAAAGTGAGCATTCAACCGTGAATCCTCGCTCTTTTACAGAATTTGTAAGAAAACAGACGGCAAATGCACACGTACCTTCATGACAGGTTGTGATGATACAGTCCTGCTCGAATGCCAGACCACTCAGCGGATGGTCGTCTATTTTCTTGGACTATCAAATGCGTGTGAGTGTCCGCGCATCGGAAAGTCCTGTCTGGCCACGTCGTTGAGAACATACCATTACAGGGGGAAGTTGAGCTGTCCTTGCTCTGGGTTCAACAGCATGATTGAGAAATTCGGACTCGTCGACAGTGTCGGTTTGGACGAAACTTCCGGTCCGGTTCGAATCGGATCTGATTCGGTTGACGATGCTCGTGCTCTCTGTCCGTTGCCGGAGCAGCGAGGGTGATTGGGCTGAGATGCTGCCTCTAGTCCGAGCTGTTACCTGGTGTTTCCTGTGTAAGCGGCTATTAAATCGAATATGCGGCCATATGAATCAGCTTACCCCTTTCGGGCGATGAAGCATGCCAACACTGAAGTCCCAAAGCAGGAGCTTGCAGTCATCGCCTACGCTGCCAAAACGATATGTCCTCTCATCGCAGCGCCACGGATCAAAAGCAACAGCCGTTACCCATGAATCATGTCCGGGACATCGAGCGATAATCTGGCGTTCAGGCAGCGACCAGATAGTGACAAGGTCGTCTTGGCCGCCGGTGAGCACGTATTTGCCGTCAGGCGACCAGCATACGCATGTGAATCCGCCGTAATAGGAAGAATATATATCGGTCAGCCTGCACAACATCAGCCTGGAAAATCCTGGAGGAAACGCCGAGAGTGATGATTCGCTGCGTACCGTTCTTGGGGATAATCTATAATTCGGAGATAGCCATCGTCACCGACTACAGCGAGATGTTTATTGTCCGGCGAAAAAGCAAAGTCGGTGATATTCTGATTGGAAATCCGCCAGCAAGCTACCGGGTTAGCCTTTTGATTCGATGAGTTCACGCTCTTGCTGATGACCAATGTGGATTGGTCGTCATCTTCGATACTGATCGCCTCATCCACCAGCTCTTCCGAGACGAACGGTGCATCTTCCTTTTCTTTGTCGTACACGACGAGGGTTCCGTCCATATGAGCCGCCAGAAACAGGTTCTCTGATCCAGGTATCCACCTTATCGTAGAAACTGCCGAATTATTGATCATCCCATTCTTGTTGATGCGGGCATACTTCTGCGATATGGGCTCGTACCAGATGATATCGCTGGCAGATGAGCCCATTACAACATCCATGTGCGTCGAGTGTTTGGTCATGCTATTGACATCATGGCACAGCATGTGAGCCTATGGGGATTGATTAGTTCATACCGACATTGGTGATGTGAGAACAAGGAGCCGTGAAAGCACAATATTGTCTCGCGAAGACAAGAGTCACTTGCCTTGGTAAAGAGAATTTTAGTCATTGGGTCCTGTTTGGACCCTGAAGAAAGATCCAGCCACTGAAAAGCCCGGTTGATGTTGATAAAGGCAAAAGTACCTCGCTGATCTCGTTCCTGAAGCTTCTTTGCGAGGGACTCGTGGGGGATGACACGAGACACGAAAGATGAATTGCTTTTGATGATGTTGTTCTTCGGTTTCCGTCGCTTTAGACCATCTCTGTTGATGACTGGAGATAGAGCGGCGTTGCCTTCGCCAAATGCTCTCACAGTGCTCGACTTGTTGCTTCCATTTTGTGATGTTGCAAGGTTGCTGCTGTCGCTGCCAGTCTCTATAGATATCCTTGGCTCTTTCTCTAGCTCCTTGATATCCTTCAACTCCTTCACTTCCTTCAGCTCTTTGGACTCCTTTGTCTCCTTCGAGTTGTTTAATCCCAAAGTTCTCCAACGCAGGAGACTGCTTGTTGCGGTGGTGGTCCTGTAGAGGTCTGGAGTGATCTGTTTTGGGCTAAGTGATACAAGAGACAGTTTAACACCACTTGTTGGCGGAGTAACACTGGTCGCGAGAGGATTTGGGTTGACCACCGGGGCCTCAGAGGGATGAGGTGGTGGGGTTGCGAGTTGTAGATCGTCCCGTAAAACATATGTGCCTGCCCGTTCTCAGTAGGGTTTGCGGTGGTGCGGATTAGAATTGTAGCTACCTTCGCCAGCTTGGAATGTGTACTCGGGCCCTTCGCGAGTGGTCAGAGTATTCGCAGTTTCCAGAGTGGTCGCGACCAAGCCACTGTTGGTAGGGTACCGTGGTGGTGGGGGGATTGCGCTGCGCAGCAGCTATCAGTGGAAGCCAGCAGAATCCGCAACGGGGTCTCCAACATACAACATGGTCACAGGTCACGCCCGCAGGAGTTGTTATCGCCGGCGCATAAGAGTCAAGGGAAGGAACAGGACGCCTGCGTAAGGCCTCGATGCGGCAGTTGTACAATGAGAAAAGCAGAAACGCTGGGAACGGTCGAGGTGGAAGATTGAGTTTCAAGTTCGATCGTAACGTCGAATAGATTCGAAAGCAGAGGCGGCAGGTCGGGATTTGGCAAGGGGCCTCTAAACAGCCCCTACCGACTTCACCCACTAGGCTCTTCTCCGGGTGTTCCTCGAGGTTTCGGTGGGTCTCGGCCCTTCAATGCGGGGAGGGTTGCGGTCTCTGCCCACATTCAGCCAAAAAAGCTGATGGGTTGCAGTTGCAGCCGCCATAACTAGTTCATATCGGTCTGTAGAGATGTATCGAGCTCCGCCAGAGGAGTACGGGTGCCTGGACTAGGCCAGGACGAAGTGATTTTGCGCACGGCGAGCATTCCTCTGTCCACCAAGTTGTCGACGTTGTGCGACCGCCTGAACGAGGTTCCAGGGAGCAAATCATTGTCACAGCAGCAGGCGATATCATCATATATCGTCTGGCCACTTCATCGCAGCCAGCTCTTCCCTCAGCACACTGGCTAGTTCCTGGCTTACTGCCTCAAGTTCTTCCCGAATTTTCTGTGTATCTCTATCCTCCTCATCCTGGTTATCATTTTCTTCCCCTTCTTCGTCTTCTGTACGATCATCACCCCCATTGACCATCTGCCCATGCTCTTGGGATGAGTCGATACCATTCTGCAGGGCCTGTTCCTGCTTCGGACCGGGACCCGTTACAGCTAACAGCACATGGTCCGCAACAGGTGCGATCACGGAGATGGCTCCCATGTTTTGTGCCTCGAAAACGAGAACGTCCTCCGAGGCGACCGTGTAAGCTGCGGTCATGGTGGTAGATTGGGTGCGCATAGCTTTAATCGACGGTGTAGTGTCTCTGTAGGCGTATGCGAGTATTGATCCGTTCAAAGCAGAGACCATAAGAGACGAGACATTCTCACTCCAGGACAGAGCTTCCCGTAAAAGCGAAGACAGGCGATCAGAGTCCAGCAGGCAGACTTGGGTCATCTTAAGTCGTGAGAGTAGTGTTGTAGCGGCTCAAAGGCTGAGTTACGCGACTCTCGATGTTGCTGTTGAAATCCTCTAGCTGAATTTCCGCGCGCGGCTCGTCGCGCGCGAGTGTCAAGATCGCAGGGAGCCCAAGAGACTTGCTTGGCAATAATTATGCCGACGTCACCTCGCATCGTTTTTCATTCCCATCTTGCACAGCAAGCACTCTTACATTGAACCTTTCTACACGGATTCGCATTTTGACACCCACAAGTAGGCCATGACAAACGATAAATACACTTATCTCTTCATCGACGCAAGCGAGGCTTGGCTTGGCACAAAGACAAGTAACGATGGCTAGATCGCCATCACCTTTTTGATGGCACGAAATAGAAAGTCAATCCAGCGCAGCATATATATGCATTCTCCTGTTTATGGGCGTAGAAAATTCGGGCCTGCGAATGCTTCGGGGAAACTTAACAAGGCTCTTTGGAGTTGTGTCTGGAAAGGCTGGATCGACTCTACCAGTCCTTCTACACACGTCTAAAATCGGGGGTCCAAGCCGGATTCATGAGGTACAGAATATACCTCCCTGCTCTATCCTTGAACGGGTAGCCTTGAGTTCAGATGGCATTTCGAGATATTGCTTTAGTACCAATTCTCAGTATATCTCCACGTGGTGCCCCCAGGCTATTCAGAAATTCGAAGACTAGGATCCCATCCACGCTGTCATATGCGCACCCGCCATGTATGCCATTCACTCGCAGACGGCAATGCGCGACCAACTAAGGAGTTTTGCAACACAGTCGGTCAAAAGAAAATATTTCGATTTGCACGACGTGCAGTCAGTGGGAGTGGACGCTCGTTTCTTCCCGAGAAAGTTCTTCGGTTTCTCCTCGTGACTGTGTAGCAAACCTCTCCCTTCCCATACAAGGGACATTCGGCTTGTAAATCTGGCTCTAGGGCCAGGCACGGTGTACCGATAGAACAGCAGAGTGGCCAGGGTGAACTTCAGCGTCCGTCAAATCCCTATGCCACTGGACGTTATCGAATGTCGAGGCAATCCGAACAGCCGCCTTCGACTCCAGATCGGACTCGACTCTGGTTGGGTCGTTACCACTTTCCCCCTGGTTGTTGCGTTTGAGCGCTGCTCGAGGTTTGACCGACATTGTTCAACAGTTGACGACTCTTGTCAAATTCTCGAACCGTTATCTCACATCTGACTTCCCTGCAAAGTCGTTTTCTCCTTTCAGGTGGTAGTTTATCGGCAAACACAAGTCCGCTGGCTCTCTCGATTGCTTCAAGAGGAACCTCGAAATCACTCAAACTCTTGGAGTTGGGTATCTCAGCATTGGGCAGCACAAATGCACCGAGGGCCACAGATCCGTTGGGGTTCTGAGCAGCCTCTTCGGCGAAGATGACTTTGTAGAAATGAGTGGGCACGGCAACGTTTGGCGGATTACCGATTACTTCGTAAGAAACTCTCCATTTCCCATCCCGCTCGTCTTTCTTCGGCAAATATAAGGGGCCAGTCACAACTCGTACGCTGGGAAATCTCTTCGCGAGGTCGCGGCAGAATTCCTCGAAATGAGCCCAATAGTCGCGGTTGAACCCTTCTCCCACTTGTGGGCACATATTGCTCAAGACGAATGTGGAATCCATTGCCTCTTGCGACCATTTCGCGTCCGCTGCCGGAACCTGGTGTCCTCGGTCGTACCCACTCCGAAAGTAGTCGGAAAGCTTTGCTCGAAACATTGGAGGAATTGTCAGGTCCTCGTAGAAGACGCTGTTTCGTCGAGATCCATTGTTTAGCAGCAGAGACTGTGCAGTAAAATGTTCTGCTACCCAATGAGGGTTCCGTGTAAATCTATTGAAGGCAGAGAGATGGGAGGGTGTGGCCAATGTATCGGCGATCGGGCCGGGAAATCCGTAACGAAGGATACCAGAAGGGTCGACCGGCGGGAGGATGGCAGATGTAGGAGGTTTGATCGGTACAGCAACTGGCACAGGTACAGGTACAGGGACTGGGACGGGACCGGGAGGAGTTGACGGCGCAGGTAGTGTTGGTGTCTCCTTCAAAGTGGAAGTCGGTTTGGGCTCATCTTTTCGCTGGCCAGGAAACAAGAAGGCCGTCAGCGACGCGCCTGCAAACGCAGACGTCGCTGCGATAATAGCAATAGTAGTTTTGGACATGTACAGGAGTCGGTAAGGAGTGTCGACACTCTTCCTCGAGGAAACGCGTCCGTAAGCTGGACTCGAGGGAAAAAGTTGATCTGCTGTTTGGAGACTAATGTCGGTCGGCAACATGCGCAGGTTGCCGCTCGCCGGATCTGCTGACCCCTGCACGTGGCCTACCAGTAGGGGGCAGGGGATTCCAGTTAAAGATGACAAGTCGGGACCACCCCTGCAAGCTATTATTTGGGCTGTCCATGATTCGCGCCTCCCTTGGGCCCCTTAAACCAAAAGGGTGCGTAGTCTTAAGGTCCTCCAAAAGAAGTCTTGGAATGTTCGTCATCCCACCTGCTGCAACTGCGCTCGCGCCTCCCAGCCTGTAGATACCACCAACCTGACGTTTTGCTCTTCTTCTCTCAGCTTCAACTTTTCCTCAATGACTACAAGCATAGCATGAACAAAGCTGGACAAAATTAGCTGGATACATTCTATTGTACTTTGCTGTATATATGATCTTGAAGCCGAAGACGAAAAGAATCGCAGACAATGGCTGTCGACAATGATACCAAAGGATGGATCATGACATGCATCAGTGGCATTGGTAGGCAGCCTCATCTCTCCAGATCGGTTTCGATGAGGCCTAATTGTGGTCTTCATAGCATGTGTCATTGGCTCTTCAATTATATGCGTCGATATAGTGGCACGCCAGTTTCCACGCTGGCGATACTTTTCGATTTCCGAGAGTGATGGGTTTCTATCAGCGTCGCTAAGCCTCAGTTTCGGGGTCATGGTACGTATTCCTGGATGCTGTGCGATCTGGGTGTTGACTGTGAAGCAGCTGTTCTCCGCCCTATACTCGATGCTGCCACAGTCGAAGACGTATTTTATCGCCGCGGGCTATTCGCCACGGGCAGCCTCATACTTCCTGATTGGGTTGTTTTTGGCCGGTGTCATAGGCATTCAAATCTTCTCCCGTATTCTGCATCAATTCATCCCGTCACATGTCGTGGACTGCGACCACAGTCATGACGATGAGGAGGCGAAGGACCACGAGGAAATGTCAGAACATGCACAGGATGATGAACATACAAAAGGCCTCCCAATATCAAGAAATCGCCCGGGGCAGACGGAAGAGGAAGATGAAGACACTCCCTTGCTCTCACGAACCACAAGCCTCAGCCCCAAAAAGCCACAGTGCGAAAGACCTGGGGAGAATGAATCAGAGCGCCAGCCTACATATCACACCGCACAAACTCATCGAAGGTCGTCCATAATGCCTAAAACGCTGTCGAGGACCCTCTCCAAATATATGGGAAGTCGAAAGGAGAATTGTGATGAGACCGGTCCATGCATGGGATTTTCAGACCCCTGTGGCCAGGACTGCTTCAAGGCTGTACAAAGACGAGGATCTGTGCTACCAGGTCACGGCCCTTTCTTGCGCTCTCCCACGTGGCGCAGCAGTACGACCGAAGTACGTGTGGGCCCGACACTGGGAGAAGCCGACGAGAATCCTCTGCAGAATGGGTCGAGTCTCGGACGTCATATAACTGAGGACACCGATACGAGGAGCTTCAAACCAGACTTACACCGTACCAGGTCGTCGACGCATCACTTCCACCACCCCGCACACCAACACACAAGTATAGGCGGGTCTGAACGTCGGCCGTCTCAGCATTCGCACTCTTTCGGACAAGAACATCATCATCATGTACCCACGAATGCATTCATGTCAATTGGCCTACAAACTTCGTTGGCAATTGCATTGCACAAAGCACCGGAAGGCTTCATTACATATGCAACCAATCACGCAAATCCTCAGCTTGGTTTTGCCGTTTTCATGGCATTATTTATCCACAACATCACGGAAGGCTTCGCAATGTCGCTGCCTCTTTATCTCGCGCTCGGCTCCAGATTGAAAGCCATTGCGTGGTCGTCTTTCCTGGGCGGCATTTCACAGCCACTCGGAGCCGCCATTGCAGCTTTGTGGTTCAAAATAGCCAACAGAAGCAACTTAGGTGCTCCAACCGAAGGAGTATATGGTGGCATGTTCGCAGTCACGTCCGGCGTGATGACCAGCGTCGCATTATCACTGTTCTCGGAAAGCCTGCAGCTCAGCCACAACAAGAGCACCTGTATCGCCTTTGCGTTTTTGGGCATGGGTATTTTGGGCTTCAGCTTTGCGTTGACGGCCACATAGACTCTCCAGGGAACTAGGAGCTCAGTGGTCAAGATATCTTTAACCTCCTATAAAATCCATCGATGAATATGGCTTCTGCTTTCATGCCGATCCTGGAAACCATCGTGTTTCAGGAGATAGACTTCCATGTGGCCATTGTTTTTGAGCACTGCGTGTTTCTGGTTCCAGTGTGTTCGGGGGTAGAATGGTTTCTTCAGGAATCCAAGTTCTCACGAGGGCCTCACGGTAGTTTGCTATCGATCAGCCTCATCACAGCATCCAGTTTGATCCCAGTGCAGAACATGCGACGTAGACAATCCCTAGAACAGCCCAAATGCATTTGCAAATGATTTTCCGCTTGAGACAATGCCTTGGCAGTGGATGGCGTCAATGAATGCCTGTGGTAGAACTTCAGCGTGGACCAGGAGCACGTGAGAAGATAGTCTGGAGGCTACCTTTGCCTGAAGAGGCTAGTCCATCTTGCTTTGGCCCAATTCGTCTGCCTTGCGTGTGGCCGGCTGCACTTTTATCAACCCTCCCTTATCGACCCGACTTGTTATCGCTACACGGCCCTTTTGTCCACTAGATTGCAGGCTGCATGGTTCAGATCTCACTATCGACACGCCGACTTGACCTAATTTCAACATCCCACATCCATGTTGCCGTTCCTCAGAGCATGACTCACGGCCCGGGCCAATCACTCCTCGCCTTGCAGCCCCTGACGGCATCTGCCCCTCGTTGTGCCTGGAATCCTACACAGGCATCAGCCTCTTTCTGGCACGATTTGCCAAAGGTCCAGGCCGAGCTCAATACCAAATCCCAGACGGACAGTGTGAATATGCCATTTCACCAAAGCACAATGCCTGGTCCGCAACCCTCCACGGTGAGTCAATGTCTAATCCACTTGTGAGCTGGGTGTTCTAGGCAACAGGATCCTCCAGCGTTGTCCGTCAATTCCTCCGTCACATGGGACTCTCTTGGAATTTGTATAAACCCGCAGCCCTCATCTTCGATCGACTTGTAGCAACCTCCCCTCAATCCAATACATCTTGTAATCATTGAAACCTAAAAATCGTGCTTGAGCGTTGTACCTTCTTTCCTCTCATCAAGATGGCTGGAACGCAGCAGACCGCCTCCAAGTGCGGAGAGCGAGACGAGTCCAGCAACCTCAAGGCAGAGGATACCAATGAGAAGAAGGAGGAAGTGGAAGTGAAGGAAGACAAACCGAAGGAACCACCCGTACCCAACGGCAGTATCAACGAGGCCAAGGCACTGTATCAGAAGAAGGACCAGGATGGAAAGTACCAATGGGTGACTGAAGAGCCGTTGGATGTTGTCGAGGCCGCCGAAAATGAGGAGACTGCCAAATTTGCGTTCTTGGTGCGCAAGAACAAAAGTTACGATAGCCGCAAGGTGAGTTGCGTTTTTCCGCCTCCCGAACCTCATTGTTACCGAACGTCATGGGCTCGTTGATCGAGGAATTCGCTCACACACGTGCAGAAATACGACATCAATTCGATCATTGTCCAAAGCCCATGGCTCAAGACGTCGTTGGGAATCGTCCTTGAGGACTATCCAGGTATCACAACAAATCTCGACCGACTCGTCTTTTTCGCGCCATTCCACCCATTCGTGCATCGCTGGGACAAGCTCGACTCGCTTCTTGAGAAGGACGACTTTGAGGAGGACATTGCCAGGCAACATCTCAAACTATTCCGTGATATTCTTTTCGAGGAGCTCGAGAACGCAATCGCCGCCAAGATCGACCTAGTCAAGAACGGAGTCATCACATTTGATTACCTGTGGACAATCTTTGAGCCTCAGACGCTGGTGTACAGCGTGTCCGACGGCAAGGAGTGTGTCTTCGAGCTGACCTCCTCGCACACGGCAACCGACCAAAGGCGCGGACTCGATTTCTTGCAGCTGGACGTCTGGTCTGTCGACTGGGACGGCACCAAGTTCGGGCAGCATGAGACTTACCTCCAAAATTTCGAGTTCCCTGGCACCACGCCCATCACCTCTCTTCAGGCATACCCGCTAGTGTTCCACCCCGAGAAAGAACAGCTGATGCTTCGACTTGTGGCCCGTGGCAAGCTCTTTGAACGTCTTGCGGGCTATCACTACAAGGCCTATCGAGGTGTTGCTCTTGGGTACGGTCGCTGTGGCATGATCAGACACAACGTCGAGTCTCGAATCATCATCGACTGCGAGGCGCACAACCGATTCTTGCCCAACAACGCGGTGTACTTCGGCTCGCTGGTCAAGCCGGCCAAAGAGGTCAATGGACTTGACCTGCTGTCGGACGAGGAATTGGAGCAATCCGATTCCGACGCTTTCTTGGACAACGACTCGGACTTCCTTCCCACGCCGGACTCCGACGACGATGCATGCAAACCCAAACATCGCCCGCTAACCACGGAAGAATTGCTCCTTGCAGTTCCATACGTGCGAGGTTATGCCCTAAAAACCAAGAAATGGGTAAGTCACCACGCTGTGCATGGCGGCTCTGGCAGTCTGAGAACAGAGAGCCTCCTAGAGCCCTCTTTCCTTTGCCCCTGTTCACAGTCTCTGTTCGATGCTAACGGAGGTGAAACCACAGCTCTGGTTCTACGTTGACCAAGTCGAAGAGATCCACTTTGCCAACAATGCCTTCGCATCTCTGGTGTTGCCCAAAGAGCAAAAGTCATTGATCCGCGCCTTTGTCGAGTCCCAAGTCAAGTACAAGGACGACTTTGACGATGTCATCGCCGGAAAAGGTCGTGGCATGATCATGCTCCTAGCGGGCCCACCCGGGGTAGGAAAGACCTTGACGAGCGAGAGTGTCGCCGAAGACATGCGTGTGCCCCTGTAAGTTGTACATTCTGTGACATTACGAGAAAGCTCGTCCCAAACCAGGGTCATTTGTTCCGAGAAGTTGGGTGCAGAGGGCTAACACGAGAATTTTTTGCGCCACCGCCAGCTACATGATGTCCGCCGGAGACTTGGGCCTGGATCCCTCTGGGATTGAGGAGTCGCTCAACTTGGTACTCGACATGGTCAGCAAATGGAACGCAGTGTTGCTTCTCGACGAAGCGGACGTCTTTCTTGAGGCGAGGAGCTCCAATGATCTCGAGCGTAACAAGATGGTGTCGATCTTCCTTCGTGTTCTGGTAAGTTGCAAAATCCGCCTCCGCCCCGCATCCACAAGCTGTTCCGTCACACCCAGGCGAACTCCATTCATCTCCGCTCGTGTTATGTGTCTCTGAGAGACAGCCGTGAGCGCAAATCCGGGCCGGCAAGAACAAAACTTGAAAGCTGTACGAGCAGATCTTTTTCGCGAATATCCCCGCTCATATGTGGGCACTCGGGTTGTAAGACTGCATACAGCTGGCAACTCGCTTGCACGAGTCACAACAGCCCGCCATGCACGAGGAGCCGTCATTTTGTTTTCTGCACTTCACCGGTTGTTTGAGACATATAGGCTGACCAGGTGCACGCTCGCCCATCGTTTTGGGACAGGAATACTATGAGGGCGTCTTGTTCCTGACGACCAACCGGATCAAGAACATCGATGAAGCATTCCACAGTCGCATTCATGTGACGGTCAACTACCCCAGCCTTTCGGTCGAGTCTCGCCGGCACATTTGGCAGAGCTTTTTGGGCCAGGATCGACCGGTGAGCGGGAAAGACCTGGACCGCCTCGCCCAGGTGGCCCTGAACGGGCGACAAATCAAGAACATTCTGAAGACGGTGAGTTGGTTCCCATCCCCTCTTCTCGCCAAAGGGCAAGGACGAGAGCATCCAAAAAGAGAAACAGGGCGCTTTTAATTGGCCGGAGCAAGTTCCGGCGTTATTGGGACTCTTCATGGAGATGGGTGTGGAATCCTGTTTGACTAACAGACCGCGACTTACAGGCTCAGATGTTGGCACGAAGCGAAGGCAGCAGCGCCGGCCAGGAACAAGTCAAGGATCCGCAACATGGGCCGAAGCTGGAGATGCGCCACATCGAGACGATCCTGGCCATTGAACAGCGCGGGACGTCATGGCAGCAAGAGTGATTGGGCGTGCGGGTCGGGGTTGAACAGGTACATAACCTCGCATTAAAGTATGCGCCACCAAGTTGTGGTGTTCATACGAGGGACCCTTGGAGGCAGGGATGCCCGGGCAAAGTTAAGCGAGTTATGAGGGGGAGGGATAGCTGATAGGGTCTTGTGGATGGGTAGGGTATGGAGGTTGTAGTTAGCTAGCTGGCTAGTACTTGGTAGGATACGAGCTTCGACAAGTCGAGGCCTCCACCTCGATCCGATCCAACCGTGGACTGAGACATCGGGTGGCGAAATGCAATGCATCAAGGAACAAAGAGAAATGGAGCGCAAGTTCGAACAGCAAAGGCCTCACTGTCTGTCTCACGTCTGACCTTTCGACCGATGATCAGGATCCCCATTTCTTGCAGGGTAGAGAGAGGCCTTACAGTATAGCAGCCGATGCACCACGTGGGTGACCCTTTGGGAGAATGTGGTGTGACTTTCAGGTCCGTAACTGGGTCCCATTATTGGAAAGATTTCCGTGGAAAGAATTGAAAGCACCAGCTGCGGCAGAAAATGGCTGGAAGGAAAAAAAAAGAATATCCCCAGAAATCCGCTCTGGTGGCGATGGGCATCGGCTTGTCATGTTCTCCAGGGCCCGAGAACCTTGGATTGCGGGGGTGGAAAGACACCTGAGTATACCTAGTGTACAGTAGCTCACTAAGCCTAAGAGCTTGGCCTGGAGGAGTTTAGTTGGGGCACTGGTGGGCACTCGCGACCCTGGACGCCCGCCCCCACTCTTTAATGCCCTTACCCGAGAGCTGTCCCCTTGTCACTCTTTTTGTTGTTCATTGGCATCCGCCTCAGCCCGGCGAGAAGCTTGTGTTGAGGGGACCTGCGGGCCCGAGATTGGGCCAGTACAAGGCCAAGGTTCTATAGCTGGCACCCACACAGCCTCCCATCTCATCGGACAAGTCAGAGCCTTTTGGCTGCCGTGTTCTGTCGGATAATGCAGCCGTATCCGAGCGGCGGCTGACGATGACTGAAGGGGGAGAGAGAGAGAGAGAGAGCCGCAAGCCCAGCCCAGCCTCTCAGGAGAGCTGTGACTCTCTCTCCTCGAAGCTACGTGGGAGGGCTATGTTGGCGAGGGAGAAAGGGGGCCGAGAACGGTCACCAGTGTTCTTTATGTGTAGTCAGTCCGGCCTCGACTCAGACTCAGCCTGACTCTTACCCAATCAGCCCCCCTCCCTCCCTTTCCAAATCGACAATCATCGAGAATACCAGAGAGAGCAGCAGCAACGATAGGAATAAGAATAGCCCAGTTGAATCGGCCCAGGCATCAGAGCTTGCCTTATCTGACGTCATGCCACACGAAGAGGAGACTGTGTGAAGAGAGTCAGCCGGCGTTGGGCGGCTTGTGGCCCTCGCCACCCAGGCTGCTATTACATACATACATACATACATACGACCTTGCCAGGTAGCTGCTGTAGACAGTGAGGGGTAAAAGAAGATTGAAATCTTCGCCCGCGAAAAGAAAAGAAACCGCGGACAGGATCGGCTACAGGCGAAGCTGCAAAGGGGGTTTCCGTGGGTGGAGTGCGGAATAGGGTGGTGATAAGCGTGTGTATGTACATACAATGGGGCGCAACATCTCAGAGTGAGAAAGAATACTGGCAGGAACAGGACGGAATGAGTGTGGTGGGTACGGCAACGACGGCATCCAGGAACAAAGAAGCAAGTAGCTACATCGTGATCTCACCTCTGTATATGTGACTTTTCGTACGTACAGCTGAATCGGGGGGTGTATTACTGGAAGCAGCTAAGAGTGGTGTCATGTCAAAGTACCTCGTAGGTCTTGTGTTGCTGTCTCTCTCTGTGTGTGTGGGTAGGTGGGTAGGTGGGTACCCAGAAGAAAAAGAGTCAGTCAAGTCAGCTCCTGCAAGCACTTTAGGTACATCTGACCTCACGTGGAGTTGATGAATGGATACGAGTGGATCGGTCATTGGACTGAGTGGAGAAACAGCTACAGAGAGCTGAAGAGGAGAAAGACGAAGAGGGAAAGAGACAGCTGGATGAAGTGTTGGTTCCCAGCTTGCCCACTACGCCAGGTACCATCTGGATCATCAGAAGTTAGGAGTTTGCCCGCGTCCCATCGCCTTTTGAACGTCCTTCACTGTAGTCTTCTCTTCTCTCCTTCCTAGCCTCGGGGATAAACAAAAAGAGAAATGTGCTTGGAGCAAAATAGATGCTGGTAGACGTTGATATGGCTCAGGATATAGTATTCTCGCCTCGATGCCGCGGCAGGACATCAATGCGAAATATATGTATGATAGTGCCACTATGAATTACCACCGGTAAGAAGGAAAAGGAGCCTTGGTCGCCATAAGCCCAAAGAGGCTGCACGTCGCCAGGCCAGTTCGTATGGCCCCATATTACATTCCATTCCCACGGTTTTTTTGCGTTTCCCCTTTCCCCCTTCCCCCTTCGCCGTTGCTGTGAGCTGGTTTGACAGGTGTCATGTCATCGTCGGTGATCGTTGGTCGTTGATCGGTTTAAATATGTAGCGTAAGTAAGAAAAATCATAACCCATTCATCGTTCCTTTTGTGCACATTTGCCTCCCCACATCGTTCCATTACATATCCATTGCGGTTCCGTGCCTACCCTCCACTCAAGCCTCGGCTAGGGGAGTCAAGAGGAAAATCACTTGCGGTTCCAGTCACCCCAGGTTTGGGCGCAAGGAGCAGTGACAGTCTCGGTGATGTAAACAGATTCCGGCGCCGGAGTGTAAGTGACGGTCTCGGTCTCAGTCTCAGTCTCGGTCGCGGTCTGGTAGGCAGTGCTCCATTCTAAAGATAGGGTTAGCTGAAGCTCCAACCGTAAGCATCGGCTCGGCAGTGAACTCACCAGTGATGGTGCTGTAGACGGGCTTGACTTCGGTCGTGGTGACGGTAGCGGTGGAGTAGACGGTGCTGTAGGTAGTGGTTGGCTGTTTCCAAACTGTCAGTACATGTCCTTCAAGGTGGTGGAGGAGGAGGCTATCAACTGACCTTGTAGACCGTGGAGTAGGCAGTGGACCAGGCCGTAGAGTAAACGGTGGAATAAGCAGTAGACCAGGCGGTGGAGTAGACAGTCGAGTAGGCAGTGGACCAGGCAGTCGAGTATTCAGTGGTGGTCACGTATTCGGTGCTGGGAACGCAGGAGCTGGACCAGTCGTTCCAGGTACCATCTCTCTTAACGGCAGCAGCGCTGGCGCCGGCGATGAGGAGGGCAGCAGAGAAGAACTTCATTTTGCTTGGAAGTGGGTGGTGGGAGGTGGTTGGTTAAACGAAGGGGATAGGATTGTTCGAAAACGAAAGGCTGTTGAGGGATAGCGAAGGAAGATCTTTGGAGTAGATCGTTGGATTGGACTGTTCTTTGTTGGGCTGATGATGGAGGAAGGAAAAGAGTCGAACAGAGCAACCTACCGTGATGTCTTTATATCTTTGACTGGACAGGTCTTGCAAGGACCACCCTCCGTCGGGGGACGACTGGAACAGCCATGATGGCTGGGCAACATTCAGCACAGATGCTGGGTTGGATTTCCTGGTTTCCCGTGTCTCTCAGCTGACGATGGCCCTGAAAGAGGAAATCTAGAGGAGCGGGGGCCGTAGTGGGCGGGCGGAGCAAAGACACTGGTTGTCGAGGGGAGGCGAGGCGAGAGCCACAGCCGGAGGAGCCAGGTGGACCTCTGGAGCCTCTAGACCTTCTGCATGTCGTAGATGCTGGACGAATCCGCATGGAGGGTGTGTATAATGGTCAGCCCATTCAGCACGGCGTGACCAAATCCATTGTGTCGACAAAAATGGGACGCAGTGAGGCGGAAGCCGTGCTGCGTGCTGCGTGCTGCGCAAAGTTTTTCTGGCAGTTGAAGTCAAACTTCGGTTTCTTGGAAATGGCGAAAATAGCCGCACCTTACCGGATGGGGACGCTCGGCGTGAGCTCTAGCGTGGTCTTAGTCTCGTGCTTAGCCTCGCGCTAAGCACTCCCCCGCACCACCTCCAACCAATAGGGTCTGCGCGTTAGCGACCAGCCCCGTCGCCTGGCCGTTGTCTTTCCCGTGTGGTGCCTGCCCGTTTTGACTCGCCATGTTTCGCATGGGCTGCAGCCGCTAGCCCACGTTGGGACGCTATACGCTATACGGATGTCCAACCTGCAGCCTTTTACCCTGAGTCCAACCTCCTCGTGGCCTCAACGCCCAACGTTTTGTCGTTCATGCCGTGCCACAGGTTCGCACTGTATTGGCTGTCTATTGTGCACGGAGCATCGTATTCCAGCCGCATCAATACAGCAATCCTCCGTCCTCCAGCGGGTCTGCCACATACCCGTCCGAGTGCAGAGACAAGTCTCATTCTCCACCGTCACCACTATACCCCGTTTAGGATGGAGGACTCGCCGAACTTTACGTCATGCTCATCATCATCGCCCAAGCAATTGAATAGGCATAACTTCGCGAGGAATAAGCCGTCACTGAGGACTTCACATTGCATTATACGGAGAACTCGGCTAACTCTCCTCTGTGCTACGTAACTCACCATCGGACTATAGTATGCTTTGGAGAATCCGCCCCTGCACTATTCAAAAAGACAATCTTGCGTTAGAGAGAAAGTACTCGGTACCTGTCGTACCTACATACTGTACGCTCGAGGGATTCTTAGGCGACGCCAGGTACCCGAGTACCTAGTACCCAAATCTGCATGATTGACTACGAGGCACACCACACCTACATGCTCGGTACACCAGAATCTTTGTCAGATGCCCAGAGCCGATGGCTCGTTTGTTGTCACGGTGCAGGACGGACCTATTATTGTGCGGAGACATACACTTCGGTCGGCAAGGCATGCCCACCTCAGCAGGGCTCAAAGGCTTAGCCCACACAGCCTGAGCAGAAATCCGTGCCCATCCTTCTTTTGTAACTTTTTTTACCGGAGCATACCGTGTGATTCAGTAGGCGTTCGCATTTGAATTTCTGATGCAGAGGTTCTCGGCCAGGCTTTCCGGTCCAGCTTTCTGCGGGGTGGAGAGCAAGCTCTGACATTCGGATGGTCTGAGCTGTGCTGAGGTGTTGGAGTAGCATCACCACATCACTTACACCAAGACATTCGGCACCTATGGCCCGCCAGGCACGAAGGATTATGTCTGACTCGTGGTTGGGGATTCACTTGCGTCCCCGAATCGGATGGAGGTTGGTGGCCCGTCAACAGGGCAGGCCATGTTTCGACAAGTCCTGCAGGGGCGTGGTCCTGGTCACGGACCCCAATTTCCTCCCACATGATCCTGCTACAACAACACCGACGCCTGTTTTTATTCCAAGGGAGGCTGGGTTGTAACCGGCTATTCGCTGTCAATGTGCTCAGGTCTTGATCCACGGAGTTTCTCGACTGCTCGTAACTTTTGCATCCTGTTGGGTACTGTGTATGTAGGTACAGCATCATGACCCTGGTCACCACGGACGGCGTACTCCGGACATTTAATTATTTCCTCCATCAACACGCATTCACGTTTGATGGATGTGCCACCTGGTGGTGCCCCAGTCGAGTGAACCACCACATAAGGCTGTGGGCACTTTCACAATCTCCGCAGTCCGAGTCTCACACTACTCCTACGCGGTGAGACTGGGGATACAGCAAACAAGACCGCCAGCCATCTGAGATGATTTCCCCAGCGATCCAAGACATGGCTGCTGGACGAAGCGGTCGGCATGAGCAACAATTGACACGGCTGGATGAACAGACGACGTACCCTAGTCCCGCTTCTCCATATGGAATTGAAGCTAGAGGATGCAGAGATCGTCATTCATCCGTGTGTGCTACGTGTGGTAATATGCATCTGCACGTCCTACTGGTCCTGGCGATCCGAGTCATCCCAAACCTAAGCATGGGCCAGGGCTTGTTTCTCCCGCCATCTTGCGTCTGCGAGATTCTTAATTCTTCCATGCCATCGAGGGATGGTTGCGAGTGGAAGGCTCCCTCGCCTGGGGAGGTTGGAAACAAGGAAGGAGAACAAAGAAAAAAACAAGGGCTTGTGTCAGGCTGGATTCGCTTCGCGAGAACTGCATCAAGGACGGCACTCCTTCCTGCAGACCCGTGTCTTGAAGGAATGACCAAGGTGGCTTTCGATCTATCCCAGATTTCCCACTTGAACTAACCTCCAATCTACCCAAATGCTCACGTCCGTCCCACATCCACCTCCCGATTTCACATTCGCCATGAAGACGCATCTTACCATACCTCCGCCTCGCAGTTGCTCGATCACTGCTCACTGGCCAGCTCGAAAAGCACGACCGTCTCGCAAAAATTCGCCTTGTTCACACTGTATGGCACCACGTCCGTGCCCTCGTAACTAATCATGAACTGCGATCCCTTGGTGCTCAGTGCCCAGAGGTAGACGTCGGTCGAATTGCGAAAGTCCACCATCCTCTCCTGGCAGCTCTCCGTGCCCAAACATGCCTGCGTGTTCCAGTTCTCGAAGAAATTGTACAGCCCGCCGCCATACATGAAGATCGAGCTGGAGTTGACGATCCGGAGACCCCAAGTGCGGGCGCAGTTGGCTTGCACGCAATCCGAGTAGTCCGGGTCATGCCATGCCGCCTGCGGAGTGAAGGGCGTCAGTGCGTTGGGGTTGCCCTGGAAATACGCAGTTTCGTGTTGGATGTGGCCCATGAAGACGTTCTTCGCGTTGACGAAGTGGTAGTCATACATCACCGAGTGTTCGGCCGCAGTGCCATAGAGCCACAGTGGGCCTTGCGACTCGAAAAGGAAGCCACTGCAGGACAACTAGGTCAGTAAAAGTTTCCTCTCCATCCATGTCTGTCCAAAAGGGAGCCAGGGACCAACGGAATGCTTCTCACCCTTTGTTGAAAATATAAATTTGCTGCCGGTCAGCCATGTCCAACTCGTGATCCGCGACCCACCCCCAGGTGTTTTCAAAGTAGCCATCGGCTTGGCTCGTGACATGTAACAGCAGATACGCGCCGATGCAATTCGTCAACACCGGGTTCGATCCTGCAATCGGCGTTGCGGGGGTCTTGATACAGACATCCTGTTGCAAATTTGTTCCTGCTGACCCGCCGATACGCCAGTGGGCATCCCACATGCCGGCCAGCGCTGGCCCAGCAGCTTTGATATTCCACTCCACGATAATAGCGCCTGGGCAGGGTCCTTTGACCTCGAAGATGATATCCGAGATTTCGACTGTGCCGACATCACCAGGATTACCTATTTTCCACATTGGTTGCGGGTTCATTTGGTCCCCGAAAAATGGTCCTGTTGCCATGATGATGCTGTAGAGTTCGCCAGTGATCTTGACATCCGCTGGAACATTTACCGTGGATGAAACTATGTAAGCTCCCCTGTCGAAATAGACGACTCTCCCAGTTGTGTGAGCCAGATTGAAGAGTGCCTGCATCGCAACCGTATCATCTAGAAAGAAGGAACTGTTAGACAAGGGCCAAAGCACATGTTTTAGCTCACAAAAACGCACCTGTAGAACCATCACCCAGGAGCCCATTTGCTTTGGCACTGAGGAATCCGGTATCCCATTGAAGATTCTCGTATTGTGGTTTGACGCGGTAGATATATTGTCCATTACTATCGACCAACGGCGATGGTCGAGGAATCGGGGCCAGCGCTCTTTGTATCGTTGTTTCTTGAGCAGTATAGGCAGTCTGACTGGAATTTTGATAGGAGCAAGCCGTGCCGTTAAAGAACTGGCCGTTCAATGCTTGACCCGCTGTCGTCCAAGCGTTTCCTTGCGCCCAGAGATCCACAAACTGTTGACCATCAAGAATCGTTCTTGCTTGAGTCCCTCCAGCGGCGGCGATGGCGACGCCGCTGCCCGTAAAGTCAACCTGTTCGATGACCAAAGTCCCCGCGGCTTGAGGGGAACTGTAGCCAGGAGCATAGGGTGTGAGAATACCCTGGGTTGCAGATATCACGCTGTCAATTAAGACGAGAGAGCCAACAGCGAGGTTGGAGAAGCCGCCACTGGTCATATCAATCCCGACATCGGAATTTGTGATGGTGATTTGAGTGAACAACCACACCCAATCAAAGTTCATTTTGATGGCCGTCGAACAGCCGTCGAATTGTATCTTCCGTGTGGTGAATTGCTGATTCCCAAGGTAGGCTCCGATCGAGCCGCCAGTGATGACCATATCGGAGAAAAAGCCTCCCGATCCGTTTTCCATGTAAATGCCTTGTTGCTGATTGTTTACCACGTCCTTAGGCACCATGTTGATGACAATGTTCTGCAGACTCGTGGCTTGGGCTACCTGCCAATGAATGCCAGCCGTCTTCAAGGGAGCGTTTGTCATGTCAAGGATGAAGTTACGAACTTGACGGTAGAAATTGTTTTGGTTGGCGTACCACTCGCTACCGCTGCCGGACGGGATGTAGATGTCTGCGTCAAATACAGCCAAACCCACGATATTGGTGAAATTGGTGCTGACCAGGATGGTGGGCGGGTTGACTGCATCTCCCACCATCTGCGTGAAATAGTACATGATCAAAGGTTTGGACACATTATAAGTTCCTGGTGGAAAATAAACCAGTGCTGGTGTTACTGTCGAAGATTGGCAAAACGATCCGTAGGTTGCATTGCCACCGCCGCAGCGATTCCCAGGAGCGGCGATCGCGCGGTTGATGGCATCAGAGTCGTCGTGTAGACCGTCTCCTGCATTTAATGTCAGCGTCGTGAATCAAGGCTTGACCCGCGAAGACTCACCAACGGCGCCATAATCTTTGACATTCCGAAACACCGGATAGCTTGGATCTTGAAACGCGACTTTACCAACATTAGGCTTGTTGGCGAGCCAGTAGGTAGACTGTTGCGCTGCCACCGAGTTGATAAGAATGAGAAGGTGTAGAAGAGTGAAGAAGAGAGCTGGAAGAAGAGAATGCATCTTAGCACAATTCGGGTCTTTGGGAAGATAACCCGATTACCTCTAGTACCGCAGGACGAAGTTGATGCAGAACACAAGATCCCCAGCCAAGTTGAAAAGAAAATACGCATAGCACGAGTCGACTTGAGGCTGGCCTGTGACGCGTAGTGAACCAACCGCACGCGAGGAATGTACTTGGCTGGAATGTGGCTTTGAGACAACAAATTCCACAACGTAGAACATGATTGCCAGTTCCCTCGCTGAACAGCAAATAGCTCACTTTTGCAACTCTAGGAATCTCACCCCTCCAGTCTGTCTCAAACATGAAGGCGGTGACTCTTGGCCTGGTTGCTGTCAGCGTGTTGGTCCACAGTGTGACAGCACTTACGTTAGAAAGGAAGAATGACAGGTACGTTCACACAAACAGATGATATCGTTCAACTGTCGCAAGACTGACCTCCATCGCAGCCCAGTCGGTGCCGATGCCCCGGATGATAGCCTCACACCAATTCCGATCCAAAGTGGCAACGAAGGCAGCGTCACCTGCAACGAATGCATCACGGATCCAGGAATATGTTGTCCCGTCCAATGCCAGAGTGATGGCCACTGCCCGAGCAATGCAATCGAGAATGCAGGATGGTAACAGTCTTGTTCTGCTGCGCTTCGCTTCCAGACTGACAAAGTTTGCAGGCTTATCGACGGCATGAAGATCACCAGCAACTCGAAGAAACATTAGATTTCTGAATTCCCTTGATTTCCCGGAACAAAATGAGGTGCTTAGTGAAAGAGCTGACAAACTCGATATCGAACGGCCGTCCTGGAAATGAGGGCTCTGCCGATCGGGAAGCCTGGAGGGGAATTGTCGACACGTGAAAAGCAAAGGATGAAAACATGGCCTGCGGTCCTAGCTTCGGTCAAAGAGAGATGCATTAAGAATGGATGCGAGATTGCCAACAATGGTATACTACATATTGTATTGGGATATCATCAGACGAAACAATCCTCAAACACCGTGCCTGCTCATCAGTTTCGTTCGATGGGTTCCCTTTCTCGATTCTCCGGGATGATGGGGTAATATGAATCAAGCGTATCGAAGCACCTGGGGCTGGCGCTGTTGTCTATGTTGATATTATTTCAGGTTCAGTCTCCGTAGGCATGCTTGATTTCCTTTTCGAATCGCTGTTGAATCTTCTTCCTTTGAACTTTTTGAGCCGGGGAAATTAGACCCTACCAGGTTGTTAGTACTCGATTAGAAAAACTTTAGACCACTCACATTTTGAGGAGTCCACTCCTCGTCGGCCAGGACGACGCCGTCAATGATCTCAATACCAGAAAGACCAGCCTCACGACCCGCTTTCTGCACTTCCTTTAGCACGATTGCATTCAGCTTTTCATCATGAACCATCTCTTCCAGGTTTTCTCCGTGGATGCCATTGGCTGCTGCGAGTTTCTGCAGGGTGGCTTCAACTGGCACGATAATGGCAATCGGCTTCGCCTTGTCTTGAGCAGCGAAAACGCAAATGTTTCCGACAACGGGGGCTGTTCGGTAGGCTGATTCCAGTTTCTCGAGGGCAATGTATTCACCATTGAGTGTCTTGACCAAGTTTTTCTTCCGGTCGATGATACGTAGGTGGCCGTTTGCATTGAATTCACCAATATCGCCGGTCTTGAACCATCCGTCTTCGGTAATTGCTTCTTGGGTCTCTTTTTCATTGTCCCAATATCCTTCTGTGACCGAAGGGCCTCGAATCCAGATTTCGCCTTGGGGGGGTTTGTTCGTCGAGAAGTAACCAGCATCAGGAAAGTCGACCAGCTTGATCTCGATACATCCAGTGATGTCGCCCAGGGCATAGGGATCCCACGCCAAAGGATCTTGAATGCAGCCCATCGCAGAAGTCTCAGTGAGACCATAGCCGGAAATCATGGGGGTGACTGCATAACTGATGAATTTGATGGTTTCTTCCGAGATAGGGCCGCCTCCGTTGAAGGCAATGCGGAGTCGGCCTCCTGTGGCATCCTTCAACTTCTTGAAAACCACAGCATCCAATATACCGGCGCCAGGCAGGCCCATTGAGAGCAGAGTCTGTTTCAGTGACAAAGCGCCCCAGAACATGTTCCTGACGATGAAGGAGCCGCCATTGACTTTCGAAAGAATACCCTTTTTGACGCTTTCCCAGACGGCAGGGACGCCTATCAAAATAGTGGGTCGGAATTCACGAATATCTCCTTTGCAATTCCGGACCGAAGCGTCGGACAAGGTCTTAGGGTTGCCGTAGCCCATAGTTCCACCCCAGAACAAGCACACGTTTTCGAACATGTATTCGAAAATGTGCGATTGAGGCAGATAAGTCAGCAATGCGTCGGCCGGTCCAATATAGGGTGCCACGACCGTCTGGACTCCGGCCATTGCGGCAACCACAGCCTTGTGTTTGATGGTAACACCCTTCGGTGGCCCAGTGGAGCCAGATGTATACATGATGCAGGCCAGATCTTCTGGGCTGGGAGGCACGGGGTCCACGGGATTGTCAGCGCCGGACTTTCGCAATTCTTCAAAGCTCATGACTTTCAGATCGGGATAGGAGGATTTCAATTTCTCCAGATCAGCTTCCTTGACCTCAGGCTCCGTGTTGTAGATGACAGTCTTCAGGTTCGTCACGTCCTTGATGACTCTGAGCAAGGTGGGGATGAGGTTGGGATCTAAAAAAATGGCGACAGATCCGGTCTGAATGAGAGAATGCTTTAGTCCTTCCTCACCGAGAGAGTCGTAAGCAGTGACGATAGGGATCGACTGAGAGGCGGCAGCATGCGACATAGCCAGCCAGTGAGCACTGGAGAAGTCAGAAAACCCAAATGCTTAGGAGAGCGAAGGCCGTACCTGGTAGCACCATACAGGTGCATTTTGTTTTCTTTAGAAATTCCAAGATGAGCCAAGCCCGAGCCGCAGTCGAGAGCCAGCTTCTCATACTCGATGAAAGTCATGTACTCGTAACCGCTGAGCTCGAAGTAGGTCCATTTCTTGTCCACCTCTTGCTCGCGACCATCGACAATCTTTTTGACCTTCTTGTTCTCTACGTGAGTCTTGATGATCCTTCTCGATCCAATAGCTTTGGCATTTCCGAATTTGGAGGCCGCCCTCTTGAGATTGTCAAAAACGGTTTTGACATCGTCTGAAGGTTGAACGATGAGCTTGTCTTTGGCCAGAGGGTTGCGTCGGGGTATGGTTTCGCCTTCCTTCTTCTGATATCCAGAAGCCTCGACAGAGAAAGGTGGCTTCTTGGTCATTTGAGGTTGGACATAACCGTCGACCCTCGGCCGCGTGTCGTTCTCGAGCGACATCTCGGCAGTAACAAGGGGTGGAGGACTATGACAAGTGATATTTCGTCGATTTGGAGGAACGGTATCCCTGAACGAGGGATAATATGAGGGACAGCCGGGGAAATAGTGTTACTCTTGTCTGGCGCTCCCACCAGGACGAGATGACGACAATCAGCGAAGGGTGGGCAAGATGGACGAGGTGGGACAAATGAAGGGAGCAGTAGTTAAAGGTGGAAGGGGAAAAACTAGTGTAGCTGCCTGCGTAACGACCAGGATGTGTTTGTAGCGCGGCAAGGTTCTTTGAACGTAGAGGGTTAGGTTGGGTTGTGTGCGAGTTTCTTGTGAGTGTCAGAGCTCGCCAACCTCACGACTTCTAGGCAGTAGTGTGGTTGTAGACTGGCCTACTGAGCCGGTTGGCGCGGCAGGTCAAGGAGCAACGAGTAATCCGGGGTCGGGGGTTTTGGGGGCTAACTCGTTACGTCACTTGGCCTGCCCAGCCTCCCGCTTAGTTATCTACCGAGTACCTGGCAAGCTGGGCCTGTACCTCTCACCGAGTACTCTCAGCTATCTTTCTAAGTATGTATTGTACCTACCTACACAGTCGTTCTAAGCCCCTTTACTACAAGATAACCGCGAACCTAGCTCCAGGTAATAGTAGGTTTCAGCTCGCTGGTGGCAGCTGCACGTTGTTTCAGTTCATGACTAAAAGAGAATGCCTACCTCATGTACCAAGAGCTGATGTGTAGCGATGCGAGAGGGAGCAGGCTGTTGAGCCGGTGGCGGTGCACGATGCGTGTTACCAGTGAACTTCACCAGTGAGTGACCTTATCCAGTGATCAACCCTCTGGACTGGCTCATCCGGTGGCAGTGGGAGCATCGGATCATCTGGTCGGGCCGACAAGTCTACCTCCATAGCCACAACCAGTCCTTAACTCCGAGCTTGGAACAACCCTCCTTCATCACTCAACGATGAATCTCTTGACCCTCGACGTTGCATGAGTCTTACCCTGTCGCCAACCGGCAGTCTTGCAGACAACGCCCCCGAAGTGCCTGTACGATGACATAGGGCGCCATAAGCACCATATGCATCGTCCTCGGATCGCATCCAGAACACCCACCCAGCCCTCCCGCCCACCAAGAACCCTAATATAGGGCTATTACTTCCCTTTTGTCGTGTCGAGTCAAGCAAGCCATTGTCGCTCAACCATGTCTCTTTTTGGTCGACGCTCACAGTAACGCCCTACCGCGACATCATGCTTATGTGAGCCTCCCCGCTGCCTGTGATCCAGCCTTCATTCAGTTTGCGGAGCAAAAAGCTCCGGGACCACACCCAAAGCTGCCCTATTGTTGGACCTCCTGTTTCCGGACAATAAGCAGTAATGACATTCCAGTCGCTCGTCGCCGCCGCGGGACAACCGATTGAAGATGCTGGCGAAGGTATATGACACCAAGTACTGTCGTTGCAGCAATCGTGTTCTAACTGAGAGCTCTAGAAACTTTCTTACTGTTCAGCCAAGACATCCCGAGCAATAACTTGGGCTTCATCGACCCCAAGGCCGATTCTTTGGAGATTGAAATCGCTGGCCATGACTACGTGCTGCGGCAATCACCAGGCCTTCTCCACTCCAGTAGACAGGAAGGAACCACAGGGGCGGTGATCTGGAAGATTACTCCACTCCTGGCAGCCTGGTTGACGTCTTTGCCTCCAATACTGAGTGGCGTTCTCCATGACACTGCAGTTGTTGTCGAGCTTGGTTGTGGCATCACCGGCTTGCTGGGTCTCGTCCTGTCGAGATTTGTGCAGTGTTATGTCCTCACAGATCAAGCCTATGTGGTGAAATACCTGAGGGAGAACATAGCTGCTAACACAGCATCTCTGAAAAGGAAGAAGATCCGCAAGAAGAGACCCAACGAGAAAGAGATGGCACAGGAAGAACGCCTCAAGGTCTTACCCTTAGATTGGGAAGCGGACAGCGTTGAAAATCTCAAGTCAGCCATCCCACAGGACGCCGTGATTGATCTGCTCGTGCTCTGCGACTGTGTTTATAACGAGTATCTTATCTCTCCGTTGGTGCAGACCTGTGTGGATGCGTGTCGTCTGGCATCAACAGAAACAAAACCGACGGTTGTTTTGGTGGCTCAACAGCTGCGGTCTGATACAGTCTGCGAATTGTTCTTGGACGCTTTGATGAAGGAATTCCACGTATGGCGCGTTCCGGATCAGGAGCTTTCGTCCCAGCTACAGTCTGGCTCGGGTTATGTGGTCCATCTGGCCATACTGAAGGCTGAGGTCAGGAAGCTAGAATAGAAGAATGAATCCTTCCCGTGTTACAACCTTCAAATTCTCCGACATGCGCATCCCTGACCCGTGTACGAGCTACACGTAGAGCGGCGAGACTCTAGCTCTGAGGCGAAGGATAGTTACCACTAGTCAGAAGGGATCAGGCTGGCGGGGCTTGGCGGTGGCTCTCTTTCGAGTCCTGGGATGTTTTTGGCGGCATATTGATTCCAGTTCTCCCTCGCCATCGACTGCCACCACCTGCACATGCACATGGGGAAAATTTCTCCGCTGCCAGAGCCTGTCTTGATATTCTCACGACGTCTGCTTTGCTATCAAGTCCTTGTGATTGTCTAGGCTGTTTTGTTGTATCCAAGCATTGGCCCTATCAAGGGCAGCATCCTTTCACGACTATGGACCTGCGAACCACCATCCAGTCGACTTTGTCAGCCGACGCAACCATCCGCTCCCAAGCTGAGGCGGCTTTGAAGCAAGCTGAACAGCATCCTGGGTTCATTGGAGCCCTGCTTGACATCCTACAGGCGGAGCAGGACGCTCCTATCCGCCTCTCGGTTGCCGTCTACCTCAAGAATCGAATATCGCGCGGATGGGCCACCGAACACACTCCTCACCAGCCAATTTCCGAGCCCGAACGGAAACCCTTCAGAGACCGCCTGCTGCCTGTGTTGTCCTCCTCTCCTCCCCTGATTCGAGCACAGCTCATTCCCATCCTTCAGACCGTCTTGCAGTACGATTTTCCAGCAAAATGGCCCGAGCTCATGGACATCACTCTGCAGCTGATGAACACTCAAGATGCCAACCAGGTCTATGCGGGGCTGCAGTGTTTGTTGGCGGTGTGTCGTACATATCGTTTCCGCGCCGGAGAAGAGAGACAAAATCTTGACAAAGTCGTTAACGTGGCCTTCCCCACATTATTGGGCATTGGGAACAAGTTGGTGAACGAGACCAGTCTGGAAGCAGGCGAAATGCTCAGGATATGTGTCAAATGTTACAAACATGCTGTCTACTACGGCCTGCCGACCCCACTCCAGTCGCACCAGGCGACCGTGGACTGGTGCACACTCTTTCTGACCATCATCTCAAAGAAGCCCCCGGAGAGTGCTATGCCCGAAGACGCTGAAGACCGGGAACGCAACCACTGGTGGAAAGCACGAAAATGGTCCTACGCAAACCTCAACAGGCTGTTCGTGAGGTACGGGAATCCGTCGGGGCTGTCTGCAGCCCAAGAGAAGGAATTTGGAGCATTCGCGAAGAACTTCATCACAAACTTTGCGCCAGAAATTCTGAAGGGCTATTTGGGCGAAATTGAAAAATGGGTTGGGGGCAATTACTGGCTGAGCAAGCCTTCTCTGTCGTACACCCTGATCTTCCTAGAAGAATGTGTGAAGCCCAAAATAATGTGGGACAAGCTCAAGCCACACATGGACAGCCTCATCAAGCATTTAATCTTCCCCGTCATGTGTCTTTCGGACGACGATCTGGAGTTGTTCTCCGACAATCCGGCCGACTACTTGCACCGGAAGCTCAACTATTACGAGGAAGTCTCCGCTCCAGACATGGCCGCGACCAACTTCTTGATCGCCTTGACAAAATCACGGAAACAACAGACATATGTCATCCTCTCGTATGTGAACGAAGTCGTGTCCCGATACGAGGCTGCTCCAGACGACCTAAAGAATCCGCGTGAGAAAGACGGTGCACTTAGGATGATAGGTTCGCTTGCGTCGGTCATATTGGGCAAGAAGAGCCCGATCGCTGACCAAGTCGAATACTTTTTCGTGCGACATGTGTTCCCCGAGTTTAGATCTCCACATGCCTTCCTCCGAGCCAGAGCCTGTGAGACAATGGAGAAGTTTGAGCAGCTGGATTTCAAGGACCAGAACAATCTCATGATCATCTATCAGAATATAATGGAGTCCATGGCCGATCCAGAACTGCCTGTCAGAGTGGAGGCGTCGTTGGCTTTGCAACCTCTGATTAGGCATGATGCTATCCGTCTTACCATGCAATCCAACATCCCGCAAATCATGCACCAACTGCTGCAACTGATGAACGAAGTTGATGTCGACTCTCTGTCAAACGTTATGGAGGACTTTGTCGAAGTCTTTGCGGAACAGCTCACGCCCTTCGCGGTGGCTTTGAGCACAAATCTCCGAGACACGTATCTTCGAATCATCCGGGAAATTCTGGAACGGAATGAGGCCAGGGCAGCAGAAACCGGTGATGCACACAACGACTATCTGGACGACAAGTCCATTGCGGCATTAGGGGTGCTGCAAACAATCGGCACTCTTATTCTGACTCTCGAGGCAACACCAGACGTTCTCCTTCTTCTCGAATCTATCCTGATGCCGGTCATTACCATTACCCTGGAAAACAAGCTCTACGACCTCTACAATGAAGTCTTCGAAATCATTGATTCGTGCACCTATGCCTCGAAATCCATATCATCAACAATGTGGCAAGCCTTCGAACTCATGCACAAGACCTTCAAAGACGGCGCTGAGCTATATCTGGAAGACATGCTCCCAGCCCTGGACAACTTCGTATGTTACGGTCAGCAAAGGTTTATCGAACACCCGCCATACCTGGCTGCTGTCGCGGGTATGGTGCGAGACATCTTCTCCGATCCCAAGGTCGGAGGCGTGGATCGCATCTGCGGATGTAAGCTCGCTGAAGCCATAATGCTGAACCTTCGAGGAGGCCCTATTGACAGCTACATACCGACTTTTGTGACCTTGCCCATGGAGGTTCTGGCCACCGCGGGGGCCAAGACATTGGTCAGAAGTTACAAACTACATCTGGTGGAGATGGTTATCAACTGTCTCTATTACAACCCTATTCTGGCACTTCAAGTGCTCGAGTCACATGGTTGGACCAACAAATTCTTTTCGATCTGGTTTGGCATGATTGACAATTTCCGCCGTGTCCACGACAAGAAGCTCTGCCTTGCAGCTATCTGCTCTCTCCTCACCATCCGTGCCGACCAAGTTCCTCATTCGGTTCAAACTGGCTGGCCACGACTTCTGACGGGAGCGACTTATCTCTTTCGAACTCTGCCCGCTGCGATCAAGCAACGGGAGGAAGCTGTTAAAGCTTCTGATGGCGTCTCTGATACGGTTTCTGACTATGGGTCGGACGACGATGCCGAAGATTGGGCTGACGACCCTGGTACCGAAGGGCAAGAATGGGGCAGTGTTAGTGCCGCCTCTGTGCCGGACACCAAAGGCGATATCAAAGACGAGTCGCAGGCTTATCTGGACTTCCTCAGCGAAGAGGCCAAGAAATTCGGTGCTTTGGCAGATGATGACGACGATAGCGTCCTCGATGATGACAGTCTGCTGGAGAGCCCGCTGGATAAATTCGATCCGTACTCAGCGTTCAAAGAGTCTTTGGACAAACTCCAGGCCGAACAACCCCAACTCTATCAAAACTTGACGGCAATCTTGGAGCAAGGCGACCGTGATGTCTTGCAAAGCGTTGTCAACCATGCCGCTGCGACGCAAGCTGCTCAAGTCCAACAAGCCCAGGTGCAGGGATAATATAGCCGCAATTGCGAGGGTCGAGAGGCTGCGAGACTCCAACTGGATCTGCGAACTATGAATAGCGAGTGGCTGACGCTGTAGGGGCTAGTCACTTGGGTTCTGGCATAGGGCGCCACCGAGGAAGAGGTAATATTAGGCCAGCATGAGCGTGAAGAGCAAGCGTTATTTTCAATTATGGGGTTCACATTTCGTGGCGGCTATGGTAATGCCTGTGCCCTGTTGCTAATCTTTGAAAGCGACAAAGCAACGCTCCAGCGCTCTTTCGGTTATGTCGAAAGTCGAAGATCTGAAGGTTGAGCAGCACGAGGTTGACTTTCTAGACGTCTGCTCCGTGGACAGTTATCCGGCGAGCCGACTGAGGTTGTCGAGGAGAGCGGCTCCGCCACCTACCCACCCATCCACCCATACATACACATACACACAACTCTGGAGAGACAGGCACAGGCAACATTTTGGGGAGCCGCAGCCTTGGACGTGGATCAATCAATTGAGCCGTGTGGAGAGGCCTCCCTTGTGCACAGACAGTGGGCGAGTCAGCGTCGTGGGCTCAAACACTTGTCTCCCCCACCCACTTCCACCCCCAATATCGAAATGTCCAAAGGAGAGGTAAAACGGAGGCGCGCCAGAGAATCGGGGAAGAAAGAGAAAGAGAAAGAGAAAGAGAGGGAGAGGGAGAGAGTCAAGAGTTCCCAAGAGATAGAACAAGGCATATCAACATCAATCTGCACCGTCTAGTTATAGTTACACCATTCGTAAACATTGATCCCGCATTAGACCTGTTTGCTTCTCTGTAGGATCCCGCCTGTCCGTCTATACCCATTAATTTAGTTGTGTTAGGAATTCCTCCTCCCTGCTTCCCTCCCTTTGCTTTGCCCGTCGTAGGTAGCAATAGCACGTGAACATACATGTCGTGCGCAGGTATACACACACCTATGCTCGACTCTGCAGGAATTCACAGGGTAGCGAGCCTCCGTGAATATCCCATTCAGTTGCCAGCAGTTGGAAAAGGGATTGTGCGTGTAGTCTCACGAATCGATCAAGTTTCGTCTGTGAGATCAACATCCTGAATCCTCACTCTTCCTCTCCTTTGGGTGTGGAAAAGGTACAAGGATCGATATACGGCAGAGAGGAAACCAAAAGGTGTCAAGGTCAAATGTCATGTTGGGGGGTGACAGGAAGATCGATGCCTCCCGGGCTTGTCTGGCCAGCAGAATCATGTAAAAGAGAAGGAAAGCCAGATATCCTCAGTGCTCAGTACACCACGACAGTCATTTCCTGCGCAACGAGCGACACGAAGCTCATCAAGTTGTTTTCAGAAAATGATGTGACATTGTTCCACCCGCGATTGAACAAGTTCATAAAAGCCATCCTATACCGCAATAAGTTACCCGCTGAATGATGACAATGTCCAGCTTCGAATCCTCCCTTTCCTCAAATAGCCATGTGCAAACCGATCATACTGTGGGCGGTCTCAAAAACGTATGTGCCGGGGTTGTGTCGCAGGCTGGTTGTGCTCGGTCCTGTTCGATGCCATACTGGATATGTTTCCACAACTTTTGTCTGTCCATTTTTGCCCTTGTCCCTGTTCCATACCCTTGTTCCACGCTCCTGCTCCTTCGCTATGCTGGCAATAGCCCCTAGACAACAGCAACATACACATGTGCACGCACAAGTTCCAACGCAACACACTCCCATCGATGCCATACAGTTTTGTTCGCACTTGTACCAGGTAGTTTTCGTTTTCTCTAGACCTCCATGCTCCCTTGTTCGTGCCACCTATTCCTGGGTTTTCCATCGCAATTTGTGCCCCCTTCGCGCGCATCTTCTTCAATCCCAACCCATGGTCCCGAGCAAAAACACAAACGATGTTCTCTAGGTCGTCCCTCATATGCAAAGATTGTCCCACTGCCGGCGCTTTCGACCAAGTTCAAACCCTCCAGCAGCCCAGCCTCCAGCACCGCCCGCCAATATCCACGATACAAAGCTAGTAAACAGATGTGCATTGAATCTGGAAAGAATCAAGTACATGAAAGTCGGGGAAAAAAGAACTAGACAACCTTGCTCAACATGAAAGATGTCGTCGGAGTCGTTAATCGGTCAATGAGTGAACTGTAGTGGTGTTGAAGGGCGACTTTGGGAAGCAGAGGTCCGTGTGTTGGCTTTTTTAAGCAGGGCTCTTCGCGCTCTGAGGGCCACCATTGCGACGGGGGCCTTGGTTTTCATCAGGCGTCACCATGCTGAGGCTGTCAATGCCAGCGGAGAGGAAGGCGAAAGGATCTCCACCAGGTCCATTGCCGTAAAAGCCATTCTGAGGAAGATTGCTCGGGGCATTCATGTCAGCGGCACCGCTGAAAGCAGCTTGGGCCGCAGGGCCGAAGGATGAATGAGACATGTTGCTGGATGCGTAGCCAGGAGTCATGCTGCCCATCTGGGGGAAGGGAGCGGCTGGGGGGCCTCCCATCCCAGAAGGCATGCCAAATTGACTCGGTGGCTGCGCAAAAGCTGCTCCAGAACCAAATGCAGCTGCACCAGCACCATATGGAGCGGGTCCCGGAGTGCTAGCCATCGAACCAGGCCCCATACCATACTCGGACGGCGGTGCCATAGGAGAAGGATAGGCTGAATCGACCACGACTGCGGCTCCAGCACGAGGGGCACCACAGCGCAGACAGTTGACATTCTTGGCAAAGTTGTGGTATGAGCAGCCTTCTGCACCGCAGCGCCAGTCACCAGCTCTGAAGGGGACAATGCCAGCTCCGCCGCGGCCGTGATGTCCAACTCCATGTCCATGATGTCCCATGTGAGGATGATGACCCATCATGTGAGGAGGTCCATAACTGGCGTAGGAATTGTAATATGGATCAACACCCGTCGCTCCTCCCGCAGGGAAAGAACATCGGAAGCAGGCAGTACGGCGTTGGAAGTTGGAGAAGCCACATGAAGGACAATTCCAGTCACCTGGTCGTGGTCGGTTTTTGCTTGGAGGGAATGGAGTCAGAATCTCGGCGGCACGATCGAGGACTCGGCTTGAAGAAGGCGAGACCTCGATGGCCTTTTCGTTGAGGGCGCGTCCGTTCATACAGAGACTTTCAGCGGCCTGAGAAGAGAAGACTAGTGTTAATCCTCGATCAGAGTAGGGGAATGATGAAGTTGAAGGGCACGAGGGGAGTGGGCCGAGGGTTGATATCAGTGCCGTGGAGGCGAAACTGGGAAATGAAAGTGAGACATACCTCTTCGTGGGAAGAGAACACGGCGAAACCTGACCCTGTAGGCTTGTGCTGATCCGGAGTACGAAGGGTCCAGAAGGCGATTGGCCTCCCTCCGAATTGAGTGAACCAGCTCTCGAGTTCAGACTGAGTGGTGTCGTGCGGAAGACCGTTCATGTGTAGAACCTTGCTGCGTTCCTTCAAGAAGGCGTTCACATCGGCCCTGGCGTCCATGGGGCGAGTCAAAACATCTGGATGTTCGTGGGCGGGCTGAGACTTCCGAATGAGGCCCCTGAGAACCCTGGCCAGAGTGACTGCCTCCTCCATGGCGCGCCGAGGGGAAGCAGGCGCCAACGCCTGCAGATGGAAGGGCAGGTTGTGCTTGATTGGCGCCGACGATTGCACAGGCTCCACCTCGAGAGCAGCACAGATGTTTGCTAGAGAACTGGGGCCAAAGGGCAGGGACTCTGGGTGGTGCTGTTGCCATCGGGCATACTCTGAACGCAAGTCGAAGGTCCGGGAGTGTTGCAGGTAAGCCGGTAGGACGACTGCCTTATCACGGGCCTCTCGAGGCAACTGGACCCGCAAGTCCCAGGAATCCAGTGTGACAAAGGAAAACTCCAGGTTCTTGGATATAAGGTGCTCCTGAGCGAAATGGTCAAAGCGAGTGACTGCATCCCGGAAAGAGCCGGCATTGCGAACGTGCTCCCAGGTCAAAGTAGTGAGGCTGGCTGTGATTTCAAGGATCAGTTCATGCAAATCTCCGTCCTCCCGACACAGAAAGTACTCACTGCAGAGGGGTGTGATGGGCGTGTTGACGGGCTTCACTAGCACGCTTTCCCGATAGATCTGGAACATCTGTCAACAGGTCCGGTCGTTTCTCTCATCGCCTCTGGTTCTCTTCTCATCCTCCCCCGTAGCGGACACCGCCAAGAAACACATACCTCGTCACACGTCTTGCTGTCGAGCAAGATCCAACCCAGCTCAATCACTTCTGCAGAATCTTTTGTGACATAAACACCATGTTCATCACAGGTGGTCGCAACGTGAATGACCACATAGCGGTCGAGCTTGGGGACGGAAGGAGCAGCGGTCGCCATGACGGTTGAAAAAAGTCGACCGGGTCGTTACGTCGGGCGGAGAGGGCAGGCGGACAAATTATCGAGCAAGTCGAGATTATGGGCTATGCTTTGACCTCGTCAGCCAGGAACCGGTGAGGAGTGGGCAGGGTGGGAAAAAGTACCAGAGAAGAGCTCACAGACGTCGAGTCAGAAAAAAAAGCAGACACCCGACCCAACTCCAGCAGCTCGGGGAAGGTAAGTGCAGGACAAGCGGCGAAGATGAATTTGATACAGGCCAACCTCTCTCTCGGTTTTCCCCCTGAAGACAACAGGACACAGAGGAAAAGAGAGGCAATTCGACAAAGATCAAAAACGGACGGGAGTGATGCCGATGGCTGCGAAAAGTGAGTTGGGGAGAAAGATGAGAATCCCAGGTGGAAACGACAGCAGAGATGGAGTTCAGTTCGGGTGCAAGCAGTCAAGTTTGTCGAGGCAAAATCGGGGGAGCTAAACCACAAACTCACGTTCAACTCGGCTTTTTCAGTCCAGTCACCAGTGGGTGGGCTTACTCTATCCCACTCCCACGCCCACGCCGCAAAGCAACCCGCTAAACCTAAGTTAAGGACACCAAACGGCTGCAGACCACTGACCGGATTCCTGGGTTTCGGTCAGTGGCTGGTTTGCAAGCCGTTCTTCTCGTTGTTCTGTGATTTTGTTTTTGGGAATATAACATCCACGGTACAGTAACTCTCTGCTGAGTCTGCGCAAGTCGCAGGTCGTCGGGGCTGTTGCTGTCAACCAGATTTCTCGAATCTCAGGTGCGTCCAAGTGTGACCCTCGGGGCCATCTGCCTCCTGCTTGGTCTCCGTCACTCCGGGGGCCGCCAGGCGAGGGAGGGTACCGTGGCTATAGATTCTCCATGTCGTCCTACGCATGTATGATTGACGACTGCACGGAGAAGGGGAATCAAATATGAGTGCAACCAGCATCCCCGTTCATTTCCTGCTCCAGCACGCGACGTCTTATTTTACATTGCCCTCTCGTGGATATCTGCAGTGCCTGACAGCCTTCTACGCGTGCAGCTAACCGTGGCCACACTCGCACAAACAAACACAAGACCCCAAGGACGTCAGAAAAATTCAATGATAATTGTCTCCCACCTGCGTGGTCAGAGTGGCTTGTTTCAGGACGCTGGGCCCTGGATTTCCGGCAAACGGCCTGGTCAACTAATGCTGGCTGGTGGAGCTGCGAAGCACGGTTCAAGTAAGGCTCCGTCTGTCAATTCCGCGAGCTAGAAGCTCCCAAGCGTGCCAGGGGAGAGAGGCTGCCAGTTAGGCTACTGAACAGTGGGCTGCTGCTAAGGCTAGCTACCACATCCACCAAATTCCGGAAACGTGGGATTCGCAGCGAGCCCTCTGAGCGAAAAGCTTAACACAAAGAGATACCACTTAATCAAGCAGAACTTCACATTTTTGTGCTCCGGCACCGCATCTCTCACGGGGGTCCACCCTCGACTCTGCACTGTCTGCAGGCTGATGCGTTGGTCTCCAGGTCTTCCATGAGCCCCGAACATTGGCGTGCTGCCAGTGGCGCCCAGAGGGGCCCAAATGTGCCACAGAGAGGAGGTCGGTGGTGTCGACTGTCTTATTTCCCTGCAATGATTGACGCAGGTTGACACGGATTGACAGCCAGGGTCCCGTCTATCATCACATCACATCTGCCAATGCACGCCGAGTGTTGCGTACCACCGCCCACGGTCGTCCACCCCCGGTTGAGCCTCTTGGTACAGCTACTGCTAGTCTGGAGCGTCAAGTGACTTTCATTTCCAGAAGGGAATGGCGCCTGTTCCCGAGTTCCGGCGCACGAGCAGATGGGTTACGACGAGGGCCCAAGGACTAAGGCAGCAGGGGTTCGGTGCTAGGGCCCACGACGGGCCATCATTGCAGAATAAGTGGCACTGTCTGACGCGGAAATACCTTGTACATCTAGAGAAAGCACCTGAAGACGTGTGAAATACACCTCACCGTTGGGGATGGAGAAATAGAGAACGGCCGCCTCCTGTTTCTCGAAGCACAACGGAGTACACAGTTCTCAGCCAGGGTCGCCTTCAGCATAAGGGCGATCTAACCGATGCAGTTTGCTGCGAGGACCTCGTCATGACGAGGTGCTGCCGCAAAAGATAGGTGTCATGGGCTTGATACTATGGGAAGGGCCGCCTGAAACGGGCTTGCTGCAGGCTGCAAAGTGCTGGGCCATCACCGGCGCCCGTGCCTGTGCCCGTGCGCCGGGTTGCCCACGCTTTCCCAGTCCCTCTCCCTTTCACTTCCCCCTTCGGGGCCCCTTCCAATCGGCTAAGACGCTGGGCAGCTAGCTCTCCACCTCCATCTCTTTCCTGCCAAACCACATTTGGCTTCAGCTCTGCCGACTCCTCATCGGTCGAGCCAGTAATGCCATACTGGGGTTGGCTCACCTCCTCATAGTGCGCTTCTCTCTGGGGAAGACTAACAGATGGAAAGGCCTTGATCTTCAGACCTGAGGTTACCAGCAAGCAAAGCAGAGATGCCCAATATCGTCTTGTAATGTTGACATCTTGTCTGGGGACGGATCGACCTGTCCTACGGCTGATCCTGCTGCCCAATCCGAACACCCATCCCCGGTTGTGCCGCTGCCAAACTCACCATAAACAAACCACTATATCAGAGGCGAGAGGCTGGAAGCTCACTTTTCTGCTCAACTCTCACCCCAAAAATGAACCACGATCTGCTGCTGATCGCAGACAGCTCTAGAACATCGAACTAGAGAACGGTCAAATCGAAGGCGGCCTCGTAGCCATTGTAGGCCACGCCTCTCAGATTCCAAGCTGATCGTTCACAGGTCTGCGTATTACCTCCCGCATCGGTGGCTTTCGCAAAAATCCTTTTGTGGCTGCCCTTCTCCATCTTGATCTCAGCTTGCCACAAAGACCAGGTCCACCGGCTCGCGTCTTTGCCACCATCCTGGAGACGCGCATCGGTCCAAGTTCGACCTTCATCACCAGACACCTGAACTCTGACCACCGGACCATGGGCCCCTTGTGGGACGGCATACCCAAGCACCTCGATCTTCCCGGAAGCAGGCAGAACAATGGTGGAGCCCGAGGTTGGGTGGGCAACACAGGAGTTAATGGGCATGTCCAGCATCGAGGGACACCGGTCCCAATATTTCTCAGCGGTTTCAGGGCAGACGGCCTCAGGCGGCAAAATCTTGTAGTCACGCTGCTGATAGAAACATGGTGATTCCCTGTCCGAGACGGTGATGCGGTCAAGCCATTTCACAGAACGAGCGCCCAACACTCCCGGGACGATGGCGCGGACGGGGAAGCCGTGTCGGGCTGGCAAAGGCAGGCCATTCATCTTTCGTCCGCGCGGTGACAAGTCAGCAGACGTGCTGTTAAAAAGGGGGGGGGATGGTCACGGAGCGCTCTCGGCTCGTACCTTGACTGCCAGGATCACATCCATGGCTGGGTCCATGGCCCGGGCGCAAGGGATGCTGCCTCCATACCACTCATCGGCCTGAGTTCTGCCGCCGTAATTGGCAAAGTGGACATGTCTTGGTGGTACGTTGTCACCCGTGGTGTGGTGGTCCTGGACTCCGGCCGCGAGCAGGATGTCACGAACTCGAGGACCCTCCCACACGCATGTCATGAGAGCAGCATCCTCCCAGTCGACACCCAAGACCTCCTTGATGCGTGTGCGCATGGTATGTCGGCGATTTCCTGCGCACTGCAGCGTGCAGGTCACCCTGGCTTGCGGGAAGTCATTCACGAGCTGGTCGACGGTGAGATTGAGGGTCCTGGAGACGAAACCCTCCCCATCAACTGTGACTCGGTGGTCTGTCCCGACTTTGTGCTGAATTGGGCCGTGGTTCCGGTCATAATGGTCGCTTTTGGTGATGAAGCTGTTGTCGCCATCATGAGGCTATTCTTGATCAGGGAAACGGAGTGTTCCCATACCTTGAAACGAGGTCAATCATATATGGCTCGCGGTTGATGGGCTTCTCGACCGTGCCATCGTCGTACGGACAAACTTTGGCCTATTCCAGCCGGTCAGTCGTTGTTCTTCTCGCCTGATAGGCCCTGAAGCACACGCAACAAAATGCACGGGCAGACCTACGACTGGCATTGCGAGGGAGTACGGCGTCCGTGATGATGTTTGGAAAGATAACACACAACGAAGAGATGAGGTTCTCGAGATTGATGATACGGTGGCTCGTAGCCGAGACAGCGGTGGGAAGTCAGAAGGACGAGGGTGGTGCTCCCACCGCCATCTCGCAATTGCATACGCTGACGCTGTTCCCCGAAACCCCGATCATTTCCTGATAGGAGAATGGGTGCATAGATAGCGAGTGCGGGGCAGAACATCTCCAAAGCGTCTCCTTTTCTTGGTGATAATCATCCTATCTGAGCCTCAAAGGTCGTATACAACTAGTACTGCTGCCATCGACTAGCAAGGCTGAGCAGATCAGGATCATTTATCCACCAGAACGGTACTGACTGGAGCTGAAGAGCTCAATAGGGAATCGGGTTCAGCCAATCAGAGACGACATTGAACCAGATCCATCAAGCACGCAATTCACGGTCGATCATAACTCTCTGGTGGCGCATATGAGAGTGCTAACATGCTGTACATGCTCAGAACCGGCGACAACGCCACCTATACCATACAGAGCGCTTATCGCATAAGGGACATATGATATAGATATCTTGACAATCTCGACATAGCGGTGCAACAAGGGGAAGTCGTTTTTGGGCATGCCATTGTTAGCATTCGATGCATATGACTAGATGATCTGTATGCTCCGCAGTACCCGGAACGAGCACGTGATATGGCTTATACTCGGGACACTTGCCGTCTCAAGAAGCCTTGTTCCTTGAACAAGTTCTCCAACTCCGCAATGCTTGACGAAACCTTTTCCGACACCCAGTTTCGCGAGCAGACAGTAATTACACCTTTCAATATTATGACTTTCTGGAGGTGTGTTCTCGGACCCCCTTTCCCCTACTCTCCGCGGAACATGTGGCTGACCTGTCTGCAGCTCTTACAAGGCTCTTTCGCCAAAGACGCGCGCCGTCATAGGTGTTGCGCTGATGCTCAATGCGTCCGCAATGCTGTTGTTTTCAGATCAAATCGAAGCGTCTCTGGGATTATCCCCCCCTCCTGACGATCGACAGAAGGTGTTCAAGGTGTACAGCGTGGAGCGGGAGACCAAGGGATGAATCAGCGCTATCGATCAGGTCGACCAGCTTACAACCCATGCACCTTTCTCATGAGGCGGAAGCGCCTCAAGCCGATCCTGCAGCGGACGTGGAAATGTGTTTTGGAGTGGCATACATGGCTATAACATCCGAACCGGTCCCGAGGCGGGTCTCAAGTTGGATCGCGCAATATATCGAGTTCCCGGGTGCCATTTTGATCTCCAACATGTTTCTGTCAATCGAATAGGATGGTCATGGGCCATCCTTCGGCATCCGGCCAGTGTCGACAGGCAGATACTCAGATGATCATTCGACGCGACACTGCAACTGGTGGGGGGCTGACTGACCATGGGACCGAAGAGTGGAATCTGAGTGCAGCATAAAGTCAAAGACGCAGCCCTTGAGCTCGGCAGGCTGCTCAATGCCATGCTCGACCGGAGCGGCGGGATTGTTTGGGGAAGGCGAAGTCGGACGAACTGATCAAGAAGTCGAAATGCGTCCCACGACTCTGGGCCATGCTAGGACTACGATGTTTGGGAGCGCGTTGGTGTTTTACATTGGTGGCGGTGGTAGAAAGTTCAACAACTTACGTCCGCTTTTTCCAAGTTGTCCTTTTAGCTCACCACTGGACTCGCCTGACCATGAGGCGCGACCAGTACTAGATGGTGTTGCATCAATTCCGCAACTTCCCTCTATGAGAGAGGTGGGCTGTTTCACGCAGGGCAAAGAAGGCTCTCTCACAGCAACGATTATATACTAGCAAGAACCAGCCGAGACGGTGAGATTCCCACTTTACCAGGCCCAGACATGTCTCTAGTTAACCTGGTGAGTTTCCCCGTGTTGAGTCAAATTCAGTCGCAGGCTCGATTTTGGATGCTACAAGGATAGCTATGTATATGTATCCACATACATCACTGACACTGACACTGGATGACCACCAATAAGTGAGTTATCCTTATGTCCCCTGTTCCCAAAGGGCTGAACTATACCTTATGCCAACTTCCCGAATCCACGGAGTAATAGTCAATGCGATCAGTCAGTCATTTCCCAAATTGATTGTTTAGACTTGCTCCAGCATTCGAACAGGTCGACCCATTCCCGTCTAGTCTCTGAACCTTCACTCTTTCCATCATGCTCGAACGTATATCCAGCATGAGGAGATGGGGTGCTTGGCTACAGATTGTTTAATCTCTATGGTTTTTAATCGTACCCCTGGCGAGGGCCATTACATGCCTTCGAACCCTATCATGGTACCGGAGCTCTCAGGAGTTTCCCGCAATTTGAGGACGTCGCACCGCAGCAAAGTGTCCAGAACGGATTTCACTAGGTACTAACTTTACATACAGATACCACCTAACCAGAGTCACCAGGTAGTTTTCAGGCGCAGGGTTAATCACGGCAGATGAAACCATAAATGAGGTTTATGGTTTGGTGGTGCGCTTCCGTCAATTTCTTTAACTTTCAGCCTTGCTACCATACCTGCCCCCGATCCCAAAAACTTTTGAGTTCTCGTAAGGTGCTGAACGGAGCATTATGTGAGAATATCCCACCCGTCTGATCCCTGGTCGGCAAAGTTCATGTAGATATCGAACCAGTCAATATCCTCGGGAACCGCATTTTTTATTTCGCTGGGAGGGAATACTTGATGTGCTGGCTGCTAATCTAACATCGGTGGTTGATTGACCCGAAATCCCCGATCAAGAATCCAGGGCGATTTATTATTCTGCTGCATACTCTTTCTTCTTCTCTTATGTCAATGTTTGTCAACGACGAAGTGTACTGCGATGTATCCAGCAGAGTCCGGTGCATGTGAATACTTAACATCATAATCCGTTTAACAGCGTACCTGGCCTGCAGATCTGGTCTTTCTTGTTCCGACAACCCTTGGCAGACACAGCATCCAAATAAGCTCTTCCTATTCCATTTGAATTCATTCCCTCCCTCTACAGATGGCCATGAGCAGATCGTCGCCGATAATGTTGTGCAGACTCAACCACACGCCGAGGCCTCACTGCGGCCATAGTTTCTCGTTCTCAACCAGAGGGTTTGCGACGTCCAGGTGTCTGCTTCTCCGCACCACGGAGCTCGACGGTCCCAAACTGAGCGGTTTGAAGGTCAACTCTGCCCGTCTCTGGGACACGATCCACTCCACAGCACAATGGACCTCGGCCACGAAACCGAAGACAGGCGATATCAAGACTGAGGGCCTTTCGCGCCTGGCGCTCGGTGACGAGGACAAGTGCGCCCGTGACTGGTTCATCGCCACCACCCAGTCCCTGGGATGCAAGACCCACGTCGATCAGATGGGGAACATCTTCGCCATCAGACCGGGCCTGTCGTCGTCGTCCCGGTCTGCCAACAGGCCCGGCGCCCCCGCGACGTTCGCGGGCAGCCACTTGGACAGCCAACCGAGCGGTGGCCGCTTCGACGGCGTTTTAGGTGTCGCTGCGGGGATCGAGATGTTGAGGGTCCTCAATGACAACTGGATCGAGACAGAAGGCGATGTGGGCGTAGTGAATTGGACCAACGAAGAAGGCGCCAGGTTTCCGGTGAGCATGATGGGAAGCTCGGTCTGGTCCGGTCGTGTCGGCCTGGAGAAGGCCTGGGGCGTACGCAGCGTCAGTCCTGGACTGCCTCAGGCCACGGCCGGGGACGAGTTGAGGAGAATTGGATATCTGGGAGATGTCCCTTGTTACCGTGATGGGAAGCCAGGCACGCCTTTAGGTGCACACTTTGAACTACATATCGAACAAGGACCGAAGCTCGAAAGGGCGAAGCAAAAGATAGGGGTCGTCGAGGGTGTCCAAGCTTACAAGTGGTTCACCGTCACAATAACAGGGAGGGAATCGCATTCCGGGACCACGGACTTCGAGAACCGCGCCGATGCTCTCTATTTTGCAGCGACATTTCTTCACAAGGTCCGCAAGATCGCCGAAAGCTTGAAGGGGCTCGCAACCGTGGGCATCATGAACGTCTCTCCGGGGAGCATCAACACCGTTCCCGGTCAGGTTGAGATGAGCTTGGACCTGAGAAATCCTCTTGATAGGGGCTTGAAGAGGATGGTCAAGAAGGTCGAGGACTTCATTCAGTTGGTCAACGAGGGTGACCACACAGACTCAGAGAAGGTCTCCAGGCTAAAGGACAATCCGCTCACGAAGATCCGTGTGGAGATGAAGGAAGACTTTTCGAGCGACGCCATCACCTTCAATCCCGAGGCTATCCAGTGTATCGAAGAGAGCGCGCTGGCTGTCTTGGGAGGCGATACGACGAAGCTCCAGAGGATGCTGAGCGGTGCAGGGCACGACAGCGTGTGTACCAACGTGCACTGTCCTACAGGAATGATCTTTGTCCCTTGCAAAGATGGGGTTTCGCACAATCCGAGCGAGTGGTGCAAGGAGGAGGATTGTGCTGTAGGGGCGAATGTGCTTCTGCATTCGGTGTTGAGGATGGATCGGCTGAGAAAGGAGAGAGGAGACTTCGACTGAGAAGAAAGCGAGAAAGAAAAGAGTCAAAGGCGGCAATGAGACAAAACGTTGAGGCGTGATCAGGAAGTAATGCTGCCACACAAAACGCGACAGCTGGCCAGTTAAGATTACAGCCTCGATGCATGACATGTTCATCATTGCTCTATGTGGTTCCATGGAAGTCTGAACAGCTGTCAGATCCGCTGCTCGCATTGAGACATTCTCAGTTCTCTTCTCTCGCCTTGTGTGCAAGGCATTGGTCGACGTCCGTCTCGAGAGGTCACGGTCATGCAGGAGTGTTCGTGCGCATGGTGCCGAGCTCCTGATGCAGCCGATGTTCAGACCGTCTAAGAGGCCGGGGGAGCACCACGACCACGACCGAAGCCACCGCGGAAGGTCGGCGCAAACTCGCCAGGAGCACCTCCCTCTTTGGCTTCACCACGGTCCTCACGACGACGATATCCACCATCACGATCACCGCGCGGTCCACCCCGGCCGCCGCCGCGGCGCTCACGTTCCTCACCACCCATCATTCCACGGGGAGGAGCATGGCTGCGCTGCTGCTTGATGTGCGTCGCGGGCACGATCTCGGCGGGCAAGTGAAGCCATTCGCGCAGGTAGTCCAGACCCTCGGGCGTCAAGGTGTAGTAGTAGTATTGCCAGGAGAACTGGGTCTTGAGATAGCCACGGGAAGTGAGGGACTGGCAAGCTTTGATGACCTATCACACACATCATGTCGCGTTAGTTCCCGTTTGTAACTGCGGGCTTTGTTTCGAACGTACGAAGAGGTTCTTGGTGTCGATGTCACCGTGCTTGGGGAGGTTGTAGTCCTTCTTGGCCACGAGAACACCTTCGCGGAAGAGGTACTCGTGGATCTTCTTGCGGTCGGCCTTGGGGATAAGCCTGCAGAGCGCACAATTCGTCAGTGTCGGATATCCTGTAAGGGAGGGCAGAGTGCGCAGATCTCACATTTTGGCGATGTCCTTTGGGGTTTGCCTTGTGTGGACGGACCTTGGTGCAGAGTTGAGAAGCTGGAGAAGATGTTGCTGCGAGTTCCTGGCGCTCTTCGGGGAATCGCACACAACAGGAGGTTGATTGACGGAAAATAAGGGAGCGGTAGTGGAAAAAGGTGAAATCGACAGGACTTTACTGAAAGCCCAGACTGAATGTGTGGCAGTCTGTGCCAAGATTTTAGCCTTGGCACTATATACGGCGGATCATCAAGACAGCCCAGAAGACCACAGTCACCTCCAACTCACCCAATTCCCAGAGCTGCATGATGCCGCACTAATAACTTGCCGTACCAGAAGCCCCGGGCGCTTGGCAAGAAAATTCTTGGCGGCCGACCTGGCGCACGCTCTCGATTTTGCGATTTTTGGATTCGTGGGATTGAACGACCCTCTACACTGAGACGACAACACACATCCCCCATCTCAACGAGATCTCCGACGACATACTCTTAATTGCTCACTGAGTGACTGCTGATTTGATCAGGTCAGTATTTCGAATTTCCCATCGTGCACCTGGCCGAAGGAAGTTGAACGAGAACACCCAAATTCCAAAGCCTTTGGGTCACTCGACCTTTTCGCCTTCCTGCAATTGACACCTCCTTTCGCGGGCATGCCAACAATCTGAATACTGACAAATCTGACATCTCTGCAGTTCCTCCTCAGTACCGCAATCATGGGTATTTCACGAGACAGCCGCCACAAGCGGTCTGCCACCGGTGCGAAGCGCGCATACTACCGCAAGAAGAGGTACATTTCTTTCCCCCCTTTCCGCCAACCTGTTTTCTCGAGCAAGGGAGTCAAAAGAAGGAACGATTGGGATCTGACATTGTGTTCTTTTTGCTACGTGTAGAGCATTCGAAAAGGGACGCCAACCTGCCAACACCCGTATCGGCGCCAAACGCATCCACCTTGTCCGTACCCGGGGCGGCAACACCAAGTACCGTGCTCTGCGTCTAGAGAGCGGCAACTTCTCTTGGGGCAGCGAGGGCATCGCCCGCAAGGTGCGTGTCATCGTCGTGGCCTATCACCCGTCCAACAACGAACTCGTCCGCACAAACACCCTCACCAAGTCCGCCGTCGTGCAGATCGACGCGGCCCCCTTCCGAACTTGGTACGAAGCGCACTACGGCACGAACATCGGGCGGAAGCGAACACAACAGACCAAGGCGGCGGGCGCTGGGGCCGCGGCTGCCGAGGCCGGTGCGGGAGAGACCAAGGTCAGCCGGAGCGTGCAGGCGAAGCGTGAGGAGCGGTTGAAGAAGAGCGGCAAGATTGAACCGGCGCTGGAGAGACAGTTTGAGGCCGGTCGGCTGTACGCCGTCATCTCCTCTAGGCCCGGCCAGAGCGGTCGCGTGGACGGCTATGTCCTCGAGGGTGACGAGTTGGCCTTCTACCAGCGAGCTATCAGAAAGTGATGGAAAAGTAAAACTCTCTCCGCTGGCGACAAAACCACATCGTGGGGGGTGGAGGCGTAGGAATGGGGTTGATCGCTTCTGCAAAAAAGGGATGATGATGCTTCTCTGTGAGGAAGGGACGAGGCCTCTTGTCTGGGTTGTGGAAATGGGCAACAGGAACGAGTTCCCCTCAAAGTCTCGTGGACAAGCAAGCAAATCGATCTTGAGAGGGCGATTAACCGATTGTGTCTGACGATTACGAAGATGGTGCGTTCTGTCGTGTGGCACTGAGCTTAGATCATTTTTTTCTTCGCTCTACTCTTTGCTTCTTCTAGCCCATCAATGTTCCTGATACTACTACTCGAGGCCTAGTGTGCTCGCGGGCAGAAGCAACTTGTGTGAAGGGAGAGACAGAGAGAGACTAGCAGAAAAAATGCAATGAAAAGTGAAGAATCATCGGCTAGAATTCAATTTCAATCATATTGAAAAGGTCATTCAGTAGTGTCTGTCTGTTCAAGGGCTTCAATGATCAGTGTTTTCCATCCTCCCCAAAACACAAGGACTTTCTGTCACCAAGCTAGCTTTCAATGTATCAATCAACTCGAATGTGGACATTTGGGTCTTATTCTCCTGTGGCCGACAAAAGTCTGCGGGACAAGAAGTCAATTCTCCGGTTCATTGTGAACCAAGAAGGCTGTTCCAATATGGGTGTTCCAGGCTTCTTCCGACGGCTGCCAACTAGATCTCCTGTCCCATTAAATGGTACCCTGTACTGTCCAAAAGTTCATGCAGTTATCATACGCTCGAATCCCTGTAACCTCTCGCTTGATGAGATTCGCGATGACATGACAACGTTAGGTCGACGGTTTCCATCTTTGGCAAAACCCGTTTCCTCGTGGGGGATGACGCTGCCGAAAAATGGCTGTAGCTCAAAGCACGCGCATCTCGAGATATGGTTTACCGAAACCACCGAAGATGCAGTGACGATGCACTCGTGAAGTTGACCGAATCCTATTCCTCGGTGACTTCTCCCCGAATCAGTTAGCCATACCGACAGCAAGATTGACAGCGGCTAAGACTTACGAAGAGGTACATCAGCACCAGCCTCCCCGCCGAAAGAGAGGAATTCATCGAAGATCCGCTTGGTGTACTCACAGATCGAGGCGTCGGCGTGCGGAGTGTGGGTAAGCCTGGCCCCCATACCCATCTGTCGGTAGACAGTAGCTGAATTTCGTGCGTACGCGGCTTGGATCCTGGCCTGGCGTTCAGCACGACGGCGCTCAGCTCGCTCCCGCAATTCCTGAAGCTTGGCTTCATGGATCTCGATGGCAGTGAGAAGTTTCCCGTGTGAGTGGTAAAACGCCCTGGAGACTTTGAAGTCGAAGAGGCCGTCAGTCGCGGTGAAGCAAGCCTCCTGAAGACGACTCTTCTCGGAGGCGAAGAGGCTGTCAAAGCTAGCTTTGTCGAGGGTGCTGTAATCCGCCACCTTGGACACAGTGTCTGGGATGACCTCGACGAAATGGGCCAAAAGCTTCTTGTCATCACGGGAGATGAAGAGGGCGTGAGTGAGCTTGACATAGAGTTCAAAGCCGACCAATTCAGCCGTCGCAATCAACCAGCGACCTTGGATTTGTAGGAGGTGCTTGTAGAATGCCAAAAGCCTCTTGCCGCCAGAAGAGCTGAGCAAGAAGGAACGAATGGCAGTCAGGGCAGGTCGAAGGTTTTCGTACTGGACCTTTGGACCGGGCTCTTTGCTCAAGACATATTCGACGAATCGTGGTGTTGCGAGGATATCTTTGACAGGAAGAGGCGCTTTGTCGTGAAGGAAGTGGTGCAAGGCCGTCTTGTTGTCTTCGTAGAGGAGAGTGAAATAGGGATCGAGAGTGAGTGACTTTGCCGGCGCAGCTCTCAATGGGAGAGTAAAGGTGGTGGTGGTCGAGGACGTGTTGGGTTCCTTAGGAGGCAACATGTTTGCTGGTGCAGAGTGATGCGATATTGTACAATTACTCTGAAGATGATGTTCTCTTGCAACGATGATGGTGGTTGTTGAGTTGTTGATGGTAGATGGTCGACAGTGAAACCGAACAGAAATGAAGTAGAAATATTTAAATCACTGGGATCTCTGGGAATCAGGAGGCTGGGGGCCATGGGTGCGGCAGACCATGTTTGATTCGATCTGAGTGATATCGATATCACTTCACGTCTGGTGTGCGAATGTATATGTTCTCTTTCCCTTCATTCCGTCCTGAACCCCCAAACGGCTGCCTGATCTCTGCTATATCTCGCCATCTTCGTCGAATCTGTTCAATTGCAGGGATGTCTTTTGTGACATGGGGACCAGGCAGCGCCATCACCATCTCACAGGGTGTTTTCCCATTTCACCATGACTTTCTCAACATCTGGACATTCGGTCAGGACGCCATCATGGCGGACCCAGTCCATCTCTTACATCCGAGCAGCGTGAGCAGACGGGGTACTGCGGTTGCGCCATTTACACAGCGACCAGTCAATTCTGGACGGCGATGTTTTGCCAAACCATAGCTGCATCGGGCATGCCATTAGTGGTTGAAGAGAACAGTCCCAGGAGTAAGTAGACGACAGGACACGAAAGCCACCCCGGAGGCCTACATATACACCTAGTTAGGTAGGTCGACCTTGATTGATTCAAAGCAGGAAGCAAACAGCGTCGAGTTGTTGCCATGACTAGAGGTTAGCGTTCTGCAAAGAGCAAACAGACAACGTTGTGGGCTGAATAAGCATCCCCAAGCTCATGCAGCTTCTGGTCGGACGGAGAGCAGAAGGATGCTCAATGATCGCGTCCAAGTCGATGTCTCTCGTCAATGCAATTACCTACAAGACCAAAAAAACGTCAGGGAACAATAGTGGGTGGCATCGAGAGAGACGTTGAAGATGCAAAGGACGTGGGCCGAGTTCGGACTGTTGCTCAATGCTCGAATAGGAAAGGCACACGAAGGTCCTCATATTAAAAGTGGCTGCACCACTTCTACATTGTACACCGTCTCGACATTTCATTCCTGCGCCTCCTATCGAGTGCACGAGAGTCATTCTCCAAGACACCAATGGGCCTTGATTCCAATACAGAGTCATCTACCGTCCCTACAGATTTGCCTCCCACCGAGACCCGCCCGACGTTGTTGGTGACGCGTTGCTCTAATCGAAGACAATGGCTGCCTTAATGGCGCTCTTGTTCTTCATCGACTCCAGACATTCGGCCCATTGCTCCAGCTTGAATGTCTTGTTGACGATGCCTGCGACCTTGACCTTGCCCGAGTCTGTTCGACCACACGGTTAGCTTGGATTGGTAGGGAAGAGCTGGGAATGCACAATACATACCGAGGTAATCGATGGCAGCAGGGAACTTGTATGTTTCACTGAACGACCCGAGGATGGTGATTTCGTCACCAAAGATCTTGGTCGGTGGCCACGACACGCGGTCCTTGTTGCCATAGACACCGTACACCACAAGCTTGCCGCCTCTTCGCACATAGTTGATGGCGTCCTCCAAGATCCTGACGCTGCCCGTGGCTTCAACCACAACGTCGAAGCCATATGGATTCTCCCTCTTGATTTTTTCGAACTGCGGGCCAGGGTCTTTTCGGGACAGTTCAACGTACTCATCCGCCGCGTCCAGGGATTTGGCGAGGTTCATCTTCAGTCCCTCGGGCGCGGCGATGACCACATGGCAACCACCATTCTGGCGGAGCATCTGTGTCAAGACGAGACCCGTGGGTCCCGCACCGAACATGAGCACGCTCGACCCCATCTTGGGGGAGATCTTGTCCAGGCCGTGGGCAGCGCAGGAGGCGGGCTCGAGGAGGGTGGCGTCCACATCGGACAAGTTCTTGATGGGGAACACTCGTTTGGCAGGGTATGCGCAGTACTCGGCAAAGCCACCGTCCATGGTCACACCGTGGGCTTGGAAGTCTTCACACAGAAGCTCCTCCCCGCGACGGCAGTAGAAGCATTCTCCACAGAGCTCTGAGTTGTCTGCAACCACCCGCTGACCGATTTCGAAGCCCTTGACTTTGGGACCAAGGGCTGCAACGACGCCGACGGTTTCGTGGCCCGGGATCAATGGGAACTGCAATTTCTGTTAGACGCTGTCCACAGTCACCACAGGGAGCTTCTCGCTCATACCTTGGCCAAGAATTCACCCTCGTGGATGTGCAGGTCAGTGCCGCAGACACCGCACGCCTTGACTTTGATCTATGTCCTGTCCTCAGCATTCCCCTCTTTCGGTCTGCGTCGAGTCGACCTACCAGGATGTCATGTTCGCGGAGCTTGGGGAGAGGGACCTCGACGACGCTGAACTTTTCTGGCTCATCGTACTCTAGACACGCACAACAGTCAGTCCATGATTAAGCCAGATGTCACGCTCTGACCGCTTCTTTTCCGCAATCGAAAACCAACGCAGTCACGGGAGGACGTCATACTCAAAGCCTTCATCTTGGAGGGAAGGCTTGCGGAACCCATCTTGGTGGAGGATCTCTGGTCTACGGGAAAGAGAAGCAGCACAACAAGATGGACGACTGGCAGAAGATAATATACGAGCGAAGAGCAAGAGACAACTTATCAGGACGGTCGACTGATCCAAAAAGAAATATGTTGAGGGGGAAGATCCTCCGGCCAGCCAAAGCTACCAGGCGCAGCCAGACAGCAACAAAACGATAGCTTGGGCATCGCAGCCGAGTGCGGGGCGAGTTTCTTTGCTTGATCGAACCTTTTTTCTCGACATTTTCCGATAACGATCTCACACTCCTCCGAGATATCATCGTGCACCACCAGGAGCCAGACTTCGGGCGGCCGCAAAAACAAAGATCTCGTCCAGCTAGCTTTGCCGTCGCCGGAGCTTGTTCACTAATTATCCCCGCCATGCAGCTCGGACAACTTCTTACCGCAAACTTGGAAAAACTTCCGTGCGAGTACGATCCAAGGTTCCTGGTAAAGTCGGTGAGGACAGCCTTGGGAAATGGGGATCAACGTGCTTCACGAGCTTGAGGTAGGAGTTGCCATTCGCCCTCAGCGTTGTTGCAGGCAAGTATTATCCGCTGGGACCGTGCGAGATGCGTCTGGAACCTGTCTCACATGGCTAATCAAAGTTGGATGGACTTTGCTTCCTAGCGCGAGAGACTTTGAGCTGTTTTCCAGATCGCTGTTATTTGGTGTCTTTTCGCCGACTCTTGCTCTCCAGGGCCTGATGGCGCCGCATACACAGGAATCTTGTTTCCGACTCCCAAAAATGGTGCATTTGCAAAACTAGGTGATTGGGGAAAAACAAGCAACTGCCCATGCAGCTCCTGCGGATTTTTTTTGGTCGCAGTAGCCGGCAAACGAGGACGCGAGATGCAGATGACTGACTGATTAACTCCTCAAGCCAGGATTCCGTCCGAACACCGAGAAAATCCCATCGTCGGGGAGAAGATGCGCTTGAATCTTTTACCGTCAACTCCCCTGCTTTGGTTTCTCTGTCGCGTGGTGCGTTTGGCCTGCTGCTGTCTGCTTCTCCAGGAGGGGAAAGCAATATGCGGGATTGAGGAGGAAGCAAAAAAGAAAGAAAAAGAAAGAGGAGACCAAGACATGCCTCGCTTTCCGAAGGGCCACTCATGCACGCATTTCTTGATATTGACGGACCCTGCGATCAACCCGTAAGGAAGTGGCAGGTCTTTCTCCAGCGTCTAGGTGAGCAGCGAAGGGAAGGGGAGGGAAGGGAGGACAAGAGAAGAGATCTCCCTCCTCCTCCCTCTTCCGCCGCAAATGGCTGTCATGCCTTTCGTTCGTACCTACGTAGCTACATACAACGTAACGTTCTTCTCCATGACTCTCTCTGCCTCCCAGATGTAGAATCTCCCTCTTCTTGCTTTCTACCTGCAAGCGGCTTCCTGTGTGTGAGAGCAGGTCTGCTAGGATCTGTGAGACAAGATACAATAGTAGACTTCGACCCTTGTTTACAGGCCGGGCAACAGACCGTGGTCACTGTGGCATCCTATACTCATGCATGAACATCATGGATTGTCCTACTTTTCTTATATCCCAGAGCCAGACCGAGGTAACTATCCTTCATGGCTCCCCTCCTTGCCCCAATGCTTCCCGGCTGCGCCTGTTTCCCATGAATGCCGACGCGGCCGGTAAAGTGCTTCAGCTCTCGGACTTCCTATCCCAGCGCCGACGCTCCCGAAACAACCCCAGAGAAATGCGTGACACATGATCCAACACAGAGGGCGGTGGTGAGCCCTGGTTCGTCTTGCGCATCTGTTGTCTCGTCCAAATCGTGCATCAGCCCAGCGCATACCCACAGGGTCTATTTCAACCCGAATCCTTCGCTCCCCTGCACCGCCATCCAGAGCTTCTCTTCCAACTTCTCCCTGGACGCATATCGATACAGACTCAGGGTATTAAAACAGGTCCTCGCAATAGGGAATCTTTCCACCGGTTTATTCGTCGATCTTCCAAGTGCATCCATTTCCTCCTTGGCACGAATCAACTGGATGCGGATAATCAGGTTTGTGGCACCCATGGCCGGAATCCGATCGCTGGCCGTGATGAAACTGAGGATTTTCCTTTGATCCCCGGGTGACACGCGTGCAAAGAACTCCCAGAACCAAATAACTTGGGGTTGCTGTTCGGGCGGTCCTTCCTGCTTCGGCCAGCCTTCGTACGTCGCGACCGCGCGCAAGCTAGCGATGTCAAGAGGTTCATCAGAACCTCGCACGAGGAGCTCAATTTCTTCCGGTCGAAATAGAGACAGGGCATTCCCCCCACAGACGGTGAAGAAGCCACGTTTGAACGGCTCGTACTGCCTTGCCACAGCTGTGTCGAGCAGATAGTGGATATAGAGATCCACGAATTCCCGTCGATTCGAGTTGGTCACTGCTCTTTTCTCGCCACCGGGACACAGCGGGACCTGGATAATATCACCATAGCGGTCCATTTCCGCCACGAAGTCGCGACAGAACGTTTCCTCGACGTCGCCTTCAAATTCAAGCAGCTGCCTGAAACCTCGTGCCAGAGCAGGGCGGAACTCAGCCAAGTCTTCGAGAGTAAACCCATGGCCGACTTTAGGAACCGATGACAGCTTGTCGCTGGTTGAGGGCGCCGAAGCTAACATCTTCTTGAAGACAAAGGGGGGGAATGCCACATCCAAAATAGTCGAGTTGTAGATGGCCAGTCCGACCAGCACACCAACCAAGAAGAATTGCTCGGATGATTCGAAGCAAAATGGGTTAAAATAGCAGTAATGAGAATCGTCGTCGTACACGAACAGTCCGTGATGAGGATCAAATATCTCTCTCACCAGCAACAGGAACCACTCCTTGCGAAGACCGCCTGCATCGACCCCTTCTTCGCCCTGAAAATCGATGCGCAGACCCTTCTTGATATCACTACCGCCAGACCCGACCACCTCAGAAACGCCCCGCAGACTGTCCTCGACCAAGCATTCTCGCCGAACTTTGAGTATGAGGTACTGACTGACCGCTTTGCGGCTGAGGATGCTGTCAAAGAAGGCCTCTCTTGCTTTGATTTCCATCTGTCTTTTCGCATCGTGCTCGAGGATGTGGATTTTAGCATAGATACTCAAGAAAAAGGGATACTGGCAAAAGGTAAATTTTGTCTTTGTTGTCTCCCAGGTTTCGAAGTCCGCCACTAGGTCTGCATAGTCCAGCATCGAGTTGTAAAAGTTGCTGATCGGTATTATCTGGCCGTGTGAGTATGCGTGGTACTTAGCATTGAGACCTGGACTTTGCAACCTCTGCTCTTGCGCGGCAAAGGCATCTCTCTTCCGCGCAGTGTGGCCCACATTCGCATGGAAGAGCAAAGCCATGACCCTCGCGGCCACGCGGATTTGCCAGTCTTCACCGTACGAAGACAGCTTGGGCTTTCCATCAGACTTGCCAGCTGAAGTGGAAGAAGGTCTGCCTCCGAGCGCGGCGTGAATTTGAGAGGCGTGGTGCATCCCAGAGTCAGAGAAGCTGGGAACGAGGCCTTCTGTGGGATTGATGGGTCCGTGGGCCGGGCTCTTCTGTAGTCGGGAGAGTCTGTAACTCACAAAACTGCCCACCATTTCTACCGTCCTTTGGAAATGGCCATCAGAATATCTAGAAAACCATGAAACCAGATACTGATGGTTTTCGTTCGAGAGATTGGCCATCAGGCCTAGTATCCGCTTGATTATGCCCGAGTGGTGACCAAGGCTTCCCGGCCGTCTACCGCTGCTCGGAACTCGTTTTGAAGGCGAGTCGCGGGCTCTGTCGTCAATCTGTTTTCCCCCGGGAACAGGCGGGTGAGGTATTGTAATCCCAAACATCTTGCCTGTCTCAAGCCTTGAAGGCGTCAACAACGGATTGGCTAGAAGCAATAACAAGAATCGACAATCCTCGGGATGTTTCAATGGCTGTCTGGGTCGTTTTAAGAGGTTCTCTGTAATCTTCAACAAACTCCGCTGCAGGTGTATTCGGGATTCGATGATATCTCGCTGAATGCTCTCTAATGAGGTCGAATGCCAACACTGCTGTGCCTTCCGATCCGTCAACTTGGACCTCAGTTCGTGCCACCGCTGTTCCCAAAGGTCGCCTGCGTATATCACGAGGCGATACCATTCAGCAAGTTCGAGCCAATTAATCCTGGGATTTCTTGAACTTGCAGAACTGCGAGTCTTCTCTGGCGACCTGTCTCGCTGATGATGAGATTCCTTTCCCGACATGGCTACACGTCCGCTCGGCGCTCCTAACCACCATGACCCGTTCTCGGCGACATCGCCAAGTAGCAGGGTTTTTGCATCGAGCTCAGACAAGAAGATATCCGGCTCGAGTACCGGAGCAGAAGCTGGTTCAGATAACTGTCGCCTTTGTTGTGTCCCCGAACCAGATCTAGGTTTATGTTCCTGAGGTGGTCGGGGAGTGAGGAAAGACTGATTCAACGTGGAACATCCGACAAAACAGCCAGCAATGTAGGTTTCGACCAGACGGAAAACGTCAGTTCTGGGACCGGATGACGTGGGCGAGGGCTGGATAGGCTCTGCAGATTGTCGCCCCCTGGCGTCCTGAAACCTGTTGTTCGTTGGACCAGCCGAGTTGAAAGGATCAGCCGGGTGGCCTTGAACAAAGGATGGCCCGCCATGCCGGATGGCATGCCGGGGGGACAGATTAAAGTCCTCTGGAGGGCTCCCTTGTTTCATCCCCGGGCGTGGAGACGCTGGCGGGGAGTCCTGTTCGTCGTTGAGATGTCCATACAAGGCGCCTTCTGGCGGAGTACCGTCTAACAGAAAAGAGTCCTCGGCTGGTAAGTGATTCTCAATTGGTATGGGGGTAGTGGATGTAAAAAGCTCGTCATGCTCAATGCGAGACTCGAGATACTGCCGGAGGCATCGATCAAGCAGTGTTTTCGTCCTCTCGACAGACAGAGAAACGATTTTGCGCTGGAACGAGGGACCAGCTGCCGACACCTCGGCGTCGTCTTTGGTCTCCGGGTTGTACTCGAGATCATTGATGGTTAGGCAGGTCGTACATCGGAACACCTTAAGCCCCTGTGGCCACCGGACGGTTGAATCGCAGGTCATACACTTTCCTGTGACTGGCTGGCGATCACCCCGTGGCCCCAAGGCTTCAGCATGATACTGCTTCATGGTTCCTTCTTCGTGCCGAGCATCGCGTGTTCCATCAAAATCCATGCCATGCTTGTTCTTTTTCTCCGCTCTTTTCGAACCAAAGATGGACGGGAAGGGATGACTGAAGGACCGACTGTGGTTGAGCTTTGCGGTACCAGAATCTGGTGAATCGGGGAGGGGTTTTCGACGCAGGGTAGGAATCTCGAATGTCTCGGCAGCAGCAGTTGACGGGGGGCGGGGGCAGTGGCCGATTGAGGTCGGTGGTCTTGGGTTGGTCATGGCTTGTACTTCGAGTAAGCTGGACGTTGCGAGGTCGAGGCCGACTAGGATGGTGGTCGTGGGATGCAGAGGATGGCAGCGACGCCATTGTCGTCATGTAGAATTGCGACAGAGCCTCAGAACTCGGCGATGGGGCGAGGCGAACAAGGTATTCATAAGAGTGGGCTAGTGAATCCGGTCCACGGACGCTGCGGTCGATGTCTCAGAACGTGCGGGCTCAGGCGGCAGCGCAGGCTGTGTGCGTGTTTGGTGTATAGTATAGCGTGCCTTGGTCACGATGTTCATTCGCTTAGAAAGCAGATCCCACTGGCGAATATGCCGGAGCAATCCAGCAGTCAATCTCCTGGGATGGTGTCGCAGCACTGATGGTTGAAGTGAAGGTGAAGCAGTCCCAGCATATTGTCCCGTCACAGACGCGTACAATAATGCTGGGAACAGGGCAGGCGCGATCAGCGTCGTTCACAAAGTGCTTGGGGCGAAGGGGAACGAGACGAGACGAGAACAGACCTCATCGCCACCAGACCGAAGTCGAGGTGGGTGCTGTGTCTAGAGGGAAAAGTGGTTCTCATGGCCGCATTGACGAGACTGTTTTGCGAGGGGGAATTTGCCAAGGACTCCGAGAAACAAGATCCAGGGAGTCACCCGCGAGAGTAAGGGTCCCTTGGACCTGACAGGGGGCCCTCTGGCCCTGGGAGCGGCGAGCCTCGGGTCATCGGCGCGCGAGAGTCAGGGGCTAAATTGCTTGATTGGGGGCGTGCATACAGGCGTCGCCCACTGAGAACAGGCCCTGGGAGCCCCGGTGGGGGGACGTTTACATCACTCCCGGGACGTACTGTGCAGGGGGGAATTACGGAGCCTTGCAAGCGAACCCTCTTTTCACTAGGGCTCTGGGGATGTGCCATCGAGGATTCTATTTTCGGTGCTGTATTTCCGTGCAAGTATGATGTTAAACTCTCACTAGGCGTCTTTCCATGTTGGGTGTCCTTCATAGGTCTCCAGGTAAGAGGCAATTGGCCTGTGTCATGTCATACGAGTACGGGTCCTTGTCTCAAATCCATACACGCCTATCCAGTCACTAACCTTCATCTCCTTCTGCTAAAATACATGTGCGGATTCCCTAGCATTTGCCGGCTCGCTAAACCCTCAAACAGACAATATCGTCAATACTCGTCCCGTAGTTGTGTTGACTAGAGCGCCGATTAGCCGTCAAGTCCATATTCTTGAGCTAGCTTGTCGCCAGCAGTCAGCCCAGCGAGGTACGCCGTGGTCTGAGTGTGGTTGCTAGAGAGGCTTGTTAGCATATAATCTCAGATAGAGGCCGTCAGTAGCATGACTTACTTGCAGACGATAGGAATGACACTCATATCAGCCACTCTGAGCTTCTCCACACCAAACACCTTGAAATCTTTGTCCACGACGGCGGTGGCTTCTTCCTTGCCCATCCTCGCCGTCCCCATCATGTGCCACGTCGAACCGCTGTTCGCACGCCAAAAGGCCAGGATATCATCCTCCGAGTCACTCTTGGGGCCATCGATACCCAGAGTGTCTTTCTGGAACTCGGGGCTGTTCATGATTTTGAGGACCTCTCGTGTAGCCTCCACTGCCACTCTTTTGTCAAAAGGGTGGTCGAAGAAGTTGGGGTCGAAGACAAGTGGCTGCTTGGGATCAGCCGACTGAAGTCTCGTGGCTCCTGTCGATTGCTGGTTGAGAACAAACAGAAATATTGTGGTTCCGGCTTGGGCGTTCTCTGGGTCGATGAAATTGGGAAGCCATGGCCCATTGAGGATCACCTCGTAGTGAGGAACTGTCGGCTCCCGCAGGAAATCTTGCTGTTGTTGTGGGAGAGCTTTGAACTCGGGGCTGTCATACAACTTCTCCGCCTTGAAATACCCAATGCCCATGGCGCAACTGTACTCCGAAAATGGCCCGCTGCCGTCTTTCGCCCACGCAGCTCGGGCTGCGGCTTGAAGCTCCTTGCTTCTGTAGAAACGGGTTCTGTCGCTCGTGTGGTCCGCTCGGAGGGCCGGAATCATGATATGATGGTGATCCTTGAGGTTCCTTCCGACGTTTTCGTTGCCTTTGACGATGGGAATGTTGAACCTTTGGAGTTCCTCCACAGGGCCAATGCCGGAATGCAAAAGGATCCTTGGAGAGTCAAGGGCGCCAGAAGCCAAGATGACTTCTTTGTCAGCCTGGAATATGCGCCCTTCGAGGGTTTTGATACCGGTCGCCTTGGTACCATCGAAAGTCACCTGAGCCACTTCGGTATCGACCAGGATGTGTAAGTTACTGGGTGCTCCGGCCAACGCGTCTGCTGATGTCGATCTTACTCCTTTTTGTGCGCTTGTAACGCACGCAGCAAGGCCGATTGGATTTCCGTCATTGTGGTCTGGATTGAAACTGACGCCGTTGGCGTACCAGATGTCCATCAGTGCCGTGCAGGAAGGCTCCCAGACCTTGGGAAAGCCGACTTTGACGGGGCCAGCGGACCCATGGTCTTTCGGATTAGGATCAAGGTACCGCCGAGCATCAGCAGGTACATCAGCTGTGGAATAGGACTCAATCCGTTTATATCTCTTCTGGGCGTTGGTCCAGCTCCATTCGTCGTCGCCGACGAGGTGTGCAATCTGATCGTGGTCGTCCTTCGGGCCAATAGTCCAGACGGAAAAGTTGATGCTGGTGCTTCCTCCAAGGCCTTTGCCACGATCGTAGTCAACAATGTTTCCATCGAACCCTTTGATGGGTGCCGTCTTATAACCCCAATTCTGCGAGGGGATCATTCGATGAATCCATCTGTCTGCGTCGGCACGGGTATCCTTCGAGTCATTCTTACCTCCAGCCTCGACGAGAAGGACCGAAGGTCGTTGTTTGCTGTTTACCAGGCGAGCCGCGAGGATGGCTCCTGCGGCGCCGGCGCCGACGACGATAAAGTCGAATCTCTCTGGCATAAAAGAGCCCATCTTTGCTAGAGGAATGTCAGTGACTAGCTGTTTTCGGGATGTGGTCGATAGTGTCAAAGGAGCAGGTATGTTTCGTGTATATGTCTTTCTTTAAGAAGAGGACGACCACCCCTTCGGCCGCCATTCGCGACATTATATACGCAAACCTGACATGGCGAAACACGCTACATGAAATCAAATCCATTCGAGCTGACTGTGACGCTGCCTAGACGAAGGGACGCCCAACGCCCCTCCATAGAGCCAGATTCCTTCGACGAAAGAACCGATACCTCCATGCCCATGATCAAACGCGGCGCGGAGGAAGGTCGGACAGGGGCAACATTGGTTAGGTCTGACAGAAAACAAGAGCATGAAGGTCTAGAATGTGCTGGCCATGTTCAATGCTCATCGCCATACTAGACAAAGGTTGAACTTCTTCCACACCGACTCTCATCATCAACCTTTCGGTTAATGGTGACGGGAGACGGGGCATGGATGGGCTCAAATAACGGAATTGCCTCAAGAGGTTAGCTCTCCACATGGACTTCAACTTTGATTCGATATCATCATAGACAAGGATGGAACGTCGAGCTGAGTCATGTTGAAGCAAAGCGACCGCAGCAGCAAACAGAACATTGCTGGCATTTGCTCTTTTAGCAGCTGACCAAGCCAAGGAGGCTCAAGAAAGTCTGTCTGGCGGTCCAAGAACCATAGCCCTCGGACACCAAGGCAAAGGGGAAAGACGTGATTTCTCCTTCCGGTAGAATACGAAGCCTAGAGGCAAGACCAGCCACTGGATGTGAATTACCATACTTTATTCTCACACGGAACGGAGTGGTTCGAAGCCAAGCCTGAGTATGGACGATGGAGTCGCTCATGCTCGTTGCGTAGCGCTCTGGGTCAGACGGACAGCCACCTGGTCGCTGATTTTGCGTCGGGCTTGATTGGCTGCGTGGCTGATTCCTTGCTGGGTATTCCATGCCTATCCTGGTATGCTTGTAGACATGAACGCATATGGACCCCGGGCAATGAGCGTTGTTGTAGCCTGGTCGTTGTAGGATTTAGGTGTTCGAAGAGGGGGTAAGTCTGATTGTACTATGGAGACTGTCAGTGGAAACACGAGGTACCTCACACCTTGTTCAGCTTAGCCTTTCGATTAGAGTGCATGACAGATAACATCTGGTGAGGCTGCTGTCGTCTGTTCCGAGCATGATGACAGACATTAGATAATATATCGAGAAAATATGGGGTGGGTTGCACCAAGGAACATAGGGGCATGGGGGGGCACCAATGAATACACCATTACTCATCAGATCCGTTTCCTGCGCGAGAAAAAAAGCAACGCACCATAACAGATACGAGGCACATTTTGATCGAATTTTCTTACACGGCCACCGCCTCTCTATCCTCCTCATACCACGTCCCCGACGCCGTCGACGGGCATGAGCTGATACCCTCCTACATGGAACTGGTCACGAGGTGTCGGGACTCATCATGTTTGCGGCAAATCAGACCGTATGCGCACCACCTCTGCCGTCGCGTCAAACTCGGACGATTCCTCTCCTCCAGTCATCGTCCTCTATCCAGTGTCACGGCCGAGTCCGAGCCACCACGCTCGGGGTCTCATTCTCACCATGTGCTGTCGACTCATGTTCCTCTGCAGGCTCTGATGCCTCCCTCGACGACCCCGAAGTTCCAGGCTGAAAACAGAAATCCCAGTCCCACCCGCCTTCCAGTATCCTGTCCCGGTTGTGGTGCGCTCACGCAAGATGTCGACCCTGGACAAGCGGGTTTCTATACATTGTCAAGAAAAGCGGTGGTGAAATACCTCAGAAACCTCGAGAACTCGAGGCGGCTGCAGAATGAAGGACACGATAGCACAGACGAAGCACATGCCCAAGCCTCTCTCGGCTCAAAAGATGATGAAAGTCTACGTGAAGAGCACGGTATAGTCCAGTCTGAACTGCAAATTACACCTCCTGTATGCGATAGATGTCATTATTTGATTCATGACTCTCGTGGTAACCCCATCGCGCATCCGTCCATTGAAGCAATTGCAGATTCGATCGCGGAGTCGCCCTTCTCCAAAAATCATGTCTACCACGTTCTCGATGCTGCAGATTTCCCCATGTCTCTCATCCCTGCAGTCTACAAGAACTTGTCTTTGGCGAAACCACGAACTCAGAATCGTAGGTCTCAGCATTCGTTTTCATCCCGGCCCTCTGTGTCTTTCATCATCACCAGGTCTGATCTGCTCGCCCCGAACAAGGAGATGGTGGACAGCATGATGCCCAAATTCATCGCCATTTTGAGGACAGCCTTGGGTCGCATGGGTCAAAAGCTCAGGCTAGGCAATGTGCATCTGGTCTCGTCAAAACGAGGATGGTGGACGAAGGACATCAAAGAGAGCATTTGGCACAGGGGCGGCGGCAATTGGCTGGTGGGAAAGTTCAACGTGGGAAAGTCCAATCTCTTCGAGGTCCTTTTCCCGAAAGGCTCGCACGGCAGAGCACCTGTATATGCAGAAACTCAGCAACAGCAGGACATCGAGTCTGCACAGAAGTCTGCCGATCCAACATTTTTCTCTGAGAAGAAACTGTTGCCCCCCCCTCAGCCTGAGGTTCCATTTCCATCCATGCCTTTGGTGTCAAGCTTGCCAGGGACGACAGCATCCCCAATCCGACTGCCTTTTGGCAATCATAAGGGAGAGCTGATTGATATGCCAGGGTTGGAACGCGGGGGTCTTGAACAATATGTCAGACCCGAGGACAAGGCTGACCTAGTCATGGTACATCGTCCGACCGTCGTTCAACATGTTATCAAACCCGGCCAATCCTTGCTTCTAGGAGGAGGATTGGTCCGTATTACGCCGCTGCTTAATGAATCCGACCCGAGTACCACTATGCTGGCGTATCCCTTTGTTCCGCTTAAAAGCCACGTCACGTCTACAGAGAAAGCGTTGAGCACACAACAGCAAGAGCGCGAAAGCGGTGTCGAATCGATCCTGGCTGAAGGGGCAGGGACTTGCATGTCTTCAGCAGGTCGATTTAAACTGCAGACCGACGTCACAAAGTCTAGGGCCGGCTCCATGATCAGGGCTGGTGTCGACATTGACAAATTACCGTTCCGCGTCTATGCGGCAGATATCCTCATCGAAGGAATTGGATGGGTGGAACTGGTCTGTCAGGTTAGGAAAAGCAAGCGCGTACATCAGCCTGAGTCGTCTCCTGAACACTCTCCCGAGTCAGACGGCGCCGAATCCGGAGTGCCCACGGCCAAAGGCCTGTCAATTGGTACAAGCATATTTACTCCGTTCACCTCAGTTCAAACAGAAGAAAACCGGAGCCCGCCGCCTGCTGGTTTTCCTGAGGTCGAGGTCTTCACCCCAAGTGGCAAATTCATCGGACAAAGAACCTGCCTCGATGTGTGGCAAATGTGGAATACAGGAAAGCCTCAGACGAAGAGAACCGCGCGTCCTCGCAAGCCGATGAGTGGCGCAAAGAAACGAGAGAAGCTACGCCGGAGGGCTGCCTTGATCACAACCTGAATAAGGATCATATCGCCTGGGGGGATGTCCACCCTGCCTAATCAATGACCAACGAAGATATAAAAATGAACAATTCATTCCATCCATGTATGGATTGCAGTATGCTGTGTCATTTCCGGCTGTCAGCGTCTGTGTTCACTGCGGCCTGGCCAAAAGGAATCACAGGGATTACCCTTCCTCTGTACCCATCCTCTTTACTTTCTGACCGTTGTTCAGTCTGTCAAGACGACAATCTTGCCACGCGCAAGGTTCTTCTCCATGGTATCGTGGGCCTCGACAATCTGGTCCAATTTGAACACTCTCCCAATCTGAACAGCCAAGGTGCCTGCCTCGATCTGCTTGAGCAGGTCGTTCAGGGGAGTCTCTCTGAATTCGTTTGGACCGCCCGAGTACACCGTCAAACAGACAGTATGGGGGATGAGCTCCATTGGGTAGAAGTTTTCCATAGTCCAACTGTTGCCTATGAGATCAATCATCATCAGCACGACTCAAAACAAAAGAGGACGCAGTCGACACTCACCAACAATGCCCGCCATGCATACAATCCCACCTGGGACAGCGCACCGCAAGGAATCTCTCAGAGTGGTCGTTCCTACCAACTCTAAGACTTTATCGAATTTATTGTCTTTGACCTGATCGGCAACGTGACCATCGTCTATAATGATCTGATCAATCCCATTCTTGTGCATCAATTCCGCCGTCGCCTTTCCATCACTCCTGGTTGTGCCCGCAACAAAGCAACCAAGGTTCTTCGCAATGGCCGCCGCCGCCAACCCAACAGAGGTGGTGCCACCACGGATGAGCAGACGATCCTCGCGCTTCAGTTTGAGCGATTTGAATAGACAGCCATAGCTCGTCTGCAACATCTCTGGCACACTACCCACGATGGTCCAATCCAGGTCCGTCTCCAGCGCCTGTGTGTTGTCCACCTTGACGCAGGTATACTCGGCATAGCCGCCGTCGAAGTCGCGACCCATGCCTCCCATGGCAGTGGCCACCTTTTGCCCGACCTTGAACTTGCCGCTGGGACACTTTTCGACGAGACCGGCGGCCTCAATGCCCAACACACGGGGGAACTTGACACCGGGACTGTGGCCCTGACGAGTAAAGAGCTCGGAGCGATTGAGGCCAAAGGCCTTGATGTGGATGAGGACCTCGTCCTCCTTGGGCGTGGGAATTGGAAGCCGTTCGATCTTAAGAACTTCGGGCCCGCCGGCCTGGTGGATCACCACGGCCTTCATGGTCGTCGCCATCTTGTATGCAATACGTCGTCGCGGTCCTCCCGGAGGCGAAGGAAGCTCGCACGTGGACCTGGTGATTTCGGAGTTCGAGAGAATCCGGATAGGCTCCCCGTGTCTGCAACTTGGGCAGGGGGCGACAATCTATCTATATTCCTTATAACACACTGTGTGATCTTGTGCAAGACTAGAAACCTCGCAAGCAAGCCCTGTCAACTCTGAAGGCCTGTGACTTTTGGCGAAGACGAAGAGGAAAAAAGACTCCTCTGCTCAGATTCCAGACTTCTTATTTATTCCAGCGAGACCGATTTACCTCCTTCTCTCCTCCTTCCGTCCGCTTCTCAGGGATCTCTGGCGGCTTCTCAAGCCCGTGTTCAACTCCTGGATAACTCACCTGCATATGGGGGAGAACGACCGTAACCGGAATAGGCTGGTGTTGACGCGTATAGATCTGATTAATCCAATCCCTTGGAGCCCCTTGTACTTCTTTACAGTCAGAGTCGGAGGTGGACGTACCGTCTGTCTGAGCTGGGTTTGAGACGACGGAGGAGACGTAATAGTAGGTAGTCGTAGTAAGATTTGTTCGGGTTCGGATTCGGGTTCGGTTTCGCGTCGATTGCCGAATCTGCTTCTTGTTCTTGTTCATCCTCTTCTTGCTGTCCCCAACATCCGTACTTCATGCCGACCTCCCTCTTTCTGTTGTCTTTTTTCCCATAACAACGTGCTCGGAATGGAGTTGAGATGCTTCCGAGCGAGGAAGCTTGCTCGTGAAGTTTGCAGCTGCTAAACCCAGCTGATCTTGAATGGGCCTTTCAACGCCGCTTTCGTGGCGGTGTAGTGTGAGACGAGTGGATTGGGCAGTCGCCATCTTCTGCGCTCACCCATAGAGCGAGCATTTTAAGAAGTCAGGCTGGCCACTGTCGTTTAAGATGTCGGAGCATCACAAGGGTTTTGTCAATAGGGACCAAAACATGAGAAGCGAAGCTCAGCACTGTGCCATTAGGATTAAACCAATAGAGTAGTACTCTCTCTACAGACGTGTCCAACAAAGGCGGATCCTTCAATTTCTCAGGATCGAGAGAAGCCTTGTTGTACTCCAAACGCCAAAACAGCCTTATTTCTACCCAATGTATCGTAACACAAGAGGGGTGTGTTTGCAATTCCAAAGCCAAACGAGGTAAAAACCCATCCATCATTGATGCAGCAAAACCGGGAACCAGCAGTCATGTTCTTGGGGTATCTTATCGGGATCCATCTGCTCTCACGGACGACGGAGAGCTCGCTTGTTGGCCGTCACTGTCGCCAGAGCTATCCTCTTCCGTGTCGTTACCTGCGGCACTGAACGTATCGGCAGACACAGGTTTCCGTTTTGTGATCATTTGGCTTTGCTGTCGTCTGTGCTTGGCTTCAAGGCGTTTCAGCTTCTCGTCTGCTTCGCGCAGTTTCGTCTCTAGCGTCTCGAGTTCGTATCTTTGGGAGAGGACTGTGTCTTGCCTGCATTTCAGGGGATCGCTGTCAGTCAGGTCCAGCTGGCAAGTGGGGGAGAGGAGGATCGGGAGACGGCATACTTTTGCACCACCGATTCCTCCAATGCGCCGATGCCCTTGAGCTTGAACAAATCGTCCAGGGCAGCAGAGAAGTCGAGAGCGATGGTTCTAAGCAGGAGAGTCGAGTTAGCATCCTGGGAAACATATAGAGAAGAGGCTCGTCACAGGGAGGTGCTTACGACTGTGGGCGTCCCTTGGGTTGCCAGCCCGCATCGGGATTGGTTTCGTTTGAGGTACTCATTGTTATCGTCGAGTCGTGTATGCTGTCGTGTAGAGAGGCAGACAGAAGGGCAGCCAAGGGCCAAAGAGCGACTCCAAGATGTCGAGATATTGATATATTGTATCGCAGTTGCGTATGAGTCGTGCAAGGCAGCAGATTGTAGGCAACGAATGGGTCACTTGATATCGAAATCAAGCGGACGATGTGCGATGAGCCTCAGGCAGACCACTTGTCCATGCCGTCTACCCAGGTGCGATGGAGGAGAAGAGGTCGTGATTGCCTTGTCTGCCATCTGAGGCACAGACCGCACCCTTGGACGAGATTGTCGCGCCCAGCATCCTAGCAAAAGGGGTTCACCGGTCGCGATGGTCCCTGAGCAACTGGATACCATAGGGAGAGTTTAGGGCGCAGGGACTAGAAGTATTAGGCCTGCTCAAGATGATTGGGGCGTGCCGATCCCCGGGCCCCAGCCTAGTGAGCCCCAGAAATAATTGGCTGCCTACGCCTTGAAACCGCTGGCAGGCACCTGGGCACCGAAAAGACCAAGAACGTTCGGCTACTAGGCTAGCACCCAGTTGGATGATTTGCTTTCTGCTCCCTTACCAAACACTGTGTAGCGTGTCTGTCGCATCAAACAATTTTGCAAATTTCACCGTTGAGCACTCAGCAGTTTCATTTCGTGTCACTGCATTTTCCTTCGTTCCATCTCCACCACCACTCTCCTTGTGCCTCCCACGTCCAAGGTCGTCCGTCGACGCGTTTCTGGGCCTCTGCCCCCTCATTGGGCTCGTGGTTTCACTTTCCCAAAGAGGCACACTCCGTCGCATCTGTACCCCAGAGCGACTTGTTCCTTCAACCACCGCGACGATGGGATGCCTTCACTAAAAGCCTATACGCCTTATGAGACACTTGCATTCTGCCAGTCTGTCGTCCACCATGGCTCCGATACCGCCGCTTTTGAGGGCATCGCGACCGCCTTGAATGCTAACCAGCTGATTCGAGAGAGCGAAACATATGACCAGACCCGTTTGACGGCCACGGCGTTGCAAGGACTGTACCATGAGCTTCTGGTCGAAGAGAGGAATGCTCAGACACCCCCCATGGTGAATGGCGACAATGGTTTGAATGGTACAAATCCCCGTAAGCGGAAGTTGTCCACCTCGCCCGCTCCACCTCCAGCTGCGACCGAAGACGACGGCGATGAACCAAGAATACTGCAAGCGCTGGTGGACAAGCTCTATGCTCGCTTCAGAGAACAAGCCATAAAAGAGATTCGACAGGAGGAGGAAGACTACCTCACACTGCAGGCCGAAATTGCGGAACTGGAGAAGGCTGAAGAGCACACCAAGAAGCAGCAGATCGATTCTGATCAAGCAAAAACACCACGAGTCGGATCGCCCAAGATAGCCGCAGAGGTAACACCCAAGCCGCCAGCAGTCGACAGCATCACGGACCCCACACTCAGAGTGCTGCCCACCGGCCTCGAGGCCCGTCGAAGCGAGCAGATCATCTCAGGTGGCATAGCGACTTCAGCGGCCGATGCAGAAGTGTCGCCCACATCAGTTCGCAGCACTCTACACCGAGCTGGAACACCTGCTCGTTCTCCGGTTCCTACGATCGCACCAAAAGTATCCGCAGAATCTGCCTCGATAAGATCGTCGCAACCAGCTCCAGCACATCCTCCACACCAGTCTCCTGGAGCCTTTCATCGTACTCTCCCGGTCCCTTCTCCTCAGCGCCCAAACTATGGCGCCATCAACCCTCAGCATTTCCAGCCTGGTCCACAGGGTCAACCTGTACCGGTATTACCGCAATATGCGGGATCGCCTCATATGCCTCCACCTGGAGAATTTCCTCCTCAGAAGCGTGGAAACTCAGCACCTGGTCAAGGAAGAGGCTCGCCTGTCCCAATGCAGTCTCAACAACCCTATCCAGGGTATGCTGGGTATTCTCAGCAACCTCCCTGGCCTCACCATATGCCTCCTCAATACTCCCAGCCTCCGCCGTACGCCAACTCGCCATATTATATCCAATCACCTACTGGGCGGCCTTCAATACCATATCAAACTCCGCATCATCCGGGATACGCCCCATATCCACAAAGCCCCGCGATCCTCTACCACGGACAACCCATACATCCTCTAATACGGCCGTCACCACAGTCTGGTCAGCCACATCATGGCTATCCCGGTTCTGCGAATGTGACACCAGTGCCTAGAAGTGGCTCGCAGCAGACATCACAAAGAGGCAAATCGTCCACGCCGTGGAAAAGGCGTTCTCAAATTCCTTCTGATGTACGGCCGCCTAGCCCGACCCGTCCAGAGCGCGAGGTTAGTCCTCTCACTGATACGGAGTCACCAACTCGGGCCGGACAGGAGAACAAATCTCCCAGAAAGCTGGACCACAAGGCTGATGAAAGTGATTTATCTACACGAGAGATGGTGCAGCCAGCTAGAGGTCGACAGGCGACGAGTCTGACACCCAGCGCATTTGCCGGGTCACGGTCGCAATCGCTCGCTTCTTTCACGTCGGATACACCCACAGATAGGCGCAAGAAGGGTGGACAGGCTCAAAAGATCAAGGCTGAGCCACCAAGTACTCCTGTACCAATGCCATCGGATACCGAACAGCCCGTTCAAAGACCAAACAATCGGCGCGGAAGACCTCGAGCCACTCTTTCGACCTCCAAAAATGATCATATCCAAACTGCTGTCGGTACAAACAAACGCAAGCGATCTCCAGGCGGCGATTCTGCAACTCCTCCGCCTTCAATCCCAACGCAGTTGCCATCTCCCGCAATCACGACAGCGCCACAGTTGCAACCTGAACCCGCTGTCGGTCGTCAACTCTCGGTTTCCTCGTCGTACGATCCCTCACTCGTTTGTGTATCTAAAAGTTTCGCAAAACCGGCCCAACTCTTGTTGAATGACCTTGTCTCCCACAAACTCGCGAGCATTTTCGCCAAGCCGCTTTCCGAGCGCGACGCGCCAGGATATAAAGATCTTGTATCAAGACCTCAGGATCTGAAAAGCATCAAGGCGGCGATCACGAAAGGAGGCAAGGCGGCTCTGGCGGCGATTGAGGCATTTGAAGAGAGAGCCGAAAGCAAAATCGCAGGGGCAAACGACGGTGGTAGGGAGCAGATTTCGACGAACAATGCGACGGCGCTCACGACAACAACTCCCACGACTGCCTTGGATGGGAACACAACAGGGGGAGAAAGAGCGCTGGGAAATGGGGTCTACGTCGTCCGAGCAACGGAAGACCTGGTCCCTCCCAAAGGAATAGTGAACTCGGCACAGCTGGAGCTGGAGCTGGTACGGATGTTCGCAAATGCAGTCATGTTCAACCCTTTGCCAAGCTCAGAACGAGGATTCGGCCGCTTTCTGCGCCTCAGAAAACGGGGCGGAGATGTTGCTCCCCACTTGAAGTCCCTGCATGGGTATCACGATACAGGGGCAGTAGAGAGCGAGGAATCGGATGGAGGCAGTCCTGGCGAGGAGGTCGGCATAATCTCGGACACACGAGAGATGTTCGAGGACGTTATGACCAAGATTAAGAGGTGGAAAGAGCTTGAGTTTGAAAGACTGGGCAACGTGGGCGCTGGGTTGAACACAGAGACGGAGCACGCGGTCGCGACGCCAACTCCGAGCACCCTGAAGTCATCGCTCCAAGTGCCAGCTCAGGAGAGTACCAGTGGCAATGACAGTGCGAATGCGAGCGTCGTTATCAGCGCTAACCCAAGCCTCCGGCATTCGGAAAGTGTTGAGAAAGAGGATGAAGGAACAACTCCGGGTACACCAGCAGCGACGGGAACGGGCACAGCGAGGAAAAGGAGGCGCATCGCGGACGGTTAGCGGCCTGCTGTGATGCGGTGACCGCTGCCCGGAGATCGTTGTGATTTGCAGAAGTTCTCAGCCCTGCATCCCATGTCAAAGTCCGAGTACCTGAGCACCTACTGAGGTCACAGAGGGCTAGGGACAGTGTGCCTGGCACCGGTGTGTGTAAAAACATGGACAATGAGCTTTCAGCAAGGTGTATGACGGGGATCATCTGTTTTCACGGCTTTGGATAGATGTGACAAAAGCCGCGATCGAGAAGAGATTGTGGCGGATGATAAAAGACTTAATGATCGCTCTACTCTGACATTAGACGTGTTTCATTTCGCACTCGTGCTCGAGGAAGGCGCCAGATAATAGCATGTGTGCGTATGGAAGTACCCGAAAGAGAGAGCGAGAAAATTCTTGTCAATGTCGCATGAATGATGATACTGCGCCATTCATTCATTCAATCGCTCTCTCGTTCGTTGCTTGGGACGACCAGCTCCTTAATACCCGTCTGTCTCCCTGTATGTATTATACCCATCCAGTGTTACCAGATCAGGCGCAGGGTGCAGTACAGAGTTAGATATATATATATATATATATACCTACGATCGTATGTATCTCTAATGACTCTTGTCTCATCGATCACACATGCATGCATGCATAGGGCGACGAACGACGTTGGTGGACTTTTTCTACCTATTATGGCATACAAGGACCGAGAGACGTGTATACGAGGTACGAAGGACTATATAGCTTCGAGGATCATTATCCGGTATTATTATCTATCGAATAACTTGTTAGCCCCTTCAATCTTGGTTCCTTTCTTCTGTGTTTCCGGTTGTTTGAATGCTTCTGACGTCGCGAACAACCGTTTACTGCCGTGAACACACCGTGCTTTGGGCTTGGGTGGGGTGAGACGAGAGTGCGAAGGCGGATGGGAACCCCGAAGAGGAATGCGAAGGGAAAACGCAATGTCCGTAATATTGGAATAACTTGCCTTGTATCTGCGGTGTATTTCATTTCTTCTCCAGCTGGACAATATTGTTTCTGTAGTCCGTTTTCCTCCTCTGCCTCTCTCGTCCTGACTGGTTTTGGACTTGCTTTGCCTCGAGCCATTTGTTCACTTTCCTCTTCCTGCTTGATGAATGGTTGTTTTCAGTTCTGGCTTGGCCTTTGACTTTGGTGTTTAGCTTTTCGGCTTCTGGCTCTGGCCTTGGCTGGCCAATCCCTCTGGATTCTTTTTCCAGTCGGGTCCAAGCGGATGAAGCTGCCGGTCCTGCCCTGAGGGAGGCGGAGGTGGCACTGGGTATCTATCTCAACCCGTGGGCTTTGGTCCTGTGGGTATGTGGACCTGTGACGTTGTAACCAGAGAGAGCATTAGCACAAACATACCGTCGACTGGATACCCAGGTATCGGATCGACCGACTATCAGATAGAGTCCACTCCCGCTTTTCGTCGAGCTGAGTGCAAGCCTTCGTCTTGATCAGTCACTCAAACAATCAATTATTCAAACTTCCGGGTCATCTTTGCTGCTCGCAGGCAAACACGACTTTGGTTAGTCATATGTGCATTCTCCCCGCGAACCATACTTACATGGTCATCCACTTCGGAAGTCTGATGGCATGTCCGAATGCTGCCATTCCTCGCCACCATTGGAGTTTAACTGAAAAGGAAGAGAAAATCCGAAAGGTATGTCGTCCGATAGCAGTTCGGCTTGCCCGCGCATCACGCACGTCTGTATGCATGCATGCATGCATGCACACACACACATGCGTGAATGGCTGAATGGCTGGTGGATGCCCCCATAAGCAGCTGGTCGAATCGGAGGGTAACGGGGCTCTCTTACTGCAGCAACTGGAGTCATACAGCTCAGAACTGCAATGTACGTCCATTGGATGGCCCCTTTCGCAGGGCGCGCAAACCCGACATAGCGCACCCACAACACGACAAGCTGTCTCCGGTTTCCCTTGGATAATAAGGTTGGTGAATCATGAGAGGAGTCTCTTTCGTCAAAAGGTCGAATTGTTGGCCTTCGGACGGATGTTCATGTACGGTGCACAATAATAATAGCAATGAACGGCGACCGAAAGATTGCGGTGGAGATCTTCCGTTCCCAGCAATCAAGACAACTCAAGGAGTCCTTGCGAGATATGGCCAAGATTTCTGAATGGCCGGGATACAACCTGGAGACCTGCTATCGCCGTACCGGTCGGTACAGTATCAAACGTGGTAATCAACTCGAAGGCCGCGTCATGTCTTGACAGGAAGTTCGACGCGACTTGCGCGACTTTCGAGCTCATTGCAACAAGTGCTCGTACGGGACTCGCGTTAGCCTAGGTCCCATCAGTTTCAGGCTGCGCTTCCTGGCCACGCTGCTCACGCCACCATCGTCGGACCCTGAATGAACCATGTGCTGCCTGTAGGACATCCTGGGTGAGGGAGGCTGCATCCATCCTTGATGTGGGGGTTGGAAATTGATCTCGTCCGGCAGGAAATACTAAAAGAAGTGACAACCCCTTTTTGAGAAAGCGATCGCTGTCGGAGGATAACCTTATCTTGGACTTTGATTGCTTAGAGAATATGGCAACTTCGGAACGGGGGCTGAGTTTCTCCGCAGTCGACCAAATTTCTGGTGTTTCAGGTTTTGGCCCAAGTTTGGAGACCCCGATCAGCCCATGGAAAGACCGGGTTGCCTATCGGGCTGGGGATATCCACATAGCTTGTAGTGTTATCTGAAGACGAAGGATGATCCCTGGAGTTCTCATGGTCTTTGTCCCTAGTCAAAAAGTTGTCAAAATATAGATATTGATTGAGACCAGTGTCTCAGAGGTGAATTTGAGGTGTGGTGAACGTTGGGATGCCCCAGAATTGCAGTTCACAGGTGGGAGCACCCATCAAACCGGGCTGAAAATCCGTGTTTCCAGATTTGGTGGAGGCAGGGGATGACAATGTCCCAGTCTCTGAATCAAAGAAAACCGCAGCTGGGATGTCACTTGCCGGTACGGCCCAGTTTGCTAAGACCAATGAATTGGCACCAAAGACAGAAAAGAAGACCAGAATTGGCCAAATCATAAGCTTGAACTTCGTCATACACAAGCCCATTGATGCGAGGGACAGTCCCAGAGCAGCCAGAAAACTTCATTTAGTGGTATCATCATGACCTGGGAGTATTCAGCCCCACAAGGTCGGATAATCCGCAGGGCTCTGCTCAAGAAAGGCAGACAGGGAGAGAGCGAGAGCAGCTTCGATCCAACGGCAAGCACATACCTTGTACGACTCGTATCAGGTTGTCATCACAGGTGCCGGTCTGCACCAGCGCGTAGTACTTTTCCCTCGCACTTCATGACGCCGGGCGTCGCCTTTTGCTTTGCCGGGGATGTGCCCCTATCCAGAGGGTTTCAATCAACCCGCTGCTGCTGACTGTGACGTGTCAATCTCTCAACCAGGAATTGATGGTCGCATCTGAAGGTCACGAGTGCATTGACTGCGCAATAGTTCATTTCCGAAGGGAGCCTGTACCTCTCCACATCGTTGATACGCGAGGTGCTAGAGGTGTGTACTCGGGAAGAACCCAGCGCGAATTACACCCGAGTCCTCCGTATATACATCCCACGGCGCTTACGAGTGGGGGACAGCACCGACCGAGGGGTGGAAATGGAGAGCTTGCCAGCGCACAATGGCGATTCCCATGCCCAATATGATGTAGGCAATGCAGTCAGAAGATTATTTTGTCATTGCCCCGTTGTCTGATTCGTCCGAAAAGGGAGGAATTTCCTTGGAATGATCAAACTAATTGGTCTCGTGATGGATTATTGTTGTTGTTGTTGTTGCGAGCCCAGTGATACGAGTCGCAAGCAGGTGGGCGAATTGAAATGTACAGGAACGCGCAGCGAGAGGAAGATGCACCTCGGGGCGGTGTGACAGCGAGGACCGACTTTCACAAATAGAAGAGCGCGGGTTGTGGAAGGAAGCGTGTTCCAGCCTCTCGTCACGCCCATAAGACTTGGGGAGATGATGCTGACCGTGCCCGATTTGAGCTATGCTCGGAACGCCCATTTCCATCAGGACGCAGGTCGAAACGGCCGGAGCGCGGAAGCGAGGTCCAGAGAGAAAATGGAGGAAGCCGTCGAAGCTTCGCTGCAGAGTATTGGTGCTTGGTCTTGGACGTGTTCAGAGGTCACTAGGCCTGTAATGGGCGGTGGTGGTACCCAGCCAATTGAGGCCAAACAGGGGCTTATCGAGGGCCAATGGACATCCCAATTCCCCCAATGCCCCCCCACGTCAGACGCTGCTGCTGGGACCAGGAACCTTGCCAGACCGAGGCTTCTGGGCGTTCAAGGCAAATGATGTGATGGAGGCGTGGCTGAATCCGGGGTGCGTCTGCCCATCAGGGAGGACCAACTCTGGTCTTATCTGCCGGCCAGTGAGGGTGCCCGACCTATCCGACAAGCGAGGGAACACGACGTCAATTCGATCCACCCTCGATCCGGTTATCGGCCTGGCGGCACACTTCTTGTACCTTTCTGAAACAGGTAGAGGTCGAATTCCCTTGCCGTCGTTGCGGAGAAGGGAAGCTAGCAAGGTCCAGGGCGACCAGAGACAAGTATAGATCAAGAATCAGCGCCAGACACAAGTCGTCTGCAGTAGTCCTACGCAATATTCGCGCCCGGAATGCCTGGGCTCTCTCCAGGTGGCAGGGTCAGCAGTCTGGCACGAGGTATGTAACACCGTGCCGCCTTTTGGTTGAATCAAGCAAGACCTGTGTGTCCTTGGCGGATCCTGTCTCCTTCGCTGCGCCCGACGTACTCGTAGGTGGCTTGGAGGGATCCATGGTAGTGCAGGGGCTCTTGTTGACGCCCGATAGTCGATCTTCTGGGGCCGAAAGCAACGTGGACAGGACTAGGACGTGCCGCAGTCGCATTGAAGGAACAATTGTGCTCCATACAGGTAGCTTTTTGGTCGACCGAAACCCGGACTTAGGGGCTGGTGGGCTGGTGGGCTTGGTGGACTTACGCAGTACAGTACGGACTTGTGGACTTGTGGACTTGTGGGCTTGATGAGGCAGTGTCGAGGCAGAGGCAAGGGGGGAAAATCAAACAAGTTGGCTGCCCGGACGGATGTTGGTTGCCTAGCGTCGACTAGTGAGGCCCAACGGGTCGGTTCATGGATACGCTAATACCGGTCATTTCAACCACCTTTTCCCCTTTGCCCCATCATCCGCATCAACCAGGTGCTCGCAAATAAAGTCCGTCGGAAGTGCTACGAAAGAGCTTCTATCAACAAACATCCAACGTCCACGGTTTCCATATTGAGTCAGCTGTACATATGACATGCAGAAGACACTATCCAACTTCTACGGAGGACAGCATGATCTCCTCGGTCCCGTGCAGTGCCACCCGTTGCCCACGAAGGGATGCCGCTTACTTCATGAGGCAGGTTGACTGAAAGTGCCATCGTGCCATCAATCTGCCAGATACTAGGCGTCCATTGTCAGACTGTACAGGACTTTCTGCTCAAGGGCTGAAGAGATGGCAATACTCCCCGTGTCAGACAGCCAGCGTTTTCTACCCATTGCCTGAAACCCCCTCCCGTGGTTCGGGCGAGTCTAGGCTGGTTGGCGGGCCTGTGTGCGAACAGCAGCAACCACCACACCAAGCGCACAGGGCACATTCTAGATGCGGTGCAAGTAAAAAACCAGATTGTAATCTGGTCCAAGCGGTGGTCATCAGTGTGTGGGGGTTTGCGGGCTATTGACTTGCAGCTGCAGCGGAGGATCCGAGAAAGATTGGAGATGGCATCTGCCACGTATGTGGTGCAGTGCAGAAATCGCCATTGTATGCATGTCAAATCGTGCTCTCTTGATCGAGCTCGGTCCAAAGGGCTCTAGCAACGAGCGACCTAAGCCGCAGCTGGTCGGCACGATGCGACAGGCGGGCTGCAGAGGCGCGATTCTTGAATGCGTAAGGGCTGGTTCTTTTGCTGGTTCGTGAACTGGTGTCTGCGTGTTGGAATGTGGAGGAATGCATCGTCAGCGGACACACTGAGACGACCAGATTCGGTCCTCTGCAGCAGAACAGGTCAGCGGAGGGGTGAGGCGAGGCTTTTTGACAGTGCCCTTGCGCCCACCGTCCAGATGCCGTCCAAGCCATTTTGTTTGACCCAGAAAGCTCGGCTGCAGAAGATGCTCATGCCGTCAGCTGAAATGGCGCTGGGGCGTCCCATCTGTAGTTTGCACGTGCCCTATATGACAGTGGTGTAAGCGGTCCGGCTTTACTACACGGAAGTCGCTCCTAGGCCATAGCCCGTATAATGGGACCATTTCCTATACTTCTACAGGTGTGACGGACGGAACCGGATGACTTGGAGGGTCGATACTGAAGGTGGACAATGACCTGGGTCAGCGGAGAGTGAGCTAGAGGCGTAAGAGAGAAAAGGGGGGAGAATCGTAGGAATTGGCGGACATGGGCGCAGGCGTAGTTCTAGAGCCAAGACCGAAGATGAGTGGAAGATTCTGTCGTGATTTGGGATGGCAAAAAAGATGAACCCTGAGGAGGCGAGAAAAAAAAATGGATCAAGAAGCGAGGATGGATGGGATGGCAGAATTACGAATTGAACGCAGGGGGGACAGACCAGGGCAAGGGAGGGAAGACGGAAAACACAACTAGGTATGTAAAAGACCAGAGGGGGTCAAAAGAGCCGTGGTCAAAGTATTTCTGTCGTAGTCAGTAGGGTAGTTGGTCAGGGCATTATTCTTTGCTTCTTCTGGGATCAGGGGGCCAAGGGAAGCGATTGCGTGGGTTTGCTTCGAAGGTGAGGAGGAAAAAAGGTGAAAACCCGGGAGAAATCAGAAATGAGGAGGTGGAGGAGAAGCAACGCAGCAGCAGCAGCAGCACAGAGAGAGAGTTTTGGTTGCCGACGAGGAGCAGTTTGTTTGCCCCTGTCACGCACCGGCTCCGCCAACTTTTCCGAGTTTAACCAAGCGAGAAGTGGAGGCGAAGAGCAGGGCAGAAACGAATGCCGGACGCTGGACGCTGGATGCTGGGAGCTGGGAGCTGGAGAAGGAAGAGAAGCGCCCAGAGCAAGAGAGCAAGGGGAGGGAAGCAAGGGGAGGATGGCAGCAAGGGAGGAAGCAAGGGGCCCGCGTCACCAAGAAAAAATCTCTTGTTTTTTTTTCATCCTCCCTCGCGTTGTCCCTAGCAGCTAGATACGAGTAAAGTGCTGCGACTAAGTAACCAGACAGAACACACCAATCCAAGGGCCAAGTCATGTCCCGATACTAGATACCAACATAAGTCATACAGCGGACGGTAGGTTAGGTAATGGTACGAAGCAGCGACTCGTACATGGACATGTTGGATAGTCACTTGAAATAGAAACAGGGCCGAAGCAGGAAAGGAATCCTGAGGAACAGGATGAGGTCAAAGGCACCAATTCAGGTACTATGGCTTCCATCGTGGCTGCTCAGGTACCAGATTGGACACCCAGGCCGGTCAGGCAGGAGTTATGACATGATGTGACCCCCCAGTGCACGGTGTTCATATTACCAATCAGTACCGGGTCAATTACACCCTCTTACCGTTGCCCTAGCTGCCTAGGTGCCCAGGCTTGCTAAAAGGGGGAAGCCCTGTCGAGGAACAGGAAACGTGGTAATGCCCTGGCCCTGCTGGCCGTGGTGCATCGGGGCCATCGAGCCCATATCCCACGGCCTTAGCGCCTCCGAGCACCCTAAGTTGCGAGTAATGCTTGCTAGCTGCGATCCACTCCCATCTCCCAGACTCCCACACCCGCACACTAAATTCATCATTCGTGCATATTCCTCATTTCATCCTCATTTCTCCGCCCTATCCTTTTTCCCTCTCTCGCATTCGGCCTTGCCAACACGACCACCCCATACACTCCCTTGACTCATTTTTCTCCTCCAGCCGACCACTCTTGCTTGTGCTGTGCACAGGATAAATTAATTACTGCTGTATCGTCCCAATTGGGAGCAGACTGGCCACCTGTTGCATCTGCCTCGTCCCTTCCTTTGTTCGAGTCCGCTCAGACTTCCCACCACCCCTTGCGAAACAACCTCACACCTCGCCTGCTCCTCTATAGCAAGCTGAACCTCCTCTTGTCCGTCCCAGCTGACCGGCCATCTGACTGCGTCCTACATCCCTCTCACCGCGTGAAAGTCGTCAGTCTTCTCGAAACGCCCGCATTGCGCCTGCTGCGCACGCCAACAACCCTGCAAGCCTCCCACGCAAGCAGCTCCCGCTTTCTGCAAGGCCAGCCTTAACCTCTCGACGCCTTGCGCACGTCCGATCTGACACCGCTACGACACAACAACGCGTTGTCCTTCATCTGGACACCCCGGTTGGGAACCCCCTCCCCCCGGCCCTCCATTGCAGCTGCACCAACACAAATCCGGCTGTTACACCACCACCACCATCAGGCGTGCGCCCACATGGCCTTCGCCCAGGGTTGCTGAATGCTGCTTGCGCTAAGTTCTCTACAAGTTCGGTGGCATTGATCCGGATCTCCCACCGCACGCAGGACAGCATAATGAAGTCGTCAAAACGCTATAGACAGAGCTGGACTCCCCAACATTGTCACCCTCGATCCTGAGCTTCGTTGAAAACACAAAGAACCTCCTTCTATCCTTCTAGCTTTTTGCGCCATGATCTCTGCCACGCCCTCGCCCTCTGCCAGGGCGCTGCGGAGCCGCGACAACTCTCCATCGCCTCATCCGCGTGCCCTGGCTCGCATGCCCTCCAACCAGCGGGTGAACACGGCTCTTCATCTATCCTCATCCGTGGCTCCAGCCTCTGCCACCAGCGCATCCTCCATGACCCAAAGCCCCTATATCAGCTCCATACAGTCTTCGCCCTTGGTATCTCATTCAATCCACCATCTCCCTCACCTGGGGAACCCTGTTCCCCTCGAACTGGGCGAGAGCCTTGTCTCTCCACATGTGTTCTCGCCTCCGAAGGAACCCACGGCAGGTCCCAAGTCCGTGGGTATCATGCGCAAGCTCTCCCAAAGTGCCAAAGCCGGGGTGTCTTCGGCCCGCCAGACTCTGCGGAGAAAGGCTTCATCGTCGGCACATTCCCGCCGTGATGAAAGCACAGGCCCCATTACCAGACGCCGTAGTGACAGCAAGAATGCCATGGCGAGCGGGTTCTCTGTGGACTCTCCGTCTCTGGATCCCCTTCCCTTGGACTTGCAGAGCGGTCTGGGGTTGTACGGTGATGCAATGAGCATCTCGAGCGAGCCCACCACATTGATAGACACGAGTCCCGAGGGCCAGGCTCCGTGCGTCCCTGAGCACCTGGTGGCAGGCTGCCCGTTGACCAAGATCACCAAGAATAAAAAGCAAGAGAAACTATTCTTCATGGATGTTGAGGGCTCCCGTGTCTCGTGGAAGGGTGCTGTGACGACCAAAGTTTTCCACATTGACAACATCAAAAGCATCCGAAGTGGCGAGGAAGCTGCGAGCTTCCAGTCACAGCTCCGCGGGGAGGCCGTCGACCCAGAGCTGTGTTTTACGATCAACTATACCACCTCGGACTCGGCGAAGCAAGTCAAGTCGTTGCACCTCGTTGCTCGTAACCACCGAGACCTCCGATTGTGGGTTGACACATTGGAGAGCTTGGCCAAGCATCGCGAAGAGCTGATGATGAGCATGGTCGGCTCCACCGAACGCGAGTCCGTCGTGCGAGCTCACTGGGACAATGAAATGGCGAAGCGGACGGTCAAGCACAATAGCGCCAAGGCCGATGGGCTTGACCTTGCTGCCATACAAGTGCTCTGTCGTAAACTCCATATCCACATTCCCGAGAAGGAGTTGGAGGAACACTTCCATTCTGTCGACGTCAACAAGTCAGACCTCCTGGACTACCCTCAATTCCGGGACTTCCTGCGACGGCTTCGAGAAAGAAGCGACATCAGGAAGATCTTCGACGAAGTGAGGGGTGACGACGCCAAGGGCGTCACGAGGTCTCAGTTTGTCAATTTCCTGAGACGGTATCAGGGAATCGACATCGGGTCTCTCGCGGACCCTAGTGTCTGGGAAGAGAGGATCAATGATTTGGTGGCAATGTCATTTCCGGAGGATGCCTCTATGCGCAGATCCGGGCTCATTGACGCTAATGCCTTTGCCTCTTTCATTGTCTCTAAGGATTGCCATGTTTATTCCATGCCCGAACCTTCCGTTCCCAAATTCGACCAACCCCTTGGCGAATACTTCATTTCAAGCTCCCACAACACATATCTAACGGGTTGGCAAGTGGGAGGTACCGCTTCAGCCGAAACCTACCTCACGGCACTGCGACACGGATGTCGCTGCGTCGAGATTGACTGCTGGAACGGTCAAGATGGCAACCCGAGAGTGACCCACGGTCGCACTAGGACCACTTCCGTGCTCTTCTCGGACTGTATCAACGCTATTCAAAGATGTGCTTTCGACGTCAGCCCTTATCCGGTGATCATTTCTCTAGAAGTTCACTGTGATGCCGAGCAACAAGCCAAAATGGTGCAGATCATGAACGACGTGTTTGGGGAGCGGCTTCTTGTTCACCCTTTGCCCGGGTTCACCACACAGCTTCCTTCGCCCGAAGACCTCAAGTATAAAATCCTCATCAAAGTCAAGGCCACCGAGCTTCACGCTGATCTTACGGCGTCACGGCGTCCTGCTCCCGCGTATCGAGACCGGAGTACAAGTTCTCCCAACAGGCTCAATACTCAACCGACGACCTGGGTCCTTCCAAAGGTACCATATGTCTCGAGTCCGGCATTGGTCACACCGCCAGAGACCATCTATTCCCCCACGGACCGTTCAGTTACGGCAACAAGCGGAAGCAGTGCAGATGAGGAGAGTGATGTGGCGCCAACGTCGCCTTCCACTGTTGAGAGTCAGCGCCGTGCCCCGAAGCTGAGCAAGGTGGGCTCCCAGTTGTCCGCCCTCGGCGTATATATGAAAGGCTATACCCTTCGCGATGCTAAGGATCTTCGTTTCCAACAATACAACCATATATTCTCGCTCAACGAAAACAGGGCCATTGAGCTCTGTCGCTCGACTGAGCAAAAAGCTCTCTTTGAGGACCACAACCTTCACCATTTGTGCCGGGTCTACCCCAAGACTCTGCGTTTCCAGTCGTCCAACTTTGACCCCAACACGTTCTGGAGGAGGGGGGTTCAAATGGTTGCCCTGAATTGGCAAACCTTCGACGCCCACATGCAGATGAACCAGGCAATGTTCGCCGCCGGAACCGATGCGTATGGCTATGTGTTGAAGCCGGACTACCTCAGAAAGCCGCGGACGAAGCCCGGAGATTTCGAGCATCGTGTGAAGCTGCCCCGCTACAAGATCAGGTTCTCGGTCCAAGTGATTTCAGCCCAACAACTGCCCCGAGCGGCGAACATGGGCAAAGACACCCCTTTGAATCCCTTCATCGAGGTGCAAATGTTCAGTGCAGAGGACCGAGCACGGGGCATCGCGAACGGCACCGGTGGTACCGAAACATACTCGAACGGCTACCATGGCATTGGCATGCCCTATCGTCGGCAGACCCAGATCCGATTCGGCAACGGCTACAACCCTCAATTTGGAGAAAACATTGAACTCGACCTCGAGACGAAATACCCGGAGCTTGTCTTTGTCCGATTCATCGTCCTGAACTCGGATGACGGTCGACACACGGGCAAAGGGGTGAGACAGCTTGCGGCATTCACGGCCAAGCTCGACAGCCTGCAGAAGGGATATCGACATCTCCCCCTGTTTAACGGACAAGGGGAGGAGTTCATCTTCTCCACTCTGTTTTGCAAGATCGCGAAGCAGGAGCCTAAGCTGATGCCCTGGTCGCTGCAAGACGTCGCCGACCGGACCTCACGCCCCAACGTGCTTCGAGGTTTTCTTTCACGCGGTTTGTCAAGTGATCGAGGCAGGGAGCGAGGTTCCAGTGTCGAAGAAGTGGACGCGGGCCGAAAACCCAACCGTGAGCTCGAAGAGAAAACTACCAAAAAGTAAAAGGACTGCGCATGCGCATCAAGCGTACTTTGTATCAACGGAACACAACAACGGCGCGGGAGTTTGAATTTCACAAGAGATACCCAAAAGCATATATGACCTGATGACACACAATAGACTGACAAACCGTCTGGCAACGGACATTTCTTTTTCTTGTCGCTACTATTGACAATTCAGGGGAGGCTCTTTTGTCTGTTGTTATTAGTACCGAGCTTATTGTTGTTCTTATGTAACATCATCATATAGATCACTGGATCTCTACAAAGGCCACGTGGGTGTTGGAATAGGAATCGTCCCTCGGATGGGAATTGAATTGAAATCTACAATTGCCACAATACTATTGGTATTTCCGCGTTGTTCGTGGTGTCACTATTAGTTCTTGATATGCAGCTCTTTTAGGCAACGGATTGGTGCCGCTTTAAGACCCGTTGCCCGGCATGACGCGGCTGCGGCGGCACAGCTTTCTTTGTGCCATCCCATTACATCCGCCAGATTGGCCATCTTGTTGACATCGTGCTAATATTCTGATATCTTCGCGATGCGTCGGACGACTCGCAGCCTCATAATCAACGCCGTGTTGTTCTGGATAGTTTTGTTCCTGATCCTCTATGTCAACCATGATCGGGGATCGACTACCAAGACCTTCGCGTGGTCTAGAATCCACTACAAGACCTCCTCCACCGCTCTACCTGAGCCTCGTGGTAGCTGCCCCGGCTTGGAAGACAACTCAAAGCCCGCACTAGTGGTGGCAAGAGTTGGCGCCGAGGACCGCTCATGGCTTGATTCCCTGGCTGCATTTTACCACCTGTGCGTGTACAGGACCGACCTCCAGGACGTGACCTCATGGCATCTGCAAGTGCCCGCGAACCGAGGCCACGAAGCCATGGCATACCTCACCTTCCTGATCGATAACTACGAACGACTCCCCGCAGCCGGTGCCGTTTTTGTTCACGGCTCGCGCTGGGCATGGCACAATGACGCCCCTGATTACGACAATGCTGCTCTTCTGGCGACTTTGAACGTCTCGGCTGCCCTCGCCCCGTTTGGATATCACAATCTCCGCTGCGACTGGAGCGCCAGTACATGCTCCCCCGCTGAGACTCCGGCGCAGGGCAGCCTGGAAACTCTGACGCGGTCCGTTCTCGAACCGTGGAACTTGCGCTTGGTGTCGGACAGAGCATTACCACGTGCCATCGTTGATTTGTTCGGCGGCGACGGGGCAGATGAGGGGCGAGGCTCTGCCCAGTTGTTTCTGGGACGTACGGATGCCATTCGGTCGCAGTGCTGCGCGCAGTTTGTCGTTTCCCGAGAGCGTATGCGGCAACATTCCCGTGACGAATATATCGCTCTCCGACAGTGGCTGCTGGATGAAGGAGAGCGTGCAGCACCGCCTGACGACCGCATTGCCGGCCGAATCTTGTCATATATATGGCACATTTTGTTTATGCCGCAAGGTGGATCTGCTCACGTCGATCTGAATCAACTCAATTTATTGGCATGCCCGCCGGCCAACGAATGCTATTGCCGCTTGTACGGCCGTTGTAATCTCGACGGCTGCTTAACTCCTGGTCATTGTCGCGGGCAGTATGTCTTGCCGCCGGACTTTCGACTGCCGGATGACTGGGCGGTGAGACATTCATAAGTATTGGCTGGGAACTTTTGACAGAACTCTTCACGTTTCACAACCGAGAGCAGCTAGTGATAGGCTCTGTGTCTTCGTGGCCTAGAACAAAGCAATACGAGGCTGAGGCTGAAAAGTCCAACGGCGGCAGGACCATGGCCGTTTCGATGGTGGCCGCATGGAATTGCTGGACAGGGGCACGTGCCGACCCCTGTTCGATGCAAGAGGCCGTTTTGGGCTTTTCAGCCTGATGGGAGAAAGGAGGCTTGAAAAATCACCCCTGACTCTGAATGTTGTTCACACGACCACTCAGAGTGATGTGAGACCAGTTACAATATTCGATGAACATTTAGAGCTGTTTTTCAGTCTTCGAGTTCTTGATCATGCTCCCACCTCGTCACACAAAGGCCAAGTGGAAGGGAAGGGCAGGTCTAAATGAGAAGCCATGTTCCGGTTTCCCACGATTTTCCTCGCCATTCTTGGTTTAACGAGGGCTGTTGCCCTTCCCAGGGATCTTACGACAGACGCAACAGGAAGAGATTGGCAGGCAGCGGTGCAGAACATCAATGGCATGAATTCGATCCTCACACTCCTTCCCGTCTTGACGGGAAAGGTCCAGAACATCAAACTTGTTGCCAGCCGTTCGTTCCCTGCGTCGTTTGTGGTGGCTGGAATTGGTGCAGGCCGGGTTCTGTCCAAGTTGCAGCTGGGCATCCTGCTGTGGAGTTTCGAGCTCTACCGCAATACCGTGGCTGAGTTGTCCTACGCCCACGACGAGTACGTGAACCGGTTCATGCCCAAGCTGCGGCATGTTCCGTCAGGCACCGCTGAACGGCACACGACGAGCCTCATCGTCAACCACAATCCGGCAGAAGCCTACATGGTCGAGGCGTGGTTCCAAGCTCGAGGGCACGCGTCCACTGTTCGGCTGAAGCAGAACAACTACGTGAGGCTGCTGGTGGGGTCCGTCATCTATCTCGCCCTCTACAGTGGTGAGATCTTTCTGGCCGTTCAGAACGGAGCGAACGGAACTGGCCAGTTGTTGATCGTCGTGCAAACTATCTGTGTCTGCCTGTGGCTCGCGGCCGTCGTCATGATTCAAATTGCTCGCGGCCAGGGCAAGGCTGAAGTCCAGCTTAACAGACTGGGATCTCCCGAGTATCGTTGTCTCCAGATTCCCACGGCCGGCGAGCAGGTCACCTGTGTCATCCTCAGTTTCCACCTCAACAACCTCAGCGGGTTCCAAGTGTACGGGGCGAACTACGAACAGCCAATCTTGAGGGTAGCAGGTGGCTTGATCCTCGTCAGTGGTATCCTCGACCTGGTTTCGACCGTCTTGATAGTCGGCCTCACGGCGTGGGCATACCCGTGGATCGGGTTGGAGGTCGCCATCATCCTCACCAAGGTCGTGTTTTGCCTCGAGCCGACCCGCGAAATAGAGATTGCCGTCGTTGATGCGGATGGCAACGGGCCCATCCAAGGTGGCTTCGATCCTCTCCCTCTCCAGATCCAGCTCGCGGATCCCTTGGCTTGCGAGAGGGTCACGACCAACCACAACGTCCTCCGCGACACGCACACTGGGCGGGATTGGCAGTCGACCTCGGCTGGGCTATGGATTGGGCAGGAATACACTGCACCAGACAGCTCCGGTGGCTTCTCGACAATGTACCTGACTTTGAATGGGGAGAAAAAACTCAGCTTGACGGCCGACGAGCCAGAGAAGCAGGACAACCAGGCGCTGCAGCGCGAGTTTCTTGCCGCCCTGGCGAGTGTGGTTGAAGCCAATGCCGTGCCTGGTGAGAAGTTCATCGCGGCCGTGGAGCAGACGTTGGACAATATCAAGCGCACGATGGCGGCGAATTGGTTTGCATTTGGGTCCAAGGATGTGATGGACAAGGTCAACCGGGCTCGACGGAATCGCAGATGGAGACGGTTTCTGTAGTCGGCTACACAGGATGCTCAGCTTGGAATGGTGTATGCACTGTATCAATCATGAGAGGATTGGGGGATTGGTATCACTGGGGACATTGGATGGAAGGGTAGAATCACCATTGACGTGCAGTACCTGATTGAGTTCTGCAGGAAAACCCATCGCCTTTAACTAAATCTTTAACTATGTTTACCTCCAGCCCCAACGAAACTCTTAACTAACCTTGACCTTCTAGGCATGCTTATATGATGCCAAGGCTTGGCCACCACTCTTCCCAATCATTTGGTCCATGCTGATCCCAAAGGAACCTCACGGGCACTCACGGGCACTGACGGGCTCTTTCTCTCCATCTACTGTACATTGCAGGATTCATTTGAAATAATCATGGTCTCTCTACCGAGTATGATTTTCATCACAAGACGTTCTACATTCACACCCAGCCAATAACGGACAGAATGGCGGGGAATGCCCTCACCTCAGCTGGTGCTTGGCTGCAGCATTGGTCTGACTTAGTAGGAGTTCTAGTCCTTGTCGAACCTCCAAACCTCCCCGTTGACCAAACACTTTTTTTCCCTTTTGCTCTGTGCATGTGGCTGGGAACCAGGTAAGAAGTGTTTTGGAATCGTGTTTTTGGGGGCCACCATGCTGCTGCTATCGGCTCCTACTCTCTAATGCTTTTGGGGGGAGCTTGTCGATCGCCGCCGTCGTCCCTTTCTTGGGAGTAGCACTCACCGACTCTTTTTCCTGTGGCCACAACCCGATGCTTCGTTACGATATAGCTGTTAGCCTGTTGTTCCTGTCGAAAGTGAGCCAGGATGCGTTTCATCGACGAGTACCTCAGCAATAACCAGGGCTTCCAACTTGACATCGTCGGTAAGTCGTCGTCAACGAATTCCACCGGGTGTCTGGGAAGTGATACCACACTGACCCCAGGAGCAAGCACACACACACACACACGGACAGAACTTGCTAAGCTAACGTCCTACCTCTCTCTCTCCCCATCACAGGTTTCCTCGCCATCCTCGGAGAAGGTTCCGTCGAAACCATCGCCCAAGTTGCGACGCTGAGCTACCTCATCTACCTTCCCCGCCTCCTTCCTGCGCCGCAGATCTTCATCCGACCCTCACGACCCGAAAAGCTCGAGACCACGTCCGGTGCCAAAGTCATTGGCGTCCACTCTGGCAACACCGGCGAAGACATCCACCATGTGGCCCACGCCCTGCACCGGGGGGACAAGCTGAGGCCTAACACGGTCAGTTGTGTCCGTGTCCGAGAAAACAATAAGCCCCGTCCTTCCATCAAGAGGTTCGGCCCTTTGGCCTGGTTGGCGTTCCTGGGGGCAGCCATGAGCGGTGCCTTGCTGGCGCTGTCAATATACTACGAGGACGGGTAAGTCTCCTCCAGGACTGGTCAGGACTTGTGGGGGAGCTCTTTTGCTGAATCACTGCCTTTACCCAGGATGTCATTGCTCGCCACCGTGCTGCTGTCCGCCCTGAGCTCCGTCACCGGCATCGCCAACAAATGGTCCCCCACGCCCAACGACCCCAAGCCCGACCCGCACTCCCCGCCCGGCGACGTGGTCATCAAGTATCCGCAGGGGGCGTTCATCGTGGTGAGCTGCGAGGAACGGACGGCACGGTACCTCTACTTCAACCCCAGCGAGCGGTGCATCTACGCGGTGAAGAGCACGGCCATCTACCGCGGGCTCTCGCTGGTATCGACGCTACTGCTCATGGGCGGTGTGATCTCGTTGGCCAACGCCAAGATTCAGACGCAGACGGCCTTTGCGGGCTCCTACATGCTGATCAATATCTTCTACTGGGTCGGCGCCGCGCTGCCTCCTGGCAAGCACTGGGACCTGTCCCGCCTCGAGGTCGACCACATCGAGGTGCACGGGGGCACGCCGCCGCGCAACGCCAAGGTCGACAACTACTCGCCCACTTACACCGAGGCGCTGTGGAAGGCCATCGCCGTGACGGGGACGAGCAACTGGGTCAAGGAGGCCGGCTGGGCGCCCAAGACCCCGGCCTGGAGCGACTGGCTGAACGAGGCCGAGGAAGCCGCCGTGGGCGAACCCCTCAAGTCGAGCATGCAGCTCATCGATGGGAAAGAAGTCGAGGTCTGGACCATCCGCAACTGGGACAGCCGGAACGCCCTGTCGACCCTGCTGCGCACCACCACCGACCGTCTGCAGGCTCAGCCGAAAAGGGGATGAAGATGATGACCAGAAATGAATGAATGAATGACTTACCTACTGCAAACAGCTAGCCACCCAGTCAGCCAGCCAACCCAACCCAACCTGTCTCACCCACATAACCAGTGCAAAAACCGAATGTTTAGTCCGTTTCTCCTTCCTTAGGGTATCCGGATCGCGGCGAACAGATGACTTATTTTTCCAATCGGGTCTGAATCGGACTTACAAAGCTGAGCCGCAGCACAGCACAACCGAGAACAACATCAATGCCATTATTTTGACGACATAACGGACGAACGAACGAACGAACGACACGAGAACGAGATCATGACCTCCCGGCAATGAACAAAGACCATAACTATGACCCATGACCCAAAACGAACTCCCAGAAAAGCGTAACTATCTATCTTATACAGTCCAATACCTCGCGTACATCCACGAATCCATCAATCCGCATTATCTCTACCTCCATACCTACCTACCGAGCTATCTGTCTGTCTACACATATGGCATGCATGCATGAGAACCACACAAATGTGAGAAAAGGAGAGGGATGCGATAGATAGATGTAGACAAAATGAAATGAAATGAACTCCAGCGAAGCGGGTGATTTGGTTGTTTGATTATTTGGTTATCTGGTTGGTTGGCAGGATGGTGGTAGGTCGGCACGCTTTGGTGTACGGTTGATTATCATTATCATTTTCAAGGTTTGGTTATATGTATCAAGCATATCATATCATATCATATCAAGGAGAGGAAATGGCTGGTGCATCCGAGTTATCATTCGTTCATTCGTTCATTCATCCCTACTCTTCAAGCTTCTTCTCTTTCTTCTATTTTTTCGTGCCCAAGCTTCCGATTTCACACTCGATTTCGCACGCGATTTCCGACTCCGACTCCGACTCCGACTCCTGACTTGCCAGAATAAATCAATCAATAAATCAATCAATACACACAACAGCTCCCTCGAATCACTGTCAGTAAGTAAGTAAGTAAGTAGGTTCTTCAACAGCGACGACAATTGCGCGACCGCGTTGGATGGAAAAGAGCTGAGCTCCTCCAGACGAGAGCCGGAAATAAATAGAACACGTCTTCTTCGTTTCGTACTACTCACTCTCATACCAAAGTATGTATGTTTGTAATGTTCCCATCGTCTCTGCTCTGCTGCTCGCCTTCATCATCTTCGTCTCATGTCCAGATTGATTAAACATCAAAACATTACTCCAAGTCATGGCCTGGCCTGGAACCAGTATTTAGTTGTGATTGAACCACCCTTTCGTCAAAGTCGTCATCATCGCGTAGATGGGGTCTCAAAACGAAAACGCTCACAAGGCATATAGCCAAAATTATCATCAAGCATCCAACATGGTATACACGTCCCCCCGTCCACATTTTAACCTGACCACTCGAAATAACTGTCAAATCACACCTCCGCACTTTTCATCTCATCCACGGGAATCAAGCCTGCATTGATCTGCGCAGCCAGCTGCGACTCTCGGAATGTATCGAAGCCCTCGGGATCCTGCTCCCTCAGCATGAGAAGCTCTTGAGCGTTCAATCCCAGTTCGCGCACCACATTGTCTGCGCCCTCCTTTTCGACTCGGTACCGAATGTCCTCTCCACGGAGTTCATCCAGCTTCGCCCGGAGAGCAGCAATGTGGGGTGGGTCCGCGTCTGTCGCTAGGGTTCCATGCAGAGTGTCATCCATCCCTGTAGGTTTGAGGACCTCTCTCCGTATACTCTGTCCAAAACGGTGCATGCGACCTTCCTCGTCTGTAAAAGCTTTGGCCGCGAGCGACGTATTGGACGATGTTCGAGATAATTTCAGGGCGTATGCGTCTTTTGCCTCACGCTCGGCCGGGAAGTAGTCGTCAGCGTCGGTCATCTTCAACATTTCGTTTGAATCCATCGAAGCCGATAGCAGAGAGGTGTCTCCCATGGATGGGTCTGGCGACGGCATGCCGTTGGCCGTGGGAGGAGACAAAGAAGGGACTTTGGTCTCGGGGTACTCGTCCTCGAACCTCTGTATCATCCTCTGCAGAGTCTGGTCGAGGAAAAAGAGGCGGCCTGTTTTTTGTCCATCAGTAAAAGGCAAATCCTTTTTAAATAAACAGGTATTAACTTACGATAGTTGTCGTGGTTCCCCGCCCGGTCTTCTCTGACCAGGACAGGCTGCAATCTTCGCCTGATCTTCCTCGCACTCTCACAAAGCTCCAGGCTCACATCCCGGGGCTTGGACACCGTCCTCTGCCGTAACGGTCCTCGCGGCGTGGATGTGCCACTTGCTGTAGGGCTGATGTTTCTTGACTGTGCGCGACTATTACCATCCTTGCGATCCAAACAGACACCCAGTGCCTTGACTATTCCTGTAGATGCAATCATATAGTCCTCATCCGGCGCTGGCTCGTCCTTGTCGTAGTTCGCCGAGTAACCATCCATATGGCCAACGAGATGAAGCAGAACTTCTGGAGCGTCCTTGTCAGTGAATTCCTCGGGCTTGACGCCGACTTCCGTCAGAGTCGTCCGCTCCATGTTTCGGAGACTGTAAGCCACAACTTGTGACGCTAGCGCTTTGACGACCTCACTGCTGTCTGCACTGGGCATTTCGATCTCCACCGCGACAATAGTCTCTGACACTCGGACGGCGGTCATCAAGGACGCGAAGAATGCGCAAGCCTCCTCCTGTGAGCTGGCGTCCCTCGAATTCATCGCATGAATGAGCGGAGCATTGTCTAAAATGCTGAGATGAGCCATCGATGGGCAGTCCGGCAAGATCTCGGCCAGGGCGATGACTTGTTCAGACGTCATGCCCACATCTGAGAGATGTAAACGCTTCAATGGCGCCAATTTGGGGAGAAGTTTTCGGAAGACCGGGACGGCGCTCGGCTGACTGTTGAACAAGGCCATGTTGCGGGAGAGGTCGATGAACTTGAGGTTCTTCAACTTGGCAAACGGGATCAGGATCGAATTGAGATCCGCCGGCGTCAAGTTACAATCCGACAAACTAATTGCAAACAAGGGGCAATCCGTGTCAGCACCTTCTGCAAGAATATATGCAATCCCGTGTAGATTGTTGCTTCCAAGATCGAGGCCTTCACAGTGGCCGGATTTGATATACCGAACAAGATAGCTGAGGGCTTCCTGGTCCAGATTGTTACACGAAAGCCCAAGCCGCCGGATCTTGCATTTAATGGCGCAGTCCACGAGGTCTCGAATATTTGTAGTGGCAAGGCCACAGTCGCTGAGGATCAGCTCTTCGAGTTTGTCGCCCAAACGCTCGGACAATGCGTAGATGACCAAAGTCCCCAGATCCATAACTTTCGAGGTTGTGTCGTACGATCCATTGCTGTTGGAACTCGTGGTGGAGACCGTCCGTGAGAGCTCGCCAGCCTTGGGAAATTGGATTCCCGACAGATCAATGGCCCTCAGCGACCGTGACATGTGCATGAAAAGCCCAATGTGCCGCCACCCCAGATTCGTAATACCAGGGTTGTCCTTCAAGGAGAGCCTCTCTATGACACCCATTTGCTCTTTGCCACTCTTGCCGCTCGGCCTCTTCGGCAATTTCCTGTTCTGTCGGGCTTGTTCGACGGACTTGCAGCTCGAGAGGCCGGACAAAATCACCCGGACGCCCTCGTCTGTTAATCCGCAATTGTCCAAGACGAGTTTCCGAACAGGAACTATTGCGAGCCAGTCTCCGAGAGTTACAATATCCTGCAGCTGCATCGGATAGCCAGAAAGGTCCATCACCGCCACGGTACCAGGGGCTTCTGCCACACCTGCGGAGGGCTTGGATATTTGCTCTTTGACTTTGCTGAGAACTGTGGTTTCGCGCAGCTGACAGCAACGCTTGTATATTCTCAGAGGATCTGTCGTACGGCCATCCGCCCCTTCCGCAGACCGCTTGCTGGGCGTTGAGGCGCCTGGCGGCGTCACACTCGAATTCGAGTCCGAATCGTCATCTTCACGAGTCAACTCCAACGGTACCAGACCGTTTGCTTCGGCGTGTCGTCTTTTCCGCTCCTTTCGTTCTTTCCGTTCGGCTTCCGACCGTTTCTTCTTCTCCTTTTTCCGCGTTCCGGGAACGGCGAGAGGTTCGGGGCCTTGCAGCGATTCCGATGTGTCTTTATCTTTGTCCGCCTGTTTCTCCTCCGATGGTGGAGCCTGAGGTTCTTCTGGCTGGGGTTTGCTCGGCTCTACCTCTTCCTTTTCCTTTTCTTCAGCTGCCGGCTTAGGCGCTTTCAAAGCTGCCCCTTCACCCTTTTCTTTGGTCCTTGCGTCCTTTGAGTCCTTGTTGCTGGTTACTTGTTTGTCGGAATTAGAGATACTCTGCTTCTGTGCATTTGACACAGCTGGGCGATGAGATTGCTCTGGGTCTTCGTCAGCCTGAGAAGCAAACCCGGCAATCTCTACATCAACGCAAAACGACACTCTCTTGAGCTTGTTTTGGTCAAACTCGCTAATCTTGATGCGCTCGCGGTTTGGGTCCACGTTCATAATCCTCCTTGGGCAAATTGCTCCACTAGTTGCGCTCTTACCCATGGTGGTGTTGGACGATGAAGACAGTCTCCGCAAGGCACTCGACAGAAATCCAGGGTGCTCTAGCTTTGTTTCCTTGCCAGCAGCCACGAGGACCGAGGGTCGACGAGGGGCAGTATGGGCGACGACAGGTTGTTTAGTTTCTTCCTTTTTGATCTCTTTCTGCCCATCTTTGGGCGATCGATTCTTATCAAAAGGGTTCGCAAACTCGGTCTTCGGGCTGGGTTGGGGAGATGCCGTCAAGGTGTTGTGGGCTTGCTGCACATCAACGCTGGAGTTGCGAGAGGATGTTGGCGAATTTACAGAGGAGAACTTAGAGCTGAAACTCGCAATCCAGGAACTTCTTCTGCCCTCTTTCTTGTTGGATGTGCCTGGCCTCAAACCTTTTTTACTGTCCTCCGTGCTTTGGCCTCTCGACATCGTTGGTCTGGGTGACTGGCTTTGAGCAGGCTGGGGCGAACCCGGGGCTGTCTTCTGCGTTGCAGGCTGTGCGTGATTCTCCTTGCCATTGACCGTAATTATAGCCTTTTGCTGCTGAGCCGCCGGCAGGACTCCATTTTGCGTGTCTTTCAATGGTGTGTGATTAGGTCGAGCCTGTGTCGTTGTAGGTTCGCGCTGATTGACTCGGGCGGCTGAGGACGACTGTGAATCTCCGTTTCGGCCATTTCTGTCCCCCACCGAATGAGCCAAATCTGATGGAGTGGTTAACGGTCGCTGTTCAGACGACGAAAAAGCAGGCGCGACTGTGAGCCGACATTGTGGGACAACACCTTTCTTGGAATGCAACAGCCAGTCGACGTCGAGACCGCTCTCGGTGGCCGCAGCATGGTGACTGAGGTGGTGCGCGGACGCCTCTATGATGGAAATCGGATACTGTGCTCCAGGAATGTCATATAGACTGGACCAAGGGCGTCTGTGGGAAGGGAAATGGATGGTGCTCGAACGTGGGAGGAGCTGGATGACGGATGGCGATGGTCGGCGCAGGGTGGTCGGCGGGGTTAAAGGTGCAGGGAAATCAATGCGGCTATTGTTGGCCAGAAATCGCGATCGACTTCGGTCTGGGCTTCTGGGATCTTGTGTGGCAGGTTTCGGCCGCCACTTACAACCCAGCCCGCAGTGGTAACTCGATAAGGCGCTTGGGAGCGCCCTGGGGCTTATGTGCCGTGACGGTGGTGCGGCCAATGCTTTGCACAATTGCCCAGCTTCGGTAATTGTGGGCTGGGGAGTTTGTAGAGGGATGGTGGAGTCTGCTAAATGGGGGCAACAGGAGGGGATCCAGGGAAGTGGACCACTGGGAACTCTGGCCTTTCAGCTTCTGGGTTTTTCTTATGCGGTCATTGCAATCATGACACTCGTAGCATCAGAATCAGAGCAGACAGAGTTGTTTGCGTTCCTTCAGTGCAGCAGCACAGACACACACCGGCGGCAAAAAAAACTGTTCGGGGGAGATGATCTCGTGGACCTTTCGGCAACCGTCGTCACGGAACTCTCCCTCGTTGGCGTCACTGTCCACGAGAACTCTCCAGCCGACGTCTTCTCGCTTCTCGGGCGTTCCCTGATTAATGATGGCGCCCCCTCCGAAGTGCCCGCTGCTGCACGCGTGACCCGGCCGAGAAAGAGAAGGAAAAATACACCAGGGAGTGCAAGGGGACGCAGGAGAAAAAAGGGCCTACCGACCGTGGCCATAATATATCTCTCATCTTCTTTCGAAAGCTGCAGTGTGATGATGAGCCCTTGATGACACACATGCGACCAGTGCCACCGACATGGTTACTGGTCGTGTCAGTGCCGTGGTGCCTGGCAGACTCGTACGGGCCCCTGCCCTTGCTTGCCGGGATTGCTTAGTTGGACACCCAGGTACCTCTGCTGAGACCAGTCTCCAGTGGAAGGCCTGGGGGGACGAGCCATGGAGGCTCGCCAAACCCACCAGGCACAATGGGGTCACCCCCAGGGCCACCCACGGGCACCTGTAGGCACTTCGAAGGCACCTAAAGGTGGCTAGTCAGGTCAGCATCTTATGTCAGATAGCGTCGACCATAATAATATCGGATTGCAACGAAAACGGCTGGCTAATCAAACGGGTCCTATGTACAGCCTATTACCGGTCAGATGGGTCGCACATTCTGGCAGATGAGAATATGACTGTTCGGGCAAAATTCATGGGATTCTTGGGTGTGGGCTGCCCTCAGACTATTCCCGCAACAAATTCGGCATATCTGTGTGGGTGCCTGCTACTGCTATGTACTAGCTCTGCTCGACCTTCTTCTGGGTCCATGACTGCCTTTCTCGTCATCCCACGTCGCTTTGAACAAGCCAAGCATTAGATTTCGTGGGAGGATTCTCCGTCAAACTCATCTTCGGCATGCTACAGTAGCCGAGTGCTCTTGGGGCAATGTCACATATCGTGGCCTCGATTCTCCTTGCTCCAAGTCATCGGTAGCCCCATAGAAGTCCTTGTCAACAGTGCTGAGTCGACTCCTGTTCCTAAGCACCAGCCGACGCTGCAGTCAGTGGCAATGGGTGCGCTCAGGAAGCAAGAGCTGCAATTTTCTCTTTGACGCGTTGATCTTTCTCCTCCTTGGACATCTTCGACACCTTGTATTTCTTGCCCTCGGCCTTCCACTCCTCCTTAGACTTCTTGTCGCCTTCGTCTTCGTCCTTCTTGAAAGGATCCTCACGGATCGCAGCGTGGGCCTCGGAGTACAGTTCCTCGAGTCCATCCGCCTCGACCTCGGCGTCGATGTACTTGACGAATTGAGACTTGTAGCGCTCTTCGTCGTCATCTGCGAGGGTTTCCATGTACTCCGCAACGTGGCCGCCGAAGATGTACTTGCGCAGGACGTCGGCGTCCAGTTCCTTACTTTCTTGGTCGTAACCCGGGAATCGCTTCTCGTTGTGGGGAATGTACAGCCCGCCGTCGGAAGCGCCCTTCATCGCACCAAAAATACGGGCACCCGTAGAAGTACGATGCAGACCCACGTCAAGGAAGCACTTGAAAGGACGACGTTCCTCTCCATCCTCATCAGCAGCCTCGGTCAGCTTGTATTCTCCGTCCGGCTCTTCCACGCCAGTGAACTTCTCGTCCAAGTCCAATTTCTTGAGAGCACGGCGAGCCAACAGCAAGCCAGTTGCATAGGCGGCAGACCAGTTGGTCAAGCCGTTGTTGATGCCATATCTCTTGAGCTCGTGCGAGTACGCGGCAACAAAAACCTTGTCGCCAGTGATTTCCGCAGTCACCAACTGGCAGATGATGTCTCGGTTGGTGAAGCGAACGACGAGGCGGTACTTGGGAGCGTTGTACTTGTTCTTGGCCTGGCTGATCAATCGCTTACGGGCATAGTAGTCGGTCTGATTTCCAGCGTCAGTCCAGCAACCTGCGACAGGGGAGATGAAGTTTCATCGCTGTACCTTTCCAGCCCGTCTGCGCTTGTACTTGGTCTGGAAGCGAGAGTAGTAGGGGGAATTCTTCACGCTGTGGCAGACGTACATTAGCTCCAGGACATAGGGAATTCCATAGTGAACTCGAAGTCTTGAACTTACAGCTTGGTGAAAGGCATGTTGCCGAGTTGAGACCGTCCCAAGAATTATTTTGGTTCACTATGAAATCCCCGAATCAGCATTTTGCGCTGCAGACCCAATTCCGCAGCAACATGCAGGGATTCTCTCATACATCTTATCTTTTGGTAAGGACTCGGTAAAGTCTCGTGGTGGAATGGAGGACTCAAAGTTGAGATGGAGTGCAGGGTATTGAAAAGCGATGAATTGACTCCTCGCTGAAGTGTGGAATGTGTGCGCCGCCAAGATTTTCATATGTCCGCTCAAACCAGAATTCTTGGTTGGTGGGGGTCGCTTTAGCTCAGCCTTGTCGATCTCCAAGTCCACCACCACACATTAACATACACCAAACGCTGCAGGTTTGTTGGTAGCCACTGCCGGTAGGAAGGAGTATACAAGAGATGCAAAGACTTCGGCAGGGGAAATTACCAGTACTGTTCTGGTTCACGCAGGATGTGGGACAAAATCGCAAGATTGAGATTGCCAACATCGGCCCTGAGCGAGATGTTTGGAGGGCTTGTCAAATCACAATTTAGACGACGCTTGCTGAAGTCTCTCTGTTTCAGACTTGAGATTCTGTGATCACTGAGAGGGCATCTCAGCCATTATCCAATGTGCTTGGTATACATTGGTATTTGCAGGCTCTCTGAAATGGGACAACCGGCGGCAGGACGCCAACAACGAGCATTTGTCCATAGTCTTGGGGAGACCATCATTCCAAATATGAAAGGCAACAAGAGCAAGAAGCAGAAAGCCAGTAGGCAAGTCCCTATAACTGCTTGAGAAGGTTGTCGCACTTAGAGGAGTTGAAGGAGAGAGAGAACAGAGACGTCCACCTCAGGTCGACTTGATGACATCGTTCCTCCATCGACCGTCCTGACACCCAAAGGTGCGGCAGTAATGAATGTGAATCCCAAAGTCTTGGCATAGATTTGTCACGGGTCGCCCGACCAACTTCAAAATCAGTCTTTTCTTTCATCTTGATCCTGGACGTCGTTGTCGACAAGCGATAGACAACAATGGCTTCTGCCTCTTCTTCCTGTGGTGGTAAGTTAGCCGAGTACCAATCCTGTGCTAGTCCCCTCCTGTTCGGCCCGGGCCGTGCAGATCAGTCTGTTCACGGCATCGGAACAACAGAAAATCCGGATTCCGATGATCCCTTCCCCAAATCATGGAGTTTGGAAGTTCAGACTGACCTGACTTTGATCTCATTTCAGGTTCACCATCACCACCAGCAACACCCTATCTTCGCCCTACCACCACCAATCTCCGACCCCTGGGAGGGCATTTTCGTCGCTCCACCCAACTCAGTGCTCCGGCGACTCCTTCTGGCTACACCACCGCGTTTCTTCGCTCTCCCGCCGCCTCTCGTCGCCCAACGCGCAGTCAGGAAGGTGAGGAAGACGATGAATTTCTTCGCCAGTTCAGCCACGCCCAGCTCGTTGATCCGAATGAACTGAGCCAAGTCCTCCAAGATCACCTCAATAGCCAGGCCTCGGTCGTCGAAGAAGAAGAACCAGAGCTTGACCCAGTCACAATCTACGTCAACATCCGCGGCTTCAGCCCCTACGGCGACATGGCCTCTCCAAACGCGTTCCCTTCCCTTGACACCAATCTTCCCTCTGCTAGCAACCGCGCGTCAGCCGCCTCTCCTACGGGCCCTTCCTCCATGAACGGCAGCAATGGCATGAACGGTCCGGGATCGGGTGCGGCAGCCGCTGCGGGATACTTGCCTCCTCTACCAGTTGGCCACCAGCAAGACTTGAATCACCTCTTCAACCAAATCCAAGAGTTGGGAGCCCTTTTGAGAAGCAACCGCGAGAAAGTCAATTCCATCACCCGTAACGCTGAGGAGGTCGCGAAACGCGCAAATGGAGCGCTGACAGATGGCGAACCGGCCCAGTCAGAGAATGACAGTACGTTACACTGCGATTCTTCGCGTTTCTGCGTGAGGATGATATTTACTGACTTCTCTGTCATTCGCAGAAGCACGTATCCGTGAACTTGAGCTCGAACTTGCGAAGCAGAAACATCTTGTTGAACTCTACAAGCACGAACAAAAGGAGAATACAGGCTTGATCGCCATGTACGAAGAAGCAATGGGAACGGCCGTCGAGCAAATTCGAAACTACTGCGGCGATATCGAGGGTCGGTTCTTGAGACAACGCAAACATTACAACGACCTCTTGCAGCAGGAGAAGGATGACCACTTGCAGTCTCGACTGGACAGAGATCACTGGTACGCGCAAACACTCAAGGTGTGTGAAATGATCAGGACGGCGCATCGATTGAGGACCGATGAGTGGTGCGAAGAATACACCGTCGTCGCGGCTTTGCAGGGGGAGGTGAGATGCTTGAGGCGATGCATGGGGATGGAGCCAGAGAAGCCGGAGGAGGAAACCGGTTGGCCATACTTGAAGGACTTGCCTTTGCCTGAGTAGGCATGAATCGAATGAATGACGAACGGGCATGGGATTGGGAGCCGGCACTGACGCCAACAGGATAAGGCGAACAGGAAATTGCATTGGCGGCGCAAATCAGAGACATCACAAGATGATGCATTGACGTCGTCATAGAGACGACCAGAAATAACATTGAACCACCCAAACATCCTCTTTAGCGCCTATTTCCCTCGCGCATCGCTGGACACGCCGTGGATCTTCAATTCATCTCTCGTGGTGGAATCTTCGCGGCAATGGTAGACGGCCTAAGGCCTGCAGAGGCAAGGCCGGAAGAGGCTCGTTAGGAGGCGGTCCCAAGGATGGGGTCCGCGGACGGACTAGACAAGGCATGCTCTTCTGCCGCGGGATCACGGACCGCCGTGGTATATCTGCCGTCCTTAGTGTGGGCCGAGGGCTGACTTCGTCCCCAGCAGCGGGGATTTGGGAAGTTTGAAGCTCTCTAGTCAGTCCTGGAGCGAAGTCCGTGCCTGAGGACAGGACTTTGCCGTGTCTCCGTGGGTCGCGGCTCGGTAGTGGTGGTGAAGGAGGATGAGTCAGGTCCTCCCTCTCCGCATCCGTTGATTTGTCGAGGCACCGCAGATTGCACTGCTGGGTGATGGCGGGCGGTGAGGGTATGCCGTTTATAGGCAGCTTCTGTTGCCCTGTCGAGGGAGTGCGAGGGAAGAGACTATACGATGGAACCCTCCTGCGACCACCCTCTACAGAATCCTGCCTGTGTGAAGAGCTTCTGCTCCTGGCGCTAGAGGGCCTCGAGGAAGGCGGCGTGGGCGTGACAGACCGGCTCATGGCGTCGGGTGGTTCACAGCGATAGCGAGCAGACATCTTCCTGACGTGCCCCGGCCCCGGCAAGGGAGCAACGGTGGAGATACGTCTGTCGTTGCGGTCGAGCTGGCGTGAAGACGCGGGTATAGGTGGTAAAGGCTTGTGCACGAATTCTTCATAGCTATTCGCACCCACCAGATGACCCGGCGTCGTTATCAGACTTGCAAAAGGTCTATTGTTCTTTTTTGGAGTGTGCATGTACATGCACGAGACTCCCGAGTCTTCTGGTGTTGGCGTGGACATTCCCAGCCGGGAATCGCCGCGTGTTGAGACTTCATCGCTGTCGGCAATCTTGAAAGGAGGCTCGGCAGCAGCATATGAAGAAGAGCTTGTGTAGCTGGAGAAACTTGTGTGAGTGGTGTAGACCGAGTGGCTGTCCGACAAGGATGGCTCTGTCCGGAAATCGACGCTGTTCAAAGTGTGGACTGATGAATCCGTGGTCGAGCGAGACACGTTCCGAGAAGTCTTTCCGTACATCGCTGGTCGTGGAGTTACATGAGGCCCTGCCTCGTCGTAAACTGGCTCCGCCACGAGTGGCTGGCGGTACATTGGATCGCTGCTTGTCAGGTTTCTCTGAGCCTTCGGCCATCGGGATAGACTCTCATGTTGCTGTGAAGAGCATAGGGCTGAACTTGAATAAGTTGTGTTGCCGTTATATTCGTTCGCATCGGCAACCCTTGGAGCTGGTGCCACCCGTCCTGAGTACACAGATTGGGTCATGTTGGAATGGAGAGACGTAGATTCAGCTCTTTTTTGCCTTGTGAGCTTCTCCAACTTTGCGCGACCGAGGAATGCTTTGAATCGAGCTTTGGCGCTTCTCTCCGAAAGCCACCATCCAGATACTTCCTCCGTCATTGCCGCAGACAATGAAGCTTCAACAGGCATGGCGAGAATGGCGACGGGAGTTGAAGTAAGATGACGAGATTTCCCAGGTCGTGAGCACTATTTAGAAGGGCTGCGAATAGTTGGCAATGTTGCTGCGTCGTTCTTCGAGGTATTGCGTCAAAATCAAAGACCAGGACACAGTCCTCAAGGGCAGCATACCCTCTGTCTAGGACAAAGGTACGCTATTGGAGGAATCAAAGATGTTGGGTCGGAACTCCTAGTTTCGATACTGTCGATCGATGTTTGTTTTGGCGGGGCCGACGTGTGTTTGCGTTCTTGATGATAGATATTTAGGATGTTTGATCCGAGGGTGTGGTCTGGGGGAAGTGAGATAGTGAGAGCGGTCTTTTCATCCGGAGGAGAGGCTCAGGACTGGGAGTAGCTACCAGAGCAACAAAGAGTATCAAACCAGAGTTTTAAGTGCCCTTCTTGAGGATAGAGAGGGTGAGTCAACAAGGGCTATTCAATGGGCGGCTGAGCTGAAGGGCAGAGGCTGGCATGACTTGGACTGGTCCGTGCCTGCACAACACAACAAGCTCTACGGATCTGGACCCAGCAATGACATCCATGGCAGGTATGGTGCCACAAGTGACAGGCAAGAAAAATGAAAGAATTGCCGTGTTGACAACAACCAACCGTCTGTAAGGGAGAAACATTTCAGACCCTCAAACGTGGTATGTGCATTTTGGCAAAGGGCTGGTGTGACAGCTATTCTCATGGCGACGGATGTTCGCAGTGCTAGATCGGTGCCAATTAGTTAAGAGTAATTACCACAGCTAAATTGCACGGCATCCAGGATCCTGAGTCGAGAAATCCCAGCATAGAAAGTACCAAACAATGTATAGCGGGAAGTGCCGAAAGAATTCTTTACTGCCATCCCGGGCAGAAGACAAGGGGGTGGCGGGTGGGGGAGTTCGGCACAATAGCGATCCACAACGCATCCAAAGAGAGAATATTGAACACTGTAAGGAATGGTGACAGATGTCTGCGAGAGACAGCCTGGGACAGAGATGCCGAAAACTGACAGATGAATTGACCAAGCGAGGAGATGAACAGTCAGATGGTGTAGAGCCTGCACCAGTCCCAGCATACGAATGCTCCTTAGAAAAATAATGGGCCATCTTGGCAAGGGTTTTTGGGATGGATTAGGCAAGGAGCGGATGGTGTGTGTTGCCCACAGGAGACATCAAACTGGTTAGACGTCAACGGGCTGTCCGAATGAAGGGAGAGGAAGGGAGGGCGAAGAAACGGCCCACGCGAGTAACACGGAAACAACACTCCAGACTCATTCGTGCGGATTGAGTGGACAGAGCTCGATTGGATAACGATCCACTCACAAGACTCTACAGCGAAGGGAGCAGTAAGAACTGAGGAGGAAGCTACAATTGATATGGATGCGTTTGTAAGTACCTCGTCGCTAGCTTGGTACGTTTCTGTGCTTCACCGTAGCAGATTGCGCGCCAATGACGTCAGTTATTGACACACTGCTGCGAGGCTGCACTTTGTACCGGGTCCCATTGAAACCTCCTCGTCTACCCTTTTCGACATTAAGACATATTCACGCCGTCACAATTATGGCTCGCATACTTATTACAGGCTCATCTGACGGGCTGGGCTCCCTCACTGCCCGGGCCCTGGTCAAGAGAGGGCATTCCGTGGTCCTGCACGCGAGGAACGACCAACGAGCCCACGACGCAAGGGCCGCCTGTCCAGGCGCCGAGACCTGTGTTGTCGCCGATCTCTCCGACATTTCACAGACTAAGAAGATGGCTCAAGATATCAATAGCCTTGGGGCTTTTGACGCAGTCATCCATAATGCCGGTCTCTACACAGGCCCCTTCCGAAGGACCAAGGAGGGTTGGCCCAGCATCTTCGCAGTCAACACGCTAAGCCCCTATATTCTCACCTGCCTGATGGAACCTAAGCCGAAGCGACTCGTTTTCGTCTCATCCGGCCTTCACAGTGGTGGTGACCCAACGTGCAAGGATATCACATGGCAAGATCGTGGGGAGAAAGGCTTTAGGGATTTCCAGGCATACTCAGACACCAAGCTGCATGATATCCTGCTGTCGTGTTTTTTCGCAAGGAGATGGCCTGATGTCAAGAGTAACTCATTGGACCCAGGTTGGGTGGCGACCAAGATGGGTGGTGCTGGGGCGACAGGAGACATTAAAGCTGCGGTCGATACCTATGTGATGCTTGCCGAAGGAACAGCCGAGGCGAAGGATGTCTCTGGCAAGTACTGGTATCACTGTAAGATAAAGTCGCCGAAGCGGGAAGCAACCGATGAGACTGTTCAAGGAAACCTCGTCAAACAATTGGAAGAACTCACGGGAGTCAAAGCTCCCTAATGGTCAAACGAGACATCTGGTTAAGACGTGGTGCCTGTGGCCGAGTACATCGAACACGGTGGTCAGGCCCATCCGCAGGAAGAAGGTAGCGACAACATCTCGTGGATCATGGCTTGATTACGCGGCCCTTCAAATGGCTGCGTCCCTGGCACGATCCAAGGCCCTATACATCAAGCACCGAACGAGTTTCCGCCCTGCTGGTGATCATGATAATGGCGATGAGGGGTGCTCGAATTAGGTAAGCAGGTTGTGCGATACGGCCGATTTGGGCGACAATCAAGCAGCCAATCAACGATCACTTCCAAGACTCCACTTCGAATCTGACACTCCCTTTACTTCAGGTTCCCCGTTTCTCACTACCCCCCTAAATACCCTCTTTCGCAAAGTTTCCGTCCCTGCTGTTCTGATTTCAATCGCTCATTCGTCTAGCATGTTCTTCCTTTATGCGTTCTGGTCTTTGGGGGTGGCTTATCTCATTTGGACTTTGATTCGATTCACGAACAACTACTTGGAGGCAAGGAAGATCGGTCTACCAATTTTGATCACTCCCGTCAATCCTGCAAACCCGCTATGGATGCTCACCAAGGACCGTCTCATACCTATCGTCACTTCACTGCCTTGGGGGCTAGGGGAATGGGCGACCAGGGCAGAAGTCGGTTGGACGTTCTACCAGAGATACTCGGTCCATGCCCGATATGGCGATGCATTCACCATTGTCTCGCCGGGGACAAATGAAATCTACATTGCGGACCCCTCTGCCACTGAGGATATAATGCGGCGGCGTAATGACTTTATCAAAGACCCGGCCATGTACGGCATGTTGAACATCTACGGACCGAACCTTGATACGGTTAATGGCAAGGTATGGGATCGCCATCGCAAAATCACAGTGCCACCCTTCAACGAACAGAATAGTGCTCTGGTCTGGCGTGAGACGGCAGAACAAGCAGACCAGATGTTGAAAACCTGGTCCGAGAAAGATTATGTGACAAGCACACAGCCCGACGTGCATGCTGTTGCGCTCAACGTCTTGTGCGGCGCTGGTTTTGGCATTCACAGCAGCTTTATCGACTCGAAGCTGTCCAGCGGTGACGGCCAGCCGCAGCCGCAGCTGGGGTATCGAGAGAGCTTACGAATGTTGCTTGCAAACATCATTCAGCTGGTCCTCTTGAGCGTTCTCAAGAAGGCCGGCTTTCCGGATTGGATGTTTTTCGGCAACATGCAAAAGCTGTCCGTCGCATATGAAGAGTTCAAGAGATACATGAGCGAGATGCTAGCACGAGAGAAATCAGCCTTTGAGCAGGGCGATCTGACGCGGCATAACCTGATGAGTGCGTTGGTTAGGGCCTCTGAACAGTCGAACGAGACTGCACGGACCGCAACGGATCCTGGCGCAACAACAGCAGCGGCAGGACTATCCGACGAAGAGGTTTATGGGAACCTCTTCATCTATAACCTGGCTGGCCACGACACCACGGCCGCGACACTCCATTTCGCGATCACGCTCTTAGCCCTGTACCCTCAGTGGCAAACTTGGGTTGCTGAGGAGATTGATCAAGTACGAAAAGCCGACCCGTCGGGCACGTGGTACTATGAGGAGACTTTTCCAAAACTAGAGCGATGTCTAGCACTGATGGTAAGCATCGACACCTCTGGAGCCCGCTACCGCTGACGCAAGGTCGAATAGTACGAGACGGTCCGGTTATATGGCCCCGTCGTCATGATGCCTCGCTACACGGGAGACTCTACCCAGCGCCTCAGGATCCGAGATAGAGAATACGTCCTGCCGCCAAAAACGTCGGTGACCTTGAACTTTGCCGCCCTCCACACGCACCCGGATTACTGGGGACCGGATCCCACGACCTTTCGGCCCGACCGATGGATCGTGCCTAAGGGGGAGGGTGTTCCAGACGGTGACTCGTCCCTGATGCAGCCCGTCCCGGGGTCGTTCGTTCCCTGGAACGCCGGGCCGCGGGTCTGCCCGGGCAAGAAGTTCTCCCAGGTCGAGTTCACGCGGGTCATCTTCAGCGTGTTCGCCCACGGGTCCCGGGTCGAACTGGTCCCGGAGCCCGGCGAGAGCGAGCAGGCAACGAAAGCGAGGATCCTGCAAATCGTGAACGAGGCCCGCGTCGAAGTGACGCTGAAATTGGTCAACGCTGAGAGAATCAAGCTTCGCTGGACCAGGAAAGCGCATGTCCCTGGAGCATAGATACGTGAGTCTCACGGATGACGGCGCTTGCGAAACGGTTATGCTGCAGCGTTGGGCGCCTTAAGGGCTTGCATCAGACATGCCAGGAGAGAGAATATTACATGGCGCTGAAGAAGAACGAGAGGAGGTTCAACGGCTGTACTTTGCCCCTGTGAAGAAGCTTAAATACCAAAAAGAAGGATGGAAAAGACGGCTAGTAAGTATATAGGGCCCATAAATATTTTGTTGGAACTCTTTTATTGGGAGACAAATGCGGTTGAATTTGTTCCGCTCGTACCCAAGTTCCCGACAAAGGTGCAGCAGCTCGGAGCATATGATGTGGCGATGGGTAAGCAATATCGACCTGGTTGATCAATGCATGCGCACTCTATCCTCGCTGAGGATGACCTTGACCATTCCGTTTCTTTAAAGTGACATCCGGAACCCTTGTGCGAGAGAGGAACAGAGACATAGGAAGAAGAGAAGAGAAGGCATAGCACAGAGCGGCCGCCCAGACATCGGTGTCTACTATCAATGTGTCTTGGTTCAATTGAACACGCCACTCCAATCTTGCTTCTTGACCCAGTCCTCCACAGATGGACTAGATCATTTGCTTCTCCGGTCGACGACTTCATGCTCTTCACTTTCTTACTTTCATACGGACAGAGTCTCTCTCGGATGACTTTTCTACAAACACAGTCCGCGAGACCGTCGCTTCTTGCGTGCCAGATACGTCAGCCACTTGCGTATACACACGCCTGCGGACAACTTAACGCCTTGAAGACGTACGCAAGGCAGGTCAATGCAAGGTAGGTAGTAGATTCGGGCGGACATCCCGACAAAGTTAGGGTTCTCCTGCTCATGCTGTGTACAACCACTTAAAAATCAGGACCCCTGCGTCTGCGCCGCATATTCCGTCTTGATGTACAATTGCAATTCATGGATACACGGGTGGCGGCATCTATCGACCTTGTTCCGGGAAGTTTGTACTTCATAAGGAGCCTGCCTCTTGAGATGGGAGAGACTGGAAGATCGTGGACCTTGCTTCCATGCCGAATACCCTGACAATTCACCTTTGATCTTTCAAATACCATGCTCAGCTCAGCGAGTGCCTGACCGATTGCAGGCTTGTGCACAATCCGATAATTTCGCTTCTTCACGTCCGTCAGAGGGAAGAGTCCCGACACATACGAAGCTGACCTGCGAATACGCCAGAACCACGAGACGCCGTTGGACTCCTTAACCGGCATGATTTCGATGCCGGCCTGGCCAGTGATAGTCCATGTCTGTGGGGATGTTTTTGCGCAGATGATTCATGAAAGTAGGTGGGACACGTCCCAGCCGACCCCATCGATCGCTTGGGGGTATAGAGTGCTCTTCGTCATAGTGGTTGAGGAGATCCTCAATGGAACTTGCCCACTTAATCAGCTTGTCTTCCTGCCAGGCGGTGTGCTGCAGTGTCAGCGGTACGGGCATGCCATCCGGGTCAAGGCCGATAGGAATCGTCATGATGGGATAGCCTGCTTGAGCGGCAATCTGGATGCCTCCGGCCTTCACATCGCAGAATAGAAGCGCGTCCAGAAGCTCTTCTTCTACTTCTTCATCGCCGTCAGATTGGCGACGGCGGCTACCCGAAGGACATTTCAACGCCGCATCAATCCCGTTCTCGCGGCATTGATATTGAATGTGCTTCAGCGCGGCGTAGTACGTCTTGTCCTTGATTCCTTTGGTCTCGACGCACTTGCGGAAGAGTATCTGGCCGTCTGGGAATGCCGGGAGATCGCCTTCATGGCCGCCCTCTGACCCGCGGTTGTCGTCGTTGAACCGCACGACGTCCTCCAGCGTCTTGATGGGCGTGTTTTTCAGTTGGCTCAGGTATCGGTTCATCAGGTAATAGGTCTGGACTTTGCTGACCGTGATTTCGGAGATTTCGGGATGGGATTCGCCGTAGCGTTCCCTGGGAGGATAGTTAGGCTTTCTCCTGGGAGACGGAAGCTCTCAAAGGAGTCACGGTATTGCAACTCACCAGTCCCAGATCCCGTGTTTGCCGAGTCTCTCCTCAGCACACGGCATATCGACAGGTATGATCTCGGCACCGGCCTGCTTTATAAGATCCAAGACTCTCTCGGCAACCAACTTCTGTGGGTATGGTGCGGCATCCCAGAAACACTTTCTCGGCAGACCGAATCTTGCACCCTTGAGCGCGTACCTGTCAGTGAGACACGCATAGTAACTCTTTGGTTGTCGCCGGCCCGGTTGGGTACTGAACTTGTCGTCGGGGTCAGGACCTGCAATGACATCCAGTCCACGGGCAACGTCTGCGACGCATTTCCCATAGTGGCCAACAGAGTCTTGTGTCTCTGAAATGGGAATGACTCCTCCTCGTGATGTGAGGCCGACCGTCGGCTTGATACCGGCGACTCCGCTAACCATGCCGGGACTGATAATGCTGCAGTCCGTCTCCGTGCCAAAAGCCAGAGGGACAATATTTGCCGAGACGCTGACGGCACTCCCTGAGCTACTGCCATCTATTCAGATCAGCTACTATGGCGGAATATACTGAGAATCGAAGAAAAATAGATGCTTACTTGGCGAGCGGGTCAGCATGTAAGGGTTCCGACATTGCCCACCACGGGCAGAGTATCCCATCGAATAGATACTCCCTCTCATTCCAGCCCATTCATCCAGGTTCGCCTTGCCGAGGATGACTGCGCCAGCTTGGCGGAGAAGATGGACGATGTGTGCATCCTTTGGGACTATACAGCCGAGCAAGGCCCAGGAACCTGCTGTGGTTTGCATTTTGTCTGCGGTGGCCATGTTCTTTTGCCACACAGATTCTGTTTCAGCCCTGGGGATCAAGCAGACCATCGGTGATGACGACCTACATCTTTGACAAGCACCGGGATACCATGCAGCGGGCCTCTGACACTGCCCTGCCTCCTCTCCTCGTCGAGAATCCGTGCATGTTCGACAGCATCGGGATTCGTCTCGATGACACACTCGAGGTATGGATTGGTCTGAGAGTCGTCAGCGTCATAACCCCAGAGAACTCCTGGACAGTGCGAGGCGTTCACTTTTTGCACCCTCTGCAGGCAGAATTTCACATAGTCAATGGAAGACAATGCGCCAGTGGAGTAGAGGTGCTGGAGTTCATCCACCGAAACCTCGTACAGATCCAGGCCGTTGCAGAGTGACAACCGGAAGGCCTCAGGTAGTTCCTCCTGTGAGGACTTGACGGGCTTCGAGAGCACAACAAAGTCATCACCATCAAAGCAGGAGTCGGCTCCCTGAGAAAGTCGCAAATGCGGCATGACTGCTGCGCTCTGGAGTTTGGCGACTGTCCGAGAAAATAGTCCTATTCACGACCTCGATGGCCTGGGAACTCGGGTCGAATAACTACGGGCGACACAATGAGTTATCATCCAGGCTTCGCCTTGCACGTTGTATCAAGCAGCAGGGCTCGAAACGATGGGTGAGCGGTGAGAAAAGCAGAGGAGAGACTGTCAATGGGATGGATCGTTGCACAAGCAGAGCTTAAACAGGCTGGACCGGGGAAATTTGAACTGTCTGACAGAATAGATTCCGCAGATCTCCTGGAGCCTTCTGCACTGTAGCGCCCAAGTCCGTCGTCGTCGCTCTTTTGTCAGACTGAAATCTTTCCTGTTCCGGCATCGGCAACGTGAGCTCGCTGGCCCGAATCGATAAGGTCAAGGTCAGTATTCAGCCAAAAGGTCTTCCAGGAGGAGGAAGCTATACTGAAACTCGTAGGAGAGTCCCTTAGCCCAAAGTAAAAAAAGTGCCGGTGCATCGGGTCGCTTTGTACCTCGCAGACTTGCCCAGTCCACGTGGTGTTGCAAAGTGCTCTGCAGAATCGCCCTGTTTCGTCTCGTGTTGGACACCAGAGTGTATCTCCATCATGAAGACGCTGTTTGTGCCCCAAAGAAAAAGCAATGGCTCCTCCCCAGCCCCCGAAAAAACTCCCGGCTCATATCGTTGTGACTCATACGCAGAACGCTCACGAACTAAATGCCACTGCGCGCCCGTGCCATCACTAGCAACCATGATAGTCGTCCAATATTATATTCGTCAAGTCATGACAGCCCGGCCTCCATCGTCTCGGCCAGCAGCGCCGCCTCCTCCCAGCTCTGACGCATGCCCTCCGCGTAGATGCGGTCGAGATAGAAGAATTTCAACAGTACCTGGCGGACGTCGTCCCAGCTCCGCAGGTTGAGCACCCTGGATACCCTCGCGAGGTTCAGCACGAACCACGGCCGCTCTCGCTGGCCGGCCGATATGTACGCCCCCATCAGCAGAACCCACACCAGGAGCTCGTAGTGTGGGCCCCAGAGACCCTTCAGGTCCGACGCCTGCAGGGCCGTCTTCAGCTGTGCGGTCAACGTCCGGTTCAGGGCGTAGTCCGGTCGCGAGATCTGGAAGTTGCTGAACCAGAAAATGAGCATGGCCAAGCGACACGCCTCCTCCTTGTCGCTGGCGGGTTCCCGCGGCTCGAACGGCGCCGACAGGGCCGCGTACCGGAAATGGTAGCTTTTGGCGTTGATGTACTCGTTCTCGTCCGGCGCCGGGAGCAGCTGCTTCTCGTGGTAGTACTCGCGGTACTGGACCACGTCCTTCATATCCCGGAACGCTTGTGATATTCGCCAGTCCATGACCGTGTCCACGTCTGCGGTCAATATGCCCGTCCCCATTTTTTGGATGTCCTTGCTCACGTTTTGCCGGATTTCTTCGACCAAGCTCGCAGGGAGGGAAGGCAATGCTGACGTGGGAGGAGCCGCAGGTAACGATCGTGTCAGCGCTGCACACATGTATGACGTTCTGTGACAATGGTCAGACTCGACATTCGTGGGTTGGAGAGGAGGGAATCGATAGCTTACGAGAGAATGAGCTCTGTGGCATGAGGAGGGATTCCATGATACCCGCCCCGCCAGGCGATCAGCTTTTGCAATCCAGAAACATGCGCAAATATTTCCTTTTGATTTCCCGTGATAACCTGCCAGGGACTTCTATCAGCATTGGGTGGCTGTCTTGTGTGAGGGGCCACGCACCTCAATAGAAAGCAAACACATCATCGCAAAAATCGTCGACGCCTGGGTCGCATGCTCCATGGATTTCATCGTCTCGTTTGCCAGTCGCACGGCGTTCACTTTGTATGACACGAAATCCGGGACCGCGCGGTTTTCAAGATCTGCCTCAGTGAACGTCGTCTCGATCGAACCGCTGCGCAATTCTCCCAACCGCGAACTTCTCTCGGCCGACGCAACTGCCAGGAGTGAATACAAGACCAGCGGGTCTTGTGCGGCATTTTGAAAGGCCCATCGAGTCTGGATCTCGGCTTGGTGTCGGGTTGGAAATATGGTGGGGACCATAACATCGGAAACTATTTCGAACAAGTCAACGTCTGGCCTTGAATTCAGCCAATTCTGCGACCCTCGTGCCTGCGGGGGTCTGAGGTAAGATGAGATCAAGGCTCATTCCCATATTTCTCGATTTAGAGGGGAAAACATGTGCCGTTCTGAAATTTCCTCGATTCTCCGCCCAAGACGACGCGGAGCTGGATAGGAGCTGTTGGGAGGACATCAAGGAAATTTCCTATACACAACGGAGGTAAAACGTGTTTGAACGACCCACGGGCCTATCTCGCAATCCCGGCTCCGACGAACACATCAGCATGCAGGGTGACAAAAAAACAGACAACTTACAATGGCGTAAAACAGCATTCATGCTAGGGGTAATATGTACAGAACTGATATTGAAAGGGTCCAGAAGAGTGTTGTTCAGTGATGAGCTGGGAGACTGGATCAAGCGGCCCGTGTGGCCCGCATCCAGGCGTTGCAGGATTTGTGTGAGCATGGACCTCACCGAGGCGGTCTCATCTTGAGGAGGCTCTCGACGGGCGATTTCTGTGGACGCATTTTGTTCATGTCGCTGAGCATTGACGGCCTCACGAACTTCGGCTCCACGAACACTGCTGTAGTGTCGCAATCGGTCCACTTGCTCACGAGCAAGGGCTGGAAGGGATTCTGATCGTCCGGGGGCTGGTGATTCGTGAAGAACATTCTCCCCTGGCGGGCTGAGTGATGACCGTGGCGCAGGCGAACTTTCAGCACTGGGAGATCGCGGTGTTTGAGAGGAACTTCGTCGCTCCAAGGGGACAGGAACAATTGATCGAGGCTCAGTCGGACGGGGTTGCAGCTGTGGCTCCCGTCGGAATCGCCCTATGTTCGCAGCTCCGGCGGTTTTCTGCTTTTGTGCGGCTTGCTTTCGATTGCGGTGCGCCGTCTGCTGGATGTGTGCATTGATTGCTCGCTGGTCAGAACGCGGTCTTTGCCCACTGGAAGACGAGTCGACGAACAGAAAACGGCTGCTCTGCTCGGAACCCGTCGAGGCTCTGCCCCCCTCCCGGTCGATTCGTCGATACTTCTTCGACGACCCGGCTCCCCTGCTTTCATCGTCTCGGTCTGGTGATCGGTCACCTGTGTCAGGGTTATGTAGGCCGCCGGGAGGAGCATGACTCGGCTCATTGCGTTTATCCATGCTCAAAGAGGTAAACGCGGGCGCAAGGTGAAGAGATAATGCACGGCGGAATCATGGAGGTCGGTACGAGGAGAGGGAGGCTCCGCAGGGAGGGTTCCATTCCTCGCACCTGTGGCCAGACTCTACAGAAGAGAAGCAGAGCGGCGACCCATCCTTTAGAGCCCGGTGTTCAAGCCCATTATTCCAATGGTTTGAACCTAGAGTTGAAGTCCGCTTGCAAACACTAGGCCGAACCTGGTTTGTGCCCTTCACCAACCAAGGTGTGCCAGTCACGACAGGCCAACGAATCAAAGCCAATTTTTTGGCACCCTGTGTCCCCTTTTGAGTTTCTCGTTGCGACTGCCCAAAACTGCCGTTGCCCGAAGCGATGTTAGGCCGTTTCACCATCCTCAGCATTATTGGTTGACGCCCACTTTACTGGCACTGTTCGTAAGCACCAAAGGCTTCGTGCAGCCTCTAGTCTGGTCTTGATAGACTAGTCCATAAAAGGTAGGCAGTGTTCCTGCTATGTGATTGGTCGAAAGCTCAGACTCTTTTGGGATAATGGTTACCATCCAATCAGCATACGAGGATGCCCCGTCGGGTCTGATTCTTGCAGGGTCATCGGGCACAAGAGAAACACCGGGTCATGCACCCATCTCGCCCTACTCCGTACAGGGACGAATGAGCAAGAGCCGGTGAGATGACGGGGACCGGGCTATCGAGATTTGTGTGTCTCTTCGGAGACACGATCTCGTTTCGTTCGTCTTGTGCCCCCATTGCCCATGATTACAAGAAGGTTGACTGCGCCATCGGCGCCTCCCAGAGTTCGCAGCAACCTTCTGCGCCGTTGTGAACGTCCTGGCTGTTGTGCCTCGAGGAGAATACGTGTTCCGGGTCAAAGATGAGTATTGTCTTCACTCAGACTGCTGCCACTCAATATGTTCCCAAATATCTTTTCGTGTCTGGCGACTGCCAACGTGGGACGGGTAAAAGTCGACATGTCATGAAAGAATGTAAGATCCGCACTCGACGTTTACGGAGGTCTCGCTGCTGAGATGTCGATTTTCGTTGATCAGTTCTGCGCAAACGCGAATCCATCCGTCGTCAGAAACAACTGGCTGCCCGATCGCGAAGCCGTGTCTTGCCCTGGCTACGCCGAGAAGATGTAGAACAAGTACCAACTTCAATAATAATATCCCCTGCGGTCGGTGACGGAGGACCGTCTGATACTTCGAGCGACTCCAGCTCGAGGCCGTCCTCCCCTCGACAGTCTCAACATACCGAGTCACACCCCTCGCCGTGCTTCACTCCGCCATGCTCTTCGCCGGAGAAAGTGGAGCGGAAAGAAGGCGGCGCTCTGGATTCTTCTTACAACCCGCAAGAGCTGCTCGACCACTGTAAGTCATATCTTGGGCCGTACCTTACAACAATCCGAGACGACTGACGTCGGCAGTACACCATTCTGTGATAAGTCGCCTCTACGAGACCGATCAGTCAAGTAACATCAACTCCCCAGCGACCGTCATGGTGAATCACGTCATACCTCGCACATTGCCGGCACGAATACTACTTGCAATTTCCAGTTTTCATCGTGACATCGAAGCGGGACACCCAAAACCGAGCTCCGGAACTCTCAGCCTGATCCTCGAAGGCATCGGCTCGCTGAAAGAGCACCTAAAAAGCCCCAGTGCCGTGTCTGACGACACCATCCTGGCTGTGATCAACCTGTGGGAGTACGAAGTTACGTTGTCGATGGGATCTGCGAGAAGTGGAGCAGACACCGGCTCGACCCAAGAGAACATACTGCCCAAGTCGGTAACAGAAAACATTCGGACGCACTTGACGGGCCTTCAACGATCCATCGAGTGCCATGGCGGTTTGCACAGTCTTTCACCAGAGACACTGTGGCTTTTTGCGTGGTGGGTAGCATCCGGCCATTCCCAGGAACCTCACTGACTGCTTCAGGTGCGTATGTACGCTCCCAGGATATTCCCCCATCGACGTCAGGATGATGTCCCCCAACGATGGTAGCAACATGGCCCTGCGAAAGGGGCCCGAATCTTCCTTCTGCCCTTCACGATTGTTTGAAACACTGTCAAAAGTCCACGTCCATACATCGTCGGGTCATTTTCGACCAAACGTCCTCCAAGAGACATCCTTTTCAGCCCTACGAACAGTGTTGCGGCGACTGAACGCGATGCGACGCGCCCTCCATGGACAAATGACGCCGATGAGCAGACTCCGCAAGTCGACTTCACTGGTATCAACGTTGCTTTTCATTTTCGATGTCTGTCTGGAAGCGACGGACTCAGTTCACGGAGGAGGCTCTCTCCGTACAGACCAATTGGCCACCGTCCAGAAGCGATTTGTTGACCACCGTATCGACCAAGAAGGCTCCCTGGAGAAGGTCTGGCAGGTTCTCATGACGCAGCAAGAGACCCCGCAGCTGCGACTCCATCCACGGACATGGTCAATTGTGGAAATGGTGAACGCGATCAAACACCTGAAAATTTCCACGATCGACGCCCTGTCGCGACTCTTGCTGGGGTATCTGCTTCCGGAGGTGTGTGACTATAATGAAGACGCCTTCAGATGCGACAAGGTTCTGCTGCAAGTGTATTTTGAGCTAGAAGGTCTAGCCGACCTCACCTGAACATTTATACCAGCATCCCATCGCCCTGTATTGATAGGATTAAGTACATACCCAGGTGGTCATGACATATTGGAGATACCACGGTGGCGGCATGATACCCACCACACTTGAACTTGAATATCAAATTTTCTTTTCAAAAAAGTTCCAAGTATTGTTCAGCAGCTGCTAGATCGTAGTCAGATTCAGTGTCAGGATCCTCCACTGGACCAGGACAGACTGAGCGAGGCTCGAAGATGTTGCGGTTCCGCGACTGGAAACTCCACCGTAAGTTAGTCAGCCATGTAGAGAGAAGCATGAGAACCAATGCGTACATGGTCGATCTCGTTCTCCCTCTATTATTATCATCAGTTGTCTGTCTAACTTGTACAAAACTGGGGCAAGCTCCTTTGCGCATCTCGCAAGTGGTACAAATCTTCATGATATGTTATCCTGACAAACACGAATTCGATCGACCGACAAGGTGCCCAGATCTCTGGGAGCCGACCTGCCCTTGAACGGTCGGCAGCAATCTAGTTTGTTTTGCGCGAAGCACCACAGTGTCAAGTCGTTGAGAACTGCCGAAATACCACGTTGAACGTTGGTGTGCTCGAAGACAAAGCCTCCGTACTCGAATGGACCCCGATAGCTGCTTGTCGAACGAAGAATGCCGCATGCATACTCTTGCTAGGATGGCCCCATTCAGCTGCCGACAACCTAAACTGCTGTACTGGACTTGATACAGAGACCACTACTGTGATTGGCAGCATACCGAAGCTATCCCAATCCTTCCCACAGCTAATATGTGTGCCAACACCACTCTCCCCTGTCTGATCTCCAGCTGAGGCGGGTTATTCGACCCCCAACTGTCCATATTCCCCACGAATTGACCCCGACATCCCCACAATGACAATTTGCCAAGTATCTTCGTCTCACCGGATATGGTCGTCGCGAATCGAACGTCGTCTGCTTGGATACAGGAGTGACGCTAAATATGCTGGTGTATAGGTGGCACGGTGGAATACCGCCTCGTCGATCGCGGCAGTTGAGCAGACACAATTGCCGTTCATCTCTTCGTCGTCGACAGATATATGATGCATTCTCTTCTGCGACGGGTATCTGGTGTACCAGCCCCTGTTACATCAGCCGTTGCTATCTCCAAGCAAAACGCACTATTGTTGCTGCTCTGCGCCTGAACACTCCCCTCCATCACCATGGCTGCAGAGGTCGTTAGTGCCCCGATGGATACGGAGAAGCAACTTCAAGAGACAGTGGTTCATCTTGAAGATGCGTTGGCCAATCTTAACATTGATCCCAAGGACGCTGATGAGGCGTTTGAATTTCTTCGCGACCACCCGAACGCCGACGGTGTCACCCAGGAAGCTTTGAGTATTCTGGCCGATGAACAAAAGCGGAAGAAGCTCCTGCGGAAGATTGACTGGGCCATTCTCCCTTGTATGATTGCCACTTACTTCCTCCAATTCTTAGACAAGACGACCATTGGGTATACGGCGGTCATGGGATTACGGGAAGATACCCATCTTAAGGGCCAGGAGTATTCGAATGTTGCCATGATCTTCGTGAGTCAAACCCGAGCATTCACGTTTGTGTTGGCCATTTGTGACAGTCTCACTCGAGTCCTTTTCGTCCGATCACTTCTGTGGGACTAAATCGATGACAGTACGTCGGTTATCTTGCTGCCGAATTTCCAACTCAGTATATCTCGCAACGGGTGTCGAGACTTGGAAAATATCTCGGTGTGAACATCATCCTCTGGGGAGCAGTCCTGGCAGCCCACGCAGCTTGTCAAAACTACGCGGGTCTGATGATCTGCCGCGCTCTCTTGGGAGTTTTCGAATCTTGTGTGACGCCAACTCTCGTGCTTGTGGTTGCCATGTGGTATAAGAAATCCGAACAAGGACGAAGAATCTCCTATGTCTACGTTTGTAACAGGTACGAATCGCCCTTCGCGTAATTCCCGCTGACTTGTCTGATGGGCTATCATAGCTTGACATCCATCTTTGCTGGTTTAGTCTCGTGGGGCGTGTCTTTCTCGAAGAATAAGAGTTTTGCGAGCTGGCGGATCTTCCTTCTGACGATTGGTCTTGTGACTGTCGTCGTTGGTGTCTTTGTCTTCTTCTATCTACCAGATTCTCCAGTCAAAGCGAGACGATTCTCTGATGCGGAGAAGGTAGCGACACTCCTGCGAGTCAAGGACAACCAGTCGGGGACACAGAATGCCAAGATCAAGACGTCTCAGCTACGTCTGGTCTTCAAAGATCCTGGCGTCTGGTTGATCGCAGTGAGCGTTCTGATGCTCAGTGTTCCGACGGCGATCCCGAACTTTTCCAGCATCTTGTTGACAACGTTTGGCTACAGCGCACAGCAAGCGGTGAGTAGCCGTGCTCTGTCAAGTTGGAATCTCTGTGATAAGAGAAGCCCTACTGACTACAACCAGCTGATCTTGAACATTCCTGGTGGCGTGGTCGGAGCAGTCTCAACCATTCTCACCGGGTACCTGAGCGATCGTTGGAACGATCGAAGCCTCGTTATGATCATCAGCATTCTGCCAACCATTGCAGCGTTTGCCATGATGATCGGACTTGACCCTGGTGGTGTTCCAAAGAGCAAAGGAGCATTACTGTTTGCACTTTACCTGTGCAACTCCTTTACAGCGGTAAGCGTTTATTATCTGCTCATTTACCAGATAGCTGAAAACCACATCAGGCTTTCATGCTCCTTCTCGTCTGGAATGCGTCGAACCTGGGAGGCCATACGAAGAAAGTCACCGTCAATGCTCTGACACTTGTCCTGTACTGCGCTGGAAATATCGCCGGCACTGAATCTTTCCGTGCGTCTGAAGCGCCTGGATATATCAGTGGGAAGGCGGCCATCATGTCGTAAGTGTCCCTAAAAGCGGGCGAGTATTGCTGGGTCTCCCGATACTCGAGTCTTGTTAGTACAGCTTGCCAATGCTGACATTCACCTAGCACCTTATCGTTCCAAGTGTTGGTGTGCTTGGCCCTTAGATTCCGAAATGACCGGCTCAATAAGAAGAATCGAGAGAAGCTTGCCCTTATGAGCGAAGATGAGAAGGATACACTGCGGCAACAATTGGCCTATGCCGACAAGACGGACAGAGAGAATCCATTCTTTCTTTACACACACTAGGGTTGTCTGTGCTGAACTAGCGACATTGGCACGGGGCCGGGCCTCATGAAATGATGCCGGTGTTGTCGCTTTGGAATTTCCGCACTGTCCAGGCAGATATCTCGCCTGCTATATATTAGCGAAGGCGCCAGACAAGGCTCGACGATGTTGAGACTCTTCTACAGTCACTGTTCTTTCTACGCCTTGGCGTGCTGTGTGCTGCTACGTTCGGTATGAAAGCCATAATGTACCAAGCGGTATTATGAGTTCCGGAAAATATACTTTCGCAGTCATAAGGTGCCTTTGCTTCGTGAAGCCTTACCAGTGGTATACAGTTGTAGCTTCATGGTGGTTTCCCATGTCGTCCTCCAGGCATTCTGGCCATTCTATTCATGACCCGGTACGGAGGGACTCGTCCGGACTGACTTGGGCGGAGCTCGACACCTCTGCCAGCGATCGGATCCAGAACCACCTACCTCTTACTTTCGCAGGATAGTCAATCACACTCTTCAGCCTGAGGACTGGCTCCCACCGGTGTTCGGATCGCCGAAGCTCCACGCGCGAATCACCCGGTTCGTCCATTCGAGATCTCGCTCTCGCTCTCGCTCTCGCGCCCATCTGAATCTCCGCGATGAGCAAAGCGTCTCGCTTCGTCTACCCCTGACTAGTATTCAAGAGTCAGGCCGGCCACGCCATAATACTCATGTACGCGTCCTCGTGGCCCGTACAGGCGCCCCAGCCAGATTCGGGGGGTCCGGACTCTCCATGGCGCCGGGGCCGGTCCGTGATCTGTACGGTAGGGCCAGGTGGTTTCCTTGCGAACACGCGCGGCCACATGCCTCGGAGGAGGATGAACGCGGCGCTCGAAGAGGAGTCATGCGAGATTCGACAGATTCACAATGTGGGCTTTTGGGTTGGGGGAAGAGCAAGAGAAGCATGGGGACGATAGATGACACCCTTCTATCGCCTGCCCTTTTGTGCCACCACCCGGCTTCATACTCATGCTGCATCAAGTGAGGTCCTGAGCCCTGAGTAGCCAAATTGACTTCCAAACAATCAACCCATTGAAGAGACAGTCGAATAACAAGCCATGAATGATTTCAGTGAGATGAGTGGATTCCTATGGAACATAGCATCTCCTCCTCCTTCCCGTGTTCTGCAAACTATCTCAGCATGCTTCATTGTATATCCATTCCTTTGAAATGTAGCAATCAAACCATCAATCAGACAAGTAAAGAAGCAAGAAGCATAGCATCAACGAGATGAGGTTAAAGTCCTTGAGCATCACGTACGACCTCTTCAACTAGAAAGACTCTTTCTAACCGACGTACATATGTCACTAGGTCGGAGTTTCATACCCAGCACTAGCCGTCCTCATAGGATTCTGATTCTGGCTCTGGTTCTATTTCTGATTCTGTTTCCCTCGCACGGCTTCCTCGTTCGTCCTCATCATTACCTACCCTGTCCTGACACATCACATCACATCACATGTATGCCTCATGCAGGTACCCAGGCACATGGCACAGGATGACAGGGCCAGGGAAGTTCCAGCGCTGGTGACCGGACATATCGGGCCATGTATAATGGCGAACCCCGTGTGCCCAACATTCCGCCCCGCTGTTGATTGAGTCACATCCTCGAACAGACTACATACCTGGTAAGTCATTATGGATGGATCTGTGGCAGCCATGCACGTGGCTGGATGCAGGCACTGTTGAGTCAGTCAGCCTTGGTTGCTTGCGTAGCCAGACTTCGTACATATGGCTCTATGCAGTGCATTGCATTGCATTATTTCTTCTAATCACATGTACCAAGTACCTCCAGTGTCGATCATGTATGTGTCATGCATATATAACGTGAAGTTACCTGGACACCCATTCTTCCTTCTATTAGTCTGTCTGTACACGGGATCGACTGAAGGAAGAAGTGCGCAGGATATACATACACGCATACATACATATTGTGGGCAAAAGGGAGATCGATTCCTTCCTTTCCCATCCATAGACCCTGGCTGTCTATACATACGTAATATGCCCAAACCAAAGTCGCATTTCCGTTCCCCTCGTACTATATAGCGCTCATCGTCGTCGTCGTCGTCGTCGTCGTCGTCAGCGGACATACACAACATAACACAACACCCTGGTCTGCCCCAAGGGAATGAGGATCTCTTTCCCGATCGATTGCGCCGTCGCCATGCAATACCATGCATGCAAGTAATAACACACCGAGTAATCGAAAACGAATCCGACACGCTGGACAAAAAGAAAACACACATCCCTAGAATTACTGCGTACATATGTGCGTGCGCGGAAGATACAACCAAAACATCCTTGCAACCATCCATCCATCCGTGCTCTATGAGTCACTCTGTCCCAAACTTGGCGCCAGCACACATGTCGAATCAATCAACAATACTGTTGGGCAGCTGGATCTCGTACTGCGTAGCCTTTCTTCCTGTGGTCGGTAGCGGATGTGTCGGAATGGTCCGAATTCAAATTTCCACCGGTGTGGAGTCCCCTTTTTGAGATAAACCCATTGGAAATCAAGCTCCACATGCATGGGCTCCTCAGCCTGGCCCAGATTTTTGGACCTTCCCGGATTTAACGGTGTTTTGTGTCGTATCCGGATGTGCCAGCAGCCCTCAGAGTTCTGTCTGTCCCACATGTGCGTGTCAGGCCCAAAGTAACTGACCCTGGTGTCTGGCTTGTCCATCGGAGTCAGTCGAGACAAGAGAAAGCCCGATTCAATCAAGAATCCTCTTTCGTCTCGCTCGCCTCGTGTTCTGGCTCGTGGTGCTGGTCTGCTTCTGGCTCACCCGTCTTCTCGTCAGCGACAGGTGAAGGCTCGGCATCGATGTGTGAAGACACTTCGGAACGTAGACTGCCAGTCATCGAACTTGAGCTGGGACTGGACGGAGCCTCCACGTCCACGGCCTCTTTCGCTTCGCCGTCCTGACTCTCCTCGTCTCGGGTCTGAGGGGCGTCGGTGGGAGCAAAGCGACTTCGTTGGCGAATCTGCGGGCCGTATTTGTAGAAGATGAAAGGGATGGGCGCGAGAAGGCAAGCGACACCCGCGATCAGCGATCCGCCGCCGCCGACCCCCAGTGAGCGGAACATTTGGTTCGTAAAGAGAGGGGCCGCGGCGCCACAGGCCGACCGGCAGATGGTGTTCGCGGCCATGGCACTGGCCGTGTACATCAGATAGGTATCCGTGAGGTAGTTGAGGTAGGCGACGAAGATGAGGAGGATCGACGTCGACAAGAACGTGCCCGCGAGAGTCGGCACGATCCAGTGGATGCTGTTGAAATTCGCGGTCCAGGCAAACCAGAACATGGTGACCGCGAACATGATGCCGCCGATCATGGCGACGGGCAGTCGGTCTTCCGGTTTGCGCGGGATCCCCGCCAGCATTCGCTCCTTGTCTCGTCGCGAGACGTAGAAAATAATGGAACCACCGATGCATGCACCGATGACGGTGCCGACCAGCGGCAGCTCGCCGACCCCAGAGTTCCAGCCTCGCTTCTCCTGGAAAACGATCGGGTAGATGGTGAAGAGCATGTAGAGCAGCAGATAAACGACCGAGATGTAGACGGCCACCAGCATCGAGATGGTGTCGAAGAGGATCTGCCACGGTCGGATCAAGGCGACTTTGAAGATATCGGTCAATCTTCGCCCTTCTGCTTCAGCCGGGGCCTGGAGCTCTTGATATTCAGGGATGCCCGTGGCCCTCAGTCGTCGGGCTTTGTTGATCAGAACCACAGGCGGGAATGTCTCGGGGATGGTGAACATCAGCAATTCCGTCACGCCTCCTAACCAGAGCAAAACGTAGAACGACCACCGCCAATCTTCCTTGAGCTCGAGGAACCCAGAAATCACAGGACCGATGGCAGGACCGATGAAAGTCATCATGCTAAAAATGGCCATGGCATTCCCACGTTCGACGGGTCCCCAGACGTCGGCCAGCACGCCGGGGGCATTGGTCAACGGGGCACTTGCAAACGTGCCGGTCAACAGACGCCCAATGAGCAGGGACGCAAAGTTCGGTGCAAAGGCGCAGAGAAAGTTGAAGACCACATAGAGCGTGAAGGTTCCGTAAAAGACATATCTCCGACCGTAGAATTCTGACAAGGGCGCAAAGATCAACGGCCCCGCCACGTATCCCAGCAGAAAGAGAGTGATAACGAGACCGGCGGCGACGTCGGAAACGTGGAACTCCTTAGCAATGCCACGCAGAGACCCCGACGGGCTGGAAGAAGCAAAGGTGGCGTTGCAGACCAGGACGACGCCCACGAGCGTACAGTACCACCGACGGCCTGTCGACCATTCTCGGGGGTTTTCGATGTCGCCGGGGGCAAAGTCGACCTGGCCGAACCGGTTCAGATACGGCTTCACGGAGGGGTCGATCTTTCGAGAGCGGTAGGGTTTGGCGACGGGTTTGGACAGAATCCTCTCTATCGTCTCCATGGCAGGTTAGTAGTAGTAGTGGTGGTGGTAGTAGTGGTGGTGATGGTATCGCCCAGGTTGGTGGAGGGATGGGCGTCAAAAGGGTATATATGGCGAGGAGCATGCCATGACGAAAGGATATTTAGGAGATAAAGAAAGGTTAGCTAGCCCCTTTGATAGCTAATATTTTTTCAGAGATCATGCCATGCAACCTCGTCCACTGATTGGAATGGATGTTCCGGTGTGGGTGCTCCCCGATCTCGGGTATACGGCACCCTTGGGCGCAGCCACTGCGTATTCACGTCCCCTTAACAACGGACAAAAGGCTTGATCGGCCTAGCACGTCATGATATTGTGTTTGTTGGGGCCTGGAAGCCCCTCTGGTGCCACTGTTGATTCGGAATGCCACAGAGGAGGGTGCAAGACTGGCCAGCACCATTGGCGGGCGGATGCTCCAGCGGCGAGAGTTTTGCATGGAATGGCTCTTTGCCATGTGTGTTGTGTCGGTAGATCGACTGTCGTCAGGAAAGGCGCATTACTAGCCAGCCAAGTGGCCCCGGGACAAAGCCCCCGTGGAGCCTTGATTTGTAAACTGCTTCAGAGATGCTGCTTTCGGACACAAGTACTCAGGTAGTGGAACGCACATGGGTATGTTACCACTCCATCTGGCTTCTCTTTCCCCTTTGCCACAGCTGTGGTACGGAGCACGGAGCATTCTTTTGCACTTCTCCTACAATTGGCATGTGTCTTTCAGAGCTTCTTCAGCCCCAGAGGGAGTTAGTTGTGTGGGTCAGATCGCAATTCGGGCCTTTTTTGGAGCCGAACATCGTTCAATCTGTGACTCAAGCCGTGGCTCGACAGCCCATCCAACAGCAGATGCACTTGTTGATTAGTCTACCATTTCCCACTTTGGTCTCGACCTTGTTCTTTCATGTCCGTAGCAAATTCAGCAAGAGGGCGTAACATACCGACTCGGCACGTGTCTGCCTAAGTCCAAGCAGGGATGGAACGTCTTCAGCCTTGTGTTGAGTATATGTTGCTTGATATAAACCTTTGGATCATCTGTCAGCACGTTCCTCTCGGGCCCACGGTCAGGCAACCTTTGCCGTGTATAGTACATAATTGTGCACAAGGTATGAACCTTACGGGGTTTATCTGGGGGCTTCTCCGGCCAATCTCCGGCCTATGCAGGGGTTTATCGTCTTCCCCCGATCTCTTGGGATCGTAGTATTCTTCCCGAAATATCTCTGTCGCGACCATGGATAACGCTCCTCGAATCCTCCTCTTTGGGGCCGGGAGCATTGGGGCCGTCTATTTGTATCAGTTCCAGCGGGCTGGCTGCCAGGTCACGGCGGTGTGCCGGTCCAACTATCAAGCAGTCAAGCAGAATGGGTTCACGATGCACAGCAAGCGCTTTGGCAATGTGTCGTTCCGACCCGACTTCGTGGTGAGAAGTGTCGCCGAGTGTCCAGAGGACGTCACCTATGACTTTGTCTTCATTGCGACCAAGTCCTTCCCTGGGTCGAAGCCGTCCTTGAGTGACTTGATTGAACCGGTCGTCCGTGGTCGACCTCAGACGGCCATTGTGCTCGCTCAGAATGGAATTGCCATCGAGGACGAAGTGGCCCAGGCATATCCGGACAATCCACTCCTCAGCTGTGCCGTCTACCTCCCGGCCACGCAGACGGAGCAGGGCATCATTGAGTATCCCGAGATGCTGAATCTCCTCGAGATCGGCACATTCCCCTCGACCGCCCCGGAATCCCACAAAGCAGCCGCGGCTAAGTTGGCCGAACTCACGATCGCGGGCGGAGGTCAAGCCGAAGTGCACGACGACATTCAAATTGCCCGTTGGGGCAAGATCATGCTGAACTGTGCGTGGAGTCCCACCTGCGCGCTCGCCATGTCCACGGATGCGGATTTCTGCCTCTCGTCGGCTCCCTATTCGTACGAGCTGGTGTGGTCGATCATGAAGGAAATCATCGCGCTGGCACAGAAGATGGGCGTCCCCAACGTGGACGAGAAGGTCGCCGAGCAGAAGTTGGCGATCGGCAAGCGACGCGCAGAGACGAGGCAGGGCAGGGAGACGAGCATGGTGCAGGACGTCAAGCAGGGCCGTCTGTTCGAAGTGGAGGCAATTGTGGGCAACACTGCTCGTCTCGGACGGCAATGGGGAGTCGCCATGCCTCTTACAGAGATGCTGTACGCGTTGGCCAAAGCGAGATTCGACGCGTTGGTACGGCAGCAGAATGGAGAAATGACCCAGTGACCCTCTGGCCAGCCACGGATTCAACACGTTGATACTTTTCTATAGACTTAGCCCAGTCGATCTCACCAAACGAGGATTATAGAACTGAAGCTCTCCCTGCAATCTATCGTTCACTTGAAAGGCACCTGTTCTTCTGCGGTGCGGCGGATGAAGTCTGCCGTCCTCTCCGTCATACTCAGGAATGGACTGTGCCCGCTGTCCACCGTTTCCTCCCGAATCCTCAGCGTGGAACCCCTCTGGGCCAACGCTTCATTCGCATCCGAGACCATCTTCCTCTGCAGATCGGCGGGGATGGCGTTGTCCTGCTCACAAATCAAATAGCTGGTGGGTATCTCCCACCACCCAGCCCCTTCCGCGGTCGGCGGCAGCATCTTACAGCGCCACGAGTGTGTCCTGATCATAGCAAGGCATCGCGCCGCTTCCTCGGCTGGCACACCGTTATAGAAGAGAGTCTCGGGACCCGGTGGTCCGACGTCCACCAGGTTTCCATCCGCAGAGACAATGTGGATTGGGTGAGGTTTGCCTCCCAGTGGTGCGAGAAGAGCCGTCTGCGGCGGATACAGGAACGAACACATCATGGCGATGGCCGTGAGTCGTGGACCGTTTTGGTTCTGGCCCACGAATGAATAGGCGGCGCTTTGGCCAGGGATGCCGCCGTATGAATGGGTAATGAGGACGACATCGTTGCCCGACGACAAGATGTCCCTGATGGCGGCAGATATGGCAGCGGCATCCGTGTCGGCGTCGGTGTTGGGCGGATCCTTGGGATCGACCGAGGGTAGCGCCACAGCTTCACAGTGATATTCATGTTCCTCGAGGGCCTTCATGAGTGCCTCGTAGTGGGCAGGCGAGTGCCACGCACCGGGGACGAACAAAAGCGTGGGTTTCGCCATTTCTCTCTGAGGACCGATAGCTGGAGGGGCTCTGAACCGTGTTGGTTACAAGGTGGCGAATGTACAGAGTTATATGCTGCTGTTATGAAGCTTTTGTCAGGCCCCCAAGGATTTCAGGCGACCCGTTCCTAAACATGCCACAGAGATCACCGTGTACACCCTCCGTCGATCTCGTGTCGCACGACCAACTCGCAAGTGTAGTGGCACGACCAGCACACTGAGCAGGCCATAGACTTGACCTCCAGGCCTCGTTCTCCAGCAAGTGCCACAAACAGTACACGCAGTTGGATGGTGCACTGCGTCTTCTCTTCTCCATAGGAGGACGCGATAAATTCCTATCCCTGTAGCATGGTAAGCATCATGACAACGAGAGCAGACTTTCACGAGTAGCTTCGACAAATCATTATGTCAGGAGGGAAGCTGGAGCCTATGAGCTCGCTCTCCCGCTCGTTAGAACAAGCCTGTATGATAATTACAGTATGTATATAGATGGGATCTCAGCTTCGTCAAAAGTTCCGAGGTTGATGCGCATCACGTGACGATGCTTTGGTAACCAATGACGTCAACAGCAGTGCGCCGAAAAGGGCATTGACAATTGAGATGGTTAATAGACAAAAAGGATCAGTGCCTTGGGCATCGAGGTATGAATTACAGAATATCAGGACAAGACGACACCAAGAGCACCGTGGACGAACCACTAAGAAACTTGATGATTGATGACTGATGATTGAAAAAGTGCACACTACGAGGGTAGAAAATTTTGCCCAGTGAGGACCGAGACCGGAGACGCAGCTTTGCATAGGCGAGGAACAGCGAAAAAATATGCTCCCCGCAACTCGCGCAAACTGCAGCTGCTTCAGACTTTTCCCCCTCCAAATCCGAAGCAATCCACAATTCAACTCCCACTTTTTTTCCCTCTTTGCTTCTCGCTCGCGGCATCATTCTTCCCTGCCACCATCTCGTCTCCGTCAAATCACCGACTCGCCATTTTGACTCATTATTCCCTTTTCCCCAGACCTATTTACATTTACTCCCCCCTCACCGCTCACCTTGTTCTCTGTCTCTTGCTACACTGATCTCTTACCCGAGTCCTGATATTTCATATCTTCTCTGTCAGCTCACACACTCTGTTCCTGTTCACCGCTCAAAATGTGTCCCTCCGCCGACGAGGTTGAGTCGAACGGTGTCAACGGACAGACTAACGGCGCCAATGGCCACTCAAATGGAGTGAATGGCAATGCCAGTATGGTCAAACCACTCTCTCAATCAAGATAGCTCTGACTGACAAGCTCCAGGCCACCCGGGTTACACGGGAATCAATACCAACCCAACCCCACGAAATGCCAGAAATCCTTACATGCCCGTGGGCGACTTCCTCAGCAACGTCGGCAGATTTAAGATTATCGAGAGCACACTGAGAGAAGGCGAGCAGTACGTTGCAAGATCCTGCCCCCTCGAGAAGCTGGAAGACGCTGACTCCCGTCCGCTGACAGGTTTGCGAATGCCTACTTTGACACCGCCAAGAAGATTGAAATTGCAAAGGCTCTGGATGAGTTCGGTGCAGACTATATCGAGCTGACCAGCCCGGCCGCCTCGGAGCAGTCTCGCAAGGACTGCGAGGCCATCTGCAAGCTGGGCTTGAAGTCCAAAATCCTCACCCACATTCGGTGCCACATGGACGATGCAAGAATAGCGGTCGAAACCGGTGTCGACGGCGTCGACGTCGTGATCGGCACATCCTCTTTCCTGAGAGAGCATTCTCACGGCAAGGACATGACCTATATCAAGAACACCGCCATCGAGGTGATCAACTTTGTCAAGTCCAAGGGCATCGAGATTCGATTTTCCAGCGAAGACTCCTTCCGATCTGATCTGGTCGATCTGCTGTCGCTCTATCAAGCCGTGGATAAGGTCGGTGTGAATCGGGTGGGTATCGCCGATACCGTCGGATGCGCTTCCCCCAGACAAGTTTATGACCTTGTTCGAACACTGCGCGGTGTAGTCAGCTGCGACATTGAGACCCATTTTCACAACGATACCGGCTGTGCTATCGCCAACGCCTACTGTGCGTTAGAAGCGGGCGCTACCCACATTGACACTTCAGTCCTCGGAATTGGCGAGCGGAATGGCATTACCACGCTTGGCGGGCTGATGGCTCGCATGATCACGGCCGACCGCGACTATGTCAAGAGCAAGTACAAGCTGGAGAAGATCAAGGACATCGAGGAGTTGGTTGCCGAAGCGGTCGCCGTCAACATCCCTTTTAACAACCCCATTACCGGTTTCTGTGCCTTCACTCACAAGGCCGGTATCCACGCCAAAGCCATCCTGGCGAACCCGAGCACATACGAAATCATTGATCCCTCAGATTTCGGTATCGGACGATACATCCATTTCGCTTCTCGCCTGACCGGATGGAACGCCATCAAGTCGAGAGCACAGCAGCTCAAGATTGAGATGACAGATGCGCAATACAAGGAGGTTACCGCAGCCATCAAGCGACTGGCTGACATCAGACCCATTGCCATTGATGACGCGGATTCGATCATCCACGCATATCATCGCAACGTCAAGCTGGGCAAGAAGAACCCCGGGAACGAGGTCGAACTGCCCAACATGACGGAGAAGGAAAAGCAACTGCTGGCAGAAAAGCAGCAAGAGGACCAATTAGTACCGGAAAAGAGGCGTTTGGAAGAGGCCGTTGACGACCAGATCGAGACGGAGCAGGCCGTTAAGAAGGCCCGGACGGGTGTCACGGCATAGACGGTCCCCTGCGTGCATTTTCCCCGGAGTTTAGGTTATGTGATGAAACGGCCTGAGATATTCCCCGTCATGAGGGCAGCACCTCTGCATTGGAGATCTGTCGGCCCAGCTGGATTTGAACATAGCACGACCTGAACGACAGCTGAGGAGCTCGACTTGGAAAACAAAAGCAAGAAAGACTAGGACCAAAAGGGCTCCATAGAGACATGCGTACGGCAATGCTACAGATTCTTTTGACTGATTATCAGGTCTGATCTCGTGTTTCCAACCCTGTGGGATACTTGATGGGAGTTTTTATACGAGATACGAGTCGCGTGACTTCGGGATATCAAATTGCCGAAAGCCGCTATACGAGGAACGAGCGCCGACGTTGAACCTGCGGAGAAAGACGTTGAAAATGCGCCGCGGCTGTCGTCACATTAATTGTTATTATTTCGTGATAGAAAAAGTGTCCAGCTCCCTCCCCTCTCGTCCTTCCACCATTCCTCGCCATCCATCCTTTCTATGTCTTGTCGATGACCCTGAGACTCGGTCCCATCATGGGCGGTTCCTCTCCTCTCCCCCTGAGCTTGCAGAGCAAGTTCCAGCGAGCTCGGGCGGGTCATTTGGCTCGCCTGAGGGACTACCAGGGGAATTTCAATATGTACGTCCTTCCTGCCCTCCGTCATGTATGTTGACGTCTGCCGGAGATGGCCCTCTACTGTTCGGTCAATTAACATAGCACCTCCCGCAGACTTCGTAATATAATCTTTATCTTCTTCGTCCTCCGAATCCTCCGGCGGTCCTTCTACTTCCTCCGCGGCTACGGGCTGCTCGGTTCCCTTGCTCTCCTCTACCACAGCACTCACAAAACCCTGTACAAAATCTTCCTGAACCTCCCTGGTGTACGGTCACAAGTCTCCAAGCAACTTGCTTCCGCACGCAAAGACATCGAAGATAAACTGGTCCCAACCGGTCCCGGCGTGAACCGGTACCTGCATCTCCCCAAGGAGCCATGGACCAAGGAGCAATTACACGGCGAGTTGGAGACCTTGGCGGCCATGAAACGCACGCGGTGGGAAGAAGGCAAGGTCTCTGGCGCCGTCTACCACGGCGAGCAAGAGCTGTTGGACATTCAGTTCGAGGCCATGCGGTTCTTTAGCGTGTCCAACCCCATCCACGCCGACGTGTTCCCCGCCGTCCGCAAGATGGAAGCCGAAATCGTGGCGATGGTGCTCGCCATGTTCAATGCCCCCGACACCGGCGCGGGAGTTACTACGTCGGGTGGCACGGAGTCGATCCTGATGGCCTGCCTCTCAGCCCGGCAGAAGGGCTACGCCGAAAGGGGCATCACGGAGCCGGAAATGATCATTCCCAACACCGCCCACGCGGCGTTCCACAAGGCAGCATCATACTTCAAGATCAAGCTACACGTTGTGCGCTGTCCGGCTCCAGAGTATATGGTCGACATATCCCGTGTGCGCCGCCTGATCAACCCCAACACAATCCTCCTCGTGGGCAGCGCCCCGAACTTCCCGCACGGGATCGTTGACAACATTCCTGCCCTCTCTAAACTTGCCGTGACCTACAAAATACCCTTGCACGTGGACTGCTGTCTGGGGTCCTTTCTCATGCCGCACCTCTCCAAAGCCGGGTTTCCTTCGCCCTTTGTGGAGGAAGGAGGATTCGATTTCCGTCTCCCGGGAGTGACATCCATCTCTGTGGACACGCACAAGTACGGCTTCGCGCCGAAAGGAAACTCGTGCGTTTTGTACAGAAACGGACAGCTCCGCGCATATCAATACTTTATCAGTCCCGACTGGTCCGGTGGGGTCTACGGGAGTCCCTCTATAGCCGGCTCGCGGCCGGGCGCGCTGATTGCCGGATGCTGGGTCAGTATGATGGCTGTGGGGGAGAAGGGGTATATTGACGCCACGAACAAAATCGTCATTGCGAAACAAACGGTTGAAAACGCCGTGAAGGAACATCCCGTCCTGAAATCCACCTTGGCGATACTGGGCAAACCCATGGTCAGTGTGGTGGCGTTTGAATCGATCGACCCGCAGATATCAGTCTATGACATTGCCGACGCGATGTCCAAACGCCAGTGGCATCTCAACTCGCTCCAGGATCCTCCGGGCGTCCACGTCGCCGTGACCTTGCCCATGACAAGGCCTGGGGTCATCGACGGACTGATTGATGATCTCGTCGCAGTGGTCAAGGAAGAGAAGGAAAAGATTGTGAGCCAACAGGCCACCACCAGTGGGATTGTCGGGGGTGCAGCGGTGAAGAAGGACAAGGCCAAAGGCACCAGTGCGCAATTATACGGCGTCGCAGGGAGTCTGCCGGACAAGAGCATCGTGGAGAAGCTCGTCGTGGCATATTTGGATACACTGTACAAGGCCTGACGAGATCATGTTGGTTACCTTGGAAGGATTGGGTGGATGTTCTTGTGCACGTCGTCCTATTGCCAGCATGGGATGGCAGGAGAGGTTGTAACACATCCTCACTCGGCCATTTTCCTCATAACTTTTTCATTGCTCTCCGGCTCTGTTTCTTCTCCAATCCTGACAAGATTCTTGAGCAAGCGAGCGAGCAATCAATCAACCATAGGCATTCAGCACAACACTGGGCAAGGTGATCCGTTGAGAAAACGTGCACCTTGTAGATAGCTCTCTGTGTATTTGGAAGACACCTCTTCGATTTCTGGGGTTATCATGAATTGGTTTAGACATGGTGGCGGACAGTGTCGGCCTCAAGGACGGCATCAAATACGGTGGATCAGTGAACGCGCGGCTGAGGTACTTACTCCTCCTGCGCATTCACCCCGCAACCACATTTCTCATTCTCTCCTGTAAGTGTCCTGCATACCAGACTCCTACATTCCACTAATGCCACTGACTAGAACATGGAGGGAGGGAGTCCTGCACCCAAATCCTCGCTCTGCAGCCTCCAGAACGCCTTGTCATCTCCTCAGACCTTTCTGGCAATGGCTTCCCAGGCCAGAAACGGACAACAGCCCCTCGATCGCCTTCGATCATCGGGAGCCTCCCTGACCAAATATACACATGACCGCAAGTTTTTGACCGTGAACCAGGTGGGTGGGTGGCTATCTATTCAAGCTATGCCTCGCTGCTCCCGGCCAAGGTCGGCGTCCCACTTACTTGGACGCCTGTGTCGAACATACGAGACACTCGACAGCCCCCCAAAAAGACAGCTAGGGCAATGGGATCAAGGCTTCTGAATGAGGGACGGCAACGCTCAGTCGGATTCTCTGGACAAGATAGAGGCTCCCACTCCTCTCTTTAGACGGCTAAGACCTACCTAGCGACGCAATCCGCCTCGTGCAGCCCGTCCAAAGCGAGTGTAGGCTGAAAGTGTGTCTGCTTGCGTGACTCTGTGGCCGCTCCAAATCGTTCAGACGAAAGCGTCGAAATTCGTGCAATCGTACGAAGCTGCCTCGCTATTCAGCTAGCCCACAGATGCTGCCCTTGTGTCCCTGCCGTCTCGAAAACTTTTCTGGACTTGTCAAAAGGGACACAGACAGGGCTTGACAACAAGGTCTTCCTCGTCGGCCTCATCAATACCTTCCACAGCTTACCGGGCTATCGTCACGCGAGACATCCCTCTGCACAGGCTAGGGACGCAGGCCGGCCATTGTGGCCCTGTCCAATTACCGCCTCCCCTAAGCGCTTCGAGTTCTAGTCGTCTTCCCTCAACGGGCAGTCCATCGAGGTCTTATCTGGCCGGGCAGCAGCCAAGAGGATGCGAAGGGTCGTTTCTCGCACTCTGGGGCGAACTAGTCCCATATATTGTGTGGTAGGTCCTGTCTCTGAGAAGCTTGTTGGTAGTTTTGTATATGGCCTCCTCACGCTATACAGCAGCCGAATTGGATACTCGACTGGGGTAAATAAGGTCAAACACGACCGGTCAACTGCGCCACGCAACAATCCTTGCTATTGGGCACACCCATGCTCGCATTTATGCAAGTCGAACAAAACCACCTCGCATTCCGCTCCCATGACTGGTCAACAGACGGACTGCGCCTGACTAGCGGAGACCTACTGACCGCAGCGACCGCGCCAACGTCCCCCCTCCCGTTTCTCCCCCACAGCTTAAATTTACCATGTCGATTCTGTCCTGCAAGGCTATCATCCTTCTGCTCACGTTCTAACCTTGTCGACGGAACAAGAGTTGACTTGATCAGAGTCGAGAAATCCGCCGTCCACAAGCAAACTCTATTTCTTCTGCGAGTACCGATACTGGCACGGAAAGGCACTGGCGCGCTCGTCTAAAGACACCCCATTCCCGCCCCATTTTGGATTACTGACTTGGGGTGCATGTTTTTGGCGAGATTCAGCATCAGGAGAGGACCCGTCACCTTGAAGACCGGTAATCGGCAGACTCGCGGCTCTAGATGGCGGTAGTTGCACGATCTCGACGGAGCGAGACGCGGTCGGGATCTAGATCGTCGTCGTCGGAGGTCCCGCAAGGTAGAAGCGAAGCCAGAGTCCACAAGCAGCGCAAGCTTCCCACCAAGCAATACCCCAGTGCAGCATGGAGCAGGATGGAAGATATCATCAAGCAGCTTTATTGCGAAGAGCGGGTGCCTGTGGCGGAGCTCATTCGCCGTTTACACGGCATGGGTTTTGAAGTCAAGTAGGTCAAATTCATGCCTTGTTAGCCTGCAGGATTCGATCTCTCCCTTCAGCCGCAAGCTCGCCTTGTGGCCATCTAGGGGAGTTGAGCTCCGTTCCCATTGGGCTACATAAACGGCTCCGGATCATGCCACTGTCTCTATTTGAGCCTCCTCGACAGCGGCACTTTTCTTTCTCATACGAAGGCTCGACAGCTGGGACGCTAACCCTCATATAACACAGTGAGCGTATGCTGCACACGCGTATCCGCAAATGGAAAATCGGCCGCAATCATAAATTCAGCGAAATGAAAATGGCCGCTTACCTTCTGGCGGAATATCTTGATCGTCAGCAGCAGCAATTGAACCTTTCAGCGACTGGACAACGCACCACAGTAAACAAGCGTGCTGGCATGCCGAGCTTTGACATCCGTGGCGAGCGTGTGGACTACAAGGAAGTGAAACGCTACTTCCGACGGAAGAAGATCCTAGATCCTGTGAGCTGGGTCAAGGGGGAGAAAGACGGGTTGGAGTTAAGCGAAGACGTCGTCATTGTTGAACATGCTGATCCTGTCTCTGTTGGTGAAGTTCGATCCTCCGAGGATGATGATGAAGACACATCTGACCAGGAGCACGAAGAGTTTCAGCTTTTGGGCGAACAGGGCGGGCAAGCTGCTCCCGAGCATGTCGCCGACGACTCCAACAATACTCATCAGACGTCAAATGTGCCCTACCTCGACGACGGGCACTTCACCTTGATACAAGGCTTGCCACACACCGATGTCAATGACTCTGTCTTTTCAGTGCCAGCTCTTTTTCGCCCACAACCATATTACGCCATTGAGCACCTCAACCGAAGCATGATGATATATATGAGTTCATACTTATCGTCCCCTGCCTCGAACGCCGACCTGGAACCGGTCGTCCACGCGCACACCGTTCACGCGATCTTCGCGTCCAAGATACAGGATGGAATCTCGCTGCTGGCCAACGTTTCTCCACAGGCCGCAAAGGCACGGCTACGAAGACCAGAAGTCAATGCGGCGAAGGCCTTTGCCAGTTTCGACAACGGGTTTGGACTGGTCCGCCGGATTCTTGAGAACAATAACCCGATGTCTCTTGCACTGATGCTCAGTATTGTGTGCGAACTGGCCGATCGCACCGTGACTGCCGGGATGATGACCCCGACCATCGGGGTCCTTCTGACGAAATTACTCACATTCGTACACGAGATGGCCGTGGAGGTTTGTGGACGAGGACACCCGTTGACCGTCTTCTTTGACATCCTGGTACGGGAGTACATGTCTCCAACAATTTTGTCTTCCTCTGGGTCTCTGCCTGTGATGGAACTCATCCTCACCTCTCTCAACCTCGCACTGGCCCAATTCGCCCTGTTGTCCACTCGACAGAGTGCTCAGGATTGGAAGCAGCTCTACGTGCGCGAACGCCTCTGCGACGCTCTCTACTACTGCGGCTCGCCCTACCTGGTTACGCGCGCGAACATGCGAAGACGGCTCCTTCACGACCAAGAAGCAACATACGGCCCCACGGCGAGGAATGTTTTATGGACCTTGACCAACGTGGCTGACGACTGTCTCGCAGATGGCGACGTCGATCGGGCGATTGGACACTTTCAGGACGCCCTCGACAGGGCCGAGACCTTGGTGGATGGCTACGGACGAGTGAAGTCTACTTTCGCCGCTCGCGAGGGGTTGGGGAGGTGCTGGCTGCGCAAAGCCCAGGACGCAGAAGCAGAGGCACTCTGGCAAGAGGAGCAGAGTCGAGGGCGAGTCTGTGCCGAGAGCGCCTTCGACCAGTTCCATTCCGCACGGGGTTCCAATCCACAAACAAGCCCAGGCTCTGCCTGCTGCTCATGCCATTTTCACCAGTCTACCCGGTCCCACCCTTCGTCTTCAGAGAGTAGTGCCGACAACACGAGGCCCTCAACCCCGGTCGGGTCTGGCTCGTCGGCCGCGAGCTCGAGCTCGCCGCCGCCGCCGCTGCAGGAGCCATGTCCAACAAGCACGAAAACTCATGGTGGTTCACATCAACACCGCAACTATCACAACCACAGTCGACACCACGAGGAGTCACCCGCCGCGCACAAGCGGAGAGAATACCTCACCAGGGCCTACCGCTACTTCGTCGCGGCCGAGGACGAGGCGCGCACGTATTTCGAGGCATCTTCCCGACGCACTACGCGGGTGAATCTGCGCCGGCAAGAAGTGGCCGAGCTGTTGGGAATCGTGGCCACGCCCGAGTCGAGCTCGGGGTCTGGGTCTGGGTCTGGATCTGGATCCGAGGACGAGGGCCGCGCGATGAGTGCCGACGTCAGTGCCGACAACGCCGCGAGATTACCCGCTTCGACGATGGCGACGGCGACAAATATCAATCTCGTGCTGGCGTCCTCTTCTTCAAACTTTGGCTTTGGCTTTGGCGCGTAAAGAAAGGGCCCATCCATCCATCCATCCATACACTCACTCAATCTTCCAGAAGGGATTGTGCGTATGAGGGAGGCTGTATGTATCGCTCGCTCACTCACTCACGTCTAACCTCCCTCCCTCTTCCGGACAAGTATCTATCTACTCACCGATATTGTCCCCCCCTTTTTTTTTGCAAGCTAGTTTAGTTGGTTGTGACAACCTATACCAGTTCAATTATACAAATATACCCAACCAGCCAGAGAGATGAAAAAAGTATAATGATGACGAGGTGAACGGTGTCGCATTGTTAGCATCACCGTTCGAGGGGGGTACTTGGTACTCATATATCTATCATCGACTACTCCTTCCCACTCACTACTCGTAGCTATTGTATCCATGGCCTCGGGAAACGAAGAAGGCAAGTCTGTTGATTGCTGAAGAGTTGACAAGATCTTTCTCATTACCATCCCATATCGTTTCGTGACGATAAAGGGACGCTTGATCTCAAACTACTATTACAATGGATATTCCCATTAGGCGTGTGCAATGCGAAGGTGTTTCATCCGGGTGGCAGCAGTGCAGTGAGCACATCTCGTCCCCCATGTGACCACTTATCCCCATCAAACCCTTCCTTCCGCTCGTGTCGTGCATGGCCCTCTAATGTGATATAAAAAAGACATCCGCGCATAGTCCCGATTTTCTAGAGAACCCCTCAAAATCCCTTTGTCTAGAGGGATAGAAACGTGGTAAATCTGCAGTAACCCGCTCGCTCCGTAAACGCCCGAGCTTCTTTTTTCAGCTTGATCTGAATCAATTTCGCCATGCTCTGAGATCCCATTCGGTAGTAAAGACATGGTTGGAAAAGGGGCAGAAATGTCAGGTTCAAAGAATAGAGTGAGGAGGTCAAAAAACGCCACAAGTCAAATGACACGACCAACCCCAAAGGCCGTTTACATAATGATTTGGGGCACTAGAAGTCTGATTAGCTTTTGTCCTCTCCAAAGCCATCGAGGACACATACCCTCGACATTAGCCTTAATGCTCTTGTGAGGCAAGACACTCCCACCGTTGACGTAGATTTCGTCACCAATGGAGACATCGTCACCGAGGACAGTGACGTTCTCCAGACGAGCCCAGCGGCCAACAGTTGATCTCCAGCCTAGACATACACCCCATTAGTTCATGAACTTTGGAGAATTCTGGTGACCAACGTACCAATAATGGTGGATTTGACCCAGGCATGGTCCTTCACCTTGCTGTCCTCCAACAGCACACACCGCTGCAGTCGGACACCGTCACCGACAACACAGCCTGGTCCGATCACGACGTTGGGGCCAATGCGGCAGTTCTTGCCAATCTTGGCTGTGGGGTCCACCAGGACGTTTCCACCGTACACATAGGGTTCGGAGTGAGGAGCCAGCTTCTTGGAGTTGCTTTTCGCCAGCGAAGACAGGTACAGGCAGGTACCGCTCAGGAAGTCCTTGGGCTGACCAACATCCATCCAGAAACCATCGAGGTCAAAGGAGTGCAGCTGGCCGTCCTTGCAGATGGCGGGGAAAGTCTCTTGTTCGATCGAGGTGGGACGCAGCTCGATTCTCTTAAGGATGGAGGGCTTGAAGATGTAGATACCAGCGTTGATGCGGTTACCCACGAACTCGACCGGCTTCTCGACGAATCGGTCGATGCGGGAAGGATGGTTGGGTTTGTGCACAATCACACCATATTTACTGGGCTCTTCAACCTTGGTGACGACAATGGTCCCCTCCTCTCCGTGGGAGTCGTGGAAAGCAGCCAGTTCCTTGAAAGGATAGTTGCAGATGACGTCTGAGTTCAGCACGAAGAAGTTGGAGTCGTCCTTGCCCAAGATCTTCTCGGCCAGCTTCAGCGGACCGGCCGTACCCAGGGGCTCGGATTCGACTGAGAATGTGATCTTGACATTGTACATATCCTCATACTTCTTCAGGGCACCCGTCATGACATCGGGTCTGTAGTTGACGGCCAGGACAATGTCGGTGACACCGGCGGCAGCGAGAGCCTCGACCTGGTGCTCGATCATAGGACGGTTGGCAAACTCAACCAGAGGTTTGGGGAGAGTGAGGGTCAAAGGACGCAGTCTGGTGCCGAAGCCACCAACGCTGGAAAGGACGGGGGTTAGTTGAGGTGCAAGAAAAGGGGGGCAGGTGGCACGGTCATACAGAATGAGCGCTGTTGGACGAGCAGTCAGTATTATTGAATAAAAGACGGGAGGGGTTCGGCTTACCCTTCATCTTGACTTAAAAAGTTGAATGTAGTCTTGAAGAACACTTGAGCAGTCGTCGACAACGAGCACAGGGAGTAGTGAACTGTCTGGCGGGGGATTGGTACAGGCCAAGAACGAATGAAACGTAGTTCAATGACTACTGTGAAGACGAGCAGGTGGTCTTGGAAGGTTGTGTTAAGAAAAGATGGACTGGTTCAAAGAGCAAAAGGGATCAGGAGAGACAAGCCCGGGTGAGGTGGTGTTATATGAATGGGCTTTGTGCGGCGTGCGTCAGTAGTTGTCACTCAGTAATTAATTGTGTCCAGAGCAAGAAAGCAGCCACTGTGTTCGATTATTTGGAGGCGCAGGGTTCGGTGGTCACTCCTTCCCATCGGTGGCACCCCGCCTAGGTCACTCCAGGCCTAGTGCCGGTGCCCTGGCCCTACCTAGGCGGGTTAGCTGGTGGTATTGGGCGAGCCTCAGCTTTGGGAGTGCCCAAGCCACCGCCGCGGAATGGTGTTAGTGAAGAGGTTAATTCAGCTCTGGGTGGCTCCAGGGTCGCTTCAACGCGCCGTGACTGTTACCAGTGTGACTTTCTCTAACAACCACCACTAATAAACTTTTTAGCACCGCGTGCGTGGGGAGGCTTTGTCCTCGTTAAAATTCTTTACTCCCTTTCCGTGTGCTTTATCGATAAGCGCGCCATCGCCAGGGGAGAGTCCATAGTGACTAACCATCGTCAATCTTAGCGGACCAGGCCCTCTCGTTATTACTGTACATATGTGCGCAAAATACCACCGCCCCTGAATAATCCACAAGGACCCCGTGCGCCTCTCCAGTGGCCAAGTGGTAGTAGTGCCCTGGCTCCTTATGAGATGGAAATCTCGAACCTGGGATCCAATTTCGCGGTCTCCTTGGGGTGGCCCCATCGTGTATCATGGGAACCTCCCTTCTTCCCCCTTTTTCTCTCCCACACCCCTTTTCGTTATATTAACTGGTTTCTTCTTTACAGGTACGGAAGTACATCCAGGAGCTAGGTACCTCGTGCGTGTACCGAGGACCTAGACTTTTTTTTCTCAGTCCACTCATCACGCAATAAACCTCACACGCCGGCTCAGAGGGTCGTGCGATTGGGTTATCCTGCTCTTTACTCGGAGATCGGACGCTTGACCGCTATTGCTACTGCGTGGCCTTTAACTCCCGAGAGGCGGTAATTGCATAGAACCCGGCTATGTTGGTCACGAGGCCATCAGTTAAATATCCATTATCCGTTTATCCAATACCCATCTCCTTTCTCTCTTTCTTTCTTCCCCCAACTGGAACATTTGTCCCGGCACAGCCACACCATCTCCATGGCTCTTTCTCTACTCCATGGCTCTTTCTCTCACTTCGTGTCTCGTCCCCGTCCTGTCCTACGTACGCGCGTTTTACCTCGTACACACCCCTCACCCTCCTTTTGTCTCAGCCAACCAGAAAATTTTTTCTTTTGTTGCCCTGCCTCTGCCAAATTTAGTGACAACTGACTTCTAACTTCTGACACTCGACACGACACGACATGACGCTGAGTTACCCTCCACGCACAATGTCACCATGTCTTGTTCCGAACGGCGTGATGCGATTTGTGAAGCGCTGGATGTCTCGCTTCTAGTTCCCTCAAGCTTACCACTCCCTACCCCGTACCACGTTGACCGTCAATTGAGGGAATTCTTTGGCGACTACCACTGTATTGAGACCGAGTACTTCCCGTATTCTTCAGGTCATCTCAGCTGACCGCCCTTACGGAGAACTATATTCTTCTGTCACTACTCAGGTGGTACTGTATTACGTTGGAAGAATGTTACGCCTCCCACGTATGCATCCATCTCGAATATCTCTTCGTCACCAGAATACTACTACTATTGAGTATGTACGCCGTGCCATGGTACCAGAAACCCATCCAATGCAGTCATGTCTCGTGACTATTACTACAATACAAGGAGAAGGACGAGGTGCACAACCCGCATCGTCCTCCCCTTGGCCATCTCAATCCTTCTGTGTTGCTGTTATTACATCCTCCAGGCTCAGGATTTCCGCCCCCAGAAAGATCGTCGCAGATCTCCAGGGTGAAAGGGAAATCTCCGTCTCGTAGATCCTCCCTCTTGAGTAGTGGGTTAGCTGCCAATCACGGGGTATCATCAGGTAAGAACGCATAGCCGTATCCGGCCTTATTCTTTCTCCCTTTCCTCCCTCCCGGCAGCGCCAATCCACCTCCCAAACCTCCCTCTCGCTCACCCACAAACTCCATCAGCCAATCCTTCACTTTCTTCACCTTAAGCACCTGCGGGTCCTTACCCACGTTGGCCGTCCGCAGGTTGCTCACCGAGTAGATGCCGCTTAAATCGTCGTCGTCCACTTTCTTGCGGAACAACAGATCGATCTTGGTGACGTCGCCCTTCAGGCTCTGCCCGTGCACTTTGCCCCGGAATGAGCTGAGCGCCACGTTCTGGAGCAACACCACGTCCCGAGGTTTCATGAACCGCAGAGTCCGACGTAAAATACTTCGGCTTCCTTCCGGATTCGCGTTGGCCCCGTCTTTCCAGTTCACTCGCATTTCCTTTGGTAGCCACATGGAAATGGGGAAGCCGGATTTTGTGTCGTCGCCCACTACCATCTCCACCAAGTCTACCTCCTTCGGTCGACCGTATTTCGCGCCTGTGATGACTGTCCTTGGCGGCGCGATGGAGACGATACCCACAATCAAGTTGACTGTCATTGTCTGTGGCGAAATGTTTTCCAAATACGCTGCGTTCGGAATGTCTTGTAACTCGCTCAACGTTTTCGGTCGTGGTGCCTGACTTAAACGCCTTTGTGAAGGTGTCCTAATGATCCCGCCGGGTGTACCGGTGGTTTGTTGTGACGAAAACATCTCCTTGTTCGATTCATAAGTTGGCGTGCCGGGGGTAATGGAATCGGAGAAGTGTGAGAGTTGCGAGGAAGGGATTGCTTCGTAAATAGAAAAAGAATGGTCATAGTACTCGGCTAGTGGACCGCCTTCGGAAGTATTGAACGCCCCCGTACTGTTCGATGCGGTGTCGGGGATGGAGGAAGAGCCCCCGGATAGCGAAGGTTGTGATTGAGCTTCACTGATGTCGCTGCTTGGGGTAGACACGCCGAGCAATTCCGAGAAGGAGAAGAATTCGGCGCCGCTACGGTCCATCTCATTGGGCTCGTTCTGCTGGCCGCTGTGGGATGGAAATGCACTGCCTGGCGTCGTCTGACGCGCGTCGATATTGAGTTTGGGCAAGACCGGTCGCATTTGGAGCTTCTGCGTGGTGATCTGTCGCCATTGCGCACCGAAGGCTTTGGACGAGGGGGATAACGGAGTCTGCGGAGCTGGTGAGTCTTTGTCGATTGTGAGAGACTCGACGTGGGCGGAATCCGGCAGAAGCGATTTCTCGCTCCAGTCGAGCTTCGCGGCCTCTGGAGCTCCCGCCAGGATGATCATCCGGCTGGTCATGAATCGAACGGGTTGTTAGAGAAGATAATTTCTTCGTGACCGGCGCCGACTCGGGAGGAAGCCTTAGGAATAATTGGGGGCCCGGAGATGTTGGTAACTCGGATCCCGGTTTCTTTTGGGCAGAGCGACTCGACCTTTCGACTCCTGATAAGAGTTCCCAGAGCCAAGACTGTCAAGAGCCAAGGTTAGACCGAACAGAGCCTCACGAACTCTCCCCGCAAAAAAAATCAAGGCCACACGCAGAACTCGATTCGAGACCTTGGGGTAGCAGAAAAAGGACTGAAATGAGGGAGTTGAATTGTGGAGGCGGATGTGGCGGGATGATCCAAGTAATTTGTAGTTTGCTGGTGCCTTGATGGCTTGGTCGCTTGTCGCTTGCTCACTGGACTGGCAACTTCTTAGGGTCTCTGAAATTGCCCCCTCGGTGAGCCCTGACGCTAGGGAAAAAAAACTTGGTCAGTTGGGATGAGGCCACGATCTCGCCCTGCAGCTATAGCTGGACGTGGCTGCTAGCATCCCACAAGCACCACCAGATTGCACTCTGCCCAGATCAATTGGCCCAGAAGTAGTTGTTGGTGGTGGGTGAGCACCGCCCGGATGATGAGGGCACCGACGGTCTAGTCTGTGGCGCGTGACTGGAGAGGAAGATGGGCAGCAGTGGGAGGGACAAATCAAGACGGACCCGTTGTTTTTCCGTGCTCTTCTTCTAGGAGGAGGGACAGCGAGAGGGAGAGCGCGAGAAAAAGAGTCGGTGACGAAGAGGCAAAAGGAAGACATGAAGATGGTTGATCGATACAATACGCAAGGGGGGTCAATGGCGTCGTGGGCTTGTACCATGCGCGGCGTGATTGGTGACGGCAGCATCGGAGGCAGCATGTTTGGTTGGGACGCCAAGTCAGATCCCCAACAAAGAAGAATCGCGGTTATTTGAATTTTTTGAGGCGTGGTGGGCGTGATGCCTGTTTCCCCAGAGTTAGATTTCATCCACTGGGGGGGCTAGTGAGGCCCAGCGGGTGACCACTGGCCAGCCGAGGCATCAGATTTAGGCCCCAGCTTTAGGGAGGGAGATACGAGATACGGCAGAAATGGGTGGGAAGCTGGGAACTGCAAGCTGCAAGCTGCAGGGCCGCCGGTGGTGTGGGGGAGTTCCGGGGTCACAAGTATATGGTACTTGTGCTTTGGCTATGAACACGGGTAAAGAGCAGGTACCCGATACTTGGAGGGGCCACCGTGTCTTTCCCCCTCCGGCACCTGCGTCAACTACCGGCAGCTCACCGTTCAAATCTAGGTATGTATAGCATTGGCCGTAAATCTTGTTGCCTCCAACTACCTAAGCACCTTCTCAAGTACCAGCAATCATCATCTCATCACAGCCCAGCCCCATGGCTACATGTCGATACAGTCTCTTTGATCTATCATTAATCCGTGTTGTCTCGGTATCCATGATAAGAGCCCCTCCTAAACTCCATGCTTTTTGGTCCAAGAAGATTCGAGGTACGCCTCGTCCTCGCATCCAATCTTCCACTCTTTCAGTCATCGAACTTGAAGCCCTTGCCGCCACTAATGTCAATGGCTCCTCCACGATAGCTGCCCCGCTTCTTCTTGTTCTTCTCCTTGGTGAATCCTTTGCCTCGGGTCACAGACAAATCCTTGTATGCTCGTTCAGCGTAGTCATAGCTTTGATAGGCGTTGCTGATATGAGAGTCCGCGGTTGCCTGCGCCGATAGTCGCGCCAGCGGCGTGGGTCTCGCACCCTCATGCGCCTTCTTGCCGGCCACTACTTGCTTGTTGCCTCTGTTCATGATTGCCTCAATTTCTCTTACAGATGACCCATTAGGCTCAATGACAACTCCGGTAACTGTTCCCGAGGACGATTCAGATACACCGTCAGCCGCATCATCTGGTGTTGCTTGCTCCTGGGACGTATCGGTGACCATTTCTTCGTCCTTCACCTGCTCTGCTGCGCTTGCTGAATCGTTGGCATCATCAGATTCCTCGTCTGAACTCGAAGAGACTTCACTCGAGGAGGCTTCGTCTGTCTCGTTGTTAGCATCAATCTTTGCTCGCTTTGCCGGCCGATCTTCGTCTGACGAGTCCGAGTCCGAGTCCGAAGAAGAGGATTCTGGTGAGCTGGATCGCGCCTTCCGCTTGAGTGTAGGGGCACTTTCAGCTCCTTTCGAGGTGACCGGAGACTTCTTTCGTGAAGTCTTGATTTTTGCTTTCGCACCAGTCTCTCGCTCGTCGTCGGCATCGCTGTCGGAAGACGCCGACGAAGAGCTTGAAGAAGACGAATCTCGCTTGTTGCCCTTGATCCTCTTGACTTTTGAGGTCAACTTGGTGTTTCCTTTCTCTTCATCATCTCCTGATTCGGACTCGGAATCCTGTGCAGATGTGTCCTCGCTGCTCGTGCTCGCGTCGCTTTCGTCACCGCTACTTGCGCTGCTGGACCCTGATGTCGCGCTCTCGCTCAGATCCGATAAGTCGTCGTCGGAAGAAGACTGGGCAGATTGTAGCTTTTCTTTCTTGTTCCAGTTCTCCACGATCTCTTGCAGGTTGGCTCCACCCTGCGAATCTCCAAGAGCGAGAACCTCCACCGACCGATTCATTCTTTTGAGCTCTTTCGTAAGAGCCTTGGCGGTCGAGTGGAAACCATGTTCCGCGAGGAACGAGGAAACCAAAGAGAGAACCTGGGAAGATGGTTTGGGATCGTCATGACTAGATTCGAGTGAAGTGACCTTCATCTTGAGCAAAGACGAGTGAAGTCAGGTAGAGATATTGCCGGTCGTCAGGCGACTGTGAAGAAAGCAAAGTGCTTAGCTCAGTGCCCACAGCCCGGCAGAGCCTGTATCATCAAGCAAAGAAGTCTAGGATGCGTGATACCATGTGTATAAAGGCAGGTATTGACGGTGAGATCAAGACGAGACGATCGCACTCGAACTGAAAAATAATTTTCTCCAACAGAAGTAGCGATGACCATATACGGAAGGTACGGCGAAGGGATGCGGAGAAATTCACTAGACGCCTCGACGCGTCTTGTCGGACATCACGCTCCCCCTATTCACCTTCTGTGACATGTTTTATCTTCTTCCTGCTATGTTGCAATCAAATTGGCATCGTTGTTGTAGATGTGACTCAAGGCCACAAATGTGGAGTCTGGGTCTTTCCGTTGCATTCCCTCCACGGAGGGAGGACCTTTGCCTTGTCAGCGTCGACCATACCACTCTGTTCTTTTGTATCCAGGCTCATCTGCGCTTCAAACGAATCTCCAAAGGGCTCTTCTGCCAGAAAATGAATGTCTGCTGCTCTCCCCAGTCTCTGATGGGTGGCTTGGTGTTCCAGCTGATGTCAAAGGCGTAGAGCAGCCTGGCCAATATGAGCCGCATTTCCGCCCATGCCAACTTCTGTCCGATGCACATGTGTCGTCCTACAAGAAATGGCTGAAAGACGGCCAGGTTATTCCCGGGACTTTGCCTTTCAAGGAAGCGCTCTGGAATGAATTTGTCAGGATCCGTGAAATTGGTTGCAGACCTGAACGCGGGATATTGATTAATGGCAACAAACGTCTGGACACACTGTTAGTAACGTTATGATCCGACAAACGCAGATACCTTACTCCACCAGGGACCCATTTCCCACATATCTCTTCCCTGCCAGTGGTCACAATGCGAGGAACCCCTATGACGCTGGGTGGGCCAAGTCGCATCCCTTCATTGATCACAGCCGTCAGATACTCCAGCTTCGTTGCAGCAGCAACGTCAATCTCCTTCTCGCAGTCAAAGGCTGATCTGATCTCCTGGCTGACCCGGGCCATCGCTTTAGGTGCTTCCAACAATCCAAACAGTATGGCCGCAACCGCTGAGCTGACTGTCTCGCTGCCAGCAAAGACAAAGACACTCATGTTTAGTTCGAGCTCTTCCGGTGTCACCCCCTCGGCCTTCTCCTGGTTATATCTGAGCACAGCGTTGACAAAGTCTGGCCTTTGCTCTTGAAGCTGGAGCCGCTGGCGGACCTTCTGCGCACTCAGTTCTCGGTGGTAGATCATCTTCTGGCGGACCTTGGTGGGCAGGGCGTACTTCAGAAACTTCTGCAAGGGGGCGTAATGGTTGATCGAGGCCACCAGCGCTATACCCTTTCCAAAGCGACAAGCGATGTCAACCCAAGGATGTGGCCTGCCCGTTGACGTGCTTCCAAAGGACTCACCAAACGACAAATCGCCCGAAATATCGAAGGTCACAAAGTTTAACCATGATACAATGTCGACGGTCGTAACGCCACCCTTGGATGCCATGGCCCTTAATCTCTGCACCATTAGATCGACATACTTTTCGATCAGCGTTGAATGTTCCTTAATTGCTTTGTCACTGAACGCGCCCATAAATGCTCTACGATATCGAGCATGGTGAAGCTCATCGTGTCCCATGATGCTGTAAGGCTCGCATGGTCGCGTCTTCCGAAACCACACTCCTCCCCGCTCAATCGGAACGTGGCCCGGTCGTGACGCATAGATGTCCTTCCACGCTTGGGCGTCGATGTATGACAACTCGTCTGGAGCTGTTCGGACCACAGGGCCATATTTGTTATGCAGTCGAAGGAGGTCCTGATGCAGGCAACCTCGTTGAAGCGCGATTACCCATGTCAGACGAGTCGCTCGCCATAAGATCGGGCCTGGGTAATGGCGCAATGGATGAAGAAAGATGTTGTAAAGAAGTCGACAAGCGACACCCTTCCCCTCCTCAGTGTTTCTTCAAATGCAACAAACGTAACAGCCAACTAACTTACCAGAATGGTCACACCAACTAGAAGCCCGATCGGTTTGCCGATATCGTCGAAGCCCGGCATTGCTATCATCGAGCACCTAACCTCGTTTTGGACGGAGATCGGACCCGATGTTGCCTTTTCAACAGAAACGTGACTGATGGATTCAGCTTCGACTGAAGTGCCCAAAGCCTCCTCGTCCTTGAGTGCAGCAACAAGCTAAAGGCTCCTCTCAGTAGGCGATACGCTCGGGTTCCTCAACCCACCTATCAGAATTTGTCGGAATGATATCAGCTTTCATTTGCAGCGGCACGTACCCCAACCCACGCAAGGATCAGGACGCTCCCTCGAACAAGATCCTGTTCCAGCCAAAAGCAATATTCGCCGCAGCCTGACTCCAACACAACCCGCGAACTGAAAGGAGTGTTGAATAGAAACGAGCACACTCTTTGGGTACCTTTGTGTGCAAGACCACCCTCTCAGAATGTAGGTACTCCAACCTCTTTAGCTGACTTGATTGAGGTTTGTCCACCCTGGATGGCAAGGCGGTGCTCGTTCGAAGCCAGGTCGTACAGCTGGGCTTTTGCCAGCTCTGGGCACCCCAGCTTAACACACCCTCCTGTGAGTCAAGCACCGAACTAAGCCAATCGCTCCCCACAATTCCAGCCTGGCAACTCGGTCTGTGCTCGATTTATACCGAGCACATTCGACCATTACCACTCATGTGTGGAGAAAATGATTGGAAGCATGTGTCATTCCCCCCCTTTGTCAGAGACGCATTTCGTCAATACCTGTTCGAATAAATGTCTTCCACTGTGAGGTGTTGTAAATGCTCACTGTCGGGGAGGTGGCACTGGGCGGCGTTTGTTATCTGATTTAATGTCGGGTGAGTTGACAGAGAGTGGAGGTTTCCGGCTATGAGTATACTGACGTCCTCCACGTGCTGCTGAAGAGACCAGACTTAGGTGTGAACACTGCGGGGAAAGGCAAATTGATCCGACTCTTGACTTGCTGGCACGCACACTCGCCATGTTCTGGAGTGGCTATGAGAGACGCAGGGTTGATGTCAAGCCCTAGAATCGCAACTGCCCTTCTCGAATTCGAAGCAAGGCTCTTCCTGAGAACAAGTTCACCCGTTCCGAGTGTCAAGCGCTGACTACATGAGTTACCATTCTCGAGATGAGGGTCCCGTTGTCTGGGTCTCACGTAATGTTCACACACTCGTGAGAACAAGTGACCATTAAATGAAATCATTATTATCATCGTCGTCATCATTATCATGATGGCAATACCCGCGTCTGATGCTATGGCCAATCCGCAGCCTAGAAGGTCCGCAGCCTAGAAGAAGAAGAATAATTCATGCGGCTCCATTGACTGGGTATGACACTTTTCACCTTTCCTTCAACCCGTTGATATCCAGGAAGCGCCTAGATGATCCCAGCCCGTCAATATCCTCGTTGTTTTCAATGTGGCGATGCACCTTCGACAAAAGATATATCTCGAAGATGTATCTAACGGGAACCGCCTGGAGGCAGGAGTGGTTGTTCGATAGACAATGGCGTTAGGGCACTGGAGATCTGCGACTGCACGCCAGACACTGACTTCTCATTCGCAGACTCAGTCTGAGGTTGTAGTCCGAAGTACTCCCTCGTACCGTTGGTCTGTGGTACTTCGAGATTCATCGTGCCTCTTGGCGATAGCGGGGCTGGCCCGATGCCAGGAATCACTTCCCTTTGTCTGTCGGTGGGTCAGTCACCTGGGTTCTACTCCATCCCTATATATATATATGGCCGAGGACAGGAAATTGGCTAGGACTGCTAGGGCAAGGGGAAACAAGCCATATGGATGGAAGGAAAGTGGCGTGTGGAACGAAACAGACTGAAAAGTGTGACATACTCGTGTGCACCCCAGCTGAGGGTTCGGCTCTCCCTGTCGAACCGTGGCCTGAACACACCCTGTTCGTGGTCTCCTGCCTTGACCCAAGGTCGGTCGCCTTGACGGGTACATTGCTCTTCGTTGATCCCAGCCGCTTTCTCGTGCAGACAGCTGTACAGCACCGTTGCTTGCAAGGCTTGGACGCGGTACCATGAGAACGGTAGGTCGGTGAGAGCCCAAACAATCGCCTTCATGGCAACAGTCATGACTGGGATGATGATTATGGCAAGGATCGACAGCGTCGACACTTTGCTGCTCCAGATAACGAACGCGTCGACTCCTGGGCTTGGCTTGCCGTCGGACCCGGTGACCTCGTTCGTAATGCCGTAGTTGTTCGTGGAGAACAACGTGGTGTCAGTGAGCGTGTTCATGGTGGCAATGTACGAGGCGAAGACCAGCCGTTCCAGGTCGCTGTGGAAGCTAGACGCGCCGGCATCAAACTTTTCGCCCAGCGAAGTATCCGTGGATACGAGTGCCGACGCCCCCAGGCGAGTGGCTAACGTCACGATCTTCGGCAGCGAGAGAAAGCGAGCCAAGACGTTTTGCAAGCCCACCGAGAGTTCCAACCCGGGAAGAGAAGTCGAATCGAGGGCTACAGCTGTACTCTGGAATCCATGGTATGACCAGACGTCGTTCTGCCAGCACGACAGCGCCGGTCGTCCGCCCTTGACGATGAAGCCGACATCGCTGCTGCCGTCAGGAACGGTCAGGTACCATGGGTCTGTGCCAGCCGTGATGCTCTCGCGCTGCACGGAGGACACCAGTGCCCCCCAAGTCCAATTGCTTGCAGGTCCTGTGGGAGAAGGGAGGCCCTGAAAGAAGTACCCCAGGGGCCTGGCGCTGTCATAGAACGAGACATTCTGCGTACCCTGACTGGGATCATTGAAGAGTAGGTATTCGTCCCGGATGATGTTGGAGTCGTCCACAGTTTCGGCCAACAACCAAGAATAGTCCGTTTGGCACGACCCTTGGACGCTCAGGACAAGGTCTGGATAATGTTGCAGGCCAAAGTCCAACCCCGTGATGTTGTACGTGTATCCTACACGTATGATGGCCTCACCATCACCGAGATCTTGGATCGTCTCGGGCGGATCGATGGAAACGTGTGTGTGACCCGTGGAGTTGGCGACCAAGACGCTCCCTGCCGCGCGAAATGCCGATGGCGCCTCGAGCGCATTGATCTGCACTCCATTCTTCTCATCCAGGGTGGTACTCAAGGCCGGGACGTAGATGGCGGTGGCCGCGACGGGTGCGGCATTGTCGATGATGATGTACGGGGCGACCTTGATGGGGATGGCATAGATGGCCACCACGAAGGCTCCTGCCAGCAACGTCCACCAAAACAGATGCACGCGTCGCCTGTCTTTGATCTTCCAGAAATAGGAGCCCGTCAATTTGCAGATGGCGGTCGGCGAGTCCTTTGAATTCCAAATGCCTGTGGCTATCACGCCACTGTTATGGCTGTGCTTCTCCTTGCCCAGGAAGAGCACGACGCCGACAAGAATCAGGATTACCCAGAAGTCGACTATAATCAGCTGCACCAGAAAGCTGTATGCCGAGTTGAGTTGGTTGGCGACATCGCTGGGGACCGCAATTGCGTCTCTCGGCCCGTGGATCGTGGGCATGGAAAAGCGCCGCCACAGATGGTAGGTCTGTCGACCCGGATCAAGACTGGAGAAAACCATAGCGGGGTTTGAAAGCAGCCCTTTCTTGCGGTCGAAAGATTGTGGCTGCTGCCGCCGAAGAGGAATGAGTGTCAGATAGAGCGTCCAAGGCTGGCTTCGGAAGTCAGCATTTTCCAATATTTAGGATTTTCAAGCAATCGATACAAGAGGGTGGATTTTGGCTTTGGGCTGGACTGAATGCAGGTATAGTTGCATTCGAGCCGGGAGTTGCGGCTACACCTGAGGCTGTTTCTGTCCCTCTCCAGTGGTTCTATGCACGGGACGGCAGAAGCCTTTACCCAAAGCAGAGCGAACGAAGGGTCTTCTGGGGGGCCAGAAAGGAGATACGGCCCCCTAAGCCAACGCCCTCGGGACTCGATGCATAGGTAGGGTGACTTGGTCTGTCCCAATCAGACAAACGAACAGCGACTACGAGCTCCGCTGCGACAACGTTTTCAGCATTATGTGGGCGGGTGCTGGATATCTGCTGGTATCTGGGAGGCGTTCTGGTCCTTGGCAAGCAGCCCGTTGACTGAGGATCGACAGCAACGGTCGCAGTTCGAGAAAGGCAGAGTTCTGGTTGGGCCGGAGCATGACAATACGAAGATGGGCTGGTCTGCCAGCGTGTCTTTGCAAGCCACCATCGTGGTGGGCTTTTGAGAGGATGGGAGCGAGAGCGACGAGGACAGCGACGGTTCCAGGCTCAAGCCCGACCCACCAGCAAAGCGAACTCGCTTGTCTAATTGGCGGGGACATGCCTTTGGAGTGGGGATCTATCAGGCAATGGCCGTGCGGCAGCCCAGTATCTATGGGGCCACATTGAGCTGCGTATTTACCTCCCATTGGCCACTTCGCAACTGCAAGAGAACAAGAGGTCGGCGAATTCGGGCACTGCCGTCTGTCCAGAAGCTTTGCGTGACGACGACCCCGGATTCCGGGGAGCCCATCAGCCTACCACTCGATGCAGGTGGTGCCAGGACCCCATGACAAAGCTGCCAGACGAGCCTCACTAGCCCTTAGAGGTCGACAACAGTCCGATAGCTGTTCCTATTTACGTCAAAAAACAGCCTAAAACTGCACGGCCTTTCCCAACTCGAACCCGCTTCTACGAGCGTGGACAACGGTGCGGACCACGGCCCCAGTCAGGCAGTGCGAAAGTCCCCTGCACGAGACTGTTTTGAGCAGCTTTTGGAGCCTCACCTCGACCCGGAAAGCACAACTCTTACCGAGTTCGCCGCGTACCCTTGCTCTCAATCATCAGGTTGGTGTGGTGCTGTCCTTGCGCTACTGATGTGAGTCCGACACCACGCACACCGCACCACTTTCCTCGCCGATGGCACCATTTGCACCGTTGCAGCCCCTGCCGCTACCGCAGAGGGGTATCGGACGAAGGAAAGCCCGGGAGAGGAGAGCAGCCGTCCATTCTGGGATTTGCCAGGATGAAAACGTGCTTCCCCGCCCAGCATCCATCGACGATCCTAGATGCTACGTAGTTGACGACGCCAGACGGACTTTCCAAGCAAGCTTGCTTCCGGTCTGTCGAGTCCGTGGAAAGATGTACATATAGGTAAGTTCCGCCCGTTTCTCTCGTGGATGTTGAAACGGTGAGGCTCTGCCGGTTATACGCTCGCTTGAACCGACGTCGCTGGGAAGAAAAAGAAAGTACCAGAGTAGGTTCGACAATCTTGCACATTCGCTCACGCAGTCTCCCCTCGCCGGTTCCTCGTTCTCCGGGCTTCTCCCCCGCGCGGCTCTCAGCCTCATCATGTCTTTGCAGCTCATCCTCACTTTGTCTGCCCTGGGAATTACCCCAATTGCTGCCCAGCACTTCCCGGCGTCCGTGCCTTCGCCCTCGTTTACGCGGTCGTCGTGGGCCTGGACTTGGTCGCCTTCTTCCAGCTACTACACTCCGCCGTCATGGTCTGGCGAGACCCCCACATGGACACCGACCGTTTATCCTTCGGAAACTTGGTCGACCGTCGCAACTTGGCCTGCTACATATACTCCCTCTGCTTCAGCCCCTAGCTGGCCAGAATACTCTAGCTCTTGGTCTCCCGTCAGTTATTCCTCACATGCCTGGTCTTCTGTGAGTTCGCCGTGGTCTTCATGGCCGACAACCATTTACTCTGCACACTCTTGGGCGTCTGGGACCCCCACGTGGGCCTCGTGGTCAGCGAGCAAATCCTGGTCCTCTAGCGCCTGGCCTTCCCCTTCTCCGACGCTTCCATCCTTGAATGATGCCCTCATAGCGGCAGGCGCAGCCAAATTTGCCGCGCTGATTGCATCCGACCCTGTCGTCTCGGCTGCCTACGCTGCCGGGGTGGCCACCGTCTTTGCTCCAACGGACCAATACATCGACAGCACGGTGAACACGACACGGCTGAGAAGGCGTGCGACTCTCACCCCGGCACAGCAACAGCAATTGCTGCTCCACGCCACTCAGAGCCAGAGCGAGATCAACGGCCTGCGCACTCCGCCAGGTGCCGTGGTGCCCACCAAGGACACCACGGCGAATCTCAAAGGTTCGACGCAAAAGGTCGTCTCGAAACCCAAGAACAGCACCAAGACGACAACGACGTCGAGCAAACGATCGCTCCCGACCCTTCTGGCAAGACAGGACAACTCCAGCACCGTGGACACGCTCGTGGATATTCAGTCAGGACTGGGGGACTCAGTAGGCATCTTGACCGCCGACATCCCCTTCAATGGCGGCTTCATTCACACAACGGACGGGTAAGTTGAAACACGAACTATACTGGTCCTCAAAAGGGGTTTACCAAGTTCCAAGTTCAAACGCTGACATTTGCCTTGACAAGCCTCTTCACCGTGCCAGTCAATCTCTCCACGACGGCCCAGACCACGGGCCAAACGACCTTCCTCTCGCTCGCCAGCGCCTCGAACCAGTCGTCGGTGCTGGACTCGACGCCGCTCATCACCGTCTTCATCCCCACCAACCAAGCCTTCGCGGCGGCAAACATCAACCCCTCGTCCAGCGGGCTCCCGTCCATCCTGGCAGGCCACGTCGTGCAGAATTTTGCGGGCTACTTACCCAGCCTCGGCAACGGCGCCACTTTCATCACCCAGTCCGGCACCACCGTCACCGTCACGATCCAGGGTGACGACTACTTCGTCAACAATGCCAAGATCGTCTCGTCGAATCTGATCCTGGAGAACGGCGTGGCCCATGTCATTGACACGGTATGTCTTTTCCCGTTCGCAGGCCCGTTATCTACTCTGTGTTCTGTGTTTGTGGCGCTCTGTTGCCAAGCGCGTTGTGACGGGCAAAACATGTCCTTGCTAACCTTCGCCGTGCACGGTGGTGGCGCGTCTCTAATAGGTCCTCACACCCCCTATCGCGCCGTACACGGGCGCCGGCACGTCCGTGCAACATGCCGGTGTGGCGAGGTCTCTCGTCCTCGCACTGGGCGTTGTGGTCGCTCTGGCCTTGACGTCGTGAAGCACATCTTATGCCAACCTCCTTGGGCCCGTGAAAAGGAAGTGAGAACTTGACGACGGAAAACACGCCTACAGGGGAAGCCAGTGGAACGTCCTGGAAGATGAGTCGGTGTGGTTACAAGATGATTTCCGTGCCGTAGGTATGTAGGTAGCAAAAGAGAGAGAGAGAGAGAGAGAGAGAGAGAGAGAGAGAGGCAAGGAGGCAGTTATCGGTTATCCTTCAGTCTTTCGCTACCCACTTACCCGACGGACTACAACTGACCTTGGTTGCTTGCGCAATGCATATTGCCACAGGGTTGTATTGCTTGCTTGCTTGATGGACTCAATAAAAGATAATGAGGATATGAGGAAATGAGGGAGTGAATAATTAATGTCACGCTTATGGCGGAATGGAAGGGAATTTTCATGCCCACTCGGAAGCGCAGAGAATCCTGAAGCTCAATGAAAGTATTTTTCCTCTCGAGAACTAGTCTTTCAGGTCCATCACATCGCGTGGTGGCTTTCATGACAATCGATATGATCGAACAGGAGAATTCTGGACGCTGTCGATGTTGCGGTTCCCGTCGGAAGTTATATCCTTTCCCGCCGTCACATCAAAACGTCTCATCCTCGATATTCATAGCTCTGCGGACCATACTCGGGCTGGTCGGCTCTCCGCTGACGTCCATTTCAAACCCCTGGGTGTCTAACTCTTGGGTGAAATCGATCTCTTCCTCGCCGTAATCGATCCCAGCGTTGGTGAGAATGTCCTCGACTATCCGCTTTGACGCTTCCTTGGCTGGAGTTTTCAGCAGACGATTTTGAGGGATGTGGAATTGCATGGTCTTTGGCGGAGATTGGTCGAAGAGCACGTCGTCATCAAGGTCGTCGTCGTCACTGTCCCAGATCCCCGGCGTACGGGCTGGAGCCTTTAATGGTTGAGATTTTGACCGTGCCCGTGATGGTGTTAGAACGCTGACGCCGGGAATGGGTCTCCTGCGTTCAGGTGAGGAGAAGATCTCCGGGTGGAGCTCAGGAGGAGGCGCTTCCGGGCTCGATGATAACGATGACTCGTTGAGTGTCGCCGATCGAGCACGTTTCGCGGTGGACGGCGTAGCACGAGTTGTTGATTGCAGACTTGTGTAACGCTGACTTGTGAGCGGTGTTGCTTGAACACGGTAATTTCTGTCCAGCATACGGTGAAGGAGAGGATCTGTTCTTTTGCGGGCGGTGGATGGGCGCGGGATCGAAGTCGGCCGAGGAGGTAGAAACGGCGAGGATTCTGGTGTTCCAACGGTAATACTGTCCATGGCAAAAACTGGTCGGCCACCAGGAGTTTCAGGCATGGTCGGTTGGTTGAGTGACGTGGTGTCGACAACTGTACTGTGGACTTCTTGTCGCAAGGCCTCGTACGGCGATGGGTAGTCCGCAAAGGTGGCATTGCCTTGCTTCTGAAACTTCTGCGTGAGGTTGGGCCGTGGAGTGCTGCTCTTGGAGGGCGACATGGTCATGTTTGAGAAATCAAGGTCCTGGATTGAGTCTGTTGAGATGTGCTGGGCCGAAGGAGTCTCGTAAGACTGCGATGTCTCCAAGGTGCTGTGTGTCATGGTGTTGGTGTCTTCGCTAACTGTGGTCTCTGTATTTTCCAAATGCGAATGCTGCTCTTCGTAGCCTGACAGGGACACATTGGCGCTCGATTCGAAGAATTGCTTCCAGAACTGTGTGCAGTCTCAGCATTGCCTCCATGAATATGTGCAGGTGTCCCACTCTTGACCCTTCCCAGACCTCCTTTGAATGTGTGGCATATTGCTCAACGATGGGTAGGATGCTCGATGTCACTATACGGTGTGCTCGACTGAAGTTGTGGTCGATTTCTGTGGTACAGTTTGAGTCAATGGATATGCGTGGACATGCGTGGATGAACAAACCTTGCAGAGTCAATGTGATGGACTGTTCGAGTTTTTCAAGTTCTTCAGTCAGTGTCAGGGCTCTTGGCTGAGTAGCAGAGCTTGCATGAGACATAGTGTGATGATGATTGATGTTGAGGAGGCGTGCTGTGCATGGTAGGTATCGAGGTATGTAATCTGTACAAAATAAGTCGCGTGTGTGGGCGACAAGGACGCGCCGAGGCTGCAGTGGCTGCCACCAAAGTCCCACCAACGGTCGATGCGGGGCATTGCTGGGCACCCGATCAATGCATTGCTGCTGCCTCCGTCACCCTCATCTTCCTCTCCTCCTGGGTGCAAGTCTCAGTCTCCAAAAATGGCGTGGGTGGCGCAGCCCAGTTCCCTCTTCCTCCCTCTCTCCTCTCTCGGAACTGCCTCCTCTATTTGCCTCGCATGATCCTTGATGCTGGTACCATCAGGCTGACAGGATTCAAGGCCTCCGTGGGTTGTCTTTAACCACGGCCTCATCCCGCCTGTGACCTGCCTCTCTCTCTTCCATTGCAAAATCTCTATTCAGAGACACAACCACCAGGGCTATTTAAAATGCCAGCTCCGCTCGCCAGAGGTAAGTGCTCTCGTGCCTCCTTGCATGCCACCGCCCTCTCTTTACATCACCCCCCCTCCCCCCATGGCTCATACCACTGCCTTGTTGGAGAAGAAAAGGCTTCTCTCAAACGCTCTCTCCTGTCCTCTGCTGACGAGCGACGCTAATCCACCATGCCTCCCATAGGCATCATCATTACCGTCACCGTTCTGGTGGCGGCCAGTATAGCCGCATATGAAAACCCTCAAGTACGAGCATGGATAGACCGGACAAGGCACAAGATTGCCATGGGTCTACATTCCCTCGGCGACGAGATTGGCCCGAGACCCCGTCCCCGACGCACATCGACAGACGTCTCCATGCACGAGGAGAAGGGCGAGTTGGCGGAAGAACGTCGACGCCAGGCGATCGCGGAGATCATGGAGCGAGGGCGAATAATGGAGGAGAGAAGGAAGAGAAGAAGGCTATCTGAGCAAGAGAAGGAAACCCCATCAAGCCCGACTTTTGATACCCTCGTCGACAAGGACGGAGTTTTGCTGCAGCCGGCACAAGATCACCACTCACTTCCAGCAGCACTCTCTTCTGGTGTTGACCCTACTGCTCAGTCCGCTACGCTACGGCAGAGGCCTTCCCATTCACATGGAGAACAGCCCTCATCCTCTTTACACCAGCCAATAGACGCACCCGTCTCCACGAGGCAGCTCGATGAAACTCAGCCCAACCCATTCGAGTCAAGATACGAGCGGGAGATGCGTGAAGCATGGAATCTGCCTTTGGCTGAGCGACCGTTCCAAAATATGTCCAGCCATGCTTCAGAGAGCCTGATCGAGCTTACTCCGACGACAGAAGGCGTCCCTGATCCAGACTTTTCCGTTCCGTCAGCCGACTATCTTCACCGTCCACTGGAACGATCAGAATATTTTTCAGCCACGGCTTCAGATTCGACACACACTCTGTCCGAGCATGCGTCGCAAGCATCACTTCCTATCCAGAGCACATATCTAGACGCGCCTCGAAACGCTGTCGTTCATGGGTCTCCTCTCAATGCAACACCCCCAGCTTCCTTGACGCCCAGCATTGCTGGCAGTGTAAGCAACATTCACGCCAGTGAGGCGGAAGATAGTTCCGACGATATCCTCAGCGACTTTGCAGATGGGATACGCACTCCCTCAAGTGCTTGGACTGACGTCGACAGCACAGTTAGCGGGGATTTTCATTTGTAAATATACGCCCATCACGAGGGCCGTAGAAGGGGTTCGATGGAGAACCGTGGCTCCAGATTTTGGTTGTTGCCCGTCGATATGAGAACCTCAGTGTTGCCTCCCAGTGAACGTTGTTTTAAGAGATGCATAATGCATGGTACCCACGAACTTGGACCCCTTTTTCTAACATCATCTTTAGTACATTCCATCTTTGAACGTTAGTTCGTGTCGGCACGGCTTTCATTCTGGTTCAGATCGCGACAACAGCTCTTCCTTCTTTAGTGGGCCAGGAACTGCAAGCTGCCACCATGCAGATTCTACCGCATCTGTCCCTCCCGGGCAAGATGGCCCTGGAAATCACTCTCATGCCAGACAACTGTGCGGAAGCTGGCACGGTGGACGGTGGACGCAACTGCCTCTTGTCTTCTCTGTCTTCTTTGGTCTTGCTCCCGTTGTCATTGTCTTAATGGCCTGCCCGCTCATGGCTCGACTTTATCCAGGCTCCGACTCATAGTACTTTACTGGCGACGGCCTCCACTTCACCGTTTCAGTATCTACATGAAATGAATATCATTCACTGGTTCAAAGGCCCATCACTTGTCTCTCCTTGCACCAGTTAAGCAACTTCTCTTTGACGCGCCGAGGTTGCTTTGCAGCTGTCACCGCACACTCCGAATCCCACAAGTCCATCGCTCACCTGCCTCGACCTGTGTTTCCGTCACTTGAAACCCTGAAGCTTCCGACAGCCTTGATATCCAGACGTGCTGCTCACGGGGAGCAGGCTCCTCGGCTCATCGCACAACAGCAACGAAACAATACCACGCCGCCTTCCGCTATCTGCTGTTTTGGCTAGTGCGTCGCAGGCGCAAGCAATATGGCTGAGCACCAACCCCTCGGTGGGCCTTGGGCGATATCCGATGTGAGAGAGTTTGGACCATACCGCAGTGTCTTGTTGCTGATGGTGTAGATCGTTTCTCTTGCGCTCATTGGACCTATCATTGTTGCAGCCTTTCTCGAATCGTTTCTGTGGGTGGCAGCTTTTTGTTATTGCCTTGCAAAGGCATACATGAAAGCAGATCACTGGTCACAAAAGGTGCTGGCTGTGCTTCTAATGGTGGCGTTTGCTCTCCTTCGGCAAGTCAGCTGCTGTTGTCCTCCAGAGCACATTATGCTAACGGCGATGCGCAGGGGTATATTCTTGCCGGTCATGATTGCGACGCTGCCTCTACCACGGCATCTCACACAGTATTTCCCTCTTCTCATGACATCCATCCTCCAGGAGTTCGCATTCTACTCTTTTGCTGCGATGCTCGTGATCCCTTGGCTCTTCTGCGTCTACCGACTGGTTGTGGTACCTCTTGGACGGCAGAAGCGGGTTAAGTATACCCTCAACGAGCTGACCGCTCCGAAAGTGGTTGTGGTGATGCCAGTCTACAAGGAGCCGCCGGACTCCCTGTGGACAGCTCTGAATTCGGTAGTCAGCTGCGACTACCCGGCTTCTTGTATCCACGTGTTTGTCTCCTTTGATGGTGATGATATTGATGAGCTTTACCTCAAGACGATCGATCGCCTGGGCATACCCGTGACAATGAAGGACTTTCCAAAGTCGATCGATGTGGCGTACAACGGAGCACGAGTGACCGTGTCGAGGTTTCCACATGGGGGCAAGCGACATTGCCAAAAGGCTACGTTTCTGCTCATCGACAAGATCTACAAACGGTACCTCCAAGAGAAAGACGACCTCTTCATCCTGTTTATCGACTCCGATTGCATCCTAGATCCCGTGTGTATCCAGAACTTTATGTACGACATGGAACTGAGGCCTGGCAGCAAACACAATATGCTGGCGATGACTGGTATTATCACATCTTCCACGAAGAAGCACTCCTTCATCACCCTGCTGCAGGACATGGAGTACGTCCACGGCCAGTTGTTTGAAAGATCTGTTGAATCAGGCTGTGGAGCCGTCACATGCCTCCCGGGGGCATTGACTCTACTTCGATTTTCGGCTTTTCGAAACATGGCACGATTCTACTTCTCGGACAAAGCGGAGGAATGCGAGGATCTCTTCGATTACGCCAAAACACATCTCGGCGAAGACCGATGGCTAACGCATTTGTTCATGCTGGGTGCCAAACAACGGTACCAGATTCAACTGAGTACTAGTGCCTTTTGCAAGACCGAAGCGGTGCAAACATTTCGGTCTCTCCTCAAGCAACGGCGTCGGTGGTTTCTAGGGTTCATCACTAACGAAGTTTGCATGTTGACGGATGGCCGCCTGTGGAGAAAGTATCCCATGCTCTGCTTTCTTCGATTTACCACTATCAGCATTCGGACGACGGCACTTCTCCTCTTGATTACCATTATCGCGATATCGAGCACTTCGACTCAAGTGGATTCGTTGCCCTGGGAGTTCATGTGCATCTCCTGCGGCTTGAACTGGTTGCTCATGTTTTACTTTGCGATCAGGCTTCACCGCTGGAAGGCCGCTCTATATCCGATGATGTTTATGCTCAACCCCTTCTTGAACTGGGTCTACATGGTGTATGGCGTCTTCACCGCTGGACAGAGAACATGGGGTGGGCCGAGGGCAGATGCGGGAGCAGCAGATGCCAAGGTGACACCACAGCAGGCCATTGAACATGCCATTGCCACAGGAGACGACTTGAATATTGTTCCAGAAACCTTCAAGCCTGCCATCGAATTCCGTCGGCGCCGTACGCGACCATCAGCACTCCAACCGTCGTCCAGTGTCGAGGGTCGGTTTTTCTCCGCGGAACAAGAACCAAGCCAGTTGCCGGACAACGAGATGGCCTCGCCCACCCCATCGTGCATCAATCTTAACACACAGCAACATCGATATGAGCACGAATCTCTGGACATGAGCGATTCAGATAGTCTGTCCGTACACACGCCCAAATGGATCAACAACTTCAGCGAAGACGAGGAGAAAGGGAGCCGTCAAAGTCGAGCAACTGACATGGAGCCAAGACCGACAAGTATGGTCACAGACCCCCAGAGTTGCATGAGAGAAGGTCACCGAGCAACACGAAACACTGTGGCGGTTGTCCCACCCATGCAGGGTCCTAGAGATTTGTACACAGTTGCAGATCTCCGAGATATCCGGCAAGGAACGACAAGAAACCACCACATTGACAACCGAAGTCCCTTGGGACGAAACAGTCCATTGACAGCGGTCCCTACGGAGGAAGACTTCCCTGCACTAGACGCAGAAGAGGGTCAGGACATGGAGGATAGCAGGAAGGCCAAGAGAAGACCCTCGAAAACGCAGCGGTTGCGGAAGAGAAGTCCGAGTCCAGGCAGGATGGTGTAATCCACCGCACAGGCGCCGAAGGAATGGGAAAAAGACAGAATGTTATTATCACATCACTATCACTAAATCAGGATGGAGGACGTTGGTATATAGCCTTATAGGTAGACATGCCCAACTCTGTTATTGTTCACCCGCGCCCCACACCACACGACAAGCATCCTCTTGTTTTTCTTTACCCACCTCACGCCACTGATGGAGGAACAGGCCTGACTAACGTCTGGGTCTCTTCTTTCCGTCGATCTATGTCGGTGTTGTATTGCCCTGTGGGTGAAGTCATGGTAGACCAGCAATTGCTGCCCAGCGGGTGTCGTGTCTGAGGATGATTTGAAGGGGCCGGGTTGGTTGGGAGACAAGGATAAGGCATCGCCGTCGAACAGCCTGATGAGGTGCTGGTGGTTCTGTTGGTGGATGCAGTAGTTGGTGGTGGGCCGTGGCAGCCATACTTGGTAGTGGCTGTCTGCTGTCTGTGGGCAGCGGGTGGGTGGAGAGTGACGTCCAGGGCTTGGCAGCCAAAAAGACGACGATCGAACCTGCGCGAAGCTACTGGCTCGCCCGTTGGCTGGAGGCTGGAGGCTTGTGGGTGGCTGTTGGCCCTGCGAAAGGTCCCTGGGCGTGAAATTTTTGGTCTGATTTGGATCTCTCCTTCAAGTCATTGCTGTTGCCGTCTTCTGCCTGCGCCGAACCCTTTTGTGTGAAAAGACTTAGACTCATCACCACCCTTTCTCTTTGCTCAGACCACACCCGTTTCTTTATTTTATTCTCTCTTCCTCCTTCACAAAAATCCCTACCATACCAACCGCAACATCACAACAACCCCGCGAGCTAGCCCTTTTTACTTTCTTTTTTTGTTTCTTGACTTGGAACGCCATTGACAATGAGCGTCATCGGCGTTGACTTTGGTGCCCAGAGCACCAAGATTGGTGTCGCGCGCAACAAGGGCATCGACATTGTAAGTCTTGCTTTCCCGCCAGAGAAACCGGTCTCGATTCCAAACCGATACTGACCCATGGTCCAGATCACAAATGAGACGTCGAACCGATCTACACCGTAAGTGTACCCCACGCCAGAAAGTGCAGCCTTATTGTGGACATATTGTGCAGAGAGACTGACATACGCCGATTTTTTCTTCCAGGTCCTTGGTTGGCTTTGGTCCGAAAAGCCGATACCTAGGTGAAGCCGCAAAGACCCAGGAGATTTCGAACCTCAAGAACACCATCTCCTCGCTAAAACGCCTCGCCGGCCGAACCATAAATGACCCCGAAGTCGCCATCGAGCAGCAGTACATCACTGCACCGTTGGTGGATGTCAACGGCCAGGTGGGCGCCGAAGTCACATACCGCGGGGAGAAGCAGAAGTTCACCGCCGTACAATTGATTGCCATGTATTTGGGAAAGATCAGAGATACGGCCAGCAAGGAACTGAAACTCCCCGTCTCGGACGTGGTAATCAGCTGCCCGCCCTGGTTCACGGACGCTCAGCGAAGAGCAATGCTCGATGCGGCCGAGGTGGCCAATCTGAAACTCCTCCGGCTCATCAACGACAACACAGCCATCGCCCTAGGTTATGGCATCACAAAATCCGATCTTCCCGAGGCGGATGCTAAGCCGCGTCGGGTGTGCTTTGTGGACATCGGATACAGCGACTACACTTGCTCCATTGTCGAATTCCGCAAGGGCGAACTGGCTGTCAAGGCCACGACCTTTGACCGACACTTTGGTGGACGCAACATCGACAAGGCTCTGGTCGATCATTTTGCTGCGGAATTCAAAGAGAAGTTCAAGCTCGACATCACCAGCAATCCCAAAGCCATAACCCGCGTTGCCGCAGCGGCCGAGAAGCTGAAAAAGATCCTGTCCGCCAATGCCCAAGCCCCTCTCAGCATCGAGTCTTTGATGGATGACAAGGACGTCCGAGCCATGCTGAAGCGTGACGAGATGGAGGAACTCATCAAGCCTCTCCTCGACCGCGTCACCGCCCCGCTTGAGCAAGCTCTCGCAGAAGCCAAAGTGAAGCTTGAGGACATCGATGCTATTGAGATGGTCGGTGGTTGCACTCGCGTGCCGGCCATCAAGGAGAGAATCAGCAAGTTCTTTGGCAAGCCTCTCTCATTCACCCTCAACCAAGACGAGGCCGTCGCTCGGGGTTGCACATTCAGCTGCGCCATTCTCTCACCCGTCTTCCGAGTTCGAGATTTCTCGGTCCACGATATCGTCACCTACCCGATCGAATTTACCTGGGAGCAATCCCCCGATATTCCCGACGAAGACACCAGCTTGACCGTCTTCAACAAGGGCAATGTTATGCCCTCCACCAAGATCCTGACCTTCTACCGGAAACAGCCCTTCGACCTCGAAGCGCGGTACGCCAAGCCGGAACTGCTTCCCGGCAAAATCAACCCCTGGATCGGGCGCTTCTCGGTCAAGGGAGTCAAGGCCGACGAAAAGGATGATTTCATGGTGTGCAAACTCAAGGCTCGGTTGAACTTGCACGGCATCCTGAACCTCGAGAGCGGCTATTACGTAGAGGATGTCGAGGTGGAGGAGCCGGAGCCGGAAGCGAAGAAAGATGGCGACGCAATGGACACGGATCAAGCCAATGGCTCCGCCGAACCGGCCAAGCCTAAGACGCGCAAGGTCAAGAAGCAGGTGCGCAAAGGCGAGTTGCAGCTGGTTTCTGGCACGTCGTCGATGGACGAGACCGCCAAGGCCCAAATGAGCGAGCAGGAGAACGCTATGTACATGGAAGACAAACTCGTGACAGATACCGAAGACAAGAAGAACGAACTTGAGGCGTTCATCTATGAGCTCCGGGGCAAGATCGAAGAGCAATACGCAGACTTTGCCAGCCAGGAAGAGAAGGACAAGATCCGAGACAAGCTGGAGAAGACTGAGGTAAGCATTCCACCTCCCCCCCTTCCTTCAAAGACGGATCCTTACTGACTCTCGACAGGATTGGCTCTACGACGAAGGAGACGACGCCACCAAAGCGCAGTACATCGCCAAGATGGAAGAGATCCGATTTGTGGCAGGTCCAGTGATCCAGCGATTCCAGGACAAGCTCGAAGAGGAGCGACAAGCCGTGCTCAAAGCGCAAGAAGAGGAAGCGGCGAAAAAGAGGGCTGAGGCCGAAGCCAAGAAGAAGGCAGAAGACGAGGCCAAGAAAGCGGCGGACGGCACTTCGTCCGACGACCCCAAGGACACCGAGATGAAAGATGCCCCGGACGGTGAGGCAATCAAGCCTGACAGTGTGGAGGAGAAATAGATTCTCGAACCACACACCTGGGCGGATTCTGGCCTCATCTTTGCATGCAAGTTTGGACTTGAAGTAATGATAGATGGATGCTCATCCACGTCTACGGGCATGGACCACCGGCTTTTACGACGGATGGGGGGACGAATGGTCGGACGTACGTGGAACGTGTCATGCATAGCGAAGGGAAAAACGATCTTCTTCGGGGGCGTTGAGGGTGGAAAGAATGTCTCAGGGCGAGTCAATACTAGATAGCGTGCCAACTGGAGATGCTTCTCGTTTTTGCCAGATGTGTCTCATTTGGGAGGGGTTGAGGAAGGAAGGACTTGTCCAACCTAGAATGAACCACGGGACGATAGACCAACAATGAGATACATATCGAAGATTAAGACGAAAGTTCAGGGTCCGACACCCGAGTGTGTGTGAAGTTGAGATGTTGCAGGAGAAGGTCATATTGCCGAGCAGTAGCCAGGGTAGAAGTATGTATAACAATGTGCAGGCTCGGCACCGGGACGAAGAATAGAGAGACAAGACAGCAAGACAAAATCTGCTCGGCATATACCCGGACGGGAAAGCACAGAGCGGGTGGGTTTTCCTGTTACGCACGAAGACTGAAGATTCGGGCGTCCGTAACTCGTACATAGTACCTCGTAGTTGTGCCATCAGCCTGGGAATTTTGAGGACAGACAGATTTGTGATCAGACGAGATTCCACCGGGATTGAAGAGGAAGAAAATAAAGCGGCGACCACGGAAACTGTATTAGTCGTCGTGAAACCCAGAGCTCATGCTCGGGAGCCGGGAGTGGATGTACCAGTAATAATGGAGAGCCACAAGCCCTCAGGTGAGCGTTAGGCATGTTTAAAGCGACCCCGACACCCCCGACGGCCCTAATGGTGGGCAATCGTTGGGCTCACTGGCCCTAAAGACAAAACGAGCGAGATGCCGAGGTAACTCTGCAGTGTGGCGGCGATAATCTGGGGCACCGTCCACCGGCGATATGTAGTTAAAAAGGGCAGCAAGACAAAGGTCGGGATCATCAAATCATTCACCTTTCCTGCTCCTGCTGCTGCTGCTGCCATTGCTCCTCATCTTTACCGAAGCTACTTCCCTCGTAACACTCTTCGTGAACTGCAGCATTGACCACTGCTCCTTTCCGTCTATCTCTGTGGATTGAGTCCAGACTGCTTCTGTCGTAATAGTCCGGTGGGAAAGCGATCACCGGAAGGAACCAAGAGAAAACAAAAAACGGCACAATGGCCACCCAGAGACTCGGCTCGATCTTCTCACACCTCTCGTCCTCCAAGACGGGGGTGTCTGCTATGTGAGTACAGCACCGTCCAGGCCGCAGCTCCATGTGCGGTGTCCTGTTTCCTGCAGGTTATAGTGGGAGGTGGATGGCTAACACTGTTGCGCTTTGCCGACCTGCAGCACCCAAAAGAACCCCGACGACATTGTCATTACCCTCGCTATCCGGACACCCCTCGCCAAGGGCAAGAAGGGCGGCTTCAAGGACACGGACCTCGACTACATGGTCTGGGCACTGCTGAAGGAGGTCATTTCCAAGAGCAAGATCGACCCTGCGCTGGTCGAGGATATCTGCCTAGGAAATGTAAGATATGACACACCTGAGAAATCTGGGCGGTCCATGAACAACAGATACTGATACATCTTGGGATGGATAGGTCGGTGACCCACGCGCGGCATACAAAGTCCGTGCCGCCATGTTGGCCGCCGGTTTCCCCCACACCGCGGCCGCCTCGAGCGTCAACCGGTTCTGCTCGTCGGGCCTCAAGGCCGTGCAAGACATCGCCAACCAGATCTCCAACGGGTCCATCGATATCGGCATCGCCATGGGCGGCGAGTCCATGAGCCACAGCGGCGGCAAGGACACCCCATTCTCCCCGGAGATCATGGCGAACCAGGAAGCCGCCGACTGCACGCAGCCCATGATCCAGACATCCGAGAACGTCGGCAACGACTTCAACATCACGCGCCGGATGCAGGACGAGTACGCCTGCGAGAGCTTCCGGAGGGCTGAGGTCGCCCAGAAGGCCGGTTGGTTCGAGGATGAGATCGTGCCCATCACCACCAAGGTCAAGGATCCCAAGACGGGAGAGCTCCACGAGGTCACCCTCACCAAGGACGAGGGTCCCAGATACGGCACCACCCTGGAGAGTCTGTTGAAGATCCGTCCCGCCATGCCGCAATTCGGTGACAAGACATCCGGTGGCAATGCCAGTCAGGTCACGGACGGAGGTGAGCACATCCATATCCACCTCTTTTGCTGTTGTTGTTCACAGATAGACTTGAGACTAACGATACTGCTATGAAGCTGCCGCCATCCTCCTCATGAAACGCTCCAAAGCCCTTGAGCTCGGCCAACCCATCATGGCCAAGTTCTGCGGTGCCACCGTCGCCGGTGTGCCCCCACGGATCATGGGTATCGGCCCGACGGCCGCCATCCCCAAACTGCTCGGCAAGTTCCACCTGACCAAGGACGACATCGACATCTTCGAGATCAACGAGGCCTTCGCGTCGATGGCCGTGTACTGCCTTAACACTCTCGGCCTCGAGCACGAGAAGATGAACCCCCGCGGTGGCGCCATCGCCTTGGGCCACCCTCTCGGCGCTACCGGCGCACGACAGATCTGCACGATCTTGAGCGAGGCCCGGAGGACCAAGAAGAAGATCCTCGTCACCAGCATGTGTATCGGCACGGGCCAGGGTATGGCTGGTCTGTTTGTGAATGAACAGTTGTAGGATGTAAGTAAACTGTATGCTCTGTGAACGAAGCAGCAGATTGCCGCATGGTCCCCATGAGGGCGAGGCTCGGATGCATGCATGAATGAATGATTGAGAGACTTGGGTGTGTTCACAAGGCATCTTCAGCGAGCTGCCTCAGAAATGTGTGCGTAGCATATATATGTCTGTCTGATTTTGGAGCATCGCTTCGATTGAACGACCGACTGACCGACTATCTCGTTGCTGTCGTCGTCGTCGTCGTAGCGTGGCGGGCTCGTTGTGCAACAAAAGCAAGCACATATATTTTTGTAGTCTGGGAATGAATCCATTTTGTGTACCTACTACCTACACAGTATTCTTCATTCGAAATTCATCTGGGCGAAGGCAAGGCCGTGCATTGGGAGTTGGTTGCTAGGGCGACATACCTGGGCAAATATACCACCGCTTGCCTTTAGCCTCTTCCTTGCCTCTTCCTTGAGATTCTCATATCCCGTAGTTATCGTTATCTAGCCTTTTCTCGACCATATCAACACCTCCTAACCAGGTGTTGGCAGGGCAGGTAGGGAGCTCCTCGGATTGGGAAAGGGCCAAAAAAAGTCTATCATGTACATATTAATTTTATGGGGAGGGAGGGATCCATCCATGCTGAACCTGTTTCTCTTTCTTGTTTTGTCTTGTCCATGCTGAAATGACTCGAACAAAATCGAGAAGTGAGACAGACGCCTGCCTAGGTCAGTATGCAGCACATATGCAACAACTACAGCATGTAAGTGTCCTGGCACCCATACTGTAGATTAGACCCCTTCTTGGGCAAAACGTAATAAATATGCATACCGGTATTGGTGATCGATCTGCATGTTGCTCATCCTCGCCGAGTTTTGAGTTTCTTGTCTGTCGTTGTTGGTTGGCACTGGAGATCCATATATCTAACTATCTATTTATCTATGTATTATATATACGCCGAACTGTGTCTGTATCTTTTCCATTTTCATTTAGGAAACTACTTTAATCGGACATGTGACGAGCATAGAGGATGCCCGGCCGACCACGGGAGGCGCTGTAGGGGCCACAGCAGAGCACGAGAGAGGAGCCAGAGCACTGAGCAAGCCACAGGAGCGCTGTCTGATCCCATTCGCAGAAGCAGTTCGGGCTCAGGAGTCCAGCTGAAAGCCTGCTGCCTCGCAACTTTCGAACCTTTCGTCTAACAAGCATCCCCGCATAACGACCTGTATACCTAGATTACTCGAGAACGAAAACCCCTCCCTAATCGCCATGTACGGTCTGATCCTAGATGGTGAGCGAAGGCCGGTCTCACTTGAGCGTTGACTGAGCCTCGCTAAGAGCCCCCAATAGCTGAATGAATTTAGAGAGGTGCTTTTGGACTTGAAGTCTTTGGAAGAACTGGGCTGTGTTCCAAAGAGGCTGTGCTTCGCCTTCGCTTGCTTCTCACAGTTGAATGTCTATTACTGTGTCTGCAATATTGGCCTCGTGTTCTTTTGGGCCCTAATCGACAGTAACAGCCGATCAACCCTTGGGTTTCCTGATCGCAGCTCCTACTACCTGAACGAATTCCACTGCTGAAAGCAACATGACAACAATGCCAGTTTCCCTCGATGTCGAACTCTACTACAAAGGCTCTACAAACCAAGTTGAAAACAGTATTGTTCAGCAAGCTTTTCAGGAAGCTGTCCAATACTTCTGTACGGAGTTGACACAGGATGAAGTCGAGCGACGATGGATCGCACAGCGCACCTCCATCGCCGACGTCCTGGCAGTCGTTCAAGAGGCGCAAGCGAAATACGTGGCATCCAAGTCTAAACACGGAAGACTTTGCCAACTTATGATTCAGTTGCCTGAGCGCCTGCTTTTCTACTCACGTGTCATCGACATTTTCGTTCAGGCACATGCAGAATACTCGGCCCTTGCCTGGGGAGCCATCAAATTTGTTCTCTTGGTTCGTCCCTCTTCCAAATGAACAGGACTTTGCTGAATATGAAAGGGTGTCATTGAACACGCAAAGCTGTTCTCAGAGATATCGGAGGTCCTCATTCTTGTGGGTGATGCCCTCGCGCAAGCGGACTTCACCAGCAAACTCTACCCGACTAGCTTCATAGCAACAGCGATATCAAATTTGTATACCTACATCATCATATTCTTACAGAAAGCTGTCAAATGGTATACTATGAGTCGAGCTCATCGATGGGTCAATGCAATCTTCGAACCTTATGATATCGGACACAAGGGTACTGTTCAAAAGATCCAAAAATGCATTGCATCTCTCAAAGATACAGCAAATGATGCCGCACATGCAGAGCTAAGAGGAGTAAGCCAATCTCAGAAGTACCACCAAGAGAAACTCGAATCAATAAACAAGGAAGTCCGAGAGTTCAGAATTGAGCTCAGCGCCATAGGGATCAAAATGGCTTCCCAGGAGAAGGCGCTCAATAACATGTCGCACTATGTCTCAAGCAGCCACGCTATCAACAACCGACTCCTCCTTTACGTTGAAGATGGCAAAGTGGCAGCTATCCTCGACGAATTGGGGTCCGGCTTTGACGCCATGGGACGATACCACGCCTGTCTTGCGGTGAGTCGGAAGCGCAAGGCATGGGCACATGCGGGCAAGGAATCAACGCTGGCCTTGAGCACAATCAGAAGATGGGCATCCTCAGCTCGTTCTGCTCTTTTAGTGATACAGAGTAGTCCAAGAGAAGAGGCAAAAACCAAAGACCTGGTTGTTGATGTGGTGCACTGGGCACAAGAAACTGGCGCCCCAACGATCTGGACTTTGTCGGGCAGGCATAAGGCAGAAGATACATTGCTATCGTCTCCCTGTGGAATTTGGAGAGCGCTAACCTCTCAGATCATTCGGCAAAACTCGTCCGTTCTGAGCAAAGTCACTGCCGACCTCACCGTATCAGAGCTCAAGACACAGCATGCTCTAACTGACTGGAAGGCTCTCTTCTCCACAGCACTCTTACAAATGCGAAAATGCATTGTTGTGGTGGAAGCTCGCGATCTGTTCGAAGTGATTGCGAATAATCCTTCCGAGGTGGCCGTTTTCCTCCTAGAATTCCAAACGATTGTGGAGGCGGCAAATAGTCGCGGGAGTACGGTCAAGGTGTTGGTCGCAAGTTATTGTGCATCAAGGACATCGGTCACCAGTCTTCCAGACAATGCTGATCGGTCTGCTATTTTTGTGAAGCGGTCCGTGTTGTCTCGCCGAAAGGCAAAGCTCACGACAGCGATGCGGAGGACAGCATTGCGGAATGTTCGCATTCCGGGAGGGCGGCAACCCTGTGTTTGGAACGAGCATCCCAATGAGTAGAACACGCATTGAATTTAGGCACAGAGCCAAATATGCGAAAGGAGAACCACCCGGGCCCAAACACCCTCCTCTCCAAGACGCACGCTCAGCAAGTATCACCGATGTGTATGAGGATTCATTGTTAATGACCCCGGCGCAGAGAAATAATATTGTGGCTTACTAGGCAGAACAAGCCGGACCTCAATCACTGGAGGGAGACATGTTAGAATGCTTGAGAAGAAGCACTAAGAGAAGCTACTTTCAGGAGGTTTTACGCAACTCGTGAGTGGCAAAGTGGCTTAGACTGCATCGAACCTAGCTTAAAGACCACCGCCATTGGATCTCGCCGCCTGAACGACAAGTTTATTAACCTGCGTCGAGAATAAGTGACGACGGGCTTGGAGCACGCGAGGATCTGAACTCTGCAGCGCAGAAAAGATGAAAGGGGAATCGGCGAAGACACACCGAGTTCACCACTTGTCGATAGCCTTGTCTTTCGGGTGCATTGAGTAGATCTTACAAATGCTGTCGAGCCTCGGGTATTTGAATTGTTCCTTTCAGGACTGCCCTCTGCAAAGGGCAGGTGCAAGCCTTGCCAGACTCTGGAAGGGAAACGAACGACGCTCACGCAAAACGTAATGTCCTTGCGTGAATGACCACCTACTGCCAAACACGAAGGGGGAGGCAGCATTGTATCACACACGAGTTCATCTTTAAGGCGTGCATGCCCACACTGGACAACGGTTGATGAAATCATCAAAACAACCCTCCTGTGGCTCTCTCCTCGATGACGAGTTCGACGCAATGTGCACAGGAGCCTCACGGTTGATGAGGCGCCGCGGCTTGCACAGTCGCTCTGCAACAACGTCACTAATACAATATCTCTACGGTAATGCCCGGCTAGCAAGTAGGGGAGAAGGGCTAAAATGATAGCTCAAACAAAGGGCCGCAAAGCGTTTAGTTCAAGTCATAGTTGTTGCTATCCTTCAAAAGGGAGCGAGTCTCTCAAGGACCCCAGAGGTAGGCGGTTTCGGCCCTGTCTACCAGACTAGTCCCAGTCAGGCTCATGACGGTCATGTGACATCCACGCGACGCTAAATCATGCCCTATCTAAATCACCTCGACACCGTGAAGGAGGCAGAAACTTGGGCAACTGCCAGAAACATCGATGCCCAGCCTTCTTCTTGATGCATTTAATGCCCTATCGCAAACTGCGGCTCATTATTTCTAAGGTATATCCGCCTCGACGTGTTGTTCCGACGGATGGAAAGGCTCGCCCCCGAAAGTTCCCAGCCTCGAAAACGACCTCGCAGCTCCACTCCAGAGCCTCATGAGGTGCCGCCTGCTGTAGGACGAAGGCAAAGTGTTAAGCGTCGACAACAACGCTACTATGACTCAAAAAATGAAGACGAAGATGCCCCAAAGATTGTGGCGCTACATCGAGTGCTGTGTGACAAACGTCCTCGAGAAGATAGCGACCATTCGCGTCATGAAGCTTCCGCACTCTACACTGATACCCCTCAACTGTTCGCTGGCGACAACAAAGCCAGTGCGCTTCGCGCGGAGGACCACTTTAAAATTCACGACGAGGAACGATTTCTCGAGGACGTTGATGTCGTTATCTACCACACCTATGCTTGCCATAAATTTCAAGAGACTCTGCAAGACCGATTCGAAAGCTTCATGCCACCGGAGCTAGATCGACGGATCTTCAGGCAAAATCGAGCGTACTTCTTTAGCTTGCCCCATGACACGGAGAAAGCGAGACCCGAGAATATGAGCATCCGCATCCTCTCTAACGAGGTCCGCCTTGCCGTATCTTCAGCAGTTTCGTGCGACCCCGATCTTGACGAGCAGTGGGAGCAAGAAAGGAACTTGCAGTATCCGTTTCCGTTCTTCTTCCACCATCGCCAGCGCTTGAGGGTTATTATCGAAGACCTACTAGATCCTCGGTCTGGGTACTTGGTGAATAGCCTTCTCTCCAAGGTTGAGCATTTCTGTGAAGCCCAATATGGAGAAGCCGATCGGCTGTTTGCAGCTGGCTTAGTCAATCGAAGACACTTCGACAAGCTATTCAACAATGGCGAAATGATTGCAACCTACCAGCAGGGGCAACCAGTGGCCTACAGACTCAACGATGTGAAGGGGACCAAGGAAGTGGCAGTCCTCCAATGTTCATCTTGGACGTTTGATGGTACATTCAGAAGGAAGTCACACGATCTCATCGTCAGGACGCCTAGCTCTAAGACCGGCGTACCCATTACCACCTTAGAAGCATTCCCATTACGCTTCGACGAAGAATTGAAAACAAAACTCAGGGCGCGAGGCAGGACGTTCTGGAGCTGTCGATACAGAGCACACGTCTTATATCTAGCCCCAAGGCCACCTTTCGAATCTCAAATGGTTGTACTGTGCTTTCTGTCTTTTCTTTTCAGCACTGAGCTCAAAAACTGATGCTGCACAGTCTCGACCTCGTTTTATGATCGACTATGAAACATATCGAGCCATTCATGATGAGCCCGAAGAAGACCACGCACATAGTGCGCCCGAGGACGTTATATCAGCGTTGTCGACTGATGAGCCAGACGAACAGGTTCTACTGTCTCTGCCCGCCCAGATTCGCGGCTTTGGATTCCATGACAAGAAATGGAGTCCGTCTCCGTTCTATGTTGCACGGGTTTCACAGCTGACGAAGATCAGGAATGCTGGACGTTGCATACATCGAGGAGATCAAATTCAACAAAGAAGCATTCAAAAGACTACACCTTAAGTCTGACAAGAAAGACCTCATCCAAGCACTGGTCACTGTACACACAAGCGTGGAAAACACAGCCGACATCATCGAAGGTAAGGGTAATGGCTTGACAATCCTTCTCCATGGTGGACCAGGTAAGTCTCTAACGAAGGCCGTCGTCCAAAAAAAAGAAAAAACCGAGCCATTAATCCCACTATAGGCACCGGGAAAACCCTCACAGCCGAAGCTATTGCTGAACTCACCGAAAAACCCCTCTACCGTGTTACCTGCGGCGATATGGGAATCGACGCCGAGCGTGTGGAGGAATACCTCGACGAAGTCCTCCGCATCGGCACCGTCTGGCAATGTGTGCTGCTCCTCGATGAGGCCGACGTCTTTCTCGAAGAACGCACGCACCAAGATATCAAACGCAACGCCCTCGTGTCTGTCTTCCTCCGCGTCCTGGAATACTACAAGGGCATCCTAATTCTGACCACGAACCGCATTGGCACTTTCGATGAAGCCTTCAAATCGCGCATCCAACTGCCAGTCCACTACCCGGATCTCAACGAAACAGGTCGAAAGATCATATGGCGGTCAGCCCTGAATGACATCCCGCCGCTACCACGGGGGTTTGACCGACAGAATCTGCTCGATCACATCGACAAGCTCGCGACGCACAGGTTGAATGGGCGGCAAATCCGGAGTATTGTGAACAGTGCTATGAAATACGCGCACTTCAAGGAGGAACCGTTGAGTTACCGCCACTTTGAGGTGGTGATTGGTACCGTGATGGAGTTCGATCACTATACGATGGAGACGAGGGGTCAGACGGATTCGGAGTGGGCGGAGGCAGAGGGGTTGAGAAAGAGGCCAGGACTGTAGCGGTGTGTTTCCCGGTATATCTTTGTAGGGCTCCTTGCTTCGTATGAATTTCGAACGGACTATATGTAGGAGCCCGAGCCAAGCCCAGGACAATAATGATGCTTTGAATTGAGTGCTTTGCTTAAATGAATCTCCAGAGTCCTCCAAGGAAGAACTGAGATGGCTTGACTCGCTCTGTCAAGCCACCTCGTCAAGCAGAATTTTTCGAGCTTTACGACGGATCGGCTAGAGTCTTCGCAAAAGATGTGCTAATGGGGTCGTGCAGAAGGCCAGGTATGGTTCCGGGACGTAACTATGTGGTGATTCTATGACGGCTGAGAAATCGAAGTAGTGCAGAGGTCTATGTTCTCTGCTGGCCGAGCCATCCCAGAGACCCTCCTACGTGCTCCTCCCGGGATATGTATCTGGGACAGTCCCCCATCTCGAGCCGGGTTTCATATATCTTGGATGTGAGGTAGATTGGTTTTGAAACCGCCATACGAATACCACGGGGGGTAAGAAAGCAGGTCCGTTCACGACGAATTTATCCCTGACGATTTCTCCATGGGTTCCATAACCTTCATCAAGGGTGGACGTTGAATGAGACAAAGCCGCTCAAAATCGATTTTTATGTGCGCTAGAAGAAATCAGCCTGGGGAGGTCTCGCGGTCGCCCGGTCTTCCCGGTCAACGACAAACGCGGGCTGATCACCAATCACCGGTTTCCGGGGCCGGAGTGGTTGCAAGAGGCCGGGTTGCATGAGCATCCATCTACTGCATCCGGATCCGTCGCCGCCGTTGCTGTTCATGAATTTGATATCTTACGAGGTACGAGTCGAACCCCGTGCAACTGGATTAGAAGGTCGCTGGTGGCATGATACGAGCGCGATCACTTCTATCACCTGCAGGGGTTGTCCCATACACTGAGGCACTTGTGCGTGGCCGTCCTTTCGAGCAGCTCAATATCGCTGACAGATGTTGTTCGCGACGTATGTCTTCGGGCCTGCTGCAGTCCTTGGATACCGTGTAGTGCGGGCGAGGCCTCTTGCTCGGAGTGTTTCTTGAATCAGCACGTAGTGGGCGTTTGGTGATCCTGCTGATCATCTTGTTCATTTTTTCTTGCGGCGGGAGAAACTTTTGACTAAGGTCAACGTCGAGATCCCGAACGAAGTCGGGAGTCCGAAGAAGATCCCAACCATCTGATGGGCTTATACCATTGGGATCCCCAGGGTTGATGTTCGCGGAGTTGTCTTGCTTTCTGGGCTGGCAAGCTAGAGGTAATTAGGATTGAGATCCATGCTGTGGATCTAGGTACTACTGACATTCCCGCCGGCGGCGACACTGGCCGCAAGGTGTATCCAAGTCACAGTTAATGTTTGCAAGATGGCATGAAACGCAGGCGTGGCTGAGCCTAGTAGGGATATCATAGCCCATAGAGCGACTAGAAACAGGGTCAAGAGCTCTAATGAAGTCGAAATCGCTCGATGATGTTGTTCTGCTTTCATCATTTAGTTTCAACGGTGCTTGAAGGGTCTGTCATGCATACTTACTGTACTCCTTCCTGGTGATGTATTGTCGACGCTGAGGCTGGGCGATCACTTTGTGATGGGGATCCCACTGACCAGGTCTCTATGAATATAGGACCTGGAGGCATTGCAGGTGGAGTCATTGTTGCTTGACGTGTGTACTCATCGAGAGCCTCTTTTCTCGAACTTGATGTTGTTCCACTGCCAGCGGCATCGGTCCCGCGGATTCTTGTCAGTTTAGCGGCTCGCTTTACGATTGTTACTCTCTTGATCTTGGTGTTTGGGCGACCCCGCAGCGAGCGAAAGAAGGCTTCCATGGCTCAGTTGCAGTATTATGTATTATGACTGCCGCCGCGAACGTAAGTGGAGAATCGGGCCGCTGTCGCTGCGTATCTGATGTCAGTGTCAGTGGCTCAGCAAGAGGACTTCACCTGGAGATTTTAGGTAGATGACAAGGAACGAGATCTCAGATGAGACGAAGGCATTCTGTGCCTGAGCGCGTTGAGCCCAACGGCGCAAGAAGCATGCGCTTCTCCATTGGGCTCAGCCCCAACCAGGTCTGGGCAACCCTAAAACTAAACTACGGACGACAATGATCCCTTAGCCGAGCACAACAACTTCCACACAGGTGACTTCAACGATCTCCACGAAACCTGTCTCTACACCTTCTACGATCCAGCAGATTCCACCCCGGAGATCCCTCACTGAAATTAACGGGATCTTTCGGTCCAGACGTGCCCAGAAGATGACGAAAGAGGCAGCAAAAAGCCAGATGGGTCGCCATGGGTCTCGAGCCTCGGTCACCGACAATGAGGTACTTTTACCACGTGAGGTCGCTGCTGAGGTGTATATGCCAGGAGAGAACTTCGAGGACCTTCGGCTCATCAGGAAAGAGATAGGACCTGCTTCTCCAAAGCTAAAGTGCTATGGAACAACAGGGAGCCAATATACCGCCCTATAAAACTTACGGCGACAAATACACCGACCAAGTGGTGCTTGTGACGGGGTCAGCACATGGCATAGGACACGCCACAGCGACTCTCTTTGCCAACCAGGGAGCGAACGTGGTCCTTGTAGACCTTGACGAGGAACAGCTCAAAAAGGTCGAGGCAGCCTTCACATCTGAAGGCAGGAACGTGACCCATAGAGTCGCGAATCTGGCTTCAGAAGAACAAGTCAGTTTAATGATCGATGAAGTGGTCTCCTCCCTTGGCAGAATCGACGTCCTCGTGCACATTGCTGGCATTTACCCGTTCTGTCCTCTCCACGAGCAATCGACTCAGGAGTACAAGAAAGTGATGTCAGTCAACATGGACAGCTCCTTCTATTTGACCCGGGCGGTGCTCCCACACATGCAGAAAGCAGGGTATGGGCGAATCATCAACACAGCATCTGGAACGGCTTCTCACCCGGAGCCTGGCCTAGCCGTCTACGCGGCTTCCAAGAGCGCCGTAGTCGCCTTCACACGGGCCACCGCTGCGGAGGCTGGTCCGGGGGTAACGGCAAATGTCGTATCTCCAGGCCTCGTCGTGACAGAGACAACCTGGAGCTCCCCTCACGCAAAACCAATTTTCGAAAAGGCAATGGAGAAGCAATGCGTCAAGCGATACGGGCAGGCAAAAGATATTGCCCATATGATCAACTTCATCGCAAGCCCTGAGGCAGAATTTGTCACCGGCCAGGTCTTCCATGTCAGCGGAGGCATGATTTTCGACTGACGCAGATCGTTGGATGGAATGCAGAGAGAATGAGAGAGGAGCACGGAGGCTGCGAAGCCGACTCTCGGTCATAGGGAGGCAGATTGCTCCGAGGCTGGTCTGTCTGCCTGGGTTCTCAGCTCTTCGGACCTATTCAAAGCCAGGATATGCCAGAAGAGGCGGCACAGCTTGCAGGTTTTCCAGCCAGAGACGTCTCAACGGCCAATGATTGATAAGACCCGCATCGATCAATTGCACACTGAACTCTATTCCATCATATGACCCAGCGGATTAGGAACTTCGACCGAAACCATGGTAATTCATTGGAGACGGCCACTATCGCTGCGAAGCACCGCAATAACCCTGCTTAGACATAGCACTGCCCCGAGGTCGATCGTTGTCCGACCACGGTACCCGTCCAATGGGTCGTGGTAATTCGGGAAGAATGGATATTGTGAATGGGAATTCGCCTCATCGGCATTCTGGCTTCCGGGCTGCCGCACAACAAGGGAACTGGCTTCATGAGGAAGAAGCGGGTCTGTAAGGTCAAATATGTGTTCTCCAGACAAGTGACTGGCGCCAAAAACAATCAGTGGCCCTGGAGAACTCGACACTAGGCTTTGTGATAGTGGTTGGTCGGCAAAATGCCTTGGCTACGCTATCCAACCATTGCGTTGCCTCTCAGGGCAGGTATCCTGCGACCCAAATAAATAAGCTAGACCTGCAGGGTTGCGTGCCTTCATGATCATCGGGTCATGCATGACTTACCCCCGTACAACCACTGTCGGGAACGGCTGTTCTACTGCTTTCCCCTCTTTCCAAGCACGTCCTAACGGAAAGCAATATGCGTATATACTGCAGACCTCCCCCAACTTAGGGCCTTCGTTTCTGTAACACCGTCCCTGCTCTAGATGCCGTTCTGGGAGCATTTGTATGACAAGGCTGGTGGAAGGAGGGGGTCATGCTCGATGTTTGCACGTGATCGCATGCTCCGTCACCACTTTGCTTCGTCACGTACAGGACCCTTTTCTCTTGGGCAGCACTGATCTTCCACTTCAAAGAGATGACCAGCTGCGGAGGATGCTCGTGGTGATCTTCACATCCTCACTTACCTGGTCGCTATTCCCTCCCTGAGCACTGCCTCCCACTGTCACTGGCGCTTTCATCCAAACCGTCCCAACACTCCCAGATTGCCATCTTTGGCAGAACAACGTTCTCGAAACCTAGACCCTGTATTCTATTCCACGGAGCTTGCAAAATGCCATCCTTCTTCACACAAAGCCGACTATTGACCTAAGGGTCATGCCGATGAAGCACTGCCACAATGCTAGTCCATCACAGAAGAACTTGCAAAGGTCCATCTGCCTGGCCAATTTCGTCATCCGCACGCACATATTAGAGCGGAGATCAGCCTCCTATTTTGCGGTGTCCGAAATTCCAGAGAACCGCTTCAATTTTTTTTTTTTTTGGCTTTGCGGAGGCCAGAGGCAGTACGACGCACCGGAGAAGACAAGCTCAACATCTGACGGGATCTATCATTTTGTCTTTAACATGATTAAGAGACAGTGTCGATTGTCAAGACAGTGGACCCGCGTACGATCTTGGCTTGAGACACACTAATGGAAAATCATGCCCTCATCTGGCGAACTCTCCAGCAGATTGCCATCAGCCGCATTCGACATAAACAATGCCAGTCCTGTGCTGGCTGTTAATATCTGCTGAACTGGCGCGGGAATAGGCCCGAGTCAGACTCTGGTTGGCTTCCTTCCACTCCCTATCCTAATGATCCCAGACGACTTTCTTCCAATATCATCGACCTCGGAGCGTCTCTAATAGCCGCCATGTCCATGACAAACTGATACCGGTCTGAATGGATAAGGTGTAAAATCGAAGAAACTGGACTGCAACAAATCTGTCCGGATACCAGTTCTGCAGTACTGCCAGCACATCCGTCATCAGTCCTGTACACGATTAGCGACCTGGTTCGCCGCTTTGTGGCACAGGGTTGCACCGGAACCAGCGTATTGAGGATCTCGCTGAGTTCTTTATGCTCCTGTTTGGTCATAGTTAGAAGTGTCACCACATCGGCCTCAAGGTATCACCGCAGATTATTGAATTGTCGCATTTGGCTGGCAATTTGCACCTCTTTCGACTCCTCCAACAGTCCGATGCAATCTCGACAACCGTCGGTCCGAGTTTTTGATTTCACCCCTCCCCTGAATTCATTTATATTCGACTGCCGTTATTCGATCCGCAATGCTCTAACAACGCCGACGCTCAACTTAATGTCGCTCAGAGCTCTGCCAGAAACAGTTTGACCGTGTTACAATACTCCATGCCAACTGGTGTGTCCTCATCGACTACATATGCTCTGCAGATCGGTCGCAGTGCGTCGTCTCCATCCTCACTTTTGCCTTCTCCTGAATAAGGATATTCATGACCTTGCTCAGGGTTGTCTCCTCGATGTCTTCAAGCACGATAGTGGTCTTTCTCGACGATGCTTGCTGAGGTTGATAATGCCGATTCATCCCCGTCATTGGCGGCACATCAAAAGACTCAGGGAATGGAAAACCGTGCAAGTGTTGATTTGATGTCGTCGCCCCTGAAAGCCACTCATTAGGAAGACTAGAAGCATGTAGTGGGTACGTGGTATCAAGCATTGGAGGGGGCATGTATTCAGGTCGAGGCGTCAACATAGGCTCGCTCAACGTGGACAAGTGCAGCGGCGAGAAGTTGTTCGAATCCATTAGAGAATGGTCCATACTCTGGCGTTGTTGAAACCCGAAATTATGGTTTGAAGTGTGCGACATGTACTGGAACAGGTCACCAGAGTCGGCATGACTGGCCGGAGTCGCCAAACTCGAGGAGGAATCCACGACTATATCGAAGCTTCCAGCCTGGGGCTGTGATCTCTTGCTGTGCATCGAGGAACGAGATGGCGGCCTCGTCGATCCCATCGAAGAACAGGTCTCCTCTTCGCTTGAGGGAAGTTCGTCGGATATCTGCATCAAGTCGTCACCCACAGATTGAGAAGCTTGGGTGGAAAACCCTGGATGCAATTGAGGACTGTCGCCGTTGGGTGCTAATCGAGAGTGCTGTTTCCGCCGAAGAGCAGTGTACCTAAAGGACTGAATTAGTGGCAAGCACCAACGGAGACCAACGAACGTGCATTTTGACGGCGATAATGAACGCACCGATTCTTGAGCGCCAACTTGGTACGGCCAGGGAACAGCTCGACGATCTTCCTCCAGTCCCGACCAGATGCTGCGACCTCGGCCAATAGCCTATTATCTTCCTCTTCTCTCCAGTCACTGTGGTCGATGGAAGGATCAAGACACTGGGTCCATCGCTTGGCACATTCTGCTAGCGTATCAGTCATTCATGATCATTTCCTCAACGTTCAAGTTGACAATGTGATGGATGGTAACCTACGATCCGCATGTCGAGTGCCGACCATTTCCGCGACTTGAGTCCACCTGTCAATATCTGTCAGTGGAAGCAGCCTTCCGAATGGGATCGGGTCTTGCTCACCTTGTTCCGATCGCCCTAACAGCCTCTCTGAGTTTCGCATCCTCTGCTGGGTCCCTGAGCGAAGCGGTTAATACAGTTGTTGACCTCTTCTTCCGGAGACACGCACCAGTTACCCTTCTTTACATTCTCAGATATCTTGCTCCATCTCTTGCGGCAATCCTTGTTCATTCGGCCCGGAAGTTTTGATGCAATCCTATTCCAATCTCTCACCGAGCCCGCAGCGATTACTGGATTGCTATCAGCTTCAAGGGCTCTTTAACCAATTAGATGCGAATGTCCCAACCTACACTGATATGTCGCCTCTGTCCGCAGGACGACGTCTTCCTCCGGCGTCCATCGCCTTGGAACTCGTGAGGGAGGAGGTTCCATTATCTGGTGGTGTTTTGAGCTTGGAGTGTCCAGCACCTTACATGTTTCTAGGGAGGCAACATGTGCTGAGAATCAAAACAGGGTTTGTCCCAGGGCGCCCGGTCTTGGCTTAGCTACATGCAAAAGTGAAATCCGATGAAAGTATTTGGGGTACGCACAGCAGAATTCAATGTCGATACGATTTGGAGCAAAGGATTCGCGAAGGATGCAGAAAAGTCAATGGTCCTTGAGCGAAATGGTGGACTCGGGGCCTCTCGGGCAATCGTATATCAAGGCGACTGGCAAACTATGCCTTGATCGGCAAAACCCGCCGCAAGTCGACACGCATCCCTTCATGGGATGGTAAAGCAATGACCATGTGCACCCACGCGCAGTTGTGCGGGACCGTTATGGTCATCGTTCTACTCGAGCCACATGGGGAGCTGAACGGAGCCACGTATTGCAGGACAAACATGCACGTCTTTCTCCACCGTTTCTTGGGGTACGGGGTCCAGGATGGAAGAGATATCACCAAATCAGAATTACCAACGGTCTGTTCGCGACAGGCTTACAACTTTTGGCCCATTTCCGTCCACCTTAACAATTGTGCCGACAGAGTCCTCTAAGGCTTCCCTAGTCAACGAGGTTTGGGCAGCCACCTTGGCAAGGTCTCGCCGAGAGAGTTGCAATGGCATCCCTGGCCCTCAGAGTAAAGGGAAGGTGGTTGAACCACTCAACTTCTGCTTGGAAGCTCCCCGGAAGGCAACAAAAGAGATAACTGCTGATCTGACGAGGGGGCTAGTACCACGTCAACTGTCCTCAGCGGGCTGCGCCTGCTCTGATGACCCATCTTAATTGGTCGAGCTATATGATGACCAGGGCACCGCTTCAGATCTGCCAACCAGCACTGGTCAGCTTGAACTGTTTCAATGGCTAAGACCCTCTCCACGATGCCGAATGGAAAAGCTACGATCCAGAAAGTGCTTGATTCACTACAGGGATTACATCAAATTGAGATACGGCCAGTAATCTTCCCGCTCTCTTCATCCGACAGAAACAAAGCAACTCGAGACGTCTCACGAAAGCTTTCTTATGTAAACGGCACCAATACTTTCAGCAGTGTGAGGATATCTGTTTGTTTGCGAAGCCCGCTGTGCCACGCCAATGTCGATCGCCGGTTAGCTCTTGGCCGTGGCGAGAAGTTTGAGTGTCTGTGACTAAAGACCAGCTCTTGCCCCTCGATCACAGCAGGAATTGACACACATCCCCCTCAATTTGGTGGACTCTGGAGCCAAAGGAGCCAGAAAGGAGACCAAGCTATTTTGGTGGACAGCCTCGGACGGGCGAAAAGCCATCAGCGTTGGCTGCTACAGGATGCCTAGGACAATCTGACGTGCATCTCAAACGGTCTGGCTGCAGTATCTTAGCTTGAATATTGCTACCAGTACGGGAACCACGGAGGCAACGATCGCTTCTGTCCGACTAAGATACTTGATCCAGCTTGACTATGCCTTGCAAATTTGGCGACCAAGTTTCTAGTCGAATCGATCCAACACAGCAACGAGGTGGCGAGAAACACGGGCACGCGGCTGGCATTTTCCACCTTTTCTCGAACATGAAAGCGAGCAGGCAGACAACACACATGAAAATAGACTCCGGAGAGTTTCAGCGCCCGCCATACTCCCCCAGTTGTCCACAACTGCCAGACGTTTCGGGACCGCAGGAGGTGCTTGCCAGGTTCGATTGATGGTCCACAAAGTTCTGTCCTAGTCCCACCACATTATGTGAGAATCAACCAGGGAGGTATACTAGCTGAGGGAGCAATATGCTACCAAGACCAGACTTGGTTTCGCTTCTCGCTAAAATGCTGTGTGCTTCGGCGAATAGCTCAACTTACAGGTCTAGGCACAACTGGACATTGACAAGACACCGGACACCATAAATCTGCCTGTGTTGGAGTACCCACTGATTGAAGCATCACCAGCTCCTCCTGAATGCAGCATTAGCGAACCTTCTGAACGCAAAAGAGAGGGTCGGCGAACTTGCGCTTTGTCGATCTTATCCGGTCTCGTTTACTCAAGTGATAAGTGATCAGGTATGATAGGTGGATGGTGGACGACGTGGACGAGTGTTCATGCTTTGCATATGCTTTCATCTGGACGCCATGCAAGCCGGGGTGTTGTGCATGGATGCCTTGCCCAACGATTTTGTCTGTCCTCTCCCGGACGTCCTGGAGCCTGCCTAAATGGGGGATCTCTCGTCTGTCCCTTAACCTTGCTTGCGGCTTGGCACTCCAAGCTTGACCAAGGCTTCCTTCTTTGTTGCAGTCCAAGCTACGTGGAGGTTCCTCTGGCGGGCACAAATTGAATACGTTACGATTCACCGCCTTGTCATCTTTACGAATCTGTCCTCTGGGAGCTCACCTCAGCACTCTAGGTACAATTATGGCAACTTGGATCCAAATTTGACTGGAGAAGTCAAGGAGAGATTCCTTCGTCAAGAGGGGGAAACCCCGGCAGCGGAAGATGCAGCAGCTCCTCGTCCAGGCCCACCAGCACACCCACAGTAAGGAAGAGCCGGCCACCCATAGCCCCCCGTGCTCCAACGAACCGAGCCCCAATCTATTTGAGGAGCGAATATCGTGTACCAGGCAATTAAGGCTTACAGTCTCCCAAATACAATTCATGAACCTCGACCAACATGGGCTTTTACTACAGGAAAAGCAACAGACTAATGAGTGGCTAGCTCTTGGTTGGTCACTGTGGCTCAGAATTGTAGCTACACCTGGATCGAGACCATCCTTTCACGGTACAATATCACACAAGGTCCTCACCGTGGTGGGCGGCGGGGCAGCGTCAGCAGGGCTGAATCTCTGCACTACCAGAGGTCCTCAGATACGACATTACCTGACGCAAAGCTTTGCCATGTATGGAGCGACTCAACCGACAGGATACGAGTGCAGTGTTCTGATCAGCATGACATATCTCACATTGATTAGGAGCTCGAAAGTTACCTTGAACGTTGGTCCTCTCTCACTTGAGAAGGCGTATGCGCAAACGTACGTAGCTTAGAGAAGAGTGGGCGATCGCCTCGTCAGAAGATCGGAGAGACGATCGAAGAGAAGTGACCAGACATCCTTGACAATTGAGGCACCTTTGTCGACGGCGAACAATCGTGGCTCGTCACACAACACCGGAGCACAGATCAGGTAGCAGGAAGTTGTCAGAAGGAACGACAACTTTGAACACCGATCCACAAATCACGACGATATTTTAGCGAAACATCCCACGTTCGCCAAAATCTGAAAAGCCCCCGCGCGCACTGTGTCCTGGCAATGCAGATCATACCTCGATCAAGTGCCCCGACAACATGCTCCCTGTCCGAGTAGGGTCTCTTTCACGGATGATGCCGAATGGATGATTGCTGGAGGTCTATGACTGACTAAAGAATAGTCTACCGACGTGAGCAAGCCCTCGGGTAGGACACGGCGATCAAGGTAGACTGAAAGCGAGTATCAACCGAATAAGCGAGGGTAGCCTCTGTTGGGCCGTCAGGAGCAGCAGCACTTCCATTGCATAATGCAAACAGGGGAGACGATCGCTATGCCCATGTAGGTAGCGGGTTCATTTGATCTGAAGAAAGCCGATACAAATTCTCGAGTGGCTACGACAGAGACCCTGGACACCGAATGCCCCATTATCTAGGCAGGGGTATGGCATATGTACTATTCGCCATTTCCCCGTTGCTTCCTCGCTCGTACCTTGCTGGACCCATCAGGTACGTTACCAACCCCGCCTCCAACATTCCTCCTCCAACTGTCATGGGAGTTGTGGATTTATGCTGGTTCTCGCTACGGAGGACGAGCAGGAAGGGTTTTTTTGGTACTGTGCATCCTTGTTGCCATGATTTATCGGAGTGGCATCCACCGGGAAACGCCTCCGGTTATCATTTTCACATGTCGAGAGGCTTGTTTGATCATCCCTCTATTATCTCCTGCCAGGAAGTAAAATGCGCGTATGGCGTCATTGGATTCTCTCCATCGAGATATGGACAAGACTTTTCGCTCTTTTTTTCTCGGGATATGCGCCAGGGCATCCTTCCATGCCTGACAATCTGGGGCCTAAGGAATCAACCCCCATCACGACCTCAGCTATTTCAAGCTCTCTGGGACAAGGAAGACGCCTCAGGATGTGCTACCAAAGTTCTTTCTAGCAGGCACTGACTCTCTCACAGTCGGCAAATGCCGACAGAACGATGCCGACAGAACGTCGTATCGGCCCCCGAAATGCTAAGAGAAAAAGCAACGATGAACGACCTCAACATGCCGACAGCAATCGTTTTTCTGATCCTGGACGCTGCTGTCCACCTTCTCTGTCCATCGCCGCCTCGGATCGGAGTTGTTGGACTCTGATCACCTTCCATTTCCTCGTCTTTGCCTCTTCCCTGCTTCCAGTTGTGGGTTTCTGGCCCCTTTGGCGGACTGATTCCACGGCCGACCATACCCATCGTCCAGTGTGGACCAGGCCCTGGAGCCTCTCGTGTACACACTCGTACGTACGTAAAACCTAGGTGAAGTTGGCCCTCCATCCTGCCCCCGAAATACATACCTGAGACGGGAGTGCAATGTGGAAAGCACCCAGGTTCCCCTTGCTTCTCGATGTCTAGCCTGTCCCCAAGAACTGCGTACGCTATTGTGTAGCGTATACCTCTAGTGGGAGAGGCTGATGGTGATCATGAGCGACGACAGCGAGCATCTATCTATAAGCAGTTTACGTAGCCAGTCGCATCCTCAGCTCCGACCACGACTGTTTTGAACGGCTACGTCGGATCCTGGTCGCGGAGTAGGCATGGTTGCTATTCTTGTGGTTGCATGTGGTGTTAAAATCCCTGAAGTTCAAGTCTCCAATTTTTGAATAAATTCTATTGAAAGACCAGACCCGATCGCCTAACCAGAACTATCCAATGTTTCTGAAAGCGAAGGGAAACATGGGAAAGGCCGAGGGGTGGAAAAACTCCCTAAGGTGGTTTACCCAAAGTGTACTCCCTTCCTGCGCCAGTGTGTCGGATGGATGCAATCTGTATCCTCTTACGTCTGTCATACCCTTTTCTAGCCCTAAATATTCCCGTGCAACAACAACCTGTAGACGTGCTTACTGGGCCGGCCATGAATCAGGTCCTGGAACAGAGGCCTCTTGCAGTTTTAGTCCCTTCAAGCTCCTTGAAGCGGCTTGTGATACTCTCCTGCTCTTTGTTTCTTTCACAATTTGTCTCTTCTTGTCGGTGTTTTGCTTCTTTTTGTTGGGCTTTCAGCCCTTTGGTTCTTTTCATGCTTGCGTAGAAGCGGAACGGATGCTATAATGGCTGAGGCCAAGGTGGTCACTTGCCAGCCACGCCCAGGGCTTTTTGAATCCGGGTAGGCAGCTCTTTAACCATGGGCTCGCGCATCATGGTGAAGTGATTGACGTTGGGGACTGGGTCGAGACCGACTATGTTGTCAGAGCTGCCGAACAGCTGCTCCCAGCCGATAGGACCAAAGTCCTTGCGATTGAAGAGCAGCCAGTTCATATGCGGCGGATCATCCGGCGTGAGCTCGGGCCGCGGGTCGTCATCGTTCTTGCATACACCGTCCTGTGCGTAGATGGTGTACACAGTTGGGATCTTTTCCTTTGCAGGGTCCATAAGGCGCGGTCGGTAGCTGCTCAGCGCTTTGATGGTCGCCGTGAAATGCGGGATGAGCCAGCCTGGCGCTTCACCTTCTTGACCCAGCAGACCGATCGAGTCAAAAAAGTTGTGCAGGCGTGGTGGCAAAGCCTGTGGCGGCAAAGGGCACGGCACGTCAAGAAAGATAAGCCTCTCAACCGTCTCGCCGACAGCAGAGAGCTGCAGGCAGGCTTCGTAGGCGCAGATACCTCCCGCTGACCAGCCACCCAGGATGTAAGGACCCTTGGGTTGGCGACGACGGATTTCCTCCAGATAAAGCGCTGTGACTCCTGGAATACCGCCCTCAAAAGCCTCGGGCTCCTTCATATATGGACAATTCAATGCAATCAATGCAACATGCTTGGGCGAGATTGGGGGGATCGTGGCGTAGCTGATGGCGGAGCCTGAGCCGTCAGGGAACATAAACACTGTCTTTGAGGCGGTTTTGGGATTTCCCTGCAACAGGACCGATGATGCTTTGAAAGCTTTGTTGGCGCCAGCGGCCGGAGCATGTTCCTTCGGGGACTTGGCATGTTCCTGACCCTTATTCGATTGTATCTCCCCAACGACCTGATCTGTGGACATTTCCTCAGACTTGGCAGGGAGCTTAGGGTTTGCGGCCTTTCTACCTGCGCCCAGCGCCTTTTCAATATCGCCGAAGGTGCTGTGATCACTGAAGAAAGAGGGCGGCAAGTCGATGCCCTTGTCTTCGCGTAGGGAGCCTAGGATCTGAAGAGACATCAGAGAATCAATGCCGACGGCTTCAAGATCCATGTCAGAGGTAACTTCGCCGGGTTCCATACCAGTTTCTTCGGCAATGGCAGCACGAATGGCTTCAAGCTTGCCATCGTCCTTTCCGACGGGTTTCTCATCCGTCTGGGAGGCAGAAGTCATGGACTCTGTATCACCTTGGGCAGGACTTGAACTTCCAGACAGTTCAGTCGACTCGACCGAGGAGGCTGTCGAAGGCGAAGGTGGCACAGCCCCAGCATCCTTGGACTCGAATTGAGACAAGAAGTCCTTGACCTGTTTGAAGGTTTCGGAGTCGGCTAGCAAGGTCGATGGGATTTCAATGTCTAATCCTTCGCGGAATTTGCCTGAGATTGTCAGACTCATCAACGAGTCGACACCCAATGCACTGAGATCAGTGTCATCGGTCAGATCTGTAACGGGAACACCGATTTCTTCGGCCATGATATCCAAAGCTCGGCTCATGACACTTGGACCGACGGAAGCTGCCTTTGGCTTCGAGGTAGATTTAGGGGGAGCTTTCTTTGACTCAGCAGCAGCCGTCTTAGTTGGGGCAGAGGCTGCCGCCTTTGCACCTCCCGGGGGTGGCAGCACTCGATCAAGAACCTGTTTGGGCAAGAATTGGAAGGTCAAGCCGCCGATTTGGCCAACAATGTTGCCTTCTCCATCGAAGACGTACACATCTCCAGAGTAGTCCTTAAAGTTGGGACCTGTAGGTTGCATCCTGACGTAGGAACGGTAAGTCATTGACGGCGACGGCTTCTCGAAGAAACGCAAAGAGTCCCATCCGTGGTTGACGTAGACGGTCTGCGAAGAATCAAGTTCGTCGTTTGCATTCATGATAAATCCAGCAAGGTGGCAAAGGCAGTCGATGTGATAAGGTGCCATGTAAAAGTTGCCAACACTGCTCGTCTGAAGTTCGATTTTAGCGGTACCCTCGCGCAGTGGACTGTCAATAATGACTTCTGCCATGCCCTTATAGGCGTTCTGGTAGTCGACAAGGACAGAGAACAGCTTGTAGGCCATCTTTCGCTGAAGTCGGCTAAGGACACCATTTTGACCCATTTGCAATAGCCGGTCAACTTGGCTCTGAACGAGGTACTTCTGTCGAGCCAGATCCGTAGACCATCTCTCAGCATCACCGTATTGAACCTCACAATGGGCATGTTCCATAAGCCTTTGTCCCTTGGGACCGGCGCTGTAAAAGGTGAGGGAGCAGATACCCTGGGTAAGATCTGCCTTACAGTCGACACGAAGAAGTTGCTCGCTTCCCTTGAAGATGAGAGGTTTTTCGACGACCATGTTGGCACAATTCAATGCGAAGTTCTCAATCTCGGGTTGTAGCTTGCGGTGAACATAATCGCCAATGGTAAGTGCCATGTCTGCGTAAACAGCACTGGAAGTCAAGGCAGAGCCATTCACAAGATGACCTTTGATGGTCTCCTCCAGTTCTGGCTTGGAAATATCAGTTTCGGTGGTCAATGTGCCTGTTTGGCCCTGGAATTTCTCTTCCACGACACGCTGGACAGTGCTTGTGCTCAGCTTCTGGGATTGCTCACCCTCAGTGACCGACGGCAGATTGGGCTTGGTGAGCGTCCAATTGTTCTCGTAATCTATCCAGAAGTTTGTGGCGTCCCAAGCATAGGCTGGCAATTTCAAGGCCTGCTGGCAGCGGGGGAAGTTTCCATGGTAGCTGTTCCAGTTTATCGCGAGGCCGGCGGAATGCAGGCCACAGATGGTCGCTGTGAGAGTCCTGTAAACATCCTCGTCCCGCTTCAGTGATGGAAGTGCCACAGTCGTCGGGCCTAAGATCGACTTGACCATGCCGCTGCAGATAGGATGGCTGCCGATTTCCAGGAACTGCGTCTTGTCCTTAATAATACCCATGTCCTTTGCAGCTTGGATGCCACCCAGGAAGTTCACGGGTTCACGGCAGTGACGTTTCAGATATTCTGCGTTGACTGTTCCTTTCTCACTGACCACAGCGCTCAGGAGTGGAGCAATGAGCGGTATCTTCGGGGCGTTATAGGTAATTCCTGCTGCTGCTGCTTGGAAATCGTCCAAGGCAGGTTCTACCTGAGCGGAGTGGAAGGCAAACGGCACTGCTAACTTGGTGCATTTCATGCCTTTGGAGGACAACTTCTCTTTCAGCTTGTCGATGTCGGAAGACTCTCCACTGATCACTGTGGCTTTGGGTCCATTTATGCAAGCGATTTCAACCGCTTTCCCGTCAACAATATTGTTGAGTTCTTGAACCGAGGCAGCCACGGACAACATTGCGTGCGTGTTCATCGTACAATGCTGCTCAAGACATTTAGCCCTTGTGCCGGTCAAGAACACAGCGTCATTGATTGAGAAGACACCAGCAGCCTGCAATGCCGCATACTCTCCCAGGCTGTGACCAATGACTGCGGCCGGTTCGATACCCCAGGATTGCCACAATCGAACAAGCGCCATCTGAATACAAACAGCGCCAGTCTGCACTACCACAGGGCTGAGCTTTTCGATTTCAGTGCTGCCATCGACCAGGGGTAAGATAGCTGGCAGTCCTTGATTCCGAGCAAGCAGATCGAAGCGTCGGAGGTCAGCTTTGAATTGGTTGTTGGTTTCGTAAAGCTGTTTGCCCATGGCAGTGTAGTGAGCACCTTGCCCAGTGAAGGCAAATACAACCTGCACACCCAAGGGAACGGGAGCTGGCTCAGATTCCAGGGACTTCCGAAGCCCAGACACGATGGCAGCCTCGTCGGAGCCGGCGACAATCGTTCTGTAGGAGTAGTGCACTCTTCTCGCTGTCGTGGTGTAGGACAAGCATGGGAGATCCACAGGTTTGTCGGAGATATACCCGATGAGGTTCTTAGTGTTGTCGACCAAGGCTTTCTTGGTTTTACCAGTAACCGCAACAACCGCGGTTGAGCGAGGATCTTTGCCGTCAAAAGTAGGTAGAGCCCCATCTTCCATGAGAAGGGAGGTGTTCCCTCCTGCGGCACTGAAGTTGTTCAAAAACATTCTGCGTTTGCCACTTTGCGGTCGCTTCCACGGGGTCTCGCGGCCCAGAGATATCTTCACATTGCGAGCCCCAAGATCAGGGAAGTTATGGTTGATACTGCCTTTGATGCCACAGTGAGGTGGTATGAGATCATTCTCAAGCATAAGAAGGATTTTGACGAGAGCAGTGATGCCCGAGGCAGCCTAACAAGAGGGTCAGCTCACTTTCGTCAGACAAATTTGGGTTAAAAATACCTCGCCGTGTCCAACATTGGCTTTGACAGACCCTAGATAGAGTGGACGGTCTGGAGGACGCTGTCGGCTCGCCGGGGCGAACGCATTCAGAACCGATTCCATTTCGATGGCGTCGCCCGCTTGAGTACCAGTACCGTGCATTTCCACGTAAGAAACATCATGAGGATCAAGACTACACTCTGTAAGGATCTTCTTGAAGAGATACTCCTGGGCACCCGCATGAGGGTGAGTGATTGAGACCGCATCAGCAGAGTGGTTGGTGCCTGTGCCAAGGATGACAGCCAGGATCGGGTCATTATCTGCTTCAGCATCTTCCAGGCGTTTGAGGATGACCGTGCCAGCACCGTCTCCACGACAGTAACCGTCCGCTGCATCGTCGAATGTTTTGCAGTTACCCGTTTTGGACAAGAACTGGCCACGAGACAGCCCGGAGAAGATATCTGGATTTGTCAAGACATTCAGACCGCCAGCGAGGGCAGTGTCACAGTCTCCAAGCCAAAGAGAGTTGCAAGCAATATTGATTGCAGCGAGACTAGAAGAGCATGCTGTGTCGACGCTGAAACTGGGCCCTGAAAAGCCAAAGTGATAGTTGATTCGTCCGGGCGCAAAAGCTCTCACACCTCCTGTAAGGGATCAGAAACGGCAGTTTGAATCAAAAGGAGAGCACAACAGACCAGGAATGAAATAGGTTTGGATGTTTTGTCCGTCTTGAATCTCCCGCCAATCATCAGAAGTCTGGCCATAAAATGTACCGACCCTATCGACCATGGTTGAAGGTGTCCTGTTAGGAACATATCCCGACATTTCGAGCGCCTCGTAAGCAGTCAACAGAGCTAGACGGTGCATAGGGTCTGTCTGGGCCGCTTCCTTAGGACTCATGTTGAAAAAGCGGGCGTCAAACAAGCCCGGGTGCTCGATGAAGCAACCGTACGGTGTGTGGCTTGTATTTCTTCGTTTGCCGCTCGGATCGTAGTGCGCTTGCGCGTCGAATCGATCAGGAGGTACTTCACGGTGAACGTCAAGGCCTTTCTTCAGAAGATCCCAGAACAAGCTCGGGCTCATGGCATCCGGGAATCTGCCCGACATGCCAACGATAGCGATCTTAGGTCTACCAAGACCTCCAATTGGATTTGGCCCTTTCGGCTCGTCAATGGCTTCTGTTTTGCGATTATCAACCACGATCTTGAATGAAGCTTTATGATTCAAGGCATTGACCAGGCTTGCCGAGGCATTCTTTGCACCAACAGGTACGACACGGCATTGTTCTGGTTCAGCCGAAGAGACGCTGGCCACACAGTTCGTGCACAGCCTGTCCCAGTGTAGAGGCTTTAGCAAGATGTCTTCAAGGACATCCTCAACCAGCTGGCGGAAATTGGACGACCCGTAGGCATACTCTTTGCCATTGTTGATGACCGGAATCCGCGCTTTCCAGTCACCGGTACTCGCAGACGCAATGGACGCGGCCAAAGACGCCACCGTCTCGTTACTGTAAAAATGAGGCGCATGATAGGGTCCGAAGATGGGAAGCCGAATTGGCCGACAGGATTTGAAGATCCCGGCCTCAATCAGGCTTTCCAGGTCTCCGGGAGGGGCGCTGATGGTGACCGAGTTGGTGCTGGTTGCAGACACGTATGATCGGCTGGTTGGGGGGATTTTCTGCAGCAGCAACGTTGAGTGAGAGGCGGAGACTCAAAACTGGGAGAGGGGATGGCCTTACAGTTTTCTTGTAATATTCATCGAGGGCTAGGTAGGCCGATTCCTTTCCCACGCCGGGGAAGATGGCTGCCCAACTGCTTGGCAGCGACGTCTGCTCGATCTCATCACACACTTGAGTTACCTGGGCTCCCACACGGAATGCAAGCTTGAGAGCCTCGAGGCCGACGGAGAGAAGTTCGCGATAGGTACGGGCACAGCTGACGGCGGCGGCAGACAGTAGTCCAGTACAGGATGCCACAAGTCTGGTATCTTCGGGCTTGGGATAGGCCTCTGATCCATCGCCATAGTATCTGACGTTAAGGTTAGTGAATATGTCAGAACACCCTCTCTCAGCAAAGAGACTCTCGAGAATGTGAAGCTGGACGCGCCTCGTTGCCAGTGTGGGCTTCAGCCCGCCAGGCTTGGCATGCACGTGCACATTCTCGGGAAAAGAACGTCTGACGACGACGACGGCGACGACAACTTCCAACTTCCAACTTACCTCAACAAGGTCCCAATCTGATGAATACACACTAACGCGCTTTCGATCGCTGGGTGTCGCACTCCTGCCTCTCTATACCGCCACAGCAAGGTCTCGATGCTTGTGAAGCCAGGCAAGCCCCGTGTCACATACGGGAGACGGGTGACTTCATCTCGTAAAATGAAATATGCTTTCTCGAGAAAAGTGCTCAGAAGAGGGTTATCGATGACCGTCACTAACTCGCGCAGGTCATCGAATCTTTCTTCTGACTGGTCTCCGAATAGGAGGACCTTGATGTCCCGTCCCATGGTAGGTGGAATGTGTGCACCAGAAAGAGGCAGACACATTTGTGGGGGACAATGAAAACAGATCTGAACACTGAATAAATCTAGAAATGAACTCTGAGAGCGTCTACAGCCTCCTTTTCTACTGCTGAACCTGGAAATACTGCTCTCGAACCCTACTGATTCTACAGATTATCGGCCACCGATAACATTGGAGGTGTATGGGTACAATGGAATCGTGCACATGTAAGGGCAGGTAATCCGCGATGACGTTCAAGGCACTGTTCGAGACTCAGAAACGAACCCAATCAACAATTTTCATTGAAGCTTTAGGGAGTGCTTACAATATATGTCTTCTCCACAATTTGTCGCCCATGGCACGAGCAGCATCGTCAGGCGAACAGACCAAGGCAGTCCGAAACAGAGGCTCAAAGGATCCGGCGCATCTACTTACTGGCGAACCTGGCATATGACGACACCGAACGCCGCCACCCAGGCCGCAGACACGGTGACCTGTGGACTTTCGCCTCGCTGTGGATCATTGGCGTTTTGAGCAGCTCTCAATATCCACCGAGCTTCGCTCGCCGGTCAATTATCAACAATGTGACCGCTCATATGGGCCTTTGTTACAGGGGTGACAATTCCATCTCGAATTTGGAAGTCGAAATCTGGCGATCTCTATTGCTATCCTCGATCTCGACGGCTTCATGGTGTATCGAGCTTTCACATTCTCCTTCTGATCAGAGGAAGCCGAGTAACTCGACGGTCCAGATCCTCCAGCTTTGCGGACCGCAACGCCGGCTCTATACATTCCTCAAAGTCGCTCCCCTATATCGAGATGGGGTGTCATCTTTGGTGGGAGAGGTGGAGCTGTATTTGCGAGGCAGGAAGATCTGTTTTGATTGTCTAATCTATAGATTTCTTTGCGGTTATGGTATGGCTAATCCTCCCTCAAACAACTCCAATCCCGAGCAATTGACGGGAGAGAACGAATCTTGCTGCAATGAGATCCTTCAATCACACTTTCACAACTGGGTTCGCTGGAGAGCCCAGCTGCGAAAAGCTCTCGTTCCTAAGGATTGCGGGTCGGTACGAGGCTTCCAGAGTCGACTCATCGAGAGCCTCGCGCTGTGAGGGAGATCTTCTGTCTTCCTCAAATTCTGGACCTTTCAGATCCTTCAACTTCTCCTTGGCTTGATCGACCTGACCCTCAAGGTTGTCGTACCAGATCCAGTTAAATCTGTGTTCTAGGTTGTTCTTGATCTTTTCGAGGTCGCCTCCCGTCTCCTCACCCTTCTTCATGCAAATTTCACCATTTTCTCTGCTCGTGTCGACGATCTTCAGAGTTCGTGGTCGACGGATGGCGTCGAACGCAGCAAACGCCGTCTCAATATCATCGGCAGTTTTGATGTTATCATCCGCCAGAAGCCGAGCCAGGACTAAAGCATCTTCAAACGCTTGCCCGGCGCCTGCGCCTTGGTGAGGTGTGGCCGCGTGTGCAGCATCACCAATAATACAGAATCGACCACGGTAGAAGGTAGTGGCGTCTGGATGATGCCAGAGCGACCATTTCTGCGGATTCTCCAACAGAGACACAACTTTCTGTATCTGTGGCCCAGACTCTTTGAATTCTCGCTCGACCATCTCCTTGTTTGCTGGAATAACCCAGCTTGGATCGTCCCAGGTTGGCTGGTCACGCGCTGCCACAACGTTAAGCATGGTTCCCTTTTCGACAGGATAAGTGGTTGTGAGGGCTCCATCAGAAATATTGACATTGCCGTTCTTTGCAAAGTTCTCGCCGAGGACCTCTGTAGCCTTGTCCATTGGCACAAGACTGCGGTAGCCGAACTCCCCTGAATACTTGGGCTTGGCATCGGGATTGTCTTCTCCCAAGAGGATTTGCCGAGTTCGAGATTTGATTCCGTCCGCCCCAATAACGGCATCAGCGTCAGACTTTGTTCCGTCCTCGAAGCCCAGGGTAACTCCGCCGGACGGGTTCTCCTCAATGGATGTCAGCCTCTTGTCCATGTGCCAGGTGCCCTCAGGCATCAAGGACACCATGTCCTGAACCTTGTCAGCAGAGTTATGGCTATTGTTTATAAGAAGCCAGGTCAAACCTTGACTAGAAGTGTGCGGTGCACGGCCTGCTGCCCAGAGCCTTTGCAATATAGAGTTGTGACTGGGTGGTTGTCTACTGCATTCCCGTCTCGGTAGGTCATGTATACGTCCTCCTTCTCCGACATTTCGTTGCACCGCTTGAGGAAACACTCGTAGGAGTCGGGGTCGACCGCTTTCAGTGCCTCCAAAGAATTCAGGGCAAAGCTGAGACCGGCTCCAATGTCAGCAAACGCGGGTGCAGCTTCAAAGACTTGACAGCTGATGCCACGACGGAGGAGACCCCGGGCTAAACTGAGGCCGGCAAGGCCTCCGCCAATGATGGCGATAGAGAAAGGCTTCTTGGGCCAGAAATTGTTCATGACGAAGGCTGAACGATCAAGTTAACTGTGCTCACGAAATTTCGAGACAAACTTGCGCAGTGGTGCTTTAAATTTGAGACTTTCAGGGTGATATACTCAAGTCTCACGTCCGAGCAGAAGCTGATGTCATGGCAAAGGCATGATATCTTCGGTCTGGACGGATTGACTGCCTCTTGGATCCAGTGTCACATGGGGCAGCCTCCTGTCCGAAACACTGGACGGTGACCGAAGCCTTGTCGCCCCCGAGCTATTGTCATTGGTTCGATCTCCAGTTGCACGCGTTTGTCGAGCTTGTGTTGAGGAGGACTTATTGTATTGACATCAGAGAGCCTCGTGGTGAGCAGTGGCCATGTTCCAAGGACCTCTTCTCCGTGCTCGATCTGACGAATTCGGCGTATTCTCGTAGCCTCATCTCGACCTTTATACTGAATCAGTGATACCATTTGCACCGATACAACGGGGAACGGAGGCACGGCAGCTCCTTGGTTTTGGAACATATAACTATGCGAGCTTTGTCGCATAATCACGCTTTGGATCTCGGAACACAAAGGGTTTCTCTCATATCGCTCGTTTTCATTGCGGATTTTCGATTACATGCCCAATCTGCACTCTATAATCTTGCTCGCTACTCCGTGTCTTCATTTCGTATTACTAAAATTTTCACTAGCAAGTATCTTACACTATCACCTCACTATGAAAACCCCACTGCGCCAGCTCCCCAGCTCAGCAAGAAATTCCCTGCGGTACCTGGGTCGGGACCGAAAAAGGGTTTCGGAAGAAATTGTTGGGGTCGTATTTCTGCTTAATGCTGATCAATCGGCAGGTGTTGTTGCCGTAGAATGCGGTCAGGGGGTTGACGCTGATGTCGGCATCGACATATCCTGAGTAGCTCGCATTCCTGCATGAGAAGCAATAGACAGTCAGTAAAGCTTTCGTCGATGACAGACATACACAATGCAGATTGTATTGACGACATCATCGTAATCATTAAAGGGGAGAGAGCAAAGTACACATTACATACCCGACTCTGGGACGGAAGAACTTCTCGAAATTCAACAGCCACGCGCGGTTCTGGTTGTACTTGGTGACGTTCTTGGGCGAGTTCATCTCGATGCGCATCAACACCTGCGCCTCGTCCAACCACGGGAAGGCTGACGTCGTGGTCGCATTCGCGACGCCGAAACTGGTCCACTCGCCCCAGAAGCCGGCGTCGGGGCTCAACGAGGCTGAACTGTCGATGAGTTCCCTCAGCGTGTCGTTCGCGATCGGCCGGCTCTTCTGCGTAAAGTATGTCTTGCTGATGACGCCGAATCGAGGCCACGGCTCGGCCACCGGCTCGGAGGGCAGCGCGGGTGCGTTGTCGAGGCGGAACACCGGCTGGATCGGCGTCAGGTTGATCGACTCGGTATTGTACACCTTGAGGAAAGCCTGGTAGGCCGACGCATCGTCGGTGCACCGTGTCGAAGGATCCTGCCAGTACATGCGCGAATTCGCTGTACTGCAGTTTCCGTCGATGGACACAACACCGTCTGCGACGTCCAAAAGACCTGATGTGTTCAAGACCGCGCGAAGCTGTTCGGTAGTACCACCCAGGTACCACCCGATCAAGTGTGTGCGGTTGTTGTAGACATTGAGCTGGGTGGTGAGCTCCTTGGGCGCAGTCGGTGCCCAGTCGAGCCATTTCCGGGCTACCTCGTAACGGGTGTCCGAGTTGTTGTAGAAGCCAACGACCATGGCGGATCGTGGCAAGGTGAGAATCTTGACCGTTGCCTCGACGATGAAAGCATACTGGCCACCACCCCGTGCCGCGAACCACAAGTCTGGATACGAGGTGGTGGACACGTTGATGAGCTCGCCGCTGGCCAAAATTGCCTTGAAGGAAAGCACCTGGTCGACAGCGATGCCCAGAGCTCGGTGCTGAAGGCTGTAGCCTCCCACACCGAGATACCCGCCTAGAGCCACAGTGGGACAGATTCCCCCCAGAAACGTCTTGTTCACGACACTCAACTCTGTGTAGATTTGACCGAGATTGGCACCGGCTCCGATGGTTGCGTTGCTGAGGTCAGTGGAGACTTTGACGTAGTCGAGGGAGGATACGTCGATGACCAGAGATCCATTGAGTGCCGACCAGCCTTCGAAGCTGCATCGATCAGTAATCAGAATAGGTCGCCAACGAGCCGAGGAGGTCTCAAAAATGCTTACTGGTGCCGTCCTGAACGTGGTACAGCTTGGTAGCCGGTGCTGTTGGCGCAGCCCATCAACGCGCCCACTTCAGTAAAACTCTCCGCGAAGGTAATCATGGCAGGCGTTTCTGGCTTGCTTCATAAAGTGTGAGTGAGTGTCCGGTATTTGCTAAATAAGCTCTGGAAGACGAACATAATGGCACCGATATAGGCATCGTCCCAAGTCGCATTTGCAGGCGACTGCATGCGCTTGGCAGCATTTCCTCCTGCCGCGAGAGCACCGCTGACACATTGCTCCAAGGCTTTAAAGTTGGAGCCTGGAGCAGCTGACACGGCGCTCGCGAGCAGCACATAGGTCAAAAGAGACTTCCAAGACATTGCTCCACACGTAGGAAGTAACGGTTGATACAACAAGGAGAAGAGGAAATGCACAGCGCTCACGGAATACTGACTCAAAAATCCTCGGAGAGACGCTGGAACAACTAAAGAGAAGTCGCGCCAGATCCAATCTGTGTTTACGCGTCTTCTGGTACCTTTTAAAGCAGCTTGGGGCTTGCAGCTCGTCGAGCTCCGTCGAGCTCACTTTTCTCGATCGTCGTGGCCGTACCTGGATGGGGCTTGGTCGCTCTTCCTGGCAGGGTGGGGACGTCGGTGACCGACCGAGTGCCTGTTGAGCCCTTGGTGCCCCCCTCCTACACATGGCAGCCGACGTCACCTGATGTGTTGACGCCATGCTGCAAGCCCGATGCCGAGAATCGATTTCATCAGGATTTAACCATAGGGGATTGGCTATGGCGAGCAACGCGGCAAGTGGTCACCTCGTGGTGGTGGGGCGATGATCGATGATGGAAATGGTGCGGCATTTCACGAAGTTGAAGTCTGGAAAGCATCACCAAAGATAGGCACTCTTCCCACTGGAGGATTATTTTGAATTTCTGGTCTCTCGTGTACCCGTTTCATAGGCTGTGAACTGCGTCTCGGCTTTGTGGTGGTTTGATTCGTCGCCCGGGAAGCTGGGAATTGGCACATGCACATGTATTTTTTCCGGAAACTACCCAATTCCTCCTCTGTTCGCACAAAGTCAACTGTGCAGACTGATCCAGATGTCGAACCATTGGCAGACAACTCTCTAGAGAAAAAAGATGGCAAGTAAGGAGGTGCTGTATACATACTTGCAGGTGAGCAAGGCTGAGGTGGAACCAGGGGCTCGCCAAGCGCCAAGGCTTCCTTCCCCACCTTTCCCGTTTAGGATCAGGGCGCCATTCTCTATTCGTACTCATACACAGTATAGCTGAGCCATACAACACAACACCTTTCTCTTCTCTTCTCTTCTCCTCTCGGTACCGATATACAGCACAGCTCTATTCCTTTCCCGCCATTCCCCTGAAGACGTGCTCAAAATCAAACTCATTCCAGATGACCTTCGTCTGGATCCCGGCCCACTTCCACCGGCCGTCAATCTTGCGGTAGAAGGTGGTGACCGTGCCGTGACCGTGGCCCTTCACGGCGACTTCGGCGCGACGCACGTCGGCAAAGCGCTGGTGCGCGGCGCGCGACTGGTGGTGCGACACGATCTCCTCGTCCGACACCTTCTCCCATTTCGTCGCGCCGATCAGGTGCTGCGACGCGACCAGCTCGTCGCCCAGGAACAGCGGGTCGCTCATCATCGCGATGTACCGCTCTGCGGGCAGGTCGGTGAACTTGGCGTTGTTGACTTTATCGTAATTGATCTGGTTTTTTTGTCAGTCTCAGTACGAGGATACTGGGCGGGATATTGGACTAGTAAGAAGAATAGGGAAGGGAAATTGGGCAGGCAACTCCTACGTACGGTGAGAATCGGCGCGACTATGTCCATCAATCCGTACCAGTTCTGTTCCAAGTGTCAGATAGAGTCATTTCATGGGTCAAAGAATGAATCTGGAGGCCGTGCCTTGTTGTCGTAGCAGTCTGCCCACTCGTACAGCAGGGCGCTGCAGTCGAGCCACTCTGGGAGGCAATAGATCGTATCAGCACTGTACATACGCACTTCGAGAGACTCCTGCCGCGGAAAAATGCTCCCAAGCTCACCTTCGAAACTAATCCTCTCCTTGCCCATGGGACGCATGGAACCGATTGAACCCATGATGGCGTACAATTGTTCGAGAATATATGAGCTCCAAGCCGAAAATTGAGAAAAAGGCCCTCGGGCATAGGAATTGGTCGGGTAGTCCAAAAAGAATCATCATGTTTATTATGTCTATAACGTGCCAATGTCGTCGTGATACTTGCCTTAGGCATTCTCGCGGCCAGCAATTGCTTCGGTCACCGTGCTCGGCGGTCAATGACCCCCGGAGGGGCTCGCGTACAAAAATAGAAGTCGAGATATTCTAAGTACATGGCATATGGCATATGCGCATTCGATCAAGATCTCGATGCTTATGCAGGCAGCTGGGACGCCATCGTCTGCTATGGATGAGATCTCAGATCGTCCTTATCGTATGCGACGTTGCGGGCAGCACTAACACTACCGGAATCCCATTACCGGCGGAGAGAAAATTGGTCCAACGGTAAAGAAGCTAGTTCTGTGATCAAGGCTAGAGCTAGTAGATGAGAGAAGAATGAAGCATAGATGATTGGAACTCAATGTTCAGCAGCTGCTATTGGCAGTCTAGATCTATGTGTGCCATTGGGCCTCTTTAGCCAGAATTCACGAAAACAACCCCCCACCTTCATCACACTCACGCCAGAGCACCCCCTGAGATCGTGATTGTTTGTCCTAAATGGAGAGATAGACATGTTAGGATCAAGACACGATGAAATAGATCCATGGAAATACACCTCTTGAACCACTCACCATTGATCCACCCGCCATCCTCGCTGGCCAAAAACGCCACCACACGGGCAATGTCGTTCGGCTTGCCCGTGCGCTCCAGGGGATTCCGCGCCGCGACCCAACGCGAGATATCGGCTGCGGTCCACGACGGGTCCGCACCGGGGATGTACTTCCAGCCGGCCTCGGCGGCCATGTCCGTGTCGACGCCGCCGGGGGCCACGACGTTGACGGTGACCCGGCGTGGCCCGAATTCGCGGACCAGGCAGCGCGCGAAAGCCTCCACGGCCGCCTTGCTGCCTGCATATAGCGCGTGTTCCTTCATGCCCACGTGCGCCGAGATCGACGACGTTAGCACCAGTCGCCCCCCCGGCCGGAGGAAGCGGTGCGCGTTCTGAGCCACGAAGAACTGGCCCCGCGTGTTGAGACCGAAGACCTCGTCGAACGCTTTCGGTGTGACCTGATCGACGGCCCCGAAGTGCTCCATTCCGGCGTTGGAGATCACAATGTCGACGCCGCCAAAGTGCTCCTGCGCCTGCTCGAACAGCCGCGTGATCTGCTCCGGTTGGGATATGTCGGCCTGGATGGCGACGGCGTCGGCCCCCTGAGCCATGATTTCCGACACAACCTCGTTCGCCGGCTTCACGCTGAGCGAATAGTTGACCACGACGCTCGCGCCCCGTTTGCCCAGCTCGACGGCAATGCCGCGCCCGATACCGCGGCCGCCACCCGTCACAATGGCCACCTTGCCGTCCAGGCGGGACGAGGGGACAGATTCGCGGATAGTGAAGGTCATTGTGCTGCTGAATAGTTGTGGGTGGGAGGGAGGACAAGTTTACGCTTTCAAACTGTGGAGTGTCGGGGCCGGTTGAAGTATTATTACATCTAACCAACCGTGCACAGAAAATAAAACTCTACATGCCTCATAGTACACATTGCGATAACGCCGACCTGCCTGTTCCTGGTTTATTCTGTAACATATTGGCAACGTGTTTCCTTCATTCATTCAAAATCCAGGCACGTAGCAACATTTGTGTCAGGTTCTTTTCTTCGTTGACCGAAGATACAGCCCGATCGGGCCTTGGCTTCCTCCAAGGTGACATCTATTGGCTATGGGCTTGTGTATCAACTTGTGGACCCCGAGAACCTATCGGGACAAGGGTGGCTGATTGCCAATCACTGCACGTCGTGCTTTGCCGAACGCCGACGACATTCACACATACTACATCATCTAGATCATCGGCCCCATGTCAATCCTCGATCATCCCGCGTAGGATCGCAGAAATCCTGATGCCAGCAAATCTCCATCAAGACAAGCGGTTGAGGAGAAGGGGAGGAAAAGTAAGAGGATGAGAATGATATCAGTATTATGAACACATGGCAAACACCTGCCATGGCGATATTTATACGCCTGAACCTCGTCGCCTGTAGAATTTAATCTCAGTTATTCCCAAGTCTAAGCATTCCTGTAATGTGAGTCTGAGTCTAAATCTGAATCTCAGCAAGAATCTTCTCTCTCTGTCTCGCCAGCTTCATATCCTACACGCCACTCCATGGGCATCATCGACAGTATTCGTTCCAAGATGCCCAGCGCACATACCAACGGACATACCAAGAAGCTGCTGGTGGTATTCGGCGCCACGGGCAAGCAGGGTGGCTCCGTCATCAAGTCCGTGCTGGGCGATCCGAAGACCGCAGCCATATTCTCCATTCGCGCCATCACCAGAGATCCTTCCAAACCGGCGGCACAGAAGCTGACCAAGATGGGCTGTGAGTGCGTGTCGGTGAGTCGGCCAAAGGATCAGAGGGAAATTATCAGGAAGTTGACTTGTCCACGCTTCTAGGCCGACCTTGACGACAAAGACTCTGTCATCCATGCCCTCCAGGGTGCATATGCCGTCTACGCTGTCACCAACTTCTGGGAGAAGAAGAGTGCGGCGGCTGAGATCCAGCAGGGCAAGAACATTGCCGATGCGGCCAAGCAGTGTGGCGTCCAGCACTTGATCTGGAGCAGTCTGATGAATGTCACCGAGCGTATGTCCCACCCACTGCACCTCCTGCGTCACGATCCATGCCAGAGACAGAGATAGCTGACTGCTCAACCCGGACACAACAACAGTCTCGGGCGGAAAACTCTCCAAAGTGGCGCACTTTGATTCCAAGGCGGCGGTGGAGGCGTACATCCGCCAACTCGGCGTCCCCGCGACTTTCTTCATGCCAGGCTTCTACATGTCCAACATCCCCGGCCAGAGCCTGAACAACATGCAGGGCGGCACGTGGAACTTTGCGCTGCCCATCCCCGTCGACGCGCCCATGCCGCTGTTCGACGCCGACGCCGATACGGGCAAGTTCGTCAAGGCCATACTGTTGCACCACGACCGCGTGCTGGGTGCCCGCATCTACGGCGCCACGGCCTACTATACCCCCCAGCAGATCATCGCCGACTTCCAGGCCGTTAAAGCCCGTGACGGCCAGGGCGGTGCCGCCCGACAGGTTCCCGAGGAGGCGTTCAAGAAGGTTCTCGCGTCAAAGGGTTTGCCGGAGCCCTTCCAGGACGAGATGCTCGAGAATATGCTGTTGATGCCGCAGTTTGGGTACTACGGCGGAGCTGATCTCGCCGAGAGCCAGGCGGTAAGTCTTCCCATCCTGACCCTAGACCCCATTTCTTCTGTTTCGAACCACTGTCGCCGTGTTGCTCTTGTTCGTTGAGTGAAGGATCAACCACCCACATGGCTAACTCGACCGCATTTCTCCCGCTTCCACAGATCCTGGACGAGCCGCTCACGACCTGGAAAGACTTTGTCGCTCGTTCCCCGGTGTGGGCGGAGGTGCATTGAGTTCTCTGTCGGATTCTCCTTCAGACGCCAGAGGTCCTTGTTAACCGTGCATGAACGGGGCTGTGCGCACAATAGGCATTGCAGCAACATAGGTACTTTGTCGGTGGCGTGTACCTGCTGATGGAGGTGCTGGGGGCCTGAGTATTTGTAACGCAATGGAAACATGGCTGTCCACGAAATGAAGAAGATGTTGCCCTCGTAAACAGCCTTGGCGCCTCTCTGCCGGTCTGGCCAAACCCCTCTCTCTCTTCCCCTCGAGATATTCCAGAGAGACAGCCACGACGAAAGGGAGTCGAAGTCGATTGGCCTTAAAAGAAGTTCTGTCCAGTGTTTTCTGTCGGTGATGTGATGATCCCCATCCCGCTCCAGCGCTGCCCGGAGTTCAAGGTGTCCGGTTTGTATTGTATATCACAGGATTCTGGGTCCTTCTGGGTGATCCCCCCGTGATTCTGAACCTCTTTCTGATGAGAAGAGAGTAGCTTGACCACCTCGTCGCGTCCGTATTCAGCCGCCCACGAGAGTGGTGTCCAACCACGATTATCCTTAGAGTCTCGTTCGGCGCCTTTCTCAAGTAATAGCTGAACTATCTCTCTATACCCGCGTATAGTCGCCCATAATAGTGGTGTTCGACCACTATTATCCTTGGAATCTGGATCGGCGCCTTTCTCAAGTAATAGCTGAATCATTTCTTCATACCCGCGTATAGTCGCCCATAATAGTGGTGTTCGACCACTATTATCATTGAAATCTGGATCGGCGCCGTTCTCAAGTAATAGTTGAACTATCTCTTTATACCCGCGTACAGTCGCCCATAATAGTGGTGTTCGACCACTATTATCCTTGGAGTCTCGATCGGCGCCTTTCTCAAGTAACAGCTGAACCACCTCTTTATGCCCGCGTACAGTCGCCCATAATAGCGGTGTCTGACCACCATTGTCCTTGGAATCTGGATTGGCGCCTTTCTCAAGTAAAAGCTGAACCACCTCTTTATTCCCGCGTTCAGCCGCCCACGATAGTGGTGTCCCACCACTATTATCCTTGAAGTCTCGCTCGGCGCCGTTCTCGAGTAATATCTGAACCACCTCTTTATGCCCGTGTTCGGCCGCCCGCGATAGTGGTGTCCGACCACTATTATCCTTGGAGTCTCGCTCGGCGCCTTTCTTAAGTAATAGCCGGAGCATCTCTTTATGCCCGCGTTTAGCCGCCCACGATAATGGTGTCTCATTATGTTTGTCCTTACACTCTAGATTAGCGCCTTTCTCGAGTAGAATTTTCACTGTTGCCGAGTGGCCCCGCCCCGCGGCCCATGACAACGGTGTCCGGCGATCTTCGCCCGCCTGTTCGATGTTGAACTTGCTCAAAGCACACAAAAATGCAAGAAAATTATCGTCGCCATGTTTTCCCACGGCATTGAGCGGGCCGTTCCGTTTTGAAAAAGTGAAGTCACGTGGAAAATTGGTTGGTCTGTTTCCATGACAATAACATTGTTCGTACAGGTTAGGAATCGGAGACGTTGTGGGCCGTTCATCTGCCTGAGCTTTCAACAATGCACGCACCGCTTGATCGCTTCCAGTAGCAAGAGCGGCGAAAACTGGTAGACCGTAGCGTTCGTCTTCCACATCGAAGCCTGACAGGTTGGACGGATGAATTCTGATAAGGTTGGACAAGTTTTTCTCTGCCAAGATGTATAGCAAGGTCACAGTCAAATTGTGTCGGTGGTCTCGATGTGTGAATAGGTTGTCAAGCCATACCCATTTGGCAAGCTGGAACGTGTCAATGAAATCACTCTGGTCGACCCCGTTGGCTTGCGCTTTGTCGGCGTGCCATAAGACTTCTTGTACGGCATATCGCAGAAACGGAAGGTTTTGGTCCGCATATCGGTGGAGGCGTTCAGCTTCTTCGTTTGGCATCTTCTTCGCACTTGAGTTCATAAAGCTAAGCAGGCTGGCAGGGGTGATGTTGCTATAGTTCAGACAGCAACTCTTTAACCGCTGATGGCTTTGCCCCTCAAAGTCTTTGCTATCGTCAAGATCCGGCCACAGCTCAAACAGACCGTTATCCTTGAGGAGGAAATCTCGGACTGATTCGTGAATGAATTGCACCGTCGGCGGCTCCGACCTGGTAAGTTGAGCAAGTCCCTTGGAGGAATTGAGAACGAAGCGGTTCATGTCGTCCACCTCGATCATCTGAGAGTTCCAGACCGTCATGTACTCAGATTCGGGATGCAGACCAGCCAGCATCGCAAAGTAAAATTCTCTCACTTGCAGCGGCTCTTTTGCAAACAGAATCCATTGGAGGCAGAGCAACAAATCGTCCATGTTAGCATCATCCTTCCTAAGGATATCTTTGAAGAGGTCACTGAGCTTGGCAGGTATCTCGTGGAGCTTTTTCTTGACCGCAAAGATGCGGCCACGCTTGAACTCTTGGTTCAGAATGGGAACGACCAAAACTACCCACAGGAAAACACCATTCGCTTTTTTTCGTATCTCTGTTCTGACTTCCTCAATCATTCTCCCCTTTCCGGCTCGGAGATGACTGTCGATGTATCTGCTCAAGTCCCTAGTATGACCACCTTCGTTTTCTAGTGTCAGCTGCCGACCATACGGAATGATGACGGTTGGATAATGGCGACTGGCAAAGCAAATGAAGAGTTGGGACCCGTGCTCGAGCGCAGTTTCTCCTAGTTCTTCAAAAAAGTCAATCATTTCTTGAATCTGCTGCTCATCACACTCATCGAGTGCGTCAATGAAGCACTTCACTTGTCGGCGCCCAAGTCTTGAGATAGCTGCGGACAGCAGCTCGCATAGCCTTTCTATGGTCCACACCGGTGATTGGCTTTGGTTTTCCGAACCATCTAAACCGTCCAGAAGGTCCTGCAGGTCCGTCATTTTGGTTAGGAGCTGAAAGAGTAGAGCTCGGTACATGCCAATCGTCGAATATTCCATCATTTCCCCCCTTGCATTAAAGAAGAACGAGAGGACAATCTCGTTCGCAGAACTTTTTTGGTCGGCATATGCCAGGGCGAACTTCATCAGCGTCGATTTCCCAGCGCCAGGGATCCCTTTGATCCAAAAGAATCCATGGTGTTGGTGCATTTGCCGTGGATCATTCCATTCCAGGTATGCAGGGTGTTCCAACAGCCATTGGCAGGTTGTGGAGTAGGCTTTGTCGATCGTAGACCGCCGCGAGTCCATTTGCTTAAAGCGCAGAGAAGCCAGCACCATCTCTCGACGCTTAAGCAGTTTTCTTTCCTCCGTAGGGTTCGCGGGTGGCCCCTGCCTGCGGACAACAAAGTTTCCGGAGTTCGAGGGAACTGAATCTTGCCCAATGTCCTCCAATTGCCTCCTACAGGCTTTGGCGATTTCATCTTTCAACCGGTCAAGGGCTCTGTTTCCTTCACCGTAAATAACAGGCATGGACACATCGAAAATCCCCAGGAGACAGTATGCCCCATCTTCTGTCTTTTTAGTCTCGCGATGGGAAGCCCATCGCAGCCTCTCTGCGTGAGTAAAATCTTTCAGGGTCTGCCTCCCGTCAAGAGCAGTTTCAGGTATTCCTGTTATCTCGGAGATGACCTGCCCAAGTGTGCTCTTATCGCCTAGTCGCACGCCTTCCCGGGAATAGAAGTCGACTTTGCTAGGAGCAAGAAGCTCTTGCAGGGTCCAGCCCCGTGTAAACCACCTGCTTTTCCGGAAATCGCATTCCCAGATCTGATTATCCCTTGTGTCGTCGCGTTTATAAGCTGACACGTCGGACAGGAACACGTAGCACCTTTGTGCGTCAGCGTACCATTGAAACATCGACACGATAGCTTCCGAAAGTTCAACGAGGTTCTTCTTATCAATACAGCATGTGTCGATCCAGAAATGTTGCAGGCCATCCTTTCCTGCTCGATCCGCGCAGAACCGGATCTTAGAGTAACCCTCCTTGTCCTTGCCCTTTTCCTCTATTAAATCCCGGAAAGTCACCTCCTCCTTATCCGAGCCCCAAGTGTGTGAGAGGATTGCGTAAGGTGGAATGTTTGTGGTCAGGTCATCAGTAAAGCTTAGCTTTCCACCAGGGCCAATTTCGAGGAGGCGCATTGTCGGAAGGTGAATCTCGATGGATGGGAAGGTCAAAGTGTCGAGAGCCGTAATACCCTTTGATGGAGAATGCTTGCTCGTTGGGTGAGTCGTGCAAACTCGACTTGCCTCGCGGTGGCTCGAAAGCCGGAGCTTGCAAGTCCAAAACTCACTGACCTGGTTCAAGAAGTTTGAAGGCAGTTTCGCAGAGAGCACGCATATATGAAACTTTGGGGTGAGGTTGATGCGAAGTGCACAGACGAAGAACTCTGATTGAGCTGAAAAGCGGTTTTGATGGACTGTTGCTAACTGTCGCCAAAAGTCCATGCAGGGTGTCAAAGGGCAATGCCAAGGCGAAATCGAGGCGGCAGGAATGGTCCTGCAGACTTGCCTCTTCGCTAACTAGCCGTGGCTGAGGCGGGGAAGGTGAGCCAATAAGCAGGGTATCTATGTCGGGAAACAGGGGACTTTTGTTAAAGGTGGATGGCTGAAGGGGGTAACTGTAGTATCTGGGTGTTGTTAAGTCCACTCACTCACTAGGCAGCGAGCGCTTCGGGCAGGGGGGTCAGTTTTGACTTTGCGACGGTTGGCAGATTGGATTTAGGGTTGAGTTTATGGGGGGCAGGGCAGGGGAGAGGGCAGGTGGGGGACGCCTGGACCAACTGTCGGGCGCTCCCGGCACCAGCAGGTCTCCGGCGAGTGATCCACCTCTTGAGCCTCCTCCTAACATACAGTAGGACTTCCCCCTCCCCCGCTTCGGCAAAGGATTGTTGCAACTTACTCGTTCTCTCTGTCTGCCATCTTTGCGATTTCCACCACAACTTTTTGTTCCCGCTCTCACGAGGTATCCTTTGGGCACTACCTTCGGGCTCAGGCCACTCCCACTCAATCGGGAAAAGCCGTACAATATCTCGTACACACATGTGGTGAGGCTGCGCACCCTGACAGCGGTCCGCGTACGGCTCCTCATGTGTTGGCACTTTGTGTGGTTGGGCACATGAAAAGGCAGCGTCTGAACAATGTGGCTGCTTAGAGTTGGGCAGGAATACTAATTGTGAGGCTGTTGGTCGACTTATCGTATTCATGCCTCCACATGATTCCGCTAGGAGACCAATCTAAGCAAGACGCCGTGCAGGAGCTTGTCACTGTCACATCTACCCGTCCGCAACTGAGCTAACGAGTTTCTACGTCAAAGTATTGCTGCCGATGAGACGCTGTACTAGGCAGTCTAGACGGCTATGGACAGTGCAGTGTGCTGTGGCTGCCCTGTTTTGGGCAGGGGGATGCCTCACTCTCTCGCTGGGCAGGCTGCTACATCCACATAATTTTCATCAGGAACTGGTAGATTGGACGTCAGCTCACCCTTTCTCAGAGAATCCAGCAGGTGCATGGTGGACATGCATAGTCCTGTGAATCCAAGGGCTGTTTGCGGTTGTCTCTATTTTCCAGGGCTGACACTTACTGCAACCAAAATGGCTATATCCGGTCGCAAGGTCACGACCACATCATGTCCTCTTCGATCTCTTTCACCTCAGACCATAAACAGCCGCTTATCTCGTGTCTGTGCTTGCCAAGTTGACGGAAAGGTTCGAATTCAGATCTTATAAACAACAACTATGGTCTTCAAAACAGCAGCGCAACCTCGAGACACCCACCGCCTCTTCCACATTTTCTCCTATCCCACAGGCCATGGGCACAAGATTTCTGTCGCCGTGTCAAAGAACGGGGGTAATGTCATCACCGCATCATACGCCATTGTTTTCCAGTTGCTTGTCCAGCAAGCGTTGAGTATAATTGTGCTTCTGGCTGAGCTCAGCGTGAGCCGGCTTCGCAGGAAACCTACCATGGAACGACTTGATATGCTCCGCGGAGGCGAGGCACCCTCAGCTGGCAATAGGTTCTTACAAATATGAACAGCGACGATGCACTCTCTGTTCGTGGGTTTGGTTATGCGCTGCCATGACTGTATGGTTGGTGTCTAATGTAACACCAATCTTCGCGATCCTCGGGTTGAATGTTGGTGATGGGGCACCTGTCAATCCTGGCATCATCTACGACTCACCCCCTAATTACGTGGCCAACTCTTCTCTCGTGATGGAGCTCGTCAACATCAGAAAGCCCGCGGTTCTTCGAGCAGTGGGACAGTTCCAAATTGGTGGCTCCGATCTGCGAGATAAAATGAATATTGCCCAGCCGAAAGATTGGCGGATCTGAGCAACGGAGAGAAAATCATTCAGATCGATTACAGCTACGCGCTCACGGCCAAGGACTTTGGATTGCAACGTTTTCATGGTCTCACAATGCATGCCCAGGGATCATGTCGCACCGAATACGGGTGGCTTGATAAGAGACAAAGTATTGAGAGTACCTCTGTTGATTAGTATCGCTTCTTCAACGATAGTTCGCGCCAAGTCTTTATGAGCCCATACATCGGATACACCCCGGTCGCCACGTTCGAGCCCGGCGAGGTGTTTGCGGAAACCGGCCTTCTCCTGCTCAACAACACCCTATGCAATTATGATCGGTTCAATGCAAAGCCAGAGCTATACCGTCGGCAATGATCCGTGGTACCTGACGAACTCAACACCCAGCAGCGACAGCAATGGGAACAAGTTTTGCCACGTCAAACGGTACCGGCCTGCCTTGTCATGCTGGTAAGCAGATATCTGGTCTTATCGAGGATACAATGCCTCCACTGCCTTTTTGACCGAAAGCCCCTGCCTAAACTTTCCTCGCGCGCTACAGGACATGCTGTACGGCCGCATCGGATTTCCCAAGATCTACGAGACGGGCCTCACGCTCGGCACGGTTGCACTGGTGTCCAGCTCCGAGGCCTCGACCTGCTTTTTCGACGCCAACTCGTCCAGCATCTACAACGATCCCGAACGTCTCCTGGTGACCTCCTACGTCTCGACCGCCAACACGTTGACGGAGACCCCGCTGTATGACCGAAACCAGACATATGGGGCGCCGAGCACCGTGACGGCCGATAACGTCGCGGATATCGCGCTTTTCGTGGTCTACGATTCCCAAATCACGACTTTGTCCTTGACCTTCCTTATTTCCGTCCCCTGCATAACGGTCCTGCTCTGGGTGATCAAGCTTTTGATCGAGTATAACGTGGAAGGAGATGATCCGTCGTCCGCAGATCATGTGGAAGGGATGCAAAGGCATTGGAAATGAGTTGGCCCCCACGAATTGTCACGTAGTCCGCGGGACTGAAAGACCATAATGTAACTTGGAAACCTGGACAGACACCCTGGTCTCCTTGTTGCCAATTCTCACGCCACTGTGACGATGACCACCAGAGCACACGCAGTATCGGCAGCTAAGCTATGGAAGCCATTGCAGGCACGGACAGACTAGGTTCGACCAGGACAACCAACTTATGAAGTTTTCGGACGTGACATGGTCTGAGCAACCATCGGCAAGGGGTGTGGACAGTGCCACTTTTGCCCGCGAAATAGGTATCGAACCACTCCCAGTACAGTTCAACGATTTGAATTACGGCCGGAAATTTGACACGTAGCAGCTGAAATAAAGAGAAAAGCTGCAGTTGCTGAGACAGAAGCCCCCGACAGCTCATGCACCGGATCGAAATCGAACGGGCCCTACAAGGACTACACAGCTATCCGAAGCCACAACTTCTTTGCATAGCCGGCACTCTGGTCAGCGGAAAGTGTGGCGATCATACAAAGGGGATATCATTGTCACAGCACAGGAGTAAGACTGTCGATCCTTCCATATAACAGGATGATACAGGAAAACAAGGACAATATGTGCCTCCCTGGGAAGTCAGTTCAAAAAATGCTCCTACTCTAGGTACCGGCGTTCGCGACCCACGTGTCTCCGTAGCCACGTACCGTGGTGGTGTATCGTGCATCGTGGAGAATCTCATGTACAGACCCCAAATCCCAAAGTTTCCACATGCCACTTGCCTGTGAACTTATCCACCTCGCCTACCCACCTGGATACTCGTATTCGTGCATGGATGATCCTGGGTGCGGAGTCCCATACACGATTATATTGAGCCGTCGGTTCCACCGCCTCGCCTGCCAGATGTCCTGGTTATTTGGTGGGCGAAGTGGGACAGATACCACGGGCGGGCTGGGGGAATTTGGATAGAGTCAGATAAACAACGAATGGTGGAATCGTCGCTGACAACGAGGGCGAAGATCGGGCTATCTCCGGCTAGGTAATGGAGCAAGTTTGACGACAGGGGCAAGGATCCTTAGCGAGAGGATGGACACGAACTGCCTGCCGTCCCCGTCATCAACTCGCCTGTCAGGATAGACGTGGTCAACGGCTATAAAAGAACAGGGCATCCGACACTGTCGATCACTTTCTCTTCTGTCACTGTCTTCTCACTCTCCCTCCCTGGTACCCCCGTCTTGCTTGCTTCCTTCCTCGCCTCGTCTCAGCAAGTGCCCCGGATCCCTTCAGCATGCTGACCATGACCATGGCTTCCTTCTTCCCACCTTCTACTCTTGGGCTTGTACACAGGTCTGATTCGTGCTGATAGAGGGGAAAGCTCCATGTTCTGATCGCTGACCTGATTCCGATCCTTACCAACCCGTCTTGGTTGTGACTATCGTTCTTCCTACGCGGGAAGCCACCACCGCATCATCGTGTGCCAGCCCTCCACACCCTCTGTTGTATGTACGTACCACACAGTGCGGAGGGGAATGAATGGTGGACTGATAGTACGTACGTTTCAAGATTTCCGTCTTTGGTGAACCTGGTTTTTTGAATCACAAAATTCCTGACCGAAAGAATTTCACATGCAACCTCGCCCCCTTCACTCTCCTTTGAAAAGAAAAGTGCCCATCGTCGTCAAGTCATTATGGTTCGTGGTGGTGACCAATCCAGGGGAATGAAAGGACCAGACGTGGTCTTCAGCCTGTTGCGTCTTCTTGTTGTGCCGTTAGACCCACACAGACACAATGCATGCACCTTCTCACTCGCTCACTCCTTTTTGAAACAACAAGATCTCAAACAGGTAGGACTGAGAGCCCTCTAGAGGCACGGACTAGAAGAAAAGAATCCTCCTCCGTCTCCGGCTCAAAGGCCCTTGATCGTGTCGTCCAACCCATACTCCAGAAACGCCATGTTCGCCTCGTACAGCTGGCGGTCGGGGCCCTGGAGGAAGTTTTCGAAGCGGTCACGGAAGCGAGTCACTAGGGCCTTGATCTTGCGCAGCTCAGAGCGGATCAGCACCAACTTGATCTGGTACTCGTCCTCGCGGTCCATGCGCAGCGAGCCCATGGTGACGCCGACGTCCTCGCCACCCTCGCCGCCTTCGCCGTTGCGGATCTTCTTGTAGCACTGCACGATGCGCGTGATGATGACCGAGAGCAGCATCACCGCCGAGATATCCGGCAGGCAGTGGCACGCCAGGCACTGCGCCATGCGCTGCACCGCCGATTTGTTGATGGCCAGGAACTTGTCGAACGACGGCATCGTACCGTTCAACGCGCTGAGGATGTCCTGCAGCGACCCCGTGCAGGTGCACGACTGCGGCGTGCTCGTGCTGGTGATGCCCGACGTCGACGCCGCGTCGTCGTTGAGCGTGCTCGTGTCCGAGCTGAATTCTGGGTACAGCATGATGTTGGCGCCTGACACCGTCAAGCCCTCGTTGCAGAAGTCTATTTGGGTCGCGGCGGCCGTGGTGGTATCTATGCCGGACATCCACTCGGGCGACATTTTGAAGTCTGTCGGGAAGATGTTACCCGTGGAGAAAGCCGCTGCCGACGCGGCATACTCGTCGCTGTCCATAGTCGAATGCGTGAATGTCTGTGTCAGGGTCGGGTCGAGCGAACCCGTCGTCTCCGTCATGGAATGCAGCGTGGTGAAGCTCTGGTCGAGGAGCGAATCTCGCCGACTGTCAGGGATGTCAACGTTCCACGAGGCATCGTCAAAGTCCATGCTCATGCGAGCGTCTGACAAGGGAGACTCCTGTCGACTACAGAACCCTGAAGGGGGCGTCTGCTGCAGTTGTTTGTTGCTGTTGAAGGGGCCACCATTCTTCTTGCCGCAGCCTTTGGGCTTGCCGGCTCGTCGTGATTTCGAGTAGATGCATGGGGCGCCCGAGTTGGCACACCTCGAACACAGCGGACGTTCCTTGGTGCATTTGACTTTGGCGGCGTGGCAGTTGTCGCACGAGAGCCTGAGCTTTTTGTTGTCTGGTGTTGTTGTCGTCGCTGGGGCTGCTGGGGCTGATGGAGAGATGGCTCCTTGTGGTGCAGCCTTGTCGACCACCACCACGTCGGCAGAAGACATGGCAGGATGGATAAAGATCGGGGTAATATGGTATTTCTCCCTTTCCTCTCCTCCCGGCTCCAGGGCTTTCTTTCCCCTTCTTTTGTGATGTTATAAGTTCTTGTATCGGTCTCTGGGTTGTGCAAGAGATAGTATATCAATCACCGAGCCATCTGGACGCTGGTCTAGAGGGGTATGGGGGCAGTGGTAGCAGCAGCAACAGTAGCAGCAACAGTAACAGTAGTAGGATAGTCCTGTGTTTACATATCCTCAAACAGAATGCCAAACGTGCAAACAAGAGTTTATTGTATGCAAAGGTCACGTCCGCCCGCCTGTCACCCTTGGCTTATGCAATCTCGCCAACCAGCCAGGAAAAAGTCCGTCCGTCTGTTTTGACCGATATCTATCTACATACAGTACTTACTTACCCCAGCTACTCGTTGCTTGTGCTGGGGATGAGGTTGCTGGTGCCCAGGAAGACCCGACCCGACTCGACCACACCGACCAACCGCATCCCACGCGGTGGAACGGACCCGAGTACAAAACCACCCACTCACTTCATCCCATCCCATCTCATGGATGCATGCATGGCGCTGAGGGGCAAGCTCATCGTCATCATCTTCATCATCTTCATCATCAGCATGGGCATGAGCACCATCAGCACAATCGCCATCGCCATCATCGTGGTATTGTGTTTGTTCTTGTAATTTGCACATGGTAATTCACTTCTCAACGGACTAGGTAGGATATTGTCCTCATAATCATCTGTAAGGTGTGGACCATACCATGGGAATGAATTTGCCCGTTTACCTACCCACTCCCCACCAACTCCAACCCATGCACAGATCGTCCACACACCCATCCCACACATGGCACGAGTACATCCTGTGATAGTGACCACGCTTCAGACCACGGTGCAAATCGACGTGTCGAGGTAAGGGGCGGAAACGTTGTGCATATGCTCTATGACGTTTAATGGGGGGAGACTGAGGGCCAATGGTGCCATACTCCCTCTCCCTTCCATCCCCCTGTTCCGTAGCCCTGTCCTCATCCTGCCGGGGATGGACGGGGATGAATTTGTACGCAGCAGTTCCACACGCAAGGGTTTGTCTGTGACAAGGTGGGCAAGGGGGCCAAGGTAACTAACTACACCAGATAGGTAAGTACCTACCGAGCTGAGTGTATCTACACGGGTAATGACAGCGTGGGCAGAATGTCAGACACAGAGACAGAGACACCGCGAATCGAATCGAATCGAATCCTTGTTACATCGCATCACACCGGCTACCATCGATATGACGAGGTGCGTTGGGTGTGTATGTAAGCTAAACTATGCTTCCATGCAATAGCTGCCGAAGCAACAGAAACCTCTTTCAAATAGACAGACATGGGGAAAGTTCCTATCGCCATACGCGTAAGACGAGATCAGATCAGAACAAATCCGATCCTGATGCTGCCCCATATGTGGTAGCACCGACATCTGCTCGTGGTGTTGCGGTGGATCTAAAACACCATCCGCATCTTCAGCTTGTCCCCGTCCACAATCTCGTCCTGCATGGCCAGCAACTCCGGCATGTCCCAGTTGCACGACAGGTACCTGCCCCGCAGCCACTCGCGGCGCGTCTGCGTCAGGAACACCACCGTGTCGGCCATGAGCTCGGGCGTGTCGATCAGATTGACTTTTACAAAGTCGGGCATCCTCCACGCCAGCTCCGTCGGCACCGCCCCCGGATGCATGCAGTACGCGATCACGCCCTGCGCGCCGTACTCGACGTTGAGGAAGTCGCTCAGTCGCAGCAGCGCGAACTTGGTGCTCTGGTATGCGCTGGCGCCCGGGATGCACATCTGCGCCGCGATGCTCGACATGTTGACGACCGTCTTGAGGCTCGATCCGTCGGCTAGCAGCAATGGCAGCAGGGCCTTCCAGGTCAGAAAGTGTCCGCGGATGTTGACGTCCCAGGACCGCCACCACTCGTCGACGTCGGCCTCGAGTATGTTGACCCAGGGTTCCATGTAACCCGCGTTGCTGATCAGGATGTCGAGCCGCCCCTCAAAGTCTGGGGTCATCCTGTCGACGGCGCGCTGCACGCTCTCCGGGTTCAGCACGTCCATGCTGGCCGTCACTACTTTCGGCACCACGCGACCAGCCGAGGCGGCGGCGTTCTCGATCTCCTTCTTGACCTCTTCCAGATCTGACCGTGCGGCGATACCGATAATCGACGCCCCCGCCCTAGCGTAGGCGAGAGCCATCGACTTGCCAATACCCCGTGACGCCCCCGTCAGGAAGACGTGCTTGCCTACCATGCCCACACTGTGGGAGACATCAATGGCGGGGTACGTGTCGTGATGGATCGTGGGCGTGAAGTGCTCCCCTGTACACACCCAAGCGCCATCGTTAGCTCAGTCGAGCACATGCAATACGGGAAGACGCAGCATCATAAAGTTTACCGGTGTGAGTAGGAGCCGCTCTGCCAGGTTTCTCGAGGCTTCCCATCCTTCCTCCTTCGTGGCGGGTTCGAAAAGGGGTCTGAGCTTGTGGCTTTGATCGTCCCTGGACAACTGTTTCGTAGATACGAATTCGCTTGTTAGTATGATTCCTTATGCTGCAATTGAGCCCACTCTCATGTCACACAGCACAAGCCTACGCTTTTATCATGTGCGTAAAGGCAGCGGGATGATATGCTCCCAATCAAACGGCAATTCCTTAAAAGTGTGATGAGATATCGTCCTCGGCGTCTCAAAAGCCTGCGACGCCAGGCTAGCATCCTTGGTATCAGCCCAGATATCGTTTCGAACAGCGAGCCGCCCTTGACGTGCATATGGATTGACCCGGCCGTCGAGCCATTGGAGAATGAAGGATTGACTGATAGTGTTGCCGTTCGATGAGCAAGGATGCAAAGCTTCTTGCATCGAGGATAGAGAGATCGATCGATCGATCGACTGATGACGGTGGCCACCAGATTTAAGTATCACAGATGGCCATATTGAAGTGATGAAGAAGTCAGGCGAGCTCGGGATTCCAGAGAACTCGTCCCACTCGCCCTCAACGCAGGATAGTGGAGCGCCTCTGACCGCCCGGTGCCTGAGGAGGCTCTGCGTGTCGGTGATCAATCTCGGCCCGAGACCGTAAGGCTGGTGTTACCTTGCGAGTTTGAAGATTTTTAGAGCCGACTCTGGGAAAGCTAGATACCGAGATGCACATGCGTTGATGCCCGTTTCGACATATTCTTATTTCCCACCCTCGGTGACCGAAAGAATAGCCATGCTGTATCGGCATGGGAATGCAGTAAATCCACATGAAACTGAGACAGGATAACTGAATCAGGCTTTGACATTGGGGTATCACATTCGGGTCCGCATCATCTGCGTGGGACCCAGAAGAAATATGATGTTGTATGACCTGCAATGGAGACCGTGTATGCTTTCGGATCAGGTATAGCACGGCGTCAGGAGATGTCGGAAAGAACAGCATGTGCAACGCCGGTTGGTCTACGGGTTGAGACACGAGAGGCTCTCACAGCTCGAGGATAGGAGCTGCATAGAGTAGTAATGTCATCTGTACGGTAGAGACTGGCTTCCCCGGGAATCTGGACTCCTCCGAATTCCATTTCCGTTTCAAGACTTGAGCACCTGCCGCTTTATCATAAGGCTTGTTTGGAACCTGTTCATGTGGTGTCCAAAGTTATTGACGGGCCAAAAGCGCCACCAGCGCCACATTTTTATTTTCCAAACACGTCAGCTACTCTCGCACGGGCGTTTTCAGTAGAGTCAGGCGTTCAAAATGGAGGCCAGGGGAGGCCTAGTGAGCCTGGTGGCTTGCGCATCAACCTAGAACCCGCCAATGCTTGTCTAACGGTTAAGTTGACGCCGGCTCTAATGCTGCCCGCCATTTTCTCGTCCTCGACCACGTAACGCAGAGCTGTGTTTTAGGGGGCATGTGAAATGTGACTTATTTGTCGCGATCGGCCCCTTGACTCAGACGACTCCCGCCTAGGCCAGGCCGGTGAGACTAACAGGCGACCAGCAATCTCCCCAGGTGATCTCGTCTGTGCAAAGGGTGGTTCAAGCTTGTCGTCATGGATTAACTTCGAGGGGAAAAGCTTGTGAAAGCTTGTCTGAACAATAGAAGGGTGACCATTCCCCAGCTACCGCCCGCTCTCCCCATAGCACGCCCCCTTCTATTCTGGTGGTTGTCAAAGCTTGCTGGTCCATTTCTCCTATCAATGGTCCCTGCTTCGATTTTCTGTTTCTCTGCTGTGTTCCGGCGGATCGACTCAGCAGCCATTGATTCCAGGGATGCGACCGCGCTCGGAATGATCCATCTCATCCTTTCATGAAGCACTCACTGTATTTGCCTTTCGACCTTGATCAATTCGCCCTCGAGACACTGGAGTCATGAAGACCCTAACCATTTGTCTGGGAGTGGGGAGCACTCTGTTGTCGTTGGTGACTGGTATACAGCTTCCATCTGCGACAGGGCAAGGATCGGATCTGGCTTATTATATGTCGGTAAGAGCTGCTGGGTACGCCCGCTGCTACCTAGATGATAGTCTCTTACACAGTTCTCTTTAGCGGCCAGACATTCGTGCTCCTCTTTGGAGATTGGACACGTATGAAGCGGACGCCGTCACGCCAGGATATTGGTTCACGTCTCCTTTCAAGCACCTGGTCGTTGGCAGGATGGAGGACGAATTCGTCCCGTTTCAGAACGGTCCGCAGATCTACGATCACCGAGGAGTGAGTCGGCTGACCGTCCTATCCAGCCCGTACTAATATCATCAGGAACTGGTGTGGAGCGGCAGTCCCATGTTCGAGTACCGCAACGTCTTTGACTTTCGAATGGGCGAGGTCAACGGCTCCAGGGTGCTGACTGCAATAGTCGATGCTGCCCGCCTCCCCCAATCCAACTACTCCACGAGGCAGACGGGGTTCATCATCGACGACAGATATCAAGTGGCCCAACAGCTCGACCTGGCTGGGGCGTACAACATGCACGAGCTCAACAGCGTCGGCGGCAACCGAATTATCATTGCCACCGACGGCTTTTCGATTGTCAACCTCAGCAACGTGGGCCTGCCGGACCGGACAGCTGGCGTCAAAGCAGGAGGATTCCGTGAGTGGGATGCTGCTACTGGCAAGGACGTGTTTCAGTGGCAGGTTATCGACCACATTCCCGTGACCGACTCGATGATGGAGATGCCGGACGAGTCTTACCGGAGCTGGGATGCCTTCCACCTCAATTCCGTCACCAAGGATGCCCGCGGCGACTACCTCGTCTCGCTTCGCCACACTAGCACTGTCTACAAGATCTCTGGGGGAGATGGTTCCATCATCTGGCGCCTTGGGGGAAAGTTTAGTGACTTCCAGCAAGATTTCAATTTCTCCGGCCAGCACCATGCCCGAATCGTGGCTGAGGACGACAACGGCATGACCATCACCCTGTTCAATAACGCCGCCGACGACCGGGGAGTTCAAGCAAACACCGCAAATACCTCGTCAATGCAAGTGATCAAAGTATATGATCGAGAGGAGCCACGTCGTGCGGAGCTTTTGGCCCACTACCTCCGGCCTGACGGCGAGTTAACCAAAAAACGCGGCTCGGCTCAAATGCTGGACAACGGGAACGCCTTCATCTGCTGGAGCGCAAGTGGATACATTACGGAGCACACCCCTGACGGCCGTGTTATTCTAGAGGCGAATTTCCTCACCGATCGGTTCGACTCGTACCGCGCGTACCATTTTACCGACTGGGTTGGACGGCCTGCCGAACCGCCGGCCTTGATATCGTACGCCCACAGGGGCGGATCGCAGAAACCGCTCCCCTCGACGGTCCTGTATGTGAGTTGGAACGGCGCGACGGAGGTGGCCTCATGGACTTTCTACGGCGCGTCCAGCATTGGCGACGGCGGCGACAGCTTCCACCGCCTCGGTAGTGTGTCGAAATTGAGCTTCGAGAGTAGTATGGCTGTCGACGGATATTGGCCGTATACCTACGCCGAAGCGTACGACGCGCGTGGAAATCTACTCGGCACGTCGGAAGTCAGGGAGACGGTCCTCCCCGAGCAAGCGGGCGGCCAAATCGACCGGGACGACGGCCACAGAGACCAATACTTGAGCGCCAGCGCCTCGGTGTCACTAGGCACGCTGACCCTGCAAGCGTCGAAGCCGGTGGCTAACCTTGCTACTTTTGTCGCGCTCCTCTGCATTTTTTATACCGCCATTTCGCTTTCCGTGCGCGTTTGGAGCCGATGGCGGCGATGGTCTTGCTGCTATCCCTACCGTGGTCAGCAGGGACAGGAAAAGACGTTCAGTGAGGACGAGGCCGATGCTCTTTTCACCGCACCCAGACATTCGTTCTGAAAGTGTCAAAGAGGACAACGACGACTAAGTTGGACGCCCCGCTGTGCGGAAGTAGATTCTATCTTGTATGAAGAGAAGGCCTGTTTTTGTGGAAAAGGTATTTGTCAGAGAACCTGTTGGGTATCTGCTGTGACTGGTGTGTGGTTATCTATCTGAATGCTAGTTGTAGAGATGGTAGAACAAGTATTGCGGCGCCTACCACCACAGTATTTTTTCGGCCCATCTCCACGCGACGGGGGGCCATTTAAGGCAGCACGTACAGAGTATAAAGAGAGAACAAGCTGATTGACTCCAAGTTTGCGTTTGTTTCCTTCCTGCTTTAGGGAGCCCCCTTCACACGAGACAAACCTTTGGGACGGGGGAAGTGTTTGGACATGCCCCCGTGTCAAGCTTTAATTTACGGATCAAATGCAGAGAGGCAGATCCGGCGCTTGAAGAATTCAAGTCAGTTTCGAGGGTGCAATCTGGAAAACAAAAAACCAACAACGTCGATCGAAGATTTCCAGGATTACGTCCCGTTGTATCCGTTCAGCATCCAAGGTAGATCAATTTGAACCGCAGCCAACAAAGCGTACTCGACGAACATTACTCGCTGCGCATGAACACAAGCAACTGTCCAGCCATGCTAAAGGCCATCCCATACCATATGTCATTCCCACCTGCGCCGATTCGTTCCATCAAGAAGAACTCGAGCTTGAGAATACCGGGACAGCGGCGTTGACCTCGCCACAGTAAGAGTTACCCCCAACTACCGTAGGCGCACCCGTAGTCTCATAATACCCCGTAGATGGGTTGGTGGATGGCTCAGGACAACTGTCGTCGGTTTGGCCCACCTCACAAGTTCCAGCACCAGGGCCGATTATGAAAGCCCAGATCGCTGAATTTCCCAGCGTGATGGCGGCAACGCAGCAGTCTAAAGAAATCACACGGTTAGGCTCACTCGCTGGAGAATGCAAAAAAAAAAAGGTATAAATAAGTGCTGAAGTCGCGGGAGCCGCCGGCAGCCCCCTCTCCTCTGGGTCCGATACATTGGCATAGAATTTATAGGAGAAGAATAACTCACCGTAGGCGGTATCCACTGTAACATCAGAGACGGTGGAGTAACCTCCTGTGTATTCGACTAAAGGCTCGCCCTGGTATTCATCTGAAGAACATGTAACATCAGTCTCATGGTTTCGCATCATGTGGATAAGACACCGGGGCTGCAGTCACTATGGCGCTTTCCGAAGACCAACTTACCGGCGAAGTTGTTTGTCGCACAGGCGGCATAGACTGTCGTGGTTGAAAGGTACGTTGTGGTTGTGCTTGTCGATGTGCTGGTGGAGGTGTCCGTGATTGTGCTAACCGACGTAGCCGTGACCGTTGTCGTGGTTGTGGTGACGCCAACCGGAGCCGATGTGATGGTGGTGGTAGTGGTCGAGGTCGAGGTTACAGTCGTTGCGGTGCCGGTGACAGTCGACGTAACCGTCGTAACCGTCGTCGAACACGTGCCTGGAACCCATATTTGACAAGTGACGCCTTGGGGATGACGCCACTGGGAAAAGCCCCCCTGTGAACCTGGTTGATTCTGGCGTCCAGGTCTAGGCCCAGGTCCGGGTTTGGCTTCTCGCTTGCTGACAGGGTCACTGCCGCCTGATCCGCTGTAGGTGGAGCCTGGAAGGGAAGTCTGGATGGGAGTGAAGGTCGCAGGCGCCGCTACCGTTGACGTGGAGGACGAAGAAGTGACGGTTGTGGTCGTCGTAGTTGTAGCCGACGTTATCGTGGTGGTGTCGCTGGTAGTGGTTGTCGTTGAGGTCTGGGTTATTACGGAGAATGAGGTCGATAACGTTGTGGTCGCGGTGCTGGTGATCGTCGTCGTAGATGTGCTCGCAGCTGGTGTCAAGGTCTTGGTGGTAGTCGACGTCAGAGTGACGGTACAGGGATTGTAAATGGTGCTCCAGGTAGTAGCAGTATTCCAGAGCCCATCAACTGTAGCCATCTTTGTGAAGCATCGCGAGCTGCTGCTCGCCGGGGGAGCCGGGTGATTATTTTGCGAGCATGATGGTCCCCAGCATGGTTGAGGAGGCGGGCCGGGAGGAGCAGCAACAGTTAACGAAATCCACGAGGCCAGACCAGCCAGAACGTATGCGGGCAAATGCATTGCACCGGCGTGAGAAAACGAAGGACGATAGTTGGAATAGAAATGACCAAACGAATGGAACCGAGAAATCACTCGGAAAATGAGAGACTGACCTACACAAGCGCGAAGAGAAAACACTCAAGCATGAAGGTGAACGGTATTGTACTTATGGCAGCGGTCACCGTCCAGCGAGTCCATTCTTCACTGTGTCGAAGTGGTGGAAATTGAGTGTCTCCATCCATGCGAGGGCTTGGCCGGATACAGACGAAGCGAACCAGATGCGGAGCGTAGGGGGAAGTTGTGGGCCGCTGAAAACCGATACTAGCTCGACGTCGCCGCCCCGGAGCTTTACCATCTTGGGAAGCCGTTAGGGGATCGCCGCTATAAGTGGCTTTCGCAGGGGTGCGTTGGACAGTTCCCCAGGCTCCGCTTGTGCCGCGAAATATGGCCAGGGCAGATATTGGTTGGCGCCTGTATGTGAGCGAGGTTGATCAAACCTGACTCGAGACAACAATTTCCCCAGACCAGGTAAAGATCACCATCCCAAAGGTTCTTGTATAGATTGTAAACATCATCGATTGAATCCAGCACGGCCGAACGGCCGTCTTGCCGCTGGCTTCAGGCTTCGGACTCCATCATCTGCTCCTGGCGTTTCGAGGCAGCTGATCCTTGACTGTGGCCGCTCAAATGCAAACAGAGACACTGCGACCTGAGGTGAGATTCAGCGACACGCTTGCCAAATTGGTTTCGTCTTCGAGTGAAGCAGGGATGGACATTTATCTATCGGTGTCCGTGGACAAGGCTTCGGTTCCATCGTTCCTCCTGGGAAGCTTGTAGACCCGAAGATTGAGTCTATCGATCGTAATCGAAGAAGCATGGAGACCGCCTCTTATTGTTTTCTAATGTTGATTGGTAGTGACCGAAATGCATGCCGTTAGAGCATTAGGACAGTATCCTAGATTTACACAATGAAATGCTTTATGTCGCCCAGGTGCGCTTGCGTGTCATACGAGGGACGGGGCTAGCTGAGGGGAGGAGAAACTGCTGATACATGGCCGAAGACCAGCCCAGTTGCTGAGAGGATATCTATGCCGACTTGCTGTCTGAAGTCAAACTCGGAATTTGTCCTCCAGCACGCGACTCGTCTGGTGGCATTACAGTGGAGCCACGAGGGCTCGATGACCAGTCCGAAACCAATAAGGCAGCTGATAGGAAGAGTCCGGCTCATCGGGTATTGTAGAGCAGATTATGTCGAGTTGAGACGCAGCCATCAGAATTGCCATCGCTATTTTCCCCCACGGGTTTTTCATAGGGCACCTCGAGCCGAGGGGCAGTCGTTTGCGGCCAGGTCAGAGATTCCAAGTATTATTAGAGCATACACCTTATCTCTTGGGCCTGTAGCATGGCGATGTCGCTGTGCTGTCAAAACCTCATGGAGAGGTTCGATAGGATGTCCGGGACTAATAGGAGGGATGAGAAGAAACGCAATGCCATTCTTGTCACAATATCTCCTTGCTCCTTCCGGGCAGACCACACATTTTCCGAGAATGACTTGATTGCTCTGAATGGAACGGTAGCGTCTCCGCTCTGTAGAATGGGATTTTGAAATAATGTAAGCTTTTGTGCGGTTCAAGCCCGGAGTCAGTAGCTACTTCGATTCTCTGCATCGTCCCACTGGAGACAATTTCGAAATAGATTGGCAATTGTGACATCGAGTCTCTGGTCGGCCAAATGTTCATATGTCCAAGATGGTATGTGGGGGTGTCACTTGGTCAAGTCTAGTTTCCCCAGGCATCAAGACATGAGTGAAGGGTACGATGTGCTCATGCTCTATTCGGTGGTTGAGGCAATCTTGAAGAAATGGCCTCGCCAATCCAGGAGAGAACCATCGCTGGTTACTTGTGCCAACCCAGACTATGGCATTCGTCGCTCTACTCAAGATATCTCGCATAGGCGGTGTAAATCGATGCGGGCAGATTGCTCTGGCGCGAGGGTCCCATACAAAATGATGCGACATACCGCCATGCGCTCCACAACCCTGGGTTGGGTGATGATGATGATGAGCTTTCCGTTGATGAGCCAAAAAAACCCTTACACTCTTGGACAGTGTCTGCATCTGTGATGCGGGGCGGTGCTTCATGGTGAGCAATGGGATATTACTCTCTGTTGCTTTCTCGTGCACACCGCGGTCCTGAGTTGCAGGTAGGCTTCGTTGTCAGTCCTGGAGGCTTGCCCCTCGCAGTTGATGAGTCAGCAAAATGATTGCCAAAGCTCGTGACATCCCGTTGCCTCACCGGTTGAACATGCATGTTATGGAGGTAATCATGCGGCAAAGCCGGAGGAGAAATACTGAAAACGCCCTCTCTGAGTGCCGTGAAGTAATCTTGACCGAGCAAGAGGGCCCGGGATATCGCTCTTTCGTGGTTTTGAAACATTGGAAACTGGGAATCGGGGGTCACTAGGCCTGTCATAAGTCCTGCCAGCCTGCCCTCCCCTACTCCTTCCCCCGGGGGGCCGGCCGGACTTCTTTGAGGAGTTAGAATCGAGGGAGAGCGAAAGCACGGAGTATCCCACACGCGCTGCACACGGGAAAAGCACCCTTTTTTCATGATGGACAGGCGACTATAACTCTCCGAGACTTCTATTCTTCTACGGCGCCTTTACACTTTCACGAAGTCAAGCTTCCGAGCCAGCCAGCAGCCGATGTTGGCCTTGACTACGGCTCCTTGCCCATTTCGAACAAACACGATGGTCCAATCGCCAGGAGGTTGATCGTCCATGGCGCGTGGGTCGGCCAACAGCCACACATCTTCGCCAAGATGGGTCATGAGGTGTGGCGGGCCCCGGCCGAAGCAACCATCAAACAACCCGTACAACATGTCCCCCTCGCCCTCGCAGGTGAAAGTAGACTCTGTCTCGCTGCATCGATAAGTGCCCTGCACTGGCGATCTGTCAAGTATGCCTGCATTGTGATTTAGGCGTTGCGCAATTAGCACGCGGTTGTCGTCGAAGCGGCGAACGCGCAGAATGTCCCCGTCGATCGAAGCCTCGACGTCAGGAGATTCAGCCTTGTTGGAATCAACGAGTCTTAGTGTCTCTTCCCCTCTGACGTAGCTGATCTTGATCTTGCCCGCGTCTCCTGGCAGAACTCGGATCGCAAGTTGAGTCTCAGGGTCGAGGAATGATCCGAACCATTGTTGAACAGGTTGGACTGCCAATGGCGGTGGGTCGGATACGTCCAGAATCTGCTTCAGAATGTATCCGGCGGCCTCTGTCGCATTAGCTGAATGATTGAACAAGACAACAACAGAGAGGCGTTCGCCAGCCACGTAACGACGCATGAGTTTGTAGCCGCGAAGAGCTCCACCATGGCCCATCGTGTTGTATTTTCCAAGATCCGCATGTCGCAGTCCGTAGCGGTATTTTGCCCTGGCGCCGTCCCTGTAGTCACGCGGAGTAATGGCGTCTCGGTAGCTGTCCTGCGGGTCCGTGTACCTGCGGTCAAAGTATTTTTCGTATGCGATCATATCGTCGAGTGAAGCCCCCAAGCCAGCGTCTGCAGACCATTCGATGAAGTTCGGTGCCGGAAAAAATCCGAACTTCTCCGACCCCTCGTATCCAACAATGGGTGCAGGCAACCTGTCGGTGCGAGGACACAACCGCGCTGTTTTCATCTTGGCCGGACCTAAGATCCTTTCAGACAACAGGTTGCCCAGAGAATCTTTTGTGACGTGCTCGATGAGTCGCTCCATTATGTTGAAGTTGGTGTTGGAGTATGAGTATTCATAGCCAGGCCGGAAGTGCACAGACCTGATGCGGCGCAGCATATCCGGATTATGCTCGTGGAGCAAGTAGGGGGTATCCGGCCGACTGCCTTGGAGTGTACAGAGTGCCCAGTAGTCACGCAGTCCGGAGCACATGTCGACTAGGTTCTCCACAGTCAACCCACCTTCATCGACAAGTTCTGGGGGTACGACTTCACGGAGTCTGGCGAGCATCTGTGCTTGGAAATCCTGACGAGTAATCCCTGGCGGCGGCTTCTCCGTGAGGTCAAGCAGCAACATGGAAACGAATTGTTTCGTGATCGAACAGATTGGGAAGAGGACCTGAGGTGTGATGGGGATCCGTCGGTCCATGTCCGCGTAGCCCCAGACATGCTGGCCGACGAGGTTGCCATCTTTGAGGACAGCGACAGCACCACCGGGTCCTCGATAAAGGGACGGCACCGTCTTGAGAACACGCTGCACCTTTTCCGCATCGAACGCCATGTTAGCAATGATAGGAGAAGCAGTAAGGTCTCAGAAATGTTGTGAGGCTCAAGGTGAACTGCGCAGCGGAGTTTGGCGGCGTGTCACTCGAGGTTTTGTTCGGTTAGAGCACGTGACTGCGCAGAACGGCGTCTCTTCTGTCCGCTGTGAACGGCCAAGGCTATTGCTAGGGTTCCAGAAATGCACTCCAACGTGAGGCCGCTTCCACATTATAGGTGGAAGCGATGAAGAGGGATTCCCAGGTCTTAAGATTGATCTAACAATGGCTGGAGAGAATGCAACCAGAACAAGGATTGGCATCTGGAAATAACTAGCAGTATCGAGGAAGGAACCACATATCAAAGCGGCGGTACCAAACGCTGAATTCGGCGGGATATTTGATATTTCGCTGCAGCGTCCGTTAAGCTGTAAGATGCGCCACCAAACAGACCAAAGGATGGAAGTTTCCAGGATACTTTAGTAGTGTTTAACCACAACTGATGCGGGGTATGAGGTATGGGTAGCAACTATAGCAGAGGCCCGAAGGGGTCCCCTAGAGCCCGAACTTGACAAAATCAAACCTCTCAGAAGACTGAGACATAAACCTCAAGTTGTCGAGGTGTTCCATTATAGTTCGATCGAAATATGTGCAGATCAGCATGATATGGACGAGAGGGCGAGCAAGGCAGAGTTAGTTAATGGGTCCCTGCAGGCTGGATCGACCCCGGCACGAAGTCGGTAAATCCTTGGCTCACTCAGCGGCATCGACGGCGCCCCCCACCATTGGCAGACGCAGAGGCAAGCGAGTCCACAGGCAGACTGCTAGGCTGGTGGAGTCGAAGCAACAAGGCTTCCTAGCTAAGCTGAAGTAGACACCAAGGTTGGCTTTACAAGATAGGCTGCGGCGAAGTCAAATAGACGGCGGTAGGGTCAAGGATAACGCAAGGAATAGATCAATGTCATGAAGAATTGATTCCCATACAATTTTGGTGGCGTTAATAGCTTCTACCGAGCATGAACCGAATTCGCTGCCCCGAGACATTCCCGCCGGGTGTCGACTTACCTCGTCTTTGCGCAATACCTGAGGAGCTCAGCTGCGCTAGAGAGGGCAAAGAAACATGTGGGGTAATATAGCTGGGCTGGCCCAAGCAGGTTGCATGAGGATGTGGCTGCACTGCAGCTCGCTGTGACCGAATCCGCTATCAATCCCAATAGAGCTCCTTGCAGACGCTGTGTAACCACACAGCCTTCGGACACCGTCCGACATCGTGTGATGTCCCAGGTATGTTTGACCAGCAGAATTTGAGCCTGACACCCAGACCGTCCTCCTCGCTCTTGCGATTCGTCCGTCGAACCCTCTCTCCGAGTGTCCCCACAGACCGAGTTCCCATCCGCCTGTGGAGCTTTCACAGCAGAGCCTCACAACCGGACGACAAGAGAGGGGAGGGGGAGGCGGGCAAGGAAGGATGTGGGAGAGCACAGGATAGCGAGGGAGAGCTAGTTGAGAACTCAATTGGCTACATAGAGATGACCTGTCACATTTTGTAATGTCTAGGTCGCATTGGGCAGGCACCCTCCAGCGAGAAGACTGACGCGTAGAGAATGGAAGACCGAAAATTGGGTTAAAAAGTTGGTGACGACGCTCACAAGCGGACTACAATTCTCTGCCTCGTTTTCTCCCTTGAAGCAAGAGACTAACCCACACCCTCTGAGAATACATCTTCTCCTCTATCCCAACAAGCCAAAATGACCCCTCTCAAAACAGGCACCAAGGCCATAGTCACCAACTCGGACAAAGGTGGTTCCAGTGGTACGGCATTTACGCTCACAGACAACAAGATTGCGGTCAAGAAAATCACCGTCTGGGTTGACAATGGAAGCGGCGGCTACAGTGATAGGAAACTGGTCAAGGCCATCAAGCTCGATTGGACCGATGGCAAGGAACGTGAACGAGGAAACAAGACAGGCACGTCGTACTCTTTCGAGTTTGATGACAATGAGAAAGTGGACTCGCTGGATCTGTGGACGGGAGACCGAGTCGACAGAATCAAGTTAACAACGGACGGGGGCCGCACGTTTGACCATGGGGGAATGGACTACACTGGGGGTAAGGGCGGGACGAAACATTCCGAAGAGGTGGGCAATGGCATCCTCCTTGGCTTCGATGGAAGGGCCGATTCGAATGAACTTATTTCTCTTGGAGCCGTATTCAAGGAAGACTCGGACTGAAGGTAAGGCAACGTCCACAGTTCCCAACACTATTCACAGAGACTGACAATGTACATCTCCAGTGCAGGCTGAGGTAGCCACACTCTGCTGTGATAACTATATGCTCCAGACTTATGGGATAGTCGCAACTCAACATGTTCCATCCCGTAAGTGAGTTGAAATAGGGTTCCAGATGCCGGGATGTTGCATTTCAACATGCACGTCCTGTATGCAGCTCGGGATTGGGATCGGTCCAGAAAGGGGCAGTACAATTCAACATTGACATACTTGAATGCTTAAGTCCTGAAGTGATTACTTAAAGTCTTTATCCCTACTAGTCATAATCAGGTGTGTTCGATAAGTTGTGCCTGCGAGAGTCTCCCTTGTCCAGACAGCCCCCACCACAAGAGCTATACAACGGATCAGCCTTACTCAGCACTGGCAGCGTTGTTGTTTTCATTTCGTACACTTTATGGAAGTCTCGCGGCTGGGTTTCTTCATGAATTAATAAATTAGGATTCCCAATCTTTCCATATGCCAGGGGGGTAATTACTTAGCGTCTTCTAGGAAGCCAGGAAGAAATTTGCATCTCCATACCCCAAATAGCGTGCGGCGACCACTCGAACACTACCGAACTTCCAGATCGGTTAGTGACGCTGGCCAATGATTAAGCTGTCCTGCGTTCTAAGCCTCCAGGACTTCAGCCACAAGTGATATCTGACTTTACCCGATTGGATAACTGGGCGATATAATATGCTGTGCTGGTAACACCACGTCACACCGGTACGCAAGGCACAGGGGTTCTCTTGCTTCTGGTTGAGGTCGGGCTAAGCAGGCACTAAACAGTACGAGTGGAGACTTAGTAACACTATGTGCGAGAGTATCTCAGGAAGATTTCGGGAACAAACCCAACTGGTCGAGAAGCTGCTTCAGTGGCATATCCCTCAAAAAGTACACGCGCTCTATGACATTGTCACAATAAAATCTCTTCCACCCAGGAAGACCATTCTTCAGACTCAAGGGTCGGTAAAAAGAGGAACAAATTCTTACCTTCCCTGGTATCGGGTCTAGCGGTCCAAAGGTCCGTCATCATTGACCCCTAGCAAAAGCTTTCAGATACCGATAACCGATATGAGCGAATGGTGGACAACAACTGCAACAGCCTCAGAACCTGTCAACTGTGCTCTTGACCTGGCCCTGGCGGTGTTGGCTCTTCCAGTGCCCCACCGCTCACCCAATATTTCCGATGCAATCGACTTTGAGAATTATTGACCTCGTGCCCGGATATGAAATCCTGAAAGATTAAAATCTGGGAGTCGTTTATGCGAGTTTCATCATATTCATGAGCCTTGCCCATCCTTCTGATTACTTACCAATTTACCCCATTGGAAAGACCAGATATAGAAATCCGGGTTTCATTTTTGTTCTTGGGCTGTTCTTTCCTCGCGAGTGACAATCCATTCTTTCTGAGCCGGGATGGTGGCATTGTGACCCGTGGCCGGCGTTGCAGGTTCGTCTGCTTTGGTATCGGCGCTTCCTTCATGTAGACTATCGGGGTTACATCAATGATGCCTTCTTTTACTCCTATCTGGAACATCTTCCAAGCACAAAGCATCGCCGAGGACAATGCACAGAGAGCTTGGCAAAGCCGAAATCGACGCAAGCTGCAATTGAGAATTCACGAAGTGACATGTTTACTCGAGACATCAGCGACACTGATTTCAGCATCCTTTTCATTCATTTTGTCCAGCAGGGGTTGTACTATCTGTTAAAGGTTGTGTGACCTCCTCTTTCTGAAGGGTTTCGCTTGAGTCTGATGACTCACGTGGCTGTTGGAAACAAGCACTGCGAGAAGAATCGACTTCCTAGGAAGCACATATTCTGCATCCTCGCGAGGTTGCATGTTGCAATAGGAAACAATAGCACCATGTAGCTGTAGTGGCAACAACAGATGAATAGTGAATAGGGAAACAATATTAAGGCGGTGGCTGGTGGCTGGGAGGGAAATCTGACCCGCCAAGACATCCCCGCAGTGGCTTAAATTTTCCAGACGCAAAAAGTGCATTTTGCATCAACAGAGTCGTATGCGCTGCCTCTTTTGCTTGTAGCCCTTAAGGCATACTTCTACTCGAATCTGCCTTGTGTGCTTCCTCCGTTGACTCACCGACCACTTCCAGAGCCATTGAGTCACCTCAACCTCTGATTTGCTGCCCTCTCCGCACCATTAGTCCATCTCCCATCTGAATCCTCCTCCGAGTTTCCATTTGATCCTGCTTCCGGCGTCTTTGCCGCAAGCGTGTGAAGATGTCTGTCGAGGAAGCAGTCACGGAAGCACTTCAGACGCCAGTGGATCAGAATGCGCAAGCCGCAGAAGAGGCCAAGAAGATGCTAGCTGAGCTGGAAGATGGTGCTACCACCAAAGATAAGCCTGAGCAAACCAATGGCACTGCGGAGTCGAAATCAGCTGAAGTAGAAGCTCCCAGAGAATCGGAGAGCGTCGCCGAGAAGGCGAGTGCAGATGAGGGAGAAGCTGCGAAGGAGTTGGACAGCACTGCAGCAAAAGAGACCACGGACGAGAAGGATGCTACCGGTGACAATGTCGAGCATCGCGATCGTGGCCGATCAGACCACAATAGTCGGGGTCGGGGTCGAGGACGAGGCGGTCACAACAACAACAATTCTCGGAATTATCGCGACAACATCAAGTCCGATGTCACGACGCAAGAGGAGACCGATGACCCGGTCGCCATCCGGAAACAGGTATGTACACCCTGACAGCCTCGCAAACAATGCAAGGGACTCACGAGTCCAATAGGTGGAATTCTACTTCTCCGACTCCAACCTTCCGAAGGACAAATTCCTCTTTGCGCAGACTGGTGGTGTTGCGAACAACCCGGTCGACCTGCGAGAAATCCACAAATTCAAGCGCATGCGCCGCTTTCAGCCCTTCGAGGCTATCGTCGAGGCTCTGCGAGAGTCCCAGACGCTCGAACTTACCAACGATGACACCCACGTGCGCCGGAAAAATCCACTCCCAGAAAACTTCTTCGAGGCTGTTTCGCAAGCAGCTGACCCCCGAACCGTGTATGTGAAGGGATTCGGCGAGGAGAACGCAAGTACCCAATTTGACATTGAGGCATTTTTTGATCCATATGGCCCTACTCGCGCGGTTCGTTTGAGACGGAACGACGAGAAGTTCTTCAAAGGCAGTGTCTTTGTTGAGTTCGAGACTGAGGAGCTGGCACAGTCATTTCTGGCGCTGGATCCCAAACCGAAGTACCAAGGCCGGGATCTCCTCATCATGAGCAAGACCGAGTACACCGCTAAGAAGACGGCGGATCTCAATGCGGGCAAGATCACGTCCAACAGGGGAGGCCGACGAGATCGCCAGAGCCATCGCGGCGGCCGAGACGGAGGCAAGCGTAAGCGTGACGAAGATACCCGAGATTGGCGAACCCGTCGGGACGAAGATCAGAAGCGTGGATTCCGAGACAACAAGCGGCGGGGAGACCGCAACGGTCGCGATTCTCGAGGCAACAGAACCAAGGAGCCAGAAACAGACGACAGGCAAGTTGATATCCACTGTTTGTTCTGGGAGATTTACAGGGACTGATATCTACCTACTAGGGGCATTCCAACAATCAAGACAACTCCCATGAAGAGTGATAGCGGTCGTGACGAAGCCCTCGCAAAGGCCAAGGCCGCGGTTGAAGCCGAAACCAAAAAGGAGCAGGAGGCTGCGGACAATGTCGAGTCGACAGAGCAAGGTGGTGACGCCGATGCCTCTTCTAAGACCGCCAACACCATCACGGAAAGCGTCCAAGCAGATGTGGAAGCCATTGCCGGAAAGAAGCGAGCACGCGAGGACGACGACGGCGGCGACGGGGAAGTCGAGCGAGAGGCTAAAAAGGTGGACAGTAAGTCTGAGGTCTCGCCGGTCGGTTCATAGCCATCCATGAATGACTCGACCGATCTCGTCCAAACCGAATGATATCATCATCAGGTGAGGGAGGGACAGGATGCAGTTGTCACCACTGCCGAAATCCTCCTGGATATGTACATCTGTGGGATACCACGGTGGTGTTGTGAGCGTTCCTTTACGAAAGAGTTGTGTTGTCTCTGGCAAAGGGCGGGAGGCAAGGGTCAAAACTAGGCGGCTTTCATGTGCTCAATTATTATGAAATCTTGACACTCTACAGAACTAATGAACATCAATTGGACTCCCTCAGATCTCTATCTGCCCATCTTGGAATAATAGCCCTCCCCGTTAGGTCAGGGTTGGATGTTTGTTACTACTCGCGACGTCTGCGCTGAAAACGAATTCGACACGTTGCTGTTTGTTATTTATTTCATTCTCATACGCACTGAGTACTTCCTCCTCACTCATCCCTTTGTCTTCTTATTCCATCTTCTCCTAACAAGACCGCTCCTGTCCACCACAAAACGACGACACTTGCCATGGCACCACGTGACTATGTGCCTCCGCACGTGACCGACGAGGCTGACGAATCAACAGCAGCCACTCCTAATTCTCAGGAAAGTTTCTCGTGGTCTTCAATTTCGAGCCTCAAAACACCACGCTCCGACAACAGCGTGACGAGTGAATCTGATCAAGACGAGGGCTTTTACATCCAAGACTTACCTTCGTCCGCATCATCATCTTCAACACCCGGGTATTTCGAGTCCGTGAGCATCTACATCTTGCTACCGCCACCCTTTCAAACTGGGGATACTCCGTGCGAATGTGGTGACATCGCTCCCCACTCCCCTCATCATCACGACACAATGAACGGAGCGGCTGGCCCTCCTCCCGGTGGTGAGGGGGCCACAGCACCAGCCTCATCCAACACATCTGTATCAGGAGGTGGCGGCCCACCCAAGCGCGGCGGTCCACTCCCAAACCACGTCCAGGTCGCCAAATCTTACGTCTTTGAGCAGGAGATCCAGAAGTGTCTTAAGGAGAACGGCGTCAGCCAAGCGAGGGAGGACAATCTGAGACTGGCCGGAGTGCAGTGGATTGACAATGTGAGAAGGGCGTTGAAGCTGTGAGTTCTTATTGAACCTCGTGTCGCTTTTCACATAGCCACACGGTCCAGGTCCCTTCTCAAACAGCACGCGCCCTGATCACGTACAGGAGTGATTGACATATACCGTCGATATGCAGGCCAGTCAGAACATTCAACACCGCCGTCGTGTATTATCACAAATTCCGGCTACAACATTCCGATGGAGAGTACAGTTTTGTGGTAAGGCCGCTGCTCCAAGATCGTGGACTCCACGCTGGGTCCTTTGGATTGCTGACATCGATGCTGCCGGTAGGACGCAGCGGCAGCTGCACTTTTCACGGCGTGCAAGATCGAAGACACACTCAAGAAATCGCGAGATATTCTCTGCGCGGCGCACAACCTGAAAGTCTCTAGAACGGAGCACTTGTCGCCGGACGATCAGGTATGCTGATCCTTTTATCCATTATTGAAAATTTTGGCCGTTTACCATCAGTCCGTCTTCCAAGGAGTTGCTAACCCACCCGTCTGGCTCGTTCTAGGTCTTCGAACATCACTCCCGCACAATCATCGGCCTTGAACGCCTCATGCTCGAGGCCTCGGGTTTCGACTTCCGCAACCGCCACCCGCAAGAACTCCTCATCAAGTTTGCGAAGCATTATTCTTTCGATAAAACTTCACCGGTGGTCAAGACAGCGTATTCCATCTCGCTCGATCTCTACAGAACCTGGGCCCCTCTGAAGCAGACGACGGCAACCATGGCGTTTGCCTGTCTCGAGCTGGCAGGAAGGTTGCTGGCCGAAGACAACGAGGCCATCTGGGCGGGCACTGATTACAGGGAGTGGAGGGTCGAGAGGGGGATGGTGATGGGTGAGTTCTCCTCCATCCAATTTTCGACAAGGCTTGTGCAAGAGAAGGGTAGTGCATTTTCAATACAAGACTAACAAAAATCCCCTCCTCCATTCAGAAACTCTCCTGGACCTTCTCGAACTTTACACCCACCACCGTACCTCCACGGTGGTTGGGCCAACATTCCCCGTCGACACCTTCCTCGAAGTGCGCATCCCGCTAAACCTCGAGTCCGAGGAGAAGAGCATTCCTCGCTTCACGGCGTGGGTGGAAACTGACGGGTCGTTCGCAAACGACCATGGACACCACAACGTCAACGGCACCACCGGCGCCATGAACGGCACCAAGTCCGGATCGTCGAGCAAGAACGTCAGTCCGCGCGACGTGACGAGTCCGCGCCGCGGCAGTGCAAGCACGAACGCAACTTCTGGCGGCGCTGGCAACGCGGGCCCTGGCTCTGGCTCTGGTTCGGTGTCCGGGCCGGCCTCTGTGGTGGCCCTGAAGCAGCGCGCCGGCGAAAGAGGGCGCGAGGGCACCGTGCGCTTCATCCTCAACCCGGATCGGGAGAGGGAGGAAAAGGCCATTATCGAGTTGTTTCGCAAGCCTTGAGAATCTCCGAGCCAGGAAAAGAATCATCAACAAGAAACTACGGATCACGGTGTTGGGATTTGATTCAACATGACATGACAGGGTGAGGTGAGCAAGACGGGATGAAAGGCACATACACCCCAAGAAGAGAAAGGGAGAAAGAGAGAAAAGTCCCCGCCTCTCCCTTTTCGTTTCCTTCCCAATTTTTTCCACTCCACGGCAGAAGACTACATCCGCGCCTGCGGAAGATGAACTCGATCCAGACTTGCGAGCAAGCAGCGCAAAACAAGTCGTCTAAGAGAGCACAGAACAGTTGAGGACGTTCCTGAGTCTCTTACTTCGCATTGAGACTTCTGTGCAGAGTACACGATTGGTTTTGGCATGTGTCGGCCGCACCGGATGATTTGGACATGACTGTGCTGTGCTGTACTGTGCTATGCTGGACTGCGGTGGCCGAAGCGATGTGATGCGATGCGATGCGATGCGATACGATGCTAAGTTATGCTATGCTATACCATGCTATTCCAGGCGAGGCGAGGCGAGGCGTTGTCAACATCAAACCTAATCATCAACATCCATCAACAAGATATAACACTTTGGACATCGGCATGACATGACATGGCATGGCATATGTATGGGGGCACGGTCTTCTCGTGGGACATGGCGTTCCGGCATGATATTCAATTTTGGACAAAGAATGTTCCCAAACTGGAATCAGGGTACATATTGGCGGCTTTTGTCTGTGATGATTTCAATGTCCATCAAGAGAGGCGCATCTGGCTGGGCATGCATGACATGCATGACATGTGAAAAAGCGTACGCCTACATTGGTTCCGTAGCGTTTAATTGACGATGGCGTTACTTGTTTACCGTGATGGCATTTTATCCATCCCATCTTAATCTAATCCAATCCAGTCCAAGCAAAGCCAGCCCGACAACGACACGACACGACACGACACGATACGACACCACTCGGAGATCCTCGATCACCTAGATTTCTTTGGCTAGATCGCTAACTCGTTTCTACATACCTCCTAGATTAGATCTCTGCTTTCAGGGCTCGTCAAGCAACGTACACCACCGGACAAGAACAAGCCCTGGTGGCCCCTTTCCAACGAACGAACGATACAAGCGTTCCCAGCCCAGCAGATGCGTCTTTCGAAACCCTCTTGCTTTTTTCCATAACTTTCAAAGCGGAAAAGCCCAAACTCATCCTACACCCAGTCATTCCGGCAATTTCATCCAACCATTCCGGCCTATCCGCCCAGTCACGGCCACGATGGCAAAACTGTCCTTGCCTGGTCCCTCCTAGAGACTGGCCAGCATCTGACTCAGGGTGCCCTTGTCATACTTGACGACCTTGCCCTTCCCCTTGTCCACCTCGTGGTACCGGTCCCAGAAGCGCGTGTAGAGCGGCTCGATCATGCCCTGGATCTCCCTCGCCAGCTGCGACCGCACCTCGGCCTCCTTGTGCAGACTCTTGTGGCGGGTGATCAGCTCGTCGAAGCTGCTGTTGAACAGCTTGAACTTCTCCTTGATCTTGTCCTTGTCCTTCGAGGACAGGGATTTGATGATCAACGTCGAATCGATGGCTTGCCCGGACAAGGGCCGCGACCCAGCCGACGTCTGGATCTGGTCGAACAGGTGGTTGGCGGGGTCGCGCCACGCCGTCAAGTACAGCGAAGAACCGGCTTTGCGGTAGGCGTCGAGTTTCGCGTTGTGCGGGGATATCCCCAGATAGCGGGCGAGGTCTGGTGAGGATTGGACCGCCCGAGTGAGCACGGCGACGCTGTTGAGTTGAAAGATTCCCTGGATGGGTTTCTTCGGATGAAGAACCTGGGAGCGTGCGTTGAGCGTGGAAAGCAGGGCGTCCACGACGTCGATCAGGTAGTGAGACAGTAGAGTTGGGTTTTCAGTGGAAGGGGTTAATTCGAGGTTCAGTGTAGACTGCGAGATCATTCCCGGGGCCGACTTCCAGTTTCCGTCACCGATGGAGGAGAGAAGGGCCAGCAAGGGCCGCTCAAAGATGGCGAGGTTTTGGAGGCGGGATGCTGTTTGCGAGACCAACGGGATAGTGCTACCGTCTGGAGGAAGTGTTGAAATTGATTCGGCTTGTTTCTTTGTTTGGCTCAGGATCTCGCCGAATGATGAGCGAGCAGTGTCGCGTATCGGGCGGAGGGCGTCCGCAAATTGTGATCGTAGTTGACCCGTCCTCGATTCAAGCCGGTAGCTCAGGGGTGTGAAGAGATCCAGGATCTCGTAAGCGAGGAAACAGTCGCTCAAGATGCGTGGCTTGATCACGTTATTCAGCTCCGACAGAGTCCTCGTAAACGTCCCCAGAGCCTTGCCGCAAGTCATGGTAAAGATGCGCCCAGCATCGTTACGGAATATTCGAGACGTGTTCTCCGCTTCTGCGATAAACATGCCTTCGATACCATTCGCGTATGTCCCGACGCCGCTCGAGCCTTCTCGGTAGATGCCCGAATCGTTTCCGCGTCGTTTGGAGGTCATGATCGAGGCGGCTGCCAGGTTCTGGAGGCTGTTTTGGAGGTACTCACCCCTCACTTCGACATAGATCATGGCTGCCGCGTCCTCATCCCGTTGACCCAGTCTGGCCGAATGTGCCCCAGCGGATGACATGGCCACTGCTATTTGACTGAGAGACTGAACTTTTTCTTGGGGGTATGTCGGGAATGGTATTTGCTTCGTGATATGGTGCAAAGGCTCGATGGGCTGGGCGTCCTCTTGTAGCATTTGCCGATACATGTCGTTTAACTGGTTGACGCCGGTGGACAGGAGGCTGTGGAAATCGGAAATCGCCTGTTGGTTGGCCCTCATATTGGTCGAGCTTAGATCGGTGAGAGCCTTGTCGATGCGTTTCAGAGCGCTAAGATATTGCGGGAGTCCCGAGGCTTTGGGTCCTGCTCTGATGATGCCTTCCTCCCGACCTCTCGAATCGAGCGGCTGTTTGAGCTTCTCGATGGCTTCATTGACCTTGTCGATATTCCGACTGGTGATCTGAAGCTGTTGGGTGTTGCTGTAGATCGGCCCGATGGCATCCTTGACGATCTTACCGCTGACATCCAGCCGTGCCAGGCTGGCTGCTATTCGCTTGGTGATGTCTTTCGTCTTCCCCAAGGACGCCAGGAGGACTTCAACCTCGGCACTCTCCTCAGCGAATGCGGCGTTTCTTGGTGCCACCATCTTGAGTGTTTCAAACAAGCAGGGTACGCCACTTAAATTCTCCGACAGGACCTATGGCCATGCAGTCTGGTCTGAGACAGTGTCAACAAGCGTCAGTCTGTGCTGCACAGCTTCGCATTTTGCGGGTCCTTGGTTGTGCTATGATGGTGACCCACTCTGGATGCCCTCAAAGATATAGGCTTGGGTTCCTGAGTCCCAGCTATACCAAAAACGATAAGGATACGTGGGTTGATAATGGAAATGTGAGATGGATTCGACGGGCATCAGTTCAAGGCGGCGTGGAAGGTGATTTGGCGGGCGTCCATTCTGGGTTTAGTCCAGGAACAGTGGCGCCACGTGCCGGCTTCGGCGGCGTCGGAATCGGCTTCCAGCTTCTCCGACGTCATTGTGACCTGATCGTCCCCAACACAATCCGCCCTCACAAACACGAGCAGCAAAATCCCTTCCTGCGGCTCTGGGTCGATCCGGAAGCTTGGTTCTACCTTCTAAAGGATGGAATTTGACATCTACTAATCGCCTTTTCGTGCAGCGCTCAAGACAATGGGCGCTGCGAGGCTTTTCCTCCATTCGAGCTACCTGCGGAACACTGCCCTCGCTGCAGTCGCTTGCGCTGGGGTTCACAGCTCAACGCGACGGGCCAATCCCATTCAGCTCGACAGCCCTTCCGGTGTACATGTCCCTCAAGATGCCTCTCTTATAGCCTATGCTCGACGTGTGCAGAGTCGCAATGCGCAGACCGAAGACCCCAAACATGCCACAAAAAGAGGTGACGCGACCATCATCGACAAAACAAACGATCCTGATCAGTATGCTCCGGCTTTCGAGAGTGACGACGAGAATGCTTGGGCGTCCTTCTCGAGAAACTTCCACAATGTAAAAGAGGGCATTGCAAGGATAGAATGGGGCACTGTTAGCGACAAGATTACTGACTGGGTTGTGCCCAACTGGGTCAAGATACTTCCTGACGGATTTCAGAAGCTTCAATTTGAGCTCTCCATGCGCCCCGGAACGCTGGCAGACCAGATCTGGCAGGAGGCACATGATCCATGCATCAACCCAGAAATCGAGTGGAATGCTACCGTTCGCGTTGGTGACACCCTAGGCAACGACGAATTGGAGTTCCGGCGCAAGAGGAAGCAATACGTGACCAAAGCATTGGCAAAGTACCTTGGCCTGGATGAGAAGGAGATCCATCCTGACGACGTGCCTACCATTGCCATCTGTGGGAGCGGCGGAGGCCTGCGGGCGATGGTCGCCGGGACAGGCAGCTACCTGTCAGCTCAAGAGGCGGGTCTTTTTGATTGCGTCACATATACCGCAGGAGTCAGCGGCAGCTGTTGGCTACAGACACTCTTCTATTCGTCACTGGGTAAGCAGGATCACCGACAACTCCTCAAACACATCAAGTCGCGGATTGGGACACATATCGCGTTTCCTCCACCGGCATTGAAGCTGGTGACGAGTGCTCCCACCAACAAATTCATCCTCAGCGGCTTTGTCGAAAAGCTGAAAGGTGACCCTGGTGCTTCTTTTGGACTCGTGGACATCTACAGTCTTTTGCTGGCTGCCAGGCTTCTGGTACCACACGGCGATCTCGATGTCAACGATCAAGACCTCAAGTTATCAAATCAACGGATATACATTGAGAATGGTCAATTTCCCATGCCCATATATACCGCCGTCCGCCACGAAATACCTGTGGAAGTGGAGGAGGAAAAGAAATCCAGAGACAATCTGGCTCTCAAACAAAAGATCAAAGAGAAAGCCAGGAAGGAGGCGTGGTTTCAGTGGATAGAGATGCACCCCTGGGAAGTTTTCTGCGAAGAGTTCGGTGCTGGCATACCGACTTGGAGTTTAGGCCGGCCTTTCCAAAACGGCCGAAATATGCTGCTTGACACCGGTGTTGCCCTGCCCGAAGTCCGACAGAGTCTTCTTCTTGGGATCTGGGGGTCGGCCTTTTGCGCAACGCTATCGCACTACTACAAAGAGATCAAGCCCGCTTTGATCGGGATGGTGGGGTTCGAGGGGGTGAACTTGCTGGTTGAAGAGAAGAACGAGGACCTGATCAAGATCCACCCCATCGACCCGGCCACTATTCCGAACTTTGTGTACGGCATGGAAGGCCAACTCCCTGCGACTTGTCCAGACTCTGTGTTTCAAAATGACCACCTCCAGCTCATGGACGCTGGAATGAGCAACAATCTCCCAATCTACCCGCTCTTGCGACCTGGCCGAGATGTGGACGTCTTGATTGCGTTCGATGCGTCGGCAGATATCCAGAAAGAGAACTGGCTGTCCGTGGTGGATGGGTATGCTAAACAGCGCGGCATCAAGGGGTGGCCTGTCGGTGCCGGATGGCCGAGAGGATCATCCAAACCGCAGGAGAATGCCAAAGCACTCGAAGAAGCACAAGCAACCACTCCGCAAGAAGCGGCAACAAAACTTGCCGAAGCGAGAGAGGAGGATCGCGAGAATAAAGCGGCCAAAAAGGACAACACTGCAGAAAGTCCGACGACCGGCTCCGGTCCAGATGCGGCCAGCTCGCTCGGTCCCTGCACCGTCTGGGTCGGCAGCAAATCCGAGAGATCCAGCGATGAAGAACCACCACCCTCCAAAAGTCTCAATTGGGACAACAGCGACAATCAAGACTCGGCCTCTTTCCACTTGATGAACCCCGACGCCGGCATTGCCGTGATTTACTTCCCTCTCCTTCCGCATCCCGACGTGCCGAACGTCGACCCGGACAAATCCGACTTCATGAGCACCTGGAATTTCATATACACGCCCGAACAGGTCGATAGCGTGGTGCAGCTCGCCCGGCGCAATTTTGCCGAGGGCGAGGAAAAGGTGAGGAGTACCGTGCGGGCGGTCTATGAGAGGAAGAAGAAGGTGAGGCTCGAGCAAGAGGAAAAGAAGACGAGGAGAGAATGGAAGGGCCGCATGAGAAAGGTCGGCAACAGTTTCGTCTGAGAGGAGCCGGAGCTTGGCTGAACTTGATGACATCCATGCAGGCCAGGATGCGTGATTGTGTATTTCTGGTCTCTTTTGGAACATGTTGCATGGTCCGGACCAAGCTTTGGATCGACCGTTCCCCGGCCCTTGCAGTCCAGGAGCCATGAGAAATAGAGCAAGAGTTGGGCTGGAACTGTGATGAAGGCAAAGAGAGTAACAAATACGTTAAGATGACTCTATAAATACCCCATAGATATCGATCCACAATCCACAATCCACACTCCGTAATCCATCATCCGCGAAGATCTCAGAATATCTATTTCTTTGACCCTTTGCCATTCCATACGCCGCCCCTGCTAGTTAAACTACTATCTATGTACTTGACACTTTTGAGGTAGGTGAAGGAGACCAGAACAGAAGAGGGTAAATCGGTGCCACCAAGAAAAACAGAAACAGGACGCATGGTAGTCTGGCTGAGTTTCTGAACGCAAGTGAACCACCACCCACTTCGGCCCTTTGTTCGCCGGCGGACAATGGTGTGTTGTACACATCTATATATACAGAGCCCGGCCGGCTGGCTGGCTGGTGAAGTCCCGCAGGTGCTTCGGGGTGGCGATATGACATGATATATCGCACTGTAACGTTTTACGTTGCTCACGGTTTCCTCGTGGCCTATAGTAGTAAGCTGGTTCGGGAGAGTGTGCCTGATCCACCCCATGCTCGGACGCCGGTGGAATTTGGGACAGGTCTCAACATAGAGTCCAGAGTACGCGCGAGGAAGAGGGATTTTTGGCCTCTGTATGACTCCCGGCACCTTGCGTCCTTTGAAGGGTTTGGAACCGGGGTGGCCTGTGATAGTGCTGCCATGCTGGACTTTCCGGGTTTGTTGGTGACAGTGACAGTGACAGCTCCTGCGGCCACGAATGAATCCGATGCGCAAGGTCGCACAGAAGTTCGCTTCGATAAAATGTGGACATCTTGGCGGATTCACCGACAGAGATGTTCGACATAGTGCGCCGGCCGTTGTGTTGGGAGATAGGGGCCTTGGGCGTGCCGGGTGGTGGCACACCATGCTCATGATCTTCGTCCAATTCATTCTCGAAACAGGAAATAGGCTCAGATAGGCCCTAGGGTAATGTCAGACAGAAAGGTCGGGATGGAGAGACCACTTTGGACTGTGACTGTAACCGCTCATTCATGTCACAGCTCTGTTCACACAGGCGGATCGCCCTCCCCTTTCCTGTTGCCCTTGATCGACTCCACAAACTCCTTGGCCCATTGTTTCGCCTTTTCGAGCTCCTCATGCAGGAAGTTCCACCAGCTTCCCTTCTTCGCTCCCGGGCCTTCGTCGGGGGTCGTCTCGTCTTCCTTTTCAGAGTCGGGTGGAGCATCGATCGGAGAACCTGGTTCGACATCGGGAGCCTCTTCCTCCTCTTGATGTTCCTCCTCGTCGACAGGATGGGCGATTATCTCCGAAGGCTCCCCGTCTTGGTTTTTATCCTCGTCGACGGGATCCGCGACCACTTCTGACCCCGGCTTATCATCCTCAGAATGCAATCCCTCGGTTTGCAATGGAAGCCTCAGTGTTCCGTTGTTCGGTTGAGGGACGATACCCAACGAATCACACACGATATTGTACACCTCGATATTCTGAAACACGGGCACGCGACTGTTGGGTGCGTGTGGGAACGCCGGACCTCTAGCCACAAAGATAGCCCTCATGAGCGGATGCTCGTGGTCGTAGCCGTGCAACCCTTTCGGCGCATATTCTTCGCCCGTGCTGAGCGCTTCGGCGACGTCGAAGTCGGATTTCTCCACGACCGCCCAGCCGGTTTTGGGGACGATCCACAAAGGAGCGATGCGGTCGTTCTGGGTGAAATGATAACGCTCCGGCATGGTTTCGAGGGTGTAGACGTCGAAACCGCCGGATTTGGCGGCTTCTTGGGAGAGCTGTTCGTAGAGAATAGGGACATCGCGTGCTGGATTCTTCAGACGCAGGCCTCGAAGAGGCCAGCCGTCGATGTGATCGATCAAGGACATGTCCATGAGATCGTCGAGCTGGATCAGTCGGTTCGTGGAGGTCGTGGCCATTCCATGGTCGGAGACGATTACGAGATTGACAATTTCGGTCAGGTTGCGTGCTAGAAGGCCTTCCACCAACAAAGTCAACATGCTGTCGACATCAGCAATGGTGGCTCTGATCTCTGTGCTGTTCGGACCGTAGAGATGGCCATCTGCGTCCACGTTGGGAACATACGCTGCAATGAACTGCGGTCGTAAGTCCGCTTGCCCAGCGGCATCTCCGTCATCATCACCAGGCAGATCAAGCCACCGTAGAAGCCGGTCGACTTTACGAGACAGAGCTTCACTCTCGTTGTACTTGTCCAAATACGTCGGCTCCACGTCCGGTATATGCGCTTCAGAACCGGGCCACATGTGGATCGCCGTGCGCACGCCCTGGTGCTCGGCCGTCACCCACAGTGGTTCTCCGTTCCACCACTTGGGCTGCATCGAGACTTCAACGTTTGTGTACCAGAACTCTTCCTCCAACGCGGGATCCCAGAATTGGTTACCGACAACACCGTGACTTTCCGGGTACAGACCGGTCACCAGCGTGAAATGGTTCGGAAAGGTGACGGAGGGGAACGAAGGAAGCATGTATTTCGGAGACACGCCGCTCGCGATGAAGGCATTCAGTGCGGGCGTAATGTCGCGGTTGAGAAAGTCAGCGCGGAAGCCGTCGAGGGAGATGAGTATCGTCGTCGGTCGGAAATTGTGTGTCCCGTTGTTGTATCTAGTCAGTCGGTGAACCGTCGGCGTCAGAGAGTGTTTCTTCGTGGAAACCTTGTAGGCACCAAAGAGCAGGGCGACGAAAAGAGCAACAATGGCCAGGTAGATGATGCTCAGGCGTCCACGGTGGGATTTCCTGGGAGCGTCCCTGTCCCATTTCGTGTCCTCGAACTCGGTGTCGGTGGAGGACTGGGAGCTGGAGTCCTTGAAGCCGCTCTCCATCTCGAACATTTTGTCATCAGACTCCGACCCACTCCTCCTCGACTTCCTGCGCCTGTGTCTTCGAGCTTTCGCGGCATTGCTCCCTCCACTTTTCTTTTCTTTCCGGAACCCAAACGCCGCTCGCGTAGTCTCCAACCTCGAGGGCTTGTGCAGCAGTTTCTCATGTTCTTCGGTCTCGTTGAGGATATCTCTGTCGCTCTCCTTGACATGGCTGGCGCCGTCGAATTCTACCTCCGTATCGGATCCCGAGTCGGAGGGCACGATGGCGGCGTCCTCATCGTAGTGTTTCTCGAATAGGAGGCCATCGCGCTCGCGGGCCATCTCGCTCGGTTTGTTGTTGATTTCGCAGGGTCTTTCGACAGGGCGAGTACGGTTGGATTATGCTACACCGCCATCTTGGCACAATGGGTGTCGCAGACAGGGTGGCATGTAGCACAACGTCTCGATAGAACCCCTTGATGTGTCTCGGAGTAATCGACGGAGTCCGGAATTACAATTAATCCGGTCGGCATCGCCCAACTCTGCAAAGTGGATCTCAATCTTGTAGATTAATGAGATGCCCCTTTTTTTCTCCCAACAATCCACAACCCTCATGTACCTCGTACTGAGAGAAGCGACTCAAATTGATGTGGCGGTGCAGTGCAGTATTGGCAGTATTATTATTGACACCCGGCCGAGCCGTCCTCGGGTGCAACAGGCAGCAGTCAAATGCTGCTGGTGATATGTAACTCGGGACTTGATGCTAACTGGTCTATACAGCAACACGTCCACGTTGATATTGATATTTCACAGTCTGCAAGATGGAGAGCTTTGAGAAGTTGCGCCCCATCGGTATGTTGGTCACGTTCAGTCTCGATCGTCGCCCATGCTATACGTATGAGACTAACTATGTTTTGGTACATATAAGACAGACTGGAGCGTTACTCAACCGCCCGCCACGACTTGAAGTTCTATTTTGGTCCAGCAGTCACGGCCTCGTACAGGCTCCCGAGAAGCCATGCTCCGCGGCTGAAGGAATGCATCTACCAGGCTTTGGGAGATGTTGTCACTCGGCATCCGATCCTCTCGGCTATCGTCGTGGACGAGAGTACCCAGAAGCCGTACTTTGTCCGTCTCCCAGAGATTCACCTGGACAGATGTGTGCATTTCCAGGCACGACATCGAGACTACGACCCGGCCGTGGAGGAGCAGCGAGACGTTGAACTAGACGAGTTCTTCAGCACTTGGCATGGCGGCCCTTACGAACCGCCAGACCCTTTCTGGAGATTGTATATCCTGACTAGCCCTGCTCACCCCTCCAACTTCACCGCGTCTTTCTTCTACCACCATGCCCTGGGCGACGGCGCTTCAGGAATGGCGTTCCACAGAGCCTTCCATAGCGCCCTATCCGAAGCCATCTCAACTCCTCCGACTAAGCTGCTAGCTCCAGCGCCAGTCATCTCCTCGTCCTCGACACCGTTGCTGCCGAGTCTCGAATCGCTCCACCCATTGCCTGTCTCGCCGTGGCATCTCCTCACCGTCCTCTTCAAACACAAGATCTGGTCCAGTCGCGATCCCGGCCTATGGACAGGATCAAAGTGTACCACACCTTTGGGACTGCCCGGCGCTCGACATCTCGCTTTCTCGGCCTTGAACACGACGGCATTCAAGGATGTCTGCCGGGAGCACGGCACGACTATCACCGCGGCGCTTCAGACACTGATCGCCGGTGCGCTCTTCTCTCATCTGTCCGAGAAGTTCACCAAGCTCGCATGTAGCGGTGCCCTCTCCGCCCGGCGATTTCTGCCCACGGACGCCGGGATCACAGATGATAGCATGGGAGTCTGGGTCCTGGGCATGTCCGACACGTACACGCGAGACAACTTCCGCCAACGCGGCAGCGGCTCAGGACAGGGTGAATACGATCTGTTGCCGTGGACCGAGGCCCAGCGCTCCCGCCGGAACATTGAGCACGTCTTGAGCTTGGAGGGCAGGAACACGGAAGTCGGACTGCTCGGGTACGTGAACGATTACCAGCAGGAGCTGTTCCTGTCCAAGGTCGGTAAGGACCGGGACGCGAGCTTTGACGTGTCCAACCTGGGAGTATTCAAGCCGGCGACGGCGACCGTGTCAGAGGGTAGTCAAGAGGTGGAGATAGGTCGGATGCTGTTCACCCAGAGCCCTGGCGTGACGGCGGGTGTATTTCAAGTGTCTGTCGTCACCGGGCCAGACGGGTGTTTGGTGCTAGGAGTAACGTGGCAGAATGGCGTCGTGGACGACGAACTCGTCGAGAAAGTCATGGAGAGCGTGAAGGAGGAGGTAGAGCGCCTCACAGGCGGTAATTGAGCGTGTACCAGAGCCCCTTTGCACTTACTTACAGGTATAGACACACCGTAGATTAGACCTGCCCGTGTCATCGACAGAAGGTTCTCGCAGAGTCGTTCACCGCACACTGCGCTATGCACTTGTATTAATAATTGAGTCAGGGGCTGAGTCCAGGGTACGGGAGTAGAACTGTGCACTGCGCATGATGCTGGCGTAGCGCAGGACGCCTCAGACCCCCTTCAGCAAATGGAGACTTGGGGGCTGTTTCCTAATCCGGCACTATCTCTCGAGATGACGCGGAAGTCGAAGCATTCGAGGCTGAAAGGGGGCTCTCTCTCCCGGTCATACTCTCGGAGGAAGTCTCAGTTAAATAGTAGACTCTCCCCGCTGTTTCTCTTGTGCAGTTCGGTGTTCTTTCTCCAACAGACAGCGCTTTCACACGAATCTAAGCACTCGCAAACGTAATCACGGTCAACTCACCATGTTTCACAGACGGCCTGCACCGCCGAGCCTCGATCATTTCCGCCGTGCACGTCGACAGGCAGAAAGGCAACTCGTCGCGACTCTCGGTCCTCTCCACAGCGATCTTGAAGAGTTCTATACGGTCGTGCCTCTGCCCGATGGCCACAGGGGAGAGCTGAAAGTTGTGCGGCGGAGGGTCGTGGTCCAGAAACAAGCGTCTGTAGTGGGAGGCATTGGCGATGCGACTCCAGCTGCTGGGAACAGCGGCAGTGATGGTCGTCCATTCATTGTGCTCTTCCACGGGGGCGGGTTCTCCAACGGGAGCGTCGATTACATGACTCGCCCGGCGCGGGACTTTGCACTCGAGCTCAACGCCGTGGTGGTCTCTGCGACGTACCGGCTTGCGCCTGAACACCCATTTCCGACGCCGATGCAAGACGCGTGGGATACTCTAGTGTGGCTGTCCCAATACGCGCGAGAGTTTGGCGCGAATCCTCAGCAGGGCTTCGTCGTCGGCGGAGTCTCCGCGGGAGGGACCATGGCAGCTGTTCTGACGCAGTTGGCTCATGATCGAGGGCTCACGCCACCACTCACAGGGGCATTCGTGTCCATCCCTCTCTTGCTCGTGAAGGAGATCGTCCCCGCCAAGTACAAGAAGGAATGGACCTCGATGGAAGACAACAAGAACAACCCGTCACTCAACCGGGATACCATTCAGAACATTATCCGCACGCTCGGCCCGGACGTCAGATCTCCCCTGTTTTCACCCTTCAACAGCAAGACTCCTCACGTGGGGCTGCCCCCAACCTACATCCATGTGGGCGGATTGGATGTTCTCCGGGACGACGGCCTGGTCTATGAGACGGCGCTGAGGGAGAACGGTGTACCGACGCGTTGTGACGTTTTTTCCGATCTGGGCCATGCTGCTTGGACCATCTATGCGACAGAGTACTCTCGACCACGACTGGGGCCGAAGATGATGGAAGCGATGAGGTGGTTGTTGACCCAGGAAGGATTGAGAAGGCAGTAAGGGTTGATTGTTACTGGTTGCAACCATAGGTGCTCAAAGGAATCGAGGCGCGCCTTTCTCGTCATCGTCAGTCTGAATGATGCAGCTAGCGACACAACATGCCGGGAACTGCGTGCTGGTCAAGAAAAGGACCTTGAAACAAGACGAAGCTCGTTGAAGTTGCGCAGTCTCGAACGCCAGAAAAGGCTTAGTGTGCGAGGGGTATATCATTATGTAATCAGCATTCCCCACACAACAGCGAAAAGAAATAAATTTCTGGACAACTCTTTTGTGCCCGTAGTACTTTGTTTGATATGTCCTTGCCTTACAGATTCAAAGCCGGAGGCACGGGAAATACTGCCGCCATGGCTCACACCACTACTTCTGTCCATCACCACAGAAGTACCACAAAAGTGGACCACAAACCCTTCAAGTCGCGGTTTGCCTCCAAGAGCGCCTTGAAGGACCAGGCAAAAGGTGAGAGTGCAATCCTTTCCGTGCGGCAGAATTCAGCCTGACTCTGCTCTGTTGCAGGCAAGGTCGAGAGCCAACGGGCAGACAAAGGCCAGAGAAAGACTCCCCACCAGCAGGTCATGTCGAAATTGGCCCGACGCAACCAAGCCAAGCAACTGCGCATGCACCACAAGGACAAGAGGGAGGGGGAAGAGATCATATTCCAAGGTGTCGATGGAGCAGCAAAGCACATTGCAGTCGTGCCGCTTTCGAGTGACATCGACCCATACTCGGCCATCAGAACTCTGAATGAAAGTGTCGACGTCTCGGATTCCAATGTCTCCTCTGGCACCGTCCCTGTTCGGGTGGACCGCTTCCGCCGCAACCTCCTCTATCTGCCCGCTAAATTTGACCTGCTGAACGCCCTGGACATTTGCAAACTTGCGGATTGGGTGATTTTCGTTCTGGACGCGGAGCAAAAGTACGGCGAAGAGGAGGATCTGTTTCTGAGAGCGCTCGAGGGTCAAGGCATCACCAATGTCACTGCCGTCGTGCACAACCTGGACCAGAGGGTGCCCGCCCCAAAGAGAATGCGACATTTAACAGAGATGAATATTGCTCTGGGCCGCTATTTCCCGGCCCTGGACAAGTTGTCCAGCCTGGACAGCAAGTCGGACTGCTCGAACCTGGTGCGGCGGATATGTACTGCTTCGACACGAGGGATCCGGTGGCGGGATGAGAGGAGCTGGATGTTGATCGAGCAGGCCAATTGGGGTTCGCCGGTGGACGAAACAGCAGCGACCACCAACGTGACGCTCCTCGGGACGATTCGAGGGAAAGCACTGAACCCGGATCGCTTGGTGCATGTCCCAGGCTGGGGAGATTTCCAGATTGCCTCGATCCGCCAGGTGCCTCGCCTGTGCCAAAAGAGAAAGGCCGAGCAGATGGACGCCGATGAGCCCATCCAGGAGTGGAAGCCCACGGCAGACCAGGACGATCTCGCAGAGCTGGCACCCGAAGAAGCCGATATGCAAGATGCGGCAAGCACCGTGGCCACCACGGAGCACAAGGGAGTCCTGCTCGACGACCATCACTATTTCTCCGACGACAACTCTCACATGCCTCCTCCGCCCAAGAAGCTCCCTCCGGGAACATCGAACTACCAAGCAGCCTGGTTCCTCGACGACGTCTCGGACTCAGAATCCGACATGAGCGACGACGAAGACCGGGACGGTGACGTCGCCATGGACGCAGAGCAAGCCTCGCTACACGCGGAAGATGGTGGCGGGATGGTTCTCACCAACGCCGAGGACGGCGGCAGCATGATCGGAGGGAGAGCGCCCTCGGAATATCCCCAATCAGAGATGAACATCGACGACGAAACCGAGGACAACGACGCGCCCCTTGAGGCGGAAGAAGAGGCTCGTCAGCTCGCAGAATTCCGCGCCAGTCGCCGAAAGAAGGAAGCCGAAGAGGACCTGGAGTTCCCAGACGAGATCGAGCTGCACCCGGACGTGCTCGCGCGCGAGCGGCTGGCGAAATACCGCGGGTTGAAGAACCTGCGCACCAGCGAGTGGAACCACGCCGAGGACGCGCCCTACGAGCCGGCCGAGTACAAGCGCCTGCTGCAGGTGCCGGAGTACCGGAAGGCGTACAACAGCGTGGTGAAGGAGTCGTTGGCCGGGGCTGTGCTGGCCGGCACGCGAGTCGAGGTCGAACTGCGCGACGTGCCGATCTCGCTGCGGTCGAGCAGCGGCCCTTCGTCCATGTTCTCACTGCTGCGGCACGAGCACAAGCACGCCGTGATCAATCTCAACGTGACGCTGCGCTCCGACCTCGACGAACCCGTCAAGTCCAAGGACGAGCTGGTCGTGCAGATCGGCCACCGGCGCCTGCTCATCAACCCGGTCTTCTCCGGGGCCGGCCAGACGCCCAACGACGTCCACAAGTTCGACCGGTTCCTGCACCCCGGCCGCACGGCGATCGCGACCTTTACAGGTCCGATGACATGGGGATCTGTGCCGGTGTTGGTCTTCCAGCGACAAGCAGCCCCCAAGCAGTCATCCGACGCCGCCACCACCACCATCACCGCCGACATGGAGACCGACACCACAGCACCAGCGCTCATCGACTCCTCCCATCAAACCCACGAATCCACATCCTCTTCGTCTTCCTCCGCATCATCACTGCGCCTAATCGGCACCGCCACAACCCTCCCGCCGTCGTCGACGCGCGTGATCGCCAAACGGGTCGTCCTGACCGGCCACCCGTACAAGATCCACAAGAAGCTGGTGACGGTGCGGTACATGTTCTTCTCGCGGGCCGATGTGCAGTGGTTCGCGGCGCTGCCGCTGTTCACGCGCCGGGGCCGCCAGGGCTTCATCAAGGAGCCGCTCGGCACCCACGGATACTTCAAGGCCACCTTCGACGGCCGCGTCGGGCCCCTGGACGCCGTCGGCGTTGCCCTGTACAAGCGCGTGTGGCCGCGGCCGGCGCGGGTGTGGGAGGCCGGCGTGGAGAGGGGGTGATTGATTGATTGTGGGCCGGGGTGTGTTGGATTGGATAGATTGGGGCGTGGACGTTTGAGGCGGGAGGATGTGCACTGCGGTCGGTGATGACGAGCATGAATGATGAAGACGATGATGGACAGCTATGATTATGACTATCAAGATCCCTATCACACTTAGAGCATAGACAGCACCACGGCAAAGAACCATCTACCATGATGATGATGAATTAGTTCCTTTGCCAAATTAAGAGGTCTACCTTTCCTAAACACCCGATCAAGCCACCCAGACCAAACACCCAACGTCGATCAATTCCAAGAAGCACCCAAGTTCACCGAGCTGTCATGAATACTGCCAACGGAGCATGCCCCAGAGAGGGTCGGCATGGTCCGAAACAGAGCTCTCCTGAAGCCCACTGGCTCGCAAATTGGTAGACATTTCGATGAGACGAGGAATACATAGGAGATACCGCCCTTCGTTTCCAATGGATACAAAGTTCCTTTTCTTGTGCCAGCCGTGCTTCAGAATCTCCCTTGCATTCAACAATGACACGCTATGCCCCCCGACAACACCCACCTCGTTGTCCTCGTCATGAAGCCGCGTTTCCTCCTCGTGATCGATGTTTCCGGGCTTAGCTTGATGTCATTGTTTTGCCGACGTTGGTGGCGTGTACGATCGCAAGAATTCCATCATATACCACTGGTTTTGTCGCTTCGCAAATTCCATTGCACTTTCACAGACCTTCGAAAAGGGTCTGGGTCCGTTGTAGTTATCCAAGAGCAATTTCACCATATCGATGCGACCCCGTTCGGCTGCCCCCTCAATTGCTCGCCTGCCCTCATAGCTACTTGGATCCGCATCAATCTCAGCGCCATGTTCCAGAAGAATTTGTGCGATGCGCAAGTAACCACCGATTGCAGCCGCTTGCAGAGCCGTAACTCCACCAACCTGCGCCGCTGGAGCGTTGACTTCTGCCCCTCTGGACAGCAAATATTGGACAAATTCAACATCGCCGATCACAACAGCAGCTTGAAGTGCAGTCCTCCCGCAGCCATCACTTGACGGCGCCGCGTTGATTTCAGCGCCGAGTTCAATGAGTCTACGAGCACACCGAAGTCTTGTCACACGGGCAGATTGAGATTGATCGCAGCTGGGAGGCGTGAGTGCAGCTTGCAAGGGGGTGTCCGTGTCGTCGTACCGGTGGTTTACGTCCGCGCCGTTGGCAAGCAGCAGCTCCATTATTTCGGCCTCCCGCTCGACTTGCGCCTGCCTCTTGGTTTCAAAAGTGAAATACAAAGGACATCCGACATGGACACTGACCCCAGCCGATATCAGAAGGCGGACCATCTGGACGTCTGTATTGCGACATGCTTCCTCAAGCGCAACCATATCATAGCCAGGACGCCATTCGCTCGCCTGCTTCTCGCCGTTGCCAAGTTGGCCCAGGTAAGGATCCGCACCATGCTGAAGCAAGATCTTCGTAATTTCAAAATCGGAATTTGTGATCGAAGCAAAAATTGGTGATATGGCTGGTAAATCCTTCTGGCAATAAATGACATTGATATCGGCCCCTTGATCAATTAAAAATTCAACAATGCTCTTATGGTTGGATGCAGCCGCCAGGTGCAGAGCAGTCAGGCCGCCGAGGTCTTGGGTATCTCCCTCGGAACCGCTAGGTTTATTCACATCAGCGCCGGCATTGCATAGACGGGTCACGGCATCGAAGTTGCCCACAACGGCTGCGCAATGGACGGCAGTTAGTAAGGATCTTGTGTGCAGAAATTGATGTGCTTTGACGTTATAACGTATGTACTTTGCGGGCAACGGGTATGTATCGTTGGGGTCTGCGTCCCATTCAAGCAGTAGAGACATAAGGTTCACATCGCCGCCTAGAATGGCTGCTGTCAGCGGCGAGGAGTCATCTTTGCACTTCCCGTTCGGAGACACGCCGTCTCTCAGCAGCCCAAGCGACCGCTCGTAGTCATGGCGCTTGACAAATCCTTGAAGGATTGTCGTTGCATGGTTTGGAGTCGAGGAAGAGTCGAGTTTAGCACCGGCGCTTCGCAAGAGGTCGAAGATGGCACCGAACCCACGTTCAGCAGCCCGTTGAAGTGCGGTAGTTCCACATCTCCCAGACGAGCACCGATCCAAGTCTGCTCCAGCAGAGATCATCTGCTGCACCAGACTCTCACTTCCTGAATACACTGCTCCTTCGAGGGGTGGCAACAGGCAAGCTTTTGTGTAATCTGGGTTGATCTTAGCACCCGACTTGATCAACAAGTCCACCGTCGCGTTTCTCCCACGATATGCTGCAAATGACAAAGGAGGTATTCCATATCCTCGGTTCGCATCTGCTCCATTTCTTAGAAGGCATTCCGTCGTGGCTGGATTTTCCGCGAGAGCCGCCGCCTGTAAGGGAAGATGGACGAGATCTCGAATATTCTCGACGGGGTCATAGTATCGGAATCCCTCCCTCCAACTTTCTCCGAGGATGTCCCAAGTTGACCAATTCGGATCGGCGCCACATTGAACCAGCACCTGGATCATGTCCAGATCCCCATGTTGAGCAGCAATAACGAGAGGCGACCGCCGGAACGCCCCGGGGTACTCTCGCATGAGCATCTCATGGCCGAATGTGACCGGGCCATTCGGATTTGCCCCGTAGTCGAGGAGGAGTCTCACCATCTCGATATCGCCGGATTCTACGGCCACGCCAAGGGCTGTAAGGTTTCCCTGAAATTCAAAAACACATTCATTCGCTGTCGCCCCTTTGCGAAGGAGCATATCGACTGTTTCCTTGCAGGCGCCGTGGCGTATTGCGTCCCCAAGCACCGGACCAGCCGCTACAGAGACTCGCGACTTGAGCAGTAGGGGGAGGAGTTCGTCAGCTCCACGCGAAAAAGCCGCTGCGCTAATAGCACATTCTCTCCGTGCCTCTTCAACTTCGCATTGGCAGTAAAACCCAGGCAGTTGGTAGGCCTCCGAAGTAGTGAGCCCTGCAACATGACCGTGCAACAAACATAAATGGTCAGGTGGATATGGGCTCACCATTCTTCCTGTGGGTATATCTGCACCAGCATCAATGAGAATCTCAACAATTCGAACTCTCCCCCACTGCACTGCTTCCACAATCAAAGTTCGCGACTCAGGGCCAGTAGAAATGCGATTCATGTCCCACCCTTTCTTCATCGCACTCTTCACTAGATCCGACTTGTCGACTCTCACGGCTGCGAACAGAATTTCTGAAATGATGGCACGAGTGCTGGGGTCGTCCCTCAGAGAGAGCACATCAAAAGCACTAGGCCCAGCGATTTCGTCTAGAGCAATGACAAAAGCATTGACTTCCTCCATCTGCAGAAGGTTATTGGCTAGCATGAGAGCCGTGAATGACATGAAGACTTGCATCCTCGTCGTTGCGTCGGGGTTGATCAGTTGATTGGCAATGTTTTCGATTTCCTCGGGGCTTCGTCTGGGTATATATGCCTCGATTCGAGCCATGGTGTTTGCCGAACCTTCCCGGCTAGTACACCACTCTGATGGATTCAACACACTAACAATACCTGCATCGACGATGTTGCTGTCTCGAATGGCCTTCTGCACTGTAGGGCGACCTACGATGGAGGGACGACAGGATTGATTCCTCGCAATTTCGCGCGGAAAATTGGGGAAGTCCTCCATCCAGCAATAATTGTCCTCCTGTCCATGCCACTCATCAGTGACATCCAGGACGGCGGATGGCAATGGCGACGGAGAACGGCCTCCTCTCATTGCTGGCGTTGACATGGCCATTTCAAGCTGAGCGCATATTTGGTACCATGGCAAAGAGATGATGAGAATTCGCGGTAAACGGATCTTTGGACGAACGAATATGCCCTCTGGCATTTGTGGCCTGGCCGTTGTCTGCGTATATGTGGGAAGGTCGCGTCTAGGAAGCTCTTTTCTCAATTTGGACTCTGGGATGAGCCGTTCGTTGAAGAACACGTCCAAGTCGGCAATCTTGAGCCTCATACTTTTCAACACGCGACTCAAGTCTTTCCAGAAGTCGCCCTTCATGTTTTTCTGGATCCCCCATACTTTGAACTGCCTCATATACTGGGCCTTGCTATCGAGCAGGTAAGCTAAAGACCGAACCGTATCGGGGGCATAGATACCTTGCATTGAAGCCAAAATCCCTCGACATCACCTCGATTAGTTTTTTCATATGCATGCCCTCGTCCTGATATAGGCGACAGATGGTCGACTGATGTTCCTGCCAGTCGGACCTGGAGATTTTGCTGGGTGTGGCCATGGTGATATCGATCTATCTGTCCCCAAAAGTCGCCAGACTCCGGGAGCAGGACAGAATTAGAAGGACATGAAATAGCCACGAAGCTCGAGAAGGGTCAGGCTGGCACATGATAATGAGATGCGCAGCACCGACAAAGCGTCTGCCGTATTGGTCAGGAGCCTCATAAGAAGTGCCCGGTTTTGATTCGACGCTGCCAGAAGTTGGCCACGAGGACGCCGGTAAGAAGCCACTGAAGCGTCTCTCTGCTCGTATTGCGCAACAGGCGCCCCGCTTCTCAGCCCCTTTGCAGTTGCCTTGCCGCCTCACAAAGTGCGGTGGATTGATTGAGCGACTGATTGATGGACCGTTGACCGGGGCAGTGATTGGCCAAGGACAGAATTTCGCCAGCCCAAAGATTTGTTGTCTGTCCTCAGGGTATGTTCGGGGCCACATTCGGGCGGCTACGAGTGGGCGATTTCTTTTTTTCCATCCTTTTTCCACGGGTGTCTTCCTGAGACCTTGATATGGAGGCGGAAGACGAAGGGGAAGTTGCTGGGGTCAGCCGACGGGGAGCGTCTTGGTAGCAAACACGGCTGTGGGTGTTGCGATGCCCTGTCAACGTCGAGGCATTGAGTTATAGGAATGTATGTTGGCCAGGTGATTGAGCTTAGTTGGTGTTGGGTAAAAAGGTCAAAACCCTTCTAAGCAGTAATGTTACTACAGCCTGCAGCCAAAACCCGGGCGGTGACGTTCTCAAAGATCTGATCTTCAACCTCACACGGTCTAGTCTTCTCTATTTCTATCTCAGTCTCAACGCTTCGATGCCCGTCTCTGCAACATCTCAATATCCCGCCTGACTGCCTCCGTCTCCTCTTCAATCTCTTTGTACCTCCTGCCCAGCTTCGACATGATCCCCGCGCCATGCTCCCCGGCCTCATCATACTCTGCCAACACTCCTTCCAACAACCTGATCCTGTCGTCCAACTGCGCCTCCTCCTTTGCCACCACGGCCATCTTCTCTCTCATTGCTTCCCTCCTCTTCTGCGCCTGCGGGGATAATTCCAGCTCTTTCCTCGCCTCCAGCACCAGGACCTGCGCCTTCAAGGCCATCGCCTGTGCGACGGTGTCTAGGAAGGCGATCTTGGACAGTGTGTAGCGGGAAAGTACGCCGTGCTTGGACGTCTCGAGGTGCTGGATCTGCAGCTGCAGGAGCTGGCGCTGCAGCGTGAGTAGCTGCTGAAGGGTCGTGGACAATGCAGCGAGGGAGGATGGGAGGAGGGTGTCGCGGAGCTCGGAGAGGCGGGACAGTTGAGCCTGCACACTTTCATCCAGGCCCTGAGTGACGGACGTATGGCCCATTGTACCTGGGACTTTGGTCTCGTCTTCGTCTTCACTGCCATTGCCGTCGCCGTGCTCCCGGGCAATGTCCGATAACGCACAGAGCGAGGACTCGAGCTCGACGAGCCGTGAAGAAACCACGTCGGCTATAGGAGAAATATTCATCTTGAAGCGCAGGATGTCCTGGTCGAGAAGACCTTCCTCCTCTTGTGTCACTGCGGACGAGAGAGCTCCCGCCCCATCCGTCTTGCCGTGCAAATACGCCGCAATGACGCGAACAAGCTCTCCGAGGCTTGGTGGGAGACGATCCCTGGACACATTGTCCGTTTTCCCACGTGTCCCGTGCCCTTCTCTCCTCGCCACCTGGGCTTGAACATCGAGACCTTGGTTCGTGACATCTGACATCCCAGTCTTCGTGCCTCCCGCCATTTCAACGGGAGCAGTCGTGTAGGTGGATGCAGGTGATAGTAAGCCATTCTGACTCTGACTGCGACTGCGGATCTCTGCGCCGTAGGGGTGATAAGATTCGCTCGCTTCAGGATGACCTTCATCGTCGTCTTGGCCTCGAGCGTGACTTTGGCCCGTGACAGAGAGGTCGAGGTAGGCGACATGATCGAGCACGTCGCGGAGGATGCGGCGCTTGGTCCTCGCGACCCGGAGGGCGTGGAGATGTTGGTCGAGGCTCAGGCTCAGCCGTGGACTTGGTCGTTCCTCTTGCTTGCCTGCATCGTCTTCGGTGACGTCCGCATCTTCATACTCATCATCGTCATCATCATCACCTTCCTCGTCTGGTTCCAGTTCTCTCCGTAGTTCTTGATATCCCCAAACTGCACCGTCTCCCCCTCCTCCTCCTCCTCCTCCTCCTGCCCACTGTCCACGACCATCCACAAACGACAGCTCTTCCTCGCCGTCGATCTCCCCTCTCCTGCTTCCTCTCGGGGCCGCCCTCCTCGCCCTCCTCGACGCCCACCACCTCCGCTCCCTGTCCCTTTCTTCCCTCCTACTCGACGCGTCCTGCGCCAACACCTCCCGCGTGACGTGCTCCCACAGCCTGGCAAAGGCCGGATGGGCGTCCAGCTCCGACGGCGCGAGTAGCGGAATCACCATCGTCTCCTTCCTCCTCTTCTTCTGTTCTCGTCTCTCGTCTCACTCACTCGGGCGTGGGTGGGTGAGTGTGTGTGTGTGTGTGTGTGTGTGTGTACCTTGTCCTTTCCTGTCCTGTCCCGCCCTGCTGTACCCCGTTCTCGACGGATGTTGCGGGGAATTTGTGTTTGGTGTTTGGTGTCTGGTGTTTGTTTTCCACCCGATGGTTACACAATTAGGGTGACCACACACACACACACACACACAGAGGGGCGATTAGAATAATAGCAATCTCTCGGGGTTTCACAGGCCTGGCGGACTGCAGATCGGACCCGTTGGCCACAATCGTCGAGAGCAAACACACATACTCTCTCTCTATTATACGGTGACCGATGTTAATTTTGACTCGGTGATGGTCGACTCGGTGTGGAGCTTGGATCTGAGCCAACCATCCATACAAAACGATTGGCTACAGAACCAATAAAAAGCATTCCTTGGGACATCTCACAACAATGTTTAATTGATATTCAATATTCATACAAAAGGAAGCAGAAGGAGCTGGAAGAAGAAAACATCATTGGCTGCAACTGATTCTTGGATATTTTTTGGTTCGTTCACTTCATCTTGGTCTTTTCTGCAGCTAGCTCGCTCAAGCACAGTGTCTGCTTGCTTGCTCTCCCTCTCAGCAAAAATAGCATACTGTCTACAAACATGAATTGCCAATGTCAACTGTCTCACGAGGTTTGCTGTGTGCGTTTCGAATTAATAATCCCTTGCAGCCCTGGCTTCGAACTTGGAAAAGTGTGCCTGCTTCATTGCCAGCGGCTGCTTTGCATGGTTGTACACAATCAACTCCTGGTCTTCTCGAGTAGCACAGCCAAGAATGAGTAGGTCGTTCTCATCCCTCGTCAAGCTGGCGGGCAATATGGAGTGTCCAAAAAAAAAAGGAACTACTCCTCCTCGCTCTCCTCTGAGTTATCATCGTCGCTACTATCGCCCGTCTCTATCGAAGGCATAGCGTTCGGAGAAATCGGTCCAGCATAGGCTCCCAGCTTGCCCTTCAACTCCTCAATCTGTGCCTCTTGCTCGTGCTTACTCATCGGTTTGCTCTTCTTGCTTTTGTGAGGGGCCGGCGCATGATAGGAATCGGCATGTTCCACTTTCGGCTCATCTGGAGGCGGACCGGCGTATTTCTTGACGAAGCCGAGCAACTTCAAGAGGGCGGCGTTGGGGACCTCCTCGATGTCCAGTTCAATCTCGTTCTGGTCACTGTTGGCCAAGGACGGCACGCTCTGCTGGATGATGCGCAACGCTTCCTGCATTTGCTTCTCCGGCAGCATGGCAATTCCATTGGAGATGTACTGCTTCTCGGCGAACGTGACATATCGATCTTTCTCTTGTTTCCGGGGCTGTGGCTTCTTCTTTTCCTTCTTGTCCTTGTTGGGTTTGGGGCCGGCAATCTCGGATTTCTCCTTTTTAGTTTTCAACTTGTCCTTTTTCTTCGTTGGAGGCGATTTGGATTTCTTGACCTTCTTCTGCGTCAACTCGCCCATCTGCTTCGACATTTCCTCGATTTGTTGCTGCAGCTTTTTGATCTTTTCGTTTCGCTCCTCTTCGCTATCACCCTCTGCTTCGTCTTCGCTCTCCTCATCGTCCTCCTCCTCATCATCCACATCCGACTGTGTGACTGATGGTGGTTCGCGTGCAGCAATCCAGTCATCTTTGGTCGCCCATTTCTTGTTGAACAACTCTTCCAACTGATGGCCAGCAGCATTGACCAAGTCGCCTTCGGGGTTGAACTTGAAGCAGTTCTTGAAGATGAGACGGACATCCTCCTCAAAGTCCCTGGCCTTTTCGTAGGCATTGTTCTGGAGCTTGGTCTTTACCGTGGACAGATCCATCGGCTTCTTGATGATCTGGAAGTAGGTTGGGATGTTCAAGGCCACCGGGTCCACCGGATGCGTGAAGTATTGGTTTGCCTGCCAGTTTTTCGGGTTCATAAGCTCCTTCAGAACTTCATCGCAGAACTTCAATTGTAGCTCGTACTTCTTCTTCCTGGGTCTGCCGCCCCCAAACTCGGAGTTACGCTTCGTCGGGACAATGGCTCTCTTCGGTCGGCCATCCGTCAAGCTCGAATCACGCCGAATAAGAGGCATGCCGTCCGGATTCGGAGCGAAGGCGGGTGTTGGGGGAGCGGCAGCGCTGGGCGAGCTGGCGGTGGCGGCATTCGGCGTAGATGTACTCACCGACGGTCGACGAGGAGGCGCTATCCTCGTTGGCTCTTGCTTCTTGACTGCTTTCTTCACCTCCTTGGAAGGCTCCTCGATGCTGGCCTTGGGCAAGTTTCTCATCTGACCATCGAACGATGCCTTCATTTTCCTTGCTTGTTGTGAAACTCCATGGTCGCGGCCGTTGAAATCGAAACAGTTGTTCACAATCAGCTCAAAGTCAGCCACAAATGTCGACACTGACGTATACTCATTGCGCTTCAGGCGTTGGTCAATGGTGCCTAGATCCATGGGCTGCTTGATGATCTCGGGATACGACGGAATATTGAGCGCGACATAGTCCACAGGAAGTCTGAAGGGTCCAGAGGCATTGCTCTTCTTCAGATTTGAGATGACCTTCTTCATATGCGCCAAGCGCGCTGGAGTGACTGAATCGTCGCCGTCCTCGGTGATCGCCGTCGAACTGTCAGTTTCGCCGTTGGCGGTAGCTGGCGACGACACAGCAGGCGCAGGGACATCCGGAACTTTGAACTGTGGCTCTCCGGTCACTGGGCGCAGTTCGTCTGTCTTGACGCGCTTGGCAGCACGCTCTGCGCCTTCAGGGTCTTCATCGCGTTCGTGGACCTGTTTAATCGGTTGCGGTGATGCATCGGTCATCAATTGGTCTTGGGGTTCCGCCGGAGCAGGAATAGTCGGTGTTGGGGCCGGTTCACTGGGTTCCTCCACTGCAAGAGCTGACTCCGTGACCGGAATCGATTGTTCTGCTGTCGGTTGTGGCAGTGGCTCTACCGGCTGCACTGTCGGTTGCTCTTGGGGCTTCTGCTCAGACAAAGACGCCGGCGCAGGCTGTGGTGCAGGAGGTGGCGATTGTGCTGGTGGCGATGGGAGGCCAATATCCATGGCGGTGGAATTCACGACAGGTGCAGACGGGAATGAATGATCGGCGACCTCTGGTTTGAGGGAGGTAGGTAGATCGGCGGCATTGTCCATCTTGTGTTTCTGAGCCTCGACCTTTGCGACAGCTTCAGGGGTCAGCGCATCAGAATGGGGCGCGGTTCGCAGGTCAGAGACTGGGGCTTCGGGCAGAGTTGCCGGAGGCTCTGAAATATTCATGGTTGACTGGCTTGACTCCAACGGCGTGGCCGAAGACTGAATTTCGGCAGGGACGGATGAGGGAACAAATGACTCCGTCAAGGTTGTGTCTGAAACTGACGCGACCACAGGGAGCGTGGAAGGTTGGTTGTCGGAAGAAGTTTCGGGTTGAGAGTCGGGAACAGCTTTAGGAGACTGATGGGCTGCTTCACTATCGTGATTTGTGATCCCATTTGTGGCAGGTGATGGTGGTGGAATTGGCGCTTCAGAGGGAGGGGATGGTACTGCTTCAGGCACCGCTTCAGGCGCTGCCTCGGGAGCCATGTCGGTAACTGCCTCCGTAACCACGTCTGAAACTGCCTCTGGCACTGCCTTTCCCGAATCTGGCTGCGGCGCATCAACCGCAGGCTGCTTGGGCGGACTCGGGTTCACCGTCGCTTCTGAGTTGGATATTGAGGCAGCCAGGTTGTCGGCAATATGTGACTCGTCCGGCTGCTCTGAGGTCGAACTGAATTGTGTTGGTAATCTGGTGAGGGTCAGATCAGATAATTCACAACATCCCAATCAAGTGAAGTCCACATACCCATGAGCCTCCATCTGCATTTCCACGTCCATCTTGCCAAGAGCGAGTGCACAAATCTCAGGGTGACGGGAAATCGGACCAGCCGAAATTCAAACAGTTGTTGGATGAGAAGTTAATTAATTTAAGGGTGAGATATTTTACAAGGCGCGACGTGGCAAAGAGTTGGCCTGAAGGAAAAGTAAAGGACGTCAAGACAAAGGGCAAGCGCGCAAAGAAGGTGGTCGCGGGCCAAAACGGATTCGAGAACAAGACGGGGGAGGGTCGAGATTAATAAATAGTCGACGCGATCCCGATCCGAGCGGCGGCGCAGATGGAATTGTATCGATGCAGCCCAGTGTCTTTAGCGGCGACACCGACGACTTCAACACCAGCCTCGCGAAAATCTCGACGGGTCATGTGACAAGCGGCAGCACGTCACGTGGGGCGCGTTGCGAGTCCAGAGCGAGCAGTGACGAGGAAACAGGCAACAATCGGAAGTCGATGCAAGGTGGCGACGATGACGATGGATGATGACGATGATGATGATGATGATGATAATCGATGATCGATGTCAAGCAAGTCGAGGGTCGACGGGATTATTGCAGAGGTGTGTGCGATGGGATGCGCGTGGATTGGGATTGGAGAATGTTTTTGTTTGTTTGGCGCGTCGTCAGCGGGCCGTGCAAGAGGGAAAATAAAAAAAGAGGTGGTTTCAGAAGGAAGGCCAGCCGAGCGGCGGTATTTCAGGTTGAGGTGCAAGCGACACAACAATTTTTGCGCGGAAGCCCGTTAAATAGGATCGGGCATTCGCAGCCACCGAGGGGGGCTGCAAGTCCACCAGGGGGCCCACTGGGTCACTGCGTTCTGTGGCCCTGCAGCAACGCTAGATGATCCTGGCATGGTCATCCTTGCAGAATCTCCAGAGTGGATGCACAGAGCCCTCATCTGCCCCGTCTCATTGGCCTCGTCCTCGTCGTGCTAGCTTGCAAGGTTCCTAGCTCTGCCCAAGCAAATCGATTGCTGTCCCCCAAGTTCTGATTCCGAGTCCTTGTGTGTGCGGCCTGCCTCTTTTGCCCTATTGCCCTCTTCCCCCTCCGACTCCAGCTCAGTGCTGCTTGGTCTGACGCACGCCTCGCCTACCTCGGGCCACTTGTCCCCATTGTGTTCTGTGGTCATCTCCCATGCAAGGCGGGCCCCCTTTTTTTTGTTGCCATTTTTCCTTTTTGTTTTGTGTGCGTCTCTTTGCTGGTCAGCTTCAGCATGCGTTATTGATACAACTTGATGCGAACCGCTTTTGTCTTTGTTGATACGCTTGGCAGTTGAACTCCCCGGGGCAATAATAATATGCATTGGCCTCTAGCCCGCTCCGCGCAACCCGCTCCATCCCTGCCTTCAATAATTCGGAATCATCACAATGACCGAATGGTGTTGTCACGTGACCTTACCCGCATGAGTCATGGATTTCCTCCCGGCGCAGGGTGGGAATGGCACTGGAGATGGTGGAATCCTGCTCTGTCCCTCAGGTAGTCGACCCTGATCAGGTAGGAAACATGCTTGAAAACTGTCGACGAAGGCTGGTGACGAAGGCAATGGTAAGTTCGTCCTCGAATTTTTTCGATGAGTGGCAGCTGCGTGCCCCTGTAGGGTAATTTCCGCAGCTTTCCGCCTTGACCGGCTGTACCGAAGGATGAAGGGTATGTCCGATCCAGGCAACTTTTCGAACAAATGCACAACGGCCAAGCATGCTCTTCATTATCAGGTTTCCTTACCTCCAAGGTTAGACATTGAGAGGGTGCAGTGCAGGCCAGAATCTTCATGGATGATCTGCTTCGAGAAGAAGAGCCTTCCTGCAGGGCTCAACAGGTAATGCCTGTTTAGTGAGAGGTGGGATATTGGAAGCTTCGAATGGGCCTAGAATGACAGCCACAAGAACACCACAGAACGACAGGCGTATCTCTCAGTCGGGGCTGCAGCGGATATTTCCACTTGAGTGGCTGTCGTATGCAGGACATGCCAGAAAGGGGGTCGCCCTGATGCAACGGCAAACCCCATCTGCAGCCATAGACTGGCACTGGTATCGATGAGGATTTGGGAGAGGGAGATCCGGGAGAACGACTACAGGAGTGAACGTTGGGTGGGTGAAGAAAAGATTTCTTAAGAGGCACCAGAGGGGCTCTTTGAACGCCCGCAGCGCAGCTGGCACCAATCGAGAAAGAATGAAAGGCGCTCCGGCAAGTCATTGTACCTGAGCAGCACTTTCTACGGGCGTGTCCATGTGAGCCGAAGTGTAGTGCAGCTAGGCCAAAGATGGCAAGGCGTCGTCTGCCGCCGGCCGACAATTGACTCTCCAAACTTGCCCGTCAACTTTTTTTTTGCCGAACTAATAAATTCTGTAAACCAGTATTCAGTATTCAGTAGGTGGAAGCACGGGATTTCAGGCACCACCACCAGTTGACAACAACTGCCATGTCATTTGAGAATCACCATTCTACCTGAAATTCCCTGTTCCCCCTTTTCTCCCTCGACATTCATCCTCAGCCGTCAACATGGTTCGGAAAGACCCTCAAAAGTCAGTCTCCAAAATTTCCTCCGCCTCTTCGCCTGCGGTAGCCACCGATGTCAGTTCTCGAAAATCTTCAGTGTTGAAGTCGGCGTTTGCTCCCTCACAATTGCAATTGCACCTCTTCGCCTCCGTCATCCAAAGTTTCGACGTTCACCAATTGCGCATTCATGATACGACTACGGGCCGTTTGCGCAGTCAGCATGAGACTAGAGCAGGGTCAAAGATCACTTGCCTCGACTGGGGTTACTATGGTGCTGCGTATCGGGAACGGCAACAGTCAGCCTCGAAGAAGAAGCGCAAGCGGGACCCGGAGAGCCATGATGGCGCAGTCGTCGCCTACGGAACCAATTCCTCGCAGATCTGCATGTTCTCGCCGGCGGAAGGTCGAATTGTAGGTACTCTGAGCGGAGGTCATGAACGAGGTGTGAAAGATTTCAAATTTTCCCGCACGGATTATCTGCACGGCTGGAGCATAGGTGAAGATGCAAGGCTGGTACAATGGAATCTGACCACAGCCCAGCCCATGAGGTTAGTAGCATCTGTCGATCTGTTGCGTTTCGTTTGGTCGTTAACAAGCACAGGACAATCAACCTCCCAGACTCTGCTATCAGTATCCTCGCTTCACCGGCCCAGAGCGCCCCTCACATTATCTGTGCCTCTTCCACTCCATTTGCAGTCGATCTCCTGTCGTCCGATGATTTTCGGATAGATCGCTTCGATTCCTTCAAAAACCCAGTTCACGCATTATGTCGGTCAGGCTCAACCGTTGTAGGAGCTCCTGAATACTTCCTTGCTGCGGACACGGAGAGATACATCAATGTCTATGACATCTCTGAGAAGAAACTGGTGCGCACCTTAGTCGCAGGTAGCGGGGTCACTTCTCTCAACCTTGTGACCCCCTCAGTTGAAACGCCGGATATCCTCCGGGAACCAGTTCTTTGCGTGGTGACAAAAGAAGGAACGGTTGAGCTGTTCACCAATCCTTTCGTGGAGAATCAGCAAGTCAACGGTGGCTTGAAGTCTAGCAGAAAGAACCTCACAAGGAAAGCCTCGGCCTCGATTCGATTGGTCACTCGGGACTTAAAGGTCAAGCATGTACCAATCTTTGCAGCATTCCTCGAAGGACCCGACGTCATCCTCGTCTCCGCCGACGGCGGCGTGGACCTGGCCTTTCAGAAAGTGAGATGGCAGGACGAAGGAAACGGAGAAGTCCTATTTGACGGCATTAAAGAGGTTCTGAAAACGACGAGTTCATCTACTCTCAACACGGCTACTCTCAATGGAGTCAAGGACCTGGGGAAAACATATGTCGATGAGTCGCGGACTGTCGTCGTCAATGGCGGCGCAGGAGGCGCCCGTCTGGACTCTGCCATTTCAATCTCTGACAGCCAGGAAGAGGACGAAACTGACGATACAGAAGAGGGTGAGTCTGCCGACGAAGCAGCAGCCACGAGGAAGGACGAGGATGCAGTCGAAGCTGTTGAAGCCTCAGATGTCGACTCTGACGAAGAAATGGCAGACGTTGAAAATGCGGAAGCCGACCCAGAAGAAGCTGAAGAGGGAGAACCCTCCTTTGGTGAACTCTTAGCGTCCAAACACCCTCATGAGATATCTATCGCATCAATCATTCCTCAGCGCGACACCTCCACCCTCACACTCAAGCCCGGTCAAACGACAATCACGTCTGGCATGTCGCTTTCCACGGTACTTACCCAGTCCCTGCGCACAAATGACACTTCCCTTCTGGAAGCTTGTCTACACACTCTCGACATGTCCATCGTCAAATCCACCATCCAACGACTTGACTCCACCCTGGCTGGCATTCTCCTCTCCAAACTCGCCGAACGACTCGCCTCTCGTCCTGGGCGGTATGGACACCTCATAACATGGGTACAATGGACGTGTATCTGTCACGGCGGAGCGATTGCAAGCCAGCCCGATGTTGCAGCGAAGGTGAGGACGCTGTATGAGGTGTTGAACGCAAGGATGAAAACACTGGATGATTTGTTACTGCTCAAGGGAAAATTGGACATGCTAGATGCGCAGCTAGCATATCGAAAACAGTTGCTGGCCCAGAGACCACAGGGCAGCAGAAAAGGACGAGATGAACCTGGTATAATCTATATCGAAGGGGAAGATAACTGGGATAGTGAAGATGAAGATTTGGATGAGGAAATCGCTCGACCGACCAAGAAATCAAGGACGAAGCAGCAGAGAGATCTCAATGAGCTGATTGGTGAAGATGAGGAGGAGGAGGATGACGGCGAAGACTCGATGCCTCTCGAGAACGGCGCTCAGGACTTGTCATTTGACAACGAAGAGGACGACGAAGATGATGAAGAGGATGAAGAGGGAGAACCCAGATTGAACGGCATGCGCAGTACGCTGGGCCTTGTCGATGACGAAGCTGAAGTTTCTAGCGCCGAGGATTCCGACCCGGACGATGACGGACCGTCTCCAGCAGGGTCCGAAACGCCATCCGTCGCATCCTCCGACAGCGAAGGCGACCAGAGTGGTGACGACGACGAAGGCGAGGAAGAGGAGGAAGACTCGGAAATGGACAGCTTCATCAACGATGGATCCGTCGATTTCGAGGAGGAGGAGGGCGATGAAGTGCGTGTGCCTGGTGACTCGAGTGACGGTGAAGAGGGCGGAGACGTAAGGTCAAGACCGACCTGAGAAGAATGAACCTCTGACGAAACCAAGCCCTGTCACCAAGAAAGCGAAGAGGGACAAGGCATCGGGAAAAATAATCCCGCATAACGACGATGATGATATGGACATGGACCTGGAGATGCCCAAGTCGAAATCGTAGTCGGCGAAGCAGTCGAACAGGACCTGAGCTGCTCTGGCTGGCTGGCTGGCTGGCTGACTGACCACATTGACTGCGTCCGAGTAACTCGTCTGCAGATGTTGTCAGCCCCGGTACCTGGCAATGACCAAGTCTTGGGTTGTTGCGTCGCCATCGCAGGCTATGCCCATCAACAATAGGGCAGGCAGGCCATACAGAAAACCATATGTCTGTCTGCATGTCCGCGCCTCTGTCCCCGCGTCCGCACTAACAGCGACCTCTCCCCCTTACTACCGTCGACGTCGGTGCCTCGACTACCTCGTGTCAGGATACATATGTGAGGAGACACGGCAAGGACAGATTGGGAAGCAGACACGGTCCGTGGATACGGACATGCTCTTGTCTCTCATCAGTGCCCCTCTAACCACCACCACCGCCGTTATCGAGAATCCATCAGGCGAGGACTTTGCTGCAGCGCAGCCACTCCCGAGATCACCATGTCGCGGGACACCAGGTGCACGTCCGGGGTCTGGTATGCAATGTGCGGTGGAGCGGATACTTACCTGCCTGCCTGCCTACTTACGTACTCTGACGATGCGATCGTCTGAGAATCAGCAGGTCGCTGGGTTGACTGATCAGGGATGAGGGGACGAGGGGCTGGAGGATAGGGCCAAGGCATCGTCACTACGATGGAGTGCAATGGAATGGAAGGGAAAGCGGGATTGGATCAGTCTGTTTTTTTTTTTGGCTCAGAACGACACCCAAAAGCATTAATCACGCAAGACATTTCCTGTTGGCGGCGGCTTCAGCATAGCGAGGACCTGGATACCAGCGAGCATGACATGAACATGGATCATTGAGCATTCAACCTTCAGCATTCGGGTTCCTTTGTTTACTTTTTAGATCGCATGCAACTATGGTCAAAAGTCAGATATGAATGAACGAGGATCGGTTGTTCCTAGGACGGGCTATAGAATGATATGATTAAGGATACCCATTTCTCCTCCTTCGTCTCGGATGCTGTGTGGTGTTAGGGAAGGGATGGTGGGATCGCCGTCTGAGCTAAAGTAAGGATACGTTGTCGCCAAAGACTCCTCTCATGTTTCTCGTTCCACCTTGAATCCTCTCGATGCTTGCTCTCCATCGTTGCCTGTCTCTGCATAGTCCCAGCCTTGCGCTCACGAGCTACCGGATCACCTCGTCCCCGTATCCAATCTCATCCACACCGAGACTCTCGCACCATCCTTCCAGGACTCGACTCCCGCCCAGAACACCTGGCCGACGGCCCAAAGCACGCCCTTTCTTTCCTTTACTTTTCCCTGCCCAGATCTCAAAGAACTTGACCGTTTGATCACAGCATGCGATGATGAGACTGCCTTCCTCTTCTGTCCGGCTTGCCCATCGCTCGCCTTCGCGCCGAATGTCGCTAGTGTGGTTTTCTGCCACATATTCTCCACTACTCGTTACCCGATGGATTCTGCGTGTCACAGGCATGAGGGTGCTTCGTTCAGAACTTGGGGTCAAACTGCGACGAACTGAAGCACCGACCGTCTCCACTGCTGTTGCTTCAGCACTCATCCGCTCTGCTTCAGTCTCTTGAACTGCTTCCCATGAGGCAAATCGGCCGCCAGCCTCGTTCTGTTGGCGAATCGGTATGGCATCGTTCGGCCCGCCTGGATAAGGTATCGCCCACAGCGCACGGCCGATCTCACCATTCGCCTTTCTTTCCCATGGAATGCTCACGACGCATTCACAGGTTGGCCAGCTGAAAACGGCTATTCTGATTTCATGCTCCGGCTGCGAGTATCCAAACGTCGCGACTATCTCGCGTCTTGTTGTGCTCTACACCAAACTGGTGACTTGCGAGAAGACATTGATCAGGGCCAGAAGCGCTCCTGACCCTGTGTGGAAAAAATGGATCTGGCGATCATTGCTTCCGCCTCCAGTCGCAAGCAGATTTGGCTGCCATGGGGCAAATGCAATAGCTTTCACAGCTGCCGCGTGATAGAATGAATGAACGTGGACACCGGCTTGTGCGGGTATAGCGGGATCCACGAGCCTGTTGCGAAGGACGGACGCGTTTTGCGGAGGACCGCTGTGAGGATTGCCACGGGAGCTGAGAGGGTCTGTGGTGGGAGAACGACTGTCTACTCTGCCTCGACGCGAAGGAGATGGAGGAGGTGTTTCTAGACCAAGACTCTGTGTACTCCTGACCGGCCCTCTGTTCAAGTTCGAGGAGCGACGGCGGCTTGCCGATCGATATCTCTGGGGCGAACTTGGGGGTGTTGGCAGCTGAGAGGTCGAAAAGATTGAATCATCGAACGTATCTGCCACGGGATCAGGCACATGCGTGGAGACATGCCCTTCAGCATCCGCATGGAGTAAGATGGATGGATCGAAAAGCAGAGCCCGATTATCATTACCACCGGTGACAAACTGCGTACCATCTGGGGACCATGCGAGGCCGCAGATGTTCTGGCTGTGGGCGTCGAGTTTGGCCAGCATTGTCATGCATCCGGGAGCAAAGTCTGGCCACTCCACGGAGTAGTAGTAGACCTTGCCGGAGTCGTCGCCGACCAGCAAATCTTCGCACATGACCGTGGCTCTTCCTGCGACGGACGGTCGCTGCGTCGGGACAGGTTTGAATGACACGCAGGCTGCTGCACAAGGATGAGGAGCACTGAAGCGTGGTCGGATCTCCCGTAAACTCCATAATGTGACACTTCCACTGTTCCTGGCGACGGCTAAGATCGCCCTGCCTCCTTTCTCGGATGAGAAGGCTAGAGAAGTCACGAAATTGGTTGTTCGCGTGGGAGGGAGAGGTGGATACCGCACCCCGTACTTTTCTGTCCAGAGATAGACTTTTGCACCTAGCCCGACAGCTAAAGAGTGGCAGGATTGACTGTATGCGAGGATAGTGCAGTAGTAGTCGTCTTTCAGACTTGGAGCGTCAAGGACGCGGAAGGGGACGGTAGGAACCGCTTTTTCGCTTTGAAGTAATCCCCCATCTCTGGACGGTCGATCTGGTCAAAGGTCAGTAAGCGGACGAGGAGCGTGGAGATGTCCATACACCAAGACGTCGACTCTCGGGTCCATGCACTATTCACCCACACAAATGGAGAATGTTGTGGTCTCGCCTTGGCTACCCTCTGTTCAACCCCGGGGGTTTGCAGCAGGACCCGGGCTGCCTGATCAATGTCGAGGGCCAGCGCAAGACGGCTCTCATGAGCCACTTCCCTGTCGTCACGGGTGGGGAGATCAAGAAAGGTAGTTGTGTGCAATGGAGCTGTGCTGCCGCTGGCTAGTAATCCACCCAAACCAGAAGGGATGCCCTGCAATTGTCCAAGGTGCGCAGACAGTCTGCCTCCTACGGTCCAAAAGCCTGTGCTAATCTGACGGAGAGTTCCTGTTGCTATGCTCTCATCGATATGAGCGGGAATGGCGTCTCTCCCATGGACAAAAGAAGGAACATATTGCGGGGGCCGCAGATTGTAGATATTGGGTGCATTTCTTTGCCTCGTTAATGCCCGTGCCCGGGCTTCACTCACGGAGCGAAAAGGATTCAGAGCATGGTTTCGCCGTCGCTCATTTCTTTCCCGACCTCGGAGTGAGCTCGGATGTTTGCTGACATGGAAAGATCGTAACTTGTCCACATGAAGAGGTCTTTGTGGAATGAAGCGGTCGGGCGAGGTGAATTGAGCTCGAAATCCGACAGGATTGCCAGCACTGAGGCTTCGTCTTTCCTAGGGACGAGACATAGTTCGGGGGAGGGCCTGGGAACGGTGGTCCTCAGAGATCAATCCCGACGTAGATTGATGCTGGGAGATATGGGAGAGCAAAGGGCGCTCGGGTATCGAAAACCCATCTTCTTGTGGCAAAGTAGACGCGGGTGCCGTTCTCACATCTTCCGTGGCTGGGCGAGAACTGGTCGACAGTTCTGGACTGGACGTTTCTGTGGAGGATTCTACACTGTCCATTTGGAGGAACGTCAGATTGATAGGAGCCCTTGTGACGCCGAGTACTGGGATGCTGGTCGGGGACGGTTTCCCAAAATATGGGGATGGCCGGGAGCAGGAGTTCAGGCCTCTGTTGCTCGCTCAAATAGCTGAATCTTGAATGAGATCCTGGGGCATCGTGCGGCTGTGATCCAGCCTCTTCCCTGCCCGCCAAGCCCCAGGTATGAAGGGGAGCGAAGACTCAATCGAAGTACAGCGCAAGAGATATGTCAACTGTCTGTACCTATGTTAGTGACAAGCCATCACTTGCCTGTAACGGGTTGGGTTGGTATGGATGTTTGGTGGATGAGGGTAAGAATAAAAAGGTGGTTAAGTTTGTTACCTGGAATTAGGTCGGCAAGGGCGTTTTTGGTGTCTGACCTTCATCCTTCCTTCACCTTACCACCACCTCCTCGTCCTCCTCCTTCCGCAAACTGTACCTGAGAGATCCTACCTCTTCAACTGACCACATCTTCAGCCATGGCAAGTGTAAGGCACACGAACTCCGCTAGTGCAACTGCTCTTGAGTTGACTTGGTAACCAGCATGGTGTGCCTCGTACGGCGACCCGTGAGGAACGGACGGCAGAAGCACGGCAGAAGGAGTTGAAAGAAATCGCTCAATACCAACAGCTCGTTGAAGAAGTGAACGCTAAGGTCTCTCGGCCATCCTTGGACCCTTCGGAGATGGAAATGCTGATCTTAAGTGCGAGCAGGTTGTTGCAAAAGAATTTACCCCTGCATTACTCCAACAGACAGCCCAGCTGCTAAAGAGGAATCCCGAGTATTATACGATCTGGAACCATCGCCGCCGCATCTACGTCAGCGAATTCGAGGATTTGGCAAGACAGACCGCCTCTGGTCAAATGGACGAAGAGATTCGAGTCAGCCAGGTACTGGATATCATTCAGCTGGATTTGCAATTTTTGTTCCCGCTCCTCCTCAAATTCCCCAAATGCTACTGGATATGGAACCACAGACTATGGCTCCTCGAGCAAGCTACGGCTCTTCTTCCTGCTTCGAAAGCTCGCGGGATATGGGAGGAGGAGCTTGGATTGGTAGGTAAGATGCTCAGTCGAGATAGTCGAAACTTCCACGGTTGGGGCTATCGACGAACTGTAGTCGAGAGCCTCGAGAGCCCAGCTTTACAGGGACACAGTATGGCGAGACAGGAACTGGAATACACCAAGAAAATGATAGGAACCAATCTGTCCAACTTCTCAGCCTGGCACAACCGCACAAAGCTCATCCTCAGAATTTTAGACGAGGAGAAGGCAACTGATGATGAAAGGCGAAAGATGTTGGACGAAGGTGAGTTCCTCGATTGATGAGCATGTCGACGGCTGCTGATCATTACAGAACTCGAATTAATACACAAGGCCTTATTTGATCCGTACGACCAGTCACTGTGGTTCTATCACCAGAATCTCATGTGCACCTTTGATCTTGATCAGGCAGCACAAAGTATGGCGCCGAACCTGTCAGATGAGCAGAGGCTGGAATACATCGCAGCGGAGCGGGAGTACATCGAGGAAGTTCTAGAGGATGCCCAGGATTGCAAATGGCCCTACCAAGCATTGATCGAATGTACAATACTCGAAAGCAAACTGAAGACTAGTCTTCAGGAAGAGGACCGCGAGAAAGTGACTCAGTGGCTAGAGAAGCTCAAAGGCCTCGATCCTCTTAGGAAAGGCAGGTGGATTGATATGGAGCGGCAACTTCGCAAAGCAACAGACGCTGTGTTGAGATAGACGAGGGTCGAGGGTCTTGTATCGGTTGAAATCTCCTTACAATAATACAGAGAGAGCAAAACTGTTCTGAAGTGAGTTAATGACTACAAAGCTTGTGCGGGTGACGAGTCTCTGGTGCAGATGAAACAAGCCCCATTGCAGGCTGCAGACACCCCTTTATGGCACAGCCAAACAACGGCGTGACAGGGCTTGATCAAAGGGGCAAGGCAGCGGAATGGGAGGAAATGGGGCTCACTAGGCTGATGCTCAATGCTAAACTCGCCTTCGGGGCCCCTGGAGCAACTGACGGGGCTCAGGGAGGGCATGGCAAATCGTGCATGGCAGGATCGTGGTGTGGTACAACTGCGGATCATGGTACCGGATACCAGAAAAGAGAAAAAGACAGTTTTCCTTTCGATAGGACTTGTTCTGGCTTCAACCTGACTTCGCTTTGAGCATTAATTCTCGAATCCTAAAAGTCTTGAGCACGAGGTCGGTCTGCGAGATCTTGTCGATCCTTCTTCCCGCCCTCGCCGCCATCATCTGTTGACAGACCTGAAAACGGGGTAAAAGTTGTCATACGGTCATTTAATTCGCTCGACTGCCTCCATTGAAGTTGCAAGCATCAAGGCAGACAGACGAGCTGGACTTGCAGATTCCTTGATTCTCTAGCTTCATCACTTGTCGAATTCACCCAGCATTACTCTCGTCTTGGGTTGCTGACTGTCTGCGGTGACATCTGACCGTCGTTTGAAACTCCGCACCCGATCTTCTCGACTCTCCTTCATCGACTGCGAGGACAACGCGCCTCAGTGCCTTGCCATATACTGCGACTGTCTCTCTCAGGCAAATACAAGTGCGGAAAATACTGGCCATACTGCGACAAAGCATGATATGAGCATGCCTGGTGGCTCCTGAAGGCAAATCAGCATGGCGAACAGCGCAGATAACCCAGACCTTGAGGAGGTAAGGCAATCGGCTTCCACACCTCTACATCGAGATCAAAGGTCTCTTCTGACAAAGCATAGAGGTTCGAGGATGCCACCGATGTCAATAATGATTCAAAGCGAAATTCCTCCCACTCGGACCAGGCTCCGCAGGATCCCAAGAACTCCAATGAGCATCCTCCCACCCCGAACGACGACGAGCAATCTAAAGACGAGCAAAGAGAAAGCACGGGAGACCCAGGGCCAAAAGTCCCTGATATAACTACCGATACAAGCGCTATGGATGACTCTCACGATGCCCAGCAAACGCCGACGTTGAAACCTCCCGAGCCCTCAACTGACACCTCCGGCGATCCTGCAGAGAAACCCGTCCCCCCTAAGCCTGCTACTCGCCCTTCAAGGTTCCAAGGCTTTTCTGCTTCGCTACCTTCAGTGCCTTGGGGACCGCCTCCTCCCAGAAAAGCTTCCGATGCTCGAGCACCGTCCCCGCAACCGCCTCCTCCCCAATCGACGTCCTCCTTTAGCCGCAAGGTGACCACTCCTTTTGGATGGTTGAGCCGAGCAACATCGGCTCCAAAGGAGACTCGCTCTCCCCCTTTACCTTCAAAATCACAACTCGACACACGGCGGAATACGGCAGCATCAGCGTCCACTCTCGGCAGCAATGCTGATTTGACGCTAAAGGCGCTAGATGAGGCTCAAGATGGGTCAAGCGGTCAGAAGCAGCCTTCTCGAGCATCTCTCCGCGAACAGTTTAAGATGCTCCGGCTACGGGAAGAAGCAGGCATAACAAGCTTGGAGGGCGCGGAGTCATCCGAAGGAGGTGCAATAGCAGGACTTATTGGACGGTCGGCCAGTTTGGGTGTTGGAATAGCTACTCCAGGCAGCGTTGGCCAGGATGAAAATCTTGTCTCTACCCCTGTCATGTCACCGTCTTCGCCCATGGTCGAGTCGCTGCCCACCAATCCAAATCTGCCTCCTGGAACCGTGGCAGGGGTGGCAGCAGCGACTGCAGATACGAGCACGCCGATTGATTGGGACTTCTGGCAAAACGTGGTCAACGAGGGTCCTCAGGCCGTTGCTCGGACGAGCCCTGATGAGTTCACTCAAGCCATCAGCGGGGGTATCCCACAGACCATCAGACCGGTGATATGGCAAGTGTTGGCAGGCAGCAAAAACGAGGATTTGGAAGCCGTCTACTGGGACTTGAAGTCGCGAGGGCCACACTCGGAACCAAAAGAGGGCATGCCCAAATCTCCTTTACTGAATGGACATGTCAACGGCAGTGCCAAGGAGAAAGAATCAGTAGCGTCGTCGAGGTCGTCAATAAAATCGGATCACTCAACGCCTGCCACCAGCTCCAACATGGGCGTTGCGTCTCCCTCGCCTTCCCACGAAGCACCAGATCCTTTGAGCACGGCACGTCTCCAGACCCAACTGGCCGTCGAAAAAGCGAAAAAGTCCAAAGAGGATTCCGCAGCACTAGCCAAGCTGGAGAAGATGATCAAGAGAGACATGGGGTCAAGGACAAGCTACTCGAAGTATGCGGCGGCAGCGGGTCTTCAAGATGGGCTGTTCCACGTATGCCGCGCATATGCACTCTTCGACGATGCTGTTGGATACCCTCAGGGCCTGAACTTCATCATTATGCCTCTTTTGTTCACAATGCCCGAGGAAGAAGCTTTCTGTCTGCTGGTTCGGTTGATGAACAAATACCAACTCCGTGATCTTTTCATCCAGGACATGCCAGGACTGCATCTACACCTCTATCAGTTTGAGCGATTATTGGAAGATCTGGAGCCTGCGCTATATTGTCATCTCAACCGTCGAGGCGTGACCCCGAAGCTCTACGCGACACAGTGGTTTCTCACTATGTTTGCATACCGGTTTCCACTACAACTGGTCATGCGGGTCTATGATTTGGTTCTCTGTGAAGGGCTCGAGGGTGCAATTCTAAAGTTTGGAATGGCTGTCATCCAGCGGAACGTGGCCACGCTGCTGGCGATGCAGGACATGCAGAGCCTCACGAACTTCCTCAAAGAAAAGATCTTCGATGTTTATATCGATGCCGCACCCTCGTCCAAGTCGATCCTGGAGTCAGGATTCTTCGGCAGCTCTGGCGGCTCTGACACTGAAATTTATCGAGCAGATCTCCTTGTTCAAGACGCATGTGCGGTAAAATTGACACCCGAAATGCTCAATCGATACCGAGAGGAGTGGGAGACAACCATGAAGGCCGAAAAGGCACGTGAGACCGAGCTAGAAAATCTCAAGACGGATTGCGCCACAAAGGCTGCCCAGATCCGCTCCCTCGAGCAAAGGGCTGAGAAATCCGACGCCGAGCACATCGAGATAGCTAATGAGCTGGTGCGGCTGAAAGTCGAGAACACCGAGTTGCAGGATCGTAATGAGAGCTTGACTGGACAAGTCGCCGAGCTGAAAAAGGTGGCGGAAAGCGAGGCCGCAAATGTCGAAGAGAGGCTGCGGGCGGGAACGGAACAGGTCATGCAGCGCAATATCGAGGTGCAGAACGAGAACCGTCATATGGAAGAGCAAATGGCCGAAATGGAACGAGAGCTTGTGGAGATCAAGATGAAGTATGCTGAGGTGAGTATCCCTTCCATCCCTTGATATCCGCTCCGGTACTGGAAAACCAGGACTTCTGACGCTCAGCAATAGCTCAATGCCGAACACGAAGCGCTCAAGCAGAAATGGAACGACTTGAAACGAGCTCTCGAATGAACCATCTTCATCAGTGTTGACGCCCGACAATGTCCCTCCACTAGACTCCCGTTACACACTCGACACCTTGAGTCCAATGCAGCTTTGACCTCGTTTCCAGCCATCTGTTATCTGCGTGGCGAATGCTCACCCTGTATATTCCACTGATGTTTTCTGATCCTTATGTGCAGGCTTTCCTGCTTTTTATACCCAAAGTCATGAATGATGGAACCAAGCATAGCGCGGGCGATATATGATGTGCTGCAATCGCTTTGACAGTACGACAAACGGATCTTTTCGGGTGGCCTCCGGCGTTAGCGAGGGTGGATTAGAGAACGGTCCGTTGTCTTGGAGATTCTGAGCCGCGAATGGTGGCTTGTCCGTTGTCCGGGAGAGACAGCAAAGGGATTTCGCAGAAATTTTGGCCCCGCCTGTTTGCTCTTGGGAGGTGGCTATTCTCTGTCGACATCATCTCTGCTCTCTGTGCAGAGAGGTGTCTGGGACACGGGACGGTCTGAGTTGACGAACGGAATTGATGTTCCCCCTTTTTGATGCCTTGTTGCACAAAGAGGCAGAGAAACGGGCTTATTGATGTTCAAAATATCCAGTATTGGCATGGGATGTTCAATGTAGTCGCGGTAGATATATGTACGGAGAGGGAGAGGGAGAAAAGAACAAGACTCGGGTGGAACAAGTCCACGAAAATGAAAACGACGTCGAATACGAGGCCTACCTCTCTTGACGGCGATCGAGCACCGTCGTATATCGTAAGTCCTGAATGAGTACCCGGTAAACACAACAGAGGGATTTAGGCATCGATAGGGAGTATCGAGTATGTCGATCCATGTTCTCCTTCCTTCGCGCACGGTGCTCGCTCGGATCACCACCAGCTAGCTCTTCTCATTCTTCTCTGACCAGCAGATCTATCGTATGTAGCTGCTACTTACTCATGTGGGTTCTTGACAAGTGTGTGTCCCGCGTCCCCGTCCCCGTGCTCGTCCTCCGCCATTTTCCACTCCACTCCCTTCATATAGTAAGTAAGGTAAGTGCTGTATCTATCCATTTGGTGCGGCGCAAGTTCAAGCTCATGCTCAATCCGGCCTAGCGCAGCCTTGCCTGCCTGTAATATGTAAGGGGGCTGGCTTCCTTCTGAGGTATGCTTATCTGCCGTTCTCTCTTTGTGAAGGAAGAGGAGAGAGGGAGGAAGGATGGGATGACATTACTAGGACTTTCGCCGGTTGGGTGGGCAGGGCAGGTATATAAATATATATAATATTCCCCAAGCCGAGAGGGACCACCACCGAGCGTCTACATCTGTGTAGCATAGCACAGCACGCACAGCATAGTATCTACAGCCTAACCTTGCCGGCCTTAAGCTCCTCCCACTGTTTCCGGCCAAAGGGTTCGTACTTGGTCGCGCCGGGCGGGAGCCAGAACATACGATCGTCGGGCCGCGAGGCCTGGATCTTGTCGAGGTCCACACCCTCGGCGCGCAGACGGCCTTTCTGCAGCTTCATCGTGCCCGTGTACTCGAGCTGCGGTACCACCCGCAGGAAGATGGGCACGGCGTACCGAGGCAGCGTCGAGAGCAGGTGCTCGGCCAGGCCGGCGAAGTCCAGCTGGTCGGGCGACGTGATGGACGACACGGGCACGATGGCAGCGCATCCGGCGCGGCCGTCGGCGTGGGGCACCTGCACGCCGTACACGTTCGCTTCGGCGATCTGGGGGAATTTGCCCAGCACGTCCGACACTTCGTTGGTCGACACGTTCTCGCTGCGCCAGCGGAACGTATCGCCCAGGCGGTCGACAAAGTAGACGCAGCCGTCGGGATCTTGGCGCATCATGTCTCCGCTGCGGAACCAGAGATCCCCCTTTTGAAACAAATCTTGGATTTTCCGTTTGTTGCTGGCCGACTTGTTCTTGTAATATCCGGCAAATACCGTGTCCGCGGTGGCCGGATCCATCTTGTGCACCACCTCGCCGGGCTCTCCGTCCTTGCAGACGATGGCGAAACCGTTCTTGTCGCGAAGAATCTCCTCGGTGTCGATGTCGATCTTGACCCTCTTCTCGTTCGCACCGTTCATGAGTTTCCAATACAAACCGCGTATAGCAATGGCGTTTTTGCCAAACTCGCCCTTGTTCGCATTGAAAGAGGCGCCCAGTCCATCCGTCGCTGCGTACAGCTCGTTTATTGTTTCAATCCCGAAGCGCTGCCGGAAGGTTTCCCATACGTCTGGACGCATGCCGTTGCCCCATGCCATCTTCACGTTGTGTTCTTTGTCTAGGGGACTGGGCGGTGCATTGATGAGATACCGGCAGAGTTCTCCCACATACTGGAGGATGTCAGCGTTAGAAGCGCGGACTTCTGGCCAGAACGTCCTGTGGGAGAACTTTCGGCTGAGGACGACGGCGGATCCGGCAAAAATTGAGGGCGTTAGACACAGACCGTGCGCGGCGCCGTGATACAACGGTAGGCAGGTATACATGCGGTTGCCAGGTTTGAGTTTGAGGTAGGCAGAAATGCTCCGGGCGGTGTTGAGTTCACGGCCCCGAAGCATTATCACGCCCTTGGGCATCCCGGTTGTGCCGGATGTGTAGATAAGACCGCCGAGTTCGGTTGGTAGGATTCCTTTGTGGAGGGATTTGGGAATTCGCGTGGTATCGGTCAGAGAGGAGAAGAAGGGCTCGTCGTAGTAGACTATTTGTATGCCTGAAGCTTGGAGGTCTGCTTCACACGGCTGGACGAGATCTTGCGTGGCCCGGTCGGCGATCAGATACCGTGAGTCGCATAGCTTGACGCAGTGTGTAAGCGGGCCCGACGTCAAATTGCAGTTGATGAAGGCAGGACAGGCATGAACGGCTTCAACGGCGAACCAGAGCATCAGGTATTCGGGGCTGTTCCCACCATCCAAGGCAACGATCTCTTGAGGTTTAATGCCCAAATCTTTCAGCAACCAGTTGGCAACCTTGTGCATGTCATCGAAGAACTGCTTGTACGTCCACGATCGGTTCTCAAAGATGAGGAACAGATTGTCTGCGTTCTTGCCCGTGGCATGTTCCTCAAAGATGTGGTACATGAGCATCTTGTTTTGTTGGTACCTCTCTAGGGTAAAGGCCACCGCACTCTTCTGGTTGGCGGCCAACGAGCCTGATCTGAGATCATGGCGGATGAGGAATTTGGCATCGAGGTAGGCGGCGGTCGCTAGGCCACCTGCAAGGGCTGCTGCTACGGTGGGAACTGGCGGCGGTGGTCAGTAGCAAGAAACGCAGAAGATCATGAGGAATGAAGAACTTACGGCCCATTTTGTTCGAATTGGAGGCGCTGAAGCAGCAGACCAGACTGGGACGACAAGGTGGCTAAGAGAATAGTCCATGATATATCGATTTTGTACCATTTAAAGCGATCTTGCGCGTGGGATGGAGGAGGATTCTCTGACGGCCGCATTACCCGTAATCCTGCCGAGGTCGATGGAAGAGAGAAAGCAGAGCTGACAACCCACTTGAGCCACCGTCCACTGGTATAAAGGGAGGGCTAAACCCAATGCATGCACACAGTCTGGGGTTGGTGGTTGGTGGCTAGTGGCTGGTGGCTGGAGAGGGCGGCGACAACAAGCTGCGACAAAAGGACAAAGGACGTCGCTGACACGACTTGACGTGTCAGTCCGTCACGCTGCTTATTTCTTCTTATAATTTTCTTACACAGCGAATCCGAGGCCCGAGGGGGCTTGCATAACAACTACATAATTTCGGATTCCATGGTGTTTCATGGTGCTTGGATTGCTGTCATCTCTTTCATGATGTTGTCACGCAATCCTTTCCTCCATCATCACGACTTTTCCAAACCCGCCAACGCTGATGCTGCCACCCTGCTCAAGAGCTGGAGGTCGAGGGACACCGATGCCACTCGAAGCTCACCCCTTCGCTTGCAATGCATATGACCAAAAAGAAATCCAAGACCCGTCAGATCGTGTCGTCGTGAGAGTCGTCGCTGACCATTTCCCAGCGCCCTTTGGTGGAAGAAGCTGTAAACAATGACACCCATCCCCACTGCAGAAGAGAAAGAAAAAGAACAGAGCCACGTTCGCTGGAGTTGTTCCTTGTTCATCCTAACAACCAACACCGCCAGTGCGTGCACATGCAGAGGCCAACCGTCCCAAGAGCTCAGTCAATCCAATATTCTTCACCACCACACAGGGTCTTCTTGCCATATCTCTGGCACCATGCTGTCATTGAACCACATATCGGCCTGCATCCCCTCCTCGTGCCACATCTCCCTGGCCATCAGTGGTGTTCCGACATACCCATCTCCTTCATAGAACACCATGGCTCCTTCTCCCAGCATCGACTGCTCCTGGGGCCACACTGGGACAGCAGAAGGTCTCCAGTGGCCAACTTCCTGCATCAGCTCTGTCCCCAAGAGGAGGTTGCCGAGTGCCTCGAACTGCGGATCTCCGTCCATGTCAGCATTGTTGACATAGATCTCGTCAGGCCGGGGACCCATGCAGAAGATGGGGCCAGCCTCATCAAGTGGCAACTGCCTCAAAAAGGGTTGCTCTTGGAACGGAGCTGACAGGTCGGCAGGAGCACGAGGAGGCGGGAGGAAGCGGCCGCACTTGGTCTTTGCGAGGAGGCTCTGCCTATTGTCGCCATTCCATTGCAACTCGCCATTGCTCGGCCACTTGGCTACTTGCTCGAGGTACTCAGCTGACCAGATGGTAGGACATCCCAACACTGGACTGAGTCCATCGGTGAAAATCTTGCCGCCCTCGCCAAAGACGGACGTGATTTTGCGCTGGGCCTTGGGGATCTTCTGGTGAGCTTCGATCTGAGCCTTGAGCAGTTCGCAGTTCTTCTGCTGCTCAGCCTCGGCCAGTGCAAGTATCTCTTTCTTGTGCGCCACCCACTCGCCCACGTTTTGCGGGAAGATCGCCGACAACCCCAGGCCTTGCTTCGTGTTGGCCTTGAAAAGCTCTGGTGCAAAGTGTCGGACCCGCTGTCTAACTCGTTCGTACTCCTCCTTGTCTTTGATGGCTTGGCTCTTCCATGTGACAGAGGAGGAATGGGATGGGACAGGCGCGGGGCTGGTGGTAAGGGCTTGTGGCTTATTGCCGAAGAATGTCTGGGTGGCTAGCTCCTTGCTGTCGATGCTTGCTCTGTCATCGAAGGTGATTGCTGACAGTCGGTCTATCGAGACCCGCTGTCCTCGTCTCCGTGGACGCATGGTGGTGAATACGAATGATGATTGGTGGAAATGTGACCTGGTTCGGTCGAAGATCGGTGATATGGGTGGAGAGGAAGCCTGGGGAATTGCCTTGGTGGAGCGATATCGGGAAAAGGTTGGGGGTGTTGAGGTGGCAGTTTGGCGTATTAGGCAGTTGACAGTGGGCGTGGTTGGCCGGGAAGCAGAAACAGCGCGTGAAGCTCGCAAATTCACGGATCGGAAGTCGATTGTCGTTGTGGCAAAGGGGGCAGCTCGAGGCGCCAGCGCCTGACTGACTGTCTAACTTCACAGAACAAGATCGAGCTCGGTACGCTCGTTCAACAAGCGAATCTGATGAGTTCCTCGGCCCAAGAGTCGAAAGGGAGAACTCGAGCGCAGCACTCCAGTGTGTTGACGGTTTGTTTGTGCCTGCTGCCACAGCACTGCCTTAGATCAGAGTCAAGGTTCAAGGTGAGTGCCTTCGGCAGGCAATACTGTGTAAGTTGATGTTGTCACGAGACTCCGTGGTCTTGATTCGAAAATATCTAGGAGAGTTGAAGTTTTATATTTATTTTATGACAGGTCGTGTCGCCGATGAAGGCATTTTTTGAGATCAAAAGGCTTTCCCTCTTTCCGCGCCATCCATCTACGAGAATGGGTCACGCGGTCTGCATGCGTTGTATACGGATGACTCGCTCTATTGTCACAATGGCCGTAAGTGAATCAGGGCTCAACTTCGGATTGTCGCGAATTCGCCGTTGCCATGAAGAACTTGGAAGAGCATATTCACACGAATCTCGGTGGATCTTCGGACAGGTAACATTCAGCGGGCTGGACCTGCGTCTCTGCGAGTGTCACTGGGAGAGTCCAAGCCATCCTCAAGCCCGAGCATGTGCATGGGCGTGAGCAAACGCGCGTGAGGAGGGCATGACTGGCACTGGCGCAGGGGTGAGGGTCCAGGACCGTGGCATCACGCCGGTACTGACAACAACACTGCAGATCAGTAGTCCAAACTCTCCCGACCCTGAAGCAAACGAGTCCTCAGAGCGTGGACACAAGAGCAAATCTGGAGAGCAAGATGTGACAGACAAGTGATGTTTGATCAGTGCCTGTGAGAAGATGAAGGACAAACTAAGCATATATATAAAGACGTCTGGGATGAGTTCTTGATGATTTGCAAAGGATAGTTTCCGAGATGGTCAATCTGGTGACGCGAATTGACCGTCCCCTTGTTCCGCTTTCCAGATTTGAGAGGCAGGGCAAGCGATATCATACCAAGTCCTTTACTCAAGTCGCTCTCTCCGGGAAAGAAATCTGGGATTATCATTAAGGGCACAATTTGATATGCGGGATGAGTGTTGGGCACTTCGACGTTGATAGCCTCGCACGTGATGGCCACATATATATATACACGGTACATACGGTGGCGCATAGACCTACCTTTGCGCAGACGCAAACGCGTCCTCCGCGTCTCCATTTTCATCTTGGTGATTGTCAAAGATGTCTTTTGCAATAGTAGAGGCTTTCACAGTGAACATCTAACACAATCACACAATGCCTGCAGTTGAGCTTCGTACCACTGCTCCGGCTCAGGAGACTAGTGGCACCGTCCACAACCCGCTTCCATCCCTTTTGCACACACCATCAGGATTGGCTATCGTCGAGATTCAAGGCACAATCCATGGTCCATTCCAGAATCTCGCAACAGAGGACTCATCCCAGTCAACAGCTGTGCATCCGATAGGCCGCCTTGAGTTCCCGCTGTACAAGCCCCAAGACGCCAACGAGGGCAAGTGGATGAAGAAAGTCTACCTTTACATCGGCAGGCACCAGAGACTGACCGGCGAGGTTAAGAAGCTGGCCAAACCGCTGGCTGTTCTTCAGAAAATCGACGAGAATGATCAGAAGAGCGAGAACGAAAGTGATGAAGCGCTGGAGATTGTGGACGTTGTCAAGTTCAAGCTGCTGTTTAGTGCGAGGCCGGAGCCAGTTGGGGAGTGATGATAACACGCGACCTCTTGGTGCATTGTCACACACCCCAGGCCTCAGAACAATGGAGACTTCTATTCAGATCATTCAGGACGCGGCTTATCACCAGCTACGAAGCAATCCTGGTCAGATACGGGCTACAATCACCGTGCCGGTCGGACTCTTCATACTTGCATCCAACGTTCGTATCCATCTATCCTTCGGGACGCGTCAGACGACTGCTCAATATCTGCTAAGAGCCTGGAAAATGCCCCTTGGGGCGTACTGTATTGCACTCTGAATCACATGACAGGACAGTTGCTGCAGTCCACTTTCCAACGACGAGCCAATCAACTGCGCTGCCTCTAATCGGCCCTTTTCTGGCCGATATTGAAGCTTGAAATCTAAGCCAACACTTGATCGCAACGCCAGCTCCGGAGGATAGCCGCTTTATGCCTTGCGTTTGCTATCATTCACGTCTGCTCGGCTCGCTATATGCGGACGGTTGCGGACTCACGGTCAATCGTGAAATAGCCCCCATGGTGACAGAATTCCCGTCACTCGGCCCATCAAACGGGTGTTCGTCAATGAATAAACAGTCCAACTCAACAGTTGTCACCCTACAGAAGCTCACTTAAGTTGTATACGTTCGATCCCAGATCGATTCTTTAAAGTCTATTTCGACGTCTGAAATCCATCGAGGTGAAATGGCTTTGCAGGTGGTTCATTTGTAATCCTCTGGCAGCCTTGATAACACCACATTGACGGGCAGAGCAGGAGAAGACCTGAAACGTCTCCCTTCCATAACACGTCAGACCATCTACATGACTCAACCGGGTGTCTCGCTACCGGTCGCTGAACCGATGCATCAGCGTACCCCCCCACCACCCGCTTTCTCAAGATGGCGCCCTCAATATCACCTCCAGGCGAACCGGGGCTGGATCAATGACCCCTGCGCTCCAGGCTATGACCCTTCAACCGGGCTATATCATTTGTTCTTCCAGTGGAACCCCCATCGAAATGAGTCTGAGTCGGTTGTTTGGGGGTCGATCTGTTGGGGCCATGCTACCTCCACAGATATGGTGAACTGGAATGTATCCCAAAGCCCGACCATCGAACCTGGATGCACTGCAAATGAGTGGTACGACACGAAAGGTTGTTTTACAGGTTGCTTGGTCGCCGCCGGCTCAGATGGTCAATCTGGAACTGGACAGTTGACGGTATTTTACACAAGTGTGAGCCGACTGCCGTTGCACTACACTCTGCCATATATTCCGCAAACGGAGACTCTGGCCGTTGCTCAATCACTGGACGGTGGTCTCTCATGGAGGAAGACTGCAAAGAACCCGATCCTATCAGGTCCTCCCGCGGAGCTCGACGTAACAGGCTGGCGCGACCCATTTGTCGCAACCTGGCCTTCGATGGCCAAGCTCCTCGGCCACAACAAAAGTCAGTTATACGGCATGATCTCCGGAGGCATTAAAGACTGCTCACCTGCGGTGTTTCTTTACAAAGTCAACCCATCCAACCTTATAGAGTGGAAGTTCCTCAATACGCTGGCTCCCGTGGGACTAAATCATTCGCTATCTCGCTGGAGTGGCGATATGGGTATAAACTGGGAGTGTGCATGCTTCATGACCCTCCAGAACGAACAAAAAAACGCGAGCAGAGACTTCATCATTGTTGGTTGCGAAGGATCACAAGCGGACACCAACCATCGTGAAAACTTGCCTTCCATCAAACCTCCGCAAGAACCAGCGAAGCCTCCACGTTCAGCAACGTCTCTACAGTGGATGTGCGGAGCTCTACAAACTACGAATACTGCTCTTTCTGATATTGGCACTCAGTCAAAGCTGCCGAAGATGAGCTACCAATTCGGAGGCCGCTTCGACCATGGCGTGCTCTATGCTGCCACTACCTTTCGTGACCCCCTCAGCAATAAACAAATTGTATGGGGCTGGATTACCGAAGAGGACTTGCCGCAACGATTAGTCGATAGCCAGGGCTGGAGTGGGATGATATCTTTGCCTAGAGAAGTTTCTCTCCTCACTCTGACAGACGTGACGGGCACCTCAAGAAGCAGATTACAAGATATCACGTCGATACAGGTTGAGCGAGAAGAGGCAAGAAATAGGGTGCAAGAAACATTCAGAGTTCACACACTAGGCATCGCTCCCGCTCAATGTCTCCAGAATCTCCGGAACAACGCCAGGCTGGTTAGGCCTGTGCACCGCTCACAGCACCTCACTTTGGAAGGGGACACGTTCATGGACATTCGGACGCATCGTTTCGAAATGCTCTCTACTTTCTCCTTATCTGTCACTTGCAGGAGGATCGGGCTGAGCGTATTGCACGGCGTCGGCATACAACCAAGCCAACAGAACGGTATTCCCCCACTATTAAGCTCGGGGGCTGCGACGACGACCATCTCGTTCCTACCCGGCAAAGAGACCGTCCGAATTGATCGGTCGATCACTGATACCACACACATCATCGATGGGGAGGGGATCAACACCGCTCCTGAGTTCGCGCCATTCACTCTGTTCACGTTCGCTTCTTGCAGGAAGGACGGTGGCGGCTCCGACACAGAGATGGAGGACTTGAAACTCCACGTCTTCTTCGACCAGTCTGTGCTCGAAGTATTTGTCAATTCGCGGTGCGTTATCACGACGAGGGTTTATCCGCCCAGCGATAAATGCTGGGGAGTCAGGTTCTTCGCGGAGGAAGAGGGTGAGGTAGAAGGCAACCAAGACGATAGCGAATGTCATCAACGAGAGAAAGATTCGTCGTCCAGGTCTAGGCTCTTGCACGCGCTGGCATGGGATGGCTTGCGCGCTGATCTCAGAGTTATCTCTTCTTGAGCCTACGAGTGGAGTGGGATAGAATACCGACGGATCGACCAAGGGGTCTGATCGGATAAGTAGTCATCCTGGTAAAATACACATTCTGTTTCCACCATGAAGCATCCATATCCGAAGCGCCAGATCCTTTAGCCTGGTGCAGTGGGAAACTAGCCTGACTTGGGCTAGCTGGTCCACGTGATCCTCATTCCGTCACAACCTTGGCGGCGCGATTGCGATTGGCGGCTTCCCAGTGACCGCATCGCCAGCTGCAGCTGCAGCTCCGATTTGATCTCCAGCCCTTGACTACTGCGAAACTCTGCTGCGCTGTTCTTCCTGGAGAACAAGAGATCCCTCTCGTTAGTTGCAGCTGTGTGCTTCTCCATTGCACCTCTCCGATTCGTCCATTGGGCCCCTGCGTGGCTGCTGAGGAAGCTCTTTTGCCTTTTTACCTAGTCAAAGAGTTGCTTCTGTTGTCTCATCTCTCACAAACTCACCTATCTCTCGCTCTCTGCTATCGTCTCCCACCCCCCGCCAGGCCGCCACAATGGCCGAACTCGATCACCGGATGGCTTCCATCAAGCCCAGGTTGAAGTACAACACCATTGGAGGTGTCAACGGGCCTCTGGTCATCCTGGACAATGTACGTGTGCAAGCTGCGGTGGGAGGAAGCTCCGTGGGAGACTTATCGCTAACGGACGGTCCTCCCAGGTCAAATTCCCTCGATACAACGAAATTGTCAGTCTCACGCTGCCGGACGGGTCCACGAGATCTGGGCAGGTCCTCGAGGCAAGAGGTGTGTTTGCTACACTGTACAAAGACTAGGTAAAGAGGCGTGCGAAGTTGACATTTGTTCCCCGCAGGCAACAGAGCGATTGTGCAAGTGTTCGAAGGCACTTCTGGCATCGATGTGAAGAAGGTGAAGAGTCTGTCACTATTCTACACGACAGCGTGCTCATTCGTTCGCAGACAAAAGTCGAGTTCACGGGTCACAGTCTGAAGATTGGCGTTTCAGAAGACATGCTCGGTCGCATCTTCGATGGGTCAGGAAGAGCTATCGACAAAGGTCCCAAAGTACTGGCAGAGGACTATCTTGACATCAATGGAAGTCCCATCAACCCCTATTCCAGAGTGAGTTGGTTCTGTCCTGCCTGCTGCCTCGATTGCTGACCGGGGTAAAGGTTTACCCCGAGGAAATGATCTCGACGGGCATCTCTGCCATCGACTGCATGAATTCAGTCGCTCGAGGCCAAAAGATCCCCATCTTCTCCGCCGCCGGTCTACCCCACAACGAAATCGCCGCCCAGATCTGTCGGCAAGCTGGTTTGGTCAAGCAACCCACGAAGGGAGTCCACGACGGCCACGAGGAGAACTTCAGCATCGTCTTCGCCGCCATGGGTGTCAACATGGAAACTTCACGTTTTTTTACCCGGGACTTCGAAGAGAATGGCTCGATGGAACGCGTTACTCTGTTCTTGAACTTGGCCAACGACCCCACCATTGAACGTATCATCACGCCTCGTCTCGCCCTGACCACCGCAGAATACTATGCTTACCAACTGGAGAAGCACGTCCTGGTCATTCTGACCGATTTGTCGGCATATTGCGACGCTCTCCGAGAAGTCTCGGCCGCGCGAGAAGAAGTTCCGGGTCGTCGTGGGTACCCTGGTTACATGTATACCGATTTGTCCACCATCTACGAGCGAGCTGGTCGTGTAGAGGGGAGAAACGGCTCCATCACGCAAATCCCCATCTTGACCATGCCTAACGATGACATCACCCACCCCATTCCCGACTTGACAGGATATATCACAGAAGGCCAGATCTTCGTCGACCGTGGATTGCACAACAAGGGTATCTACCCACCCATCAACGTGCTGCCTTCTCTGTCGCGTCTGATGAAATCCGCCATTGGTGAAGGACTAACGAGAAAAGACCACGGTGACGTCTCAAACCAACTGTACGCCAAGTACGCCATTGGCCGTGACGCCGCTGCCATGAAAGCCGTCGTCGGTGAAGAAGCCCTCAGCGCCGAAGATAAGTTGTCTCTGGAGTTCTTGGAGAAGTTTGAGAGACAGTTCATCGCCCAGAGTCCGTATGACAAACGGTCTGTCTTTGACAGCTTGGACCTTGGTTGGAACTTGCTGCGTATTTTCCCCAAGGAGTTACTGAATCGGATCAACCCTAAATTGTTGGATGAGTTTTACGCAAGAAAGGCACACGGAAAGAGGAGCACCAAGGACACGAGGGATAGTGAGGGTGGTAACAAGCAGGTCAATGGTGAGCCCAACTTGTTGGATGATTAAAAGAACCCCAGAGGTGCAAGTCGTGTTCAGGTGACAAGGGAGGGTGTACTGTCAAAGTCACTGCGTGTGAGTCCGAGTTTGGCATGAGCTTTACATCGCAATCGCAGTAATCGTTTTGCGCAAAGGTAGATGAGGGTCTGAAGATGAATAGTAGGAGTCGGTGCATGCGTCCGTCCAGATAGGGCAGCTGTATCGGCGACATGTGCAAGGACACGTGATGAGCCCTGGACAAACTATATATATATACTTTTCACTGGAGACACAACGAGCCGCTCTCCACAACGGTTCACAATTACGTACATTTCTACAAATACCGATCGTAGGAGGCTGCGAGGCCGGGGTATCCTGCAGTTGCAGCGTGTTATCATGTCTTCGTGTCGCCATGGATCAGTACCAATAGAACGTGTTGTATTGAATTGCCTACCTACCTACCTGCAGCACAGTACTCGGGGTATGGAGTATGTACATAACTTAGTAAGCGGGTAGGAACAAGACGTTGGGTATTAAGCAGCTGGATACGTGTATTGTGTATAGGTAGGTAGGTAGGTATTGGGATTATTTTTGATCTAGTATTTTATTTCCAGACTCCCCCTACTCCTCTCCCTCCCCCCTTTTTGTTTGAGACATTCGGAAAACCGACGTGCATGGAATCAATCATAATGATACCTCGACACACACACACACACACACACACATGTATCCTCCATGCTCTGTAGATGCGATAAGATGCGATGCGTAATGTCTTGTCTAGTCTTGTCTCGTCATGTCTTGTAATGTAATGTAATGTAGATAGATGGATGTCGAATGGCCGGGAATGACGCTGAAAGACCATGCAATGCAGTGCTGAACCGGTCCAGTATAAGTAGGCAGGGTATAGAACATTATCAGAATGTAGAATGTAAAACGCATGATGCAGAATGAGAATGAAGGGACAGAAAATAACACAAGATCCGCCCAAAGCACTTTTTTTCCCCTCTAGCAAACCGCCCCTTCGGGGTGGGGAACACTCAGCCAAGGTGAATGAATGAATGAATGAGATCTTACAGCTCTCGCGTCTCCTGCACGGTGGCCAGGTTCAGCTGCAGCTGCTGCCGACTGGGTGTGGCGTGCAGCAGGCGCATTCTCTCCGCGGCGCCGGGGTCTTCTGGTATCGTGCTGCTGGACATGCCCATGCCAACGTTAAGCCCTGCAGCACCTCCTGCGGCAGCAGCAGCGGATACACCGCTGCCACCGACACCGGCACCAGCACCAGCACTGGTAGGGGCGTTGGGGAGGGAACCAGCGGCCGTGCCATATGCGTTACTTGTCCCAACGCCGCCGGGACCGTTAATGCCGATCGTGCTGTTGACGCTCCTGGCGCTGCCGTAGGCGGACCGCGGGGGCCCGAGGAGTGGGCGTCTCTCGTCATTCGCAGCGGCAGCTGCTTGAGCCGCCGCCAGGGCTCTCTCCCTGTGCAGGGCGCGGCCCTTGATGTCGACGTACATGACCAGAGTCACACCCAGGACCAGGCCGGCGGTGGCGAGGCCGAGGTTGATGGGCTCCGGGTCGTCGTCAAAGACGTCGTGGAGCAGGGCCTGCAGGCCGGACTGGGTGAAGGTGAAGAGGCCCGAGAGGCAGATGATGGCGCCGTAGACGGTGCCGAAGGTGGCGTAGCCGAAGATCTTGGCTGCGTAGTCGGACATGGCGCTGTAGTACAGCGGGCGGAACAGCACGAACAGCGTGACGTTGGCGTAGGCGGCCCAGATGGTCGGCACGGCGCCCAGCACCCCAATCAGCGTGCTCAGCAGCACCAGCAGGTTCAGCACCGCCACCGTCGACGTGTAGTCCAGCAGCGCGCCGATGAAGGGCACTGTCACGATGCCGCCGATGGGGAGAGCCAGGTCGAAGAACTCGATGACGCGCGTCGCGGCCTCGACCGAGTTCAGCATGTACGAGTACTGCGTGAAGATGGTGGCGATGAAGAAGTTGAACCGTGCCATCTGCAGCACGGTGAAGAGCGTGATGAGGATGAACCAGGGGGTGCGGATCTGCTTGCTGGCCGGCAGACCGTGGAGGATCCCCCACACGCCGCTGTTGACCTTGATCTGGTCCTCCTTCTTGTCGTGCTTGTCCTGCTCGGCCGGCGGGCCCAGCAGGTCGTTGATCGAGGCGATAGACATACGACGCCGGTTGGCCCGTTCGGCCCGCACCTGCATGACCTCGATGGCGCCGCCGAGCTCGTCGTCGCTGTCGTGCACGTCAGTCGTGGGGTCTTGTGCTTTGTCCATTTTCTCCGCCAGCTCCCCGCGGGTCTGGTAGCTTTGCGAGGGCATGATGGTGAGTTGGGAGACGAGGATGAAGATGGGCACGAGCAGGTAGACGGTGAAGATCTGGCGCAAGGTGATGGCGCCGTGGGTGCTTTGGTAGAGGATGCGGAATATCAGGAAGACGCTGGCCGAGGCGTCGAACGCGCCGGTGACCAGCGCCAGGATGAGGCCTTGGAAACGGGGGAATGCATTGGACAGGTGGAAGCTGGGGACAAAGGTGAAGGTACCCCCGAGGGCGAGGAGGAAGCTGGCCACGATGTATGCGTCAAAGGGGAGATCGGAGGCAAAGGCCATGCAAATACTCCCCAGCACGAGGAAGATGGAGGATATGATGCCACACACGCGCGGGCCGTAGCGGTCGAGGATGCCCCCAACCAGCAGAGCCGAGATGTTGGTGGTGACGGAGGCAATGACAAAGGTGAGATTTAACCTGGTCCACCAGTCAGAAAAAGATACCCACCGGCTGCTCGACTCACCTTTGGTCCTGCATGTAGCACAGGGGCACATTCTTTCTCAGTTCTTCTTCGGTGCACAGGTCCCGGTACGTGCCCTCGGCCAAGAGGATAGTCTTGAGGGCGTCGAAGCCAAAGACAATGCCGGATGCCAGGACGCACGAGACCACGCCGACTGTTACCTGGGCTGTAAAGCAGCAGCAAATGAAACAGTGGTTAGCATTCACCCTTCCTCAAGGTGATGAAGAATAAACTCACCTATCCTCATCCCCCTCGACACCTCGTACGCGGCAATGGGCTCCAGCTTCTCGGGTGCCGCCCCGGGGCCCTTGTCTCCGCTGGCGGGAGGAATGGGGTCATAGCTGATGGACAGGGCGATGCTGGGCTGACGCGACAGACGGTGGAAACTGAGCAAGCTGGCACGGTCGTCAAAGGCCACGTCGCCAGGTTCGGGTTCGTGGTCAATGCCCTCGACCGCGGAGACATGTTGGGCGAGGGACATTGGGGGAATCACAAGAATGCAACGACCAACGACGAGAGTGATGGTGGTGAGGAATGTGGGAGAGAGAGAGGAAGTCAGAATGGTGAGTGTGTGGTTCTAATTCCCAGGGGAACCAATGCCCAGTAAACAATAACTAGCAACGAGTAACGAGTAACGAGTAACGAGTAGTATCCAGCAGCTCGTAACGTGTTGGTAGAAGGGATTTTTGTTGCTGGTGTCGAATAATAGCAATGCTACTGGCAGAATTCATCCCGAGAGCCGTTGATTTGGCCCGGATATCAAGTCCCGACCAATGGGAGTGTGTATACGAGGTACGGCGGACAGCCACACCGACTTGAGTAATACAGCCGAATGCTTGATGTGATGTCACTCGCTAGCAACTAAGGCTTGGCATGTTTGACAGGAGAATATCATACCTATTCCATATGTGCAGTACAATATCTGCACCACTATACCATTACCACAAACACTACCACCACCACCACTACCGCTATTGTCATATTGTCTGTAACCACTCCTATCACCCTGGAATTGACAATCTCAAGGTCCAGGCCAGTGCCAAGTTGTGGCCTCACACACCCTCTCGATCCACCCTCCGCCGAAACTCCAAGATCTCCCTCGTCAACGCCTCCCCCTGCTCCAGCGCCATCATATGCACCCCCGGATCGACCTCCTTGTACACGACCAACCCCCCGCCACCTCCACCACCCTTCTCACATGCCTCCTTCAGCCGGGTCATCCATTGGGGCCCGGTGCTCAGGTCCTGCACCCCACAGACCAGGAGCACGGGACATTTCAGTCTACCGCTCTGCCGCAGCTGGTCCAGCGTGTCCAACCCTGACATGCACCGCCACGCGTCCCCCCAGTCCTGCACCGAGATGCGCTCGACGCACGACCGCGCGTACCGCACCCCCCATTCGTTGCGCGCGATCGCCGCCGGTGTGAACCATCGCATTAGAGTCTCGGGGAGCAGGGGCAGCACGGAGCCGGCCTCTTCGGCGCGTGTGGCCCGCGTGATCCACGAGGGTTGCGCTTCGCCAGCGGTGGTGATGAGGCCGAGAGAACGTGTCGACTGCGGGTATTTCAGTGCAAAGTACTGCGCCACAGCCCCGCCGTAGGACTGTCCGTAGACGTCCGCCCGAGGAATGTGCAGCCTCTCCAGGATGCTGTGCAGGTCGTCGGCGAGCTGTGTGAGGGACTGCGCCGACGGGGCGTGGGCGGCGTATCCGTGCCCGCGCATGTCGTAGGATATGATGCGTAGGGGACTGTCTCCGCTGCTGCTCGCGGCGGCAAGACTCGCAAAGACGGCATCCCACATCCTCCGATCCAGAGCCAAGGCGTGGATGAGCACGATAGGGACAACCCCGCGCGTGTTCTGGGGATCCGAGTCGCGCACCACCGTCTTGTGACTACCAGTCCCTCCTCCGCCGACCAACACCTCCTTCTCCAAGTGATGCAGCCCTGCCCGAAGCGACGATGACAACGACTTCTTGAGCGCGTCCTCGACGCGGGCCCGCACCGCCACGGCCCTGGCAGCCCCGATGCTGGCGCTGGACTGGAACACGACGTTGTGGATCTCGGACTCGGTGGCCCCGTAGTGAAGGGCCGTGGCGACGTATTCTTCGAGCGTCGCACCACCGTCAGCATCAGCGCCCGTCGTGGGTTTACCACCACTACCAGGGCTGGACACAGGCGCAGCGACGTGCGAGATCTGCGCCATGATCCCCAGCAGGGCGCATTCGCGGTAGTTGAGCGATGAGGTCGAGACGAGCTCGAGGAACGAGGCGGGTGGTTTGAATGATGTTGATGATGAAGACGATGCCATTGTGTCTTCTGACTTTCGGCTTTTCTTTTCTGTCTTCTTCTTTTTCAAAAGAACTTGACCTGCTGCTGATGCTGCTGCTGACGCTGATGGTGGTTGTAGTGGTCTACAATCGTGCTTTTCCCCGGAAAAGCCAACGGAATCGGGAGTCGAAGACCGAAGCCACCCTTCTTGGTCACACACCCCCACTCGCTTCTTCTTCTTCTTCTTCTTCTTCTTCTTCTTCTTCTTCTTCCGCGGTGTGCTCTTTTTCAATCGGAGAAGATGGTCGTTTTCCAAAGAGTCTCTCCAATAGAACACAAACAAGAAGACTCACCGAGTGATTCCTCGATCGATCGGTGGAGTGACTGATTGATTGATTGATTGATTGATTGATTGATTATTCAGCCCCACCGTCTCACGTACTCTGTGCTTCCCACTGTCGGCTCTAGCTCTCGCTGGCTGGCTGGCTGGCTGGATGAATGAATAGATATTATGGGTGTGTCTCTTTCTCTGGAACGACTAGCACCATAAACAACATTTCTGCGGCACGGCTCTCCATTCCATTTCCTCCTTCCTGCTGGATACTTTCCACGCCATCCGCCATTCCTTCATCCATCCATCCATCCATTCCTCCTTTCAACCAGCGAAATCGGAGCCAGAGACGGAGTCAGAGTAGTTGGGGGTCGGAGTCCAAGTTGGAGCAGAAGTTGGAGCAACGAGAAAGAGAGGAAGAGAAAGGGGGATTGGATACTCTGCGCGGAGTTTGTCCGCCTCCACCTTCCTTCCCCCCCCCTGAAATGCATACCACCACATACTGAATACCAAATACTGAATACTATTGAATGAATATCTTTGCTATTAAAAACTATTCCGGGCCACATACTAGGTATCTACGTGCCAACCCGGTATGCTGTATGAATGTATGTAGGTATATTCCCTCCACCGGTAAACGTCTAGCTAGGTAGGAGTGGGAACGGGAAGACGAGGCCCGACATAGTACATGTGTACATGGACATGTTACAAAGGACTGCGAACAAACTGATTGATTATTACATTATATCCATACCTCTCTTTTCTCCATTCTCTTTCTCCTTCTCCTTCTGTCTCTTTCGCACATATACATACTATATACACACTCTCGTGCTGACACTGAATGGAGAAACACATATATCCATCCATATTCCACATTCCATATTCCATCACATCTCCACCCCTGACCTCGAGGGCCCCCTTGCCCCCCTTTTTCTTTTCTGTCTTTCACACCTATCCAACAACCCTTCATCTCGTCTCATCTCATCTCATATCAAGTCTATCAAGTCCATTGATGTCTGACTTTCGTCTGGCCAGGCAAGTAGGCAGGGCAAGCAGATGGCTTTGGGGTCGATAAAAGATTCGAGTTGACGGGCATCAGGTTGTGGTGGTGGTATTGTAGTATTGTACTAAGTCTGGAGCGACAGAACCAATGAAAGATTCAACACAGAGTCATCTAAAGACAGCAGAATGTCACCGGTCGCCTGTAACCATTGTGTCATGTGTACTGCCAGGCAACGTCTACACAGTCACCCGAAAGCATCACTGGTGGTGCCCTCTTACGGAAATTGGCATCAAGTTGCGGGGCAAGTTGCTCCCATCTAGTATACATGATATACATACATACATACGACTGCTGTGACCTCCCTTCGTTTCTCATCTGGCATGTGTAAACATGGGACCGGATCCCGTCGTCTCCTCTCCCATATCGTCGTCGTCCTCCCCTCTGTAGTTGACCACCTGGTTCTTCCTATCCATGCTCGTCATGATATCCGCCCTCGTGTCGTCGGAGCCAAGAACTCGGTGATTGTGTTTTGACAGCGCGATGGCCGGTGATGTTCGATCTGGACGACCGCCTCGAGGCCCAAAGAGATTGGCTCTGGTCTCCTCCCACAGTGTTTGGCACGCCGGTAAGCTGGTGACAATGTAGATGATGGTGTTCCAGAATCCCTGCAACGGAAGGACCAGGCCAGAAGCAAAGTCGAGACCAAAGACAGAGTCATCTGGTCGAACCAGGGTATACACTCGGTTGATGGTCGAGGGGACCCTGAAATATACGGTCAGCACTTGTGGTGGCCAAAGGAACGACAGGACATACCATGTGCAGAGGAGCGCGACGAAGAACAACATGGCCGTCTTGCAGTAACTCATAGTTGCCTTGTTCGCGTCCAGTGGCTTGATCGCTGGTCTCTCCACCACCACATTGGTGTTCATTGGGGGAAATGCCGTCTGTTGAATGGAGGGAAGCCGTTCGTGGTGGGCACCTGTTCGCGAAACATCCTCGTGATAGGTACTCCGCGGCGAGCCCAGCTGTCGCTGCTGCTTCGGTTCCGGTGAGTGAGGAACTTGGCTGCTGATGGTCACTTCATAGGTCGTGGGAGAGGTCGGGAGGTGATTCATCGTATAGCCGTGAGACGGATCACCAGCCCTGCCCTCGCTCTGGTTCAAGGAGAGGAGCTGCTTGCGCCATCGAAACACCACGACGCCCACCTTGACGTAGATAAACATGGTCACAAGAATGATCAGCCACACTGGTCCATAAAAGGTGGCAATCCGGAGCGCGTTCCATTTCGTCGAGACCCAGCACCACAGCTGCCACAGGAGTCAGCACATGCAACAAACAGCGGTGACAAAGGCATCCATACGACCGCATCTCCATATACTTTGCCCCGGTCCCCAGAGCTGACAAATAGAAACACCAACGCTGGAATGAACGGAATGCCGTAGCACGCTCCCAAGTATCTCCACTCAAGACTTCGAAGTTGCGAGGCGTCGTATTGTCGAAAGAAGGAGAGGTAGACGTTGCAGGCCATGGCAAACGTCCACAGGGCGTCCGCAGGCATGAACCTAATTTCATCCATGAGTAAGGACCCCCAAGTGAAATATCAACCATCTTACCATTGAATCAAAAAGCCCTGGAACTGGCACAACGGCGACGTCACCCCCAACTTGATGCCGGATCTCGCGATCAGCGTCGCCACGTTGGCAAACAAGTTCCCCCATGCCGCAAAGAATACCAGTCTGTTGATGGGTTTGCGAAACTTGCTGTCCGAAAGGAACGTCGCGATGATGAATGCCGCCCCCAGAACAGAAAACACCGAGGCCACTCTCTCGGTCGTCACCAACGCAGGGTCTTGTGAGGCCGTGATCGACATGTTGACAACCAGAGGAGCATGCCGAACAAGTTCCCCAAGAAGCGACAACTTCTCTCAAAGTTGCGCCGGAGGGGGAGGAAGGCGGCCTGATTTTGTCTTCGCCAGGCTTGATATTCCCACGTAAGAGTAACCACGCTGCGTGCCCGTGACTACTACAAGGATACTTGTTTGCTGTTCGCCACAGAAGTGGCCAAGGGGGTTTTCCCCACCCAACTCCCAGGGTCAGAAATTTTCGAGAAACAACAGACCCTCCGCTGGCCAGTCGATTCGTTGACATGTGAAAAGACGACAGTGACTTTGCCGGGGTTGATCTGGGGCAGAGCACGGTGGTCGTCATTGAAACGGCTAGAATACATCGGGGATGCACCTTCCGTATGTACGGTGGTGGATCTCACGGAAACTCCGCTGATGGAGCAAACACACAGGCTTGCATGGTGCTAAGTCCTGCGATCGTCAATGGGAATTGACCCAACGTTGCAGGGATGGGAGTGTCTTTTTGAGTGGGAGTGGTAGCAATGGAGTAGTGGATTGTGAAGCTGGTCCACCTCACAATGCCGTGCTGGGAACCTTTGGTAGGGGAGGACTATTGCTAAGTCGCACTCTTATCGCATTATTTTGTCTGATCGACGTAGAGCTGTTGGCCTCCGGAAGAGATGTCACCAATAGTGTAACGGACCATATTTCAGACTTAAGCCGATGGCGGGTGTCACCAGTGGGAGATGAAGAGGAAAAAGAAAATCCTCCGTTTCAACCCCGCAGGACTTGGACGACGAGGCCTGGTTCGCACGGTCCGCACCGAAATGGTAATGTCTGGAGCGGAAATGGATTGGGCTGGGAAATCACTCTTTGGAGAAGAACGTTCAACGGTTCAACGGCTCGGCGAGATTCGAAGAGGCCGTCGTCGTCTGTGCCTGAACACGAAGCGAAGCTGGTGAGCGGGGTCAATCAATCCTTTTCCCCAGAATCCCAGCTTGTGGGAGAGAATGTGTTCCTGAACAACGGAACGGTCGGTTGGTCGGTGGAAGGGAAGCACGAAGCTAGTGCAGGAACAAAACGACTTGAGACGAAAGCTGCATCCAACCGACCGTGCAACCGAACACGCAGGATTCGAATGAGTCGTGTGATAGGTACTAGGATGTGGGAAGCAAGCTACTCGAATGCTGTGTTGGGTTCTGACTTTTTCGACTGGTGGTCGGAATGGCTGGTCGAATAACTGTACAAGAGAAATTCCACATCTTCGTTACCATCCATACCAGAAAGAGTCTGTGCAACGAATATTCCTGTCTTGTGGATTCACGAATTGACTTCAGTGGGTAATTTGGCGTCATAGAGGCTGATGGTGGTGAAGAAAATCGGTTCCTAGGGTCACAGATGATGGCCGAGAGGGGACTGTCGGACTAGTCGGGCTGGGGACAGGCTATTGAAACGCTGGGGTTGTCGACAGCTAGCCATGTCGAGGACAAGAGGAACATGCCTAATAACCCTGCTCCAAAGCGACGGTGGCCCTAGACGTCTTCGTCATCTCTTTGATGATCAGGCCGTGCGAAATGAACTTTCTAAAGGCGTGTTCACATTTTCCGCGCCGACGGATGAAGGCGCTCTTTCGAGTCACGGACTACCAACACCGGGAATAATGCGAAAGCTTGCCAACTCAGGGTGGGAGGATGGCCGTACACATGTAGCCCGTAGCTCGCGATAAGCGGGTGGGAGGGAGGAGAACCAGGACAGGATAGCATTTCGACTGCGCAACTTCGGTGGACATGGGCGGCGAGTGAGGCCTAGCCCAAGGGTCGAGATCCAAGCCTCTTTGAGACAGACCCCTGGCATCGTCTTTTTGACCCATGGCTGACCAAAACCTATTAGGGATGACTGAACGAAGAACGGGTCGACTCCCTGGGCCGTCCAGACACTCCAGAGGTCCGGGTCAGGTCAGGGCTTGCAAGGCGTCAGGCTCGTGATCACCGTTGACGCATGACTACCTACTGTAGATGCAGTGGAAGTGGAAGTGGGCGGGATTAATTGATTGATGCCAAAATCTGACAGTGGTGGGATTTTTGGACCTAAAGTCGTTGGAACCTGACGATCTTTTCCCCCAGAGGTTCGATTGCGCTATGGACCATTGTAACTGTCAGGGAACAAAAGACAGTGGTGACAGTACCCATTCTGTCGGGTACGTGATCCACCCACACAGACTGTACCTCGTCCCCCGGTCAATGAGTAATAACGCCCACAAAGGGGAGTTGCAGCAATGGCCACACTGGGACTGGGCATTGTGGTGGTGTGACCCACCTCTAACGTCGAAGAAATTCGGCTAAAACAGAGAGAGAGAGAGAGAGAGAGAGAGAGAGAGAGAGAGAGAGAGAGAGAGAGACAGATGAACAGAGGAACGAACGGACAAGCAAAGGCAAAAACAAACGCATCTCAAGCGGTTGTTGCCCCGAGGCTGCCACCACAAGCCACCAGTGCCACCGTCACTCACCCTCCTATCAAGATGTTTGTTCGTGCTGACGAGGACACACGTACTGTATGTAGATCGCCGACAAGGTCTACGCAACAATAATGATAAGTACATACACAAGTCGAAGTGAGCTGAGGTGAGGTGATTTCATGCAGTGAAAAGAATGTCGTATCTCCCTCTCCAGGGCCCTAGGGGTTACTGCCACGACTACTCTACTACTATCGGTACTGGGTCCTCCTCCTGTTTCACTGCTGCACACTATTATTCTTGGACCTGGACCGCCTTTCTCCTCTCTTCTCCTTCCTCCCTCCATGACGAATGTGGCCGGCCGGACAATACCTACGTAAGAGGTACATGGGACGACAACTCCTCTGTACCCCTCCCCTCCCCTTCGCCCCCAAACAGGGTGATCGCCATCCCATATTCAGAGGTATATAGAAAATGGGATCTGCACTTGATCAGCAGGAACGTACCTCCCTGGCACCCAGGTGCCTGGGATAGATATAGCAACGGTCGCCAAACGAGAACCAATCGACAAGCAATGGGATGTGAGAGAAGTGTAAGAAAACCTTTTCATAAGAGAGAGAGTATCGTGGTCTGCAAAAGTCCGACAGTCCCCAAGCCAATGCCCTCCCTTCTGCGACGCAGGTCAAGTCGTCACTGTGCAAACCAGCCAAATTTTTATCGTTGGAACAACCTTCCCGAAGAGCGCCGTCGCTCAAATTGTTGTTGGACCGTGACACCAAGACCATGCAAGGGTAAGTATTATTATATGGTTGTCCGCTCGCCAAAACAAATGGCCCCAATGACCCGACGGATCTCATTATCATCATACCCTTCATTTATCTCTTCTTTGTATCATGCTTCGTCTGATATCTGGGCATCCTCTCATACGCATTGGGACTGGGCTTTCTCCGCCCCTTGCCCTTCCCGTGATCACATCCGTCGTCATGGTCATGGTCGTGGGGATGGCCGTGCCGATGGTCGTGTTTCCTCCCCCTGCGGTTCCCGCTCATTCTGGCACCGCCGTCGTCGGGACTGTCACTCCCACCGGCATCACTGTCGCTGTCACTCGAGGAGTCACTCGAGCTGTCGTCCTCGCTGGAGCTCTCGCCAAACTCCCGCGGTTTGTGGTATATGCAGCACACTTTGCTTGATTTTCTGCCCAAGCCCTCGTTGTCCACCACGTCTTCGGCCCAGGTGATTTGTCGCCGGCGACCTCGGCTCGTGTTTGTGCTGGACCCCGCCAGGGCCGCGTCGTGTGCGCCGCGGAGACGCAGGATGAGTGGTTCGGGTGAAGCTGATCGTGACGAGGCCGAATCGACTGGGGTGACGGTCTGGGTTGCTGACCCGGAGGTGGCGCGGCGCGCAGGCGACGCAGCGTGCAAGGCCGGTGCGAGATGTCTAGCACCAGCAGGTCTGGAGGGATTGTGGGACGAGTTCATGGCTGGCGGTTGAATCGACGGGGCGGTGGACGAGGACATGATCAGGCGAGAATCTTCGGGAAACGTGTGTCTTTGTTTTTCTCTCTCTCTTTCTCGCAAAGTGGGTTCCGTTTGCAGGTGTCGGCAAATATGTAAGCCAGTGACAAGAGACTCTGGATGCCGCAGTCCGAAGGCCACAGAAGCGTCTAGTATCGTAGTGATGGCTGAGGGTGCGTCAGGTGTCAAGTGACGCAGATACAGGGCACAACGAAGGAATGCGAATATAGGTAGGTAGGTAGGGAGGGTATGAACGGCCCACAAACAGGGCCGGCCTTATTCTTTAATAGTTAGATTAGTGACTCCGTACTCGGGTAGTATCGAACGAAAACCGCATCCTCTGTGTTCCCACTCTGACGTGTCTGGTTAACCGCTCACTGCTTTGCTCACACTCTCGTGACTCTCGCACGGTCGCTGAAAGCGGGGTGGAAAGCTTATTTCCGAAGATTACAGGAGAGTGCCAAGCAAAAAGAGAAGAATCATGTTATTCCAAAAAGATTATGTCGTCTGTGTGGATCGAACACACGACCTTCAGATTCAATGACCGATAGTGATACTTCAGTCTCTGCGGCACAAGTTAGTTGATATTGCGAATAATGTGATGGGCGATGACATACGACGCTCCCCCAGCTGAAATAAGACGACGCTGTTATATATTCCTCAAAAAAACCAATGCTAAGTGGCAAGGTAGCTCTGCAGACCCTAACTATCATCGAGCTTACTCCGCGCAGCGTGATAGCCCTCTCTCTACATAACTCGGTCAATTATACCGCCTCGGGCTTGTTCAGTGTACTCGCAAAGTAGCGCCCGGGAATAATATGTCAGTAGCTGGAGAGAGTTGAATAATTGCATTGAGGTGAAATATGTTGATCGACTACCAAACCTCGCCATGCCTAGTCTCGGACACGGCTGCGATCATCACAATTCACAATGGGATGGTCGTCTACTTGGACAATGGTTTGGCACTACCAGGGATAATGGAGCAGGCGATCTACAACCATCGTCACAGATCCCATGATCGATTTCATTCTTCGTGTGACTGACTACATGCACAGGAGACTAGCATGCACCCATGTAAAGGGCGGGAGGATAAACAATAATAATGAAATCATGTTTGATTTGATTTAATTTCGACGACGCAGCAAGCACACGAGACCCCCAAACATCAAGTGACGCATTGTTTTCGTCCCCGCTTTTCCGCTTTTCTCCCGTCCAGTCATCATCCATCTCCGCCTCTCGCCTCGTTGCGTCCCGTTTGCTCACGCACCGCTGACCGCCTGCATGTAGGTAATACCGCTATGTATGCAGCTGGAGGGGACCGAGCTGGATGCCTCAGCTGTATGTGTAGATATGTATGCCGTCACCTCGTCGGGTGCGCCCAGCTCCCACCATCATGGGCTGTATGTAACACGCCTGACCACATGGTCTCGAACCCAGCACCCTGCATCCAACCTCATCCGCCCATCCTGCAGAGATCACTTCATGTGTCCCAGCACCCAGGATCCGTGCGCTGCCTCACATGGTCCGGAGGCGAGCTTTAGAAGAGTCTGGATCCCGAGCAAAGCTGCTGCTGTAATGGCTCCTGTGAAGAGATTTCTCTACTCCTCTATTCTGTTGCTACAAAAAGCCCATCCGGCCTCGTTTCAAATCTCCAATGTTCGTGTTCGGATGCGCTCTTCTCAGCTTTCATCTAGTCTTCTAGCAGCTCATGATCTTGATCATCCCCATCTCGGAGGACTCGACTCGGCCGGGGTCCCTCCCTCCAATCCCTGGTTGGTGTGTCCAGGCCAGGTAGAGAGTGCCCAAGAGGGGTCTCGCAAGCAATGCTCTAACCGACTGACCAGCGGACCATGCTTTTTGGTATCATAACACAATTCAAGCAAACAAGGTATGCATTTTCCCATCCATCGGTCTCTCCCCCCTCTCCAATGCGGGATCTGTCACCGAAACGAGCACCTCAACACTTGTAGAAAACCCATCCACTCTCAAAATCCTCGTCCGGTGTCGGCTTGTCCAAAGCGTAGTGTTCAACCGAGGGTGCGGCGGCCGGTGGCTGTTCTGCTGAGCGTATCGCGAATTCCGTGCGCAACTCTTCTTCTAGTCACAGCTCATCGTCCTGGTCCAGGTCGGCCGGCTTGATCAGTCCACCGACCTTGAGAGCCCGCTCTCGTTCCGCGTCCGCCAGGATCTTCTTTTCTTGTTCACGTTCTTCGGCGTACAGTTCGGCATTGTCGCCAGCAAATTCCTTGAGCGAGATCAAAAAGTCACGCACGTGCGTCTTAAATTTCGTGGCGTCTTCGTTGAGGGCGAAGAGACCCGTCACAAAATGCTGGACCTGGATCTCCTTAAGATTGGGAAAAGCGCGCTGCAGTAGATTGGAGGTGAAGTCACTGACAAACTGCTTGTTGGACGTCCCGGGAGCGGCCTGGTCGGGTTGATACAGCGGCTGCGAAATCTTGTTGGTCTCCACCAGCTGGAACATCCGAGCCAGCAACATGCACTGAGATTTGAAGCCGGCCTTGTGGTCCGAATCGGTGAGGACGAAGAAAACGTCCTGCAGGATGGAGATGTAGAATTGTTGGAAGAAGATGCCTGCCGTCTGAGGGTCCGTGTCGGCCATGTTGTTGATGAGCTCCAGACACATGGACAAGCCTGTATTCTCGACCTCGCGGTTATCGTGTTTGCTGGCCCACATGCAAGAATCAATGACGAACTTGAACTGTCGACCGTCCAATTTGAGCAACGCCGGGAAGCAAAACAGGTTGATAGCCTGAAGTAACTTGAAAAATTCGACTCGGAATTCGGGATATTCGTGGAAATCTTTGTTGATCATCTCCAGCGTACATTCGAAGATGCTGTCCATGATCGGGCCAATTTTGTCATCCATAAGGTTCTGTCGAATGTCAGTAACAGGTCGAGGGATAAGCATTACGTCTCTGACCAAATGCCGAGATCTCTTTGGGGTCCAACGTACATGTAGCTTGTGAATGATCGTGGTGGTCACGCTGAGGACTTCCGCATCCCGGGCGTCTGGAACGTTACGCTGATAGTCGAGCAAGATGGCATCGAGGAGTGGCGGAACCATGCTATCATTGACCATTTGCAGGTCGTCCGCCTTTTGGACGTAGATGTCGACCAGTTTCAAAATCTCTTTCTTGATGGTGCGCAGGCCTCGGACCTTGGGCGTCTTTGTCTGGACGTTGCCTGTGTGGTTCACATTAGAATCAAGCAGAAAACAAACAAGGCACGCCGACTTACCTCCAGAAGCGACAGCATCGGAAATCAGCTGGCTTGAAGCCCGGTACATATTGAGCATGTCATGGTAAATGCGGCCGATCTGAGAGTAGAAGTAGCTGCCGATCGACGAGCACGCTGCGACGTTGGTCTTCATAATGTTTCCCACGATCTTGATGATCTCAGGGTCGTGGAGGATTGCGGGATTGGCGTTCGCTTGCTGAATGACATTGTCCCAGGCTTGGTTGGGATAAGACATGAGGTCGCTGATCAGTCGGTCTTGCACGCTCTTCTGGCCTTGGGCTGAGATCATATATCCACACGCTTCGTAAAAGGTGTGAATCTGTTGCGGGGTCAAATCACAGGTGATCCTGCGCATATTACGCACAATCTCATCGATGAAAGGCTCGGTCTCACCGGGCTGCAGAGCTACGAAATGGCGCTTGCACTTGTTGGCAATCTTGATGAACGTGTCGCAAGCCATGTCTTGGACGCCTTCGTGGGTTTCGTGCATAAACTCAAAGAGCTTGTTCACCACGGTCTTCAGGAACTTCCAGTGCGCCTTCAGGAAACGTGGATACTGGCCCACAATGTACATGATGTTGCTGGCCACGACGGCTTTGTTGTCTTTGCCACGCTTCATCTCCGTCAACCCAAGCAAGTCCTTGATGACCGTCACCAAGAAACGCTTCTCGGTCTCTTCGGACATGGCCCCTGATATTGAGCCGATGGCCCAGCAGAGAGTATTGCAGTTGTTCCACGACCACTCCGACCCGTCGACTTGTCGTTGAAGCTTGTCAGACATGATTTGCTCGGTGTCGACAACGTCCAAGTGCGTCAGATAGACCAGGCATTCGCGGGTGGTCTTGTACAGCTGAATCGTGTCGCTCTCCTTGACGAATTCCCGCACAATCTCTCCCTCGTCATTTTCCACGATGAGGACTTCCTCAGGCCGGACCATCTTCTCCACTATGACCTGTCGCAGACTGGACAACACTTGGGAATACTTGTGTTTGCGGAGAGGGTAATTGGCCAGGGTGCTTGGATGAGGCGCGCCGCCGTTAGCGAGCCCGGTGACGTTGATGGTGGACAAAGTATTGAGCTCCGTGAGTGGGAGCTGTTGCATTTCTTCGTACAATTCTTGGACCAACTTGTTCCAGTATTCCAGACAGATCTTGAAGATTTCTCTGTCGTCGATCAGGCTGATCTTGATGAGGTAGAAATGGCCGTGCAGCAAATAGTCGGAGTTGGGTAGTCTTTCGATCGTTTGAAGATGTGCGGAAAAGTAGTTGGTGAGAAAGATTGCGAGGTTCAGGATATATTCTTGTTCTGAAGCCTTGGCTTTGGCATATGCCTCTCGGAAATCTGTGTCAAGCGAGAGAGTTCTTGCAACGACAGTCAAAGTTTCGGTGAACATTTGAACGAGCTTGTCATCGTACTGATATTGCTGTCCCAACTGCAAGCCACCGATTTCCGTCAAGCATTTGAGGGTGATATTGCGAAATTGATCAACTTCGAGGAACCGTGTGACGAGGGTGTCGATGAGCTTGGTTTCGAAGATGAATCCAAGGGGAATCCAGTTCAGGAACCGGAGGAGCGTCTCGAGCGTGGCCTTGACCAAGCTTACGGAGTCGGCGGTGGTCAGGATTTCATTGCAGAGTTGGAAGATGGACGAGAATTCGGCGCACATGGTGGTTTTCAGGTTTCTCGCCTTTGTGGAGGTCATCTGGTCCTGGGAGAAGTCGAATACCTCTTCAGATAGCAGCCGCAAGATGGTCATGTTGTTCTCACACACAGAGATGCCGGTGTGGCAGGCGGAGATGATCTCGTTGATGAATGTCGGCCAATTCTGGGGCCATTCTTGCTTGAGGATCGTGACCAGCGTCAAATCCAACTTGTTGAGAAAGAGCTTGTTCGCCTTGAGCTTCTCCTCGGTGTCGGAAGCCTGCAAGATTTGATTGACCACAAAGTTGCGGATGCCCAAACATTGGTCTCGCGGGAGAACCTTCCATCGAGTATTTACCACATCGTCCAGCACCTGCAATCCCAGATATTTGGTGGGCACGTATGTCGCCTCTTGCAGTATCCTGTCGACCATCAACCATGCGTCGGGATTTGACTTGAATTCATTGAGCTTCTGTTGGGCCTGCTTTTGGATGTCGCCATGACCCTCTTGAAAAGCTTTGACGGTCGCGTCAAGCTCGGCGACGGTGACCGACATGGTGGGAGGAGAAGCAGAACGTCAGAAGGAAGAGCGCTCAGCGAGCGAGGAGAAGCACGAGTGTCGCGCCAGTGAGTGGCGGGGTACCAGGGTTCAAGGTTCGATCGATATGCCGGTACTGATAAACGACCCAAGGGCGGGATGAGGAGTGTTTGATGCTAGTCCCTCGTTTGACAGGACAAGGAGATGAAAGGGTGATTAGTGCAACGGGTGATGGGGATGGAGACGAATTGCACGGACAGAATGAATGAAGAGATGTTTGAGTCTTTGTTGGGTTGGTGGTGGCAGGCAAATGTTCGGACGATGGAAAATTGCCAACGCGTGAGGCCCAGGCTACTGGCACTGGGGTTGATGAGGCGCCGCCCGCATAAGGCAACCGCAGCGCAGGGGACGATGTCAAGTGCTCAGGCTGTCATTAGCGCGGCTATTGGGCGCCGGGCGGTGGGCGTCAGACAGCTGCCACCTACTGCCACCTACTGCCACCGCTGGGTGCATTTGTCATCCACAACCAATTGGAGCAGCCACCAGTGAGATAGACGCCTGGGCGATATACAAGAGACAGAGTACCCTCACGGTCATCTACAAAATCACAGACGAACGTTGCACGTCAGGGGGAACACCAATTTTAATGTTAATTTTTTTAATGTAAACTCACACGAGACTTGTCTCGTGGTGTGAAATCATATTCTGGTTTATCTGGTATCATGGGCACTGTAAAAGCCACATCAAGTCTTGTATCAACAACAAAAAGCCCCAAAGCAAGCCTCTCCTTTTCTTTTGATTGTATTCAGTCGGTACCTACCCCCGTCGTATGTTCTTTGAGCTTCAGCTCTCGCTCCTCGCTTTCTTTGCGGTACTGTTGGTACGCGGCAGCCATCTCTTCCTTCGACTGCATCCCGTTCTTTTCAGTGATTAAATCCTTGAGCCATTTGTTCTCCATCTCCAATTGATTGACCTTGGCCTCCAATTTGGCGTTCTTCTCTTGCACTTCCTTCACCGTCCGCTCCAAAGCCTGCTCGCGCTGCTTCTTCTTGACGCGAAATCGCGCACTGGCGGCCGTGTTCCGCCTCCTCTTATCTTCCTCAGCGGCCATGCGGGACTTCTCTTCCGGACTCAATGCATTGGCATCCGCGCCATCGCCTTTCCGTCGAGCACCTTGGGGCCCAGTCACCGTAGAGGAGCCCGGAGATGTGTGAGAGTCGAGGTTGTTGAAGCCGGGGACGGGTGCGGGTTGAATGGGAGTGTTGTAGGTAGCGTAGAAGTGCGAAGAATCGCCAGCAGATGTGTCAATGTTGGGGGGTTGATAGTTTTGTGCGGGCGAAGAGCCCGACAGGAGTTCTTCATACTTGACATTGTTCGGATTGGTTTTAGAGTCGCCGAGGTCAAAGTTGAAAGAGCCATCATCAGGTAGCGCAGGTATGTCGAAATGGGTGAAATCGGTGTTGGTGAACATGGCCAGGTCCTGGCTGATGTCCAGTTCTTCCGCCGGGAACTGCTCCTGATCATAGGGCGCCGCCAGAGTATTGAGATTGTTCAGATACTCCGAGAAGTTCGGCCCCGTACGGCCGCGGTACCCCGACATGATCCTCCCAGTGCTCCCCTGCGATACGTTTCGTTTCCTCCTTCTCAGCGCGGGGTATGGATATATTGAAGTCGTCTGGGAGGAGGTGATGGATTGGGGTGGAAAAATGGTGCCCTGAGGCCGTCGGCGAAGGGCGCACTACTCGTATGACCAAGTGACTCCGTGTGGCGACTTTGTCCGAACCAGGCTCGGGAGCAGCAACGCAGCTGTATTCCCTCGAGCTAAGAATTCGCGTTCGACTCGTCGTCCTCCAGCCCAGCAACAGACGTCGTCTCTGCAAGTAAGGAGGTGGTGGAAGAATAGAAGGGCAATAGTGGGGAGAGAAAAATTGCGTTCTCGTGGGAAGGAGAGCGTGAAAGGTCGGGTGCAGGGAGGGGCGCGAAAACTCTCAGTCAACAGGATTACTTGGTGAGTGCCACAGGTGTGGGAGTCTTTACGCGGGCCGCAGGGCCTTCGTGGGAGAGGCGGGCGCCCAGCGTGGGTTTCGGCCGTTGTGTGGTTGGTCTGTGCGGTCTCGGTTCGGGAATTGCACTGATGCGATGCTCCTCCCCCTCTCGTACAGGGTCCTTTCTTCACCTGCCGGATCTATTCGCTCGCTTTGGTCGAGATCTCTCCTATCGTAATAATATCACTTAATGGCTTCAAGCCCTGCCCAGCTCTTTCAGATAGCCAAAGTCAACAGTTGAGCAATGGATGTACAATCGTGGGGAATCGGCAGGCTTTGTAACTGCCGAGGCGCTGAGAGTAGGTAGATGAATCATGGCTTTGTCTCCATTATTTAGAGTGGTAGCGGTTGGGTCGTTGTCGCGGGAAGGAAAAACTTCTCATGATCTCATCTAAAATCAGTGAATTGTCGCACCTTGTCAGACGGATCAGCCTGCCGAAAAGGGTCCTTGTACCAAGTCACGTTCCAAGATTAGTCGGGCTTTGTCGCCGAGAGTTGCTCACCCGTTCAGGGCGCACATCGCCGGTGGCTTAACCCATTCCATCTCATAAACGCGAGCTGTCCCAAGGTCCCTCCAGTTCTTCTCTTTCTGAGGGTATGCACGTAATTGACTAGTGCTTGCCCCATTAATAATCAAGAGGGCAGGTCGACAACTTGTGGCCAGGCACCCACAGGATTGGCCTGCTGATGATTAGGTATTCAAGCTGCGTGATCGGTACAGGAACCCTAGTGTGGGGTTTTGGTGTCGGGTGGTGTGCGGCACCACCAGCTCTGCTGAGGAAGCTTGCATGTGGCAGTGGCACTGATCTGGAAGTATTCGCCTGCCCGATTCTGTCGTGTGTACCGATGAGGCTGTAGAGTGATCAAAATAACGTTGGGACCATGTGTTTGTTCACATCATCACGCAGAGATGAGATGCTCTAGATAGATAGACTGTATGTGTAAGGGATTTTGGCAACGCATGACTCAGTTTGTGGGTCACATGACCGGCACATGACCTGTGTGTTTACTTGGTCCTTTTCCCTCATCCCGATTCATCCCCAATGTAAACAAACCCTCAACCACACCATGGCACCGATTCTCGCCAGATCACTCAATCGACTGTCCAAGGAAACTATCCTGGAGCTTGCTCTCACATGGCTGGGGAACAACCGCAATTGTGCTCCGTATTTGCGGGACAATCGGACAGGCTTCGAAGCAGACGAAGAAGATTACCTGCACACCCCTGCCGGGAGCATTGAAGAACTGCGACAACTGTACGACGATCTCAAAAGGAATGTCGAAAAAGTTTCTAAGCGCGACATTATTGATCGCATTGTTGACGGCGACTGGCGAAGGGGTCTGTCGCTGCATCAACATGCCATGATCGACTTTGCTGCTTTGGAGCGGAACGACCACGCATTGAGATGGAGTGCCCTCAAGCTGGTGCCGCTGGAAGTGGAAGAGCAGAAGGGAATGGAGGATGACGACGACGATTCTCATCCTCCCAAGAAGAGGCGAAAATTGATGCATCCCGAGGCCGAAGCGCCTTATCCTCAGGTCTCCCCACAGGCATTTCTCTCCGCCTTGAAGGCAGAGATTTCACCTTTGGTCAAAGCCCACTATCACCTCCATCGCATGCCGCCGCCCTGCAAACTCACGATTCTGCGACTGTACATCACTCCAAACTCGGCATTTGCACCTAAACGATCCAAAGTCCCCGCCCGGGCGAAGCAAGCCACCGATGCGGGCCGGATCATGTACATCGCTCTTCCCGACAGTTGCCCTTACATCTACATCTCGATATCCGGGTCCTCGTTGGGCTCCAGCGGTCGATCAAGTGGCACGACAGGTCGGGTGATGGCTAAGGTCGATATGGCCGCCACGAAGAGGATCATCCTCGAAGCCATCCCAAAGGCTCTCTCTCGCCCTCAGCGTCGATGGGCACTGGACACAACGAAGCTCGTGGCCAAGTCTCTCAAGACCATGTGCGAGCTGAGAGGCAATCAGATGCCGGGTTCGGGTGGTGGCGCGTACAGTGTCTTTGCGGCCGGGACGAAGACATCCGAAAAGAGCCCTGTCCACGTCCTCCGCGACGAATCGGACAAAGAAAATGACGAGAGACTGCGCCAGGTGGAGAAACGCTTCGGGGAGATGTCTGGGGAGCACCATGCACCACTCGACCGTTTCTGCGTGAAGCTTCGCAAACAACCGGACGAAGAGAACGACAAGCGACTTCCTCTGGTTCAGAAACCATTCGGAAAAGATATGTCCGGAGCACAGCATGCACCTCTTGGCTGTTTCTCCATGGGCCTCCACAACATCATACCGCTTGAGCTCGATGAAAAGGATTCGTCAGAAGAACAAGACAGAGACGGCGGCAGCAGCAGAGGCGGTACCGCCGTGACGTTTTGCGGCAGCGATGTATTCCAGGGATTGAAGGAGCTGGCTAAACTGGGACCGAAGTACGTCGACTTGGACAAAATGCCCTCTTGGATGACGGGCGAACTGGGCGTGAGCAGTGTGACCGCCTAGTTCGAAGATGAATGGCCGACTGGTATAAAGAGAGAAAAGAGAAGTATCTTGGATCCTGAATGTTCCCTCTGCGGCATTTCAATGCCACTTTGGCGGGCGATTACGACCGTTGACGATTCGATTGCTGCTTTGTACTTGTACATGACGATAATTCCATATTCTCTGGCTCGGTCGAGGCTACGTACATGCGTTGAAGGCTTGCCTTGCCGTCCTCGATGGACCGATGGATAGATTCAAATAAACCAGAGGGGCCAAGCAAGGCCTCCGCCCACTCGCTCACAATATAAAGACCTTATTCGTACATTTAGTTGGTTGTCTTCCTTTTTCCTCTCCACCTCTCGCTATATCGACTAGGACCGAAGCGAAAAGCCGACCGGTAATACTACACGAAGGACCTCGTACAGCACCTCCATTACATCCGCAGCCTTACCCCATTCCATTCCATTCATTTCGTCCGGACCACGGACGGGTCTGATCTCCCCCCTCGGACCAATTCACAATCCACATCCCAAGGAAAGGACCAGCCAAGTCACAGCTCCAGTCTCAGGGCCAGGCGGCATGCGACGCGGCGTTAAGGGCCACTTTCAGACATCCAGGACCATGTTATGTCCTTGGGCAGCAGGCATACATACTTTAGATACCTCGTGTCGGTCTCTCCACAACACGCCGCTAAACCTCATCTCGTATACCAAGCTTCACGATTTGGACGACATCGCTGAACAACATTCACGAATTGTTGCGGTGCAAGTGTAACCTGTAAAACGTAGAGAACGAACATATTATTACCTCGATTTTCTAATGACGAAGCCGGATATCTGGGAGAATTTTCCCTTCCGTTACAAGTCACACGCGAGACTCGAGAGAAAGTTGCCCCGTCTTCCAACATCCACACCCCGCCCATCACGAATCTCTCCGGCCATCGGACCATTTTTAGCCCGTGTGCCTACCCTACCTAGGTATGTATGTACCCAGGGCAACATAGGTTTGGGCCTTGAAAGCCTGGTCCAGGGTCCCAAGTGGTCCCTGATCGTGATGAGATGGAGATGCAGACGCAGACGCACAAATGCATGGAGATAGATCGTGTAGTTACGGACTGAACGAGTCCGAAAGTCCGACGCGGTGACATAAAGGGGGATGATATTGTAGACAGTAGAAGATAAAAAGGCTGCTGGAGTATTCCATCCGTGTCCCTCTTTCCCTCCATCGTTCGTGTCCTCGTTCACTTCGTGCCTTGGAGAAAGAGAGCTCAGCCCTGCACACCGACCATTTACTAAAGAGGAGTTATAACACAGAGGAGAAGAACAACAACATCATCATCGCCAATTTCAGGACCCCTGGCGCTACTGCAACAATGCCTTCCAAGTACCTCTCGAAACTGCAAGGTCAATCTGTCGTGGTTGTTGGCGGCTCGACGGGAATAGGGTACGGGATCGCCGAGGGCTGTCTAGAGTTCGGAGCCAAGGTCGTCATCGCCTCGCGCTCCGCCGACAAAGTGGCCTCAGCCGTGAAGAGCCTCAAGGCCTCGTACCCGGAGCACGCGGCCAATGTCCGCGGACAGACGGTGAACCTGAACACGGCCGAGACGGACGTCGAGAAAGAGCTCGTCGCCCTCTTCGACTTCGCCACAGACAATGGCACCACGAAGGTCGACCATGTGGTGGAAACCGCGGGCGATCTCTCGCTGGCAGGAAAACTGGGCCTCGACACCGTCACCCTCGAATTGTTGCGGCAGGCAGGTGCTGTGCGTTCGCTCGGCGTCATCCTGCTCGCCAAGGTCGCCACCAAGTACTTAAACAAGGCCTCGACGAGCTCCTTCACCATGACCAGCGGCGCCCTCTTGTACAAGCCGCGCGCGGGGCTCGGCGCATTCCTGGGCGCGGGTGGGAACAAAGAAGCCCTCACGCGCGGATTGGCGTTGGACATCGCGCCCGTCCGCGTCAATCTCGTGAGTCCTGGCGCGATCGAGACCGATCTGTTGTATTCCAGCCTCCCCGCCGGCACGAACAGGGATGCCGTCAGGGAGTTGTACAGCAAGAACAGTCTGCTGGGGAAGGTCGGCAGTGTCGAGGATGTGGTCGAGAGGTATTTGAGCATCATGAAGAACACCTTCCAGACCGGAACGGTGGTGCAGTCAGAAGGCGGGTACCTTCTCCGCTAGAATGGTCACTGAGAGAAAGAGTCGCATGAGAGTGGACGGGAGGGGAGGAAGCCCATGAAGTCGTCGGCATTAATGTTTTGGAGACAAGCCGTCGGAAACCCGGAGGAATGCCACCAGTTGATTATATACCCAGAGTCGTATTACAGCATCAACGTCCAATCCCAGTCCTGCACTCCGGTTCCAATTTGTGTCCCATCAGTGCTGGCAAAGCCTCCTGGCAGGCCGGCTTCACCCGCGCTGCCCAGACGACCCATCCCAGCCATAGCTGCATGGCTGAGACGGTCGCAGTAGATGTCGTATCCGTCAATGGCAGTGTCGATTTCGGTCATCCAGGGATTCATGCCTGTATCAGTAGAGTCTGGGTTCGAAAAGGGAAAGGGTGGGGTGCTGAAGCTGCTGTCGGTGTTGGCAAAGGGGGTCCACGAACCGGCTGTATCTTGCTGGGTCTGCATCTGGGGCTGTGGACGGGATTGTTGTGATTGTGTCAGCGGTTTGTAGTCAAGGCTCTCTCCACAAAGTCGATGAATGATATCTCGACACTTCGGGGCGCTTGGGTTGAGATCATTCATTGCGTTGATGATGCTCAGGGCTGTCAAGATCTGATTCCTCCATGAGCTGGCGTCGGCGTGATTTGGATTGCGCCGCAGACAGTGAATCGGTATCAAAGCTGCCTGAAGAAGGAAATATCTGCAAGAGTCAACGACATTAACAAGATCAACCTGTGAAATAGGCGTCGCTATTACAAAAAGGGAAAGATTGCGGCACTTACAAGACGTACCAGGCTGCGAGCCTAGTGTGAGTTCCAGAAGACCAAAAGTCGAAAATGGCTGAAATACATTCCTCGGCAGCCTTGAAGCACCGATTGGTTGCAATTGTCTCAGCAGGGGCATTCTGTGCCGGTGATTTCGGGGCCACTGTTGCGCTGTCCAAGCCGTCCTGTGCCCATCGGATCAAGAATGGACGGTACATGATGATGCGCATGATTCGAAAGCGCCATCGGCTAATGGCATGACCGAGGAGATATTCATTGGGAAGTGCTAGGTGGTTGTCGCGGAAGTAGGGTGGAAGGCTGCTTAGCCAGCCCTCTATCAGCTCGTCATCGAGGGAGATCAGTTCTGCAGCCGACGGAATCGGATTGGAGATGAGACGGTTATAAATTCTGATGGTGTGGAGATGGTAGGACGACTGCGTTCGGACGTACGTGTAGATGGTAGGTTCATTGACCTCGGGAGGGTATGATGTACAGTCCATTTGAAGATCCTGTGCGTGTCCTGTGTCAGCATAGGAGGTCGGCGGGATTTTGGCAGCAAATACCTTTTCATGGATATTCAGCGGAAAGGGGATATCGACGCCGACTTGAGGCCAATTCAAAGGCCTACCATAAGTCACGGTTGCGCCAACATCCAGCACACAGAGCGACCACCAAACCCTTCTCCGTATTTCCTTTTTGAACGGCGCAGTCTGCCATCCGCGAAACTCCTTGTGGAGGCCCAGTGATATTGCGAGTCGTAGCGCAATACCTCCATAGTTGTAGCCACTGTTTGGTCTGTTTCGCTTCTGCAGGTAGTTTGCAGCCATCGCAAACGCCTGGACCAGACTAATACTTCCAGTCTCTAGGGAATTGATGGACAAATTCGCTTTTACGCCGTTGAAAAGAGTGACATGGGTATCATCGGAGCAGGTACTCGATACAAAGGATCCCAGAGCCGCAACGAGATTGGCAAGAGTGTGCCATGTGCTGCTGGTCGTGCGACTGTTGAGCTTCGCATACTGTTCGCGGAAGGTAACTTCGTGGAGAATAGGAAAGGTCGGGTGGTAGAGAGCAAAGTAGGCATCGATGAGGCTGTCGACTACCGCTCGAGTGAACAGAGGCTGTGCCCGGAGCCATGGGGTAGCGGTTGCGGGATACTCGGTCGAGCGATGGCTGAAGAGCTGCTCTAAGCTTTCACGTCGTTCAGCTTTCGGATTTGCTTTGTTGTCGGTGCCAGTACTCATCCATATAAGTCGCAAGAGAGCAGAGCCCGAGACTGAACCAAGAAAGCCCGCATTAGAGTCATCGGCAGTCAATGTGGCCATTCCGTCCGTGATTTTGGGGATTTCAGAGTCGACATTGCCCCCAAAAGCTGAACCGCCGGTACCTGGATCTGCAATGTTCCAAGAAGATTCCCGCTCATCCCATGCGAAGTCTTCATCACCTGCTGGGGGATTGTCTAGCGCAAAAGTGGTGTCGTCAGCCACTTCGGTCTTTGAGTCACCCGGGGACTCAAGATGGCTCAGGTCGACCTTCTGGTCTGGCTCTGCACCAATGGCGGAGAAGGATCGAGTCCGCTCTTGTTGTCGAGGCGCAGAACCCTGTGCCGCTACAGGAGTTTGAGAGAAGCCTGATGCGGTCGCCTGTGAAGACGTTTCAGTCGTCGGGTGACCTGCAGTCCTGGATGGGATCTCGACGTTGTTGGCGATGCCATGAACAAGCATTTGCGACAGTTCAGCTTCAGTGAAAAAAGTCTTCAACAGTGCTTCCGCCTTCTCCAACCGCTCTTCGACCTCTGTCAGGTGCCTGGAGATGCATTAGCTGCGAAGACACCACGTAGGGTGCGGCGCGAAGGAGCATCACACTGACTTTCTCGTTAGAGAAGATCTGCTGTGTTTGTCATACAAACAATGTCGATTGTAGCGTTGGCAGACTGAACACACTGGCATCCTCCCATCGCAGCGTCCTTTACGGCGGCGACATTCACGGCATGATTGGCCAGCGTTTGCGCCGGGACGGTCGGTCTTTGAAGATTCCGACATGTTGCTCTAACATGGATTTGGCGTGCAGCATTCAGTTTCGTCGGTCATGAAGACAGGAAAATGACAGATGGGATAGATATCCAACGGTGTCTTGTGCCATGCCCCGCCATGGTGTTTCGGTTAGCTAAGGATTTGAACATTTTCCAGTTTGAACGCGGCCGCGGGTCCGGAACTGTTGAGGGACCGTTGACAGGCTAGCCTAGTAGCCCTATCGGCTGTCCAGGGTAGCATAGTTCTGCACGAAAGACATCACTCGCTAGTCACCAGCGCAAAGTAAACCTTCTTTGGCAACAGCAGACGTGCTCTCCGTGTGGCTGACATGGATCAAGTTTGCGACTCGGGTTAGACCGTCAAACGTTGAAGCATCAAATTCAGCGAATTTTGATGACAAGAGACCCGGCCTTGTCAAAATCTATACATTGTATATAGTTATATAATTTTCCTGATCTGTGCATGCGTCAATTCCGTCATCTTCAAGGACTTACTCGTATGACAACCTTGCCAAAGTGTCCCCCTCCGTATAGATACTTGAAAGCTTCTTTGGCTTCGTCGAAGGGGAAGACTTTGTCGACCACAGGCTTAATCTTCTTTGCCTCATAGAAGCGCATCATTTCCTCAAATCTGTCTTTAGGCCCGTTGAGGATTCCTTTTAGCGTGACGTTGCGCCGCAGCGCCAGGACGTTGGTATTGGTACGATCGGCGGGCTCGTCTTGCTTCCCACTCAGATAACCAATGCAGTTGATAAGACCCCCGAATGAAATACAGTCGAATGATTTCCTCAGAGTCTGTGCACCTCCGTTTTCAAATATGATGTCGACGCCTTCATTCTCGGTCAGTTTCATGACGGTATTCTGCCAGTCAGGATCCTTGCGATAGTTGATGGTGAACGTCGCTCCCAACGCCTCAGCACGGGTAAGTTTGGCATCGGACGAGGATGTTACGATTGCTTGCGAATGGTCAGATCCTGCAGAAGATGGTTGTAAAAGCCACTCACTCTTCGCCCCAGCTGCGTGTGCAATTTGCAGGCCACTTATGGAAACTCCGCCGGTCCCTTGTAGCAGGACAGTCTCTCCTTGCCCACCTGGATGGTTGATGGGTCTCATTCCATTGATAGACATCCATGCTGTAAGTGCTGCAATGGGCAGAGTTGATGCTTCTTCATCGGTGAGATAATCGGGAGCTTTGACCAGTCCTGTCACCGGGAAGACTCTATACTGTTGAAGTACACCATCGAGGGGTAAGCCGAGACCATACGGCATGTGCTTCTCTTTGATCTGGCCCGTAAGATGTGTCTGATTGAAAATGGAAAGAACACGGTCTCCGACATTCCAGCCGTCACGTTTGGAGCTTCCAACTCCCACCACAATGCCGCACATATCTGAGCAAGGGACGACCTTCGGACTCGCTCCAATTGCTTTGTGGTGGGTGTAAAGGCCCATGGCAACTAAATAGTCAATGGCCGACGAGGTTAGCAAACGTCCATCCACGAAAAGGCGATACATTCCTCAAAAAAGCATACCTTCGGTATCTCGGTAATTCAGAGACACTGCACGGATTTCAACAAGCACCTCGTCCTCGCCTGGAATTGGGACTGGACAATTGGATTTGGACAGTTTGTCCAAACCATCCTGAGCGGTCTCCCACCTGGTCATCTGTTGTGAACCGGTAGCCATGGTTTCCTAGAATCGAGTGTAATACGCAAACAGTTCGCTAGAAGTGGTAGGCAATCGGTAACTCCAGAAGAGGGTGTTAGGTCATCGTGAACTGCTTCTAAATATTCACAACGTTAGCTCATCAAACAAGTCCTGGCGAACGAGACTCTATCCCTCCAGGTGGAAGATCACGGGAGATCGCTCATGTCCGATATCTAAGTGGAGAGATCTCGGATCTCTTGAGAGGACAAATGAAGCTTCCAGATCTCATCTTGTGAAGTGCGGGTGAAGGCTTGACGTTAAGCGGCTTTTCCCTCCACCGGAGATACTGTACGGTGGCGCAAGGCGTCCATAGCAAACTGCGGTTCGCTGCCATTGTTTAGCCGCATCGTCCGTCCATTCCAACTCCGCAACAATTGTCCTGTGTAAGATCTGCGACCACCTATTCTTTGGATAGTTCACCTGTTGCTCTGTTTCACCATGGCGGCGCAAGGGAATATGCACAATCTGACAACTCTCATCAAAAGGTGTGTGTTCTTTCTCGTGTCTCAGCCCCATTCCATTCCCCGTCCAGCTGCCAGTGCTGCAGACCCTCAATAGGATCAAAATGTCCTAACTGTGTTGCCTGGCTAGACTGGAAGCTGCAACTTCACGGCTTGAAGACATCGCAACCGCCATAGATGGTCCAGGAGCCACTGTAGCAAATGGAGGTGTTCCGGCTCTGTCACCGCCGTCTGCCTCTGCTGGCACCCCTGAGCAGGCTGCTCCCCCTCCAGAACCCTTACCACGATCAGTAGAGGCCTTCAACCAAATAATCGAGGAGGATGTTGTTGCTTTTGTCAAGGCTAGCGAGAAGATTGGCGGTCTCGTGGAGGAACAAGCAAAGGCTGTCAAGGCGGCATTCGAAGCTGAAAGGACGTATCTCCATGTTGCTGCGAAAGCAAAGAAGCCCGATCCACAACCTCCTGAATTGATGACTGAACTCCACCGGCACACCTCAACTGTCGACGAGATCCGGGAAGCCAACCGACCGTCTCCTCTCTTCACCCATCTGAGTGCTGTATCAGAAGGCATTGTCGCCTTGGGCTGGATCGTGGAGAAGAGACCGGGTGATTTTGTGACGGATACCCTTGGAGGAGCTCAGTATTGTAAGTGTGTCTCTTGCGATTGAGGCGAAGCTGCCTCTGATAACTCGCACGTCTTCGGGAGATGAAGCTCCCAGGCTGAGACTAATTTCATGTGGTGAAGAGGACGCTGACTGAAATCTTATAGATGGGAATAAGATTCTGAAAGAGTACAAGGACAAGTAAGTGGTGTCGGGTCGTTCTGCCCTGCTCGCGAGTCGCTGACAAGGTTGACAGGGACAAGTCACATGTCGAATATATCCAGGCCTACTACAAAGTCTTCCGTTCGCTGGCCGCATACGTGAAGGAGCATTTCCCTACTGGTCTTACGTGGAACACCAAGGATGGCATTGACGCTCTTGAGGCCTTGAAGCAAATACAGTCTGGCGCAGCAACTCCGCAAGCACCAATGGCCGGTGGAGCTCCTCCGCCGCCCCCGCCGCCGCCGCCTTTGCCAAAATTCGACGACGACGGTCCTCCAGCTCCTCCACTACCACCACCAGGAGCCGCTTCGCAAGGCGGAGACATGACGGCGGTCTTCGACCAGATCAACCAGGGCTCTTCCGTCACCGCAGGGTTGAGGAAGGTTGACAAATCAGAGATGACCCATAAAAACCCGTCGTTGCGCGGCAGTGCTACTGTACCGCACCGATCTGGGTCCCAGACGTCGGTTACGGGACGTGGCAAATCTCCTGTTCCCAACAAGAAACCTGACAGCATGAGGGCTAAGAAACCAGGCCGGAAGGAACTGGATGGGAACAAGTGGATTGTCGAGAACTTCGAGAATACTCAGAATGAGATCATCGAGATTGCGGCAGAACTCAACCACAGCATTCTGATTTCCAAGTGCAACAAATGTGTGCTGAAAATCAATGGCAAGGCCAACGCGATCTCCATCGATAACTGCACAGGTCTCTCCATCCTGGTAGACTCGCTGGTCTCCAGCCTGGACGTCATCAAAGCACCGAAGATACAGATCCAGGTCGACGGAGTAGTACCGACAATTCTTCTCGACCAGGTCGATGGTGCTCAGATCTATCTGTCAAACAAAAGCCTGGGCACGGAGATTTTCACCAGCAAATGCAGCGCCATCAATGCAGTGCTGCCTCCCAAAGATGAATCAGAAGATGACAGCAAGGAGTTGCCGTTCCCTGAGCAGATCCGCAGCGTGATCAAGAACGGAACCCTGGTCAGCGAGATTGTCGAACATGCAGGTTAAGAGGGGAATTGCCAGTATACTTCTTCGAGCGTGTATCATTAGCGACGGGGTTCCTGGCTGGATCAAATGGTCTCTTGCAACGGGACTGGGGGTTCAATTGCATCGATGCTACTTTAGAAGAGGATGTGGGTGGGATTCTCAAACATAGCTGTTCGGGGGACCTTAAAGGGGATGTTTTGACCATTTCGATGCTTTCTCGGGGGAGAAAGATAGATATCACTCTTTGGCACTTGGACTCCCAAATGGTGCCCGCTTCTTGACACAATTCCCATTCTATTGAGCTGCAACGAGCACCGAGAATAAAACAATGTCTATTATTTCAACCTCCATGTATTACAATAAAGCTGTGGTTTGGATTTCTGCATCGTGGGCTTCCCCTTGGAGTGACATTGCCTTCCGTTCAATCCTGATCTGTTAAGTGTATAGTTTACACATACAAGGTTAATCTACGAACAGTGTGTTCGCATTACATATACGCCGTCTCTCAACAGAACCCTGATGTTCTATCCCCTTTGGCCTTTCCTCCTGGAACCAGAGGCCTTCCCAGAGTTACCTGTCTCGCCTGAAAAGCTGAGAGATATCAATGGCGACGTCGAGACCGCCAGAGAGGAAGATGATCCCAACACGGATCCTCATCGTCTCAGACACACACGCCCACCTGCCCTTGGGCGCAAACGAAGGCTCTCCGGTCCCGTTCCGCCGCCCTCTACCTGAGGCCGACGTGCTCATCCACTGTGGCGACCTGACGATGAACGGCGAGTTTTCGCAGCACGAAAGGGCCGTGGACCTCCTCACCTCCGCCACCACGGCTAGCTTGAAGATTGTCATCCCGGGGAACCACGATCTCACGCTCGACAGGGACTACTACCGCCGGTTTCCCACCTTACACACCACCTACGGCCCGTACCCGGACGCCACGCTGGACCGCATCCGCGCGCTGTACACCGGTCCCCGAGCCCGGGACGCGGGGATTCACTACCTCGAGGAGGGCGTCGCGCGGTTCACGCTGCGCAACGGCGCCCGTCTGGCCGTCTACGCTAGCGCGTACCAGCCCGAATTCTGTAACTGGGCGTTTGGGTATCCGCGGAGTGTCGACCGATTCAATCACAATCCCCGACCAGGAGGGGGTGGAACAGGGCCTGAATGTCCGGTCCCGGACCACGGTGAGATCGATATCATGGTCACGCACGGTCCGCCCCATGGCATCTTGGACCGGGTCTGGCGAGGCGGCGTCGCAGGGGAAGGTGTGGGATGTGACCACCTCCGCAGGGCGGTCGAGCGCTGTCGCCCCCGGATCCATTGCTTCGGGCACATCCACGAAGCATGGGGCGCGGTGTGGAAGAGGTGGGACAGCGACGTTGGGACACCTGCACTGCCGCCGCAGGGACGTGATATAACAATGGGTGACGACAAAGCACCGTCGTCGCTGGCTGGGGTAGGAGAGCCAAACCCGCCGTACCACCCTGTGCACAACCCGAACAGCTACTACATGTATCCCGACACCGACACCAGCAAGGACACGAAGCAGAACCACAGCAACCAGGCATTGCGCCCCGGCGAAACGCTCCTCCAGCCCGGCCCCTATTACGAGGACCAGGTCCGGCGGCGGTGCGCGACCGTCGACGCGCGCGGGCTCGAGTTCGGCAGGGAAACGCTGTTCGTGAACGCGAGCATCATGAATCTCAGGTACAGACCGGCCAATGCGCCGTGGCTGGTGGATGTGATGTTGCCGGAGGACGCTGCTGCGGCGGGGTAGATAGCTAGCTCGCACTGAATGATGGGTGATGCAGAAGGGAGGAAGGAGGCGACGCGAAAAGAGTGAAGCGAGGGGAAGAGTAGAAGATGTAAAACGGTCTATAGAACGGGGAAACACCGTATGGGGGTCGTGTTGCAAGGACTGTCTCTCAAAGGAGGATACACGGAAGGGCTTTTGGACGAGCAGCTGGAAGGTCCTGGGAAGACCACATAGACAGTCTGGCAGCTCGAATGTTGATAATACAAAAGGATGGAATATACAGAGAGACCACAAAATTAATACAGATAGCCTGATTGACACACAAGGTAAAAGCCTCTGACAAGCTCGTCTCTTCATCTTGTTCGCATTGTGCCAGCACCCTTCGTTTTCAGTGCGAAATGTCCCTGTTAACCGATACCCCCTATCTTTCTCTCATCAGCAGCCGGGAGCATTACCTCACTTCTTCCTCCAGTCCCACCCCTGCATCAGTGCAATTCGTGGATCAAATCGCGCTCCAGACAGCCCAGCCTCTTCCCTGAACAATGGGTACAAGATGCCTCTATATGGTCTCCTTCTCCGTCGGCCGGTTCTCCCGCCGTATTCCTCAAGTTTGCCAGTACGAAAGTTAAGACGTTTGCTGCCGCTGGCGACATCTGTGATGGGTTCGAATCCGGTAATTCCCAACTCAGCAAGAAGGGACAGTGCTTCGGCAGGAAGAGGGCGAGGAGGCAGGTCCGAGGGATTGGGGAGGGTAGGTGATGTTGAAAAGGCGATTGTCAAGTCAGCCTGGGATTGTCCGGGAGATTGTTGTGTGGACTCGGAAAAGCTTGATGTTGGGTTGGGACCGCTTAGGGAGGCTTGGACACCACTGTCGCCGTCACTGTCGTTACCCACAAGAGTTGGGTACTCGCGACGATATTCAGTCTCCGACTTATGTCCCAGAAGCTCAGGCGAATCGAACGTCAACTTGCCCACCTCCTGCCGCGACATAGGTCTTTGATCGACCAAACTCGGCGGATCTGTAGACTTGCTTCCCGCTACACTCTCTAGCACCACGGCAACAGACTCTGCCAGCTTCACATCTTTCTCCTTAGCCGCGAGTCGCAAGACAGACATGCACATGTCTTCGTTGGGAATTATATGCATTCCCGTCACGTATCCATACCAGATGAATTTCGTAACATGAGGGTCGCCGAAGTCACTCGCTTTGAGGAGCAAGTGCAGTAACGTCGGTCTCGGGAAGAGAAATCCCGAGTCAGAGAGCCTGTATAGAAGCTGTAAAAGAGCGTCGAAGTCATGCCGTATATCGCATATCGCATGGATGTAGATGGTCCACAGCCATTTCGGGATGGAGGCGCTATCCCTCCCCCCACCAACGAACGAAGGTTTCTGAGCAAGGGTTTCGAGTTCGACGGTTGCCAGTTCTAATTCACCCTCACGTATCAAGGAGAGGATGTTGAGATGAGCTTGAGTGTCGGGGTTGGGAAGTTGTTGTTTCGCAAGCCGTGAGACGATTGATGCGCGGAGACCTGTGTCGGGGTGTACAGCGAGGACTGTCAACGCCGCGAGAAGAATGGGCACTTCCAGAGGGACATTCTCCCTTTCCATTTCTTGCAGGATCGACTTGACGTTCTCAATGGAGCCATACTCCGGGAAACACTGCCCAAGGATGAGGGCCTCATAGTGATCCAGGGTCGGCTTGATCTTCCGCTCTTCAACCAGGATGTTCAAGATGTTGTGCACGGCTCGTGGGTGCGGCGCGTTCCTTGCAATCCACCGCAGTTCTGCTTCGAGGACTGCTGTTGGTAATGCGCTTCTGATCAACGTCTTCTTGGGCTTGCCGTTGTTCAAGTCGATGCTTGTATTGCTGTCCGCTCCGGACCTTCTCGCCTCTGATAAGAGTTCTCGAAAGCGCTTCGGTTTGCGGAGCCTCCTCATATATGGTCTTTCGTGGCCATTGTGCGTCCCTGCGGCATTGTCTCCAGGGAAATTTGAGGGTACTTCGAACGCAGGGGATTCGCGTTGCAGGAGAGCGTTTCGATCGCCCAAAACCTCTTGGCTTGAATATTCTAACGAGCTCGCGGTGATGTCTCTTCGAACCAAAGGCTTCCCCGGCTGATGGTGTGCATTTTGCTTCCCTCCAGCATTTTCTGTTTCATGGCACGAATCGGCCTTTGATGGCGGACTGCGCCCGCCGTCAGGATCATCCTCCTTCTCCGGATGTAGTTTCTCGGCTCGATCGAGATGAGGAAATCCTTGAAACTCTGCATCTGCAAGCAAGGTCAGGTTTGCGGAAGAGCGTTCTTTGGGTTTCCCCGGCCATCCCTCCCGGCTCGAGACGCCCGTCCGTCCATTGGGTTGACGTGTAGAATAGGTGCGCCGAGTGGTCGAGCAGCAAAAGTAGCGACCGCAGGGGGCGGCAACGGTACAAAAGCTTTGCTTTAGTCCATATTGGATCAAGGATCTGTGCATCGGCTATTCATCGCTGACCTCGGAAGAGATGAGGCGTGTGCAAGAAATAAAAGTGACTCTACTTTGGCGATGCAGCGCAAGAGACAAGTCTTGAAGAGGTTGCTGCTTTAACAGCCACGTCCAGTTTAGGTCTAGTGCATCTTCACGTACAGCTCCTCGTCGTCATCTCGTCGCCGACGACGAAATGTCACCAACTCCGAGCCCCGGAAGCATTGACTTCGCCGCTAAGAGATATGTCATGAAGTTGTACAGCAGGTCGTGTGTCTCTGTCCTCATGAGAAACGAGGGTGTATGGAACTCCCCTCCACCATGTACAGTGACGGGACAGCAGCAACCGACCCAGTCGTAAGGCCACCACATCTATTCGCTCGTGTAGTGAATCGTAGCCAAGCCAGCAAAGTGCACGCTGGTTCATGCAAGGCCAGGTGTGGGCGCGGGGTTGCTTCACTGCAATTCGTAAATTCCTTCCGCAGCAGCCCGTTCCTGTGGGTTTCGACGAGGTGGTGCAAGAGCTATATTCTCCTCTAGCTGATCCTCGGTCGATACAAGATCGTACAACGGACGAACTGACGAACGAACGACGGGCGGAGTACGAGGAGAACGACACCATCCGAAGAATCATTGCAGGCTTACCAATATCCTCATTGTGGTGTTTCGATATAAAGCCCTTGTTGCAGGCCAAAGCAAGGCAAAAGCAGTCGGGTCGTTGCAGGAAGGAAGACCGACAGACCACTACATCAACGTCTCGTGGAAGACTTGTCTGGAGATGGCTTCTTCGGCCCCTTCCATTGTCATCATCCCCGGATCCTTCTCCACCGCCCAGATGTACTACGAAGTAGTCGACGAGATCAAAAAGCTCAGTGGCTCCGACTCCGTCTTCGTCAACAACCTCCCGTCCGCCAGCCGCAACCCGCCCGAAGAGCCGGCCACGCTCGAAGACGACGCGACGTTCTTCCGAGCCATTGTCGAGAAGCTGGCGGATCAGGGCAAAGATGTCGTGCTTGTGGCACACTCCTACGGTGGGGTCGTGGGCACGGAGACTCTCAGGGGCGTGGGCAAAGCTGAGCGACAGGCGCGTGGGCAGTCGGGTGGGGTCGTGAGGATCGTCTATCTCTCTGCTCATGTGCTTGAGGCGGGCGTCTCGGTGAAGAGCAGGGTGGGAGAACCTCCCCCGGAGATGGTCGAGACCGGAAAGGTAGGCATTCATCCGTTTCATCCTCAGATTGACTTCGAAAAGCCCTCGTGTGCCTGCATTAAGATGAGCCACGTCGAGGTATGAACTAACGGAAATTCCCCAGGACGGCTTCCTCCGCCTTGTGGGCATCGACATCATCGCCAAAGCCACGTTCCCGGACCTCGACTTCGACAAGGCTGTCGCGACCGTCAAGTCCATGTCCCGCCACTCGGCGCGCAGCTTCGCCAGCGAGGTCACGTACGCGGGCTACCAGCACGTGCCGGTCTCGTTCATCGTTTGCGAGAACGACATGATCATCCCGCCGGACGTACAGCGCGGGTACATCGAGATGATCGGTCGTGAGAGTGGGAGGGAGGTCGACGTCCACACCCTTCCAACAGGACACTGCCCCAATACCACGGCCCCGAACAAGCTGGCGAAGGTCATCGTCCAGATTGCCACGGCTTCGGAGTGATGTGACCGGGTGGGCGATATGGGTTTTGTACAGAATCAATATTCAACAGTGACCATGGATGATCAGACCAGGTGGGCATGAGGACCCCAGGGCTGGTCAGCTCCTGAACAGATACCGGCAGAGAAGATCATTCTGTAGTGGTGGGAGCATGAGGTAATACACCAAAGGAGGAAACAGTTGAAGATGCTCAGGATGCTCAGGAATGTGTCTCTTAAAATAGGCGATTCTTTCGTCTGCTTCCATGTCTACACCAATTCTCCGTCCGTTATCGGAGACCTCGCCCACCAGACAGCAGCAGGGCAGTCCAAGCACATACATAAATATATACATGCCAGGACCCAGCTTCACCCACGGACAAGTGACGCATGATGGACGTATGCATGTCCCTTGAACTATATAAGCTGCACCACAATTGCCCAACAGATTTTCCAACATCCAATAGAAATCCACGACATATGCCCGTTTAGACGACAACAACGCCGAACTCACCGGTGTTAGTTTTACAGATTTTCCAAAAATTCCATGCCACAAAATGAGGTTTGTTCAGTCCGGATCTGCCCCAAGTGCCACAGCTGCGAGGGGCAACTTAGCCAACAATTCATTCCTCAACAATGGGCTCCTTTCAAAGAGAGACCTCGCCAGCTGCTACTCGTTCATATCTTTGGTGATGATGGTCGACCTGCCCGTTTCCAAACTCAGCCTCGGGCTGCAATCGATGATGCTGCTCGCCGGAGTGTCGTCCGTGGCGCTGGGTGTATATCGGAAGTCTTCGATGACGACTATTTCTCCTTCCAGTTCTTCTTCATATCGAGGCGGAGGCGTCACGTATGACGGGGCAATATCAGAAAGACCGCTGCTCCCGACGCCAGCATCGAGCTCCGCAGGTTCGAATCCTTCTCGATCACAACGGGCACGGTATCCCGCTGTCGCGCGGCCCTCCTCAGCCTGCACTAGATCTCTCACAAAATCAGAGGCATTTCGAAGCGTACGGATTTCTTTTTGTAATCCGTCGTCGTCTTCTTCTCCAAGACCTTCTTGGTCGAGGATCATTTCTCGCTTCTCCTCGTAGTCATTCGTGCCTTGGTTTCGGAAATCTTTCCACCAAGTCCTCCATTTATGCTTGCAAGCAGCTTTGCGGTAAAGTCTCCTGGTTCGACGCTCTTCCCACCGGGCTGCGCGCTCTGCCCTTCGTCGGGGATCCCTGAACAGGATTATTGCACGTATGACCAGGCCAGACAGTATGATGAGGAGAACGAGAAGCAGGATTGCCAGCCCTATGCGGTATTCCAGAACGCGTTGTTGTTCAGGCGCCAAAGCTCCGAAATTCGGTGGCGGCCCGTGAGGGTGGCTATGTGGACCAAAGTCGAAAGGTGGACCATGAGATGGTTGAAACGGAGGATGATGACCGCCTCTGAACGGAGGGTGAGGGTGATGATTGTTTTCTCCGCTCGGAACAGGAGTTACTTCAAGTCCACGAGATGGCGAAGGGTTAGTTGGTGGTTGTGCGGGCAATTCCTCGCTGTCAGCGGCAACAGACACTTCCTCCAAATCGTCTTCTTGCAATGTGCTGTCAACCACAAAGCTGTCATCAACTTCTGCAGTACATGGTGACTGCGCATCGCCATCCTCGCAACCACCATGTCTATTGCGGTGATGGGAAAAGTGAGCGCTAATGAGCTTCGCAATGGCCGGTACTTCACCCATGGCGGTGTCCCACAAGCATTTCATGCTCGAGCAAGCTTTGAATTCTTGCTTGAGGAGAGCGATTATCTTCGCCTCTGTTGTGCGTATCTGTTCGTGAAGCGCTGCCATTTCATTTGTCAATTCTTCGAGCCGGGAATACTCGTCTTGCAAAGAGGCGTCGGACGAGGCGGGACTGGAGGAGTTGGGGATGATGGAAAGCCCTCGATCCTCGGACAGGAGCCATCCGTCACACAGGCTTTCCGATATCTGAGCGACAGGTTTGTCTTGGAGACGGAGGACTACAGGTTGGCCTCTTTGTTTGAACGAGGTCGTGAATCCAGAAGTATCTTTGAAGGGGTCGTTTCCGTCGATACCCTCGAATCGAACGGAGATTATGGATGCTTCGCCCTTCAGACAGGTTGACTCCCAAGAGGCATTGACCGCGCGCTCGGCCGAGCCAACTGAGGACTTTGATATAAAAGAAATTTGACCGCTGGCGACGTCATTGCCAGCTTTTAATGGAATGAGAGGAAGTCCATTGAGACGTGGAGGAGTGTTAGAGCACTCCTCTTCGGCAGAGTCGATCTCGAGGGTTAGCTCCTGTGAAGGCCACAGTCAACGACTCAGCAGTCCAACGCGTGACCGATCGGACAACGTACCACTCCATCCTTTGCGTCGTCAAAACATTCCTGGCAGGGAGCATGGAAATGTATCGATAAGTGATTAGGATCTACGGCTAATCAGCTGACAGCGCAAACGCGAGGGTGATGTCCAGTACCTGTTGTACCAGCAACAGTTGTGATGTCTTTGGCAATCTCACCAGACGAGGAAGAACTAGAGAGGAGAGATGCCGACGCCAGCGCAGAAAACAAAGTGGCCGCACGAGTAAATGAAGACTTCATGTTGCGCCCAGGAATCGAAACAAAGGAACAGACAATCCGAATGAGGGGGCCTTTGCCAGGAAAGAAACACCAATGATCCAATGGTACAGATTATCGTTCAGATTGATGTGGCATTCCCCAAGTAGAAATGGGGAGCACGCCGCTCACTTTTTCTGCCTCACAACTCCATATTTTGATACCTGAACAGTATGGCGGGATGAGGATAAAGAATCCAAGAGGAAAAGAGCGGATGGTGGAGGTGGAGGGCAGGAGAGGATGGGAATCTGTGGTATTTTGGCTGGAGCCTAGGCCTGAAGTTGGGCCTGGAGGGAAACGGGAAGAGGGAGGATGGCGCCAGAAGCCACTTGGGCCTTTTGAGGTTTGGTTGCTCCAGTTCGGCGACGGAGGCGAGATGCACAGCCCCGACGACTGCTCGGCCGTGTTGACCCTCCGGCTCCGAATCTGACCTGGCGGCACCAGGCGAGAGGACCGTGCTAGTGGCTCCAGTGATAACGCATGAGTGGAAGCCATTTGCCAATCTTGTTGAACTTTCCAAGAAATGATGCCTTTCTTTTCCGTGACCTTCGCAGGTGAGGATGGAGCAGACCACACTCGGCACGTGACAGAATGCTTATGTAAGTGATAACGCCAAGAAATCCGAGCCAGGCACGTGCCAGGGTTCCTTCCTCCAGCTTCTGCCAATGAAACTCCATGATGCGTCCTTGAGTATCAAAATAATCACCTGTTGTGAGCACTCCTGCCACCGTTGGCATTCTGCAGTACAGTTAGCATTTTCGAGAATCACGCCGCCGGGCAGCTGGATACAACCTGAAATCAAACTCGCCGAAGCGTAACCGGCAGAAAACGCGTCGATCATGCTTCCCCTAGGCCTCCTGACGGCAGCACAAGGCCATCCCATGTTAGTCGAACTGAAGAACGGCGAAACTCTCAATGGCCATTTAGTCAACTGCGACACGTGGATGAACCTGACGCTCAAGGAAGTCGTGCAGACGAGTCCGGAGGGAGACAGATTCTGGAGGCTGCCAGAATGTTACGTGAGAGGAAATAATGTGCGTTCTGACTCCTGGATTGTGCGATCGGTTGCAACGTGCCTCCCTGGGCCCTGCCCCAACTCTTGCTGAGGATCAAGAGGTCCTTACTTACATGGTCCCTGAACTGACCATGCCGCCTAGATCAAATACTTACGAGTCCCTGAGGAAGTCATCGAGCTCGCCAGAGACCAACAACAGCAACAACATCAGCAGGGCGGCGGGCAGCGTGGTAGTCGTGGGGGAGGGCAAGCAGGCCATGGTGCAGGTGGAAGGGGAGGAGGCGATCGTGGACGAGGTGGTGGTGGTGGTCAGGGAAGAGGAGGTGGACGAGGGCACGGGCACGGGCACGGTCGCGGGCGAGGTGGAGGAGGCAGAGGGCAAGGTTGAGGTGAACTGACTTTTTGACGTGCTATGTTACTTGTTTCTCCATGACATACGCATCGTGACGATCACATTACTGATTCTTCATGAATACCGAAACGTCCAACACACATTCACAGCATTGCACCATTTAACACTCAGAGGTCCACACCCCGTCCCATGCAGACCTTGCCCGGTTCTCTGCAATTCAATGTTCAATCATCCAGCGAAAGAAACAGAAACAAGCTTTTGTCTGGGTAGCCGGCCAAGTGCACACCCGAAGCCATCATAGTCTGCCACCAAGGGGCGGAGACATCAGTGCAAGAATTTTGAGAACCCATCAATCTCCACACACAAACCAAGGAGGACTCCATCGCTAATGCTAGTCCAGAAACAAAGGTTTGCGACGCTCTCGGCAACTATCAGGGTTCACAAGGTAAAGAATTGAAAAGAAATGAGATCTTGTGACTCCAATCAACTTTATCTCTTCGGAAGAGCCCGTTCCAGGCACTGGCCAATCTAGAAACGTAACGTGTCAGTCAAGCGGGCTAGAAGATGAGATGGCAATGGCTTACCTTGTCCGAGATAATGCCTTGTCCTTGTAAGTACCACCCCAACCTCTTCACAAGTTCAATCTGCTCTTCCGGAGTCAGGCCCATAATGGCCGTTTCCAGGACTCCGCCCACCGACGTCTTGTAAACAGCGATAAAGCTCTGGTAATACATGTACGCAAACAATCCCATGATGAATTGACAGTCCATGCGATCAGTCATACCTCCGTGACCGGGGATGCTGTCGCCAAAATCTTTGATCTTGAGAGTCCGTTTTAATCCGGAGGCGAAGAAGCCTCCAAACGGAGCGATGAGCGAAGCGAACGATGCAAAGACGAGGATATGGAACTGCATAGGGGCAATCCAGAACGTATAGTCCAAGCCGGTCCAGTCTTTAATGTTGTACGGGTAGGCCTTGAAAACGGGGTTCGGGTCGCATTCTAGGCCGGTGAAAATGTTTGCACCCAGATCATTGACGGGGCAAATGAAGTACTTGTAGCGCATCAAGATGTTGGTCAGCGCAAACCCGAAGAAAATGGTGCAGATCCAAGCTCCGACAAAACCTTCGACAGTTTTCTTGGGTGAAAGGCTGATCAATTGGGTGCGGCCAAAAGTGATGCCGCAGATGTATGCAAAGATATCGTTGGTAATCACCAGTGACGCGGGAAGGAAGAACCAGATCATGCCTTCAAAGACGTTGTTCATCATGAAATGTGCTTGGACGACAATCAGATAGAGTGCCATATGAGTCCAGGCGAATTGGGCGAACTGGAAGCGGTAATAGTTTTTCCGCAACGAGGCAACGAAGGACATGAATCCTGTCAGAGAGTAAGCATTGGCACATGAGATTGTGACAGCTTGCACACGTACCGAATATATACATCATGAAGCTGATGAACCTATGATGGGTCGCGAAGGGTAGCAAGACTTTATCCACCAGCAGGATATGCTTGAAATAATAGATGACGCTTTCGCCGTACAGGAAGTACATGGTGATGGCCAAGAAGTACCAGTTCACCGAGGTCGTCAACGGGAGGTTCTTCTGCTTGGTGGGCACTTGAGCAATTGCGATCACCTCTTTGAACGAAACGATCTGAACGGCAGTAATGACGATGAGGACGTAGACATGACCCGCAAACATGGCGCCAAAGAAACCACCTATCATCGCCAGTGTCCATATTGTTCGGGTTATGAAAGTCTGCTTCTTTTTCTCGTACTCGGACGCATGATCTGGCTTTTCTCCTTTCACAATACTTCCATTGGCGTTGGTCTCGTGTTGATCTTTCTGAGGGCTTGGGGGCTCGGAAGCACTGTCGCTGGTGGCAGAAGAGCTTTGTCGACGGTGATGGGTTCCATTTCCGTTGCCGTTACCGTTGCCGTTGCCGTTGCTGTTCGACCGATGCTGGAACTTGACGCCCTTTTGCCGGGGCATGGCTTCTGGTGCGCGGCGTGAAAGAGCCGCAGGAAGAATGCGTGGCCTTCTGCCTCAAGGATGGGCTCCGATTGACGATGGGAGTCGCAGTAGGGGGAAGGAGAGGGGATGCCTCGCTTGACACGTGCTTGATGGCTGGCTGCCTGAGACTGGATTTCAGGAGCGACACTAATCGCTGGTGGATTCCGTGATCTTGGTCTCTCTTCTGTACATGAGCAGGCGAGTCTGCCAAAGCCAATGAACAGAAGATGCGCCGACTGGGAGTGACAGATTGGTACTGGAGGACAGTTGACTGAAAGAAAGATACCTCGAATCAGCCAGGTTGATAGCAGGTCGGGCCACAAAAAGCAGGTCGAGTGATTATGCAATGTTGGCAGCTTATTACTCGGAGTTAGATTTGCGTCATACAATGAAATCCCCCACTGCACCCATTGCCCCGAAAACCCTTAGTCTAGGCATGGCTACAGCCTAGTGAGCCTACGAGAAATGATGCTCGGAGCTGCAGTTGTTCCGGGCGCTTGTCAGTGGCCCGTGTTGGGCTAGTTAGGGCCATCTGCACCACTAATGCACCCTTCACAACTTTCGCACTTCGCGTACGCCGACTGGAAATCCATCAGCCTACACCACCCCTCACCACCGCGTCGAATGCGCGTCTTTGGTCACTACGGCCTTCACACAACTACCAGACACATCAACAGAGGTCTTCACACGTAAATATATGCCGTTTGTGCCACTTTGTGTGTCCATTGTGGTGCTCAATGGAGGTCAAACATGAGTGGCATGGACGACAACGAAGACGAGACCGATCTCTTCGACGACGATGATTTCGACGATCTATCAGAGTCCGCTCTACAACAACTAGAACACCATGCTATCCTATCAACCCAGAGAGCGCAGGCGGCCAAAGCTGTCCCCGTGCCTGCGCACCAGTCAAGGTTCCCACCTCACGCACAGTTCAGTGCTCGGCCACAGGCTGCGCATCCAGCTATTCAGAGGTCCTTAACCGAGGACGAGGACAGCTTCGAGCTGGTCGGGGAAGAGGGTGTGCCAACCCCAGTGGAAGATCAAGATTCTTATCCTATACGTCGAATTCAGGTGGGCGAAGCCGCCCAGAGAGCACAGTTCCGCCAGCAACGCTATGGTCAAGCCTATGGTGCTGTCTCCCGTCCCGCGCTCGAGGATGCGAATCGTCGACTTCAGAGAGCTTCATTAGAGCCAACGCCGGCTGTCGGAGGACTTGATGTAATGTCGTTGGACACTCCGCTTCAACAGACCGGCACAGCCCTCTCGGGAGATGCTGGTGATGCGTCTCATACACATGTCGACGATCTGCTCCGAGAGCGTGAAGAACTCGCTCGGGAATTACGTGCTGCCAGAGATATGGTCTCCCTTCAAAAGGGTGAGATTTCCATCATTCGAGCGAATTTTGAGAAAGAGAGTAAAGTCTACGACCGACAAATCGGCGCTCTGAAAAAATCAATGGAAGAAGAGTCGGCAAAGCACACTGCTGCCCTGAACGCCTTGGCTGAGAAGAACCATACTCTTACCACTCGCTACCAATTCCTACAGCAAGAACATACTCAAGGGCTTCAGGAGGCCAAATCCCTCAGGCAACGCTTGAAGGATAAACAGACCGAGAAGGGGTCTGAGCCAACAACTCCGCCCAAGCGTGGCGTTGCAAGCTCTCTTAGGGATGGTTTCAATGACGACGATATGATGCTTATGTCTCCTTCGAAATCTGCTCGACGGTCGAAGCCGCCGACACCCACCGCAGCAGGAAAGAGAAAACGGAAAACTGATGGGCCAAGTCCTGTGAAGCCGCTTGTCTTGCGCCCTACTAGCTCTACCAGTCAGAATGAAATGCTGCCGCCGCCACAGCCGATCCAGACCAAGGGGCAAGTCGTCTCAGTTGTACGGAAGGACAAGCAAGCTGAACGCAATCTGAAATTCCTGCAGTCTATCCTCGACTATCGAATCAAAGACTCGAAACAGCCGCTCTTCGAAGCCTTGAGCAAGTTTGCCTTTCCCTCTAACCCGTCCAAGACATTCTCGGCGCTTTTATGGGAAGGCATTTCTCAGCTCAAGGGAAGACGCCTCCCCAGCGACTTCCTTCAAATCTTGATAGATTTGTGGTCCAAGTCACTGAAAGAACAATACTATAAACCGATCGCTTGCCTGCGGGAGATAGCAAACCATATCATTGACCTCGATATCCTTGTTATCGACTCGGGCATCGTTGCCGCCATCATCCCGCTCCTCAAATCCACCATCACGATCAACGGCGAGAAACGCTTTGAACATTCACCAGTGAATCACGCGACTTATGGCAAGATCCGCCAGACTCCTCGGGCCGTTATACACCCAGAAGTTGACGGGACGAGCTGCTTGGAGCTCATGCTCACGGTCGCCTATGCTGTATGCGACGACCCAGAGCTTATCACTCTGCTCTGGCGTCTCATGGACCACCAATTCATCTTGATGATGCTCAACGCCTGGCAGCCCATATCTGATATATCACTCATGCTTCAGTTACTTGCGACAAGCATCTTCCCCACCACATTCGGCAGTATTTGTGTTGATGATCAGCAGTCACAAGTCGAACATTGGATGATGAACCGGATCTGTTCTCTGCTCAGGGAAACACCCAACGTTGATGAGGGTGTTGCTTCCTACACGAGCGAACAACTCTGTCAGCTGCGGCTCGAGGCCATGGACCTCCTGATCAAAATTGCCATCACGTCGTCTCCACATCCGCACGATGATCCCTCTCATCATGGCAGCCTTCTCATCGCTAATGACACACATGCCATTGCGCGCCTCGTCCGCAGCCTGTACGACCAAGTCTCGGCAATGTACTCTCTTCATCCAACCACGCACACTTTACATGCCTGTCTTGTCAATAAAGGCGTTTCTCTTCTCTATCACCTTTTGCAGCTCCACGGCTCTACGATCAACCTGCAAGAGAAGCTCTCTGTGATCAATGGCGGAGTGCATAAACACCGAGTGGTGCTCACCCGACTGGCCTTCTCCGAGGGTTTCGTGGTGGATAAATATGTGAGCGATGAGACTGTAGCAATGGCAACACAGATGCTGGAAGAGAGCGTGACGCCAGATGAGGCCGATGAGCTCGTCAAGTGCTTTCCCGGGTTCAACGGAAGAGGAGCTGGCAGAGACGAAGAAGAGTAAGTCTTGAGTTGGTCCTGGATAGACGGACACGGAACTCGATTTGTTGGGGCTAGCATGTGTAGTAATGAAATTATCTTGCATTCCTGTCGCTGAGAGAAGTTTTAAGATACCAGACCCGTAGGGAAAGATCTTGCCATCAGTGTGCTCTCGCCAGACACTCTAGAAGAACTCTGCCTACCCATGACAGGAATCGATCTTCAACACGGTTGTATGTCATGTTTATACCTGTGGTCCCAACTTCTCAGCTCCGGGAAGAACCAGTAGATCCGTGAAATTGAATAAACGGGTCCAGTCAGGGCTGTTTGTACCTACATTAGAGCTCTGCTTGGACAGAATAGGTAGATATACTCCGTATATTTAGCTCCTCTGGGGGGCGCGGGTGGCAATACGCCAGTCAACGTCAACACTATACATTACATCTAAATTGTATTCTTTTTTTCATATCACATGCAGGGGACGGACGACGTCCTTGTCCAACTGCAAGACCGAGTAATAGATCTGTCGTTGTCCCGGCAGTTGTTCATTTCCAGCTCATCGAATCATCATCTCGAGGGACAGGGCGTGATTGTGGGATCATTATTCCTGCTTCCTTCACTTGGCGGACTATTGTTCTGGCGGGACTTCGATTCTATATGGCAGTCCATTCTCGCCGTTGCCGTCTTCGCCTTCCCTGGCAAGTCGGATCACAGGCAGCCCGTTCCCGCTCCTGCAGCTCCTCCTGGAGCTTCTTGTCGACTGGCGGGTGAGATCGTGGTGGACAACAGACCCCGTGTTCGATCCTCCGGAACCAGTTCGCGAAAGGTCAGAATGGGAACTCATGCGTGACACGGCAGAGAACATTCTCGAACTCGAGCCTGTCGTCGAAGGCCCCGGTCTCCGTCCTGAATGAGAGCGTGGGTTGCTGGTAGGCTCATGGTGGAAGGGTTGCGTGTCGGTGTCCTCATCTCCTTCATTATGGTGGTCAATTGCTCCGATCTCAGGTTCTGATGAGGCATGCTTCTCGAGGTAGTGGTGCACATGTTCAAGGGACGAAAGCGACGGGGCTGAATCTTCCGAGATCCGGCGTGGCGGGAGTTTGTTGTGGCGTACGGAGCCGGAGGCTGAGTAGGTGGACGGGATGGATAAGGTCTCTGTGTCTGGTTGACGAGAGTGATAGGATGGATTTCGATGGATTAAGCTGGAGGCTTCGGACTGAAATGACCGGTCGGACCCATCTTCGAGATCGAGCATCTCCACGTCAACAGGGTTCATGTTGCGAAGCAGCTCGGCAAACATGCGCATCAAGCTTTGGAAATCTTCGTCATTCAATGGCTCGGATGAAAAACGGGCGCGTTCGTACGCCACGAGAAATGCCACGGTCAGGGAATTATCGGGCACCACGCCAATATCAATGAGATAGCGGAGGTAGGCTCTCATACCCATATTCCCACTCCGTGCAAGCCGATCGATGACCCGTGGATCAGGCATCGGTGCGCCATCTGGACCTGGCTGGGTGTGCGGATCAATAGGTGCAAGACTGACAGCCTTGGCTTCAATGAGATCGATCAGTTCATCCACGACGGTGCAGTACTCGAGCCCCGGCAACTCCTTGGAAGCAGGCGATGACCAGCCTGGATGTGCTACCTTTCCCCAGCTCGGCTCGGCATTCGGGTCCGTACTGGTGTGCGTGTTTGTCAGTGCGAGCATCCTCGTCCCAATATTGATTGTATCATGCTCGATCCTCCGACTCCTCGGCCGGGCCTGATACGCAATCACTGCACTCCTCTCCAGACATTCTTGGACCAATTTGTGCACTCTTCGTCCCGGGAGATCCTCCTTTTCAATGGGCATATACGTTTTCGGTATATCCTTAAGCACCGAACGGGTTGTGTACAGCCTCGAAGCATAAATAAGCACGGCTAACAGGGCCGTAACCACATAGTCGCCCGCGATCAGGAAGATGTCGATGAGACGGCGACGTTTATAGGATTCATAGATGGTGTCGGCGGGAGTGACGGCGACGACGATTACGAGGATCAAGAAGACGGCGGTGAATGAGGTGCTGTAAAAGATGCGGAAGATGATTTGGCGCGCTTGTGCCATGTCTGCGGTCGTGGCAGCGGTCGTGGTTGCGGCAGGCTCATGGTGATATTGCTACGGACTTCTATCGAGTATCTTCATACTGACCTAGTAGGATAAGTCGTAATCGAGTGCAACGGGGGAATATGGATCATGTACCTGGAGACTGACTTTGCTGAAGGAATAATGATGGATAGAGGTCCACGATGCACATCGGCTAAACATCGGCATCACGCCGGACTCTGACGAATGACGCCATCGCCGCCAGTCAGCGACGACGACCAGCTGCTGGTACCTTGTTAGAAAGATCTTCGGCCAGGGATGCTGTCGCTTATGCTGCCTCTCACAGCCTTGCTAGATCCTAGCCTTGTCTAGGACAGTGATGTTCCTTTACGTCGGGGATCTCGACGCAGGCCCCTTGGGAACATAACCGCGGCAACGTCGTCCACTCATGACTGTGCTCGGACGAATACACACTCCGGTCGCAGACCGAATACGCCTTTAGGCCGGCCAATGAAATATGGAATCAGTCGAGACATCTACATGGCGGTCATGTCCCAGGTTGAGAAAGAAGGACTGGACGTATAGTGTAGCTGACAAATCAAAGTTGGTCCGGCAAGAATCCTTCAAAGAGCAGGATCATCGGAGACGTATTTAATGAACTTCGCAGCAGCAGTCCTAACCTGACGGCGGCAGAGCAGCAACTCCACGAAGCCAGGCAAGCAAGAAGAACGGATACACGTCTCCGTCATCCAACACCATGGCGCCACTCAACCTCTACGACACGACCATCATCCCCATCGTCCGCACGCTTCGCAACCTCTCCAGCCTCCTCAAGAAGGGAGAAACCTTTGCCGACGCCAAGGGCATTCCACACTCGGAGCTCATTGAGGCTCGCATCGCTCCCGATATGGCCGCGCTTCCCTTCCAGGTCCAGACCTGCTCCAACACGGCCAAGTTCCTAGCGGTCCGCGTCGCCGGGGTGGAAAATGTCCCGTGGGAGGACAACGAGAAGACCTTTGACGAACTGCAGGCGCGCATCACCAAGACAATCGATTTCCTGAACGCCGTCAAGCGGGAGGATTTCGAGGGCAAGGAGGCCAACCACGAGATCACGTTCCAGGGCATGAAGCTGACCGGGCTGGACTATGTCAATGGCTTTGCCCTGCCGAATTTCTACTTCCACGCTGTGACGGCATATGATATCTTGAGGATGAAGGGTGTGGAGATTGGGAAGAAGGACTGGCTGGGCGCAAATTGAAAATGCCGAATTGAGGAGAGGATTGTGCTGAGCTGGACATCAAAACGTTAGAAACATCTTTCAGGTCACATATGTCCTCGGCCCTGGGTGAAAGTAAAACATTCGCTGTGACTTGAAGCGAAGCGTAGCACTCTTAGAGATCAATTCCTCATGAAGTTCAAGCATATCGGTCTCTTCAGCCTGCTGACTGGTGATGGGCCTCGAAATCACCATGCAGGGTCCGAACTGTCGTCGTAGTCTACTCGAATTGTCTCGATGTACTTTCTCAACTTCACAGTCCGAGATAATCCCTATGCCTATTTCACAGTATAAACCCTCCCATAACGCCCCCAGACTGTCAGAGACTCACCTCCTGTTTCTAATAGCCTCGTCACATAACAAGGCCGAACGGCCTCACGTACTGAGATCTGGCGAGTGACCTACAGCCTGCAAGACAGATATTGACTCGTTTCTGGCTGACATACCTGACGGGGGCTGGTACCATTTAACTTCAGCCCCAACTATATACAAAGATGTTTGTCAGCGGTCTCCCCGAGCAGGAGGAGGAGGCGGCGGCAACAAAACGTCCAATGCTATCTCGTCAATAACCCGTTAGTGTGGAACGCTGATGAAACGCTGGAATACGTGCCGTGTGCAGATACCGCTAATACTCCCACACGGCCTCGCTTACTGTAGGAGAAACTGGGATTAATATTGACCAAGATCCTTGACTTCTCGGCAAGTAAGCACCAAGCCAATGGGCTGGCCGGCCAAGCAATGCCGGCTGATATAAGAGGTGACATTCGAAAAGACAGCCAAGCAGCTATGCAAGTTTCTCGAATACGAGATCCGCATTCAGAACAAACGTACTTCCTATCCGGAACACAGCCACAATGACCTATCGCCACGTCGCTCGTATACCACCATCAATCAGCCGCTGCCACGCCCAAACTAAGGCTCTGTCTCGATTAGGCAGTGCGGTACTTGCTATGATTGCCCACCTTGCACTGTAGAGTGACAATATGCCAGCTTCACATCGAGTTGGGACTCTCAAGTGGCTGGCTCAAGAGCAGTGTGCTGCTTGGTGATGTTACCCTCAAGTTTACCTTGCAGGTAAATAGGTATAGCCTAGTTCCCGACGCCTGGGCCGAGATTTTGGCACGCTTTGAAAATGCTCTGATGGCACCGACAGTGTTTCTGGGCGGAAAGGCGCGCCATGAGGGTGGGTGAGATGGCATCCCTATAAAGTGTAATGCTACCCCTTCCCAAGATTGTCAAATTGAGCAATCGAGCACTACAGCACGCAGATTCGCTGTCCAGAACCAGATTTTGTTCTCATACCATCACAACAGTTCCTTCTAGTCGCAACGGTAACGGAGACAAACAGAATGTCATCGACAAAAGCAGACCGCAACACTCCACCTGGGATCAGAGACGAGAAGCGCCGTACGATCATCAACAAAAACACCGGGGAGACAATCACTTGGACCACATACGGATACGAGAGCGGAGGTAAAGAAGCCAGCGCCGTCCTCGTGTGCAAACCAGGCGGCGGTCCGCCCGTTCACTACCACACCAGCTATGCCGAGCGGTTCCAAGCGGTCGAGGGCGAACTGGGCGTGATATTGGGTAACAGGGAGCCCATCCACCTGAAGCCGGGCGAGTCGGCTGACATTCCCATCGGCACGAGCCACCGCTTCTTCAACGATGGAGACAAGGATGTCACCTTCAAGGGTTTCGTTCTGCCTGGACATGCAGGCTTCGAGAGGAGCTTGTACATACTCTTCGGTCTGAACAACGACGGGCTGGCGGATCCGGAGACGGGCATGCCGCACAGCATCGTACATACTGCCCTGATCGGGGAGATGAGTGATATGAGGTTTCCAGGCTTCCAGGGCGGATTGATGAATTACGTTGGCAAAGTCCTGGCGTTGTACGCGAGGTGGACCGGCGTCGAGAACGAGTTATTGAGGAGATACTGGGATTGATCTCGTTCCAGGAGTCATTTTCAGAACAGCGTCCCAGGGGGTACAGGGTGGCCCGGCGTTCTGCGGGTATTCTACTTGTCCAGAGAACCTAGCAAGGAGCAGTATATTGTATACGGAGGAGCGGAGGCTGAACTCGCCTTAGTCTGCCAAGAAGTCAAGCTTTGCTTGGCGTGTTTGCCTTCATTTGTGTCTCCAGCAAGAGTCCCTCCGGCGTCCTGAAATATTCAGGTGACTCCATTGGGGAACGGGATCGGTTGAGAGAGCATGCCGGGGGATTGAGAAGTCGCTCGAATTTACATCTGATCTCTTCGTCTAGCCGAGTCCCTCCCAGCGATTTCGTGAACCATGACCGAAAAAGCCCCTCCTTCTCTCGCCGCCGTTGCGGTTTCTTCTGTCATCCTGGGCCTGCTGGCAGGCTACTTTATCGGACAGGGCTCTAGTATTGGAGTCTTTGGTGGTTCCGGAAATGCAAAACAAGCTAGAAAGAGCTGGCCAAATAGCTACGACGTCAAAGTACATGCCGACTCGAGCGACGACCAGGCAGACGATGAGGATGAAGCGGACGAGGAAGACGAAGACGATGGGAAAGAGCTGAATGATTTCAAGGACTCGACAGAGGAGGTGAAGCTTGTGTTGGCAGTGAGGACGGACCTGGGAATGGGCAAGGGTAAGGAGATCCCAAAACCCGTGTTCCTCCTGTTGCTTTGACTGATCTCTCCATCACAGGCAAGATTGCGGCTCAATGCTCCCACGCGACGCTTGCCTGCTACAAATACCTCCTCAACCACGTCACCTCGGCTCCTCTACTGAAACGCTGGGAATGGGGTGGACAGCCAAAAATTGCGGTGCAAGTCAAGTCTGAGGAGGAACTGGAAACACTCCAAGCACAAGCGATCAGCCTGGGCCTTTGCGCAAGGATCATACACGACGCTGGAAGGACTCAAATTGCTGCTGGCAGCGCCACGGTACTGGGTGTTCTCGGGCCCAAAAGCGTGGTCGATCAGGTCACCGGCCACTTGAAGCTCCTGTGACGGAAAAATGATGGAAAGCATCAATGTAAAGCGGTTGCTGGGACGCCGAAGCATTGCTCGCCCCACAGCATCAAATGTTGCCCTCGAACACCAACTCCAGAGCAAACAAGACTATGACGACGTTAGATGTACGTCTCCCTGGTTCCCTTCGCACTGCTTCTATATATGGCGTCGATCATTTTGTGCCTGACTAAGGCATCTTCGAAGGTGGTGACGGTCCCAGACCCAGCACCAGCGAACGCGTCCCAAGCTTGGCCGACGTTGTACGAGAACTCGGTCGCAACCTCGACCTCGACCTCCTTCGGCTGCGGCCCTTTTCCATCGTCGAAAGATTTGAACGATGCCTCCTCCTCTGCTCTCACGAACTTCATGGTGGGGTGGTACATCTCGACGAGTCCACTGGGTGCTTCTAGAATCAGGCTGCCTTTGGTTCCATTGATCTCCCAGTAGAAGTCCTTGCCAGTCAGAGAATGGCCGCCTTGGTACACGACCGACGCCACACCTCCCCGCGCCAACGTCCCTGTCACGCTCATGTAATCGTGGCAGGTCTTGTCGGCCAGTTTTTGCACTTTGCCGGTGGTCGGATCGATGATGGGCATCTTTGGTCGGTGATTGGCGAGAGTGGCTTGTAAATCCTGGAATTCCCCAAGCACAAAGCAAAGCGCATCGACTGCATGCATCGCAGAGATGGTGACCAAGTTTGCGCCGGATTCGATGGACAGTTCGTATTCGAGAGGTGCGGGCATAACTCGACCCATGATCGCGCCAGACCCGATCATCTGCCAACGTCAGTGTGATGGTTCAAGCAAATTCAATCTCGCAGAGCTCGGGGAAAGTGAAAGGCATTACCGTCGTGCCCAGAATAAAGCCCAATTCACCTGCGGCCACCATTTCCTTTGCCTTGCGGATGCTCGGGTTTTGACGTCCCTGAAGCCCGATCATGGTCTTTACGTTCTGCGATTTCGCAAGAGACGTGAGCTCCTCTGCCTCCGTGAGATTGACGCCGAGCGGCCACTCGACGAACACGTCCTTCTTGGCCTCGATCGCAGGCTTCGCCAATCCATGATGAGTGGGGGTCTTGACGGCAACAACGACCAGGTCGACATTTGGATCGCGCACGAGAGATTCCACATCGCCGTAGCAGGCGACCTCGCCCGGGAGACCGTACTTCTGGACGGCTTTCTCGGCAGACGCCCTGCTGCTGTTTTGGAGAGCGGTGATTTGGTAGTGCGTGGACTTCAGCAGATATGGCAAGTGAGAACCGGCGGCCCAGGAACTGTTTTGACGGAGTCAGCGCGTGAGTGAGAGAAAGGGGATGAAGGGTGCTGCCCACCCGTCCGCAGAAAGCCCAATCACGCCCAACCTGATGGGTGCCATTTTGCCTCAAGCAGAATGAGGCTGTCAATAATTCCAATGGGTCGAGTTATGTATATGTGTCCTGCGGGTTTAATAGTCTCTGCTCTCGCGTGGGCGGCTCTCTCAAGGAAGATGGGATTCGTTCGACCGTGGTAAACTCTCATGAGGGTGTCATTTGATAACCTACCGTCCTCTCCCCCTTCCATACATACACATATATATACCAATATCGACATGTCATGAAAAGGAAGAAAAAAAAACCAAGATTCCATCACGGTTTAACTCGGGATGCTATGCTATGCTATGCTACGCGTTCCCTGCATACCTTAATAATTAGCGAAACGACAAAGCCACGGGCACTCGGCGGGAAGGTTAGTATTTGCTGACACGAGCTGTGGCGGGCATAATTCAAGTTACTCCAATCCGTCCGGGGCCTAGTTCGAGTACCTCCCTCATATGAATGACCCATTCATTCACTTATTATTACTCGGGAGCTACGAGAGCTACGAGTACTGATTTCCCCCTTCCTTGTCGCTCCTTGTCGCACCTTGATCTAAGGGCCCCTCTCCATGATGATGTGGGGACCACGGAGCCGTTTCGTAGTCGTCGAAAGCGTGGTCTACCCATGCACGGCTTATAAATGCGTGCAAAACATATCTGGCTGCATAATACCGCCTAGAGGGGAGATCTTTGTGCATATTAGTGGGTAGAGAAGGGGTGGATGATATTAGGTGGATGCGTGGACATGGTGCCTCTTGGGGAGCAGTCTTCAAATGAAGTTGACAAGTGCGTCAGTGACGGTCATTGTTTAGTTTTCATGTTCTAAAGCCTTCTTCTATATGCACACGAGTCCTCCGTAACCTGTTTGTTCTGAGCATTCCATCCGGCACCATCGGGAGTGGTACACACACACACACCCCCCTTCCTAGCTCTCTTGCCGATACTTCCTTGCCAGCTCCTCGCTCCGCTGCTGGTACTTCTTCCGGTAGCTGTTCAACAGGTCGAGCGAGATCTTGGACCCGCCGCAGACGACGATCACGACCTTGGAGGTCGGGCCGAATCCCTTCAGCACGCGCTTCAGCCGCCCGTCGTACGCCAGGGCCACGCTCGCGCCGCAGGCCGGCTCGACGAGGATCCTCTCGTCGTCCAGGAAGCGCCAGCAGGCGGCGCAGGCCTCGGCGTCGTCTAGCACCACGGACGTGACGGCAGGCCGTTGGGCTTCCCTAAAGGCGTTCTCCGCCACGCGGATTGCGCCCAGCGAGGTCGCCACAGACGTGATGCCGGGGAGCGTGACGAGCTCCTTCTTCTGCAGTGACTGCGCCAAGGAGTCGGCGCCCAGCGTCTCCACGGGCAGCACCTGGACCTGGTCGGACCAGCCCACTCGGTCGAGGCCCTGCATAATGCCGGAGAACAGTCCGCCCCCACCCACCGAGCAGACGATGCCGTCTGGCTTCTCCCCGTCCGGCATCTGCTTCTGGATCTCCTCGACCATGGTCCCCGCGCCCTGCCAGATGTACGGGTGGTCGAAGGGGTGGATGTAGATGCCCTTCTCGCCCCGGGCTTCCGCGGTGGGGATGACGACCTCTCGGAGATGTTGATCGGCGAAGAACCAGCTGTCTCCGTGGGAGATGACCTCGCTGGCGCCCGCCGCGAGTAGTTTTGCAACGGTCGCTTCGTCCGTGCTCGTGGGGACCACAACCGAGGAAGCGTACCCCAGCGACGTGGCGGCCGTGACACACGCGAGCCCCGCGTTGCCTCCGGACGAGGAGTAGAAGTGCAGCGGGCGGTCGTCGGACGGCGACTCAGACTGTTCGCGGATGCTTTTCAGCATCAAGTTGCCGATACCCCGGGACTTGAACGACGACGAAGGCTGGAGGTTTTCGAGTTTGAGGAAGATGCGGCTTTGCGCAGACAGACAAAGGTCAGCAACACGGCAGTGGTCGATGGAGAGAGGAGGAGGTTGTGGTTTACCAGCCAGCGATTTTGGACAGGACGGTGGATTCGAGCAGCGGCGTCTCGATCCACGGCTGCTTGACGGGCAGCATGGTGTCTGCCCCAAGGTGGTTCTGTTCTATCATTGCAATTGTTTGTGTGTGAATATGGCAAGCTTCCCGTCTGTGACACAATGTCTGTGTGTCTCCAAATTCATCGAGTAATGTCGTATACCAATATCCACCGTGATAGATATACAAACAAGGAGACGAAAGGGGGGAAATGTAAGAGGAGTGAGTGTGGCTACCCACGGCCAGCGCCGGGATCTCTCGTTAATTCTTTTCAACAGATCGAACCTAGTGCCGCTTTCAAGCTAACTACTCCGTACGGAGTAATACCAACCCAGCTGGCTCAGTACCTACACTAGCCTTGCGTAGCCTCGTGAGTCGTGAGGCTGAAAACGATGTTTACTGGGCTCGAGGTATTTTGCTCACCCCCTACTGTATTTTGCTCACTGCCCTAATCGGGTAAGGCTTCAGACTAGGCCTAATCGGGACTAGTAACATCGTAACTACGCCAAGCAAAGCCGCCATTCCCGCGTCGACCAATCAGATTACTCCGCTTCACTACGCGATATTCACGCCCGGACGCGGTCAGTTGGTGTGACGGTAAGGCATATGGAAGATAGAGAAAGCTCCAAAGATGTGTATTTCTAATGTACGAGAGACTAATCTGAAGAGAAAAAGGAAATAGAGAAAGAAAGGAGCGTGCTGGCGCTTATTTGTATGGCGCGCACGTCCGCTAAGCCTCCACCTGTTACGCTGTGGCTGTTACATTGGCTGTTACAATTGGGTTATAGACCGCGAGGCCGCTACGCCGTACCTAATGGCGACAATTTTACAGCGGTTCAGGTGGAAGTATCTGCGCATTAACCTGATCATGTAACTATCTAGTAGTCCTACTCGATTCTCGTCGGTGTATTCTCACAATCGGAACATCCCCTCACCAGGGATATTACTTTTTGCGCTACTAGCTCTATCCGCTGTCTTTCGGCGTTTGTTTATGTCGCTAGATACACTAGTTAATGCTGAGACGCTCCGTGTTCCCTCTAACGCGTCTTGTCGGTCTTGTCCTGGTCGGCGAGGTGGCTGTTTGAGTCCTCGTCGATAGCAGGTGTAATATCGTCGATATCGAAGGTATCCATGGCAGCGTCCTAGACTCCATGTCCTTTCCCATCGCCGTTGGCTGCCTCGAGTTCGTCTGCGACTTGTTTGGCTAGTGCATCGAGTTCCGCCTGCGATGCACCGTCTTCTGCGCCTTCCTGATCAAGCGGACCAGCTTCACAGTCGTCGTCGGCCATGCTGGATTAATCTCAGCGACTTGCGCCGCCCCGATAGTGGGTAGTAGGCAGATGGTAGGTAGGTGGTAGGCGTGGGAGTGCGCAGTTGGGCGCAGTTACGGTGTTACTATTCCCGATTAGGCTTAGTTCTAGACCTTACCCGATTAGGGCAGTGAGCAAAATACAGTAGGGGGTGAGCAAAATACCTCGAGCCTGTTTACTGGCCGTAAAGCATGTGACAAGGCCCCCGCCTGCCTTTTGCGGCCTGCACTTTGTAAACAACTCTTTCTACGAGCTCCTCTGTTGCCTTCCACCGCCCTTCCACCGCCCGGACATGCTGCCATGGAGGAGTCCGAATTAGAAAGACTGAAGCGCGCTCTTGCTGCCGCTGAACAACGTGCAGACGCAGCCGAACAACGTGCAGACACGGCAGAACAACGTGCAGACACGGCAGAACAACGTGCAGACACGGCAGAACAACGTGCAGACACGGCAGAACAGCTGACAACGAGAACGTCTTTCCCTCAATACATTCAACTGTGCCACGAGCACTTTACCGTCCCTCTTCGCGTCGAGACCGATCAGTCCCTCACAACGGGTGGATCTATCACCAACCCTCGAGAAAAAAAACATCCAACCTATCTTCGCCCGTGGGATGATTTTCCTCAAACGCACCTGCGCTACTTTGACGCTGCATACAGTGTCTTGTACGATGACAACGAGCGCCTGTTGTTCAGTCCTCGAATTGCCCTTGAAGAGGAAGGAAAAACTGTCTGTGATCGTGCACTGACAAGTGAGAAAGACCTGGAATATTATGATCGTGCTGCTGTCGAAGCGAAGGTTAAAATGGTGTTGCAAGAGCTATTGTCTTTGGAAGACGCGCGCGACCTGGTGAATGGATACACTGACATTGAATTCTGCAATCACCTTAACTCGTTGCGGCAGGCACCGCAGAGCGAGACTAAAAGACCGCGACCGTCGGCGGTAGATCAGGCCTGCATCTTTCGACACTCAAGTGGTGAGCGCAGTCTACTTGTGGTTCGCGAGTATAAGGCGGCGCATAAACTCAGCACCGCATACTTGCGCGCTGGGCTTCGGCCGATGGCAGTCCGAGCTGAAGTTGTTCAGCGTGCTACTATTCCCAACGATCCGGCCGACAGATTACAGTACCACGCCGAACGACTCGTGGCTGCGGCCGTGACACAGACATTTGAGTACATGATCGACAATGGTCTTGAGTATGGCAGTTTCACAACGGGAGTCGCCGAAGTCTACCTGCGTGTTCTGAAAGATGATCCTAAAACAGTCTACTACTACCTGACCGAGCCGCAGCTTGATGTCGCCCCTGCCGACCCAGCTGGTTTCCGCTACCCGTTTACCGCCGTTAGCCGGCTGCTCGGATTTTGCCTCATGGCGCTGCATGCTCCCGTGCGACCGCAGTGCTGGCGGCGTCACGCTTCGGAGCAGTTGGGCGTGTGGAAGGAGGATTTCGACGAGATACTCCGCCAAATTCCGGATGACGAGCTGCACCAGTCGCCTCACGAGTCACTGTACTCCTCCCCACACTATCCAGTCAATCCTCGGTCTCCTTACTTGACACGCCGTCGGAAGTTGATCTTGGAGCCAGATGATGAACCTGAACTTGCCTCGGCGAGATCGGACACCTCGTCCGAGGACCCTGGCGATCCTGCATCAACAATGCCTGACACGCCAACGCGTGCCACAACTGCAAAGCGGAAGCGTGAGTCAACGGAAACCACGTCTCGGGTTGGAGCGACACAACCTGCAACGTCCGGACAGCGACAAGCGAGGTCGTATTGCACCATGAAGTGCCTTGCCGGCTTACGCTTCCAGCGGACTCTGGACCCGGGTTGCCCCAATTACGCTCACCATCGAACGTCACCAGATACCACGGTCCATGAGATCGATCTGAACGTCCTGGTCGACCGCGTGCGATGCCAGCTCAATTTTGATGTGGACCATAACTGTGATCCTCTGGGCATCCAGGGTGCGACGGGCGTGCTGTTCAGGGTAACGCAGGTGTCTCACGGGTACACGTTTGTCGCCAAAGGCACAGTTGATGGGTACCGCCAGCAACTACGCCACGAGGGACAAGTATACCACCAATTATGGCCTATCCAAGGCGCTGCGACTCCTGTCTACCTGGGCAACATTGATCTCAAGTATCCCTACTTTTATGACGTCGGAGTCAAAATTGTCCACATGCTACTGATATCTTGGGGGGGATATTCTTTGTATGAGCGTTCGCCTGCCATCGACGGGGTCTCGCTTGAAAACGAAAAACAACGATCGATGCGCGCTGTTTCGCAGCTGTCCGTGGTGCATATGGATTTGAGGTCACCAAACATGTTATGGAATGACGAGGTGCAGCGAGTGCTCGTGATCGACTTTGAACGGGCCCACATACGGCAACAGAAACGGAAGGGAAAGCATCACTCCGACTCCACGATCACGCACCTAAGAAGTCCGAAGCGCCAGCGGCATCAGGACTTGCTTGCTTCCCATCCCCCGCCTCTGGCACAGAGCAACTCTGCTTGTATCTGATCGAGTCACCGAGGGCGTAATGTTCCTCTACCAAAACTCTGGATGCTTGACCGAGGGGTACTCCCAAGACATCTCGGCACTGGTCATGGTCGAAGTGGCGAGGCTTTCTAAAAGTCCTGGAGATTTGGGACCTTCTTACGGCCCATTGGAGATCTCTCGTGAAAATCTGTGGAGCTGTCTTCAGTGAACCCCGTTGGGACTACGAGTGGAGCGTTTCAGAAGATTGAGCGGTGATCAAAACATTCGATATAACGACCCCAGCCACCCTGGGGATCTGGCCCAAGTCATTCTGGCTGTAGGACGAACTTTGAGTGGAGGGCTCGAATCGGTGTCTATTCGTGGAAGCTTGGACTGCAGCTGGATCGCCGCATGAGCAGACTTTGTCCTCGGTTTACGGGTGCTCCTTCGTACCCACGACAGTGCATTTTTATACGTTAATTAAGATTGCAGGGTACACAGTGGTTAGGTCATTCTTGAGTTCCAGGGTGCGGAACAGCCTCCAGCAAGCTTGGAGTGCATTGGTCAAACAATACCACTACGGTCGTAACGTTCATTCATTAGCAAGTGCTTCCCTCACGAGAAGTGGCCTTGCCCTGACGCGTGTTTTGAGGGCGGACTTTTAGATTGGGATTCAATACTGTCACAAACATTCTTCAACAAATTGTCAGACTTGGTCTATGCCGAAAATACTGACCCCGTAGGCAGGGAAATACCACCAAGTTTACCTAACGTGCCCAGCGCCACAAAATCCAAGGTCTATCTCGATGCACGCTTCGCCAGGCTATTCACAGTAGGCTGCGCAATCCTGGTGTTTCATACTCCGTTGATTTAGCGGTTCGGCGATGAGCGTTCATTTCTAGATTTGATCCTGCCAAAAAATACCTGAGTTGCCTCGGGTCCAAGCACGGCTCTTCAGCGAGGCTATGAGACTTGAGAAGATCGGACAGTTCAGCGAGGAAGAGCTCGAACAAGAATACTCAAAGTCTGTGAAAGACCTTCTGTAGCCATATGCGAGGGGCGACATCTCGACCTGGCAGGAGGGACAGAACGTCGTGCTTGGCGGGAATTCCTTTCGCTGCCCTTCAACTGGCTGTTGTTATGTCATGTCTAGTCTTAAACTCTCCACTGAATCCAACACGTCGCGGCCTGTTGGCCATATATCGGTTCGCTTTCCTTGGTGTAGACCAAAAGGGCGGTTCAGTGCTCGATCCAGCCCGAAACTATACTGCTCAACGAAATTTCTCGACCATGGGACCGTTACTATCGACGTATGCGACTCTGTTTTCTGGAACGGATCTCATGGACTCCAATAGCGGTGGAAAGAGTGCGATCAGCGATGGGAAGACCTATGTCTATATCGATACCTTTGAAAATCTGACGGATAGCCCTGAGCAAGCTATGCTAGTCAACGTCGGGTCGGGGTCCATCTGGCATCCATTACAACACGCGTCTCTATGATGCCGTGGTTGAACTCCCTCACAGCTTGCAAAATTATCGTCACTACCCAGCAAGACGTACAGCAGTGGTCGGCGGCATTGACCAGCTCGAGCAAGATACTTCGACAGCTCTCAATATGTCCTCGCTGAGGGTGAAGGTTTCGCAAAACCTAGCGAGACCTGCCATTTACTTCGACCACACAGATCCAACCAAGTGGCTCGGTGTGTTGTCCTTTGCACATCGGGCGATGGGGTGGCTCTCATCAAAGACCAGGCCCAGCTAATAGCATTTGCGAAATTTTTCGCTTCGCGCAAGCGAAAAGATCGGAAAGAACATCCTTATTATGCACTGCTCTCCTGAAAGACCCGTTCGCACAAGTTGACCAACACTGCAACACGTTGGGGATTTTCGAACTCACATGAGACAGAGAGGACTGGGCTGGTCAGCTCTGGCGGAGGCGGAGGATGGAAAGGGATCATTTGGTATAATGGGAGCTCACTCGATGGAGGACTCAACTGGAGGGTTTCCTTGAAGAAATACTCTCGAGCCTCCTTCTGCTGAAATTATCTCCGATATTCCGCCGTAATCAGGGTATATCAACACCTTCATTTGTGATGGACACCCTCTCGCCTGTTGATATTTGAAACGAGTGACTTTAAACGTGATAAATGCACAACCTTGCGTAGACTGCTATAGGCTCCTAATACTGCCTGGCCCAATCCTACTGTAAGTCGAGGGTATGTAGGTATATAGCCTTGGTACTAAAAGACGGGGTATATGCTGTATCATTTGTAACGGCGTATCTCCTTATCGTCCTGCGCCGATTGGGTCAACAACGGACGAGCCTTCCCACCGGAGATATCCACGACGAGGCTGGGCTATTCTCGGGAAGGATTTTTCTCTGTCCAGGACAAAAGCTTCTGTCTGTCTGTCTGTCTGTCTGTCTGTATTCCCTTGGAGAATCCGTTCTCCAGAAGAAGACACGGAGGGGAGAGAGAGAGAGAAAGAGGCAGAAAGGATCTTTTCTCTCAGAGGAAGGGAACGTGCTGTCCGATATATATATATATATATGGCTTATGGCCCAATCCAACACCGACAACGACGACCTCCACAATGGAGGATGTCCTCCTCCAGACACCGTCGCCTTCTGCACGCTGGGCATGTTCATCATTGGTCAGTTATACTCTACCACCATAGCTGTTTGGCACACACACACACACACCTCCCCTTCTCCTTCTTCCTCCCCCCCAGAAAACACACACACACACACATTCACACAAACATACCACACGTATAGAACAGTACCGTACAGTGCACGAGTGAAATGATCTTTCCGGGCTTCGACTGACTTCAGATGCGCCGGCGGTGGCGGTGCGTGGCCAACAATACAGACACGATCGAGTACCTCGACGGCAGCACACGAACGACGACGACGAAGCCGCAGGAGCATATCATCGGCGGCGCCGGCACGTACGCGGCGCTAGGCGCCCGTCTCGCCGCGGGTCAGCGCCACGCAGGCGCGGTGAGCTGGATCGTGGACATGGGGTCGGACTTCCCGGCCGAGTTCAAGACGACCATCGAGACGTGGCGGACGCGGTGCGTGTTCCGGCGCGACGACGCCCGCCTGACCACCACGGCCTGGAACGGCTACGGGCCCAACGAGTTCCGCGCCTTCAAGTACCTCACCCCCAAACGCCGCTTGGACGAGCATGCCCTCGACGACGAGCAGGTCTGGGCAAAGTCCTTCCACATGGTTTGCTCCCCCGCACGGTGTATGGCTCTTGTGAAGGGGATCATGGAGCGGAGGAGGGAATTACGTCGTCGTCGTCGTCGTCGTCGACATCTACGTTCTACTGTCATGGGTGGAAAGGGAGATGATAAGGAGGATGGTGGGGATGATGATGACGATGAGGAAGATGAAGACAGACCGCTCTTCATCTGGGAACCCATCCCGGACCTGTGTACGCCGGAGGAACTGTCACGACTACGAGATGCAGCGGCGTGTGTCGACGTGGTGAGCCCGAACGCAGACGAGCTCGAGGCGTTCTTCAAGGGGATGCCCGAGATCTCGTCATCACGGGAACGCATGGTCGCGAGCCTCCTGGGGCTGGACCGACGAGACAATAACAGTGGAGAGCAGAAAGTGTGCTTGGGCACAGCAGCGGCATTGGTGGTCCGTGAAGGCGCGCAGGGATGCACCACGTACATCGGGAGCACGAGAGGTCTACATCTCCCGGCGTATCATCACCAGCGCAAAGACAAGGTCGTGGATCCCACGGGCGGGGGCAATACGTTCTTGGGCGCGCTGGCCATCGGCATGACAGGGACCACGACCCCAGGAGAAGAGGAGGTTCTCGGTCTTCCCGACGAGACTGTGTTTCGTGAGAAAAGGCTCTTGCTCGCACTGCTCCACGCCACGATTGCCGCGGGATATGCCATCGAGCAGGTGGGCATGCCTGCCGTGTCGACGGAAGACGGTGACTGTTGGAACGGAGAGGCATATCCAGCGCGGTTCCGCGAGTATGTCAATAGAGAGAGGGATCATATCCTTGCTCAACTCTCGAGCTCATGCTGGTGAAGATTGACAGTGCGAACGAAATATTGGGCGGATCATGGTGGTTTTTCATTTCATTTCTTTTGTTTGCATACCTTGTAGATAAGCACCAGTGCTTGGCCACCACAGACCTGGACCTAGACATTTCTGCAAGATGGGATTGATCGACTGAGTCCAAAGCATCTCTCGTCTGTGGGCCGTGTGGATATATGTACAATTGTAGAGTTGGTGCTGCATCCTGCGTCCCTGAGTTTCCACGCTGTAATTGAGCTACCGGGTGGTCTCCTCTTCCACTGTTTCTTTCTGCCCTCCACTCGCCCTTCTCATAGCCGTGGGTAACCCAGCGGAATCCGCGCCGTTCTTCAGGGTTTGTAGAAGTATGTACAACGGAGTCTTCTTTTCGAGGTGAGAAGAGTTGGAGGATTTCGTCGAGGATCGTTTCGGCTCGGCAAGGTCATGTAAGCTGAGGAGGAGACTGATGACAGCTGACTTATTCCCCTTCTGCGCCTTTTCGTGCTCGATGATCTGTCTGCTCCAGCTGCAACGGCGTCGTCAGTATGAATGAGCCTCCAAGCATCTTCCAAGGAGCCAGTTTCGCAGTATTAAATCTCATCGCATTGGTCCCCACACCATCCTGAACTCCCTCTTCCACATTTCCACCTCCACTAACTAAACGACCAACCAACCAACTAACGACTCTTTCGTGCTCGGTTTCGGGATGGACGACTTACTACCGACTCGGGAAAAACACATCCTTCTCTGGCATCTTGGTCCGGACCTCCCTCTCCGCCGAGACTCTCCAGGCCAGTCCCGCGCACGCCGCGATCGCCGCGCCCATGACCAGCGTGTTGGCCCGCCAGTTGTGCGGTCGGGCGTACCACCCTCCGGCGGGGGACCAGACGTGCTTCGGGTACGCGACTTTGCCGCCTCCGCCCATCGTTCGTGGTGTTGCGAGGTGTGGTAAGATCCGCGGCGACGGGTGAGGGTCGAATCGATAGGGAGGGCGGGTGTGAGTGAGGGTGGATGCGGATTGAGCTTTGAAAGTTGGACGGAGGATGGAGAAGGTGATTCAGTTGAGGTGCAGTTTGAAGGGTCGACGGTGATTGGTCGCTGGGAGCTATCCTCGGCATACTTTCCACTTCATTGCACCGACCATTATCTACGTCCTCATTACAACACATTTCTCTCTCTCTACAACTTGACCACTATTTTACTTGCAGACACCCCCTGTTTCAACCTGTCAATCCCAGCTTGGATACTCTCTAGACCTTCTCCGATGACATGTGCTCGGGGCACAGGTTTGTACTGGCCACTCGCCAATGCTGCAGGGAGGAAGTCTTTCCAGAGAGCCCTGCCAACATCTGTGCCCGGGATCATTGCTGCCAGCACTGACATTACATTAGCAGACTTCCCCAAGTCATTCTGTATATGCCTTACTTTGCTTGGCGGTGACATTCTTTGGCAGCTCTGCCGGTGGCTGCCCGACTGTGGCAATGAGCCCGCCCCCAATTCGTGAGAGGATTTCAGCAATCGTCCCGATGCTTGCGTCCGTACCAAATGCTTGCGTCTTTGTCAGTTAAGTCGAACATTGGGCTTGACCTCTATCAACTCTTACCATCGAACGCTCCGATCACGTTGCTGTTCTGCAGTCTTGTTGCCAATTTCTCAACAATGTCATCATCCGCATGGTCGAACACTGCCGTAGCCCCCAAAGCATTGCAGTGATCAAAGTTCCTTGGAGACGCCGTTGCGACGACATCGAGCCCGGACGCAGTAGCAAGCTGAATGACTGCGCTGCCTACACTCGAACTGCCGCTCCAAAGCAGGAGGGTCTGGCCAGTCTTTCCGTGGCTTTTGTGGGGTAATGGGAGCCCCAGGTATCCATCCTGATACAGCCCGGCGACTGCGGTAGAGAAGCCCATCGGTATGACAGCAGCCTCCTGATAACTCATGGTTTGTGGGATAGGAGCCGCGGCATGTGCCTGGATGATGGTGTATGTTTGAAAAGCCCAATTCTCTGATTTCCCGGTGATGAGCCCCAAGGCGTGTGCGGTGACACGTGCTCCAGGCTCGAATTCGGTCACTCCCTTACCCACTTCAACCACCTCTCCACCGATATCGTGCCCCAGGATTGCGGGCCATTGTTGAATAAGTATGCCCAGATCTTGGATCAGTCCATCAATCGGGTTTATGGCAACGGCGTGGTTTTTGACCAGGATCTCTCCGGCACCGGGCCTCCTAATACTGGCTGATCCCACTCTGAGACGCTGTCCCGGCCCGTCGAGGAATGCCGCGTTGTTCTCGAGAGACATTTTCTGTGCCTCGCGCGTTGATCTTCAGATAGACAAACGGACTGTCCTTGTTCTGCAGAGCGTGAAATGCAATCGATGGCCAAGTCGACACTTTGTAGCCTCGATGGACATGGACCCTCCGAGTTGCCGAGCCGCTAGATCGGATTAGGACGATCCAGCAGGAGAATCTCTTTCCTCTTCTGCTCCGATTCTATATAGCGCGTAAGTAGTTGGGAAATAGCAAATGCGCTGGTTTCCCTGATTCTTCCTGCTGCCTGCTCTCCACATACCCTGGTAGTTCTCGCAAGCAGAAGTTCTGGCAAGGAGAGTTGCCTATTGGGGAAATGATCCAATCTAGGAAATGGTCTGAGAACGGCAACTCGGAGTTAATAATAGTGGCGACACAAAGGCCCAGAATAGTATATGTTTAGAAGACAATCTGGCTTCCATTCTCATCATTTTCTCAGAGCATGTCTGGCTCAAAAGTCAAAGGATCTCATCGGTGTCGAGCCGTCCTGGATGTATTGATCGAGGATCCCCTGCGAGACCTTGATAAGCAACGGCAAAGAGCATGGGAGCGACCACCTCGAACTCACCCAGTCAACCATGTCTGAATCGCTAAATATCACATCCAGAAACTCCTGAGACGCAGGATCCTGGGCTACGGAATGTCCATCGTGGGACAGGAAGGCAGAGGGGTCATTCACGGCCAATGGCTCGCCTGCTGGTCTGCTGTCGTGCGTGCTGACAGTTCCCATGCCCTCCAAGCTTACCTGCGACAATGGCTGAGTGGTGTCGGTGCTTGCAGCATGCGTTCCGTTCCGTTCTTCCTGCTTCTGTGAGTCCGGCCTGGGGATCTTCGAGAGCATGATTGCGAGGATGTTTGATGCTCGTCTCGCATCTGCTGAATCTGATTTCCGTGACTGCCAGATATCGTGCGAGACCTTCAGCGCGTCGTATTTGGTCCTTTGGGCATCCAAGTCCACGGCAGACAGGACCTTGGTGCTAGACTGCCGGTGAGATTCGTACAGATCAAGACAAGTGATCATGGCCGCAAGAAGAAAGTCATGGTGCGCCAGATTATCCGACGTCCATGGATTCTTGTACAGCTGACCCCCGGGCTGGTATGCTCGGTCGACCTCAGCTTGGTAGTGCAACATCTGAAGGCTCGCCGTGATGCAGGCATTCCGCGAATATTCAAGGGCAGGGTTCATGCGATCATGACTCAAATAACGCCGGTGGAGGACCATCATGCCTTTCTGATACATCAGCTCCAGGTTGAGCCGGTGCATGATTGTGTGAATCTCGTCTGTGAAGGAAGAGCTGAGTGGCTTCCATTCGAGGCTCGGCGGTATCTCAGCCCGCATCTTGAGGAGCTCGGCGTCGAGATTCAGGACTTCCGCGTAGGCTGGAATTCCCGGTGACAGGGCCTGCCGCGCCACTTTTCTGAATACCTGGGCGAGGCGGCCTTTGTAACAATAGTAAAGCATCGGCGTCGGGTCTGTGAGCGGCCGTGACGGCGGAATTACCGTAGAAGATTCGTCAAAGTCCTCGTCGTACAGGTTGCGGGGCGGGTCCGTGTCACAGTCTTCCTCATGGATGATGGCCGGGAGCCCCGCCTGAAAGGAGAGAAGTAGTTCAAAGGTGTGTGCAGCGGAAAATGCTCTGCGTCGCATTTCCCCTTCAAATGGCGAGATGTGAGCGAGGTGACGCGGGTCGCGATGGTACCCCATTCTCAACGCGAGACGAGCTGCCACGCCCATCAGCAGCCAGGGCTCAGTCTCCGTATCACCCTGTACAAAGAACCTGCTGATAGCATACAGCAGCGTAGCTTCGACGCTATAGGGCCGCGCTTTCTGGTAGTGTCCAGCTACCAGGGCCCGAGCCGCGTTCGTCAAGAATGTATCCGAAGCGTCACTCAGCGAGCGGAAGAAACCTACCTCTTCGGGCCGGGCGATGCGAGAGCCCAGATGGATGCACGAGAACAGCATCGATATCCACAGGAAAGATACCGACGAGGGATCGTTCCAGAATGATTCATACTGCCAGATATCAGCGTTCTCTCACCTCCCCAAGTGATGGTCGTATTATCAGATCTACCTCTCGCAAGAATTTCCGTTTGTGTAGGAACGCTGTGCCTGTAAGCCGACTTCCCCGGTCAACGCCACAAGCAGGACTCACGAATGTGGAGAAATCGTGTATTGAATCGCACCGACAGCAGCTTATCTACGACAGGTCGAGGAGGCAATGCCTGGCGCATCTCGGCCAAGGTCAATGGCGGTAAGTTGGAGAGGATGATATCAGGGTCGTTCCTGCTGTAGCTGGAGAAGTCTCCGTCCAGTGCCTCTTCTGGTTCCGGCGCCAGACATTCCTGGATATCTTTGATCTGTGTATGGTAAGGGTGACGACGATACGGCAAAGATCAGCAAGGGAGAAGGGGCAAAACGAACGTTTTCTAAGATTGCTGCCCAATGGGTAGCCCCCAGGTATTTGGTTTCGGCACCTCTGATATCGAGATGGCCGTTTGGAGGCAGATCTTGTGCCAGTGGAGAGGTGTTGTCGGCCACTGAGGGTGCTGTCACCACGTGGTCGGGATGTGTACTCGTCGTTTTCGACGCGCTGCTCTCCGAAGATGAGGGCGAGACTTGACCACCGCCGCCACCACCGCCGCCACTACTCTGCCCGTTTGTGCTCTGGTTTGCCTGCATCAATATCGTCACCATTTCCTCGAGCTTCTGTAGCCGAGACTGGGCCTTGGAGATGTTATCCCTATCATCAAGACTGCCGTTGGGTTCGAGAGCAGGGGCGCCAGAAGTTTGCCCGGGTACGCCATTGGGTTGATTCTTGCGCCTGGCTCCCTGGGCAGCTCGTCTCGAGGCGTTTGGCTTTGCAATCCGGAACACAGTCTGGTATTGGGATAAGTCGGGCATGTTTGGGGTCTCGAGCTCCAGACTGAAATGTATTCCACCTGTACAAGCAATGTAAAGGGTGAAATCTGACAGCGATTGTTGATGCGACAGGCAGATATGTTCGCTGTTGACGCTAATGTAGGACCGTAGAGTACGGAGCAGTATACCCGCAGGCAGTGTACTCCGAGTTGCTCCGTACAGTCCGTGCTCCCTCATTCTACATCAATTCCAGGAAGCAAGATTTGCGCATGTTCTTGGTCACAGAAGAATTCTTTTGTGATTTTACCCTGCTAAAGGAGTGTCTATCAAGTCATTAAATTACAAAACGCCAGTCGCTATGCTAATAAGAAGACAAACAAAACGCCAATCGCTATGCAACTCAAATAACCAACATCCCGTCTGTCCGTGCCATCAATTCTCAGCCAGCCACCTCATGACCTCTCCTTATTATCATATCGACTCGAACGTGTCCTCGCTCATTTACAACTTTTGGGCAACAAAGGTAGGGTCGCAGATGATGTCGCCGACCTCGCTGGGGGTCTCCAGGGTCCAGGCACCCTTGTGGGCGTCGGAGAAGGTGTTGTCACGGTTCTCGCCGCGGAGGACGATCAGGGGGTTCCCGTAGATGTCGAGGATCCTGCAGCGGTAGTCCTGCTTCTCAACCAACGACCCGACGCGGAGCTCGACGGTCTCGAAGGGCCCGCTCGTTGCTACGGGGGCTGACTCGGCGCGGTACCCGGCGGGGAGCACCGTCTGCGAGCCGGTCTCGGTGGATTGGCTCTCGAGGACGACGCGCAGGTTGAGCTCGTCGGATGTCGGATCGATCTTCACAAAGGTGGGGTCGCAGACCACCTCACTGACATAGCTGGCTTGGCGGAAGGTCCATGGGCCCTTGCCGGCGTCGGAGAAGGTGGTGTCGATGTTGGCGCCGCGTGTGCCCACGATGGGATTGCCGTAGTTGTCGAGCGCCTGGCAACGAAGTTCTTGGTTCTGGACGTCCTCACCGAGGCGGATCTCGATCGAGTTGAAGGGACCGCTGATGGCGGGGGTCGCCATGTCTCGGACGGTGGATTCGAGGGTGACCTGAGCGCCGGTTTCACCGCCATCGCTGAGGGCGACGGTGACCTTGTCGTCGTAGTGGCGACGGCTGTGGGGGGCAGCGAAGGCGCCGGAAGCGGCAAGGAGAGAAAGAAGAACGGTCTTGGAATGCATTTTGGGGATATGTATTATTTGCGTTGGAAGCTTTTTGGAGTTTTTGGTTGTTTTCTTATTAGTTGGTACGTGAAAGAATGTCGAGCAGTTGGGCCCAGAGAATGAAAGGAAAGAATGAAAAGAAAAGGAAAATAAGGAAAGGCTGAAGTTTGCTGGTTGTTGTTTGTTTTGTGTGTATGATGGAGAGAAGAGTCGTACGGACTGGGAGGCATACAAGGCATCTTTATACACCTCCCACCTCCGAGGTACAGTGCTTACTCTCAAAGGACATAATGGTCTATCCCGCACATACGAAGGATACGGTGCATAGTACAGTATGACCAGTATCCACCGGGTGGCATTACACACTCATCTCATCCTAATCGGGGAATGTGCTATTACTCCGCCTAGGAAGACGGGCGTGACCAAGCCCTCGCCAAGGCGACTATATCCATTGGCTCGATGGCGGAATGGACGATATGACCAGGAGGAGCCCAAATCACCCACTGCCATGCAATAACCCACAGTAGCACCCGTCCAAGATTTCCACTCCGTCGGTCTTGGCTGCTGGACAGTGCTTACTATATCAAAACTCCCAATAATAGCCCTGATAACCCAGAAAGGGCCACAAGCCTTGCGGGAGCCAAGACTCCCCGCCCAGAGATTGTGGCCAGCATGGACAGTTGATTGCCACAGCGGATTGGAAATATGAGTTAACGGTCAGAAGTTGTCGTGGAGCTGCGGAAGGGAGGCGCCTTTTACCAAAGATGAGCAAGGACACATCCCCGAACAGGAGCTATGTAACACCGGCCCACGGTTGTCCGAAGTAACATTTCCCCTTCCAGATTGTGCTTTCTCGTCTCTTCGATGGACTTCTCCCGACAGACGTGGCTCAGCTATTCAAAACTGCAAGCAGATTTCCTTCGCCGCTATGCATTCTTGCGTAGCTGCACCAGCTCCTCGAATATCACCTGTGGTATCCCCACCACCCTTTCCAGCTCCCAGTGCCGCCATCGATTCCAGTAAAGTAAGCAACCCAGCATGCTATTCAGCGAATCTGGCTTTGATGTACCCTCTGAATGTTGTCCTAAGAGGGTAACCTGGCATGCTCAATCTTGCGCCCTTAGGTATTACTCAACTTCTTCGCACCAACCTGTTCCTTTGTCAGGCAGAGGTCGTTGCTGGAACTGTTGGCCAAGCCGGACCATCTTACCTCATCATAACTCCGGAGTTTCGGTCTTCACAGCCGGTAATCGCAATGCTGAAGGTTCTCGCTGGTCATCGCGTAAGATGCTATGGCAGCGATATCAATGGCACTAATAAACGACGCCTTGCCAAGTTGTAAGAGTCTGTTCTTGCTGTCAACTGCAGGCAGATGCTCTTGCTCTGACATTCTTTCTCTCGCTGCATCAATCGCCCTCAGCAAATCAGCAAACGACCGCAGAGCCAAGTCAGTAATCTTGAAGCTCCCCATAAGCCAAATGGGGGGCAAGGGGGATGATGCCATCTTCTAACTTGATATCGATCAGATTGCTGCCAGACTTGACCAACATGGTGGCCAACCTTCTCAACAGAGTTGTCCCACCAAAACAAAAGGCCTCTCAACCTGGTGGTTTTCAACTGCAAGATCAATGAAGATATTTGGTGAAGTTACAGGATCAGATATCTCTAGTGGGACGGGGTAGACTGCAGATACTGTTTCTTGGCCTAGATACTCATCATCTGTGAAAGAGCTGCCATGGCTTAAGGGGATTAACCTGCCGACATCAACGGCAAGCATTCCTTGTAGCGTCGCAGCTTGGGGCCGGCAAGAGGCCGATAATAGAAGGACTCTTACATTTTGCAACAGAGTAGCATGACGTGAATAGATAGATGTCTTACCTATATCGCAAGTGAGAAGGCCAGCCATAGTGAGTGTCTGATCATTTTGGGAGTATTCCCTTTTTCAGTGCGGCAAAGATGAATCCTGTTATGCCTCATTTTGGCATATCGCGGCCTTCACATTGGCCATGATGACTTGCCATCAACTCCCCACATATGGAAGCCACTTGGAGAAGGATAATTGTTACGACGAGCATGATTGTATAGAGTAGAAGGAGAAGAAGGAAAACAGAGTTGAGGAGACCACTTCCTCTTGGAGACTGGCTGCCAAGCCACATTATTATTGGTCCCTGACGCTCCAGCCGAATTTCCCTTCGCGTTCAACTTTCGATGGTCTCGTGTCGCAGGAGAAAAAAGTCTCTTGCACCATCGACATCGCTGCCCTCAGCGCTCAATTATCCTCTGGATTTCCAGTATCCATCCACCTTCCCCAGAGCACTGCGAAACCGCTACGTGATCTTCAAAGAGCTCCTTCAGCTCTCATGAAGAGGTTGAAGCTCCTGAGGTGGAGCGGTACTGTCCTCTCCCCCCGAACGAGACCGGAACTCCTTCAATGTCAACCTCGTCTTCACCGGCGGTTCCAAGCAACTGCTGCTGCCCCCTCAGACCCCGAAAATGAGTCCGTATATCAGGCCACGGATGGACCGTATCTCTCGGAAGAAGAACTCATGAAGTTGCCCTCACCCCCGGTCGCCGCAGCGAGGACGTCCGCCAAACTAGCTGCCTTGCATGCTCGACTTGCCTTACCCTCTCGTTTCCCTCTCGAAACTTTGGCACGAACCTTGATCGACGACTCGGCCGATCGCTCCATGCGATTCAACAACAAAGCGTTTGCCCTGCTGGGGAATGACTTGTTAGGCTTCTACACATCTGAATACATTATAAGTCAATACCCGAGATTACCACTCGCCGTCATCTACGCGGCAATGTACGCATATCATGGCCCGGCGACGTTGACACAGATGACCAAAGAATGGGGCGTCGAAGCAGCTGCAGAACCCGGAGGGGAGGTCGACCCAGGTCTACTACAATTCAAGAGGATGCCGCCCGAACAACCTCTCGCAGATGGGGATACAGGATCAAGCGGCAGCAATAACGATCCGAGAGCGAAATGGACACGAAGCTTGAGTGCCAAGTCGGTACACAATGATCAGTTTGGTGAACTTCCAGAACGCCCAAGTGCGCCTGAAGAATTGGCCTCGAAAGGCGTCACCCTACAACGAGCCAGTACAAACTTTGTGAGAGCCGTGATTGGCGCGGTATACCTGCACGCTGGAAGGGCAGCTGCAAAGAAGTTTTACAGTGATCACTTCATGTCTCGGCAATTGGACATGGCGAGTCTGTTCCAGTTTAAGAACCCCACCCGAGACCTGAGCCGGCTATGTGGAAGAGAAGGATTCCAGGCACCCGTGGCCAAGATTCTGAGCGAAACTGGGCGGAAGAGCAGGACCCCCGTCTTCGTGGTGGGAATATATTCAGGCAGTGACCTGTTGGGAGAAGGCGCCGGTGCCAGCTTAGACGAAGCCCGAACACGAGCGGCAGTGGCAGCACTCAAAGGCTGGTATCTCTACAGTCCGACCGAGTTTCGATTGCCTAGCGAAATGGAAGAGCCCGGGGCGAAACCATGGACCCCGATTCTGGTGGATGCCGGCGAAGTTGTCGGCTAATGTCTGCTTGAGCCTTTTGTTCTGGCGGCCTTTTCTCGTCGAGGCTCAAATGTACTTTTATGACAGCTTGAACAAAAATTCTACAGGGACATATGTATGCATTATCGGACGCCTGGAGGAGCTATGGTGCACAAGGCAGCCACCGGTGGGTCGTGAAGACCTATGCACATGCCAAATGTTAACAACTCTTCCTCTCCAATATTCTGTGTGACTTTGAACTGTCTGCGATAGCCCGGCAGTATGGTGGCGGTCTTTTGTCAAGCTGGGCTTCAAGGCGCAATACGACAGGAGACCTGGACAGGGGCCGACGCCACCTCATTCACTGCCTGAGAAGCGGTGAGCATGCCGGAGGTTGTGTAACCAGTGTTCATGGGCTGCGGACGTCTGAAATCAATATTGAGCTAATTGTCTAGGGGGCAATGGCACATGGGGAGTATTGTTCATACAGCGTCTATACCTATACACAGCTGGACAGGCTCTTTATTAATAATGGCTGACTGGGGGTTCCAGAATCCAGGCCAATAAAAAAGCAAGCCCGATGGGCGGCTTGGCAGGCTTGGCAACCACTTCGATGACGTCGACTGCTGGGGGCCTTTTGCTCTCTTCTCCAACTCTTTTTCAATACGACCAGGACTTGAGATCCAGCAAAGCCGAAGTGCAGCGAGAATCAAGGAGACCGACAGGCTTCAGGAACGGGTGCCGGGGGTCCCCAGAGATCGGGCGTCCCATCTCTAGGGAGATCAGCCAGACACGAAAATAAGGGAACTTTGCGCATCACAAAGTTCTCTCAGGCATTGCCCCGGCTTGCGCCACACACCCCCTTACGAGAGGGCCAGGAGCTCCACGAATCATGTGCAGACTTCGACCAGACGGAATCTCCCAAGCTGATCACTGAACCCGTCCGGGAGGTGACGACGGAGTTACTATGCGAGAATCCCCGCCTCGTCTGCTTCACTTCAGGTAGGTCCATTCATCCATTGCCCTGGTTGGCGCATGACTGGCGCTTGTGACTTGACGAAATCGACCCGCCAACCTTCTTCCAAACATTCCACGACCCGCTGTTTAGCCTCGCTAGGCAGTCTTCCCATACTGGTGAAGTTCTTGCCTTTGCCTCTGGTGACAGATCGACGGTGCGCAGCATGCGGTTCTATTCTTGTTATAAGTTCTGCTTACCAACTCTCGCTTTCTTGAACTTGGTTTTCCCTCCCATCTTCGTTCTCCATCACGAACCCCCCAAGATGGCAGCTGCAGATTACTTTACATCAGGCCCCAGGCCTCCGCTGGACCAACAGAACAATAGCCCATATGGGCCTCCACAACCTCAGAGAATACACTCATCGCAGCCTGGATATGGTTACAGACCTGGTCAACCAGGCCAACTGAGCCCACAGTTTGGCGTTCAGCCGCCATCTCCGTATATTCCTCCTCCTGCCTACCAGCCTCTCAACACCGACCCGAAGGTCCATTTCGCTGCCACGCCTGGACAGCCTCGACCTTCTCACTCCAGCCAGCCGATATATTCCCTCAATCAGCCCAACTTCCAAGCCAATCCTGCGCAGCAACTAAATCCATATCCTCCAGGCCCATATGTGCCTCAAGCCTATCAACACCAGTCCTACGGGCCTCCTCACCATCGACCCCACCACAGACCATCGCACAGTGACCCTTCTGGCTCCGGCTACTCTTCAGATCCCGAGCCGAACAGGAGAAAGCACAAGGAGCGAAGCCGTCGCATCTCAGATCACTCACGGTCTACCAACGCGGATGGCTTCCTCGGCGCCACGGGCGGCGGTCTGATAGGCGACCTGATTTTCCCTGGGCTCGGCACGATCGGTGGCGCGTTGGTGGGATGGGTCGGTGGCAAGGACTACGGCAAGCACAGGAAGTGGAGAGAAGAAAAGAGGGAACGGGAGCAGGAGCGCTGGGAGAGGGAATACGGCAGGAGGAGCAGCCACAGTCACAGTCGGTCGCGGAGTCACAGCAGGGATCGGGACAGGGACAGAGACGCGCACGACCGGGGACACAGTCACGGTCGACATGACGGACGGAAACACAGCCATGAGAGACGGAACGGCTAGGACTGAGAGGGCAACGCATGCCTCATGGGAAATTTTTCAGCGAGGCAATTTTTTGGGATTGTATTGTTAACGGAGATTATTATTGACCCCCTCTAGAAATGGGAAAGGCAAAGGTGATGGATGGATGACGCATCACTCACGAGGTTACGACAGGGTTGCTTTTCTAAGCAAATGACACATACACACACGCTCTCGGCCCGAACGGCTGGTCCTTCTGGGTTGTTATCGAATCCATGACAGAGGATCTTTTGGGTCATTGGGAACACCTCTTTTTTTGTATGGTCGTGTGATGTGTAAACGAAACAGGGCTTTCCTTCCATCGTGCTTTTTTGGCGAATCAAAAATAGGTTGCAAACTACCAGGATGACCTGCACCCCAGATCGATCCGCCGTAGGTGGCAAATCCGACGAAACTCATGAATGAACGAACGAAACATGCCACGATAATCAAACTTGCTACTGGATGGATTGATGGATGGAGTGCTAGGTGTCTGCCTATTTTGCGATGCCGAGAAGGCAGCTACAATATGTACATGCTTTGTCGAGGTTCGCCCCCTGAGGCTCTGGGTTTCTCACGAATAGCAATAATGATTGCAACCCCCTCTATCTGTCTGTCTGTCTGCCCTGCCTGTTCCACATGAAACAAGCAGCTCGCGAACCTGTGGAGTAGTGGTTCGAGTGCGCCTTACCGCTTGGCATCACCAACGAGTCCACACAGCCTGACGGGTTCTTTTGGTAGCCAGCCCATTTCATTGCGTGCCTTCGGGGGGCCGAGAACGTTCTGAATACGGATGAAACGAATTTGAGTACTATTATGTAGAGCTGCCTGGCGTCGACAGCGCGGGAGACAATATACCCAAGTTATATCAGGCACTGGCTCTCCCCGGTAGTCGAGGGATTCATCAGCCAACCAGCCCAACCTTGCAGACCTGGTACGGAGTCCTTGCGCCGGCTAGTCGTTGACGTCGCGGAACCAACAAAAGTCTCGCAAAAGTTTCGTCGACGGTGAAAAGAGCTCCTCGCCCTCCTTTTCCCCCTTGGGCAAAGAGGACCACGTCCGACCAAAGGTTGTCCTTTTCCCACCCCCACGTAGCACAAACCGAGTATGAATTGTTTGCTTTCTCGCGTGTGTTCGCGACACCACACTCTCGCCAGCATCACTGAGGCGTGCGCTCACCGGTCGGTCACCCCATCTCCGACACAGGTGTTGATGCAGAAGCCTTCTCCTCGACGCACTCGGGCAATTTAGTAGTTGAGGTGTGTCCGGACAACTACGAAATAGACAGTTATGTGCTCGAAGCATTGGTAGGTAGTCCAGTCATCTAATAGAGGTGAGGGCGCTCCCATTCCTCGTGAGTATTTTTGTAATGACCACGATTTATTCTTTCCCCATTTTTTCGCCAAGACCTTTTGGACGGCTCGATGGTTTCTCTCAGGGCAACTCTTGTCGCAATTGTATATATGTACATATGTATACATACCATTGTCTCATGCCAGTCTATGTGAGTCAGGCCCACATGTATGCTTGGCGACAATTACGCCCTGTCCACGAACGGATCAGGAGGATTCACCCTAGGGAGTCAAGATGTTGATGCCTCCGAGACAGCGACGCCGGGGGAAACGCACGCCAAATGAAGTCTCAGACTCCAACAACAGCACACGCAGCGGACGTGGACGGCCTATGAAACGGCCCGGTCAGCTCAGGCCTTCGCGTAAAGCTCGAACCTTGCAAGCCAACATCATCCAACAACAGCTCACAGCAGAGGTTGAAACTCCCAGGAAGCTATCGGCCCTGGAGGCGCTGCCGGTCGAAATCATCGAGCAGATCTTTTTCCATGCCCTGGAGCTGAATCTGCCGAGAGCATCAGTGCACCTGGCCCGAGCTCTGTCTCGACCTCCGGTCTATTCTGCCCTCGTTCTCTTCGCCTATTTTGACGCATCTTTGACTCGGCGCGTCGAGCCTCGTTATTTCGCCCCCGCGACGTTTCGGCCCATCGAGCTCGACGACCGGATACAGCTGCAGGAAGACATCCTGAGGACTCGATGGTGCACGTTGGAATTTCTCCAATCTTGCCTACCTGTTCTGACCCGGTTGACCATGGTCACATGCTGGCGCCTTGAAAAGGAGTCTGGCGAGGAGACAGCTTGCGGTATTACGACCGTGAACTCCGACAGTCACCATGATGGTCTCCCACCAATCGAGGACGCGAGTGGCATGGAACATTACTTTAGACCAAGGTCAGCTATGCTACCAAGTGCGCAACAAGATGAAGCATCGACAGCCAACGCTCAACACGGATATCCTCCGCTGATCATCAACGGGGAACGTTGCATAAGAGTGAAAAGCCTGCGGCCCAAAGCGATACTGCGCAACACACAGCCTCGGAGCGTGCTCGCGGCGTACGTCATTCCCGAACAAATTGTCCTCCGCAAACCATGGACGGACACAAACATCAAGTTGCTCCAGCTGCTCCGCCAGGCCCTGCGATTCTGGCCATGCCGCGACGATATGCACTGCGCAGTGGTTCCGTCGCCGCAGTCAATGTTTGGTGGCATGGCGAATGCTATCCACGAAGCCAATGAACTGGCACTGCTCGTGCTGCTCGAGGTATATGACACGCTGGTGAGACGGCGCTACCCCGACCAACCTCTGCCCTTGCGACTGTTCCACCAGGCATGCTCAGAGCCTACGCTACCGGTCCGTCTGCAGTGCAAAATGATTGGGTTGCTGCTGCGGGCCGCCGCCGAGCATGTCCCCGCGGACGACGAGATACTGACACGGTGGGCCATCCGTGTGACGAGCTCGTCGACCGCAGTAGAGCATGACCTGTCCGTCGCGAGGCGGGTACTCAAACACATGGAGAGTCGAGGCGCGCCGAATGACCCTGCAGGCCGTGCCCTCGGGCCTGGAGGTGAACCTTCGTTCACAGAGGAGATAGGCTATCTCCAACGGGACGACAGGGAATCGCCGGGAGCGGGATAGCGATTCTCTGAAAGACCGGCCCCTCCTTAAATAAAGAGAAAGAAAAACGAGCTTTCCTCCTAGTCCACGCGGGAGATATATGCAGGGAAATCGTGATTGTATCTGGACGGATCGCGGAGTTGGCAGCCATGTAATGGCTAAGTTTCCTCGACTGACCGATTTGCCTCCGTGGACCAACCAGAGATATATCTTTGCAACTGTCCGCTCTTCTCGCCCAATATGCTGTGGCTAGAACATAGGAAAGATCTTCGATGGCCATCATTCGCCCCCCCGACGGATGTTGAATGCAATCCCCCGACATGATTCCACGCCGCTGTCAAAATGCTGCAACCATGAGAAACCTTCGACATTTTGTTGTATAACCCCAAACTTTTGGGGGCTGTTGAAGCCCCAGTTCCTCGTCTCGTCCGGACACACCCAACCTTTACCGACATCATCCTTCGACAAAATCTTTTTTGAAAGCCAGCCGCTCACGGCTCCCCAGGCCAGATGCGGTCAGCGATTCTGCGCACTAACTTCAACTTCTCGACCATATCCGCTCTCTTGACGGCGTTACCGCTCGAATGGCTTGCAAATCCACATTGGGGACTGACCCCGCACCTGTTGAGTGCTTCCTTCTCGCTCTCGCCGCTGCCCTTGCACATCCAGCCCGCGGCCTCTTTGACCCGCTTGACCATTTCATCTTCATCCTCCATCTTGGGGAATTTGCTTGTCACCACGCCGAGAATGACATTCTTGTTCTTGGGGAGGTGCTGGAGTGGCTCGAAGCCACCTGCCCGCGGAGTGTCGTATTCCAGGTAGTAGGTGTGCATGTTGAGCTTCTGGAAGAGCAGGGTGGCAATGCGGTCGTAGCCGCCCTCGGAGAAATGACGCGAGTTGACAAAGTTGCCCCGACAGAGGTGAACACCGACGTGCATGTCTGAGGGGATCTGCGAGATGCACGCGTTGTACAGGTCGATGTACTTGGCGAGGAGTTCGTCGGTGGAGTAGGTGTTGAGAGGGTCTTTTTCCCAGCCGGCGATCATGGCTTCGGAGCAGAAGTCTGTTCACGGAGAAGAGGTGGCAGGTATCAGCATGGGATTTCTGAAGTTGTGGTGACCGCCGCTGCATAAAGGCCTGGAGAGAATGCACTTACAAGCCAAATTGGGATCATCAAACTGTACGTTCCTCAACCCATGGTCGTACAAAATTCTCAACTCCTCCTGGTACGCTTTGGCAATGTCGGCAAAGTACTCGTCATCGTTCTTATACACGTCGGCGGGATAGGCCTTGCCCTGCTTGTACCGGAGGTGATACCAGTTGGGGGCGGCAAGGGTGAGTTTGAGGTTCTTCCACTGGGACTCGGGGACCAGGCTCTTGAGGAAGTCAAACTGGGCGGTGTAGGTGCTACCCTTGTGCCTGATCTTGCCGGTGCACAGGACGGTCTCGCCAGGCTTGTAGCCCTCCTCGGTGAATGCGGCGATGTCCGGGATGTACATGCGGAAAAGGTCTGGGTCCGGGTGTTCGATCTCGGTCATGCCTTCGAGGCCGGGCCAAAATGAGCCCCAGAACATATGCCTTCGATACTCGCCGTCGGTGGGGGCGTGGAAGCCCAGCTCGCGCTGCAGGGCCACGATGTCCCTGATGTCGGCATCCTCGACCTCCTGCAACGCCGTCTCCGACGCCTTTCCGGCCTCCCAGGCGTGCCGCGTGTCGAGCAGCTTCTCGGTGCGCAGGAGGGAGCCGAGGTGTTCGGCGCGAAAGGGTGGGTTTCGGTGCAGAGGAAAGGACATGATCGTACTCGTCGAGATGTTCTTTGTCACTACAGACGGGGACCGTCCACAAGCTGTCGTCCAAATGTATTTACAGAGAGTGTTGTCTTGAAAGAAGGGAACGGAATGAAAGCTTCTCTGTTCAACCAAAAGATCCCCTGCGTGTAGAGAAAGCAGAGGAGTAAAGTGAGGGGAGGGAATGAAAAATCTCGAGGCAATAAACAAACAACCACATTTTTAACTAACTATACTATTATTACCCCGCAATTTGGGAAGAGGATTTTGGCCAGTCCAGCAAAGTCGGGCTCAAGCCAATCATTGACCCTGGGCACCTTTGACGAAAGACTTGTACAGTTATGGCAAAGAGATACACGATGAAGGCGGGGTAAATTGAGACAGTATGCACACCCAGTATGCGTCCTGCGGGAGAAAAGTGTGCGATGACGTCCCTCGCTGCTTAGAGACCAGCCAGGCCATCCTTGTCCAGCCGGGCCAATCAGTCCCACGGGGAAATCCAGGCACTAAAGGCGGCAGCACAGGGTCTCTCCACCTCCGGAATAAGACAGCCACCAGACCTCGCTCCCACGGCCTGCCAGGCACGCAGACAGTGTGGCATTGAACCAGCACCACCAACAACAAAGAATCGATTAGCAATGAACATCCCCGACACCCAACCGGCCATAAACAGACCGACAATATAAGCACCAACGTCGATTTGACCCAGATGGAGCTCGTCCAACTGCCCAACGAGGTCCTGAGCCGCATCCTCTTCTTCCTCGACACCCCGAGCCCTTTCGATGTTGGCATTCTGCAGAAGCCCAGCTGGGCTCTAATTCCCTTCGGGTCGACCAGTCCTACCCCAGCGCCGTCACATTGTCAACACCCTTTGAAGAACTTGGCCCTGACATGCCATTTCCTCCGCTCTCTGACCCTCCCCGTCCTCTTCAAGCACGCCGTGCTTCATCCACACCGGCTGACCGACTTCCTCTCGTTTCTGGAGCGGCATTCCCTGGCCCGGCACGTCGTCAGCGTCGCTGCCGCTCTCGTGCTGGGTCATGAGAACCACATCTATCCTCCCTGGTGGGCACGCCTGCTCAACGCCGTGCCCGTGACGCGCCTCAGCGTCCTCGCGCCCCCCGAGATTTTGGCTGGGCTGGCCGGCACCTGTCCGTGGAGCAGCGACGCCTGGGCCTTCGACATGGAATTTCAGATCCTCCAGCTCGACCAGACGCCCGAAGCCGCCCTGGTGACGATCGACTACGACGACCTGCCCGATTTCTTGGTGGCGCGACCGTGGCAGAACATGGTGGTCAACGAAGGGTCCAGCCTGCTGGCGTACACGACCTACGAGTACTTCCTGCGGCGGACTCCGTCCGTGTTAACGGCGTTGCACTGGAACGACTCGGCGGCCGGGAACGCGCTGTTCGCGAACCTGCAGAGTTTCGCCTTCGTAGCCATCTTCCCCTTCTACAACCACGTGGACGAGGTATTCAAGTGTGTCCGCAAGATGAGACAGCTCCGGCGGCTGTTCGTCAAGCTGTGCCCGGAGCCCCGCAGCACCGTGTTCCGAGACGAGATCGAGAGGTGTGACGGCGCGCTGGACGTGCACGACCCGTGGAACGAATGCGAGACGTCGTGGTTGCTGATCGCCCAGGCCGTGGCCTTCCTGACCGCCGAGGGTCAGCTGCGCGAGCTGCAGATGGACGACATCAAGATCGAGGGCATGCGCCAGACGCTCGAGGAGAGCATCCACAGCGTGCTACCGCCACCGCCGTGGCGATACGAAGATTCGGTCAATGGCATCTGGCGCCGGAGAAACGATCCGGCAGCCGCGGCCGGCAGACTTCCGTTAACAATTTTGGCGAATACGGTGTGATGAAGGGCTGCGACTAAGTTTCCCCTAACGACCTGGCCCACGGAGTTGTAATACCCGCTGATGCCGGTGTGTCTGCGAAAGGAAAAGCGTAATTAGAGGAACCCAGAGACAGACCAGTTTTCGCAGAACTTCCAGTGCATTGCTTCACCACCATGTCCCACTTCTCGAGTACAATGAAGGGATCCACGAATGTTGTGCGCAGGCAGGCAGGCGAGCAAACAGACACGCGGGCAACGTCGCCCCTTGCCACAGCCGCATCTCGCCTGCGCCCGCATGCCTTTTCCGCATCTGCATCTGCATCTCGAATCTAGATCTTGGGTCTGGATGTGAGGCGAGTGAGGGTTTTAACAGGATCTGGATTGTGACATTGAGCACGCACGAGCAGGGTATATAGCATCATATGACAGGGCATGCATAACATCAAATTTTTGACGCTTTCTCGCCCCTTTCTGGCCATGGTAACTGTATCAACCAGCCCCTCAGCAAATTCTAGAACTCTTTTTGTACGAGAAAGAGGAGGAGGAGAAAAAGAAGAAGAAGAAGAAGAAGAAGAAGAAGAAGAAGAAGAAGAAGAAGAAGAAAAAGAAGAAGCAGAAGAAGAGGGAAAAATGGAAGAGTCTTCGACACCCGTAGACTTCTTCTCGCCATCTCTTTTCCCCCTCGGATCTCTCCTCCCGCACCCTGCTGCTTATCTTGTTCGCCTCGTCTCGGTCTCCCCCCCGGAGGACGTTACAAGATCCTCACCGCAATCTCTTCGTCAGTTCTCGCACAGTTAGACTTCTCCTACAAAAGAAGTAGTAGTAGTGTGTACGTACGTACTAGAGAGACAACCTATGTGAGATAGGGTATCTAATTCCTGCATCTCTGTTCTCGTGGTGGCATGGGCACGTGGCCACCGCCCTGCATATATATGTACGAGATACCACCTACCCAAAGAGACCCTGGAAATTTCTTCCGGGCCACCCTGATCGACACCAAGATTGATGTGGATGACCCACCACGCCTGTCGCTCTAATCAGCTAACCTACCTACCGAACTTACCCACGACCCCGGTCGGCGGTCTCTTAGCCAGCACACGCACACACACACACACAAGTTGTCTCCCAGCAAACCGGGCTCGCCGCAGGGGCCGGGACTGTTTTCCGGGAACCAGGATCGCGGCGGGGTGTTTCGTTGGCTGGGGCCAGGTAAGAGCAGAACCACCCCGCTCTCTCTGTGATAGCAATCATATGTCGGTTCGGGAGGGCAAGGGTGAGTACAGTAGCATGAGTAGATACCATCCGCAGCACGAGGAGCGCCTGCTGGGCATGCCCTCCCCCGGGGCAGGAGCAATAGCCCGGGGCTAATGAGAGCGCTTGCCGCTCGGTCGCACAATCGCGCCCCCCCCACACCGTCATCCGTTCCTGCGAATTCTGCGTCTGTACCAGTGAGTATTAGGGGTTCTCCATTGCTCAACTCGGCACCCAACTTCATCAGAGATCGTCAACGCCTTACCGAGAGCTAGGGCCCCCTTTCTCCTCTCTTCTACCACCCTCTCCCACGACAAACTATTTATCGGGACTGGAAAATAGATCCTGTCCTTTGTCAGTTCTGAGGCCCTTGCCCCTTCACACCGACATTGACCCCAACTGATGCCACAGGCCTTCTAAGGTATACCCACCTTTTCCATCCAAGGGAATCTGATGGATATGGAGGAGGGACCCTCGCCACCCGCTTCTCGCTGGCGTCTTCCGGATCTCGGACCAATCAAAGTGGCCTGGATGTACATTTCCACAAGGATGTCCGAAGTCACCTGACTCCCACCGGGGCAGGTGTGTCCTCCCTCGTTCTCTCTCACTCTTTTCCGTCACTTCCTCTCACACCTGCAGGCTTTACTGGGCCCCCTGCTGCGCCCTAGGGCTGTTTTCTGGACTGGGCAACTGGCTGCTGGTGTTGGTGGGTTGCTGGTGCTGGAGCTTCAGCGGACATTCTCGCCTTTTCTCATTTCTCACTTTTTTTTGGTGGCTTGCAGCTACTCAACTCAACTCTACTCAACCCTACCTAACTCGAACTAAGCTTGTTATAACAAGCCCTGATCGCGGGGGACCAAAAAGTTGGTTCCAAGACACAGTGATCCAACACAAAGTGATCGCCTCTCTTCTTGCCTTTTCGCTCGTTCCCTCTGCCTCTCTTTCTCCCTCCCTTTCTTTCAACAAAAGAAGTATGTATATCACCTCCTCCCGTTGGTGATCAACACTCCCCCAAATTTCTCAAACCATTATCGACCGCATGGCATCCTGTTGAGAGTTATAAAAAGGCTGCGCTGGAAGTCAAATCCGAGAGGACGCGGATCCAATTCCTTATCCCCCCAACGCACGCAGAGCCATGGGGACCGAGACGAACACTTAGAGCATACAGGTGTCACCACCCCAAGCCAGCCAGCGAGCGAGACAGAGAGAATAGACAGAGACAGATGCCTTCGCCACCCAGCTCCCGGCCCATCAAGCCGGCCAAAGAGCCTCCCTCCAAAACCCCCAGGAAGAAGCCATCCAGTGCTCGCATCTCGGCCGCCTGTGAAGCATGCAAGAAACGCAAAACGAGATGCACCGGCGGCCCACCACCATGCCAACTGTGTGAGACTCTGGGCACCGAATGTGTCATCGACCTCTCGCTGGATATGAGACGCAGGGCCGCCTTCCAGCGCACCTTGGACGAGTCGCGCACTTATCAGGATGCCCTGAACAGCTTACTCGACGCCATCCGCGAAGGGCCGTCGCCACGCCTCGAAGCGTGGTTCGAGCTCATCCGCAACGGCGGCTCAAATCAGGAAGTCACAAACGCTCTACATCAATACTCGAACAGGGCCGAGGATGAAGAGGGGGACGACACCATATCGTCCCAGATGGACGGAACTGAACCGTCGGCGGACGCCGCTAAGAGTCCCGCTGATACCTCCAGTTTGGGATCCGGTGCCTCGGACTCGATCAAGGCTAAGGGCCCCGATGCATCCGCGACCATCGCCAGCTTGCTGGCTTGGCTCAAGAATGCGTCCCCCGAGGAAGGAGAAGCGATCCTGCACCAGTTCTTAGCACGGCGCTCCGAGGATAGGGCTGGTTTGCACCCCTGGGCACCGCAGGGAAAGAATCTCTGGGATGGAGTGGGCGCCGACTCGGGAAAAGTCGGTGTTGCCGAACGCGCCATGTGGCATCCGGTACTGCACTTACGGTCGCAAAGCAGTCGCGGGGAAGAGCGGCCACATGTGAGTTCAACCTCTCGTCGTGCACCGCCGTCTGGTTAGGGAAAACCGTCTCCGGAGCTTTGAGCCTTCGACGTGCAGTCAATTAGAACTTGGTCTAACGATTGATACTCACACTTAGCTGCCGCCAGGCTCCCGCCGGTTCTCCGAAGGAGGCCCCGATACCGAGTCGGCAGAAGCAATCGCATCGGATTTGCCGTCACCGTTGGTTGGCTTGTCGAGACAGTCATCCCGCCACCTTCAGCTTACCACGGACCACCCCATGGCCGGAATGGAGGTGGCTTCCTCACGTGCCCTCCCGTACATCGAGCTTGTCACGAATGTTCCATCCGCCCTACCAAGGTCGAACGAGTGGGATCTGTGTGTGGCGCAAGAGGATCAGGTCACCAGACTCCGGATCCCGAGACACCTTGTCCTGCCCTTGGTGATCCCCGACAACTCGCCCATGAGTCGCACCTACACAGACTACGTGCACGGAGCACGGCGAATGCTGGAGAGTGGTGTTCCCGTTTCTGATGTCCTGGGTGCCACAGAAAAGGTGGCCGTCGACCTATTTTTCCGCCCTCGTCTGCCCACCGACAAGTTTGACTGCGCCTCGTGGGCCTGCGAAATCACCCGAAGTTTTGACAACGATGTCTATGTCCGCCTGGCCTCGGCTTATTTACTCACACACATGATGCGGGTGAGTTGGACGTCCGTCTGAACAGTTCCGAGCAGGAAGTTGACCAAGTGCTGCACAGTGGCTGCTGTTTCCGACCTTGGAAAATTACCAGAAACTCCCGGACATGATTAAACCGACACCTGCTCAATGCATGATCCCGCACATTGGCGCGATTGAAACAATACCACTGTAGGTTCCGGAATAGTTGATTCTGGCGTCAAAAGCTAATGTGCATCATATCAGGCCTCCGGTCCGGGACGCTGCAATCAACAAGTTGCGGGACTGGCTCACGCCTCTGATCCAGGCGAAATGGGGCGTAAATTGGCCACATGGTCTCGAGGCGGCTGTCGAGCAAGATCCCCTGACCGGAGGTACAGTCCTGAGCCAGAAATTCATCGATCATGTGGTCATTTACGAAAATTGGAGTGTTGGAAGTCACTTCCTGATCGCCTTTCCGGAGGTGGCGGGCAGAATCCGAATCCACGAACTGGGATGATGGTGCGGGATCTGGATTTGGGATTTGCGTTGTTACACATGGCCAACACAGTCAACCTCGATTCGAATGTCGACTGATGTATTGCGAAGGCGGATTTCCAGCCGTTTTACAACGTCTCCGGTTGGGTTGCGATGAGCTGGTTTGCTGTCGAGAGCGACCCCTAGAGTCCTCCACCCACTTCTCCTTTATCTGCAGACCCTCCTTTTCGTCCAAAAGGCGAGACAAGCCAAGCCAAAGGCCAAAGCCAAACCGGGACCGGAGGCCGCATGACGCAGTTCATGAGAAATCGGCGAGACGGTCCTAGAAAGGCATGGTTCATGGGGTCGGTGTGGCCTAGAGGAAGGCGACAGTGTCGGAGGTGTGTGGATCTCCATGTAACGCGACTGCCAAAGGGGCTCAGGAATCTTTGAGTATCATACGACTATACGACTGATGATCATGAGACACGCGAGAACGAAACATGAGCAAGCCGCCCAGAAAGAGAGTGTACTCTAAGGAAACGACTAGGTTATGATGATGATGGTGATGATGATGATGATGCGAGCGATATGACAGACTGAGGTAGATGCGAAGAAGAGTCAAACGAGGCTGTAGAGGCTTTGCCTCTTGAGAATGAAGGGCACATATGAACTTTTGGGCACGTAGTGACATGCAGCATGCAAGAAGAAGAAAAGCCTTTGGAAAGAAAGGTCCATCTGTGGTCAGGTGACTGACTTCCGCCCAACCGTGCACGTGCCGTGTCAAGTGACCACAACGCCGAGACACTAGTGACAGAGAGAGACTAGCTCTACCTCGTCCTTCCGAACCACGTTTTTGGGATTCTTAATGGGTCTAGAGCAATCTATTGTTCTGCTTTCCCTTGCGCTGCGCCTCTCTGTTGAGTCGGAAGCGAGGCAGTGGCGAAGCTGCCGGACGGCGCGCGCGGGGGCGAGACACGATTGAAATCCAGTGAGTGAGTGAGTGAGTGAGTAAGTCGCAGACATAGGGAGCTATTGTAGCTACGGAGAGATCTGAGTAATGTGTAAAGGACCGAGCTAGGTCACTCAGGCAGCCGTGCGGTGACGAGCGTTCGTATGATGTGTCCTTAAAAGATACGTAAACAAGAGACACCGTATGGACAACCCCGGCCCGCAGAGAAAGAAGATGAAGTACGACGTACAGTAAGTCTGCGGAATCCTCGTCCATACAAGGATAGCAATGCCCTATTCGCACACCATACCGGAGATACGGAGCACTCGTTCCGCCTTGACTTAGCCTTGGACATGACAAGAGCTCCAGCACCCTAAATCCGGCACTGTCATCGTCATCATGACCATCGTGATTATTTTCATTATCACACGATCAAAGAGGGGGCCGGCCCCAAGGAATGAATAGCGTGCCTATAGACGTACTGTACATAGAAGGGAAACGGGGGGGCGGGGGAAACAAGACAATCCAACCAAATGACAAGTGGAAAGTATGAGAGAGCGAGAGCAAGTTACCGCGTGCTGTCCCTCTGTACATATATATGTATTTGAGCGAATTTGGAAGCATGCAGAGCAAGAAAGCAAAAAGAGGAACGGAACCTGCGCCACGGAAACGCACTGCTGCCTGGTCTGTCTGCCCCCCCCCATCCAGTGCTTCATACTCTATAGGGTACCAACCTCCGAGAGTCTCCCTCAAGACGAGTGCTCGCAGATAATTTTTCGTAGTTACATAGGTGGTCTGTACGAGGTACTCGGTAGGTACCCGGGTAAGTAAATATTCAGCGGCCTGGCGTCGTGACCTAGGTAGCTACCTACCGAGCTACCTACTACTCGAGGGGGATCTTTGCACTCCCTCTCCCCCGGAGGATGCCTGGCGGGCCTGGAGTCCCAACTTTACCAGCGGGTCCTGTACATAGCTTTAGGCTTGGCCTAGTGCCTGGTGATTAATAGTCCTTGGCGCCCTACCCCCCGAATCGGGGTGACTGCAGGCAGCGCCGGCTTGCCTTGCCTTGCCTTGGCCATCAGCCTCACTCGGCCCCCGGACATGCGTAGAGCTGGCGCCACGGAGGACAAGGACGACAACGCCAACGACCACGCCGACGACCACCTCGAGAATTCGAGTGCGGTGTCGTCGATGGGCTGGGCTGGGCTGGCACACAGCCCAAAAAGGGCGGGGTTACCTATCTACTGCATATCTTCCTGGGTACCTACTGTAGCCCGTACCTATCACGCTAACTCATGTATCTGCCGACGTGTCTTGTCTGCCTTCTGCCTTCTGCCTTCTGCCTTCTGCCTTCTGGGGTCGGTACTTCGGTACCTAGTCTGTAGGTACCTAGCTCCTCCTATCCTGAGATAGGCAAAAGGTACAAAGGTACCTGGCCTGCAACTTACCAAGGTCCCCGACCAGCAAGCCAAAGAGCCAGCATGAGAGAGAGAGCTACTGTAGCTAGCTAGCCAGCTAGCCAGCCAGCAAAATCACCAACTCACGCTTCTGGGCTGTGCTCTGACTCACACACAGATGCGCCATCTACATGCCTACCTGACACCTGGCTGGCTACTAACAGAGACTACATACAATATGCACTCCACACCAGCACGAGCACGAGCACGAACATCAACCGGGATTTATCCGTCGTCTTGCGCGCAACCGCGGTTGACACACACACACAACACGAAGTAGTTACATACAGATCTCCGAGAGAGAGGACATTTCATTCCATGGTATATCATTCATTCATCAATATGATGTGGAGGATATTTATTGGTGAGTGGCCGAGTGACGTTGTCTCTCTCTCGATCAAAGAGGGCCGAGTCGTGTGTTTGGAGTAGAAGGACACTTGTACGTACAGGTAAGTGGCACATGATATCAAAGAGTGGCAGTAACGACGTAAGTCATAGCAGCAGTATTCATCGTCAATAAAAGTACAACAGAATGGGGCAACTTGCGTATGCGTTTGCGTATGTGCGTAGTGTATGCATAAGTGCGTGGCGAGCGTGACGTGGTTTGGTATCTCTTCTCGCACAAGAACGAAAAGAGAAAAAACAAAAATTACTGAGTTGCGAAACAATAATTCCACCCTCCCGTTGTCTTTCCACCCTTCCTTCCCTTTCCCTGTCTGCATGCGGTGCGGATCCATGGTGGTTTGTCGTAAATTATCATCTTTCTCTCCCCCCCAGTTCCCTGAAAAGAAAGAAGAGAAAGAAAAAAAAAACGCCGAGTGACTCCCCGTAATCCCACATTCATCATGGCATGTGATATGTTCTTTTCCTCTCTTTTCCTGTTTCATCCGACGCCACTGCCAGGCATCCGGTTTTGCATATGGTATATCGCCTGAGGTGGCAAACTGCGTAACAGGTTCTGCAGGCGATGGATCTCTGCTGCCTGGCGGCGAATAAACTCCTCTTTCTGCCTCAGCTCGTCCCGGAGATGCTGGATCAATTGGCTCTCGGCGCTTCCGACAATGTTGTCAATCGTAGTATTCGATGCCACCTCGTTGCCTAGAAGTTGCTGTTGCTGTTGCGCCAGCCCCTGTACTTCTGTCGCCGTCGAGATCCTTCGCCGTTTGGCCGCCGGTTCCTGAGGCATGTTTGAGCTCGTCGCCGCCGTCATACTCGCGGCAGGCTGCGAGATCGCTTCGTGGTGCGGTGGTACGCCATGGTCTGACAACTCCTCCAGGTGTCTCCGGCGCTTGTGCTCCTCGAGATTTTCCTTCCTGGTGAATCCCGTGCCTGAACTCCGGTTGCAGTTGGGGAACGGACAGAACAGTGGCTGCTTGGTGGACAGATGCATCTTGTGCACTTCCCTTTGGTGCCTCAGGAGCCCGCCTGAGTAGGTGAATCCGGGGTTCAACTCGCAGCCTGCCTCACGACACTTGTATGGTCTCTCGTGTCTGTCCATGTGTTTGTTCCACTCGCAGACGCGCTTGAATGTCTGGCTCTTGCCACGACAGTTGATGTGGTCGCAGAACATCTGGCCCTGGTCGTTGCGAGGCGGTGATCTGGTGCGACGGTAGGCGCCCTGAATCTTGACCGACGCGTCCGGCAGCGACGGGACCATTTCCTCGGCCATGACGCCGACGTGGGCTTTCTTCTGGTCGGGCGGGATGGTGGATATCGATGTGTATGTGGTATCGTAGTCGCTGGGGGGCGAGACTGGATAGTTATCTCTCATAATCATGATGATGGCTGTGGTGGTGACAATGGATCTGAGCTGGATGGTAGTTCAAGCGAGCGACATGGCAGAAAGTATCTTGGATGAGCCTGAGATATAGTCCGTACGAGGGCTTGACAACACGCTCTGCTGCCTACAAGGCTGTGCGACATGATGATTCGAAAACAGGTATGCCTCACCCAGGTTAAAGTATGGTCGAGAGATAATAGCCGCGCGATGGGCTCTTTGGGTCAAGCAGCGAATCATGCGCCACACCACACGACGGCCACAGCACCGGGCACTTGCTGGCGGAACCCTGGGCTATTTTATAGCACTAGCTTCCATCACTCCATACAGAGCACAGCTGACCATCAGACGGGTCTGCATTCCTGACGGACTGACGTGGGAGCCTAACCAGGGTGTGTCAACAGGTGTGAAGGGCCCCCCGGTGTCTCCATATTTTGTGGAATCCACATGACTATTACGAGTCGACTTTGTCTTTGTTCCAAAAGGAACAACCTCTTGTCCCTCCGTGGTGATGACTCATGCCATTGGGCAGCCCTCTCCTGGGGGCAAAGGAATTGGCTGACGATGAAATGGCAAAAGGCAAAGATACCAGCAAAAGTTCCCCCAGCAGACTCACCAGCAGAAGCCCGTCCCTTTGCAAGGCATTTCCCGTCACTAACCCCCAAAGGTCCACGAGCCTCTCTCTCTCTCTCTCTCTCTCTTTCCTCTGCCTCGAGACCATACCCACTCAAGGTTCGCCACGAAGAAAAACAAAAAAGAGAGTCAGGACATCCCGAGGTCGACCAGAGGAGGCAAACGGGCCTTCCGCTCCTACGATGGCTTGGCACGGCGATTGGTGGTGCGACGACAAAGAGCGGCAACACGGGACATCCAAGCTGGGGGATTTGGGTTCCCAGGGGAGGGCTGGCAGCTCCCGTCCAATAATCACCAGGAGCATGGAGACTTCCTATATTTGAGAGAGGCGTTTGGCTGGTTCGCCTGAGGATGAGAGAATCGAGATCTTATGGGAAGATAACGTTGGATGCCCCGGCTTAGGGGCCGTCAACGAGGCGCAGCTGTCAGCCGGCCCGGGTACGAAAGATATAAAGCGCCGCATGACCCTTCCCCTCTCAAGAGGTTGGCAACCCCCTCCCACCTCGAGGCCTTTTCATGGGAACCCTCCAAACAATGTCAGCGGACTCGAATGTTGTGCGGTTGCACAAAGAGTCGAGTTGGGACGACGTTGCGATATCCTTACCCGAGCCTGCACGTAAGGGGATCCCGCCCCCTGGCAGCACCGCGGTCGGCGACCTGGCACCTCCCCATTTCCGTTTAGTTGCAGTTTGGCATAACGCCACCACCGTGATGTGGCTGTGCCCGAGCCTGATCTGCTCGGCTTGAGCGGCTAAAATCGAGCATGATACCCGGAGAGTAGGTACAGTAATAGTCGACAAGTAGATCTGGTTGTGGCTCGACAGGCAATAGACTGATTTGAAATTACAACCAAGCAGATCGCTACGGACTGGCTCTGGAAGTTTACTCGACAATAGCGCGTGAGACAGTGATAGCCGTCTAAATATAGCCGTGCGTACGTCCGTGTTGTCATTGCCTGGATACGTGATACGTAATGCGACTGGCGGAGATCCGGTCGGGGATGCTAGTCGTAGTGTCATCCAACGGTTGACGTTTGAAGCGTTATCGCCATCTGACTTTCTCGCATTGATCTACACGGCTTCTCCGTGGTGAGGATTTCGTTACATCTGTACAAGCCCTCCGTGCACAAGTAAGCTGAAAGCAGAGCATGGTTCAACCTCCACGGCCCATGAGACGGCCGGTGTCCGTGTGGCATCAACCCAATGCCTCATCTTTTCCTCTGGCTGCCCAAGGCGTTGGCAGCCATGGAAGCTGAAAGAACGCTCGACTCACGCCTTCCACTGGAGAATGGCAAAATAGCACGCGGTCGAAACAGCCATCATGCAGGACATGGCAACACGAGATGCTTCACGAATGCAAGGTACGAATGTTGGGGATTTTTGGGTTGGCCTTTGGTCTGGCTTCGATGCAGCACCGAGATGCCACAAATGATGATCAGGGAACCGGAAGCGATGGGTGTCATCGACCTGCCGTGATTCCACGCCTCCTCCGACAGGAAATTGAGGGCTGGTGAAAGACATGTGGACTTTTGGTGACGTGTTGGATGCAATGCACTCTCGCAAACTCTGCATGGGCATTTGGACATGCCGTCTTGTTCCTCCTCATCATGCCAGCCGTGGCGCAATACCAACACCACTCCAGGCAAAGCCATCCGCTGGGATCACATTGCTAAAACGGCAGCAGCGACACTTCCACCATCGCTGCTTGGGATCTTCCTATCAGACTGCGCCACGTTTCGATGATGGTGGCTCGTCTTCTAGTCTCGCATTCGGCTGTTGAAACGACGAGGATGAAACCAATGAGACGCAGGAACAACTTGGGATACCCCTGAAGCCTGGACAAGCGAGTGGCTGCTCTAATTTCCTGTCTCTGGTGCTTGGGCCGATCAGTTCTTGACATGTGGAAGGGCAAGGCAGCAAATCCTCCAATGAACCAATAAAATGTGCTACACAAGATGTTGGTTGTTGGAAACCAATTAGGGCACGGGATGTAAAGTCGGGGTGGACCAATGCAGGAATCGCGCCACTGGTGTTGACTGGACGGGCTGGTGGACCGTACATCGCTTCACGTAATACTGCTGGTCAAGTCCTGCGCCGACGTGCATATCATCGTGCTCGAAAAGCAAGTGACAGTGAGGCCACTCGGGCTGCCGTAACTGGAGCTGCATCTCCTGACCCAATGCTGGGGTAAAACATAAAGTACCAGACAGTACCTGCAGAATCTTCGTCCAGCACATAGATATCGATATCGAAATGGGAATTACGTATCAACGATGATCGAGCTATCACTTTTGTGCGCATACGTGGATCCAGTCCGTCACGATAAGGGAAGTCCTGTCCTGACGCCGACAACTCTCGATGCGGTTTGTGGCTGTGAGGCTTGATACCCCTGTAGTGCTGAACAAGAAGCACCAAAAGGCCTTGTCACAGAGGCGCCTGGGACATTGGAGCGTGCCCTGCATTTCAGGCGTGCCCAACAACATAAACAAGAACTGAACCGTCAACGGACCAGGGCACAGTTCGCTCCAAAAGACTGCAAAAAAGGGCATCCGTGTCCCAAAACATCACAGAATTTTCATATGCCACAAAAAGACCGCCTTCACACGCCAGTCAGGACTTGCTGGACCCGTGGATAAACATGCACGAGCCGTTCCCAGAACTCGGGATGATCTGTCATGGCCACTTGGGGATCCCACGCCATTGCCACAAAGATGGTGTCCACTCCAGAACCAATCGGGGTCGTAAACGTTTGGCATATCTGCAGTCCGATGAGGAACGCAAACGCCATGATGACGGGGGTGAAGGTGCGGCCCTCGTTGTACGCCGGATGAGTAAATTCCAGATACAGGTAAGCCAGCAACGCCGAGAGGTATGCCACGAAGATGCTCCCCACTGTTAGGACAGGGCCCACGAGGCAGTCGTTGACCAGGGCGTCGATGCCCCGATCTTTCATCATCGTCCACGTGTCTTTGGCTGCCGGGATATATGCCTTGCCGTAAAGAGCAATGTGCGAGAATGCGTACCGGTTGATGAATTGAACAAGCCAATCGAGAAGGCCGATGAAGCAGCCAAGAATGCAAAACATGATGGTCCCAATGATGTTACCGTCTGCGGCTTCCTGTTGCTGGGCAATGCTGCAGGCTTGCCGGAGCATGTTGATAAGTGCAACGATGAGGCTGCCAAAGGAGATGGAGCCAAAAGAGTATGTCGTGGCCCGTCTCAGCGCCCCTGCGGTCGCGCCCCGAGGGATGCCCCCTGGTTTTCCAGCGCAGAAATACCACGAGCCGTAGACGCCGGCGATGGTGGTGTGAATGGTGTTCTTCATCCATTCTGTGATCCAGTAGCCGGCAAAGGTCACAAACACCACGAGTCCAATGACCTTGCCGCTTGAGCAGCCTGCTGCTGGGCATGATGGATTGGCCGTGCTGCCGGAATTACCAGGCATATAGGACGTGTAAATCGCAACCAGAGTGACGGAGAACCACGCGGCGAATACCACGCTAGCAATGCCGCCAATGAAGCTGACCAGGAATACATGCACCCGCCTCATTCTCGCAACGTCCATCGTCTGTTGCAGCATCACCACCGCGAAAGGGATGCGCGGGATCCAGCTGATAAAGCAAATAATGGCAAAGACGGCGAAGATGGCAAACACAATACCTGCTCCCCAAAGATGTCGATACAGATAGTATGCGGCCGTGCCGATTGCCAAGGCACAGTTGAGGATGCCAGTCAACCACACGAACTGTTTCGTGAAGGCGCGAGCAGCCAGGAAGTATCCCCAGGAGAAGACGAGGCCAACGCACAGGATGAAGGCGAAGAGGATGATCGTATTCGTGTCCAGAGAACTGCAGGCATCTATCAGCATATGGACAGAGGTTGGTAGTTCTGGCTTCGAGATCCGGTCTCGAGAACATCAAGGCCTTACAAATCATTCGACGCTCCGTAGATCCCTCCTCCATTGAAACTATGGTACTTCGAGTAGCGGTACAGGGTGAGTCCTGAAACGGCGACAAATCCGCAGAAGGTTGCGATGAGCTACCACTTGTGAGTATACCTTTCTGTTTCAGCGACAGTCAAGAGGATGGGTGTGCGCACCAGTAACCCGGCCCAAAGATCGTTGTATTTGGGTTTCTGGATCTTGAACGTCTCCTGAAAGGTCTGCTTGTCGTCTTGAGGAGCGACGAAGTTGTCGCCGTACGTAGGAGGGGCTGTGCTATACTTGGGTTCTTGAGGCTGGTATGGCTGCTGAGGCGTGTGATAAGGCTGTTGCGGCGCAGTATTGGGCGGAGGATACTGTTGATAGTTCAGCTGCTGATATGGTGCGCCTCCCATGTTCTGGTTGTAGTAATCGGCTGCTTGTCCTTGGTGAGCCATGATTGCGACGCGGGTGTGGTCAAGTTGACCAGGGGCGCAGTATGCTTGGACAGCACTCAGGACAGACGCGCGAGCCTTTTGGTGGCGCAAGGCAAGACAACGGATGTACGAGAATGAATAGAGGTTGGCAAAGAGATGGAAACGCCGATAATAGCAGGACAGCCAAATGAAAGGAGGAATGAAACAGATGGAAGAGGACGCAGATTCCAATGCGGCAACTATGGATCGTGGCACATCGTCCCAAGTAATAAATAATTTGTGTTTTCAGCTTCCACAGGTAGCAACACGCAGGCCAAGAGGGCAGAGGGAGCCCAGCCATTGGACGCTGACACCTAGCATCTGGGGACCCCCATTTCGCTAGCGACGCCATCGGATGAGCTTAAATCTTGTCGCTTGGGGGCTCCATCCAGTTAAAGCCTGCCTGTGGCCCGCCTGTAACAAAGCCCAAGGTCTCAGCTCTGGACGGACTCCTACTCCGTTCCTCAGCGCAAGACATTACCTAATTCCCCCCGCTGTCTGACACAAAGGCTTTGATGTCCTCCATGGGCCAATACAGGCATGGCTTGTCGAGTGGTCCAGGCTAATCCACGTTGTCAGACGGTTCTTATGACCCGGCGAGCCCGGCCACCTGTTTGTGGGCTTGTCGTCATGATCTCCCGTCCTCTCCACCATCTCTGCCCGATTTCCAGCTTCGTCCTGTGGTGCCAGCCCCCATCTTCCAATCAACAACACGAAAACACGATACCCTTGGGCGTCCGTCGTTGCGTCTCGGATCTGCCTATCTAGCATGCCTAATATTGTGCCCGGCTCACCAACTCCGAAGCAACTTTTAACATCCTTCCCTTGACAGCCTTCTCGTTTCAATGTCGTTGATCACTTGCTCTGAGAACCCTTGGCCATGCCACTGATGGTATCGATCCAGTATCTTTTATTCGCCTTTCTGGCAGCTGCTTGTCTTCCAGTATCGACCCTGCTTCTAATTTTCAACCTTTTGTGTATAGCGCCCTCGGCCTGGGTTTCAGTCCACCAGCGTCTTAAAAAAGTGCCGGGGTTCCGATCGAGGACGATTTTGATTACTGGAATCAATACGCCCCACGGGTTGAGACTTGCTAGGGCGTTTCACAGCACTGGTCATAAAGTTGTTGGCGCTGATTACGAGCCTGATGGGTTTCCCATTCACGTGCGGTTCTCGAATGCGCTGAGTCGCTTCTACGGACTGCCGCCCCAATCCGACGACAGCCGCCAGGTAGCTTACATCGCCTGCTTGGTTCGCATCATCCAGGAAGAGCAGGCTGAACTTTGGGTCAACTGCACGAGCAGTGTAGATCCTAGTACTGAGGCCCACGCGAGGAGCGCTATTGAGCAGAGCAACCAGTGCCAATGTTTCGCACTCCGAGTCGACAATGTCCCCTATTTCGCAACAAAGGAAGCATTTCTTTTATATGCGGCCAGCCAAGGACTACCGGTGCCCGAAACGTACCATGTTAGATCGCGTGACGAGGTGCACAATGTGCTCAACAAAGCGCGCGGAAGGCGGAAGTACTTGCTGCATAATGTGGACCAGAATGGACTTCACGCCAGTTCATCCAGGACAGTTCTCCCTCGGAGGACGCTGAGTCAAACATACAACACCGTGTCCCAGATGGCTATCACGAGTACTGCCCCCTGGAAGCTGGAACAGGACGTGAATGGACTGGAGAGGTACCAAACATTTGCGATCATTGTCAGAGGCTCTCTCAGAGCCTTTGTGGCAAGTCGCTCGACACTCCCTGGCTGCTATCAGCTCTTGGACCCGAAATCTGCGCTCAGCATGTCGATGTTGCGGTTTGTGCACACCTTTGCGCGCAACCAAGGCCGTGACTTCACCACCCACTTGGGGATCGACTTCTGTGTTGAGGAGCAGGTTACAGAATCGGGGGTGGCACAGATTATTCTCCCGGTCCAGGTTTGTGTCCAAGCTCAGCCCGCCGCACAGCTGTTTCAGGGCTTGGGCGGGTCGGTACAATTGACTCGAGCCTATCTAGAGAGTCTGGCAGTGAATGAACTCAACACCGACAAGCAAATGACGAGGCCGGGTCTTGCAGCTACGCAACACTCTCTCCAGGACGACGTTGAAATGCCAGATTCGAAGATATCTGGAACATACTGCTTCGGCCAGGATCTCGTGCAGTTGTGCTTTGAGCCGCTGTTCGGCCTGATAACCTTGAGAATCGGTATCATTGACTATATACGACACTTAACTCAGTTCTTCAATCACCTGATTTGCTGGGAAGACGACTTGTACAGCTTTCAGGATCCAGTGCCTTTTTGGTGGTCTTACCAAGTCTATATCCCACTTCGATTTGTGACAAATGCAGTGGCTTGGACACGTGGTTGTGGTTGATCGCTGGCGAAGAAGTGATTGTGCCATCGCTGACCAGATTTCAGTTGTCAAATGACGCCTTCACCGTCAGAGCGCGGTGATGTCCAAGAGTGACCCAGGAGAGAAGAAGCCTTGGACTCCAAGTGACCTACGGATAAACCCACAAGGTCCAGGGTTCGGTCCGTCTTTTCCGGGGTCATTCGTCAATCAATCTGCCTCTGCCAGACTGCCACGGGCATCAGCGCGCAGCAACCCAGCGGTACATAGTATCTCGCATCGGAGGGCAGTGTCTGCAACCATCACAAATACCCATCGAAGCATTCCCAAGCATGTTCACGCGAACAACTCCCCGCTCGTAGGACGAGAGTGCAACTCCCCCGGACCCTTTGGAGGAACGAGGTCCCCTTGCTCGTCGCCTTGCTTCATACCGTTGGGAGCTGTGCCATAATGCCATCCTTTTCCTGGCCACATTACAGATGCGCATTTCCCGGTGCTGTAGTGAAGTAAGGACAATTGCGCATGCCGGACCCTGAGAGGCGCGGCTCTCCATCAGCGATCAGCCAATCTTCCTAGTACCATAGTGTCATAGGCATTCCGTCACCTTTGACGGTACCCATCTCCATCCTAACGACATTCCGTGTTATCAGGCTATTTGCTGTCCGTACCTGAACAGGTGAACACTTACTGAAAGTCAGTAGATTTTATAACCCCAGGGAGCCATAAATCTACCCCTTCAAATATAGAGTCTACCACGACGAATGCCTAGAATCTATCAGTAGAATACCTGAGTCTGCCACCGCTGGAACCTAGAGACCATCACCAGAGAGACCAGAGGGGCCTCTTTTCAGACAGGGTGCTCTTTTTTCCAGGTTGCGGCTCGCCTGGGATTATCTTTCCATCCATGAGGCAGCAAATTTCGCCTGACCTTTCGAATTACCACCGCACACCAGGTAATGACTGTTTGGCCTCGTAGCCAACAGTTGAGGGAAGCTGGTACCGAAGCCGAGAAAGCACCTCCGCGTCTCAACATCGCTCCCACCACAAGACACTCGCAATTCATCGGGGAAGTTGTCTCCTTGCAAACACCAACCCCTTACGATGTGGAGCATGGGCATTCCTTCCAGGAGATCCATCCAGCGTCGTCAGTCTGAAAGAAGAAAGACCAGAAAAAGGTCCGGCGCGAGTGACAAGGTGCGTGCATCAAATCTGGACTCCCCCAGCCCAGATGAGCGTCTGGGTGATCAATAATTTTACAAGATTCACCGAACACACCTCAGTACGTACAGTTTGGGTGCACATGCCTTTCGGTTTTCACAAGCGAGCGAGCGAGATAGACACTCCTTGCCCTTGGCCGTCCCCGCGAGCATCGGGCTTCATGGGAAATTGGCGGCTGGCTAGCTGGAGCGGTGGGTTTTCACGTCAAACTTGCGGGACCATGGAAGAATCCGACCCTTGTGGCAAGGTTACAAGCGAACAGAGGACGGGGTGTGCCGTTGATGTCCTTTCCTCGTCGGGAAGCCCAGGCGAGCCTTCTTCCATGCGTCGGGCTGAAAATGGGCATCAGGAACACCGTCGAGTTTCGTGCTGGGTTAGCGTGGGGTGTCTCAAGCGAATATTTTCATCCTTTTCAGAGAAATGTGCTGGAGAAGCTAGCGGGTTGCGCGATGAAGGATGGCGTTGGTTCTCTCCTCCCTCTGCTCATTCGCTTAGCGAACACTGCGAGGACATCTTTAGAAAATCTTCAGAATCCCATCTTGGTCAAATGGAGGCGGGATGCGATTGGAACGGCACGCAGTTGGTCTGCTGTCGCTAACAGTTGCAGGGGTCAAGACATTTGTCAAAGGATCGGCTCAATTGATGCAAGGACGGACAACGTCGGCCCTCTCTCATACAAGAGTGTTCTCCATGAACAAATGCCTGGTAGGGGGATGTCAAGGACAGTTCTGGGACGTGCCTGGGCGTGTGTTCTTCAGATGGTCTTCTACATGACAGCGGAGAACTGTGCATGCCTATACGAAGACACAGCCTGGGCGCTTGAGGAGGGGGGATGTAGCGAAGTCCCGTTCTGGTGCTCCTATGCAGCATAGGCCGCTGAGTCGGCGAATCCGTCCACCGTGTACCTCGTAGTTTCGTCCCATCGCTTGGTCTGCAGCTCAATCTGAACACTCGGAGAGGTTATTCCAGCTTAAACCCGTTCGGTCATAGGGCGACAACCGCACCCTGACGACTCCCAAGGGGTCGTCCGTCGAAGACGATCTTGTATCGAAATGGCATTAACGTCGGCAGGGCAGTGCCGAAACCCCAGGAAACCCAACCAAGATCAGTTAGAAGAAAGCAGGAATCCGATCCCCAGCTGGTAATGTGCGCAAGCATGCGGGCAGGCACAGAGTTTGGGGGCCAGCACTACAACTTCTGAGACCTTGTGGACATGCACTGGGACGTATCTGGAAAGGGTTTGTTCTCAAGGCCCCGCGGTGAATGGGCGATGGGATGAGGGTGTGCTCGATAGGTAGTTAGCCTCGACGGGCACCACGGTTGGCTGAAGGCCGAGTCCTCGCAGTCGTTAGGCTCATCAGGCGTTGTGGAGAGTCTGGACCTGCGCCGAGGAACGCCTCCTCGGATCCATCGCATCCATCCTCGCTTTCAGGTTTCTGGGGAGGGGGGCGTCACACGGCTGGGATAGACGATGCTACCCCGCAAAACCAGTGAGGGTCTGGAGGGTGGAGCGCAAAAAAAAAGAAAATTGGTGGCGGTGAGTCGAGTGGGTTAGTCGGTTTGGGCTCGTCACAGCCAGTACCCCAGCCGTGTCAAATGATGGGCCAAAGGCCGGGTGACAGAAAGAAAAAGGGGGTGTGAGAAGCTGGGGGAGGGAGCAGGAGAGCGAAAGAGAAAGTCAAGAGTAGTGAAGAGCACGATAACCCTCCAAAGGCACGGCTCGACACGGCTCAGAACTCCTGCGCAAGGGCGCCAAAAGGATCCAAAGGAGGAAAGTTCAAATCAAGTTACTGTATGTACCTCATAACACGAACTTCGGTGCACTTCCGGGCCAGCTTCACGATCTGTGTGACCGACCATTGGGGCCGACACACCCAGAAGATTATCTCATCCATCGAGTTGATGGGTGCTGATGGCGTGTTCAAATGTGGCTTCGAAGACCGTGGTCGAGGTCACACGCAAAGTCCTTCGACTTTGTCTGCCGAGTATCATAGCACCAGGCATCAATAAGTGCAATGGTTGTCAGTAGACGGGCTAGTGGTGGCGTGTGGTGGTGGTGATGGTAATGGAGGGTGGCCGAAATGGCAGTGCACCACGTAATAATAATGATGCACAATAATGCACCGACTATTACGGAACGTGTGAGCTAGGGAGGGAGGCACGTAGGTATTCACGGGATCGGTATCCAATGTGCCCTATCCAGCTGAGTACAGAGTGATCTGGTCCTGGTCCTCCTTCCTCCGCAGCCTATTCCTAAGCTGCAAAGTACTTTTCCCTTATTGAAAATTGATTGATCCAGTAGCCCACTAATTATCAGTCAGACGCAGGATTTATTAGGTGCTGTAGCTGACTGTGCCTGGTCAGAATGTCGCCATTCCAGCAAGCGAGTTGACAAAGTACGAGTGTACATATTACAGGGTTACCTTCTCGACATTACAAAATAGGCAGACACCTAAACTTAGGCAGGGCACTCCATCCATCAATCGATCCAGTCGCAGGTTTAATTATCCCAGACTCGAAAGCTGCTCGCACGTCCCGTTGCTAGACTGCGTCGACATCAAGCCGCAACACAGGACCTCGATGAAAGATCTGCTCATTCGACAACCTGTTCCCGTGTCTTTGTCCGTGGTTTCTTCGAATATTCAGAATAGTTCTTATTCTTATCCAACCTCCTGTACATTTCTTCGTGAGGACTTGGTAGTCAGTCTCGCCGGAGGAACACTTGAACAGTTCGGGGTCCATCGAACCTCATCCCATAATATATATATCTTTTTGCTTACGAGTCTGCCATATCTTACCGATGGGTCTCTGTAGGGTCAGTCAGGTGTAGACACACGTTCGGGAGAGAGGGCCCTCATCGTTGCCGCTTGGCGTCCCAACTCCGACCACGTCTCTATCTCTATTCGACTGGCCAGTATAAGTTGACCTCTCACTAATCGTGCTTCGTTCGTTCCAGAAATACCGCAGCGATCATGGCCGCTAGTATTCAAGTTCTCGAGGGCGCTAGAGCACTGCCGGATTCGAATGTCAATTTCCGGTATCTGTTCGAAAGTCAACCATAGAATCACGTGGAGCCCCCTCAAGGGAGGGAAATCAAAAGCCCTCGAGGGAGGGAAATCAAAAGCCCCTCGAGATCCGGCTCGCAGTGGACCTACAGTACATGATGTACGTAGGGAAACCACTACGTAGAGCTGAGGAATTGAGGGACCCATCAACAAGAGAATCCCACTGAGCATGCATGTGCATAGCCACGCAGTAGGTAAGTTACCGGGGGCAATAGTGAGAGCCACTTGCAATCCCATCACATCACAAAGTTTTCCAAACCAGAATCACAACGAACTTCCAAGCAAAAACCATCATTCCGTCCGGGGCTCCGAACTCCTGAGGGGATCTAGAAAGGTCGAAAATTCGAATATTGAATGACATGGGGGCTGTGAGTCTGTGTGATGGAGTACAGATCTTCGGATACACCTGGTTACCCGGTTACTCAAATGCCCACTTCAACCATGGTTTTTTCGTTTTTGTGTTTTTGTCTTTTCTGGGTAGAAAACTTCGATACTTCCCCTTCCCCCGTTTGCAAACTCTGTTGCGCGTGCTTCTTGGGTCTTGTGCGTGCGTGCATTGCCGTTTCCATGTGTGCGAGTGAGCGCGTGTTTGTTGTCTGTTTGTTTGTGTGTGCGTGGGTCGAGAAGCGATGATGCCGGTAACTTACAGTGCACTGGTGCGCTCTATTCATAGGCAGCTGAGAGGAAAGTAAAAGCTGGCAGGTAGTTTCGTGGAAACCATTTCCTGAGGAGTCTTCTGCT